TTCCCCCACCCTCAAATCATCAGCATGCGAACCGCGACGCCCGAGGGTCAACCGCTGGCTCTATGAGACATCGTGGGTCCATGTTGAGCGTTACGCGCGACCGATTGGCCTCCATGTCGGTCTCTGGCAGCATTCGACAGATCCGTAAACGCGCTTCTTTCCTGGAGGAGGGTATGCCCATGCCTTTTGCCCAAAACTTCGATATTCGCCGCTCGTCTTTTGGAACCATGCACTCGATTAAGGTCCAGCAGGACGTTCTCCCCATGCGAGGAGGACCAACCCCGAAACCCCGAAAAACATTCAACCGGACTGTGGTTATGATCGTTCTCGCTATGGCCATTTTCGCTTTTCATCAAATGGCCTTCATCTCGATTCTCCCGGTCTACATCCTGGACACGCCTGCAAACAAGGGCATTGATTTCCAGGGCGGACTAGGACTGGACTTGCCCGATGTTGGAAAGTTCCTCACAGTCAACGGCTTCATCACTCTCTTCGTGCAGGGTTTCATCTTCCCCCCATTCGTAGAGTGGGTTGGTGTCTGGAACTCGTTCATCTGGATGATCATTCTCTACCCGATTACATACCTCATCGTACCTTTCATCAGTGGTCTTCCCCAAGGACTCATTACTCCAGGCATATACGTTTCGCTTTTCCTCCAGGCCTTTTTCGGTATTATCGTCTTCCCATGCGCCCTGATTCTGATGAAGAACGCCGTTCCTTCACCTTTGGTACTTGGCCGCGTCAACGGTATCGCCATGTCAGCGTGCTGCTTAGCGAGAACCATCTCTTCTCCCCTGATCGGATTGATCTACTCGCTCGGTGGATCTGCAGCAGCCTGGTTCGCTCTCGCTGCCGCGGCCATCTTTGGCATGATCCAGCTTTTCTGGGTCCCCAAGGAAGACGTTGGCGCTGTTCAAATCGACAACGCACTCAAGAAGGTTATACATCACGATATGGATGAGGATGCGGTAGACGACATTTCCATCATTGAGTCTGTACGATAACAGAACTCAAAACGATTACGAAAGCAAAGTTTGAAAAAGCGGTGGATCTTGGAGTAATATCTAGAGCGTCTTGATTTTCGACGCTGCATGTCTTTCGGCGTTTTGTTGGTTTTCCTCGACATGTCCATGTCTTGAGCGCCTGGTCTTCTATGTTCTTCATTAATGCTAGCATCACAGCATTTTTTTTCCATCTTGCATAGCGCGTTGATAGAGCTCAATGCCACTCATATTGCGTCTTGGACGAATCTCAGCTTTGGAATCTTTGTATGTGATGCTTGACAGTCGATATATACTTGGGTATCGGCCCGCTTGGGTAGTCCGTGCAACTTGTCTTGAAGACGCACAGACAGCTGCCTACTGCACGTCGATCTAGGCCCGCAGTGGGTCCTACCACTCGGTTGGTGTAGCAAACGGAATGGCTGACATCCGGTATGGTGATCGTGGTCTATTCGCTGGCCAGCCAGAGTGCGATGAGAAGCTGACACGGCGTAGGATACTCAAAAGGGGTTTCGCAATTTGACGACATACGAGCCTAGCAAGAACCACGACACGAACCACAATAGCTCACAGATGATTTGAAGACTTCCTAGCTTGCGCTGGAGGAACATATCAACCATATTAGCCTGTTTGACAGTCAAGGGTCGCTGAGCACGTCTTGGTAACTGCGTTCTGTGCTTTGGCATCTCGGAGCGGTAGCCTGTTATGCCATTATCAGCGCTATTCTTACCTGCGTTCCATGCGAAGTAATGGGTAGTAACCTCTGGATTGCGGAATTGGCGGACCAAGTGAATGTACGTTTGTGGAGGGCTGTCCTGTTGGATCTTGGTTGAAGCTGACATTTTGTGTCCACGGTTGTTTCATTGCCTGTGAGAATGCCAGTTCAGAGAAGATATCGACCAAGAAGATGCTGAGGGAGTAGTGGAAGCATTGTGAGTTCGCGATGTGCAAAACAGGCTTCCAGCACATAGGCGATGCCGTTAAACACTACTGCAAATTCAAGCGAGGAGAATACGTATCGTTCTCAAGTCACATGTTGCTGCCGTGGAGTTTCGTGATTGCGCATCGTCACTGTCGCAGTTGTGGGTGAAAGCTATGGCCGTCTGAATCGCGAATGAAGTTCGCCGGCTGCACAACGTCCGACTCCCGGCTTGGCAAGAGCCTGCATGTCCCCGGGGTAAGCTGGCCTTCGCCCGTTCGCAGCTCCCTCCCTTGGCCACTCATTCTCGATTGCTTGCACTTTTGGTGATGCTTCTCTAGCAGAAGCGACTCACTATGACGCTTGACGCGGCAGCCCGACCATGGATCATTGGGGCGACCCGTGGGCAGACAACAATGCCGACGAACAAAAGTCGCCGACGAAGCACGAGGTGACCTCACCACCACCGCCGCCTACTCTTGCGCCTGCGCCGGTGCTATTGAATGGCTTCCTGGACGACGCCGGATGGGGCAATGAGGACGAGAGTTTTGGTGACTGGACCACGTCATCTGGACATGATGCCGCCGTGTCTGCACTCACGGAGACGCGCATAGCTGAAACCAGTCCGCTGAAGAATGAGAGGACGGTTGACGATGGACCGCGATGGGATTTGAAAGAAGAAAGCGAGCATGCACCGCCGACACGAGAAGACGCGTGGGGTGGACAAGAATATACTTCCGATGTGGACAATGTAACCTCGGACACATCCGACACGTCGACTACGATACAGCCGGACACGTCTCCCAGTCAAGACGCGGTCGCTCCTGCGACTACGATACAGCCCGACGATGACTCCTCTGCACGACCTTCCACGTCCCCATCCGAGACGAGCCGCACCGAAGCGCCGGTCGAATCGCCACGGACATCACTCGAAGAAGAGGTTGCGAGCAGGCTGCAGACTGCAGTGGAGGAGCTGGATCCGGAAGATGTACACGCAGCAGCAAATCATGAGGATAGTGAAGCGGATGCTTCAAGCTCGAGCAGCGACAGCACAGACGATGAATTTGGCACTTTCACGCAAGATACTTTATTGACAGAAGCTCCTTCCGGTCCGCCAGAAACTACACAGAGCGCTGAAGAAAAGTCGAAGGAGACCTTGAAGGAAATGCCCGCTTCCCGCTCTGGATTGCCAGTAGCCTCTTCGAGTGCTGCTGCTGCCTCACACGACGCCGATGCCTACCGGCTCGATACAGACCTCTTCGACGAGCTCTTCCCTCCCAATGGCGATACAAAAGAATTAGAGGAGGCCCCAGATGATCCTGTGTACTCCACATCTGGGCGCAAAGCTTGGTACAGGCTTACGCGCAAGCAGACCATGAGGGAGTTCAACAGCGGGAACGCAGACGATAATTACATTCGAGTTACATGGGCAGGCTCTCAGGTCAGAGCGGAGGTGAACAAAACTGTGGCAAGATGGGCACGTGAAGACCGTCTCTCTGGCACAGGTCCCGGAGCCAGGGCATCGTTCTACTGGGACACGCCTGCGCCTCCGGAGCCCAAGACAGCAAGAGGCCATCTGCGCACGAAGACAACCATTCCCACACCGCGAGCAGTCGAGGTTGCACCAGCTCGACAAAGCATGCCTCCAGTGTCCACTGACACCCCGGCTGCGTTCAACTGGAGTTCTCCAACTACTACAGTGGACCCTTGGAAGCAGGACAGTCCTGGTTTACCGCCTATAATCCCGCCTGTCACGCCTAAGCATAACGCTGTAGAAATTGCACATGCGAACGAGCTTCGTGCAGTTTCAATTGACCTTGCACGCGATGTTGGGGAACCACAAGGGCAAACGTCGACTGAAACACCGGTTGTCGCAACGAAAGCAATCCCACCTCCTGAGCCAACCGCAACCTCTTCAAGTCCTTGGGGAGACATCGCAGCTCTTGACACCACAACTTCCAATCAAGAACAACGTGCAGATGTGCCTGCAGAAGATGACGATGATTGGGGTGAGATGATATCAAGCCCTACAGTGTCTACTGCACCCTCAGCCTTTCCAAGCTCCATACCCGCCACGCTCGACAGCACCATTTCAAATTCAGCATCACCACCAAAGACTCCACCGACCCAGGACCGCTCAGCAGAAGCAATGCATATCGTGCGCCTGCGAAGTACCATTTCGCCAACATCAGCGATCTTTGGTCCCAAAAGTTTCGTTCCATTCCACGCTGAACAAGGACCTATTGGGCCTGGACTCCTAAAACCTGCCAAGCGCTCTGTTTCTGCCACGTCGGAGAAGAGCAAAGCCGAAGTTCCACCAAAACCAATTTCAGAAGTCGTTGCACAAGAGAAAGTGAAAGCTGATGTATTGCCGGCGCGCGACGCGCATGATACAAACGAAATCGCTATCAACGAGGTGAAGGTCGAAGAGCCTAGTACGAACGGCACGGAGGATGACGACTTTTCTGCGTTTACGTCCAATACACGTAAGCCGGAACCTGCCAGGCCTAGCACTCCGCCTTCAGCACCCATAGTACGAGATGAACCTCCTATAGACGCCTGGGCAGATGCGGACTTCTCTTTCTTCGAATCTGCCCCTGCTGCGAAAGCGTCTGCGCCGGTCTCGCGCGATCCGTCAGACCCATTTTCCGTCTTCGAGACGCCTCCCAGACCGAGCAGTGCTGCATCTTCCGCGAAGACGTTTACGCGGTCTCCTCCACGGAACGTAACCCCTCCGCCTATTCAGCCGCTTACTGGGGCTACGAATTCTGCGCAACGACGGAAAAACGATGAAGAACAGGTTATCAAGAGTATTCTGGCTGGGCTACCAGACTTGAGTTATATGTTGCGTTGATGATGTATCGTTGTTCAGATGATTGTATAACTGGTGTTTCTTGCATTTCACACGGCGTTTTCGGGTGCTTGGATATCCATGGTCGTTTTAGCATTGTCGGCATAGGTTACAGGATCTCGTGGCACGAGCGTTCCTTCGTACATGTCCAATCTTCATATCATTACCATCACTTAGAGGTGCATACATACACAATAGCTTTTCGGTTGTTCTTATTTTCACATCATTTCTTCATTGCGTTGCACAACCCAGTTCACCTCCTCTTCGCGAACTTCACTCTAATATTGTATTACCGTTCCCATGGTGGCCAGTGTCGACCAGCCACCCCACCTCAGCCCTTGGGCGCAGAAGTTCACTTTGAAATGGCACGCCCTCTATCGATTTAGTCCTTCCTACCGAGGCCTCTTCGACCTAAACCAAAACCTTCCTCAACTCGAGCACTATCTAGACACGCAACATCAACCACTCCTACCCTCGACTCTACCTAACAAAGCTCTTAACAAAACACAGCAAAACACAATGGGTTGGTGGTCTTCAAAGAAGGATAAACGACCACACCATTACCACGTCCGTAATAAGAGTACCGGCGATCGCAGTATAGTTAGCGTCCCTGCCGGCTCCGCCCCCGCTTTTGTATCGTCGACCTATGAAGCTGTACACTGGAGAACTCATGGTATAAGGTACGGAAGTGACACAAGCTACGGTACTGATGACTATGGATACCCGAATCGACCGGTGTTGCCATATGGTTTGGTTCCCATTGATGGCTCTCGCTGGGCTCCCATCCCGACTTATCCCGAAATGGTCTACTCTCGACCTCCTCGACAGGTTTCTTTCGCCCCGGATCCTCGAGGTGAACCCCCCAGCTACGTTCAAATCCCTCATCATCCCACAATGGGCTTTTCGCCGCCTCTTCGACAAGTTTCCTTCGCTCCTGATCCTCAACGGGAGCCTCACCCATACCCGCCCGAACATGGGCGAAGACATGGCCAGGGCCACTCTCGCAGTAGGAGTGCTCCTGTAATGCCTGTTGAAGACTACAATCAGGGCGGTAGCGGTATTGCTACGAACTGGGTTGATCAGCTCCCTGAATATGCTCGCCGGCATCCTCGGTTCGAGGAGGCGAGGCGTGCTCTGGAGTTGATTTTGAGGTATCGTAGAGATGATCCTAGGGCGGTGCCATATCAGATGGTGCTAAGGGAGGTTACGGAAGAGATGGAGGAAGAGGGGCTGAATGATATGGCGGTGAGGGAGTCGTTGAGGGGGTTTTTGGGTCGGTAGGGATGAGATGGGAGGGGGCGTAGGGATGAAGGTCGCAGGAAGTGGCCACACAAGTCCGTACTCGCTCATTTGTAAGTCAAAGGATAGCATATATCCTAAGATAAAGGCTCATCGGACTGCAAAGCCTGCACGCGAGGGGGAAACTCGGCAGCTAGGTGGCGAAACTTCTTGAACAGATCATCCGACAATACCCCAGGTATTTACACAATACTATCAAATGCCCTCGAGAAGCCCTTTTCTATCTAGGCGAGTTTGTGAGCTTGCGCCTATGCTAGACAAGTATGTGACTCACGAGCTATAGCAGCGTATCGTGTTCGGAAGGCTTTCAGGCGCTCAAGTCCATCGCATCCCCAGCAGCAGCCTTCTTGGACCAAAAGCGCGCATCCAGCTTCTTGATAGTACTCTGCCTCATCTCCTTCGAAGGCCACCCCTCACTTGGCACTCTGACTTTCTTATCGCCTCTTAAGTGCACCGGCACTGGGATATTCTCACCAGTCTTACTATCCCCATACCCATACATGACAAAGTCCAGATAGTACTGCTGCACGTCCAGCCCCCTCCTAATACTCTCCGTAATGACCAGATCCAATGCATGCGGCATCCTCTTGCCATCTTCGTTCCAGCCCTCCAGACTCAATAGACCCCATTGCTCCTCCGGGACACTATGATCTTCTATGTCTTCGAGCCAGGGATGCGCTTCGAAGTCGAGATCGTCCATAAGGTAGGTTGCAACGACCATCGCACTGGTTGTGTCGTAGTTGAACTTAAGCTTTCCACTTAGTGCCTCCCACAGCGGAGTCAAGCTCTTTTGGGCGAGCAACATGGGCCCGAGCTGACACACGCCGTTGCCCAGGATAGGGTCGGAGAAGCGCATATCGAGCTTCATGAAGAAGAGCTGGATGTTGATGAGATCGGTATCGGTCCAGATATCGGCATCTTCAAGGAAGGATCGACGCGTTCTAGATTCATTGAGCTCCATGACGCACCAATACTTCATCAGCGCGCCCTCGCAACCCTCCGGTACGCGATGGCCTTCTAGAGCCAAGTATGTGAGGATGCTGCGTACGACCTTCTGGCGGTAGATTATCATGCCGACCCAGCGGAAGCCTGGTACGTCGCGCGCTAGCCACTCGCGGCCGTCCATGGGTCGGAGCATGGGGTCGGAAATGCATGTACGAGGGTATAGCACCCAGCTGAAGATGTGGCCGGCGAGTGGTGCATGATAGCGGGCGTAGTCGTGTATCAGAGAGACGCTGTATAGATTCAGACGGTAGTGGAACTCCTTGTCGATGGCGTAGAGGTCAACAATAGAGGGGCAGGGTAGACGGAGCGCGAATTGGAAGAAGAGGTTCGGGTGTCGGATGATGGCCTTGTAGACGCTGAAACGTTGCTTCGGGGCAGGTCCACCGGTAGAAGTTTGGGGTGTGGGCCCAGAGGGTATGTCCGGGCCCCAGATCTCGGCAGCGATGTTGTGGCGGCGATGTTGACGGCGACGGACGACGTTAGGTGCATTGCTTTCGGTCGTGGGTAAATCCTGAAGTCTGCCGATAATTGTAGAGCCATCTTCGACTGCGCGTTTGTTCTTGCCTTTCGCGTTCGAGTTGAGATAGAGTGGGCTTGGTGGAGGCTCCATGACTGTGGTAAAGTCTGACCTTCCGTACTAAGAGGTGAGACCAGGATGCGTTCGAGTAAGTTTACGGAAAATAGCTCGATACTTTACTTCTAATCTAACGTAGGGTGACCGCATAAGTATTGTAGGGTTCTCTCTCACCATAACTACTGTCAACATGGTGGAGCGACAAACAATAAAGCCCGTCAGGTCATCGTGCCAACAAAACAGCGGGACGCCCAGGCAACCAACCACCCAGCATATTGAAAGCACTTGAGATCATGAGAGAGCAAGACGAGACCCTGGAATCTTCCGGTAATGGTAGATAAAGTCTGCGATACTCATTGCAGACGCGTCGCGTCAAAAAGGCGTGTATGAAGATGACAGCTCACCCAAGCTCAAGCATCTGCGTGAGTCCCAACAAATTGAAGGAAGATGGCAGTATACAAGACAGAAAGGCTGAGGATTTGTATACTATACCCGTCGCAGTGAACCTCGAATACTTCCATTACTGCTGCTAGCACGCGGTGCTTCATGCTCTTTCTCTTAGACGCGCTTCATGTACAAGTTACGGCCTATTCATGTGTTCACCCTCTAATTGAACGCGCGAGATTGCTTCGATAAGGTATATGATGGCCCATCTGAGTGTGTGAAAGGTGTGTGAAAGGTGTGTGAAAGGTGTATGTGAAGAGAAAAGGATGGGTGAGGGGACCACGCGTCAACGTCATTGGTCCGTGCACTATAACCCCCGCCTCGGCCCCTCGTGTCGTCCCTGCATAATCTGATAATTTGGTTCGCCTTGGGAAAATCGCGTTCCTCACGTATCACGACAAATTCACCGATTAACGATATCGTACCACAGTCGCCAAACGAGGCTACCTTCTATCGCCTGCAGTACGTGTTTGCTCCCGGCCCGAAATCAACGCCTTTCGCCATGCGATTATTGACTAACAATGTCTAGGACAACTTAGGCATCACTACTCTAATATTGAATTGGCTCAACCTCTCCGGATATCGACCGCTGCCACACAGATATCTATTCCTGATATACGACACTCTTCGCGATCGCATACCACGCGCATCATGACGTCCAATCTTTTGGGCACGGCGACGTCGACGCTCACGCTCCCGAACGAACTCGCTCTCGTCGTAATCGATCATCTCCAAAACAACAACAAGGCACTATGCGCTCTCGCTCGGACATGTCGCGATATGCAACATCTCGCAGAGGAGCGACTCTACAAAACCATCGAGCTTCTCTCCGTGAATAACCTCCACGCTATCATCGAAGCCCTCACATCGCGTCCTGAACGCGTCCGCGCGGTACAAATACTCAAGATCTTGTATCAGTACAAAGACTCCGATTTGAAGGAGAGCGCCGAGATAAGGACAACCTTCAACGAGTGCGTGCCTCGTATGGTCAATCTGAGGGAGTGGCATATTGAGAGCCCGTACGACAACTTCCATTGGGAGAATGCTGGTGGAGAGGCTTGGGTCCATGGCGATATGCAACGCTTCCGCCGTGCGCTCGACACAGCTTGCGTGGAGGGCCCAATAGAGGCGGACAAGATCACAGCTGAGAGGCGCTTAGGAAAGAACCTCGAGCGGACAGTTGGGCTGGGTCTTCTTGAGAGCTTGACCATCCACTCGCATGGTGCTGATACCGACTTCTGGAACCTTGATGGGTTCCATTGCCTCTTCCGACACCCCGCACTCAAGCACCTACACGTCTCTTGCGTGGCCTTCCCAAACTCGGAAATCCCAGAGCTCGCGACACATACGAAGAAGACTCCGCTGACCTCGCTTGTTTTTGACGAGTGTGAGTTGCAACCCAAAAGCTTGCTCAGCATCCTTCGCACTCCGGCGCGTCTGAAGTCGTTGACTTTGGGGGAGAATGTCTTCAACGTTAACGAGTCGAGGACGGTCAAGCCTCTATTAAACAAAGACGCAGGTGGATCGCTGAAGGCTCTCTCCACAGTCGCGCACTCGCTTGAAAGCCTTACACATCTCAACCCTGGCTGGCGTGTTGACAAAAGCCCTCAAGTGCTCCGCAGCATACGCCCGACGGGTGATGGTATGCGCGACTTTCACCTCTTAAAATACCTGGAATGCGACACCAATTCCTTCTTACATAAGGCTGTTATCATGAACCGCGACCTGGCGCCCCCTAGCCTAGAAACACTTCGTATTCGTCGGCATTGGGATGTTCCGGTCGACTTCTGGGACCAGCCCCCTGACTTCGATCACTATGCCGCTTTGTCATCTCTGGATACACTCGAGTTATTACAGTCATCTTATATGTGGTAAGTTCTGACAACAAAGATAACATTGTTTTTCAGATCATGCGCTGACTTTGCCTCGTGCGGCTCACAGGCTCGACCTGGCAGAGGCTGAGTACATCTGCGACGAGGAACGTCTCCGAAATCGCCACGCAAAGGCGCACAAGCTGTACAAGGCTGGCATCAACCTGAAGATGTCATTAGAACTGCACAAAAGCAAAAGCTTGATACCACCGTACCTGTACAAAGAGCGCGTTCCTATTATCGAATGCTTGTACGATGCGAGCATGGTCGGATTTCAAAGTCTCGTCAGGAACGAAGTGACCGATGAGAACCTAGATACGACTGAAGAGCTTGTGAAAGAAGAAGCTGAAACGGACCAACTAAGCGATGTGGATATCAGCCTGTTAAGGTCAAAGACGCGACGTCTTACGCTTTCCATCAAGCATCAACTCGTGAACCGCGGCCGCCGACTCGCAGCATTCAGGGACATATTCGGCTCGGATGATGGAAGTGAAGAATCGGCCGATAGCGATGAGGATTTTGAGGTCGATGATCTTGATGAGGATGATGATATGGAGCTCGACCTTGAGCTAGACAACGATGTCGTTGAACAGTATATCGACGAAGACGGCAATCCTGTATTTGACGAGGACGGCAACCCTGTATTCGAGGACGATGGAGAGCTTTTCACAACTGTGTGGGAGACAGCTACTGATGACGAGTTTGATGACGATATGGATGAAGATGAAGACGAAGACGACGATGACGAGATGCACGACGCAGTGGAAAGCCAACAACTGCCCGCCAACACCAACAACGACGTTGACTAAGCAGTCTTGGGAGAATGATAGCTGTTCATCTTTGACTCGACTGGTCTGCACGCGACTGAAATATTACATTCTTCGGGTATCATTGGCACTCAAACATAGTTTTAATAATGCATGTATTATCAAAAATGTTACCCTGATCACCAACAGTAGCTGCTAGGTGCTCATGCTGCACTCGCAAAATCGGATCGCGGTTTCTATGTGGATCCTCCCAAGAATGAACGAACGCCGGGAATGTGGAAAAATATCGCAGTAAATGTGAAGCCAATACACCGCTGTAAAAGAAGTCTGCGATAAACGTCAGCCGTTATCACACACTCCCCATCCCTCATCTACTCACCCACACTAAACCAATCACCTTGCACACCCAAGAGTCTGTGACGAACAGTACGCATTCTCCCTGTCCAAATGTTAGCACTTCATTCCTCAATCATCCTACATCTTCACATCCCCTCTCCCTTCTCTTAATGCGGTAGGTATTCCGGCTTCCTTTCCCAAGCAAGATCCAAAAACCAAACAAACATACCTCGTCAAATAACTCCCATCTGCCTTAGCCCTCCTGGTCTCCAACAGCGGCGGCACAAAGGGTAGTGCAAGAGCTGAGACTACATAGCTCGTTGCCAAGGTAGCTTTGAGGCGGTAGTGTGGGTCGCGTGGAAGATGGCGGGTTGAGTATGTACGGAGGTGGGAGAGGGCGTGTGTTGAGGGTGCCATTTCGGTGTTGTCTGATTTGAATTTTGGGTTCTGAAGTGTTTGGAAAATGCTTAATGGCTGGTTGTGCCTTTGTATCGTTGTTGTGATCGTGATTATAGATGCTTGCGTGTGACCAGCCTTACGGAAGATGATCTCGGAATGTGGGGCCAGGAAGGTTCGGTGGTGTCGGCGCGTGTGGGGTCTTCGTCGCTTGCTCTATCCTTATGCTCTGCGGTATAGATGTGTTATTCTCCTTTTAAGCAGTCAAGTCAGTTTAAAGAATGGTAGCATAGGGGCGTCGGGAGGTATTTCTATGTTTCAAGATGGCTGCCTAGGACGTCTGTCCTGAGGCTTAGAGCAAGGGGTGAACGAACGGTCCTCGCACTACGGCCGCGGCTGACTTGCATGTGGAGATGAGCGACGTATGCAGGCGGAGTCAAATGTCACCTTCTTTTTTGTGGAGTGCGGTTAGGGCTGCCTTGACGCTAGGAATCGTTTCCGTTGCTTATATCTTGCTTTGGAAGCGCGATTTGCGAATTTGGCTTACAAAGACGCAAAGCACACATACTGAGAGAATTGGTAAGACAAGCCTGGAGTAATTGCTGAACGTTTTCGCGTAGAGTTTCTGTTCATCTTTCTGCGATACTCCTTCAGGCGTGCATTCGCGAGGATGCATCAGGGTCTGGGCGATCAAGGTCACACCACCCTCGCGCGAGTACGCGCGAGCCGCCGACTTCTCGCGGTAGAGGATTCTACCGGGATGCAGGAAGAGCCTTCTTGGCACAAAACAGCGCATTGGTGAGCAGTTAGTCACGACATCTTTGCTCGCAGTCACGAATCGGCGGTTTTCGCGGAGCAAGGGGTGGCTGGAGGTGTCAGCAGGAACGACCCGATGGTGATTGGTAGATGAGTGTGGCAGGGGCCCTGCGCAACCTCGCCGCAGCTTCTCTTTCTGTGACCTCGCAACGTCGACGTGGATTAGCAACACCCGTGACTCTTTTGTTCTACAACTCCTCGTTAGTCTTCTAAGGGAATACTGATCCCTTGCACTGGGTGGACAACGAGAATATTTGCATCAACCCTTGTGGTCATCGTTATAGAGTACCTAGGTATCATCATGATAAGACAATGCATGCTAATGATTCACTCAAGCTTTCACTATATTCACTGCCAAAACACTAAAGTTCATACTACAGATTTGTATTATCTTCGAGAAAAGCTCTCGGAAGCTACCTAGGTATCTCACAAAGAGATGAGATCAACTCAAACGCCAACCAGGCCACTTATCTCAGCCAACTCGAGACAAGAAGAAAACGGCGATAGTAGCACGGGCTCGTACGTCCTCATCTACAACATCGCCCTAGTCATTCTTCCGACCATTGCGATCAAAGTTAAAGAACTGGCGACCACCACCTCCTCCACCGCCTGTACGACGCGCACAGCCACCACTGCCACCGCCGTAAGACTGCTGAGGAACATAATGCTGCTGCGGTCGATACCCTTCATCCTCTAAATCCGAGTCATCTTCGTAGTAGCCCTGCGGACCAGATGGCTGTTGACGATGAGAACCTCCAAAGTCGAAAATGCGGCCTGAACGACTCCCTTGACCGTACTGTCCAGCGGCACGAGGGTCCTCATATCCGGCACCATACCGCGGGTCTTGCCCACCACCACAAGGGTGCATGTATCGCTGCTGGCCAGCACCGCCGCCCTGATAGCTAGGCCGCTCGGCAGCGCGTCCCGCTCCAGCAGTGCGTGACTGTCTGAACAAATTGTCTGCGCATGTGAGACCAGAGAACATGAGACCACGATCGCGTGGAGCGTGTTCTTGACCGCCGCCGCCGCCCATGCCACTCATAGGTCCGCCGCCACCACCACCACGGCTGCCAGCGTAGTCGCCAAAGGGCTCGTGGTGTTCCTGGTACTGTTGGCCTTCCGGGCGGGAGGAGTCGAATGTGGAGGAAAAAGAGTATCCGCCTTGACGCGGGTTGCCGCCGCCCATTCCACCGCGACCCATCATGGGAGGACCTCCCATCATTCCTCCCATACCGCCCATGGGGCCGCCGCCCATGCCACCCATTGGATTGCCGAATGAACCGCCCTTACCTCCGCCGAAGAAGTCGTCACCACCTGAGTTGCCGAAAGGATTCATATTGTTAATTGTCATAGGAGTGTAGTTGTTGGTTGTGAGTTGAGATGGTGAGTTGCGTCCATGGATGTGGAGGGCTTGGAAGTATATGAGGTTCACATGATATAGTCAGCGGGTGCTGGGTGAAAGTGTCTTGCCATTAAGTTTGGCACAGAGAGTGCACATGCTTATGTTTGCAGTGTGCGTGGATGTCGTTGGTGATGGAAAGGATGAGTCGTAGCGGGAAGAAACCGGGTAGGTTGAAGGCATAGCTTGCATAGATATAGACGACACTGCTATTATACGAAGGTCCTAGAGCATATGACTATTTCAGGCCGGTAGACATGTATTATGATCTCGCCGTCTTCCCACTCACTCATACACTCCACACCACCCACCCCAAACAAATCACCACACATCAAAGACAAAAACAAATGATGAAGCAGTCTTGTATTCACCCTCCGTCCTCCTTTACTATTCTCCATATGTAACTAAAAAAGGGTATATACATTGTCGGTTTGGTAAGTTAATGTAAAAAACGGACCAGCCTTTGAAATTCTCGCGCTTTTTGCAACCAACCTCAATCGGTTATGTACTGTTTGTTCACTGTGTGTTTGTTGTTCTTCGTGTTGCCATCGGAACGAGGCGTTTAGCTGAAGAACTTGAGGGCGCGCCTGAACCTGTTGCCGCCGCGGTTGCCTTGGCCGCCGAAGCCCTGTTGACCCTGGCCTTGACCCTGGTTTTGGCGACCGTTGCCCTGACCCTGGCCCTGACCTTGACCGCTCTGACCTTGACCTTGGTTCTGCTGGCCTTGGCCCTGGTTCTGTCCTTGACCCTGACCCTGCTGGCCCTGGCCTTGGTTGCCGCCGTTGTTGCCACCGTTGTTGCCGTTACCGGCGTTGGGGGCTTGGGTCGCATCAGGGATAAGGGCTGAGTAAAACGTTAGCACGAACTTCATGGAAGTAAAGCAAGGACGGATGAGAAAGCAACGCACCGGAAATGGCACTGGCACCCTCATTGCCACCCGCAGCACCAGCAGCCTGGTTCGCCGCGATAGCAGCAGGAAGATCCTTCTTGTTTTGCAGAATTTGTGCAGAGATACCCTCAAGTGTCTGAGCAGTGTCGACAGCTAGTGGCAGTGAGTATGGATACAGGATAGGGCAGACGCTTCGTGATGATAATGGAAAATGTGGAACTTACCGGAGGCAGCCTCATCGGTACGGCCTTGACCGTCAGTTTGCTGGACGGCGAAGCATCCACCAAAGGGACCGGCAATAGCGTTGTTGCGGCATCGGATAGTGCAGATGTTTCCAGTGGAAGCACCGAGGCAGTTGAAGTTGTCAGGCATCTGGACGTTGATGACAAAGTCCTTTTCCTTGGCCTGGGAGAGACCGAAAGAACCGGGGATGTTGTTGGACACCTTCAGGGGAGTGAAGGTGGTGACGGCGTTGCTAGTCTCGTCCATGTCGCACTCGAATGGGCCGGCACCATCAGCGTTGACCTGATGAATGGTGACAGCCAGCATGGAGCCGCCAGAGACTTGGGCCATACGACCCGCAGCAAGCTCGTTCTCGGTCTGCTCGCCGATGTCGATGTTACCAGCGATCTCAGTCCTTCCGCAGGCGTTGACAATGTTCTGCTTGATCTCCTCGTCACGGATGATGGTAGCATCCTGCTGGCAAGGAGAGATGGTGGTGCAGTTGCGAGCGATAGCAGGGTCAACCAGGAAACCTTGACTCTCACCAGAGTCTCCAACTGCGGCCAAGATAGCTGCGTGCGAGTGCACGGTGGTGAAGAGAGCGGCAAGCGCAACGGAAGAGGCAGCGAAGTACATAGTGATTGGAGTTAAAATAAAGTTGGCGCTCAGCGCTGAGAATAGAATGGAATGTGGAGTAAAGAAGGACTAGCGTCGAGCTGTGAAGAAGTGAAGACCGTTGATGGAGATAGATTGCAAGCAGTGGAACGGATGGTAATCTATATACCGTCCTCCATGACCAGTCGAACCACCACATCGTGAAATCCCTTACTCGACAACCATGGTGGTGTCCACTTGCATGAGACGTGCTTCGGTATAGGTCAAGGGTTTGGTGTATGCTCGTGCTGGCCTAGGCGCCTGAGTAAAGGCTTGGCAATGAAAGAGTGGAGTGCGGAATGCCGCCAAGTAAGGAATAAGCACCCTGGGTAGACTTCGCAGGAGCTTGTAGTGCCTCCTTGACGGGAACACCTAGCCTGTCATGGATGTAGAGGCGCTGTGGTGAGGCTGCTCCACAGGCTTCAAACTTCGAGAACCTGGACCACATCATGCCCTCCGTCACTTAGCGCTCATTGAACCAACAATTCAGCCTCCGTTTTGCCGTAGTACGCTAGCGATGAGGCGTGGGAGGTTTCGACGACCGTAAAGTCAAGTTTCGAATCAGAACGTCGCACGCCACATGCAAACACGACGGCTTGGCGCAGTGCCATGCCGTATGTCCGGCTCAATTCCGGAAACTATGCTCGTGCGAAGGAACAGCAGATGGTGAGTGGTGCTCCCATGGAATGCGAAGAGCCTCGGGATGTTGGTGTTTCGAGATCAGGCGCCCGTTAAAGTGGATCTTCCCGTTACATGCCTGTGGGGCCACCCGTTGGAGCAGGAACGCCGCGCTTTCGGCAGATAGGCTCACAGTCTCTCGCGTAGAGTCGCCTCTTGGTCGCGGTCGACAATGCCTAAGCAAAGGGGCTCGATGTCGCGATGGCGCAGACGCAGGAACCGCACCTGTCATCTCCGCACTCCTGAGGCATTCCTGTCGCGCATCATGCCGGACTTCCGGACTCAACGATGCAGCGAGCAGTGACGTGAGCGACCATACCGTGGAGGCGACGGTTGTTAGCATGCGTTTTTCTTCGTTGGCATTGCTTTCATTCTCCTGAAGTGTTGCACCTTCTCTTCAAAGCTAGGTTTGGGTGCAGCGATGACAATCCTGCAGGTCTGACACCTTCACCATGCAGCAAGTCCACTCTCGTGATAGGATTTGGAGGAACTGCTACAAGCATCGTCAAGCTTGAGATTGCGCTTTGTCTGTAATCAATAAGTCTAGATCGGGAGCATCTTTTGTGTCAAGTGTTGTGGCTTCGGATGCCCTTTCGTCTGACCAAGTGACAGACTCAATAGAGTGAGACTAGAGGGCATAGCTTGTCGCCGCGGATAACAGATTCCTGCGTGTTCGATGGCAAGTATCATTGACACATTCCAGTGCGAGCCTTTCCAATGTTTTCTTGGAACGAGAAGATGTTCCAAGAATCATGAACAGCAGTGTCTGTCATTGAGATGTGCTGCCGTCAGTACAAATCGAATAGCTAGTATCTGATCATGTCCCAGTTGGAGATAGCATAAACCACGATGAGGTCTTAGAGAAATTCTGAGCGAAGCCTGGTGCCATTGCGACAAGCAGTGAAAAGGTCGTGTAATAGAGATGGTTGACTTGTAGCAGTCAATCGTTCTTCCCCGCGGCGGCGAGTCCTTGTCTAATCGCCGAACAATCGCCGGCAGCCTTACAGCAATCAGACCACTTTCATCATCCATCGCTCAGAAAACTTGTGAGCTGTCGCAAAGCCGCCACAAGCTTCCCAACACACCAATTCCCCTCTCAGAACAACTATCCGTAGCCCATAATGAACACAGTAAGCTCCACGCGTACTTCCAACCCCATCATCAGCACTAATAGTCAAACAGGTCAAATCAGTATAGTACGTCACACCTCTCGCAGACACTCACATGCCCGCCCCATACGTGCCAAACCCCAACACCATCCCACCAATAGCTCCAATGCACCTACCCTAACCACTCCTACAGCTACGGCTGGGCGACCCTAATAGTAGCGGGCGGTGGCGCCTACTTCTTCGCCAAACGCAGCATAAACGCGGACCGCGCCGCAAAAGCCGAAGCCGACCGCCAAAAACGCATCCGCCTCTATGAACTCGAGCACGGCTTGCAAAACTCCGCTCCTACCACCACACCGCTGAATCCAACTGCGAGACCAGGAACTACACAGGCGGCGCCGCAGAGCGTGACGAGCGAGGTGGGCAGGCTGAGAGCAGAGGGAGGAGGTAATGGCGGCATGGGGGGTGAGGGAAATCCAAGTATGCAGGCTAGTCAGGATCCGGCGCCGACGAGACATGCGCCCGAGAGTGAGGGGCAGAGGGTGGGCGAGAAGAGCAAGTATGAGGCTCCTGAGGTGTATCGAAGTCGGAAGGGGGATCGCTTCTCATGAGGCATGACACAAGAGGATGCTATGAGGATTGACGGTACAGCAGAAGAATGAATCACATACTGGAGTGAGTTCATATATAAATGAGGCATCGATGGCGTTATGGCATGGAAGATTCCACTCCTTGTATTATCGTACACCAGCATGTTGGCGACTCCAATGCGCCAGCTCCAAGCTATGCTAAATTAAATAAATCATACAAAACGCCCACGCGATATAACAGGGTATAAAGCGATATGTTGCCGTCCAACGTCTCTGTTCATCATACACTATGAGGGTTACTGCGCAAACATGCCGCTCCTGCTGTCTCTCCGCTTCTCGTACAGCCACTTGCTGTTCAGTCCGACGCTCGCTTTGCCAGTAGAGGGCGTAGGAGTGCCCGGTGTACTGCTTGTGCTGTCACCAAACAAGCTACTGCTCATAGAATTGCCACCATAGCTCAGTCTCTTCGTCGCAGAAGACCCGCTGAGTGATCTCTGGAAGTTGCCTCCATTGTTTGGTGAGAAAGGCGAGCCTGAGCCAGACCTTCCGAAACTCGGTGACCCCGAGCCGTATTCCTGATTGCTGAAGCTGTTACTGCGCGGTGTTGATCGCTGGTATCGGGGAGGCGTGACGTAGTTGGGCGATGCGAATGCGGAGCCTGGGGATTGAGGCACTTGGACGCCAGCCTTCAAGCCCATGGAGGCGCGCTGCGAAGGGGTGAGAGGTATGTCGGCAATCTCGTCGGGGTAGTAGCGACGGATAAGAGGGAGGAACGCGATGACGATGTTTGCGGTGAATACGATGCGGACGAGGAGGACGGCCCATGCGCTGTAGGGAACAGCTTTTACAACAGCGTTGATCGGTGTTCTGTTGGATATTAGCATGATCCACAATGACATTTTGTGAGGAACATACGCAGCGTATTCCAACAACTTTACCTTCTCAGTAACCCTAGTACCATATACTGAGAGAAACAGGAAGCCTGCATTCAAGACGATGGCCCTGACGTTGCGCTCATCAAACGTGGTAGCGTACTGGCGGCGCGCAATCTCGTCAAACTTGGGATGTCGCCAGGAACCATTGGGCGTGTATGGCTGTTCTGTCTGGGCAGATGGTGTCGCGGCCTTTTGCGGAGTTGCAGGCTGCGCGTACCGGGCTACCGACATGTTGTGTGAAGCTTTTAGCTACTCGCGTTGATTGTTTGTTTGGCCGAAAGGGAGTCGCAAGAGATGGGCTGGCTCACGTGTCGGGCTACACTTTCACTGCTGCTGCTGGGTTAGTAGTTAGTCTCGGATAGGGTCGCGCGGCTACAGGCACATTCTGTCTGCCAAAGGGTGCCGTGATGGTGAAGGTCAGAGTGGTTGTACAGCAACCATGTTTTGGCAAGGGCGATCGGAGGACGGACATGTGGGCCGACAGGGGTCCCTTCACTAGCGGACCAATTCACCCCCGCCGTCATCCCGCGGCTGCCAGCGAAACCTCCTGCTTGCGCGTCGCTGCCTTTCACCTCCATTTCACTCATGCGACTTCAGCCATGGCGGGAACTCTAGAGCAGCTTGATCAGAGCATCGGCGAAATCCTCGCAGGCTGGAACGTCGTCAGCACCCTCATCGCCTTCACCATTGTCGGCTTCCTGGCCTGGATCATCTATGACAGCGCCGATGCCGACACACACCCGCTGCTACTCGCAAGACAGGCGGTAGCTTCATATGTGAGGCAGCCCGGAGAGTCTGCTGTCTTCCGCTCCCCCGAAACTCCTCATGGCTGTATGAACGCCCCACCATATATTTGCAGTAATCGCGACTGACATCCGCCAGACCCTCTTCGTACCGGACTTGCCGTACGGCCCCCGGGCGCTCCCATGTACTCGGCCGGCAAAGATGGAGATCTTCGGGATATCTGGCGACGTGTCACAGGCGAGATCCCTCTCGAGAAGGGCGCAAAGTCTAGCGGCACTGCAAACATCATGACGGTCTTTGGAAAGGAAGGCGTCACCGAGCACAGGGTGGAAGACGTTACCAAGGAGATTGCTATCCTCGGAAAACATCTACAAGATCGTGGTGCTAAGAGAGTGGCCATCTACCTCCCCAACAGTCTCGAGTTTCTCTCTGCACTCTTTGCGGGCGCCTTCTTCGACTTCACACCTATTTTGATCCCATACAACCAGCCACACGAGACCCTTGCCGAACTCCTCCTCCAAACGAAAGCTGATGCCTTGATCGCCGAGGCGGGCTCTGTTCCCCTTGCCGAACTCAGCCAGGGCGTGTCCGGCCTGCGCTCCATCGTCTGGACTGTAGAGAAGACAAGCAGGCACATGGACTGGAGCGAGGTACCCGAGGGCATTGGCGGAAAGATTGACGTTGCTGTTTGGCACGAGCTTGTACAGGAACAGAAGAGTGTCGCTATACCACTGCCGTCGACTACCGGCAAGCCTCGTAACGTTGTCTTCCTCTGGCAAGAAGCCGTTGGAAAGCCGGCAGAGATTGTTGAATTCACGCAACAGGTACCTAAACCCACCATGTTGGCATATGCACCTACTGATAGGAACAGAATCTGACCGCCGCCGTTGGTGCACTCGTCACGTCCCTTCCTGCCGCCCACCGTCTAAATGCCTCGGATACGTTCCTCCCCGCAGATGCCTTTACACATTCCTACTGTCTGTGCCTGACGCTGGTTGCTCTGTTCTCTCACGCGACAGTTGTCATCCAGTCCGTTGCCGGTCCGGGTGTCGATTTGGAACTGGCTACACGCTCCATCGCTCCTACTGTCACAGTGGTTTCAGCCGAAACAGCTGCAAAGCTCCACAGCTCCACGAAGACATCGGTAACGGGTGGCCCTCAGAAGCTGGCACATTACCTCGAGACGCGCATGTTGACTGCTGGCCGCCTGCCTACCGACAATCTCCTCACAAAGCTCAATGCGCCCAAGAGGGCGGCTGTCGGCACAACACCTGGAAAGCTGCGCTTGGTCTTTGTGTCTGAACGACAAGGCCTGAACACGCCACCACTTAGCTCAGAGGACCTCTCCGATCTACGTATCTTCACCAAAGCGCGTGTCGTATACGCTTTGACCACAGCCAAGGTAGCGGGAGCCGTTGCGCAAACCAACATCTACGACTACCGGAGAGAGACCGCATCGAACAAGCACAGCCACTTTGGTGTGCCCCTCAGCTGCGTGGAGATCAAGTTGAAAGATACACCACATCTCAAGACAACAGACGAGCAGACCGCAGGCGAGCTAGTCGTCACTGGCTCATCGGTTGTGGGTGGTGAGGTCCACCTAGGCGTGAATGCAACCATCCGAGATGACCATACTCTGTCGTATGTATAGTTAGCGCATTGAGCAAAACGCGATGAACTTGAACGTATTTGCCTTCACGAAGCTTCTTCCAAATGACCCCCATCCAATCTGCAGCTCAAAACTCTTGACATTCGCTCAGTTCAACGACATTTCTCGTGTGCATGAGATTACGCGACTGACACAGGAATCCAGGCCAGCTTGTGCAGTAGTCGGCAACGACGTGCATGCGCCCCAAGTACCGAGACATGCAATGGTTTCCCCGTCCTTCACAAACCTCTTCGAACGCTTGCACCCTTAGCAGGTGCTACGATACACTGTGTCACTCTCTTCGTATTAATTAGAACCGTCAGGTATATGTGTATCTGTGGAGGAGACATCGTACCTATCGCGTCGCGTGGGGATCATCTCTCTGGGGTAATTTCAGCCGAAGCGCCACCGAGCGGCGTCTTCGCTAAGACCGAACCGACTGGGGTGCTTATCTGCACCTGCACGACCGTCGAATGAAAGCCGGCCCATCTGGCAACGGTCGCATTTCCCCAAGGACCGAGACCTTGGGTTCAGCCGCTAACCATCATGACAAGCTGTGTGAGTGGTTGTTTGTTGAGCAAAAGGCTGCGAGAAAAGGCTCAAGGCGTTCGTCTAGTCCAAGTCATCTCTAGGAAGGCTGAGTCTCGGTTCTTGTCTAAACGAAGTGTTGACATGGTCGGCTCGTGGCGCTTATCTTATCGTCGTCTTGCCAGAGATATAGACGTAACGTCAATCCTGGGCGCCCGCTGTTCGGAGATCTGCACTGAGACTGTGCGTGCTGCTAGAAGATAAAGAGGCGCGTGTGTCCGTCGCGCGGAAAGACTATCAAGGATAAACGGTCCTCCCATCTTTACAGCCCTTCCACGTTCTTGGTGGTTTGCACGGTAGGCTTCAGGATGCCGTTGATCGAGAAACCGCATTGGACGCTCAGGGTTGAGCAACCCAAGAGCACATTTGCGGAAGGCAATTCGCGATGGTAGGTTCGCATTCAGGCGGAGATGCGCGACGATGGAGTTCTTGTACTGATTGATGGTATGCAGGACAAACAAAGATCTTGACCCTGTTCCGAGGCATGGTAGGAAGTGGGGTGTGACGAGCTTCATCTCGTATTGGGTGTCGGATGCATTCAAGTACGTTTTCATCAACTCTTTCGAAATCAACGAAGTAAGAGATGCTAACATCAATTCAGCGCCGCAACATGGCAATTCGCATCCAGTATCATCGCAATCGGTACATCTACCATTTTCCTAACAAAATCAATCTGAATCAACTAACACCACCACCAGGACTCACCTGGCGCGAATCCCTCGGCATAGTCGCCCTGGCCTTCTTCATAATCTCCTTCGTCATCGCCCTAAACGGCGCAATCGGCGTCCTCCACCACGTGCCCTTCCCCGTCATCGCACGCGCCTCCTGGGGTTTCTGGGGCTCCTACATCGCCATCGTATCGCGCGCTATCCTCGCCATCTTCTGGTTCGCCATCCAAAACATGAACGGCGCGAATTCCGTGCGCGTCATGATCGGCGCCATCTGGCCCTCTTTCCTCACACTGGAGAACGGTATCCCCGCGAGTCAAGGAATCGATACAGCGACCATGATCAGTTTCTTCATCTTCTGGCTAGGCAGTGTACCGTTTTTGATTATGCATCCTAATGAGTTGAGGTGGCTGTTCATGGCTAAGAGTATCATTGTGCCGATTGCGTGGATTGCGATTTTGATCTGGGCGTTTGTGAGTACGGATGGTGGTGGCGAAATGTGGAATCAGAAGGCTACGTTGACGGGGAGTGCGTATTCGTGGGGGTTCTTGTCGAGTCTTACGAGTGTGATTGGGAATTATGCTACGTTGTCTGTGAACCAGGTAAGTTCTCTCAACCCTCCATGCATTCCGTTGGGAACTCCGCCTGGAGATCGATTAACATGCTAATGATAACCACAGTCCGACTTCTCCCGCTACTCCCGCGTCTCCGTCAAATGGCAATGCATCTACGTGCCCTTCCTGCCCATAGTCTTCACCTTCATCGCCTTCATCGGCGTAGCCGCCACCTCGGCCGGCGCCGTCAAATACGGCACGCTGGACTGGGACCCCATGGCCCTCATCGCCCACTGGGACAACCGCGCCGCCCGTTTCTTCGCCGCCTTCTCCTTCGCCCTCGCCGCCCTCGGTGTTAACATCTCCGCAAACTCGCTCTCCGCTGCAAACGACCTAACCGCCCTCTTTCCCCGCTACATCAACATCCGCCGCGGCCAGCTTCTCTGCGCAGTACTCTGCTGGGCGCTTGTTCCGTGGAAGATTCTTGCTTCGGCGGGTAGTTTCCTCAACTTCATGGCTGCTTATGCGATTTTCCTGGGTCCGATTGCAGCGATTATGGTTGTGGACTTTTGGGTTGTACATCGTGCTAAGTACGATACGTTGGCGTTGTACCAGTACCATGGTATTTACCGGTATACCGCCGGTTGCAACTGGCGTGCTATTGTCGCTTTCGTCGTTGGTGTTGCACCAAATATGCCGGGGTTCATCCAATCTATTAATCCGGCTATTGATGCGGGTGTCGGTGCTAGGCCGTACAGCTTTGGTTGGTTACTAGGATTTACTGCGACAGCGCTGGTGTATGCGTTGTTGGAGATGGTTGTTGCGCCGCCAAAGGAGACTTTCATCGAGAGGGCGGTATATCCGGATGAGATTTATGATGAAGCGGGTGTGGTAGATGAGGGTATCAGTGTGGGGAGTGGAGAGGAAGGAAGGGCGGAGAAGATGGGGTGGAAGGCGAAGATGACTCGGATGTTGTAAATGTCAGCACGAGTTCTTCAAGATGCAGGGATAGGGAGCTTATGTCTGATTCATACAGACACATGTAGGAGTTGTGAGATACATACTGTCGATCTTCTATACGTTCCCTTCTCCAGGCAGATGCAAAGTGAGCTCAAGTCGACATGCAAATGTCCTTAGTGGATTATAACGAGAATATGTAAAGGGAAAGAGCGTTACTTCGTCTACGACATTACACTGATTTGATCATGTATGTCATGGTATAAAAAGATTTTCCGACCAAGAGATTCAGGAGATGGACCTTTCAAATCTTCCTCCTACATCTTCTCACAACCCCACAACAACCCCCAAACCCAAGCCCACGAGTGCGACCAAGCTCCCCGTCCCCACCGTCAACCTTCCCTGCGCTCCATTCCCCGCATCCCCGTTCTGACTCACACTCCCACCCGCACTCGCAGCATTGACCTGCAACCCATACGCCGTCGTCGTAACCAGTGACCCACTAACCGTCGTAGTAACAACACTTGTCGCTGTCGTACTAGCTTCACATCCGCTCCAGCTGGTCCAGGGTGCAGAGCTACTCCAGGGTCCTGCCGTCCAGCCAGGCCAGTCAGAGGGCGGACACGCACTGCCGTCCCACCATGCGGTCCAAGGGCCGGATCGCCAGTCTGAACGCGTGGACCAGTCGCTGTAGGGGCCGAAGTTGGAGGGGCCGAAGGGGGCTGGGCCGGAAGGTCCTATGGGTAGGGGATTAGTATGTGATTTGGGTTGCTTTGTGGAGAGAGTGTGAGGGAGGGATTGGAATGGAGGGTATTTACCTCCCCAGTGTCTTCCGGGTCCTCCTGGACCATGGGGTCCGCCTGGTCCCCAGGGTCCTTGGCCCGGTCCGTAACTACCGGTTGGCCAGGGTGCGGCGGTTAGGGTCGATGGGATCTTTCCGGCTGAAAGGAGTGATTCATAGATTGAAGACCATTTTCCTGGGTCGGAGGATGCCCATGGTGGACCGGAGCCATACCATGGGTCAGTTGATGTAGGAGCTGGTGTGATGCTTTGACCGAGGATAGGCGCGATGAGCGCTGTGATGGCTGCTAAGGTGAACTTCATGGTAGTAGTCTTGGCGTCGTAGTGTTTGTTTCTGTGTCTGGAAAAACGGTGCTGTTATGCCGTGTAGATGTAGCAGTCAGAGTATGTAGTGACTGACTTCGTGCAACGATACCCAAGGCTGTCAGTGTCGTGCCTGTGTATTCAAAACTGCAGAACAGCGTTTCCCACACGCGACACCGCAGCATACAAATACCCTTAGACACGACACACGCGGCCCACTCGTTCATTGGACGCCATCATAGCTTACCTACTACTCCGTCATAGAATCGCGTCCGGAGGGGGCCCGCAAGGCTCAGCTGAGGTTAGTCCACCTACGCAGGCCAGCAAAGAAGCGTAGCATCAGAGATGACAAGCAACAACGCTTACAAGCTGACGCGTCCGAGAGCGTATGCGTATATAGTCTCGGCAGCCGGACGGGTTACGCGAGAAGCGTCATTGGCATGGTGGTGATGCAGGGTCAGACTTTCAGCCTTATGGCATGCCGCGGTGGAGTACCCAAACAGGCGATCAAAGCTTGACGATGAACTGCATTGGTCGAACATGGACAGGGCAACAGGTGATTGGGCAGATGGTATATCGAAATATGGGCTTGTGACTATAAACAGAAGGGCCGCGTGAGATGTGCTGCAGCATGCTTTTTCGGAGAATGAGGTGGGGAGAAAACGCGGAGAAACGTGCTGTGGTATCACCGCGCATGCATATGTCGGTTGTTGGAATTGCGTGCGTCCTTTGCATGATCAAAGGTCGAGCTGAGAGTAGGATCGCTCGATAGAATCCGGGAGCTGCGGCCGTCATGGTCATTGCGCGTTCAATCTGGCAGTGAAATGTCGCAAGTTGAGGTTGAGTCGAGAGAACTACACCCAAACGTATGATGCTGAGACCCCACTGTCGATCATCGGCGGAGACGGATGCGCGAGCACCGACGAGACGCTCACTCTGACACCACCATCGCTACGCTATTACGCTCGAGTATGAGTTGTGTGCGACAGTGTACGCGTCCCGTTGATATTGGAAATGAGTAATACATTATATCTTGGTGCTGACTAACTCTTTGTTGCCTGCATGACTATCCTGCACGCTAACTTTCGGACATAATCTTGTAATGATAAGGTCGCTTTCATCTCATACCGAGACAAGCCTCACAATTGATAGAGGTGAAAGTTAGGAGGGTAAGCAGTTCCAGAGGTCGCAATCATAACAAGGCGGACCGCGCATGCACGGCTACACTGCATAGAGGCATGTCGTTCTGTGTCGCATTTGGAGTATGGTAATAGCGAGTCGTGTGCGTGCATGCCAGGCACAACACGTTGACGAATGCGCCAAGTGCATTAGTACTTCTTCAGATCTTGCGAATCCTCACTCATAGTCAGATGCCACCGTGTCTCCTTCATGAGACGCATTCAACGATGCAGTATACATGAACAGCATGTTTCATAGTTGTATTGGTATATTCATCGCCAGCACTCTTAGCTCCACCTAGTTCACATCGGGTAACCGCACAGCGATGTCGCCTGACTGTGTAATGTATCGTACCCAAGGTAGCGATGGGTATTGCAACTGCACTTATGTTAGTCACTGCCTCTTTGAGCATGTGATAGTTTATCCTTACCTTTGGCTCGATGATCTTCAGATACCGCACTTGGATACCTGATGTGGTGAAGTATGGAATCTCGAACTTGACGTTGATGGGCCTCTTGGCCTTTCCGCCGCCAACACCACCCATGCTACCACCGAAGCCTCCCATCATGCCACCACCCTTCTCGTCATCACCGCGCACCGATGGCAGACCAAGTTCGGCGCGCATGAGGAACTCCTTGCCGCCACCGAACTGCTTGATCTTCCACACTATGGAGGATGTCTCAGGCGCGTAGTGTACTGTGCCGATGTTCGTTCGGAAGCGAGGTGTGTCTGCGTCTTCGGGGACCGGAATCGAGATCTGGACGTTATTGGCGGTGCTTCGTCGCTTAAACTGCGCTCGTGCCTACAGAGTGTCAGTTTGTTAAACCCAGTGTCCCAGAGACGTGTCTACCTTCAGCATGTACTCGATCCTGCTGCCTGAATGGCTCTCGACTATGCACTCTACCCAGATGAGAGGCTTGACTTGTGTGTTCAGACGGTAGCTCATCAGCTCGAACTCGCCATCTGGTGGGATGAAGCTGATGGTCCTGTCGTTCTCAAATCTTGATAATCGTACGCACTGGTGGAACTTGACATCCTCCATCTCAACGGCCTTTCCTCGTGTAGCCCTTCCAGTGGTCTCGAACATTGCCTTATCGTTAAGACCGAGTCGCAACTCAGGCATACCCGACAGGTAGCACTTCATCTTGACAGCACCCAGAATCTCCGATCGTAGCACGCTGCCGGTCGCGGAAACGAGGAGGTTGAGCGATTCGATGACATCGAGGAAGACTTCGTTCTTGCGGTATCGGATTCCTTCACTTCGCCAGCTGACGGCATTTGTGACTGCGATGGGTGGACGTGCGATTTCGAGTTTGTGCGACTCTTGTGTGATGTACCTGCAGAGTTGTCGTTAGTATAGAACCATTTGATAGATCCTGTGTAAGGCGTACTCTTGCAATATCTTGGTCTCGGTGGTTTGTGGGTAGCCAAAGTCCATCATCTCATCCAGCAGCTCGTAGATAACCACAAAGTTGTCCCTTATGCTCTCCTCTTCGAGCTCTTTGAAGTATTCTGTAAAGACTTCGACGATCTTATGGAGGAACAGGAGAATCTCGGCCGCATTGGTGTTCCGCTTGGTAAGTGCGAGGAGGTAGAGGTTGTTGTGGCGGATGTAGAGGTAGTTGATGCCTTCGCTGGAGAAGCATGGTGGGACTGCCGAGCTCTCGTCTTCGGCCTCGCTCAGTAGGATGGGGAATTTCTCGACGGCTGACATGGGGATGTCACCGCGGTAGTTGCGCGCCAGAAGGGTCTATGCGATGGTCAATAGGTAGCCCTTGCAGAGGCCTGACCGCCATACCTTGCCCTTCAGGTCGAGAAAAAACACCGCCGACGCCATGGTGAGGGAACGTGAGTGATTTAGAGAAGAGAAGAAGAAGAATCAGCTATCGGGTCATGGTGCGCAAGGAAAGGGCGATCGAGGGGTATATGTGCTATGTCCTGGTCGCGTCTCGGTGATGCCAGAGCAATTGCGGCTCTTCCCGCGCGCCAAGACCCCTCAACGCCCTAGGGCCCTACAATCTCAACGCTCGTACTGATGCCTGTGTACCTTCAATCTTGTGTACCCCATCTGCCCTTGATCCACAGATCCGCCCTCACATGCCGACGAACTGCGGTTACCGTTTGTTCATACATGGTCACACTGTAGCAAGCCGCCTTATCTGAGACACACTACGCCCTGCATTAGCGAATATCAGGCAGCACATTCGCCGTCCCTTGGGCTCAACGTCTGCTCCGCCATCGGACTGCAGCTCCATGCCATCATAATGTCGCTTTGCTATCTTTGTAGCGGCCTGAGTTTCTCGAATCTTTACCCCCCAAACTTCTATCGCCATGCCGATAACCTGGCTGCACTGGAAGCGTCGGTCACAGACTGTCGCCTGTGTAGGATGTTGCACGGTTGCATCAATGACCCCAATGAAAATTCAATGCAGCCAGAGCTACATTTCGAAGGCGCCACTGAGGTATGCACCACCTCCCACGAAGATCGCGAAGGAAGTTCTGTGAAGTTGCAAATCGTCCCCGGAAGTATGTATCCATGGCAGCCGGAGATGAACGGCGCTTCATATGTAGGTATCTGGATAAAGTCGAAATGGATGGTAGCTGGCATGGCGCTGTCGGTTGAGGAAGGTACTAAAGCACGCCGTCCTATATTCATCATCTAATCACCTTCCCTAGGTGACGAGTTAGGCTCAGAGCCCATCTTGCCCGGTAAAGAATACTCCTTCATTTCGGGTCGTGTTCAACTGAACGACTTGCCTTCCCAGGCGTATTTCGATGTCATCAAGCGCTGGTTGGCCAACTGTGAGGCCAACCACAGAATGTGTGATAATGATATTCCAGAGTTGCCAAAGCGAGTGATATACGTGGCCGAAGAGGGCAAAAGCCCATATCTTGTACGAGGAGAGGGTACATACGCTCGCTATGCGGCACTGAGTCATTGCTGGGGCCGTTCAAGAGAAGGAATGACTACGACCGAGAATCTGGAAGCACATATGCGTTCCATAGACTGGGCTACGCTTCCGAAGACGTTCAAGGACGCCATAATTACCTGCCGTCAACTTGGTGTGAAGTATATATTTATCGATAGGCTGTGTATCGTGCAGGATTCGAAAATTGACTGGGAAGAGCAGTCGGCGCTCATGGGCTCGATCTATCATGATAGCACCCTCACCCTGGCAGCATCGGTCTCCAATGACTCTTCAACCGGAATTTTTGTCCCGTTATATCCTTCTGAGAACTTCAGGAACGATGTTGTCATACTACCACCATCATTTGGGAACTGCAAAGGTCAAGCTTTCCTCACTGCCCTCACTTTCGTCCAAGGATGCGTGCGCCTGGCACTAGACAAGGCGAGTTTCAACATTTTGAATACAAGAGCATGGGTAATGCAGGAGAGGTACTTGTCCCGAAGGACACTATGTTTCCTTGAACGCGAGGCGATTTGGTGCTGCTGTGAAATTATACAAGATCAGAACGGCCAAGTCATGAGCCCGGGAATCACCACCCTGAACTTACGAACGGGACTGAAAGCACTGGCCAGGGCCTATGAGAGACCCTGGCTACTTGAGGGATCAGAAGATGAGAATGATGAGAGAGCTCAAATATGCTCGAAAGAAGGTTTCGTCTGCACTGTCAATCAGGAGGATACTGTTGACGAAGATTCCCGTCTTGATCCATCGAAGCCACTGCCTATTCTAGTCCATGTTACTCAGGACGGAAAGCTCGGCCATCTCCTCGATCTACGCGCGCCTCCATATCGCACTCCCACTCCACCGACTCTCATCCGACCAAGCGACGAACCTGCTTTCTACAGGTTCCTCGTAAGCATCATCCGGTCTACAGTAAACAACCTCTGGTACTCCACAGTAGACGAGTACAGCATGCGCCAGCTTACGGTCCCGTCAGACAAGCTTCCAGCCATGGCAGGCATAGCATCACGCGTACAGGCCATTACACACGATGACTATCTCGCGGGTCACTGGCGCAGAGGGATCGAGCGCTCGCTGTTCTGGAACGCCAACACAACGCATCCATGCGAGCATCCTGCGAGAGCACTAAGATATCGAGCGCCTTCCTGGAGCTGGGCAAGCATTGATGGGAACATAAGTTCGCCCTCTCTTATTTTAACTTCTGATGAGGTCATGCCCCCGTCTGTCCAGATGATTGAAGCGAGCACTCAAATCGATGGCAAAAATCCTTTTGGATCCGTGAGCGACGCGAGGCTCATCATCAAAGCTTGCTGCATAAAAGCCTGCTGGAATGCTGAACTTGCAATGTTCCGGTTGGCGGGCTGCTTTGAGGCCCAAACACCTGTACTGGGTGTGGGCAAATTACAACTCACCAGTTCGAATAGTCTTGACGGCACGTCAGTTGGGTACTGGTTCTACGACGACCGAAAGCATGGTGTACTGCCCGGCCCGCCTCTTGGTAGTTCTCCTTCGGAAGAAGAGTTGGACAGTAGATTGACGTGCCGGTTTGCGATGGATGCTGCCATAACTGATGGTTTCTATGATGACTTTACGAAACTTCCGGTACCGGAGAGAGTCAGCTATATCCCGGAGGAAGTCACCTTCGTCAAGGGATGTACTAGTAAGTCAGGAGAACGCTCCTACATCAAGGTTTTGGTCTTGGCGGCAGCCGAGACCGGAAAGGGTGTGTTTAGAAGGATTGGCCAAGGTACGCTGTACAGTTGGAATGAAGAGGTGGAGAGTGTAGAGGTCTTGACTATCGTCTGAGCGGACGTTTTCACTGCTTCGTCGTAATAGGTATTTTGCTACCTGGTTAAAGTCTCCACTACTCCAGGCGTATGACTGAGGATACTAACTGGAATACCACATTCCTCATCCATATTGGACTGAAGACATTAGAGCTACAGTGAATGCCTTCAATGCAGTTCTTGAAGCCTTTCACGCTGTCAAGGGAATTGTCTGGACTAGCTACTCAACCAAAGACGCTCTCGATGGCCGACTTGGTCAATGCAATGACTATGCCTCATTTAGCGACTTATTTTTAACGAGTGTCGTCTTCACAGAAAGTCGCTAGACGAACACGACACTAGCATGCGTCAAATACGAGAGGAATCTGGTGTCCCAGTGGGATTCGATCTCACCGAAGAACTGCAGCAGATTGAGATAGCCTATGACCAGCAACGCGACGAAATCGAAGAAGCGTTTTCGGAAGCGCTAGAGATGGAATGGGTGGGCCCGATGGTTCCTATCACTGATGTATCCACAGAGACAGAGAACCCGGAAGGTATAGACTGCTTAGTTTGTCGGTCTGACATTTGCTGCTCTCCCGAAGTACTGACTGTTCCTTGCCAACATGCCTATCATAAGGAGTGTCTGGAACATTGGAGTCACGCTGCGCAAGGGGCTAGCCATACTTGCCCCTACTGTCGCACTGAGTTGTTTCCCGAACCTGAGTATCGGCCAAAGCATATCGAACTTGTACATGACTACGAGAGAGAGCTTGACGACATTGAGGACCGAATGTACTCGCACTCTTGGATACAGAAGTCGGCGGATTGGTTTGGGGATGAGCTGGCGATGCAGAGGGGGTACGAAAGGTCAGAGACGGAGAAGTTAGACTGACAGCGGCTTCGAAGTGGAATACTGGGACTTCTTGCTTTGTGAAGTCCGGGGAAGAGGTAGCTTCACCAGTAATACTTTTGGCGCATAAATAGGTAGTCGATTTTAACATTAGTATATTGACTATGAAATTGATGTCTCGTAAAACATAGGATGCACTTGAACTTTGCGACGTCAAGGATGAGAGGCACGTTCGTCAAGACTGACCAGGTGACTAGCTGCCACCGATCACCTCAGCATACCATGATGGCTACCTAGGCAGCATGATTTATGGCAATTTTCTCACCTAATTATCTGCGCGTGTAGTCTGGATATTCTTCCAACTCGCAGTAGGCACCAATCACGTGCGGGGTGTGAACGGGCTGCCCCACTCACTCCGTCCTCGTGGTAGAGCAAACACGTGAAGCTGGTACCTTCCATTTCCGCCCTTTCTACTCCATCCCACTCTCAAGATACCGCGACGTTGCAAAATCAACAACGATCTCTGCGAGCTCGCGCAATAATGTCCGCCGAAGCTCAGGATTTGGTTCCGTCAACAAACCATGCGCCGGCAAGCGCCGCAGGTGTGTAACTGACCTGCATGCCCTCGATCGATACGGACATCATTCAGGCCGGGCCTCTTCGCCTTGAGATTTTCTGCTAACGATGGCAGTATATCGGCGTGTGCGTACACACTTACGTAGCCTACGAGACTTGCGCAAGTTCGGCTATAGGTACAAAAACCCCAAAGACGTACTTTCCATGACGCCCGCAGAACTTCGGAAGCTAGAACAGCAGCACTTTCCAAGTCCAGCAAACACCTCTCGTCTCGCAGACCTGAGCGATGAAGAGACTGACCAACAAGCCGATGCCGCGCGGCGGTGGCTACTGGGTATGCTCGACTGCCATGACAAAGTGATGACCCGGGAACACGAAATAAGAATGTTCAGATTCGCCGTGGAGAAGCAAATGGAAGAACGAGAGAGTGATTGGACTGATCTGGAACGACTTTACATGGCACTCGCAAACAGCAATCTCGCATCGCCGCAAGAGCGATTGCAGGCGGCTTTCGTGACCGTCTTTCACTTTGACTACCCGCAACACCGGCGAGATGTTAATGAGGTCGCCCAAAAGCTGGACGAGCGTCTGAAGCGTGCATCTGACATGGACGCCGGGATAGATGAGACACGCGAGGTTATACTCGCCAGAACTGACTTCATCCACGTCGACCATTTCGCGTGCGCCATTCCACTTTCACTACTCACCGTCACAGCTGACAACGCTTCTGTGGCCGATGACAACGCCGGCTGCTGCCCAATCTGCCAACACTCATACACCTCATTCCAAGATTCCTCTATCGTACAACTGTTAGGTGACTATCCAGTGCGCATAAAGCAATGCGGTCATATCATTGGAAAGTCATGTCTAGAGCAGTGGATGAGAACGCCAAAGATCGACGAAGCAAAGTACCCACATCGCACATGTCCGTGCTGCCGTGTCAAGATCGAAGGTGTGAAGTCGCCCTCAGTACCTCGCGGGCTACTGGATCATTTGAAGACCGACCGACGAGCCATGGAGACAGTAAGAGAGTTGCTATTCGGGTGTGATATGGACCTAGAGGAGTGTCTGAGCGCCATCAGCGCGTGCATGAGCGAGGAGATCGCCTGCGAGGAGCTGGTGGCTGAGTGTGGACGGAATGATGGAGAGCAAGACAATCAGGTACTGAAGGACAAACTTGCGAATCTGGAGAAAGAGAAACGGGCCTGGGGATTTAGGGGAGATGGAATTTGGAGAAGGCTGCGAGAGGAATGGATGAACAGCGGTGTTGTCCGGAGGGCTTGAGAATGACAGTCATGCCTCTGCATGTTGCCGGGAGTTCTTTGGTACTGTTCGGACTTTCGGACTCATACTCAACAAGAAACACAATACTGTGGGCTCGGACGAAGGCATGCGGATCTCGTGGATATCGGAAAGGGCCGAACGAGCTGTTCGTGTCTAGGAGCTCTTGGCTCACGAGGCAGTGCAAGCTGATGAGGCATTTTCTTTCCAGCACTTCAGTCTATCTCGAGTATACTCCATAGTACATCAAGCTTCACGAGGAAGCTCGCTCAACAGCCAAGCAATGATAGATCGACATACCAAATGTTAAAAACCACGCATCACGAGGGGTAACTGCCCCGCCGATTAAGAATTTCGCGCACACAGCCCCGTCTGTCAAGTGTAGCATCGTTCAACACCTAGGTAGGGGCGTGCATATGCATACACCGGCAACAAGCTTCCTCAGCAAGAGGTTTGTTTGCTCATATATAATTCTGGGCCCGCCGTTCGCGCTGTTCAGATCACGACGTCACGTGCCCCACAAAATGACCCTTCTTTTCTCCACGTTCTCCGTGCTCTAGACCCGGAAGCAGCTACACACTTGCGCATCGCAAGGGTCTAGGCTATTGAGGCTGAGTACATAAGCCAATAAACTGTGGCGCGGGCGGCCCCATGATTGGTTCCAGCGTATGCAAGCTGAAAGGGTAGATGACGTCTTGTTTGTGAGGGTCGCGTGTGCCGCCGCTTATCAGCCAGCAGCTGTTGCTGGGCAAGGCTTGGCCTATGACGATGTATAATTCATGCAAAAACAAACATAGGGAGCCCATCTGTCGCTGCTACATCCCACGCGAAAACTCATTCATTCGGCAAAATCAATCATGAGCGTTAACATCATTGACGTTGGCGTCAGCAGGGTGCGTTGTGTGTTCCTTGCATGCTCCCGCCTTCTAGATGCCGGTTCTTCCGAGCTGCGACCGAGACTCTTTACTAACGTCTTCCCCACAGATTCTGGGGGCTCGAGAAGATCAGGAAGACCGTTATATTACCTTGACGCCAGGTTCGATCAAGTCACGGAAAGAACTCGCCATCTTTGCCGTGTATGATGGCCAGTAAGCAGCGCCGCAAAATCTCAAGTTGTGGCTTGTAAGCTAACAACTGGGTCGCAGTGGGGGTACAGAAACTGTGAACCACGTTGCAGAGCATCTTCATACACATCTTGAACAGCATATCGCCATACAAAAGCCGTCCAATGTAGCCGAGTATAAGCACGCGATACAAGGTGCTCTGCTGGCTGTAGACCGCGATCTAGACCACGCCAACCTAGACGGAGGCTCAACTGTTTCTCTCGTTCTCATCGACACAAAGCAGAGCTTGCTTATACAAGCGAACTTAGGAGACAGCCATGTCTTCTTCGCGGACCACGAGCCCCAATCTCCCCAATCGTTATCGCCACAATCTCCCACGCGCATCGACTCCGGCGTTGGCTCCAACGGCTGGAACGTCGAGGCTCTTAGCGAGGAACATGCACCAGACAGCCCGTTAGAGAAGAGAAGAGTGGAAAACGCGGGTGGCGAGATCAACTACCGATCTGGCATTGCGCGCATTGGCGGCGTGAGCATGTCGCGCGCACTGGGCGATCTGGACTACAAGAAGCCTCGCGTTAACCGTCTAGCGGGCCACGACCTCTCTGACTTAGTCGGGGTAGAAACGGGCCTCGCACCAGGAAAGACGGCAGTCCACGACCTCGTATCGAACAAAGCGCATTTTACCACTCGCACCCTCCACGGCCAATCGCTCATCCTACTTGCATCAGATGGTGTCGGTTCGGCGAAGGAGGCGGAGGAATGCACAAGGCTGGCGGTGGATGCATGGCAATCCGGAAAGGAGGCCAAGGAGATTGCGGAAGAGTTGACATCAAGAGAAGGCCAGATGAAGGGCGCGGACAACTGTACTGTTCTTGTCGTTGTGCTGGACACGGAGAGCAAAGGCCGCAGGAGTATAGATAGCGGAAGGAGGAGTATGGACATTGGTATGGAGGGAAGCGGGTCAAGGAGGAGGAGACGATCAAGTATTGCTAGCTTGAAGGATTGGATACGAGACCGTTAGGTGTAGTTTCGACATGGCGCAGCGGTGTCGCACAGGAAGCGAGGAAAAGTTTGACCAGGTTGAAGGGTCAGAAGGATCACTAAGGCTTGATCGGCCTGGTACGATGCAGCACAGGCGTTCAGGTTGAGACGTGATGAGCTTCATAGTTCTTTTTTCACTGTTGTATCAATATATCAATTTCACCATGAGTATGCTGCGGAATGAACAGAAGCACATTGTGTTCCCTTTTCCCGCTCATCTTTGACGTGTTTTTGGAACGTTTCGTACCCATCTCAGCCTTCGCAACGTCTTCCTCAGCCATATCCTCTACTAGTGCACGCTTATACTGACCAAAAGCTTGAAGTGCTTCTACGATACGAGTATTACTTCTGCTGGAACGTGGGCAACGACAAAAGCGAAGTCTTTGTGCTCGGACAATGCACATGGTACGCGCGAGGAGCTGAAAATGCAGTGAGGAGCTGTGGGGCAGCGAACGGTCTACGTACCGTGTGACACGGTGAGTGAAGTGAAGCTCGGTCGAGCAAACGCGACGGGAGTGACTCCATCAACCCGTTTCTTTCTCTTACCTTTCTCATGGTAATATTAGCTTCCTTCATCCAAGAATACGTCCCCAATATGACAAAATTGACGATAGATCAAGGCTACGAGGCCGCTGTCGTGAAGGGTACCAGGCTACTCCAGATACTTGCCGCGAAGGACAAGACACAAGATCAAAGTACATACGAGGACATAAAAGCGCTAGCTCAACATGGCTACCTTCTCAAGCCTCAAGATAAAGCCTTTGAGATCGACTGTATCGCCGACGCGCTCTGCGATCTAGGTGTGAGCCACAAAATGGTGTATGAAGGCGGAGAGAACACCAGAACACATCATGTACATGATCGGGACGGAGCATTAGCGAGAGAAGATGATTCGGTACGTTTCGAGATAGCCTAGAAGCAAGCACATTCTGACGAGCCACCAGACAACGCATGGATACTTTTCCCAAGTCAGCAACCCACATTCTGGTGTCTTGATCGCAGACAGCAATCTTAGCCCTACCCACGCAGCCAAATTCGATGACGAAAGAGAAGAAGAAGCCGGGGAACTACCGTCACTGCGACACTGGTCAGACGTAGCGTTCCTGCAATACCTTTCTTCTTTCCTCGAGCCACCTATGCGGCCGGTTTCGCTCAACTACATCTTCCGCGTCCAGATACAAAACGCCGCGACGTCTTTAGTGCTCAATAAGATTATCAGCAAACATGCCGCGTTTACTTACGACATGTGGCCCGGTATCACGTTCGGTATGGACACTGAAGAAGGGAAGGCGATCTTGGGAACGCCGAATGGTTGTGGTGTCGCTTGGATGCTTGTCCAACACAGAAAGTCGTTTGGGGAGAAGAAGATTGAGAAGGTGACTTTGTTTCATGCGGCTAAGAAGGATGATCTGTTTAGATGGCCGAGTTTGCTGTTTTGGATTGTGTAGACTGGGGGTCGGGTGAGAAGATTGTATGGGCAATCATTCTACATGGAGATCATTAGACAAAGAGTGGAAGAGATTTGGGTACACATCACCTGCTTTGCGTCACATGCCCGGTGCACACGATGCGCGTGTTCATTCATGTCCAATACATAAGGGGCTCATATATGCCGCTGAACGACATTATACTGAGTACTACCTTAGCTCACCTGCAACAGTATCACAGCCGATATTCACTCCGATGACAACTTCAGCAACTCCAGCAGCGCAATACAAGGCGGCTCACCAGAAAGGTCTATCGCTGTTACAGATGCTGGAAGCCAGCTCTGATGAGCTTGGCGAATTACTGAAAGACACAGGTATGCCAGCTGAAAGCGAATATCTCAACTACAAGGATCTCTTAGAATACAAATGGTTCGAGGTTTCATTCAAGGACGATTCCAAAACTCTGATGCGACTGTCGGAAGACCTTGGAATCAATACATTAAGCAACATTCCTGTTTCTCATAATCACCGCGGCCTTAAATCGATAAAAGGATTACTACAAGGAGGACTTTCGATGCAGATTCACTTTGACTCAGTAATAAGCCCTTCCGGTGGTATGATCGCAGCCATGAACACGTACAGTCCTCTGGAAGATTGGAGAAGGGCGAGAGCGGATGCGGAGAAGACCACTGGAAAGGCTGAACTGAAGCCTACCGAAAAGGACAACGTTGGCGATGACATCCCTAGTCTAAAGTTCTGGTCAGATGTCGCTTACCTGCAATGGGCCAAGCATACCAAAGTCTTATCCGACTTGCGCTACGTGATGCGAATAAGCATCATGAACACAAAGACGAAAGCTGTTGTGCAGCACATTGTTAAGGACGCTCCAGTCAACGGAGATGAATCGTACTCGTTCCGCATCGACGACGACCGTGATCACGTAGCCGCTCTCCTAGGGACACCGAACGGAGCTGGCGTTGCTTGGTTGCTCATACAGCATAAGCGGCAACTGGGTCATAAGACAGTTAACAAGGTAACGCTGGATTGTCATGACAAATCGATCATGCCCAGGGACAACACGATAGTTCCAAGCTTGGTGTTCCACATTCGCGACCTGGTTGCTCCGGGCGCAGGCCGCGAGGAAGTTGGTTTGAGGAAGTCGCTATGAGGGTAGAATGAGTGCTGCTCTAGCAATGTGTTAAGCAATACGAACGATGAGATAGCAGACAGTAGAACAATCATGAAACCACACCGTGTTTGATCCATTGGAGATTCTAAGAAGGTGGAAGACATTATCTCACCAGCCTCATGTATAAAGGACTTTCGCGTCTTTTCTTTCCCAATAACATCTCACAGTAAGCCATGTCCACGATGACAAATTCACATATCAGTGATCTGGACCACAAGACTGCCATGGAGAAAGACAAGAAGCTGCTCTCATACAAAGCCCATACTTCATACCTGGAGATAGAAAAACACTAGGATATGAGAGAATGACACGGTCTCGATTTCTCGGTGACCTATCGAAAATGCTGGACAGTCTCGGTATCCGTTGTGCCAACTCTGAATCCATCAATATTAGAGACGAGTACACCAAAGACCTTACCACTGGCAAGACGTTTGTAGGCGCAAGCAACGTGGCGTTTGTGTCCGAGGTCAACGTTCAAGCTGGAATCCTCGTAGCAGTTCACAACTACAGCCCGATACATAAGGCCAAGGTGTCGAAGTCGCCCGCAGCCACTCTGTTGATCTCGTTGAAGCACTAGTCCGATGTGGCTTTCCTCCATTGGGCTCACTTTCAACGCACCCATGACAATGTGCGGAATCTCAACTTCATCATGAAAGAGAAGATCGTAAACCTGGACACTTTTGCTGTTGTGAAAAGTATTCTCAATGCTTCACCTTGTCATCTGGGATCTTGTACGTATCCAAGTCTCTATCTTGATATGGACTGTGACAGCGCAGTGGCTCTGCTAGGTACACCACACGGTGCGGGCACAGTCTGGTTGCTTGCGCAGCATTGAGAGCAACTGGGCCATACTGTGATCGCTGGAATAAGAATGTTTTACGTTGATAGGTCGCCGACTGATACGAAGGTCAGCTTGCTCTTCTGCCTCCGTGACGCGAGTGCGAGCGAGAAACCTATCGAGAAGTTGTGAGGAACGATGTTAAGCAAAGAGCGCGGCGGACGATCCTTTGGGTAGGCGCAGGCGTCTAGCGGCGGTAGTTCGTAATAATGACAATCTTGCCGAATCGGATCAAAACTGAGCAGTTTCTGATGGTGGTTGAGATCGTTATCGACGTAGAGGCCTAGTATGAATGAAAGATTGGCGTTCCCAGTAGCGACGATGGATGGGCAGGCTGTCGCGAAGCTTGGTGGCTGGGACTGGGAGCCGGGGGTGACCGGAAGCGAGACGCACCCCGCAATGACCTGCGCGTCCCGCATCTTCATAACGAATTTCGCGTTTCCTTTCTCTCATAGTTTGCTTTTTCGTGGAATTTTCCGTGCTCACTTCTATGTTTGAGCTTTTGCTCTTATCCAGCAGTCCGGTATATGCAGCCGTCGAACAAGCACAAGTGGAATACACGCGTCAGTAGCGCGAGCTGCACTGTTTACTCAATAGCAACCGCATACACGGGATGGCCATGACGCCTTTATGCTTTTTAATTGCGGAGACGGCTCCTAAGCCTCGGCTTCGCGCACTAAAAAGCCTCTTTGTTTGGATGGAAACCTTACAGCACGATGCACGCCAAGCTGGACGTGGCTTGCGATGAAAGTGTTGACCTCGGTCTCGCGTTTGTCAAAAAACGAGGCTTGTATAAAGGGATCACGATACTACTTCATACCCGTTCACGGGTAGTAAGACCACAGTACCGTCGACATGTTCTCGTCTTCTAGGTTGGGCTCCGTTTGTCTTCTCCTCGTACTCAGTGGCGCGACGACCACCTGGGCAGACTCTTCCCCCGGATACGATGCACCGACGGCAACTGTTGATGCCGGTGTCATAGTTGGAAAGTCGACCTCACTTCCACATGCACTGGGACCGGTGCACCAGTTTCTAGGTGTACCTTTTGCATCACCACCCGAGAGATTCTCTCCACCGCGAGCTGCAGAACCTTTCCAAGAATCGGTCAATGCTACCGAGTTCAAGCCAGCCTGCATCCAGCAATTTCGATGTATGCAAATCTATGAGAGCGATATTATATGCGCTAATAGCAGTAGACCCGTTGTCAAGTTCACAGTTCACCCAGGCTGTCTTCAATAACCCGCCACCGGAAGAATCAGAAGACTGCTTATACCTGAATGTATATGCGCCAGCGGGACCAGCTGGTGGCAATGGCAGAGCTGTAATGTTCTGGATCTACGGTGGCTCACTGCAGTTTGGTAACGCTGGTCAAGAACAATATGATGGAAGCAGTTTCGCAGCATATGAAGATGTTATCGTTGTGACAACAAACTACAGAACGAATGGTAAGAAACTGTCGATCCTTCAAAAATGCTTATCCAGATTCTAACGGCCACAGTTTTTGGCTTCCCTGCTTCACCAGAGCTGCCATTAGCAGAACGCAATCTCGGCTTCCTTGACCAACGTTTCGCCCTCAAGTGGGTGCAGCAGAACATCCACGCCTTCGGCGGCGATGCATCCAAAGTCACCATCTTCGGCGAGAGCGCAGGTGCTTTCTCGATCGATGCGCTCTTGACCAGCTTCCCCAAGGATAGTTCCCCACCATTCCGGGCCGCCATTCTACAAAGTGGGCAGTACAGCTATCGCGCGGCTCCCGCAACATCGAGCATTCCCGCTTGGAACAATCTCACAGCAACGCTCGGGTGCCCAGGAACATATGAGAACAACTTGACCTGTGTAAGAGCGGCTAATGCGACGACTGTGCAGACAATCATCAACCAAAACTCGCTGGTTTTCAATCCGATTGCTGATAACAACACTTTGGTATCAAACCCAGCGGCGCAACGCCTAAGCGGCAATATCGCGCACATACCGGTCCTAGGAGGTACAAACAGCCAAGAAGGCCGCGTCTTCTCAGTCGGCCAAACAAATATCACTGCCTACCTGCAGGGGACCTTCGGAGCCGCACCTGCACTCATTCCAACGATCGAAGCTGCATACCCGATTGGTAGCAACGGTCTGACCAACGGCTACGACGTCATCTCCCAAATCGTCACTGAGGTCACATTTCAGTGTCCACAAGCATTGTGGGCCAATGCGACAGCATCCATCGGTATACCCACCTGGCGCTACTACTTCAACGCTTCGTTCACCAACACACAAGCTTATCCCCAACTCGGTGCCTATCACGCCTCAGAGATTCCTCTCGTGTTCCGCACATATCCACGTGCTAATACGACGACGCAAGAGTACGCCTTGGCACAGTTCATGCAAAGTACATGGGCCAAGTTCGCGAAGAACCCTTATGCTGGACCTGGATGGAATGCTGTTGGCACGGGGGCTGAGGGTAGTGTTTTGGTTGGTGCTTATGACTTCGTGGCAGGTGGAGTGTATCAGGACCAGAATGCCACGGCTGTGGAGGGAGATTGGAGCTTGGGTGTTCTCGGCGATGTTGGAGGTGTGAGGGGAAGTGGTGTTACTGTGCTGCCTCAGTCTGATCTTGATTACAGATGTAGTCTCTTCAGGCCTATCTTCGAGGCTAATGTAGGTGCGGAGGGTATACCTGCCACTTGAGGTGTATGTCTATGCCTCTAGATTAAGTTGGTCTGCAATGTAGTCTGACAGAACAGCAATATAGTAACCTGAACTGTGACTCGCTTCAAGCATATTCTGGTGCCGTCACTGTACTATCATCCCATCTCAGCCTATCACCCAGTAGTGACCTGTCTAATATCCACTCCACTCCGATCCGACTCTCCACCTTCATGCATGCTCCTCTCCACACTCTCGATCAAACTCTCGCCTCCTGTTTTAGTCCCGACATTGCTACTTCCCTCGTACTCTTGCTTAGTGTTTTGTGTTACGTCTTCTCCGCGGCGCTCCTCTGAAGTGCCCGAGGCGTTTTGCTGGCCGGGTGCAGCCTATGACTGTCAGAATCTTCCTGGGTGATATAACCTTTCTAATGCAATGTTTATGAGGTGGTATGTTGGGTAGGAGCTTACCTTATCCACGGACGTGCTCAAACCAGCAGGGTCTGTCGACTGACCGGTTTTGAACGGAACGCTCGGATCACCCTTGAATGTGCCGGATGTGTCTTCGCTAGGGTTGACGGGGTTCTTGGGTTGGGTGTTTGAAGATTCTTGGCCTGTTAGGGAAGACATGGTGTGTGTTATTTCAAGGAGGTCTGTATGAGAGGTCTCGTTGCTAAGCTTTTCGTTTGGTGAGCAGTCTTGGTCTTTGATCAATGCTTTAATAGACGGCTGGGGAGTGGCTTTGTAGGATGCTTTAGCTTAGAGGTGATGCTGTAGATTCGACGTCATAGTGACTCAACATGGAGATGTGGGTTTATGCAGTGGCGAAAGGGCTATTGAATTGAACGCGAGAGATGCGCGTTCGCTAGTGCCTTTGACGAAGCAAACCTCTCAAATAGAAGTGCTGTCATTTCTTCACGACTTCGCTACTACCTGAACATTGCTAATCGTATAATATCATAATTCGATTCCATGCAGAACGCTCCCTACGCCGGACAGGTTATGCTATAAAGTTTATACATATCTATAGCTTGCTCTTGCCAATACCCCAGACCTCAGCCTGAGGGTTATTCGACTTCTTGTTAATGGACGCGCCCTCAGCGACAGGCTTCTCGCCCTCCTCGACGAACAGTGATTGCGACTGCTTCATGGTCTCGACGGCTTCGCGCTCGATGCGGTCGAGGAGCTCTTGATTGGTGGGGATGTCGTGGATGAGTCCAATGACTTGGCCAGCAGTCCATACCTAGGTTTGTCAGTCAACCGCACTCGAAAAGGGGGATGTAGACTTACACCAAAGTCTGGGTCTCCGTTCAAGAAGACTTGACGCCCGCGCTTTCCGCTGACGAACTCAGCGACCTCCTCGAACTTGCCAGTTGGGCTTGTCTTCTCGACCTCAACAGCCTGCAGCGCAACCTTGTTGGCGAAGAGTCGCGACGTGTTCTTCCACCGGCGGAGTACGAGTGCGGTATCTGTCTCTTGCGCGTCGACGATGGCCTGCTTTATGTTGTGATGGATGGGCGCTTCGATAGTGCACATGAAGCGCGTTCCCATGTTGATACCACAGGCTCCGAGAGAAAGCGCTGCAGCCAGACCTTGGCCGTCGGCGAAACCTCCAGAGGCGATGAAAGGCACACCACCTAATGATTGCCTAGCCCTGCTGAGCAGGATGAAGTTTGTAATGTCCGTCTCGCCAACGTGTCCGGCGCATTCGAAGCCATCGATGGACAGGAAGTCAACACCAAGCTTCACCGCAGACTGTGCATGCCTAATAGTGGTACACTTGTGCAGGATGATGGTGCCAACCTCCTTCAGCTGCTTAATTACTGGCCCCGGGCTGTTCCCCGCTGTCTCGACAATGTTGACCTTCTCCTCGATGATGACGCGGGCGTATGCGGCATAGTCCGGGGGGACCATGGCGGGGAGGAGCGTCAGGTTGACGCCGAAAGGCTTGTTGGTCATCGTTCGGCATCGGCGGATTTCTTTGCGAAGGTCTTCGGGTGTGGGTTGGGTAAGGGCGGTCAACTATGCAATCGTGAGAACGTGTTTGATGCGTCATGGGCGCCCGACGTACTATTCCCAAACCTCCTGCGTTGCTAACAGCGGAAGCGAGTTCAGCGTATCCTACCCATTGCATACCACCCTGAACCACGGGCACTATACATGTCAGCTACTGGCTTCCCTTGTTGGCTGGTCGAGTTACCCCTAATGCCGAGGGCCCTGGTAAGCTCCGTGTTGAAAGGCATCCTGATTGTAGATGGCCTGAAGAAAAGATTTAGAGTTTGTTGTATGAGTGAAGACTGCACAGGAGCCTTGAACCGAGCAGATATCTGACACTCGGACGCGCGACGTTACGGCCGTCGCGCCGGCTGAAGCGCATGTCATTCGTGTGGGGAAGCCATGTGCCTCGGTAACTCCACAGCCGCGACATCAAACGCAGGTGCACGACCGTCGGGTGATTAGTCTGCGCTGACTCTATCGCCGAATGATTCGCTGTCACCGAGTCGCTCGTGATTCTTTTGCTGGAATGGCAGCTGTGCCCGAGTCGTGTTGCGGACGCATCGCAAGAAGGGAAAGCTAAGCCGCAGGGTCGATGCCGTCATCTTCCTGGCATATTCACATGTGTCTTGGCAATGAACCATCACTCCAACACCACCCTACGCATCTTAGCGATCAATCTTCAGTCGTCTCTCAGGGCCTACAAAGGCTGGAAACAGTTGCATAGCGAAAGCAACCCTCGCAGCTTTTCGGTAGCTATTATTGGTTCAGTCAGACTCCGCGTTGGGGCAAAGAGGTCAAGGAAAATACTTTGGATTTCAGCTGGCTGACTGCGCTCATAGCACTCCAGCAAAGGGTCCTTCTCATGGTCTTTGACTTCCTCTTCACATTGTCCATGTCCGCCCAAACCCGGATCTCTGCATGAAGCCATATTGTTTGACATGCGAAATGACCTATTCTGGGGTATCTCATGCATTCCAGGCTAGATTCAACCCGTATCAACGATCAATAATCGAGATTGCACGCTTGTAGGATTGGTTCCGAGCGACAGCAGTCCGACGATCCATTTATTACCTACCGACCGTTGTAAAGCCAACGGGATTGCCAAGAGCTTAGTATGCTTCCAGGCCACGTGGGCTTTGGTCCAGACCATGGAGCGTCCTTCAGTATCGCGTCTGTTTGACGTACTTGGGACTCCGAACTGTAGTTTCTTCCTTGTATGGCCTTACTGTCTACTCTGGCTGGTGTCGTAAGCTTCTTGAGATCGAGCAACCTTTCACGCTCAACACGGCTGGCGATCTCGACAAACGGGAATTAACACTGCGTAAGAAGCGTGATGGATCACTCATCAACGGTTTTCATATCCCCGATTCAACAATCACCGTTGTCGAGCCTTTCAGTGAATTTTGTCTCGAATATGCGGAGTGAGGTAAGAGATCGGCATCTAGGCCGACTGCCCAAGAAGATACCTAGAAAGTTCATATCGTAGGATCAATAGGTACCATGGAATGTCGCATTGTAGTTGCATTGGAAGAGCGCTATTTAATCGATGTATGGTCAGGACAGCGTCACGCATCCATGCGCGCTGATGAGAAGCTCCAACAGGTTGTAGTATACACCTAACTCATCGTGACCGCTGTCAATAAAACGCTTGAGATCGAAGTTCCATGACGGGAAGGTACATACCTAGGCACGCAGGTCCGCGCTTGGCAGTGACGTAACGAGCCAATGACATAATTCAACCCCGGTAAATCTACTAGGTGGACAGTCGTTGCGGAGAATCTGGGGGGCCTACTTTGTTGGGATCTCCACACGCACACTTCCGATATATAGACCATAATGCCAGGTTCGGCGCACCTAGGACGGAATTTTGAATTTCGATCTCCATGAACCATCATGTCGTGGTCTCTTCTTTTTGCCGCCCTGACCCACGTCGTTCGCGTTACCTGTGCACCAGAAACATATGACTATGTTATAGTTGGAGGAGGTCCCGCAGGTCTTCTCGTCGCGAACCAACTATCTGCCGATCCCGATGTCACAGTCGCAATCATTGAAGCTGGAGATTCCGGCTACAACAACCCCAATATATCGTACGTACCAAAATCGATCTTGGAGTACGGTCTTTTCATTGGTACATCGATCGACTGGAATTACATGACCGCACCTCAGAAGTATGCTGGGAACAGGAGCGTGAATTATTGGGCAGGCAAGGCGTTAGGAGGTAGTACTACGATCAATGGAATGACGTACATTCGTGCCGAGAAAGAGCAAATTGATGGGTGGGAGGAGCTTGGAAACGAGGGTTGGAACTGGGAAAGTCTGCTCGAATATTACCTGAAGCAGGAAGGGTTCACCGAGCCAAGTGAGGAACTATCAAAGGAAGGCGCGACCTTCAGGGACGGGGTACATGGAACAGAGGGAGAGCTTGCCGTTGGCTTCACGCCATACTTGGTTCGTCAAGGTTTCGTCAAACTGTTCAGCGAAACGTCCGAGGCGATGGGAATACCTTACAACAAGGAGCCGAACAATGGTAGTATGCGTGGCTTCGACACGTGGCCTATGACACAAAATGTGAGTGGGCCCACGAGAGCGGATGGAGCCAGGTCCTTCTACTTCCCCGTTGCGTCACGCCCGAATCTCCAGGTCTTCTTCAATACCACAGCTGCACGCATCATCTGGAATGATGAATCATTCGCGACTTCGGAAGTGGTGGCCTCGGGAGTTGAGGTGATCGACGCGGGAAATGTAACGAAAACTATCGGTGCCTCCAAGGAGGTCATTGTCGCAGCCGGCGCTATTCGATCACCAGCACTTTTAGAGCACTCAGGTGTAGGTAATCCCGCCATACTCGAGCCTCTCGGTATCAAGACCGTCAATCCACTCCACTCGGTCGGTTCCAACCTGCCAGATCAGCCCCAGCATGGGATGGTCTTCAACTCGTCCACGAATTGGACGGGCTATCCTACCTTCGCTACATTTCTGACAGCTTCCGACCTCTTTGGGGAAGAGCTTCCCGCCCTTGTGGAAGAACTCAAAACCAATGTGAGCGCATATGCTGCAGCAATCGTCGCAGACTACGCGCCCGATACCATTACCATCGAGACGCAAGAACGGCTTCTGCAGCACCAAGTAGACCTAGTCTTCACTGCTGACAGCGATATTCCCTTGATAGAGATCCTCTGGGCCCCGACTGGCCACCAGATCATCGCGCAGCTCTGGGATTTGATACCGCTTTCTCGAGGCTCAATACACATCGAGTCCGCCGATGCATCCTTACCGCCTCGTATCGACCCCAACTTCTTCCAAATGCCCATCGACATGTATGTGCAAGCAGCAGCAGCAATCCGTATCCGCGAGTATTTCGCCACTTCGCCGCTCGCGGAGGACGCTGTAGGCGAGGTCTCTCCCGGTTACGAAGCAGTACCGCAAGGTGCTCATTGGAGAGATCAAGTCTGGGACGACTGGATCACAGGCGCTATGAGCGGCAACTCACATCCTGTGAGTACTTGCGCAATGATGAGCAAGGAGCTGGGCGGTGTGGTGGATACAGAAGGCAAAGTTTACGGGACACAGAACGTCCGGGTCGTCGATGCCAGCGTGTTCCCGACGCAGATCAGTGGGCATCTTAGCGCCAGTGTATATGCGATTGCAGGAAAGATTGCGGATGCGATGAAGCAGAAGAAGTCAGGTTAGAAGGAGTTTTGACATGGTGAATTCTTTATAGCGCTCTCAATGTTGGCAACATATTGCTGTTACACTGTAAAAGTCCCGAATTGGGTAGGCTTTCGCCATCTTCGGGTTAATAAAGAGCTGCTTCTATGAGGATAGTATGTGACCAGCTTATAACAAGACTAAGACTTCGTTCGATGCAAAGGCGTATTTGTTGAAAGTGATACATCCTCCTGGCGGGTGCCGAGAACGGCAAGGGGGTAACCATTTGCACGTGCTGCGCTGCCCCACCTTTCTTCTAACGGCAGCCGCCCCACGTCATCAATCCTTAGGCAAGAGCCATGCGCTTGGGTATGACAAGCTCACCACCAACATCCCAACATTTTGTCGATTCTAGAGGCCGACGCCATAGCACAATGCCATCGTTTATGGGCCTTCCGCGTGAACTACGGGATCAGATATGCGAATACGTCATACTCTCGCCAGCCCGGCAGCCACGAGCGCTCAATCAGACAACCGAAGAGATGCTTGACGGGTACATGACGTACAAGTTTCCACAGCTATTCGTTGGGCCGGGTGCCTCGTATCGACCCCAGGCAATCGTCTCGAATGCGACGAAGTTACTGCTAGTCAATCAACAGCTGAGAACAGAAACAATGGAGATGCTAGAACGAATGCGAAGCATTGTGTACGATCTCGATATTGCAATGACCGACAATGGGATATTGGCAGCGACGTGGATCAATGTTCCCGTCTTGTCGACCAAAATCGAGCAGCTGAATGTCACGTTTCGCCTCTATGTGACAAACGATGGCGAACGATTGAAGTCTGAAATTGAAGACATGTCAGGAGCGCCAGCAAATCCAGGACCTGAAGATTTCTTTGGGTTACCACCTGAGCAGTGTAAGGGAAGCCTCTCCTCAAATCGTATCAGTACGACGTACTAACCACTCATCTCACTGTTCCAGTGGTATGGGACTTCTATGGTATATTCCAGCGATTCACCCGAGTTGGGCCTCTATGCGAGAGGGAAAACGACAATGAAAACCGGCAAATATCCATCAAAACGATCAGCATCAACGTCGAGACACCATCTCCCGATCTTGTGCAGCTCGGTTTGATTCATCTGTCCGATCAGGCCGACAACGCAATGTCGTTTACTTCCCGGTACTTCTTGGAGTGTCTGAACTGGACTGTACGACAACAGCTGAAAGGGAATTGGGAGTATATCCAGAACATCACTCTGCTTGAGCACGTGGATGATATTGTTTTGTATCATGATGCGAATGAGATACATCGCTGGGATGTAGCTGCATGGCTTGCAAAGTATCCTGAAGAGGAGATGATCAAGTGGAGGCCAGATGGCAAGAAAGAGGCTTGGCGCAAAAGGAAGCAAAGAGGACTAAAGGTACCCGAAGACTTCAACGATCCGTCCTGTTGGTAATACCGGACTGCAAACACGGGAAAGCTGTTGAGGTACGTAATGGTCATATGAGGTTCTGCAGTAACAGCCCAAGACCACGACCCAAGGAGAACCGCTTTTACGCAATCACTTCATGTGACGGGTCGTGGCTTAGCAAGGCTAAGGTGCAGGCCGCTGTTGAGCATTCCAATGCACGATCAGCAATCTCTTGCCAAACTATCACTTTCTCTTGCGATAAAATTACATTCACTGTTCGTCCTTCAGCTCACGCTTTCTACTGCTGATCGGCCCAATCTCGAGAAATGAACCCGAAACAGTAATCCGAGGAAACGACGCTAGTCGCGCTAGACAACATGCGGTTAGTGACCTCGAGGAATCAACCATATTGGGACAGCGATGTACGAGGTCTTGAGCTTGATTGTGCTTGATCTTATTCAGTCTCTAGTCATCGGAACGGCTGAGTCTCGAGTAATGGGCCTCTTTGGACATGGCTGGGGGCTTGGAACAACGTGCGCGGTTCATTAAAGCAGCTTTGTATCTTGTGTTGAGCGTAAGGCTCGAGGTACTTATATCCAATGTCAGAACTCTCAACTGGCCATTAAATACAACAGTATGCAACCTCAGTATCATAAAACAGTGATGCCGACGGACCCTCCTCCATACCAGAGCCACTCTTTCGAACGGCCGCATCAAGCACTTGGTTCATACAACGCTGCACCGTTACCAACGACCAACTTCTCTCAATTAGATGATGAGCTGTCACATCATGCGACAGATTGGATGCCTCAAGCACCGTTATCAATCCAACCACGACAATCTCTTCAAGTGAGCCACTCCTCTAACATCGCCAGTCAGTCTTGCTGACCAGTCTAGAAACCCGTCGTGATACCAAGACTCGATGCGAGCGGTCTACTTGGAACACCATTCCCATTCATACGAGCTTACAGCCCCGATCTGCGCCGCTTCAACATCCACGAGAAAGACTTTGTAGCTTTCATCGATGATCTCAGTGTCGCTCAAGCTCCACCAGTCCCGCTTCAGGCGCTTGATGCAGCGGGTCATGTGGTTGGCATCGTGTGAGTTGACTTGTCTTTTTTGGCTCTTTCCAGTTTCTCATAGAAGTGCTAGACCACATCATTGGACCATGATCGCCGGCGCCAGCATGAACATGGCCGCCGGAGTTGGAACGGCTGCTACGACCACTATGCGAACGCGACGCTTCTTGGAGGCTGTGAACCGAGAATACTTCGCGCCTCGTGGTCTGAAAGCTTCGATTTGCAAGAATAGACAGTTGGAAGAGAAGCTTGGCTTCAATGTGCACATGCCATCGTCGGCGTAAGTTTAGCTCCGCCGTAGGGATCCCCCGTTTCTGACTTCGCAAAGAGCCCTAGCAAGTAGCTCTCAGCCTCAAACAGCTGGATATCGCCGTTTGCAAGCACTCATGCCGTATATCGCACCACTGTCCTTCAACGTCCCGCCGCCAATGGAGCAGCGAAATGCTCTCGATAGAATGGCTGCTAAGCAGATTGAAAGACGTATCAAGAAGAAAGAACGCAAAGGCTACAGCTCAGACTCAAGCTCTAGTTCTTTGTCCAGCATCAGCTCCATTGAAGAGTCCGCCTTGACATCTCATGATGAGGTCAAGGGTAAACAAAAGAGAAGAGCAGACAAAGCGGAGCGCAAACGAGCAAAGAAGGAAGAGAAGAGAGCGCGAAAGGAACAAAGGAGATCTAAGAAGCAGGACCGGAAAGAGGAAAAGGCTCATGGAAAGCAGTGTAAAAAGTTGGAGAAAGAGCACAAGATGGTCGAGAAGATGGAGTACATCGTCATTGACTCGCTGGATCAGGGGATGTAGTAATAGAAAGACAGCGCTGACATGATACAAATGCCCATGCTAATGCGATGACCCGGTTGTTCTACCTTTTTACTTTACCGTGACTTCACTTGCCAACATCTAGGATGCTTTTCGCGGATCTCCAGAGCCCTCGTCTACCAGCCGATATGTCTTGCATGACAGATTTTATCCATGATGCTACTGTCGGCTCCTTCTCGCTCATGCCATCATATGCCATGCGCAGAGGAAAGAGTAGTGCAAAACAGCCCTGTTCGCCCCAGTCCTCTAGCTGATGGTACTCGACGCTACGACATATGCTGAGTGCCGCTGTCGATATTTGTTCCTGTCGGATATGCCAATCTGAATATGACATCAACTCAGCATCGATACTGTCGGCGAAACGGAGGGCCATTATGATAGCGGCGTTGTAGATTGTGATAGCGTTCGCATGATAAAGTGATTGGTATCGGAAGGTAGTAGACCAGGCTGGATGTAGCGCGCCATACTCGTCTTCGATGAGCGGTGTCGGTTGACATGCGGGTGTCTCGCAAGGGGTGTGAAACGGATCAGACGCAAAAGTCTCTCCCCAGTTCTCCAGTTTGGTGATGACCTCATGACATTGTAGAGAGAGACTTCGTGTCCCAGCAACCCTTGTGTCTTCATCCGCAACTGACAAAAGCTCATCACGCAGAATGAAGAGTTGAGGGTAATCAGCGACAATGTCGAACAAGAGCTTGAGCGAGTCGATGTGCTCAGGGTGTAAGCTCCAGGGGATGTGTTTCCACCTGTTCTCCGACATTATTGTTGGCTCGTGCAAGACAATAGCTGCGAAGATAAGAGACGGGCGTGTCCTGTCCAAGACCTCAAGACACGGGGGTGATACCATAGCTTCAGGTCCGCGCAATTCGAAGAGCCTTTCTAACCCACGTGCATGGTTTATCCAACCATCGATACGATCCGAGATGAGGAACTAGTAGCGGTAAGAAAATGTGTGCGCTGCAGAACGTTTGATGTACCTCGATAAGTGCCATGATCATGACCGCCTCAAGCAGATCAAAGGAAGGCGGAGACGCCGAAACCTCGAGAGCCGAATGCACAATTTTAAGTGCGTCGCTGTACCTCTTGAATCCATACTGCGTGATAGCGCTATCCTGATGCTTGATGCCGAAGTAAGAAGTCGCAAGCGCAGAAAGGGACTTGATCGTAATGACCCCAGGATTGAACGCCAACAGGCTTTGCACCGGCAACAAATTTGAGAGGGTGAACGCGGTGAAGACATCATCGCGAGAAAGCGACAGTGCTCCATGAATCTCCAGACGAGGCTGATCAGCAGTCCTTGGCGTCCTGGTGCCGATTTCGACAGCTGAGCACCCCGCGGAATCGCGATGCTCAGGCTGGGCAGACTGGCCTTGGCCATCGAATTGTATGAACGTGATCCCGCGAGGGCCACCACATCGTAGTCGCGCTGTTACGCACCTTCCGCACTGTGGCTTTCGAAGATCTCGTGACGTCAACACACGCGTCAGGATAGCGCAGGGGTAAACGGGGCAAACCTACCACATTTGACTCGACGAGTTTTGCAGTTATCGCACGCTTTGGATCGCCCGCCAACTCCGACCATGTGGAAGATACATGCCAAGATGGATGAGATGAGGAAGATTACAACATTGTGAGATGACGAGTCACCGTCAGCGTGGCGCGTGCGCGGCGCTATATTCGCCCCTCATCTCACATGAACGCACCTGTGGAAGATGCACATAAATTCAACGATCGATAAAGGCGCAGCTTAAAACCTCATATCTTCCTTGATGTCAACTTCAGTCTTTGTTGGTACTACATACCTCGAGCCGTGGGCAGATGCTACTTCCACACGGGGAAGACCTTAAGCTTTCAAATCTTCAGGTCGTGATGAACATGATCAACCCTAAGAGCCCTAAAATATTCCCCCGCCCCACGGCGAAACTTTTCAAACTCTATGTTTCCACTGCATCTTTCCGATCTTCTTCAAGCCCTCTGCAAAGTCTAATCCAATCGTCAATAAGTCGGCGTCACGCCTATCCTCAAGCTTCCGTACCCAAAACGCTTCAAGAGTCCTCTGGCCATGGATTATGACTACAATGTCGCGAACACCCCATTCGACTCCTTCGATGGCAGCTTGAAGATTGAGGGTGAGGCGATCACAATGTTGAATCAAGGTCAGTTCAGCCGGGATATAATTATTCCTGGAGAAAAGCTCTCGGAACAGTGCGCTGGTACTTTCAAGGTGGTTCTGCGGATGACCTACATGGGTAGAGAAGTTGCGTGTCGACCATGGTAGATGCAATATCGGCTGGAGAGCTGCTACGCATCGTGTCAATGAAGCCTGGTTGGGGCTGCCCTAAAATCATGATCCTGAACTCGGCATGCTGATGCTGCCATCGCCAGCTCCTCCTGCCAAGATTGAAGCTGGTGATGACTCCATCTTCAAACAACGGCCGTATGGATGCTCATCTTGCCACCTTCGAGTAGCAAGGAGTAGGGGTTTGACCTTGGCTATATCCATCTTCATCTCGTTGTATGTAGTACAGCAACTAAAGAAAAGGCCGGAAATGTCCTGTGGACGTCCAGAAGTGGTGCTTTCGACGATGAGGTGCCCGTAGACCTCGAGTCGAAGCTTGGTTGGAGGAGTGAGAATCATATTTGGTATGATGTGTGGGTTTTTCAGATACCAAGGTGAGAGGAAGTAATCGTTACAGTTAATGCCTCCCAATCTTATACATCGAAACATCCAATGGAAAGAATTGACTTGGTTTAGCAGCACGGATCGAATCTCTTGTCGGGTCAATGATGTTGTGAGGAGGTTATCCACTGTGTAGGAAGCGAGAACACACAGTTTGGACGGTGATTTGCACGAGTTTACGTGGACGGGAGCTTGATCAATGATTGCGAAGATCATACACCGTTATTTGATGAACTGATATGAATGAAACTGATTATATGGAGTTAAATGCCTAGACCTCGCTACTTTCATTTGCATCACCACGCCACCATGATAATGCAATAACATATTCGTGGCAATATAGCAATATACACTCCGAAAAGTCGGTACGCAATTCTCATCTGACCCCACAAATTCAGTCTCAACACACCCTTCAAACAGCACTACTCCCTATAAAACCAGTTTACATACACGTAATCATTCCCTGGAAGCTTCAATCCGCCCCTAAAATCCACTCCCCACATCCTCTTCGTCTGTCCCTCGACAAGAAAGCACCACGGACCATAAAAAGCCCCAGATGCAGGAAGATACACGCCCCCGTATTGCTTCCCGTATGTAACGTTCACAATGTATCTATCCTGCACGCGGGAATCTTTGCGGAACATCAGCCTATCTAGATATCTCTTCTCTCTTGCTTTCTCCAGAAACTCTTCTCCCCATGTCTGATAGAAGGTACGGAAGAAGAGATGACTAGATGCGAGGACTTGTTTGTTGGTATAGCGACGTTGCACTTCGAAACCAAAAGGGCAAAGCAGGAGACGGAGGCCTGTAACTGCCAAGTTTTCCGTGTGACGCAGTATGTCGTGCTTGGCCTGTTTAACAGGAGTTCTGTGTTTGCGATTGCGCGGTGCAGTGATGGCGAACTCGGTGAGCGGATTCATGTACGTATGTGTCGATGGTACTTCGAAAGACAATCTGCCCTTGACCTGACCTCTGGGCCGTCTAGAGTAGTCCCAAGCACGCTTGAGATCGAGAGCCACACGGACGGTTGAGACTAGTGGCTTCATCTCTGAATGGGTGGTGCGCGAAGTGAAGTAGAGACTGCTGGCGTCTGTTGTACGGCCATTTTCCAGGGTTTCGGTGAGCAAATGACCGTAGACTTGGAGTCGTAATTCTGCTGGTAGCGCGAGGAATGAGAAAGGTTTGTCTTCGGCCATGGCGTGATGCTTCGGTCTGTGGTGAGTTGTGAGGTTGCTGTCGGAGGATCTGGCGGTTCGTTGAAGATGAAAGCAAGGTAGAGTTTGCAAAGTTTCCATGTCCAGCGAGCAAACACGTTGTGGAGCTGATGAAGTGCAATCTGAATAGGCGATAGTGAAAGGCTAACTCGTGAAACCGATAGCGAAGCGCAAACTATGCCGCGTTACCAGGCATCACGATTGCCATGAATAGATCTCGACTTCGACTCAGACCTGGGGCCAGTGCATTAAGACCGCCCTTTCCCTATTAATCTACAACGTGTTCACCCCACGTCCAGCGTCGCCCAAATGCATTCACCGGTGGATCTAACCCTTTTTCAAGATCTAAGCAAAGCGTCCACCTGGTATTCGGAGCTGTTCCACCAATACTAAGCCACCAGTCTACCCTCAAGAAGTAGCGACAGCTGAGGACAATCCGATGTATGTCCATGTCGTCGATCTTGTCTGTCAAACTAGCAGGTGCTCCAAGAGTACCCAAGTCTATCATTATACGACTGACACCTCGCAGATAAGAGCGCTCCATTCTCAAGATATTCCGTGTTTGACGCAAGAACTGGATGGCTATCTCGATACTGGTGTGCCATGGTACGTCCCTGTCCGGAAAGGGGAAAGTAAAAATTGAGAGTCAGGGTCGATAATTGGAGGCGAGTCACGAAGAAAAGTACATCTTCCAGGTCTACGAAACCTATCGGATATTTCGCAGAATTAAATTCCGTACTTACTGGTATCTGTAGCGTTATGTGTTTTAGCGGCCTGGTAAACTCGTAGGTCGTAGGAAGATATACGTGTAGCGGGTGATCTGATTTAGATCCGTGGTTCCAGTAGTTCTGGAGTACCATGATTAGCAGAACTCTTCCGACATACTCATCTATCTCGTCGCGGATGGTGGTGCATGACGTGCGTAGGCCCCTCGTGCAGCGGCGTGGAAAACCTTCGGCAATGCTTGAAGCTAAGAGGTGCTTGTAAACCTCTAAACGCAGTTCAGTTGGAAGAGCGAAGAAGCCTTGATCGTGAGTGTTTGCCATCTTATGAATCGTAAAGTAAAGAGGCGATGGAAGCTGGTGGGGTGGGTCGTGTGTAAGGTAATGTATGTAGTGTTGTGTTGGCGTGGAGTAAAGGTGAAGAAAAGCACAAGCGGAAATTTGTCCTTTATCAAGTCTCGTTGACTCATCATTTGAACCACGGTTGTGAAGGAGACTTCTCGTTACCATGGTTTTGCCGAAGGCCACCAAATCACGTGTTAGCACCTCAGCAGCAGGGTCCCAACACACCTTGAACAGTAATCCATATACATTTCAAAAAAAGATGCCATCTATATCTAACCACGCCCTCGGGCGATTCAGAAAGATCTATCAACAACCTGACGATGAGTGTGAAAAACCACTGATGCCGTAAATGATCTGCCAAGAGCGCCAAAATATATGTCCAGCAAATGCTTGTATCCCCTAAGATAACAAAAAAGGTACCCAGCAGACATCTTCAGGTCTGGTAACGAAACGAAACGAACATGGAGAAAGAGGAGATAGGTATCAGTAGAGAAGGTCAAAGGAGAAAACAAAAAGAATACAAAGCATGACTTATGCTCCGCCCATGCTTTTGGTAGAGAAGGCAAAAGTGGCAAATAGGATGGCGCTCAATCCCTTCCTGTCATACACAGACAAATGCTGGTGTACAGATAATATTCGTGTCAACACGGCGCTGTGGTGGTCGTTGGTCGTATGAGACCTGGTATTGCGTTCCGTTCCATTCCGTTCGTCTCGTTCAAGGCTTTTCCTTGTACTTGGCCATCCTCTTTACGGGATGGAGTAGCATACCCGGTATGCACATTCTCTTCTGCTCCAGCTCACCATCAGAGCCTGGTCCACCATCGATCTTTTCTGACTCTCCCCAGTTTTGTTGGACAATGGGCCAGTTCAGCCATCGTCGGTATAGGTTCCGTGGGAAGCGTGATGCGTAGTACCAGCTCCAGCCTTGAAAGTTGAACTCACGGTCGTGGTTGTATGGTGAGTCGGCTTCTTCTGTCCAGGCGCCTTGGCGGCTTTCCAATGCTTCACCTGTCTCTTCATCGACGGTCGATGCGGTATCGAAGATGGCTTCAGTGTAGGCGGCGGGCCAGTGGCGGTCGTTGAAGATCGGGTGAGGTGCGTATACGGCTTTTAGACCGTGTTGGAGTGCAACTGTGGAGGGCCACATCTCGGCCTGCATACTGCGTCCAACCAAGTTCTCCTCGTGCATAGCCTGTAGCATCTTCTTGCTGAACCGTACGACTGTGTTGATGAAAGTCCGGCGATCAATCTGTTCGAAGATAGGATGAGTGAACCAATCGGCCTGACCATCCTCTGGCGTGAAGATCGGTCGGATGTGTGGCAGGTAGTTCCAGATCTTATCCTTGTAAGACCAAGTCGTGTTCCTGGGATCCCACATCGGAAGAAGAGTGATAAAGTCCGCGGGCTCACCAACACCCCACTCGAAGTTGTCTTCCTCCATAGTCGAGGGTGGTGTAGGGCCTAGTGGCTTCTGGGGAGGGATGGCAAGTTTCCATGGTCGTGGTCCCCATACGGGTGGTGGGATGAGCGAGTTTGCAGATGCGTTCAAGACGTCCTTGTGTGTGTTTTCGACGAATGATTGGTAGTCTCCATGAACGCTCGGAAGATAGTATCGCTTGTTGCGCTCCCACAACAGCTTCCTCGGTTGCTTATCCGCGAACTCGCTTATCTTCTCGAAGAAGTGATAGTGGTGTCCAGTGTATCTAGCGTCTGTTTCCCAGTTCCAGACGTAATCAAATTCGGGGTGCGTAAGACTAAACCATTGTAGACACATGAATTGCTGCCAATAGACCTGCCAGTCCATAACCTTGGGATACCATTTCGGGAAGATGGATTCTGACCATAGGATAGCAATGTCGCGCAGTTCCTCAGGTACGTTTTCTTTCAGAATGCGATCGTATTCATACTGGCTGTCGAAGATGGGTGCATCTCTGTCCTTGACGTGGACGTAGAGATAAACTTGGTATTCACCGCCGGACTGGAGGGAGAGCTCGGAAACCATGGCGCGAATGGCGGTGATGTCGTTCTCTTCGTAGTTGTATCCGGTCCAGGCACGGATGAGAATGGCCGTACGGTGGTGGTACTTCTTCTCGTTGTCATCGCGGTTCTCCAAATTGCTTCGGCTCGTGTCTGTGGGGATCGCAAACGCCGACGACGCCACCGCGGGCTCAGGGAGGACGGTGCTGGGAATCTTCACGATTGGCGATCTGGCCTTGGGCCGATAGCGCTCCTTGTTCCGCTCAAGACAATCGTCCTGCAGCGCACCCCAGTTCACCTGAGGCCACTCGGGGACAGTGGCGGGCGCCTTCCAGTTCTTGACCTCCTCTGGGAACTCATCATCACCATATCCGTACGGGCCGTATCGTGAGTATCGGTCGAAGCAGACATCGTCGTCGAGTCCGATGACATCATAACCACCAGCGTATACCGGGGGAAAGTCCTCGGGTATGCCGCGGTAGACCTGGACCTCGTCGTCGGTGCTCTCGTTGAGGGGTTTGCCGCGCGGACCCAGACAAGCTACGTATTCACCGTGCCATTTCTGCTTCCACTTTGGGGTATTGTACTTGGGGAACGGCTTGTATGCGATCGGATCAGAGGCAATCGTGTCGTTCAGCTTATCATGGCTAGACTCGTAGATGCGATAATCCCTGCATAAGATTAGAACCACCACTGTCGCACGCAAAGTATATACACTTACAAATCGAATTCTTCCCACCGGTTCGGGTCGTACTTTTTGTCGACATAGTCGGCGAATGGCGGCCAGTGACCATTCCAGCTCGGTCGCGGCCAGTCCAGCATCTTCGCCATGTACTGCTTCCAGTTGGACGGTGTCGGGTAGGGAGGGATGAAGGACGCGGTCCTCGACGGTGCCGTCACCCATGGCGGGTAAGGCTTGGTGGGCTTCGACGCGTCCACCTCAGGCTCGCGCGAGGTCTCCATTGGCGGCGGCAGCATAACCTCTGCTGCCTCTGTTGGCGATTGCGCATCCACGGGGCTGGGCATCGCGCCGGGAATGGGCACGGCATTGTGCCATGCATCCTCGAGATGCGCCTGCGCCTCGCCTGGACTTTCGTTCAGGAGCTCCTGTGTCGGCGGTCTATTCCCCGAATTGAAGAGCGGCATGCGCTCGTACACCTTCTCGTTCGCCCATGGACTCTGCTGTAGGACGGCGAAGATGAAAACCAGTGCTATAAAGGAAACTATCGCAAATCTGCGGGGTGATCGGACAAACATGATGTCGATGTAGTTCGTATTCGTATCGTTTAGTGGTGTACACTAACCTTATGCCGGTATGGTACCTAGTGTACTGGGGTAGTCGTAGGATTTACCGATAGTGTAAAAGCTGCATCGCTTGAGGTTGCGGAGGTGTAGCGCGAAAGAAGGACTAGCGACTGATGGCGAAGAGGTGTGGTGAATGGGTACAGGTGGTAAGGACCGTGGGTGTTAAAGATGGCGGCGGAGCTCTGGTGAAGGCGCTGCCGAGCGATGCTAGCTTGGATGCAAAGGAAAGGAAGGCGGGGCCGACTACAGTGAAGAAGGCAAGAAGGATGGTCAATCAGTCTATCTTGGTCGGTCGTTCCTGCCGCACGTGAACTCGGGAAAGGGCCGGTGGAATGCTGGAAAGAGAGCGAACGGGATCGATCGAGGAATGCAAGCCTCAAGAGAAAAAATCGCAGACGATGATTAGACGGAAATGACGATACCAAGAGCGCGGGACAAGACTACTCGACAGGGTACGAAATTGCACGAGCAGAAGAAGCGTCGAACACTCTCAAACGGCAGTACGCGGCCAGAGCCTCGTCGATCTGGGAATCCCCATCGGTTTTGACACCAAGACGCCTTAACCCCCAACTCCCGCCCCGCCTCCCGCCCCGTGCTGCAAGGTACTCCAGGGGGAGTGCTGACGCGTTGCACACTGTTGATCGCCTAACGACGAGTAGAGGTTGCGTCTGAGTGGTGCCATGTCGTCCTTTAAGTCGGTGCTTGCGCGTTTCGCAAAATCTTCCGAGCGGCAGAGCCGTCGCACCATGGCCGCTGCTCATCTATCCGCAGGGAGGATTCACTAGGACTCAACTAGCAGCCACGACTGATATGCCAACAACTTGCCCAGCACGCCACCCCCCACTGCTGATATTTGGGGGCGCACGCAAATAACAGCACTCGACGGGCGAATATTCTAAGCCTGTTCGCCGGTATAATTAGAGATAAGAGAAGGAGCGAAGGCGTCTATTACCCAAGCGAAACGCAGCGACTCTGTGGTCGTCATCTTATTCAGCCGATCCAACGGACATGACGATAAAGTCCCACAGTGAACCCTGCAGCAGTGACCTGAATCGAAAGATAATGTTGGAGACTGGAGAAACGTTCTTCGGCCCTTCTGTCCAGACAAATTAACGATGTGCAAACACAATGCTAAACGTCCCGCCAATCGTGAGGCTACTGCTAAACTCACGACTGCGGTGCGACGTGCCGCGCACACGTCAAGCTTCATGCAGTGCAATGCGCCATGCCAGATAACAACGGGTACCACATTTGGCAGGTTGTGCAACTTGTGCACCCTGCAGCATCGATATTGTCATGAATGCTATCCAGCTACAGTTCCCAAATCTATCATGCATTTTGCCATAACGCCTTTGCAGCTGCATGCTGTGATGTTGTCATGACCATCGTACCCTTTCTACGTAAGGATCCTCCATTACCCGCATCCGCACTATAAACGGCAATCCGGACTCGCAGGTGCATCCACGTACAGTGCGTCCTCACTTCCACTTCTGCACCACTACACCACCACGTTTGAACTCTGAAATGTCACCCAGCACTTGGGCCTTGTCCGTCAGCTCCTTGCTGGGGAACGTGGTCATGAGCGCCCACTCGCGATCCTGACTGGCCGGGCTAGCCCTGTTGACAAAGTCGTAGACGTCGCCAATAGTGTGTGTAGTGTTGAACCGCGAGGACAGCCGTGTACCGTCACCAAGGCGGACCTGGAGCGTGAGGGTCGGAGCCGATGAGTCGACGTCGACGGTAGGTTGCGCAGAGGCCGCTGGAGTCGAGGCCGCCGTGCTACTTGAAGCTGCCGGTGCCATGGGAGCAGCCGCTGAGCTTGCACCAGGGGTGGGGCTGCCTAGACGGTTTCCGCTACCCGAGAAGGGAACGTACTTCTTCTTTGGCTTCTTGTAGTCCTCGTCCTTGTGCGCGTGCACTTCGACATCCACCTCCTGGCCGTGTTCCACATTGAGAATATGCAATGGAGCGTGACCCGTGTTGATCATCTCTAGTGTACGTGCGTTGGCCGGGTCATCGTACCGGAACAGGTCGCCGTCATCGACTGAAAAGCCGTCACGCCAGAGATGAAGCTCGCGGTGGGCGCGCGGGGGCGGTGCGGGGATGTTGGCCGTGGGGTCTGCAATGGTTCGGGAGGGAGCATCATCGCCTCCCAGGGTAGTACCTGCGCCACGGAAATGAGAGGAACTGGCGGGCTGCTCCTCGTCACCGCCTGGTCGGGGAGCGTTCCTGCGCTTGTTAGCTGGAGCGGCCCAAACGATGCTTGGCCGGCTTACTGTCGTGCGCGCTTCAGGATGTTGTTGATCTGGTCGCGCGGATTCGACTGGTTGGGGTTTTGAACGGCAAGACCTGACTTCTCACCACCAGCGAAGAAGTCCTGGTTCTCATCATCAGGGTTCTCATCGTCATCATCGTCATCGTGGGCGTGTCCGTGTCCGCCACCTGATGACTGCAGGTCCCTCAGCGTCCGCGCACCTGCTACGCCCCTCTGGGCAGGCTGTCCGCGAGCAGCAGCAGACTGCGATGATGATCGAGATGCTTCGGGCGCAGGTGAGGGTACATATGCGCCTCCGAGAGTGCGTCCTCCACCAGCTCCTTCGGGCACACGGGGTGCGTCTGTGTTTGATTCGTCACCAGCCATGTCGACGTCTGGTTCGGAAGTGTCGTCTTGTTGTTCGGCCGACTCGTCGAAGAAGAGAGATGCAGCGAGGGTGAGATCACCGTTGGAGGCGTTCAAGTAGCGTTCTGCCTGTCCTTTGTGTAAGTGAACAGCTCCAATAGCTTCGATGAGCTTCCATCAACATACGGTTGCGGGATCGAGGCCAGTCAGGCTAGCAAGCTGAGCGATGAGAGCGTCTTGGTCGGGGGCAGCTTCAGACATAACAGTGTAGTAATGCTGCTGTTGAAGATGAGGGTAGTGGCGTGGTTGGTGGCTTGGACGCGTTGACTGAGTGCGGTGGGGTCTATGTAAACTCTCAGGGCGGGCTTTTAGGTACCTACCGCAGGCGGTAGCTGGTGACGTCGCTTGCTCGCCCTTGACCTTCACCGGGAACCACAAACAAGGCTAATAGAAGCTTTTTTTTCAATCGAAGACTAGCTGGTTCATACATTGAGCACTGGTTTTCTCTTTAATTCTTACGACGTGCCAGCCGAAGTGAGCCGCATAGACCTATAGGCAATGCAGCAGCTTCCGATGTGCATCAAAGTTCCGAGATGATGCCAAGGCCGGAATTAATGTGAGCCTCATCAACACCTCAAGCAGCAACCTCGAGATTGTCGCGCACTACCTCCCACGCGCGTCAGTGAACTCAATCCTGCGCAGTCGACAAACCACCACGTCAATCGAGCAGGTTCAACCGTCGACATCACCCTCCGCCTCATACAGGCCAAACTCGCGCTGTCCTCCGCATCACCTCCGCGTGGGGCTCTAGCACACGTCCAGCATCCACCACCAACCTACTACCCAACCCTCGACCCTTCACCCATCCACATCTCCTCCCCAATTCTCAACCCACAATGGCCGACGCCACCAACCTCACCGAATCCGGCATAACTATCCCCTCGGACAGCGAAAACTACGACGGAAACAACGAGCTCACCTCCTCCTCCCCCGAATCCGCATCCTCAAGTTCCACACCCCTGATCCTCTACAAACCACCCACAATATGGGGACTGCTCCGCGGCGCAGCGATAAACCTCTTCTTGCCGTTTGTCAACGGGCTCATGTTGGGTTTTGGCGAGCTGGTCGCGAATGAAGCGGCGTATCGGTTGGGGTGGAGTGGTACTAAGGTATGTTCGACTCAATTGAAGATAGGGGAAGGGCTTGTAATGGGAGTTTGAAATTGGGGAGCAATGCTGACGTGTGTGAAACTAGATATTCCCAACTCATCGCTCCGGAGCCGATTCCAGGCGCGTGGGGCCAGGCGTGGAGATGCGAGCGGATCCCGTGGAGCGGAGGAGGAGGAATGGGCAGGAGTTGGATATGTACACTTCGCTGGAGTAGATGGGAGTGCAAAGAGGGGGTCGAGAATCTAGGAGACGTATCTGTATATACGAGTTGCAATCGATGTTATGGCGTTCATAGGCATCACGTTTCGTCTTGGAATTGATTGAATTAAAGTCGAGCTGTCTTCGTTTCGAGCATTGCGTGAAGACCGTGATCCACGCTCGAAACGGAGACAGCTCGACTTTGGTTCAATTGATTTCAAGACGAAACGAAAGATGGAATCACAAATGAGATTTCCATACACTCAGGAATGTGAACAGCGATACTTCCAAAATGTGATCGGGAGCATATGCGTCTCTTGGTATTTATACAAAATCTCTCGCCATGCGTACTAGATAACTCCCAGCCCTTTTGGAGATGCACATACTACTAACACAAGGTCCAACACGCGTATATCATACATTGTCCCCCACATCTCCGGGAAATCTCTATTGCCTATTTTGGAACCTGCGTCTCCTCTCAATCTCATAGTCATCAGCCTTCTTCTTCCTCTTGGCCTCCTCGGATGACATCTTCTTGTCTCCAAAGCCCATAGATCTCATCATGCGGTCCATGCCGTTGCCCGTCCGCCTCCAAATGTAGGCAAGACGGTAATTTCTGCGGTAGTAGTCCAACTTCTCGCTGATTGGCTTACCCTTGGCGCCTTCCTCGAAATCAATGTCACGGTCGGGGTATTCTGTGTCGATCGTCTTGGGTGCCTCCGTTTTGAGATGCGCAGGCAGGACAACTCCTGGTTTGATGTTGATGCCGGACAATTGGCGACGGTTCTTCGGGGCTGCTGTGCGGGTGGGTGGCTGGTAACGAGGCCTGCCATCTGCTCCCTTGATTTGGCTCAACTTCGCCTCTCCCTTAATGACTTTGGTGTAGAGCTCGTTGCTCTCTTTGCTGGGTAGTGGTCGGATACCAATCATTTTTCTGAAACCGTTCTGGCGGAGTAACCAACCAGTCGCACCGCCCATAATACCGGACATCAGGAAGTAGAGTTGGAGAGCAGAGGCCTGGAAAGCAGTGACAACACCGAGGAAGACAGACAAACCAGCGAACATCTTTTGACGTGTAGCTGCCTGGGCAGTATCGGGCTGCACACCAGTTTCACCTCCAGTCTATTCAGTGTGTCAGTAGGGTGAGAGCGTGGTGCAAAACTATAGACTTGCCTTGAAAACAGCATACATGATAGCTGAAGTCGCCGCCGGTAGGATAAAGTAAGGGTCGCGGTTGGTCAGATCAGTGAACCACAGAAAGCCATCATGCGCCATGCCAGGGACAGGCAGGTCACCCATAGCCCTTAGGAATCTGAAAGCCGAAAATCCAATCCAGGCCTGCGCAATCATGAAACCTCCAGTGGAAAGCATGCCTCCAACGTAGGGCTTCATGATTGCGGCCTGCTGCATCTTGTATATGTCGGCCTGTTGCTTGTCGCCTCGAGCAATGGCAGCCTCCATCTTCTCTTGTATAGGCTTGGTAACGGGTCCCAGTGAGGACATGACTGCCATCTTGTCTGAGCTGAGAGCCTGGAGCACGAAGGTCGCGCAACGGACAACGACACCGGCAGCAATGATGGAGCCAGCCCAGCCCATACCTGATTGTAGGTAGATGGTTTCGATGCACTTCTCGAAGAGAGTCGTCATACCCCAGCCGTAATCAAGACCCAATTCCTTCAATTGTCCAGCATGATCGATGAGACGGGTGGGGTCAATCTCAGCTGTGGGGAGAGTGTCCTTGACAGGCTCAGCATCGAAGAGAGTGTCGAGTGTCTTAGGTTCCGTCAGCGTTGGCGCGCTGTCTACTACCGCCTCGACAGGCGCGACTGTTCCATCCACGACGGCGGGCTTGTCGATGGTGGCAGGAGCGAGCTCGGGAGTAGAAGTGGTGACGACAGGCTCGGCGTGTTGGTGCGCAAACTCGGAGACGGGACGGTGCGAGAATTCGGCGATGGGGACGCGGTCGGCAGGTGTAAGAGAGCTGGCGTCGACGGGACTGCTGGACTTTCCCCAGCTCCAAGGAGCATACCATGATGCGTTTCGAACAGTCGACGCACTCATCATGACATTATGGGTCCGGTTCGCGCCCGACTTCCACAGCGCTGACTGGAGCGGGCTCGTTCGACATGATGGCCCTGTGAGATTCGCAGTTCGGGGAAGGGACGAAAACTACTGCAATTAGCAATTGCAACATGTCGGTTCTAATTTGAGTGTTGTGCAGAAGGGCGGTCATAGACAAGGTATTGGGCGACTTGTACACGAGAACGCGGACGTGTGAATTGGACGAGGCGGGCAGTGGAATTCGCAGATGCGCACCTTCCTTGTAGCGTTGGTTCGTAAGACTGTCGACTGTCGTGAGGCCAAAGGCGCAAACTGGGCCGGCCGCAGCCCTCTACTTGGAAGCATTGCGATGTGTCGTCCGCCATCCATAATGACAAGCATCGGCTTTAGAAAAGTCGTGTGCACGGACCCCCAGTAGCGCATTTCGAGCGAACCTCCGAGATCCCCGCATCATGCCCACAACACACAGGCAGCGAGCATCACATCAGACATTACCAAATTATCAATGGTCAGATTGTTGTATTATGAGTTCATTATCGAACGTTGAATTAGTACCCGTGTCTCTCTACGCCTGTTCTGGGTATGTCGGCCAGTAGCCCTGTCATGCTCCCTAACACCCGTCTGATGCAATAAGCAGCGATGAAGTAACATGTATAATGGACGCCACAGTAGTTGTGACACAACTTCTGCACGTCCATCATCGGCTATGATGAAGTAAATGACAATGCTAAAAACAACAGTCGTAGAAACCCGACCTAAACAGTGATGAACCGTATTGTATAACGATCCTTGCCGTACGCCCCTAGGATGCTCATGAGAAATTATGCACCGTTATGCTGGCGTCCGTGGCGTATAGCCGTCGGACTTCTAGTCCATGTAGTTGTTGCCTTCGGTGACAGCCAGAGCCTCTTCTGCCTGGCCGCCACCCATCTCCATCGCTTCGCCAAACATCTCATGTCCACTAGCTGAGCTCTTGAATGGGTCTTGCATGGGACTGGTAGGGGCTGCGGGCCCTGAACTCTCAAAGAGACCTGGGTCGAGAGGCGCAATCGATGAAGCTGCGCCAAAGTTTAGTGGAGCAGCGGTAGCAAACGTGGGAGAGTTGTTGTATGTAGACGTGGTAGTAGTGTTGAAGTACTCGCTGCTCTCACCCTCAGGTTGACCTTGACGAGGCTCGCCAGGAGGAGTATGTGATTGTTCAGCGGCGCCCGACGGGTTGCTCGGTGGCTTCTCTCCATCCTTGCGTTTGAACTGATGGGTCTTGGTTTTGAGGTGCTGTGGGAGATCGTCCGGATTGGTAATGCCCAACTGGCTCATGAGCTTTTGTTGCTTCGTCGGCCGAGGCTTACGCGTGGAAAGAGACACTTGCAGAATAGGCGGCGGTGTCGGAGCCACTGGTGCCCATTTGTGTAACTCTTGGCGGAAGAAGTTGATCTCGTTCGAGAGAAGAATCTCAGCACCCTCAAGCTTCCGTAGATAAAATCGTTGGGTAGTAAGCTCATCAGGGCTTGACATCAAAGGGTTGATGTAACGCGCGACGTACTCCCGGAACCTGGTACCGTGCTCGATCAGCGAGTCAAGTGTTTCCTCTTCCTCAGGTTGGAACGGCAAACCGGGGACCTCGTCCTGCCAAAGCTGGAGGTCCTCAAGTTTTGGGCGGGTCGCATCGCGAGGAATCTTGACACGATAATCGCAGATGGGGCATGTATACTTGTCATCCTCTTTGACTTTTCCGCGGGCGATCTTCAGGCACTTGCCGTGATACCTATCATTGTTAGTGGATAGATTCTTGGTGTAGAATAAGTTATCTTACCATTCGTGACACAATTCACACTCGATCATCATACCAGCTTCAGGTTTCCGACAGATACAAAAAACGTCTCGACTGGATAAGGGGCCGTCTTGCTCTTCCCCGTCGACCGGACTCTGTTCACGAGACGCGGGCTCTACGGGCATTCGAGGCTGGTCTCCCAAATCGAAGCAGGATCGATTACGCTCATCGACTTGTTTCATGTGCGCGTGTAGGATATGCAAGGGCGCGTTGGCCTTGCCAAAAAGCTTCTTTCCTCGCCTCATCCAATCTTCATGTCGCTTCTGCTCCTTCTCAAGGTCGTTCGTGCCATTGGGCTTTCCATTCAGCGCATTCAAAGACTCCATGGCGTTGCGGACCTCCATGTATTTTGGCCGTTGTGAGAAGTCGGGATTCTTGCTTCGCTCGTACAGTGACATGATTAGCTCTTGCGCATCTCGTTGCTTCTTCAATATGGCATCCATCGCGGCTCGAGTCTCTGGTGTTACCGGCAGATTGGTCGCTTGCTTGGAAAAGGCGTCGAGCTGCTGATAATGCACATTCTCCACTTCCATGAGCTCCTTCGCCTTCTTCTCCCAGAACTCGCCTTGCTCTTTCTTCTCTTGCAAGAAGCGAAGGTCAGGATGATGTTCTGGCATGCCGGCTTCAATGCCGCTCTTGATGAGTTCGCCAACTTCTTGGAGGGTCGGCGCAGGCTTTACCTTGAAGTCTTGTGCCTCTTGGAGCCACTTCAACTGCTGAACCACCTTTTCGAGAGATTCAAGCTCAGGTAGGTCGACGTTGAAACCCTTGCCTTCTTCCAGGAGCTCGTCTAACCGTGCGATACTTTGCTCGGAAGTGCGCTCGCGTAAAGCGGTGCGTGCTCTGGTCTGGAATTCGACAATGCTTTCAGCGCGTTCTCGGAGCGTAGTTATTTCCGGGCTATCGAACCCCAAATCTTTTGCCTGGTTGAGAAGTTTCTGGATGTTTTCCACATTGCGATATTCGCGATCTTTCTCGTCTGCCTCGGCAACAGCCGACTTGCTTGGCCGTCCTCTTCCAGGACGTTCTGCTTTGCGACGGGCTTGCTGCTTCCGAGTAGTGTAAGAAATAGCTTCTTCAGCGACTTCCTGGCATTTCTCGACGAAGTCTTTCAGATCCTGGAGACCGTTCAAGTCCCAGTCGATCTTCTCGCCTTCGTTCAGGAGCGCACGTAGGGATTTTAATTGAGGTCGAGGCCCCTCGGAAAGCAAAGCTTCCATCTTCGACTCCCAGGCTTCGGGCGTGCTTGCTTTGTCAACAATCTTTTGTACCAGCGCATCAAGATCTTCCTCCCGCATACGGTATACGAGCTTGTGTTGAAGCTTGGCTCCAGAGTAACGCTCAGCTTCCGGAGTGTCTTGGCAACATTCAAACCATCCAGCGTGCTGTAGACACAAGACCTTCTTGGTGTTCTTGCAGTAGAAACGAGACAGATAGCCATAGGATTTGCAGAAGGCACAAATCAATTCATCCTCATGCATGTCGGCATCATCAATGACGAAGTCAAGTTCGCAGAAGCCTCCGGCATCGCCAGTACCGTCAACTTTGCAAGTATGTGCTCTCACAGCTTTGTGTTTGTCCAGGAATTCATCGCGTATCCGTGACTCTCTGGCAAGCATCCGCTCCATCGCAGGAGCAAGCCACTTGGCGGTCTTGATGGTTGTGTCTTTGCGTGATGCTGCTGCCAACAGTAGCTCGTCGTGAGAGAAGCATGGTTGACGACGGTAATCCTGAAGGCGTTGAACTCCGTGCTCTCCGAACGGCTCCCAGTCGCTCGGCGCAAAGTTTACAGCTTCGTTCAGATTGAAGCCATGATTGAAGCCGGCATGATAGGCTTCTGGGAAGGTAATCACAAACTCGCCAGCACGTTGGTCGATCGCATAGACTCTGACACCAGCCTTCAAGAGTTGTTCTGGAGTCAACAGCGTCACGAGCTGGAACAAGAGGTCTGGCTGGCTTTCGAACAGTTCTGGTACTGCCTCACGCATGGCTTGCTCGAACTTCTCGGTGTCCTCGGCTGGTACGCCATACCATGTCTTGGTAGCGCCAAAATGTTGATAATTTGCTGAGTACGTGTAATGATCCTCCGCATGCCAGCAAAAGGTGGAGAATACCATGCCGACGTATAACCAGGGTACGGTCATACCTGATATATCGGACTTGATATGGCGGAAAAGCGAATCTGGTGCATAGGGCAGTACAGTCAAGTTCCATGGATCGGTCGAGTAGGGATCGCGTGGGTTCTTCTCTATAGTTGGAAAGCCGCTGCCATGTGTCGTGGAATGTATGTCTGCTCCGTACTCTACTTCGACTGTCTCTGTAACGTTCGCAACAGAATGCCAGAACTCACGTTCTACATCATCTTCTGTAACTGGTTTTGGCGCATTGGTGACCGGATCAAAGGGCATCTTGTTAGCAAAGTGATTTTGCTTGAATTGCTGGGCTCGTTCCTGGAACTGCTTGAGCGAGTAAATGCCCCCTTCTTCAAATCCGAACTCGCCTGTGCCTACGAGACATCTAGGGCAGTGCCAGTCGTATGCAGGAATAGCCTTGATAGGTGGGTCCAAGCAAGAACCATGGTAACCAGCGTCGCAGCTGTCGCAAAGCAGGATATTCTGAGGGTCGTTGTCGGTACCGCAAGTCTCGCATCGGTCACCAGGTCTGTCGTCGGCCGATCGAACGCGTGGGAAAGTTCGACTAGGGGTCGACTGGCGAGGCTGAGTCATATGTGAGCCCGCAACAGTAGGAGGAGCGTCCTTCTTGAGCCGTTTGCTACGTCGGCCGTTTGCCTCATCCACGTCGTCGTTTGCACTGCTCTCCGGGTCTTGAGAGAAGGTTCGCTTCAGCTGGTTGAAGTGCTGTCCGTTAGCTAGCGGGGTTAGGCCGGCTCCAGGTGGTCGGAAGTCCGGGGTGTTGTCAGCTGAGAGCATGGGGCTGCCGGCGTTGCGCAAAGGCGTTGACGTGCGCGATTCCAGCACATCTCGATGTATAGCGCTCGGTGGGTTGGCCGCAGCAAAAGCACTAGGTGTAGAGGGTTGCGTAGACGGCTTTTGTGCTGAGTGCGCATTGACCGCTGTGAAGCCTCCCGAGTTCACTGGTGTGAAGCCCGCCTGCATGGCAGGTCGTGAGAGTTCTGGCGGTGGAGTAGGCACAGAGTCACCCTGCAGTGTCGCGTTCAGCGCTGCTGAGGCTCGCATAGCCGGTGACTCCGCAGCGTTGGCGACAGGTGTACCTTGTAGCGATTTCTTTATGGGCGAATGGGCTGGTGACGGTGTGAAGGGTCCGCCATGCTCGTACTCCAGCATCTGCTGCACACCAGGTTTGACAAGTCGCAGATACTCCTCGTATGGGTGTAGCCATTTCTGATACGAATTCTTGAGCGAGGTTGATAGCGAAGACATGATCTTGCCGCTGTAGCCGAGGTCGCGTCCAATTTCAGCCCATTTCTTCTGCTTGCAAACACGTTCGAATCCACCTCTCTTCTCAACGGCCTTCTTGAGCTTGTAGAGATCCAAGGGGCGTTTGTCCACGCTGGGAAATCGAGTGAGACTGTGGCCATGTTGCTTGTGGAACTTGGCGAGCTGATCGAGATAGTTCAAATTCGCACGCGTGCCACCTTCAACCGAGTTGAGTTCCTGTCGTCGTGTACGGAAGTGGAAGCGCTCAGTATCGATGGCGAATGGTGGCTTCCAGGTGTCTGGTGGGACAATCTTGACGATGCCATACTTTTGCCCCTCCTCGCGAATGCTTTGGATGTATGCCACAGGGTCTTTGAACTGCTCGGCTGTCGGTCGATATGTCGGAGACTCGCGCAGACCAAACAGACGGTTCTGCTTGGGTGGCAGGTGGTTCGGCGCTCCATGTCCTCTGCGCTCCACAGTAGCGAGATCCAGCGGCGCTGCCTTGCGCGCGCTCAGAGGAATCGCGCTGGCCGCGCTCGGCTGCGCACCGTTCGTTGCAGGGACCGCAGCACCACCCATTCTAGATTTTGATGCGCCAGCTGCTCCTTCGGGTGTTCCACTGTCCGTGGCAACTCGAAAAGTAGTCATAGTGGCGCCTGTTGGGGGCCCGCTGGGGGGCATGAAGTCGACCATGACTCTCTTGCTCATGCATCAAGCGCAGTCGCTGCTTGCAGCCCTACTTGCAGCCTCGTAACGGGATACGAGATGATATGGAAGGTATAGCGATTCGATTCGGGCGTGATTCGGTCGGTGGTGGGCGCTATCGACGAGATATAGGCGTAGGCATGAGGCCTATACAGCGGCAGGCGACCGCTTTCGGCCGCTTGGACTGTGCAATTCACTCGTGACAGAGGCGAATGCCAGTACGACTAGAGAGTTGTCTGTTAGCGACCGTCGTGGTGGTGGCAGCACGTGCACAGCGAGGTTGGCGAGGCGAGGTGGAGGAGATATGGAGAGGATAGATGGGTCCGCTGAAGGGTGCGAGATTCCCGCTAGCGGCGGATGCATATCACGCCCGTCCAAGGTACCGAACCCAGAACGTCGAAGCTTGTTGCAGCAGGGCACGGCTAATATCATGCACGATGGCTTCGTGTTTGCATCACGTCTATGGAGAAAAACAGAGCATCTCAGTTCAGTATGTCCATCGCATTGGTGCGATATCAAGATGCCACCTCGGACTGCAGTTCCAAGATTGTGTGGTGAAGTATGAGAGCTACGTCGTGCCGATCTGGCGACTGCACGCAAGGCTGCCGACCTCACCTCCTCGGCGTTTCTTTTGCGCCGCGTTCTACCATGATGACGACCAGCGAACTACATTGGCTCCCATAACAAGCACATATTGACCTGACTCAGATCCCGTCCCTCGCGACTTACTTCTTTCTACTTTCCACTGTGAACACATGCACGGCTATTTTCGCCGCTTGTCTGCATCACCATACTGCATCTCGAAACAACAAGCGTAACAGTAGCAGCATTGCGCATTCATATCATACTGTCGCGGTCTTCCTATCTCTGAGTTAAATTCATCTCGACGCCTGAACTGCTGCAGGTGAGGTCGGTAGCAAGGTTGTCTCGTCGGGAGGCATACTAGCCCACCAATCACGACACACTCCATCTGCACCATCCCGTCAGCCCTAAGTGGCCGCTGCACGTTTTTGGGTGCGATCAACAATAATATCACGACTTCATCTTTGTCATGAACTTAATCATGGCCGACTCTGTCAAGATCGAAAGCCGGCCCATCCCAGCCTTCTACTGTTGTTATCTGCTCCGCTCCAAAAACCGAAAAGCTTTCTACATCGGCAGCACCCCCAATCCGGCGCGTCGTCTGGGTCAACACAATGGCTCAAGCAAGGGCGGCGCGAAGCGTACATCAATGCAGGGGAAGCGGCCGTGGGAGATGACGTGCATCGTTACTGGCTTCCCCTCCAGAGCCGCCGCGTTGCAGTTCGAATGGGCGTGGCAAAACACGCACGCCACTCGACACATAGAGCGAGAGGTGCGCGACGCCAGGTTGGAGGAGCTTCAAAAAGGCAGGAAGAACCCATCGCCAGTCAAAAGGCCGCGGCCACCAATGTCACTGGAAGCGCGACTGAAGAATCTACATCATCTTCTAGGTGTTGGGAGTTTCAGCCGATGGCCGCTGCACATCCGTTTCTTCGCCCAGGACGTGTTCGCGCAATGGGAGAAGCATATCTCTAAAATGAAGACGAAGCTACGAAAGGACATTACCATCAGAGTGACGCCCGCTGAGCTGCCGAAGCTTGCGCCTGACGTGCAGAGCGAGATGCGAACTCACTTCATTCCGGAAATAATACGAGCGATCCCCATTGCGTACGAGGACTGTAAGCAACACGTCGAGAAGTCGAAGAGCATTCTTGGGGACGGCCAACAAGGAACTTGTGGTGTTTGCAATTCGAATATGAGTGCTGAAGAATCGCTTGTGCTGGTCTGCCCAGTAGAAACATGTCGCGCAGTATCGCATATGGCTTGCATGTCACAGAGATTCCTCGCAGAGGAAAGCAATGCAGATGCGCTCATTCCAACCCAAGGGGCATGTCCGACCTGCCACACTTCGTTAAGATGGTCAGACCTGATGAAAGAGCTCAGTCTGCGCATGTACGGCGAAGAAGAGCTGAAACTAATGTTCAAGGCGAAGCGGAAGAAGAAGTCAGACGGAACGGTTGAAGACGATGCGGAGGAGTTTCCAGATATTGACGAACTCGAGGTTGACATGGACGAAGATCTCGATGAGACATGGGCTGAGAATGTGAATGACGACGAGGACAAGTAATCGTGGCTCAGGGCCGTACAAGAATATCTACCACTCTTCCACCGTCCTAAGCGGCAGCTGTCCTTTCGCAACCCGCTCAATACACCTATCAACCTCCTGTCTAATCTTCGCGGCAACATCCGTCATACTCTCACCCGCATCGATGCGGACAAAGTCCTCGCCCTCCTTCTTCTGCATCATCGTCTCGAAAAGCTCGCGTACACGATCCTGCATTTCCTTCTTCTCATACTTCTCGTTACCATATCCACCTCTCTTCGCTGCGCCTTCGGCCGAGATATCGAGGAAGAGACACAAGTCAGGACGTGGAAGCCCGACTTCAGGTTTTCGGCACCACTCGAGGGACATGCTGGGGTTTTGCTTGGCAGCGGAGTATACGCAGCCGCTGTAGTAGTATCGGTCTACGATAATTGTTGTTCCGGCTGCGAGGTCGGCTTGGATAGAGGGGCTGGAGTATACATCAAGACATTGAATTCGAGAATTAGTTGCAAGTGTGTAGCTTACACTGCTTCCCACCGATTCGCAGAGAACAAGAGATGTATGACATGGTCGTCTTGCTCGCTCTGACCACTCAGGTAGCTGTTGATCATCTGACCGATCGGCGTCGTTCTATCTATATACTACATCAGCGTTCAGCTCTATTCGACCAAACGTGCATTCGCGCGCCAGCGGATGGCTATCCATCTACGTGCACGTACCAGGAAACCGCATATGTCGCACCTTGATCCCATCATTTTGCAGATCATCGACCAACATCTGGCATTGTGTTGATTTGCCTGCGCGATCTAGGCCTTCGAATACTATGAGTTTGCCTCGCGCCATGGCGTTGAGTCGGTGATACAAGAGGTCGTTGCTTCCCTGTAGCAGTTGATGCGCGGTTGAAGCGAGGTGTTGGTGGGGCCGTCGCCACTCGCGCTAGCGACGAACTCATATCCCCCCGGGCGTGCCCAATGTGAGCGTCGACCGTCTACGACAATTCATCAACATGCTTATCTTCTCATTCGTCCACGTTGCGAGCCTGGCTGTCGGGTCGTCATTCGCAGCCAAGACCAGCAATGTGATCGAATCAAAGTAACCACCGACCGGTGAACCGTATACATCTTTAGCATGCAGACTGCGCAATACCAATGAGAAAGCAGGTTATCTGGTCGCACAAAATCTGACATGCATACATCATACCCTATTGGCCAACGAGAATGCCTACCGCGGAGAGGAGATAAGGTCGAAGCAGGGTTTGTCTGCATTCAAATAGTCGGAAAGGATGGATGTGATCCCACCTTATAGCTCAAACTATTGAACTCTAGCACAATGAGCAGGGGCGACGTCATGGAACCTCCTACCGGCCTTTTTAAGCGACTGAACGTTGACGGGGCGACAAGAAACAGTACTCCGGACGATGCTGTGCGGCCAAGCATGACGGATGATGAGCGAGGAGACTTGGAAATCAGTACATGGCAGGCATGCAAGGAAGGACGCTACGCCGATGCCAAGTCGAATTTGGCCAAATTGGAGCCTCAACATGTCTCGCATTTCGTCAATTATAGGGACAAAGACGACAATACCGCGCTGATAGTTGCTTCCGCGGCGGCTCATAAAGATGTGGCATGTGCAACAATTATTCCTCTCCTGTTGGAAGGGGGTGCCGATATCAACGCTAAGAATAAGAAAGGTCGGACTGCGATGATGGAAGCAGCACTATGGGGAGGATTTGCAGCAGTGAAAGCTCTCCTGAATTGGAAACGAGGCAGTCTCGCGGACGCAAATTTGAAAGACAAATCGGGATTTAAAGCCGTTGACTTGGCTAAGACGAATAAGAAACTCGCGATCGAGAGAAGAGGAAGATGTGCTGATGGTGAACATGTACAGAAACATTTCGATGAGAAATTGCGGATCAGCATCGTGAAGCTATTGAAACATGTCGGCAATAGCGAAAGTGTGCTCCAATCTACTCAGCACGTGGGCATGCCGAAGCCTGTTGAGGGTGGCAAGGAAGAGATTAATGCAAAGATGTTGAAGAAAACCCAAGCAAAGCTGAAGGTTATGGAAAGATTGGCTGGAAGTCGCCTGAATGAGCTGGAATGGATGAAAAGAGAGCTGAAAAAGAAGGAAGAGCTGCTCGCAGAAGAGCATTCGAAGTTTATGAAGGCTCAGGCCGACATGAACGATGTCTACGCAAAGTTTGGATCACTGAATCGGAGCAACGCCGACACAACTGATCAAAACCCCCAATTCAGGGAAACGAGGATGCTTTTCGGCCCCTCTTGGATCAAATTCGACTTCATGATGACCTTTGATGTCACGCCTAAGCATGCGGACGCAACGATGGCGTACATGAAGATAAACGAAAGACATTTCGCCAAAAACGGGAAAGCTCATGACACCCAAGATGGCTACATCTCAGGAAGGGAGTACTCGGAAGAAGCTTTTCAATTACTCGAACTTTTAGGATCTCGTCGCGATTCAACATATTTCCAGCACGTTGAGCCACAGCTCATGGCCCTATACGTTGAAGATTTTCGAAACGGCGAGGGTTTTACATTGGTCCAGTTCATAGAGCATCAGCCTACAGAGTCACTTTATGGGCATGGCAATCCGCTGGTAGTGGAGATATTTGTCAGTGCACGGCCTTGCCCGACATGCGTGGAGCATAAGGACATGATAAACGAAGCTGCAAGGAGGCATAATTTCGAATTTGTGCTTACGTATGCTACATGTTAGCAATGGAACTGGGGGTTCACAGCTATTGTTAGTATATAGACATGGTATGATTCGAAACGCCTTGATGCTGGGAAAGCCGTCACTACGTGTTTGTATCGTGTTATCAGGCTTCACGCATCCGTCGGTAGCGTTTTATACGGAATTTCAATTCTGTCTGTTCACTGCTGTAGCGCAATTGAAATACTACCTTGAAATTGTTTTCACTTCTTTGCGATTCTAAAGAGATCGTGCAGGCAGTATTCTTGAAAGAACTATAGGTTACGAGCACTATCATGCTTGCTATTGGAGAGTAACAGCAAACAAGCCATGCAGCAATTTATATGCCCACACTTTGCCTGATGTTATGAGAACGGTTACAGAATCTCCCACCATCATGTCTACACAGGCAATCATGACCTGCAATACCGCGCGGGAGAAGCTCAAGAGACCATAGTCTGCGACTACAATAACAGAAACTCAACGACAGCGCCGATCAGATGCACTCAAAGCGAAGGAATTGTGGGCTGAAGTCTTGACGGAGTTTTGGGAACGCCAAGGAAACACTGTCGAGAATTACAATCTCAGAAGGAGGAGGCAGCCTGTCTTCCGATTCTTAGAGCTACCCGGTGAGCTTCGCAACATGATATACGACACCTGACTGAACAATGAGAAGTCTGCAAGGAATCATGATATGATGAAGAGGACGTGGGTTCATCGGGGAACAATGGGAGGTAAGAGTTGGTATGACCACAGCATATGGCAAAAGAGCGTAAAGGAGATCCATGCACGAAAGCCCACCAGGGCACATAGAATACGGGATGCCGCTCGAAAAGCTGAACTCGATATGATCTTGGAGAGACGACTTAAGCTCGCAACTTGTTCGAAGGCCGTACTCACAGTTGGCGCCCATGAAACCTTCTACTTGTACAAGCTGGAGCACGACATGTATACTTTACCATCAAAGAGGGTGACAGATGGCCAAAACAACCACGACCAAGACATAGTCAAGTCGGGCAACAGGAAAGCGAAGAAAGGCGTCCTGGAAGTCAATGCCAGGGGCAACCTGTTCGACGACCTTCCGATGCTCTCCTGTGTCGATCGCGAGATCTTCACGCATACGCTATTCCTCTACTACTCCACGGCGAGCGAGGGTCTATAGGTCAAATGGATAGTGCGCAATATGGACTTCTTCCCTTTCCTGCGTTTCTACCAATCGTTCACTACAAGTGAAAACGCGGTCGAGATTCCTCCTTCAAGATTGCATATCGAGTTTGACAAGGAAGACGAGGAAGCTGATGACGGCCTACATGTAAAGAGGCTGGTTGAGCTGCACTGGCTGTACGGCTTTCCACTCTGGGGCTGCTTAACCGGCTTATTTAATCGTCAAGATCGCAAGGGGCCGTTCGGGGACTACATGTACTCAGTTCGTCAGATCGTAGCGCTGTACCGCATTGGTCACGAAGCTTGGAAGTCGCTGTCCATTGAGCAACTTCGCCTTTGTGAGGCAATGGGCGATGACAGCTCTTTAGAGAGTAACTTCGCAACACTCTCCGACGCTGAGCTTGTTGAAGCAGTCATCGATATGCTATGTAGAGCGATCGAGTACAACCTCGGGTACATAGGCAGCTATGCACGCATTGGTCGCGATCAGACGGAGTGGGATCAATGTATCTTCGAAACTTTCAGGTATAAGGGATCGCCTGTCAGGACGGCTTGTCAGAAGGAGCATGCGATCGTCCATATTATCAGCCTGTATCGGAAGAAGGTTGACAAGGCACTACGGGAGCAGCTTGAGGAGGCATATGAGGATTGGGAGAGTGCTCAAGATGATGCGCTCATACCTGAAGGGGTGGTATTGTGATTATACAGAGAGATCGTAAACATGCAATTAGATCGTGACTGTCTTAGCTTATGGCACACTGGTGACGCCACCAAACGTGAGATTGTGTTTAGAACCTTGGAAGGCTGACTGCAGGTGTCTGGCTGTCATCGGCCACACGGCACACTGAAGGTCGGGTTTAACAACCGCGGTTCTTTGTATGCCTGGAAGCACAGTGCTGACATCGCGATACGTCCGTAAAGTCCACTTCGGTGTATGATGATTTTCTGCCTATCCATGGCTGGCGAATCAACGTTTGTGCTGCCCGGGTTCGGCCGACCACACGTGACTGACATTGTCAGCGTCCCGCCGGCCGACGACTTTCGGGGATCTAGAGCAAGAAGAACGACAATACAGATTACGGATGCCTAGATTCCGACCCGACATAAATCGCGACATTTGCAAAGCAGAATGGAGCTCACAACCCCACAACCTCCACTGTTTGAGCTGCAAGTCGCCGAATCAGAGTCAGCGGAGCTTACTACACATACTACCTAGGTACTTGCCGGATCTGTCGATCACCGAGTGACCGAACACATTTGAAATACAAGAACAGCTGAAGACCTCCAATTCTTCTATACAAGCCTTTCTTTCATCTTCAAATCACAAGATGTCCTCACCAAAGCTTATCGTCCACCATCTCCAAATTGGCCAAGGCGAGCGGATTCCATGGCTGCTCGAGGAGCTCAACATTCCTTACGAGTTGAAGCTATACCAGCGCTCACCCATTCTCTCACCACCTGAGCTCCAGGCGGTGTACCCCATTGGTGCTTCGCCCGTCCTTGAAGACCTTACGGATCCATCCAACCCCGTCAAGATAGCCGAATCTGGCGCAATCACCGATTACATCATCCACAAGTATGGTAACGGACGCTTGGCCCTAAAGCCGCAAGACAAGAACTTCGCAGACTACCTCTACTGGCTTCATTTCGCGAATGGCTCGTTGCAGTCTGGGCTGTTTAGAAGGGGCATGGCGCGAGGCATGGTTGGCGAAGACGACCCACGATACAAGGGCCAAGTCGCACGCTGCCACAAGATGCTGAGCCATATCGACAACCGTCTTCAGAACAACAAATGGCTTGCAGGCGAAGAATTCACTGCCGCAGAGACCATGACAGGGTGGTGTTTCACGACGATGCGGAAGTTTGAGCCAATGGACTTGACCGAATACCCTGGCATTTTGGCATGGCTGGGTCGCATTGGTGAGCGCGAAGCCTACAGACGCGCTATGGGTAAAGCCGATCCGGATCTCGACATTGAGCAGGGGCTCAGCGCAAAGGGTCCTCCGTTGATGGAGGCATTCGTGAAGGCTATGGCGATGAAGCCGTGAGTCCCTATTACGGTTGGGGAGATGCGCGGCTGATCACCATAGGGGTCGCCAAAAGCTGTAGATAGTTTTGACAGAAAGTATACTAGCTCCGCTCAAGAAACGAAGACTCTTCTCATCGATTGTTGTGTTCAATGCCTCTTCTGTTGATGATGGTGATGCTTGACATGTCGCTGGGTGCCTGCGCGACGAAGATAGCCCGGGATGGTCGGCCGCGTCCTTCCGGGTCCACTTTGACGCGAGTAGTCAGGTACAACAACACGCCATGCTCCAACCTCATCATGGCCACCTGATCCATCACACCACTCGTTCCGCTGCAGGTACGCGTCGCATCATCATTGGGACGATTTCGAAGTTACCAGAAACAGGTACCGTAGCATGAGCGTGACCTGAGCAGATCGTGGTCATGGCGAGCGGGGTTTCCTGCCAACCAGAGCTGTGGTACAATGAGATCACATAAAGCTTGCTGACCCCTCACGAGGGCATCTCCGCATCTGAGTACAGCTACATAGCTTGCTTTGAAGACACTTTACGGCTAATCATACTGCTCAATTGCACTCTACTTACCCCCAGATTACTGCTACAGCTTCAGCTACAGCTTCTCATCATGGCAGCAAAGTACTCTCGCCGACCCAGCTACCTCGACGGTCCGCTGTCTCCTTCCATCATACCCGAGCTCGCCATTCTACCCCAGCCTCTCCCTGCCGACAAGGTTCCCTGTGGCCAGCTCGTCTCAAAGACGTCAAAGTACACATCCAAAGCCCTCGAAGACCGCGACTACGATGACATTGGCACGCGATGGTACGCCATAATCTATGCATACAACACATGTAATACATACTGACGTTCCCAGGTACAAGGACGTCATCTTCTTCAACGCCGAGAACGGCAACTTCGTCGAGAGCTTCGGCGGCACGCACCTAGTTCAGAAGCCGCTTGATAAAGGCACAGAGGCTGGCACAATCGAGGCGGACGAACAGAGCGTGAGGCTGCTCAAGGATGCTGATGCGGCACTCCAGAAAGTATGGCAAGATGAGGAGGCCAGGAAGTGGATCAAGGAACAAGATGAGGCCGGCTTCGTAGTCGCGCACCGTCAGGTCTCCAACGCGAGCTACAAGCGCGCCAGACTTGCCGATATCGGTAACAATAACTGGGAAGTCGTACGCGAGGTTGGCAATGAAGATGCTACTGGTAAGCGCAGGGACTCGGGTTTGCCCGTTGAGACGAACAGCAAATGGGACGTCGTAGGGGTTGTGGTCAAGAAAATCATCGTGGAGGGCAACGATGTGAAGCTTGGTGATGAGCTTGGAGCTCAATACTGGCAGTAGCAGTATAGCTGGACTATTCCAAGCGCATATACATTTCTTACGAGTTTAGCAACTTATTGGACGCGTACAGCTTCTTTGATCAAGGCAAACAGGCGGGCTCTGCATCTATCATCCACAGTGGACGGCTGCCGAAGCCAGTCAATGCACCGCTGCGGCATGGGTTGTTGCGCGCTTGGAACCTGATTGCTTTCCCGCCGCCGACTCCCATCGTACGTCGTTCACTTCCACCACTTCACTTACTTTTATGCAATGCCATGTGCCAGCAACCGTACCGGCGCGGCATGTTTTTGCATAGAGCGACATCCTTCCGCATTGCATCTCCCCTTCGTCGCGAGTTCGTCAGAGTCCAAGCGCCAAGCATAGTATCGAGACGCAACTTCCGCAGATCTAACGCTCACCAACAAGACGACCTCAATCCACGCGACGATCTAGCGCAGAGAGCGGCCAAGCTCAAAGCCCTCGGCGCTGAAATTTTATTCTCTCTATATAGGCTAACAAACGAGAAGCACGTTGAGATAATGGAAAAACGGTTTGCGGCTGGGCCACCACCATTCAGTGAATACAAGCTTCCATCCGGAAAGCATGAAGCAAAGCGCCTCGATGAAAGACCCGGGGTCCTATCTCGTCAGGTCTTTCATCCCAAGTTTGGAGCGAACCGGAAAATTTGCAACACATTGTACTGTCTTCTTCGAGGCATACAAAGAATACATAAGGAGAGACCCAGAGGAGTGGTACGACGACCTAGATCCTGCCAACCCCCGGGGAGCTTGGATGAGTTGCCTAGGCAAACGGCAGAATACCTGGTGTTACACGCGATCGAGATAATCTTCTACCACAAATCGAAGTTACCAAGTTCTCGCACATGCGCATAGTAGTCACCTATCTACTGTCTCAGTATCTACGTTCAGCGTTCCGTTATGGCACTTTTTGGCGATGTTTGCTCACGACTACTCTGATTGGCCACTTTGAAGGCATGCAGCCGTCAGGCCTTCCATGACGACACAGCAATCCAGGTATCTTGCTGACATTTAACATTGTTGTTGCTGTGAAAGCGACGTATGATAAGTGCATATTGTTAAGCACAGGAATCCTGCCATGACGCGTATGCCATGAATGAGCGTCAACAGTAGGAGCAAGCAAATCAAAGATGGGTTGCGACGCCTTTATGTCATGTACATGGGAAGTATATAAGTTTGGCCATCTACCTGTATATGCATTCACAAACGACCGGCAATATATACCATAGTTGACATTCATCTCATACTTAGCCTCCAAAGCTAACACGAACATGACCCCGTCATCGAGCGACCCAACTGTTCTCAACAACACACTCCACTTCGATACCCCAACGCATACCTTCGATATCAAATGGACGTCGCTGGGCGCTACAACATCACCACCGCTTATCTTCATCCACGGTACTCCCTGGACTTCCCGCGTCTGGGCGCCCTTCGCCCTAGCTGTATCACGCAAATACCGCGTCTACCTCTTCGATAACCCTGGCTTCGGAGATTCGCCCATTGAAAAACTTGTTCCCAATGCCTTCTTCATTCCAAAGAACGAAGTCGAAAGACTAGACAGCAATCTCGCTCGCCAAACCTCAGCCTTCGCCGCCCTCTTCAAGCACTGGGAGAAAGTCGAGAAATGGAAGGCAGCGCCACACGTCGTCGCACACGATCACGGCGGACTAATGAGCCTGCGTGCCAATCTACTACATGACTGTCGCTACTCAAGTCTTTGCCTAATCGACGTCGTCGCCATCGGCCCCTTCGGCCAACCGCTATTTAAAAGCGTCGCAGAGAACCCCACGGCTTTCGAAAACCTACCCGACATGGCTTTCGAAGGGATTCTGGAATCGTACATCCGCAACGCTGCGCATACTACGTTGGACACTAGAACGATGAGTATGCTCAAAGCGCCCTGGCTCGCAGAAGGTGGCAAGAAAGGTTTCGTGCGCCAGCTGTGTCAGGCTGCGCATCGGAGTACAAAGGAGGTGGAGGGGCGGTATGCAGAGGTGGGGAGAAATTTTCCTGTGAAGGTCGTTTGGGGAATGCAGGATAATTGGATTCCGGTGCAGGATGCGCATAGGCTGGGGAAGGCGCTAGGTGCCAAAGAAGTGGTGGAAATTGAGGGAGCGGGGCATTTGATTATGTATGATCAGCCAGGTCAGTTGGGTGTTGAGCTTGGTATGTGGTTAGCCTCCGTGGGCGTGTGATTAGTATCTACAATACGACGAATCCGTAACTTTGCATTCGTACAATAAGCTCTCGGTGTCAAATTTGGAAACATTCCTTGCTTGATATTACATACTATTTATGAGACGGCTTCAGGTGTCCATGCGCTCTTCCTACGACGAACTTCAATCGCTACTGGTAAGGGAACCTTGAATCTGATGACCCACATCTTCTTGGGCTTCTCCACAAGTGGCTTGAAGTCATAGTTTAGTAGCAAGTTGGCGAAGATGATCTTGAGTTCATGAGAGACGAAGAAGCGTCCAGGGCTGCATTATCGTTAGTGAAGATTTTGATGTGAAAGTAGAGGGTGCTCACCAAGCATGCCTTCCATGGCCGAAAGGAAGATGATTAACACCCGTAGTAACAAGGCCCGTCTGCTTCAGCTTCAGCGCATCAACGCTTTGTTTCTCTTCCGCGCTCATAGCCTCGTATTCTTCTCTAGGCCGCGAGTATCGGAATGCGTCGAACTCTTCTGGGTTCTCAGTCATATCTGTGTCGAGGGCCATCGCCCCCCATGGACATGAAAAAAGCGTTCCGTACTTCAGATGTACACCTTCAGGTGTTGTAACGCCGTCCTTTGCTACAACCTTACGGTGCACAAACGTAAGGCCGATAGGCGAGGCACGCTGTGACTCGCGAATAGCAGAATCGATGCGATACATGCGGCTAAGACCGTTCTTAGTCCAGCCTCCCTCCTCTTGCAGAATGCGATGCGCCTCTTCGCGCAACTGTTCGACAACTTCTGGTCCACAGCCTAGTATGCAGACAATGGTTTCGAAGGCGGTAATCGATGTCGTGTGTATGCTGGCGAAGTTTAGGGGCAAAACGCGCATAGCGACGCGGTCGGGCTGCATCTCCTCGGGCCGTCCCTCGGCCTGCGCAGTTCGGTAGCTCCATGTGATGAAGTCGTTCGGCTCCTTCCAGCTCTTGTATTCGGGGTCTCCAGCATCTTTCCTCTCGAAATCCGAGATACGTTGCTTGATCATGGGTAGTGTAAACCGCGAAGACAGCCAGTAATGGTACTTGACAGGCAGACTTAACACTGTTCCAACGATCGGGTGTAGCGCTTTTGGAACAAGGAACATGAGAGCCTGATTGCGAATGACGTCCTTGGTGTAGCTCAGTACTGCTTCTAGGAACTTCTGCTCGTGACAAAGCGCCTCTCCAAGAAGCATGCGGTTAGTCAGTACTGGAATTATCTCCATGAAAGACTCCAGAACGTCCAACGTTTTCCAATTTTCTGTATCTGTTCCATAAACGTCGGCAATCGTTCTTGGCACCTCTTCTTCGAGACCCGGTATGATTGCATTGAGATTTCGAAAAAGGTTCTTGTGAAGAACATGTTCATGATAGGCATCCTTCAAGATGTAGGGATGGATAAATGAGTAATCGCCTTGCAGGGAATCGTAATGCGCTTGATGTGCACTCAGTACAGAATCCGGTTGATCGAACATCCAGCGCATTTGACTTTGTGGCATGACAATCTCAGCCTGCATACCAAGCGTCGCGGGTAACACAAAGATCTTGCCATCGCGACTGTATTTGTTGTAACCAGCCAACAGCCATTCCTTGCTCTTAGTCAACGCAGTAAAATTGCGGAAGTCTGCGATCCAGCCTTTGCCGTACCCCATCCATGGTATGCTCGATGGTGGTGATGGTGCTGTGAGGAAGTGGTAAGCACTTGCGACGATCAAGTAGGTGATCGCTGCAGCGGCGACGTGTGAGAATGTGAAAAGGTTGTGAAGCTCAGCCTCCTGGCTTGGGTCTGCCATAGTAGGTGTGATCGAAGCAGAAACAATGGGCAATTAACTGTATCCCATGTCAACACAGGGGCCGTCATATACTATTTGTGATGATCGACCCGGGCAAGCGCCGTTGCTTGGAGGAGACGCCCCGCTTCCGTGCGCTCTGCCATTCGCGCACGCTACGTCGCACGACACCGACTTGCATCTCCACATTCGTCAACTTTATTACCGACTGCCATACCTGTTTGCTTATCATGATGTGCACCTTGCTTACTGTGTCAGTTGCAGCTAAGGGTATTGCCGGGTAAATCGAGGTTCATTCGCTCCAGAGCTCCGACAGGTACAGATCCCCGGCGCTACCGTCGGATACGCTGTTCCCGAGCTCATGAGCGGAGCAGCCACAGACGGTCGCGGCCTTCATCAATCAACGGTCTCGGCAAGACAGCCCATCACATGCCATTCAAGCCAAAAGCTCTGAACTGCTCAGGCTGGCTGCATGCCTCTGTTCGTTGCATGTATGTTAGTATAGTATGTTCATAGTCCTTCGCCACTAACGTTCAAGTCACGCGATTTCACTAGTGAGGTTTTACTGTGGCGCTTGTCTGGAGGCACCAGAGGCTTAACACCTGGATTCATCGACTATCTTGGTTGACTCGTCCCAGACTGGGAAATACACATGATCAGGATGCCTTGCTCTAAACGGCAGAGCCAAGATTTCGACAATCTCTTCTAAATATGACTGTTAGGGACGTCTGGTGGATGCGAGATATCATTCCTTGTGACGGAGATAATAGTACGCCCACTCCTAACTGCGAGAGAATTCCTAGCCCATTAGAATTCCATGGCTTGACCAACGCCCGTATGTCAGGTTTTGCTACCAAGCCCAGCAACAGAATTCCTTGACAACCCCGTGCATTTCGGCCATTGGGTTGTGTAATCCCTTCATGAAATCGTGGAACTCATGCCGGTTGATCCGTACATCGTCAGCGTCTTTGTAGATCGAGAAGTTCAGGCGATCGACATTTATTTTTCCTAGAGGAAACTGACCAAATGACTTTCTGAGATTGCCTTCGACTGTTGGGCTATTCTTTTCGAAGACATTATTAAAGGTAGTTCCGGGGTTTGCGAGTTGTATGGGGTGTGCGGAACGACGACTGACTGAAAATAACGACGCGGGTAATAGTACAGTGGCCTCTCGAAGGTGAAGAGGGTGGTCGGAGGCGGCATTCGCACTGCACACTGGAAACCATAGGCCCAGGGCTGTTCCTCAGAAGCCAGATGGCTAGCTCGCAGTTTCAAAAGCTCGGAAGTTGCCTCCTTGTAGATGACTGAAGATGCGGTGAGAAAACCTGAGTATACGTCCAAGTTACCGGGGGCTGACGCGCTGATCGCCTCACATAGTCGCAATTGAAGCTCGGTGATGTTGATGAAGTTCTCAGCAGACTGGGTGGTAGGTTTGGCAGCAGGTGAGCTGTATTCCATAGCTGCCTCCCCGTCAAGGCGTCGAGTGCGATCCGTCATGTCCAGCTTCTCGGTGTGTTGAGCGATTGTAAATACAGAGCGACTGCTTGCGCTAGACTTTCTTGGAATTTCCGTGTTCATAGTATGCTTGCGGACTGGGTATGGTTTTGTCCGTAGCGTGGTGCTGTGATTCGTCTATGGATGCAGGGTTCGAGGAAAGCAGAAGCTGATTGTTATCACGATGTTCCGCACGTTATGTCTCATACGTTTGGACTAGGTTTCTTTATGCGCAACGTCTTATCGAGGACACAGTGTGTATTTAGAATCTGAAAGGTCTTAGTGAAGCTAGCAGCAATCACAAAACTGTGCTGTTTCATGTTATTTGCTCACAATGTTATCATTAGGCTCTAAGCAGGAAAGTACTCGTCGAGACACTAGCTTTCCATCTCTTGTATCTGCTCATCAGACGTAGCATGCATGATTGTGTTGCACATCGAGTCCGTGCACAGATCGCTGACATCACAGAAGTGCGAACAGAGCCAAAATACTTCTCGCGACACTGGGTAAGATCTTCGATACTGTATCCTTTTCCAGAGAAGGCCAATGTGTCCTGAGGAAGTTGCCGATCTCATAAGGTACCAACGCTCGTAGTCTCCCAGATGTCCGCGTTCGACCCTCTTGGAGAGAGAGGTACTTGTGACTGACTCAAGGTCATTCTCCCAGATGAGTCTAATCTCATGGACTTTACTTTCGGGGGCGTGGGGCGACTCGGTATCGTCGTCAGGGTGGAGCTTATCGTACCTGACATGTCTCTCCAGTTATAAGACGGTCTCATCCACGATGTCTGCGATTGTTCTTCATCAGTTTTTGATCTCCATCTTCTCCTGTGTTTGAGCGTACGTTCAAGACCCGCACGCGCAGATCATCAAACCTAAACGTTCACAATATCTACCGCTTCGCTGTCACGATGCAAAGCAGTTCACCTAGTAACACTGCCCCCGTCGGGGGGCAGGGGAATTGCAGCTTATCCAAGTTCACTATCGGAATTCGAACAATCTAATCGGACACTCCTCGCCCGTTCGCATGGTATTACTAATACAGCTTCTGTTCCAGCTCAAACCGCCGAATTGTTAGCTCTACTCCCACTGCGACTGTTCCAGCCCAAATTCCCGAGTCGTCTTGCAAACATAACGGTAAAGGCAAAGGAAGCGATTCTAAAAGCCGGACACTAATAGTTCTAAAGAAGTGCACACTGAAAAACCTCGTGAGGGTGTGTGAAGAGCTCGGAGACACAAGCGACAAATCGCAACTTCTTGCACGGTGGAAGTCCAATCGCAAGGAGCAAACATGGAAGAAAGTTCCTTCCACTGTCAGATTATGGAACATGATACACGAGCTGGTGCTTACGTTGGAGCAATTTTCTAGAGGCCTCAAGGCCGAAGGGGGAACTTCCGGCAAAGTCCGGGATGTTGCTAGAGAGCGGTATTGGGAGGCTGATTCGCCTCTAACAAGCTCAGGTATGTTGAAGAGCATGTATCTATGAACAAATTAGTATGTATGCTTGTCATGGTGATTAGAAAACCCACTGAAAGAAGATGTACCGATATCTCACTGGACAGCACTACAAGTCGAAAGCTGGGCTCTTTACCTAGAGTCTCAACTTCTGTTCGCCAGTGTCGGTGTAAGCATCAGCCTTTCTCATAATCTATTTCTCACCGAAGAGGCCGAAGATAAGATAGCGATGCAATTTTGGATCGATACCATCAACCAACTCCATCGCCATCCCAATCATAGCCCAGGCCCTGCTTCAGACATCATCGATACCTATTTCGGCGACGAACAGGACTCTACATCTGAGGTCAGCGATTCGGACACTATGATCTCAATGAATTCAAATCACGGCGAATGCATATGGTTTGTAGATTATACACTAAGGGCAGATGTCCAAATCCCCATAACGCGTTTTACATCACGCATGTGTCTCGAGCTGCAGCGAATGGGGGAACTACCGCATGGCAGTATCAAAGCTTTTCCGCTGACTCTAATACTACGCATGGACGTCCTGGGAACGACGCGAATGATCGCGTTCGCACAATCGGTGCCGGTTGACGAGATAGAAATATTCCTCCTCATTCAGATCCGTCAAGAGCGCGATTATCCATACCCAGAACACTCGCTGAACTGTGCCCAAGTATTTCTCTGTTTGGAAAATTACGGCACCGCTAAATCAAATAGTAAGACATCCCACGTATGGGATAGTTGCATGCACTAATCTTCCTTATCGTGGTAGAAAAAACATCCTTGTTCAACTCGCATCTCTTATCGACGCCATGTTACCACTCGTATCGCGGGATTGCGGCGAGAATATCGACGGAGTCTCAATCTGGCTTTTGGCCAGCGACTGTCACCTGATTTATACGAAGAAGCAGTGCACCGCATCGAGGATGCGCATGCTCTTCCCAAGAGCGCCGTTGAGTGGAATGAGACGATGCACCACGGGCAAGTCCCCGGCCGCATGACAGAGGTGGATGGGATGGTATTCTACTATCAGAGATCTGAATAGGGACATTGGTGGATATTTCCCCGTCCAAGTTTCGCTGAGCCTCCTATAAAAACGAATTTCCTTTGGTGGAAGACAACAGATGGCAGGGATCTGCGCATATTCAACAAATCAGTCTCTTACTTTTGGTCTTTATCAGAAGGAACAGGCACAGGCAAAAGATTCAGGAATAGGACTAATGATGTGATATTGCTATTATACAGGATTGAACCACATCCACCAGGCAAACAGAAGGGTAAAGGGGTGTTCTACCAAGAGAACGGTGCCCAGAAAACAGAGGTTCACTAATGCAACGCCTCGCTTATAGACACAAAGAATGGGAAGTATACACAAATCTCCGAGTAAATCCTAGCACACTAGCTAGCTTCTTAGACACACTGGGAGTACCAGTCGTTGGCAGCCTTGCAGCTACCCTTGGCGCAGCACTTAGCACCGGAGAAGCCCTTGCCACCGCACTGTCCGTACATGGAAGCGCAGCCAGCAGCGGGGGCAGCCTCCTTGGTAGGGGCAGCCGGGGCGGGAGCAACAACAGTGGCCATGGTGGACTTGGCAGGAGCAGCGGGAGAGGCAGGGGCAGGGGAGACCTCCTCCTTGGCGGGAGCAGAGGAGGAAGAGCCACCAGCACCGCCCTTCCAGACAGCAGGGCCGGGCATGGGGAAGGCCTTGCGGCCGTTGTAGATGCTGAAGTTGGCGTAGGGATCGGTGGCCTTGTAAGCACCGGGGAACTTGACAGTGGGGCCAGGAGTACCACTACCACCACCCTGAACCTTGACCTGCATGCAAGAGACGTAGTGCTCGGGCTGGTTGACGTGGGAGCGGTGGACACCAATGTGCTCGAAACGCATGAGGTACTCTCCGTTGGGAGTGTCCTTGGGGATCGTGGCAGTGACAGTGTCCTTGTTGTAGCTGCACCAGGAGGTGCTGGTGAAGTCACCGCTACCGCAGTCACCCTCATCAAAGATCTTGAACCACGGGCCAGATCCGTCGTACGACTGGACGCTGCCGGGAGCGGCGGACATGTAGACCAGGGAAGGGCCGGGGTGCTGGAACTTGGCACCAACAGCGAGCTTGAGGGTAACGTCCTCGCCGGCGTTGACGGTCAGGACTTGGACCTTACCACCGGTCTTAGCGCCACCCTGGTTGCAGACGATATCGGGACCATCGGCGGTGGAGCCATCACGGATGTCCGCCGCCGGGTTGGAGGAGAACTTGATGGGGTTGTACGCGACCTTGCGAGTGGACGGGCGGACGTATTTGAACTGCGGCTGGGCAACACCATTCATGACGTTGGTGTCAAAGAAGTAATGGGCAGTGGCCACTTGGGCGACGGCGCTGAGGACGATGGCGGAGGCGGAGAACTTCATTCTGGCTAGCAGTAATGGGACTTTGTGTAATTGGTAAAAAGAAGTGAAGGAACGAATGTAAAGTGCTGAAAAGCGAGTGTAGAAAGCGATTGAAACGAATGTATTGCTTGCTGGTGAGTTGTAGATGTTGGACGGTCGTCCTGATTCTTATATCAAAAGTCCACCGCGCATTGTACCAAACATCTTCATGCAAGTCAGGCGCCTAGACACCGGTGACCTGGTTCCGACGGACGTCAATTTCCCGTTGTAGGTATTCCAGGAGATAGGATGCAGGTTTCATCGACAACTAAAGTCTTCCTTCCGTGATTGTGGGTGTTCTGGATCTCTTGGGAAGTGGACATGACCGTGATCCTTAGGCCGTTCTAAGCATAGCAGCGCTTGTGAAAACATGCGACTCATTGAAAGGCGGCACGAAACTGCTTGTTCGGAAAGTAAAGTCAATGCGGATGTGATTTCTACGGGTCCTGCCAAGGTCGTTTACTGACACTTCGTTGCAGTCCGCGATGTGGCGAAACACTGGTCTCCTTTGCTGGATGCTTGACAGACGTAGCGCCGTTTCGTTTAGAAACACTTGACGCCCATTTCGTCCAGAAAAGTGTTAGGAAGAGGAATTCCATGGCTGTGATTCGGTGGTTGGGCGCACGGACCAGGAGTTGAGTGCCGGTGGTTATACTTCGTGACGTACGGGCCGCTGTCTGTCAACACCAGCTCCACCGATGCCGATACCTAGCATGCCGTGAGGAAAGTTTGCGCGACCGCCGTCGTTGCCACCATGTCGGACCCGCTAGTGGAGTGGGATATGGGCATCGGGAGTTGCGCGCAAGCGATATCAGATCATTCAGAGAGTGACCGAGAGACCCGCTGACAGATGCCAAGGTACGTGAGACTGTGAAAATTGATGAAATTCCCTGTGGCGTGGCAAGCCGGAAATTTGATTGCAACGTCCGGGTAGCGTTTCCTTGTGTTGTGGTAAACAATTTGCATGCATGAGTATTCGATGCGTTACATACGCGATAAGGGAGAAAATTCCACTGGAAAGCGTTTCATCTAGCAAGAGAAGGGAACAGAGTGGGGCTGTTCAAGGAAGACCTAATCGAGATATGTAACTCAGTTCATGTCATTTGCAAGGAAAGGCTCCGTTTGGCTGGGTTCCTTTTCCTTGGGTTCCGACCAGCTTGCTCGGATAGTGAGCCGAACGCGAGCACCTCGCTTTCGTAGTATCCGATATTCTCATTGATGGAACTGTTCAAATCCATGCCGTTCAGCCCATGGCCACTGCGCCCCCTGATCCTTCTGCCGTTGGGCGGAATCGCACGCCGCTCGAGTATGTTCTCTCGGTCTGGTCACCCGCCTTATCCTCCTCGATGTGCATGCTGTACAAGATTGTTGTGCCTGGTATGATGATATTCTCGAGGCACGTTGTCTTGTATCTTCCATCCTCCTTTTTCAGTAGACAAGGGAGGCTGAACCCTATCTTTTTGCAGTTCACTTTGCCTTCCACGACATAATCAAGGAAAACGCGATTTGGCCATCACTTCATGTTGCCGTAGTCGAGCTCTTAGTAGTCACCTGCATGGTTACGAGGGACTGATCTCACATTGAGTTCGTTCAGATAGAGAGGGAAGAGCCCAACGACTGAGTTATAGCAACAGCATGGTCCTCGATCCGTGCGCTGTATTCGTACAAATACTGTCACATGCCGTTGGATGTGGAACTGAGGCGTGCATGGTACCATACGGACAAACATGCTTGGCTCGTGGCGACAGGGTTCTGCATGCTCGTTGACGTACTTGTCGAGGTCGAAGGCAGGGCTAAATTCGCCCAACATGTCTTTCTGCAGCTGCCTAAAACTGTAGAATAGTCCAAGGAAGTCGATACCAAGCTCTGGCGAGATATACACGTGATGGCATATCGATAGGCGTATTTCTGAGGGCAGTGAGAGCAAGCGACTTGCTGGCTGAAGACTCTTGGGACGAATCGGTGGATGCCTTTCCAAAAATCCCAGCTCTGTGAAAGCGGCGGGCTGTAGAACTCTGATTCTATTGCTGCCCAAGTCAAGCTGTGAGGCCATAGTTGTGAGTTCATCAATATCGCCTGGGCTGATTGAAAGTGAAGGGGGGTTTGGCATATTGGTGGATCTCCCCAGCGGGCGCATGTATGAACGATGGCAGTCTACGTGTCGAAATTTCCTCCGGCATCGATATTTGTGGCAAACCAAAGTTGAAAAGCCAATCGAAGCGGACACTCACAATCAACACGTGGTGGTGGCTGATGAGGAGTGAGGTGGTACGGTATTTCCGTGTAAGGAAGCCGCTAGCCTTCGTTGAGTTAGACCCAGACGCGACCAGCAATATCAACTGACCTGTGAGCTGGCTGGTACACGATAGATGCTAAGATTAATATATATCTTGTAGAGCATACGAAGTACGCAGTGAATGAACGCTATGCATAGATATAGTGTGGGAGTGCTTTTTGGAAACTGGCCATGTATTGAGTGATTGGATGCAAGTGCGTACCTCAAATTCATCAAGTTTTCTCAGAGTAAAGCTATAAGCTGCTACGTCATGATCGAATATCATCGCAGCCGGATCGTAAGAAAATGTTGGGCTTTGAAATTCACGCGTTAGGTCGAACCCGGTGATGTAGATGATACTTTGTGCATACCTAGGTAGCCCATGCGACACTATATTTTCGGAAGCTGTTACAAACCCAAGGCCACAGTCAGCAGACTATTTCCTTTTGATATACCATGCGGTCCCCTAAGGTCTCAAAACACGTTTGTCTAGGTTGTTTATCACGTTGACAGTCGTCCGATGAAGCGGACCACCACTTCAGCAGACATGATAGTCGTGCCATGTGCATCAATCTGATGCGCAACTCAAGTTAGATCCTGCCTTGTTACTCGAATGACCATAGTCGCGTTTTTTGGTGAGAATAACTCATGTCCTGGTTGGAAGACTCATTGAAGCAGATGACATGAAGCAGGAATTTAAGAATGATCGAAACAATATGCTGACTCAATGGAAAAATATTCGTTCAACATCAGCTAAGAGTGGTGTATATAGCATCGCCCAACATGCTTACCCGAAGATCATAACAAAACGACACAATCTACCAAATAACATCATCGCTCAAGTGCCTAGTGCTTAACCTGCAATACCATAGTCTAAAACTCGCCGCCGCCACCACCAAGCGCAGCAGCACCCCAGATGCCCACCAATCCCCAGACACCTACTCTCCAACCACGCCACAACCCATGCACACCCTGACCCTTCCTTGTGCGCGGCGGCCTTGAAAAGCCCATCGCCTTTGCACTCGCCGTCTTAGCAGCATTCGGGGTGGAAACACTGATGCCTTCTTCGCGGGCAATGAACCACATAGTACCCAGCACACCCCTGTACTGACCCGGCTCGACGATAGTCTTGAAGCTCTGGTCGGAGGAGCTTGGTTTATCCAGACCATAAGCTGGGCTCTTAGCACGGCTGGGTGGGGCCTGGTACTCAGACGCAAGACGCTGGGTTTCGTGGTCCTGGAGTGCGGCGACCTGGCCGCGGCGGAGGACAGTCTCGAGGGGGAGGCGGATGAAGAGCTCGGCTGTGGAGGAGAGGAATGTGCTGAAAGAATAGGTGGTTGGCGTGAGGATAGGGTCGATGCTCAGGGTTGAGCGGAGGAAGAGGGGGGTTGAGGAGGAGATGAGTGTAGGCACGCAGGCGTGCATTATGGTAGCTGGGAGGAGGCTGGGAGTGACGGAGAAAGAGGGCAGAAGGGAGAGGCATGGGTATATAGATCGCGGGGAAGAAGAGATGGGAGTGATGATGAGGCGTGTGCGCACCATGTCGAGGGGTGCGAGGAGGGTGGCTGCAATGGCTGTAGCAGCGACAGCAACACCCAGGGATGTCAGTGGGCTTGGGCTGTCCAGGATATCCAGCCCTCCAATTCCACTTCCTGCTGAGCCTACAAGACCTGGGTCAGGTATGTTCAGCAGAGCTGATATCAAACTCCTGAACCAGCCCTCAGTCGTCTTGAGCAGGAAGTTGTAGATGAAGGTGCAGTTGGTGCTCTTCCACACACCCCACGCAGACTCCTTCTGCCATAATTGTGCTATCACTTCGAGGAGTGAGTCTGGACGCTTGAGGTCTAGTTTTCGTACAGCGGATTGTGGGGGCCGTGTGGGTGTTCGTGACCGGGATCGGCTATCGAGGCGTCGCTGGCGTCGTCGTGGAGACCTCGATTCTGAGACGCCCGATCGTGAGACAGAAGGCGAATATGGCGACGGCGACGTGGGGTTCATGCGCGGGGCAGTGGATGTGAAGTATCCCGGCGAGTCCTCATCAGACTCCTCATCAGAGGGCGGATACTGCGTCCATTAGCCCACATTCACATGTCAAATGCCCCTCCAGTGCTCAATACATACATCCTCAAACTTGCCGCTCGCAAAGCTCTGGGGCCGGCTCTTGTGGCCGAACTCTTCACCTGTTAAGCCTGCTAATTGTCCTTTTGCCTCGTGTATCTGCAAGATCGTCTTTGCGACCTCGAATGGTTGGGCGAGCAGGACACTCGTGTAATTCCATAAAGCATGATCGAGCAGTTTCTTCGCATGCCCGGCTACTGTAGGCGAGGCCTCTGGAAAGTACGAGTCATAGTCTAGGTCGGAAAGAATGTCGCGTGCCTGACTGCCCAGACTCGATTTACTACTGTTGCTGGGCTTAAAAGCGGGCGGTAATGACGAGGACGTCTGGTTCTGCGGGACCTCTGGCGGCGGACCAATAGATGGCGGGATATAGTAGGGTCGTAGGGGGTTCGGGGCATCGCGAGAGGTCGCCATCCTATCTGTCGTTTTTGGGGTAAAGATTACGTGAGGCTGGCGATGTTTATCGTTTTCTTACCCGCGGTGGTGGATGCGCTGGGAAGATCGACCGGGGTCGTGCATGGCCTGTGCGTCAACATTTCTGACGTCTCACAGCATTCGGAATTATCGGCGCATTCACTCGTTGTGACACGGCAAACACTGCAACCTCTTCGCTTCGGTATCTCCTTCTCCTATTTCACTCCAATCTCGGCCGGTTAGCGGGCATCGATTCTTCGCCATGGCTGCTAGAAGAGCTTGTGTGAACGCCTTGGAGGGGAGAATAGCGGGCGCAAGAGGCGCATCGTCGAGTCCGAGGAGGTTCGCCAGCAATTGGACAGCTGCGACACGTCGGAGATCGATCCAGACCCAGACAACGGCAGCATCCACGCTATCCCGGTCAATTATTGTCAAAGCAACAAGCCCGTCATGGCTTCAGAGTCGCCGCCAATTCTCCTCATCGCCCGCATCCCGCCACGGTCACCTGGACCCACCCCGACCGGGTGAAGAGTGCGTCAAAACATGTCCCAACTGTAGCAACTCCAACCACTGACGCCTTCTAGACGCAAAGTCACATTCGTAGACAAGGATGGCCATGCCAGCACATTCGAAGTAGCCGACGGCGACAACCTCCTTGACATCGCACAAGCCAACGACATAGAAATGGAAGGAGCATGTGGTGGATCCTGCGCCTGCTCAACATGTCACATCATAGTAGAAGACGAAGCCTACTACGACAAGATGGAGGAGCCGGACGATGACGAGAACGACATGTTGGACCTGGCGTTTGGACTCACTGAGACGAGTCGCTTGGGGTGTCAGGTCAAGATGAGCAAGGAGCTCGACGGACTGGTTGTGCGACTGCCGAGCATGACGAGGAATCTGCAGGCTAGCGATTTCGACAGCAAATGAAAAGACTTGGGAGAAGAGTCGTGACATTCACAGTCAATTTATCCGTGAAGACATCTTGGGGGAGATGTTGTAGGACATCTGATGGAAGACGTCATGGGTCATATCACATACAGCATTGAGGACGACATGTATTATACGAACACTCCGCTTGCAGATGAAATGGCGTTGAGTACGACTCTGAACTTGTGTATAGTATATGGTATCATGAACATGTTCAAACTATGTCTCTTTTGTCCCAAACGCCGAGTTGTGCATATAGAATCGCGCTCAAGCCTCCACACTGCCCTCCTTCTGCTGTCCTCCGGTGATCATGTCGAGGAAACCCTGCTTGCTCATCTCCTTGACCTTCTCCTCCCGCTTGTCCATGCCGACGACCATGCCCGCCTTGCTTTCCCTCTCAGCCTGTTCACCCTTGACCTGGGCCGCTCGTACGGCGTTGAAGAGCTTAATGACACCCTTCTGCGCCGTCCGCCTGAGCTCCTTCTCCTTCGCTGATGTGGCAGCGGTGCTAACGTTGGGGTCGTTGAGGCCAAGAACGTCCTTTACGCGACCCTTTTCCTGTGCCGCCTTCCGCTCAGCAACAATTTGTCGTCGCGCCTTCTCACTGAGTTTCGAGTCAGCAAGCTCGCGGTTGGCGGTCGCTGCGTCTTTGCTGCGGGACAGAATAGGCTCGGAACGTTTCGATGTCGTCAGCTTGGAACCAAGAATCTTGGAGATGGAGTTGGCGAAGGCTTCTGGGTCGTTTCGTTTCCGTACTTTGCGCGCGGCCGTGGTTGAGGTCTCGGAGGCATCTGATTCAGAGTCGGCAATGGAGAACTCATCCGCCTCAGGCTCAGAATCATCCACGTCGTCCACATCGTCTTCGGCGTCGCTGGGTAACGGCGCTTCGTGGTCGACGGGCGCAGTCTTCTTGAGCGCAGACTTTGCTGGGGCCTTTGCTGGTATACTGGCCTTGAACTTGGGCTCAGGATTCTTCGCGGGCGCCGCTTCAATTTCCTCGTCGTCGTCGCTGGCTGAAGACTCCTCTGCCGCTGCTGCTTGCTGTGCCGCCTTCTTGGCCTCAAACTTTGCCTGTTTCCTCAGCTGTTGCTTCGATAGCTCTTGCTTTCCGGGTAACGTCGCATTGGCGCCCGAGGGTTGGAATGGCTCCTCTGGCTCCTGGCTGCTTCCGCGCAATGGAGCATCGCGCGCGCCGCCTTCTTCGTCGCTTGAACTGTGGTAGTTCTTCTGCTTCTTGACCTTTCTCTTCTCCTTCTTGGGCACCTTTCCGCGCAACTGCTCCTCGGTCCGTCTCCGTTTTAGCGATGTGTTGACCATTGTGGCTGTGAAAGTCGGGTTATGTGAATGCTGGAGGTAAATCGCGTCGCAGAAAAAAGTTCCAGGCGATCGGCGTTAGTAGGCCAAATGACCGACGGCAAGCGCGCCCCGCCATAGTGGATTCCCCACAGAACACCACGAGAGGCACACCACCCACTACCCACAACACTACCCCTACAATCATCTCTCCCTAACAACCGCCGCTATGGTGCTTCAAGATCTCGGGCGGCGCATCAATGCCGCCGTCACCGACCTCACGAGGTCGCCCAACCTCGACGAGAAGGTGCGCGCCCCGAGAAGGCGACTGATGATAGGTGGCTAACATGCGCAGGCCTTCGAAGCCATGGTCAAGGAGATCTCCAACGCCCTTGTCGAAGCCGATGTCAATGTCAAACTCGTCATGAACCTGCGCCAATCGATAAAGAAGGCCGTCGACTTCAAGCACCTCGCGCCGGGCGTGAACAAGAAGCGCCTCATCCAGAAAGCCGTCTTCGATGAACTCGTCAAGATGGTCGACCCCCATGCCGAGCCCTTCAAGCCTAAGAAGGGCAAGTCCAACGTCATCATGTTTGTCGGTCTCCAGGGCGCGGGTAAGACGACGACATGTACAAAGCTGGCGAGATGGTACCAGGCAAGAGGCTTCAAGGCGTGTTTGGTGTGCGCCGATACTTTCCGTGCCGGTGCCTTCGATCAATTGAAGCAAAACGCGACCAAAGCCAAAATTCCATACTACGGTAGCCATACACAGACCGATCCCGTAGTAGTGGCAGGCGAGGGTGTGGAGAAATTCAAGAAGGAGCGCTTCGAGATCATCATCGTGGATACCTCGGGACGACACAGGCAAGAGAAGGACCTCTTCGACGAGATGGTGCAGATTCAGAACGCCGTGACACCCGACCAGACCATCATGGTCTTGGACGGAACAATCGGACAGGCTGCGGAGTCGCAAGCTCGCGCTTTCAAGGAGGCCGCAGATTTCGGAGCAATCGTTATTACCAAGACGGACGGTGCAGCAGCAGGAGGTGGTGCCATTTCCGCTGTCGCAGCAACACACACACCTATCGTCTTCCTAGGTAACGGAGAACACATGCTGGATCTCGAGCGCTTCGCGCCACAAGCTTTCGTTTCGAAGCTGCTCGGCATGGGAGATGTCCAAGGGCTCGTCGAGCACGTACAATCACTCAAGCTCGATCAAAAGGACACAATGAAGCACATCACCCAGGGTATCTTCACAATCAAGGACCTGCGCGATCAGCTTTCCAACATCATGAAGATGGGCCCGCTGTCCAAAATGGCGGGCATGATTCCTGGGCTTAGCAGCATGATGGGCGGCATGGACGACGAAGAAGGCGGCACAAAGTTGAAGCGTATGATCTACATCTGTGACAGCATGACCGAGAAAGAGCTGGAGTCGGATGGAAAGATGTTCGTGGATCAACCCACGCGTATGACACGTATCGCCCGCGGCTCTGGTACCTCGGTTCGCGAAGTCGAGGAACTGCTTACCCAACACCGCATGATGGCTGGTATGGCAAAGAAGATGAAGGGTGGAATGGCGAATATGCAGAAAGCACAGGGCGCGATGGGCGGAGGCAACAAGCAACAACAGCTCGCGGCTATGCAGAAGCGCATGCAAAGTATGGGTGGTGGCGCGGGCGGTGCAGGCGGCGGCATGCCAGATATTGGCGCTATGATGAAAATGCTCGGTGGAGGAGGCGGTGGCGGTGGCATGCCCGATCTGTCCGCGCTCGGTGGCATGGGAGGAGGAGGTATGCCTGACATGGGCGCCATGATGAAGATGATGGGTGGTATGGGTGGCATGCCAGGTATGGGTGGAGGTGGAGGTGGGCAAGGCAAGGGACGGAGGTAGTGTCACAGTTAAGAGGATATCAGTTTGCGCTTTTTGATGCATAGCCGCGGCGTTCGGGTTTGATATCATATCTGGGGGGTTCTCGTGTTGAGGTACACGTTGTATGTTACTACTTCCATCTGCCTCCTTCTTTGACATTCGCGTTGTAAGTGAGTTATCCTTGTCGTATCAGCCGATGAGATTGTTATGCCAACTCATGCCAGTTCATGCCAGATCGACAGTTTGTCCTTCCAGAATCATCAAGACAGCACTTCCGACTCGACCTGTTTGCGCCCTCCTCCTATAGCAACCCAACACCCTCTCCAAAAACAGCGCTAAACAACATCGCTCAACGCAATACTTAAACACTGGTATCCCAGCCGCAACAATGCTGTCTCTCAGATCTGCTGTGTGCATACTCATTCGTCGTCAAAATAAAGACACGCGAAGACTGCGAAGACTACGAAGACTACGAACTAGAGGGTCTATTAATGCACCGCAAAGATCTCGAAGATCTACTAGCCGCGTACTCTGCCTTAGACGCCAACACAACGATACCAGACCCACCTTCTCGCACGATCCAACTACACGTCTTCCTCCCACTAACCTCAACCAACATCTCCACCACCCAGACGTGCCGTGTTGTCGTCCCAGTCCGCCATCTTCTCCAATACCTAGTAGCAACGCACTTAGACAATCTCGTTATTGACACGGATCTTCCCGTGTCGGCGACGCAATCGCGGGCGACAAAACAGCTTCGATAACATTTTGTTTCGAATCTAAGTCGGGAGGTTACTGGGTGGTTTATAGATGGTCGTGCGGGGTTTCAAGTCATTCTGTGTGCGAACGGGAGGAAGGATGATGTGGGTATTTTTGCGGGGCATGTCCTAACGGGGGCGGAGGAGAAGCAAGTGGAGGTGAGCTTGAGGGCTGGGGAGAAGAAAGAGGATGAAGAGATTGGAGGGGAGAAGAGGAGTGGAATCGTTTGGCAGGGGCTTTAGCGGAGGTTGGGGTATGAGTCTGTATAGGTTTTGCGCGTTATGGGAGACGTAGAGATCGCCGACGACTACTGTATCGTGTGTTATATCAGCTCCTCGCCTTTCTTGTTTTGTTCGTCCTTCTGCCGCGCTTGCTCTTTTTGGTATTTTTCAAAGTCAAAGCCTAATTCCTTCACATCTCTTATGTCCTTCCTTTTCTCTCCCATCTTCCCAAAGGCTTGTCTTATCTTGGGGAAGTTCTCACGACACCAGTATTCCCATTCACCCCAGATCGGTGGTATCTTCCCCTTGCCGTTGTTTTCCAACCCCTCCTTGCTCTCAGCGCTCAATGCCCATCTACTCATTGCATTGATATAATTTGCATCCTTGGGGAAAGGCAAAAGATGGAAATTCCGTCCAGCACCCATTTCTTCCTCTATGCTCTTTTCCCAGTCGCGCATTTCTAAGTGTGAGGGAAGCGAGAGACGACCGGCGTATACGCGTGCCAGGACGGCGGATTGAGCTTCTGCTATTGGGAAGGGGATGACGCGTTGGTTGAGGGCCAGGAAACTGAGCGTTGGTCGGGGTGCGTAGAAGAGATGCTGGTATGTGTGGTTTACCCTCTCACCAGTGGTGATGAGTTTAGGTTCTACATCTTGCAGGAAGGGCAGGCTGTAGAAGTATCCGGTAGCAAAGACAATCGCATCGATGTCGCGCTCTTCTGTTCCGTCCTCGAACATCACGCCTCTACTGTTAGGGAGAAACTGCTTAATGGGCGGAACTTCTCGTCTCTTTTGGTCTTCGCCTGCTGTTCCGTGGGTTGCGCTGAACATGGATTGCGATCTTGTTGACCAGAGCAGTGGCTTTTGACAGAACTCAGCGATCTGAGCGCTCACGTCTGCACCAGACGCTGAGTTGCCTATGACGATTGTTTTCTTTCCGGTAAAGTCTTCGGGTTTGCGGTAGTACTTCGAATGGCTGATGCAGCCGGGGTGCTGTGCAGCCCACTCCTTGATACCGGTCATGGGTGGGATGTAGGGAACTATGAAGTGGCCGTTTGCTACAATGACTGCATCGTAGACTTCGGAAGTATCTTCATTCGTGAGTAAGTTTCGCGTAATGATTCTCCATGGGCTGCTGGCGACATTGGGTTCCATTGGGCTGATATCGATGACTTGTGTACAGTATCGGACAAGGTCTTGTACATCCGCGGAGTAATCGTCGATATATTTTAGTACTGTCTCATGAGTAGGAAAGAGTTGACTTTGGGCGGGCCAGTCTAGGTCTTGGAAGCCCATTAGCCCTCTTGGTATATTCGTTTCGAGGTTGGAGTACATTGGCGACAGGAAGGAGGGTATTTTTGAAGTCCCATTGATGCCATTCGTATCGATGTTCCCATTCGCTATTGCATCTTCGGATTGCCACTCTGGTTTTTGGACGTCTCTGTTGGGATTGGTCTGAGGTATGTCGAAGAGATTCTCATCTCGCTGTTCGCCTGTGTATATCCAGATACCTCCTGGTCGGCTTCGTTGTTCAAACAAGACGATCTTATCAAATGCCTTCTCAGCTCGGAGATATTTTGCTGCCGCCACACCCGATGGCCCAGCGCCTACTATGACTATCGTCCTAGCTCTTATTGATGTTCTATCGCTATCGGAAGACATCGCAGCTGATTTGAGAGGGGCGAACGAACGAAAGTGACGAGATGATAGCGAAGTACGCGCAGACGTAACAGATATTCTAGCAAAAGGGTATCTCGAAAACAGCAAGGAGACCATAGGAAAGAGGTGGTGGTATGAGATGACGCCGAGACATTGAGGTGCAAAGCGAGGATCGGAGCTGATCGGAACACCATTCCGATCGGAACTAGGCAAGGCTGACGCGCATCATCGACCTCGGGCAGCTTCATGTGACATGAGCTTGCGCATACCACCGGCGGTCAACTGATGATTCGGCCCTACCGAAACTCTATCAACGGTACTTGACTGATACAACCCTCATTCACGTAGACTTCTCCTCCTATCTAGTTCCTACCTAGCAATGCTACGCACACTGCGACTTGCACGCGTTTCACCAACCCCACGACCAGTCCGAAGCTTCTCAACCAAGACAGCAGCCATGGCACCGCTACGCATCGGCTTCGTGCCAGGTAGGCGCGTCATCAATACTATTGCATCCCCCGCTGACGGAAATAGAACACTTCTCCACACCGCTCGAGTTTGCAAAGAAGCACTACGACCTCGATGCGAAGCTCCTCCCGTTCCCCAGTGGCACAGGGCATATGGTCACTGCTCTGCAAGCCGATGAAATCGATATTGGAGTTGGCCTTACCGAAGGCTGGATAGCGGCACTGGGAAAAGCACAGGCGGCTAAGCAGGACGCTGGCTTCAGCGTGGTGGGGACATACGTCGAGACTCCGCTGTGCTGGGCCATATCCACAGGCGCCAGAAGGAACGAGCTCAACGGGATAGAAGACCTCAAGGGCAAGAAAGTCGGCGTGTCAAGGATAGGAAGCGGCAGCTACGTGATGAGCTTCGTGCTTGCCGACCAGCAAGGGTGGCTCGACACTTCGTCCAACAGCCCACCATTCCCCGTCGAGGTGCTGAACACATTTGCAAACCTCCGCGATGGAGTCAATGACAGCACGGCCGACTTCTTTATGTGGGAGCACTTCACGTCGAAGCGCTACTACGACAACGGCGAGATCAAGCGCATCGGCGAGATCTACACACCCTGGTCCTCGTGGAAGATCGTCGCCGCAAACCATCTATTGAACCCGAAGAACTGGAGTTCGGCGCCCAACGCCAGCAAGCCAGTGCTTACTGGGGAACTCGAGGACGTCATGGACAAGATCAACAAGGGAGTCAAACACTTTGAGGAGAACCAGGAAGAGGCCGTCCAGTACATAAGCACCAAGCTCGATTACTCGGAAGAGGACGCGCGAGAGTGGTTGAAGACTGTTCGCTTTGCCAAAGACGTGAAAGGCGTGAACAAGGAGGTCGTCAACAAGACCGTTGGCATACTGCAGAAGGCTGGTGTGTTGGGCGGGCAGGTTGATCAGTCCGCTATGATCGGGCTCGAGCGACATGCGGCATGAAGCTAATCTGTGCCAACCGCTGATTATCATGCCACGCGCATCGGAACACGGTTCGCGGACCGTGCCCAATACTTTAGTGTCGGCAGGCACACCGTGCAATGGGATCGCCAGTGCATGGTCGGAACCATGTCAAAGCTCGGAGATTTGGGTAACATGCTTTTTGTTTGTTATGTATTGCATATCAGTCTGAGCATCCGTCTGCAACTACCAACGCACCGAAATGCCTTCACCTGTACCGTCACATCGAAGAGTCAATACAACGCACAAGGCAATGCATTCACCTGTTTCACCTCTGCAGAGTGCGACTTCACAGCACCGCGAAGCTTTTATACTCGCCGGCAGGTTTTCATGGAGTTCCATTGGAGATTCTCGCACAGCTACCTGCGCCTCGACCACCGACCTTCCACTGCAACGGACCCTAAAAGCCTTCGCCTCGGAGTCCAGCCCAACACGAAGAAAGCCCACTTTCGTCAACTTCTCCAGACCGCTACCCCCGCAATGCCAACCGGCATTCCGAAAGAGCTAGAGTTATCTCACCTCGACCAGCAGCCACACATACGCGTCTATGGCCGCTACTATATCATCTTTCCCTTTCCGGACATCAATCGCGCCCATAAAGCAAAAGAAGCGCTGCACGATGGCTTCAAAGAAGTTTTGAGACGGTTTCCATATCTTGCTGGCACTGTCGACCTAGACCCCTCTACGGACCTTCTCCGCGTGCAGTACCCCGACCCTATTGACCTCGAAGCCGAAGCACGACGCATATTCACAGTCAGTTACGACGATGCACAGCATGACTATGATTCGCTTGCGGATCATGCTTTTTTACCAGATGAATTACCTGCTACGGTCTTCTGCCCGAACGAGCTGAAGCACCACGCTGGATTGGGCGAAGATGCGTATGCCGAAAGAATGACAAGCTTTTCGAGGGGACCGTTACCAACCTTCGCAGCCCAGGCTACCTTCATTCCCGGAGGACTGGTACTGAGCGCCTGGTTCTATCATGCCGTTGTCGATGGCACAGGCAACGGAAGGATTCAAAAGATATGGTCTGATGCAGTACGAGCCCTCAATCCTGACAAGAACAAACTACCGCCAGTGCGTCCGCCTGCTAGATACTATCGAGTGCCAAGCTATAAAGATCAGCTCCAACCACTGAAGGATATCGTCAAAGAATGGAACGTCATACCAGACCCGTCATCAGCGCGTCGAGCACTCGCAACGCTGGTTCAGGAAGCGGATGCAGCAGGCCAGTCTACTAAAGCATCTGAGAAGCCATTCGCGAAGCGCTTTGAGCTCCGCAAAGGACCGGACAAAGGACCCAACAAAGTAGTTGCCGAAATGTTTCGCTTCTCATCGCAAGCTATCGAAGAGCTTCGCAACGAGCTATCCATTAAGATCGGGAAGCGTGTATCTAACTTCACCGTACTGTCAGCTATCGTCTGGGCAAATGTCATACGCGCCCGCTCGAAGTCGATCACCGCTTCGGGTAACACGCAGTCGACCCTTGCCGTCGTTGTAGACCTCAGAAAGTTTCTTCCACCACCCTTCTCATCCCCGGACTATCTGGGCAACCTGGTACTGTCCGCTACGCCGACCCTAAACCTTGATGGCGCCGCGGCGTCTCTTGAGGACATCGCAGCCAAAATCACAGACGCTCTGCACGCCATCAACGCGACATGGGCAGTCACCCAGATCAACAGCGTCCTTATCAATCCTACCGAAGCGCAGCAATCTCTTCTGAAGTTTCCCAAAGGCCCAGACCTATACATCACTAGCTGGCAGAGAATGGGAGCCGACAGGATATGGGGCATCCCAGGTACAAGCAAGCCAAATGCAACTGCGATTCGGCGAGCGGCGTGGGTCAGCGAAGGTGGCATCGTGGTGTTACCCAGGGAAGAAGACAAAGAAGGGCAAGAAGGAGAGCCGTATGAAATCATGATCAGTCTTACACAGGCCGACATGGAAAAATTCAGAGACGGGCTGAAGAATGCCGGATGGTTGGTGGACTCGGCTTATAGGCCTGGCAATGTCGTTACCTGGCGTAACATTTTCTCTCGCCGTCTTACCGGGTTTGGGTTGGCCTACGGCGGTGCGCTCTGCCTCTTGACTGTGGTGATCTGTGTGTGCACTCTCTCCCAGTCTGCGCGGATAGCTGGTATTACACAGGGTCCTGCTCAGGAAGAACTAAGGTAGATATGCTTTGTTCAGAGTGTCGGCTTTAGGTGCTCTGGCATCGGATAGGGCGTTCCCCTCCTTATGACGAAGGAGGTAGAGAGAACAAGGCGACGGCGCCTGCGATGTGACCGGAGTGGCTACCAGGGCTGGATGTAACTTAAACCCCCATCTCAGGGCGTCCTCAGTTGAAGCTTTCAATATTGCTGAATGACCATACTTTCAGGTCTCCATTGTTCCTGGTTAGTGCTGTTTACCCCCGGCTTCGCAACGAATAAGAGCATGCCTCGCTTGCGCGATTCCCTTCACCGCTCGGACCTGTACCTGCAGTTTCATGACTAAAAGTGACGATCAACCGCCTACTAGCGCCCCATCAAGCATCGACCCTGAGAAAATCCAGTTGCTACAGCATCTTACACCAGCGCCCAACAATTAGGCACTATCGTTACTATCTACAGATCTTGCAAAATCAGACTAAAACGGTAGTTATGGATCCAGAAAGAGAGTCATTGCTCTCATACCACGAGACGCAGCGTGAAAGAACACAACAGCTGCTTTCGCACGAAATTACGGCGAGTGCGCAAGCTAATGAGGATTACCCTGTTGATCATGGCAAAGTGGCATGGATGCAGGTTCTCGGTGGGTTCATTCTGTTCGCGAATTCCTGGTGAGTGGCATGCAACGTCAATAACAAACAAGGCGAGAAGAGGCTAAATTCCAGAAGGGGCTTACCCAATGCATTTGGCGTTTTCCAAACGTACTACGTCGACACTTTGATGCCAGAACAGGATGCATCGCGTATTGCCTGGATCGGATCGATACAGCTTTTCTTCACCACTATCGGTTGCTTGCCTGGCGGTGTGCTGCTTGACCGGGGGTACCTCAAAAGTATCATCGCTGTTGGCACGGGCCTCGAGGTACTTAGTCTGATCCTGACTTCTTTCTACAAGAGCTATTGGGCTATCTTCTTCTCTCAGGGAGTATGCATGGGTATTGGCAGCGGACTGATGGCGATAGTACCTGTCGCCGTACTAGCCATGTTCTTCGAGAAGAAACGCATGCTGGCTACTGGCCTTGCTTCGACTGGTGCTAGTGTTGCTGGTATCGCTTACACTCTCTCCTTACGCTCGCTCTTCCTCAGCGTGGGGTTCGCGTGGGCTGTTCGCATCTTTGCGCTCATCATATTTGTAACCAACGCGGTCGCTTTTGTGGTGATGCGTTTGCAGCTCCAGTACGGATCCAAGGGCTCCAGCTTTGGCTTTCACCATTTCAAAGATCTGCCATACGCGACCTTCGTCATAGCTTTCACGTTGTTCGTCGCCTCCTCGTTTGTGCCGTTCTTCTTCATTCAGGAGTACGCTATCAAGCTCGGTGTGTCGAAGGACATGGCATTCAACCTGTTATCGATCATGAACGCGGCCAATATATTCGGCCGTTTTGTTCCAAACTTCGTCGCCGACCGGTACGTTCTCGTCGTATTGTCTTCGTAATAGTTCAGTACTCACAAGTCTAGATACGGCGGTGTGAACACCCTACTTCCTCTGACAATTGCATGCATCATCACCCTCTGCATGTTACCCCTCGCCCAGGAATTGAACGGTCTCATCGCTATCAGCATTGTATATGGCTTCCTTTCTGGCGGCGTTATCATTATTCCCGGACCTACTATCACCGATCTCTCGCCCAACAAGGCCTCCATCGGCGTACGTCTCGGATTGGCGTATCTAGTTGCTGCTTTCGGCGGGCTTCTCGGTAACCCTGCCATGGGCGCACTCAAGGGCGAGGGAAATGGTGCGGTAGAGAACTTCAAGGGTGTGTGGTTCTGCGCGGCAGGCGTAATGGGTGTGGGTGCCGTAGCTCTTGTTGTCACTCGATGGCTCAAGTTGGGTAGCGTGTGGGCTGTGGGAAGAGTATGAGGTATGACAGGAGAACTTCAACTCTGAACTTCCTAAAAGGCAGGTGGTAGTAGAAGAATGTCAGCTTACCATGGCTTATCTAATCACGCCCAACCATGCACGTTGGATCGGTGTTTCTACGCAGCCAATCAGACACTGCCACCGATTAGATCTTCAGCGGTAGTTGCGCATGAGGCAGTATTCCGAAGATCTGGATCACTTGATAGTTGCGATGTCACGCTGCATCTCGAACAGGCAATATTCCAAATACTGTCGAAACAGTTTGGCAAAGAATGACATATAAGACTGGATACCGTCAGCAAACCCTAAGTTGCTCCCAGTATTCCAAACACAGATCCAGTGTCTAACAGCAAGCTAAGATGCTACTCTTCGCAACCACCCCTTTTCTCCTTCCACTCCTCTCCACCCTGCCGAATGCGCACGCTGCTTTATACTACCCCACCCCAGCTCTTTCCTTTTTCGAACACATCCTCGTCGATAACTGGGGCGCCTACGCTTCAAACTTCTCGTCCGCAATCACACCTTGCACGAACTATGTCTCGCAGACCGGTACTACAGGGTTAAACAGTGGTCGCACCACGGCAGCCCAATGGATGCGCGTCATGTTCCACGACTTCATTACCGCGAATGTGAGTGCTGGTACAGGAGGTATTGATGCCAGTATTGGGTTTGAGACGGCGAGGGAAGAGAATAAAGGGAGTGCGTTTAATGATAGTTTTTCGTTTTGGAAGCCGTTTGTTGGGGAGGGTATTTCTAGTGAGTGCATCGCTTCGAATGGATGATCGGTGATGAAAATGATGCTGACGAAGCGGTAGTGGCTGATCTCGTTGCGCTCGGCACGGTCATGTCGAATAACCTATGCGGAGGCGCGCAGATGCCGTTTCAAGCTGGACGTGTCGATGCGACGGAAGCTGGAAAGACGACTGGTGTTCCAGCACCGGAGACTGATCTAGAAGAGACATTGCTGTTCTTCGAGCGCGCTGGGTTCGATAAAGTGGCTGCTGTCGGTCTTACAGCTTGCGGACACTCTCTTGGGTCAGTTCACCACGTAGGTGCCTGGTTAGCGTTCTAGCTGGGTCTTGCTCATTTTTTCGTGTAGGGTGGCTTCCCCGAGGCGGTAGATGAGAGTTTCGTCACGCCCAATAACACAAATGGTGGTAGTAACTTCGACACTACACGCGGCGTCTTCGATCCGAACGTCCTTGGCGAGTACCTGAACGGGACAGGAAACAAGGGAGGACCATTGGTGAACTCCTACAATGACACAATGAACTCCGATAAACGGCTTTACGAGAGCGACAAGAATGCGACGATGCATACTCTCTTCGCACAAGGAGTTGGCTTTCTTGATACCTGCGCCGAGCTCATGGGCCGAGCCATCAACACCGTGCCTGCGGGTGTTCAGCTCAGCGAGTCGATTACTGTTATGCCGGTCAAGCCGTTTAACACAACCTTTGACTTCGGCCAAGATGGGAAGTTGACGCTTTCGGGAAAGATCAGAATCCTCACACCAGCGGACAGCTCACCACCACGATCACTAACCCTTCGTATTAACCACCACGAGACGGAACTTGTACCAGAAGCGGAGATGGGAAGCTCAGTGTTCGGTCGCAGTGGTGGTGAATACGGAACTACGACGTACTTTCCGTTCTCGCTTTCTGAATATGCCATCCAGAATGCCACGTCGTTCTCTGTACAGGTACCCAGTGCATTGGAACAGACTTTTCGGATCGATAGCCAGGCATTCTTCGTTCCAAGTCTGACAAGCATGAGCGGCACAGCACTCAATGTGACACTTTCCGACTGCCAAAAGAGGTCGTGTGAAGATTTGACTATCCTCATTTCCGCGCCAATAACACAGCGTGGCACGCTGGCGCCGAAAATGAGTGAGATGAATGTGGTACTGAGTGAAGCGAAACAGGAAAGAAGGGTATGTACACTCTGCGAGGGGCATATTGTCCTGCCCGATGTGCCGACTGGGCTAGTTACTATCGAAGCTTTCATGGAAGGGAAGCTCGTTGACACTCTTTTAGTCAATGGAGGGCAAGCTGGCTGGTAACGTAGCCGACAAACCCTTGGTAATTTATTAGATTCATGCATGCACTTATCTGATCTACCGAGCTTGATTCTCTGTGTAAGTGGTTGCAAGATATCTTCGACGACTACGTTGTGCTAGCCGATTCGCTTCTTCACTTAATGAACTATCGTAATAGTCGCGCATCACACAATACGATCAACATAGCCACAAAATCTACGGCCATATTTACGACGATGAAGTCGATAGTGACCATGGCCGCTCACCAACATCCCACTTCTTAGGCTCTTCGCCCATGTAGAACATCAGCTCACCTCCCTCCGCAATTTCAGTATGCTTCAACCAAGCTCGGTCCAACTCCTGTCCGTTCCAGGTGACCTTCTGCGGGTAAAAGCTTGTGCTCGATAGATTCTGTGCTCGAATAGTCAACGATGTTTCTGCCGCCGTTCCGCTGAAGAGCGAGACCTTTAGCCAGGAGAACCGAGGTGCGGACAGAAGATAGAGCGGCTGAGCAGACACAGGATACATGCCCATGAGGTTGAAGACCAACCAGCTAGGAAGAGCACCGCCATCGATGTTTCCCGGGTACCCATTACGAGCGTCGCTGTAAAAATCATCGACGATAGCTCGAGTCCGATTGACTGTCATCCAGTTCATTCCGGGAACGTAGTTGTAGAGGAACGGCGTGGCGAATGACGGTTCGTTTCCAGGGTTGAAGAGAGCGGAGCCGGCATCGTTGTTTGCGCCAACTGACGTTCCGAAGCCTGGAATGAAAGAGGCGTCCAGTCGACGAACGAAAGCCTCGTCGCCACCCATTAGATCTATGACTTTGGCCATGTCATGCGGTGCGACACTGAATGCCGTCTCCCAAACCTTGGCTTCATAAATATCCGCATCCCAACCGCATGTTCCGCAGCTTAGTGGGTCGTAAGTAGTAGTGTTCCACGTCCCATCTGCGTTCCTAGGCCCTGGGAAGCCAGTGAATGTACCGGTACCGTTGAGGGTTGTGTTCGCCGTGGGATTCCATTGGTTCTGCCACCAGCCTGCTCGTTCGCGCATCTGATCGACGTCTTCCTGAGATTTCATAAGCCCAGATGCCATGCTGTAGATTGCGAAGTCGTTCTGCGGATACTCGACACCACGAGAAACACTACGGGTGTGGTTGCGCGTGATGAAGCGAAGAGAGAGATAGTCGTCCAAGGCCCCTCGACCTTCCTTGGTGGCTCCGTCGAATACAACCGGATCAACGTTGCGCTCAGGAAACACGTTGGCATCTTTCATTACTGCCTTGTAAGCTTCCTGCCAATCAATGCCACTGTCGAGTTCGCCGCGACCTGTCTCGCCGGATAGTGCATGGACGCTCTTGACGAAGCCGTCGGCTAAGACCATGTCTGCGTGCGTGCCACCCTGAACGCGACCATTCCAGTTCGCCGCACGGCCAGCCGGTAGATAACCCTCTTCGGTGAAGATAGAAATGAGTCCAGAAAGAATGCGCGAGTACGGCTTCGTGAAGACCAGATGATACAAGGGAAGAAGGGTACGATATGTGTCCCACAGCGTATAGTGGTCATCGTAGTATGGCTTGGCCTCATTTGATTCCCAATTAGGGCATTCGCCGGTTTTGTCAGTTGGCATTAGACCTGTCTGATACAGCCCAGAGTAAAGCATCCTCTTCAAAGTTTCGTTGTTACTTGTCGAATGGTCATCGTCTCCGATCTGTATCTTGCTCAGTACCTTATCTTCCCACTCTTTTCTCGATTGCTCAACGACATCATCGAAGGACTTTGCATCAGGAAGCTCTTTCTCCACGTGCGAACATGCTTGAACAGCACTGATGTACGAAATGCCCAACTTGGCCTCAAGAGCAAGGGTGCCGTTGATTCGCTCCTTCGGAGGGGACCAGCTGAAAAGAGCGCCAAGGCCCATTCCGCTCCCAGCGTAGGAGCGAACGTCAGCATACGCGCGCGGTACCGGGCGAGCCTTGAAGCTCGGCGGCGAATAAGGGTTGTATTGCCAGCTGAAGGTGCCAACACCAGGAGCAATACTGGAAGTATCTCCCTGGACATAGTCCGATGTTGGAGTCAGCACAGATCCCGCAGGCACACTAAAGTTTCCACAAAAATGGATAGTGTGCGAGTCAGGCTGCGGCCATCCGCCCGTGTAGGTCGCTGATCCATGGTATGACGGCAACCCGTCCGGGGAAGACCCGACATGTAGCTGGCCGTGCAGGAACTTCTGAGAGTAGGCCATCGACGAATAGGCTGGCAGCACATGTGTGAGGTCCACAAGGATATGCGCATCGTGTTCGTTGGCTGCAAGAGCTCCTACCGTCGTTGAATCAACGTTGACAGTGGAAAGATTGCTTGAAGGGACTTCTGGTTGAGGAAACGTGTATCGCATAAATCCGGTATGGTTACTAGAAGTGATCTCGATCTTGATGCCGTTCTGCAGAGTTGTAGTGAAGAGGCCCACTGTTGCAGACTCCAATTCTAGACTTCGGTTCTGGGCATAAGTCATGTTGTCGGCGAGGTTGATAGATGCGAGGTCGCCATAGAGCGGCATTTGCGAGATTAATCCATCTAGACGTTGTCAATACCCAAGCAATTCGTTCGCGCAAGTAGAGAACTGACAGGTTGGAGCTCCGCCGGATCCACTGACGTGAGTCATGCTCACGGCTGTTACATTTCCCAGAGGCGTGTATCCGGCATTGGCGTCCACTGCACTACCATTCGGAAGCCCGATATAGCTCGTATCAATGCCGGGTTTCGCCATTGCCCAAGGCAAACTTGCGCCGGGGAATGAATTACCGCCTGCGATAGCGGAACCAGGTTTTGGGCCCACGGTACCGATCAAAGGGTCTACGAAAGACCATAACGGCTCTTGAGATCTGCCGTGATTCGAAGTGGACAAAACAAGTGGTGTCGACTCGAAGACTGTCACCCAGAAGAGGAGTCGCAATAGAGAGGGCTGCCGCCGGCTAGCCATCTTGCAGCGCGATCTGGTCGAGATGAGATGTGATTGAGATTGTGGAAGATGAGGACCGAAGCTTGCCATGACAAGTTATTGTACTTCATGAACTACGCTAAGGGTAGCCGTTACTGGGTCTTCCCAAACGGCGCAACGGCAATACCACGGCGATGTCATCGGAACAGCTAGTGTGCACATGATGTCGCGAATGAGCAAACGAGTTGGGCGACCGGGGAACGCCCGGTGTCATTTTATCATCTCATGTCAGCACCTCCGATCGTATTTAGGCTCTCCAGTTTTCGGGCTGTCATTGTTCCGTTACCTCCGGATGACGATCCACGTGGAGACGGACCGAATAGCTGTCTGCCCGGGCCACGGTCTCAAAGAGAAGATCTTGAGTTCCGCGCACTTTTGACGTAACCTGCGTATAGACGCAGGACGTCTAACTAGTTAGCTACGGTCGAGGCTCTGCTGGAAGGGAATATTGCTGACCCACTTTTGATCAACGAAGGGAGGGTTCGTCGGCAGGTTGAACGCGGACATCTCATTCTTTCTATATAGATCAACGAACGCGTGTAGCTACCGAAAACCCGGGACTGTGGGTATACTTATCCGATCCTTCGCTAGAACTTGCGCTATCATCTGAGGCGGTCAAGGCATCTTCTGGAGCATCATCGTCCCCACCTTCATCAGCGGTCTCATCTCCACTGATGTTTACCTCGGATACATCGAAATTTTCAGATTTCCTGCGTGGGTATCTGCAGTCAACAGTCTTACAAAGACAGTATTGGTCGCCATTGAACCACTCGAGACCGTAGTCCCGTGTCAGCTCTTCGCCAATATCGATGACTCGTTTCGTGACGATATAAACGGCTCGACGCTCCGAAGAACATACCATCGCTCGGAATTCCGTATTCGGATTGCAAGAGTAGTTGATGAAGCGGATTATTGAGCCGGTATGAAGACCGTCTAACCAAGCCGCGGCCTGTGTCTGAGTTCGCCCTACTTTCGGTTTACCGATCGCGATTCCGGTGTAGTAAGTATCTCGTCCGTGAGCTAAAGTCTCATCGTCTTTGGCTGGTATGATCCGGCCTACATACGCTCCTGAAGTAGTATGGTCGAAGATTACCTTGCGCGCGAAAACATTATGGCGGCGAAGACCGACATCCTGGAGTAGTAGGTGAGACAGCCAGAAGCCATGTAGGTATTTTGCCCATGCACTGTACCCACACATACAGTATTTACCTTCCTGCTCCTCCTCCTCCTCCCCATGTTCTTGTTCTTCTTTTTCTCCGTCGCATTTGGCGCAGTTAGGGCAAGCCTCGATACAGGACTCGGTCTCATTGACATCTTCGACAAGATCCTCGATTGTGGCTGGCGGCTAGTTACCGATGAAACCTGTCGGCTTGGATTGGCTCTGCCAGTCTTTCGTATCAAAGACGTTTTCGGAGGCGACGGAGCAGTAGCGTTCTTCACCAGCTATGCGGGTAGGCACTTTCTAAGTGGAAAACAGTTGTCATCCTGAAAGTCAAAGGATAGAGCACCTTGTAGATTGGCAGCATACAAGCCATTCGGGAGCTTAGTGATCACCCCGGAAGTAAAGGTGGTTCCTTCTTCACGCTTACGCTTAGCTTTTTCCTGGATTTTCTGGAAGACTTCATCCTGTGTTGAGGGTGCCATCGTTATTGCGGTGTAAGAAAATGGTAGCAAGGCCTCAGGTTGATTCAGACTATGACTCTGTTCTGACCAGAACAGACGTTTTCGAGATGTATACATACTGAGGCCATATCGCGATGCATTGTGACATTGTGAGAGGTCATATTATATCGTGCCAGTGAAGCCGTCAGTTCGATAAAGAGACTTGGGTCGCGCGCTGTGAAATCCCGATTGCGCTCGCAAGGGCGTTTCACAATGACGATGCTGGAAGAAAGAATGATAGCACGACGAAAAATGATCCACTGCATGCTTGGCACGTCCGCGCTCTCGCACAGACTAGAGCGTCGAGTCTATAGCGTGTGATCTGGGCACATTCCGGCGTATGCATGGTGTGGACATGTCCAAGGCTTGGAATTGACGCTAACGGGCTGCAGATGCGGAGAAATATGGCAGGATAGATGCTGGTTAATATACCTTCTCCTCCGTGTCGTGATAGGGCTAGACGAATGGCTTGTACGAAGAGCATGCTCAGATGTACGCGGCAGTGCGATCTGCAACGCTCGTACCCGGCGCTGGAAACGGGGGTACAGAATAGATCGCCGTACTACTTGCTTCTGTGGAACTCCCGTCGTGGACAACTATAAGAAGCCTCCATGGTGCGGGAACGTCGAATCTAGGACGACCAACGTTCATCTTAGTCGCCACCATGCTCACCCTCATCTCCATGTTGCCAGTGCTCTTCGCGGCTGCGGCATCCGCGCAACTCACCTCAAAGCTCACGGAGATCACCGACTTCGGCCCTAACCCGCGCAATGTCTCGATGTTCATCTACGTGCCGGCCAACCTTCCGCCGAACCCCCCGATTTTGGTAAGTCCTGGCTGTACGTGCCTGTGAGACATATACTGACTTCGTACGTCTACGTCTGTAGGTGTCCCCACATTGGTGCCATGGCACTGCCCAGCAGGTGTTCGATTATCGACCGTGGGCTTCGCTTGGTGACGAATACGGGTTCATCTCGATATATCCCAATACTTCAACTTTGAATACGGATCAATGTTGGGATGTCAGTAGCCAAGAGTCACTTACTCACAATGGAGGCGGCGACGCATTAGGCATTGTATCCATGGTGCGCTGGACTTTGGAAAAGTACCATGCAGACAAAGACCGCGTTTTCGTTACAGGAACGAGCTCAGGCGCGATGATGACTAACGGTAAGTCGTGACTGTAGGAGATGCATGTAAAACACACGCTGACTCCGTATCTTCTCAGTCCTCATTGGTAGCTATCCGGACGTGTTCGCAGCAGGCAGCGCATGGGCCGGTGTACCCTTCGGCTGCTTTGCTGGCGACGGCTTCGACGTCTGGAGTGACGCGTGTGCTAGAGGCCAAATCGTGAAGAACGGACCGCAATGGGCAGCTCTTGTGCGCAACGCATATCCCACGTATCGCGGCTTCCGACCAAAATTCCAAACACTCCATGGCACAGCGGACACGGTACTTTATCCACAAAACTTCCGTGAGCAGATCAAGCAGTGGACGAGCGTATTCGATGTGAGTCAGAAGCCGACGGAGATCACGGAAGACGTGCCTTTCGAAGGCTGGACGAGGTTTCGGTATGGCGACAAATTCGAAGCGTATGAGGCAGGGAGTGTGACGCATGATATCCCGACGGATGCTGATACGGTGATGGACTTCTTCGACTTGAAGTGCAGCGGGTCGAGCTGCTTCTCAAGGCCCAGATCGGGTAACAGTACCTGGTAGTGGATATGATTTGCATTAGCTGCTGCTGCAAATTCTCCGACGTACACGAAGCATAGCTCTTGGAAATCAACGGAGAACGGAGTGCACCTTTGACTCAGACTGGAGTCTGGTCTTTGGTTCGGGCTGGTCATTGACATGGTCTGTCGGCGCGATGCGAACAACCCTGGTCTTGCAAAACAAACTCAGGATAAAGACAGAAAACTCAAGATAGCCCAAAGACAGCGCAAAAACAGGCTCGTGATGTGACGCCGACAGGATGAGACAGCCATGAAAGAACGCGTTTGGGTTTCGCAACCTTGAAAGCCTTGGCGTGTGGCCCTCGGGAGTGACCGGCGTTAGAACGCGTGACGTCAGCAGCCGGCAACGCGATTCCATCCCGTGTGCACCTAACAACTCCGAATGACCACGGAAGAATACCGTCAGGCTTTACTGTGATCACGGACGCCTTTTAACGTGCACAACGCTCATTCATAATAATGACAGCACCCGGTGTCGCTCAGTATCGACTATCGAGCGCAGTGCGGAGAAGGCACACTAGACGCGCGGTCGCGCGACCACTGGCAACGGGTTTGCATTTCCCACGCATCTGCTGCTCACGTTAGAGACGGAAGACGCAGCGCACGCGATCCGCGTTATCTACAATCCATCGGTCGCGGATGGCTTTGACCCGAGCTCATAGATTCGACGGACATTCTGTACCCCACTCTGAGTTTAGCGACCCCAGAGGATCACATCGGCTGCCCTAGCATGCAGTCCAAGGAGGAACATATCCCTCCGCTGTATAGCCAAGGGTTGGGGAACTTCGTATAGCTCGCATGGCGATGCTGGAGAATCCACATGCAGCTGGAGATCCTCCGCAGAAAGGATCCCTAACACTGCATGCTTCCCCGCGCATTCTGCACTACACTAACAGTAACTTTATATTCTTCGTATCTATTCCTCGTAACTCAGCCAGGAGCATACATCCAATTTCCGTCTTTCAGCGATGCGAGTTGTGAACATCTTTGTGGCCTTCTGGGCCTGTTCAAAATACACAGTGCATGCGTTGCTTGAGGAAACGTTTATAGGCTTCGAACCTGGAGATCAAGCCTTGGACATTGCTGGCGCCACGGTCATTGCTGATACAGATGATTTCCTGGGTATCCACATTGCGCTCAAAAGCTTAGTGGACGACTTCGAGCAGATCACTGGCACCCGACCCGGGCTCAGCAATGCCACTACCAATTCTACGATTTCGACTTCAGCAACGGGCATCATCGTCGGCTCTGTAGGGTCGACACTCATCCGTCAGCTCTCCGCCGAGAAAGGTCTTGATGTATCAGATCTTGAAGGGAAATGGGAAGTTTTCAGGACGGCTGTGATCGCTAATCCAATAGCCGGAGTAGAACGGGCGCTGGTTATCGTGGGCAGCGATAAACGCGGTACTATCTTTGGCGTACACACGCTTGCCGAACAAAGTGGGCAATCTCCGTAAGTACCCTTGTTGTGTACATTTAGGTGTCGATTGATGGGTTGCGACAGATACCATTGGTGGGCAGATGTCCCAACGACAAAACACGCCGCTATCTTCGCACTGCCAAAAGTTACCGTTCATGGCCCGCCATCAGTCAAATACAGGGGGCTCTTCATCAATGACGAAGCACCAGCGTTAGTCACCTGGTGGGCTGTAAGACACAACTCCTCCTACTATCCTCTCGACACCGAGTTCTACGCCCACGTATTCGATCTACTTCTTCGGTTGAAAGCCAATTACTTATGGCCTGCCATGTGGGGATCGACGACACCATCCCCAGGCAACATTTTCTTTACAGATGATCCAGGAAATCAGCAGCTCGCAAATGACTACGGTATCGTAATCTCTACCAGCCATCACGAGCCGATGCAAAGAGCCACCAATGAGTGGAACGCGACTGAGACCGGGCCCTGGGACTGGAGATTGAACAAAAATAACGTCACGCGCTTCATGGAAGAAGGCATCCGGAGAATGGGGAATAACGAGAGTTATGTGACTCTAGGTATGCGCGGCCCAAGTGATAGTGCGATCGTCGGAGATGATGCCTTAGAGATACTTCGAGAAGTATTTGAAGTCGAGCGCCAGATCTTCAAAGAAGTATTAGGTGATCAGAAAGTGAATCGTAAGAGTGGTCATAGGGATAATAGGTCCACGCCACGCTGACAAAGTGTAGAAGCGTGGACAATATATAAAGAAGTAGCGACCTATTATGCGGCAGGACTCAGCCCGCCAGATGACGTTACCATCATCATGCCTGATGATAACCATGGCCAGATTTTGCGGCTACCCACGGGCAACGAGGGTGCTAGGGAAGGCGGCACTGGCGTTTACTTTCACTTTGAGTATTTTGGTAGACCGCGATCGTACAAGTGGTCGAATACCAACAGCTTGGTCAGTATGTGCGGCTTGCATGAGCGATCATTCCCTGACAAATTCAGCCGAAAGTGTTGAAAGAGCTCTTGCAGGCTTACTGGCGCGATGCGAATCAGGTTTGGGTCATCAATGTTGGTGACATCAAGCCTTTGGAGCTACCTTTGGGATTCGCTATGGACTTAGCTTGGGATGTCTCGAAGTTTGACTTCGACATGATACCAGAATATCTGCGCCTTTACGCCGAGCGCGAGTTTGGTCCCGAACATGCCGATGATACTGCGGCTCTACTGATGGAGTTCAACTATCTTATTGGAATGCGCCGCTTTGAGATGGTCCAACCAGACACGTACTCAGTATTGAACTATCACGAAGCCGAAACGATCCTAAAAAGATGGAACACACTTAGGCGCGAAACCAAAGCATTATACGACCAGATGCCGCGCGATCACAAAGCCGCCTTCTACGAGCTAGTGTTCTATCCCCTAGTATCAGGCGCCACATATTACGCTGTAAACATTCGCACCGCAATGAACTACCGACATGCTATGGAGCGAAGAAACTCAGCAAACGCCCTCGCTTATGAGATATTGGCCGACTTCGAATATGACTACAATCTAGTGGAAGGTTTTGACGCTATCCTGAACGGAAAATGGCGTCACATCATGTCTCAGGCCAAATTCGAAACATTCGACACAGGAAAGCCCAAGAATTGGATGAATCCATCCCGTGACATAGTCTCGAATCTCTCTTTCGTTCAACTGCGTCAAAACATGCAGTTCTCTGTTGGCAATCTCGGTATCTATGCAGAGGGCTCCAGTAGTCCGCTCGACCAGGGCCGATGGGCTGAGTCAATCGATCCATCGTTGCCTTTCACCAAGTCTCCAGCCAAATTGCCGGAGATGAGTCCTTATGGGCCTGCTCAGCGGACCATAGATTTCTTCACGCGGGGCGATTACCGCATTCCGCTCGACTGGCAGCTCGGCGATATTCCGGTGGATTGGTTGTCGATAACACCAAGCTCTGGTCGACTCAACCAAACCGTAGACGAGCAACGGCTCAACATCACCATCGACTGGACACGGGTGCCGGAAGGATACAACGACACCGTAGAGGTTGGTGTAATATCAACGCCATCATTTTACCCATACTACGACATCATACATGTTCCAGTACACAATTTTAAAGTACCCAGCGATTTTCAAGGCTTCCCAGAAACAGCAGGTTACGTATCCATTGAGAGCCCGCACTTCCAGCGTTCGTCATTCCGTAACGGCACTAAAAGCAACAAGATATCATTCGCTCATATTCCCTACCTGGGCACGCGCACCGAATCTGGCTCTATCGCATTACGGCCTTTTCATGCTGCTCGGCTTGAAGACTCTACCACGGCATTTGTCGAATACGACATCTATCTCTTCAACCATACCACCGCACTAAATGTGACGATCTACATCAATGCTTGCCTCGATACCGACCCTAATCTTCTCATGGAGTTCTCGCTTTCTCTTGATGATACCGCTCAAAACTTCACACGTGTGTTGGGTGATCCGAAGGATGCGGGCGATGTGCCACCAGAGTGGACGAGTGAAGTTATGAACCAGGTTTGGACGAGGAGAATCAGTCTTGGTGAGGCATCGGAAGGGAAACACACGCTTCGTTGGAGTGTCAATAGTCCTGAGGTCTACTTGGAGAAGCTTGTTGTGGATACTAGGGGCGGGGTCAAAGACAGCTATCTAGGGCCGCCAGAGACGATGATGGTTGGAGATCCATGAGGATAGTACAAGGTCGCTCGCATTCGGACAATCATTAGGCAGCTCCTCTCAATAGACATCACTCCGTGGATACCGTCAGGCCCTCGAAGCGTTCCATACGATCGGCGCCTTTTATACGAAGTTTCACACCATAAATATAGAGCTACGTGATGAGGTCAGTAAAGTTCCATGCAATAAGCAGATGCATCTGCACTTACCAGTGATACCAGTGGTAACCCCAAACCTAAGACAAGAAAACCCAACAACCCCACACCCCAGTCCAGACCAAGTTTAGCAAACAATCTCTCTCCAAACAACGGAAATGCGCCAGCGAACATGCAGCGAAGGAAGGATATGGCAGCGACTGCAGAAGCTGGAAACTTGAAGGCATCGATAGCGTACAGTTGCAACGCAAGTTGGATGTTCATGCCCCCAGCCATCATAAGCATGATAGCTGCAAGTGGAACCATGAAATGTGTTCGTGTGGCTGTGAATCCATACATGAAGAGCCCGCCGACCAGCAATGTTCCACCAACAAAACAGCTAATGAGTCTCGACTCGGGCTGGTACTTCATTTGTCCGGATGTCTTGTCTCGCTTGAAGATGGCTTCCATAGCGCGAATAGTAGCGAATGTGCCGAGGAGCATACCAATACCAGCGGCGAGGAAGTCGGTGCCAACGATGCCGACGCTGTGCCCATAGCCGATGCCGAAGACGTCGGCGTAAGTAACGATGATGAGGTATACGACGCCAAATACTACTGAGTAGAACAGCGAGGCCAGGAGTAGAGCTGGGTCGAGGACAAGGTATGCCAACGGTCGGACGAAGGCGTTGACAAGCGCAGCAGGGCCAGTAGGGCGGTGCTGAAGATCCAAGACGGTATACAGCTCAGCGCTAGGCTTCGTTTTCCGTTCCCTTGGGAGCTTATTCTGCAGAACTCTTGGTGAATAGGACTCATCGAGAAAGAAGAACCCGGCGATCGAAAGTAAGGCGCTGGCAATTGCGGGTATCCAGAGAGTCCAGCGCCAAGAGACCCGCTCCGACATCCAGCCTCCACATACTGGGCCCAAAACAGGGCCTAAGACACTACTTCTGGTAAGCAAGATTATCGACGATGCACAACCGTAGACTTACGGGCCAAGCATCACGAGTCCAGATGCCTTCGGACGGGCAGCAAGATCCCACACGTCAGCCACGAATCCCCCCACTACCGCGATAGCAGCAGAGCCACCCAGTCCAGCGAAGAACCGGCAAACTGAGAACTGACCAGCAGTTTGAGAAAAGCCGCCTCCGAGAGAGAAGGCAATGAAGACCAAGTTGCCAAAGTGTATAATCGCTGCTCTGCCGTACTGCTCGCTGAGCGGGGCAAGGAAGAGTGGACCGATCGCCAATGCGAAGAGGAAGATGGAGACTTGCAAGGCGCCGACGGTACTGTCTATGATATCCAGGTCGTTCATGACCAGATGAATGGACGGCGCGAATATGGTGCTTGCGAACGGCGAGATGAAACAGCAACCTCCCACGATTGCGGTAGCGCGCACCTTCTTAGCGATCGGCCAGAACTGGAACATATGTGAGTTCTGAGACCGGAGCAAAGTTAGTCGCACTCACGCGAGGATGTTCTTGTTTGTCTTCATCTAGTGATACGAAGTTTGGATCCAGATGCCGGAGTTCGGAACCCGCGACAAAGACCTTGTCTGGCTGAGAGGCCTGATCTGTGAGTAGCTCTCGGTAAGCTTGGGTGACAGCCTGTTTCGGTGGTAATCCGGAAGTCTCGATATCAATAGACTCGTGCGTTTTTGAGCCCAACTCGGTGATAGACATGTCGGCGACGACGGAATCGATGATGATTAAGTGACGAGGACAGGAACTGATGGGTATCTAAAGAAATGCATTGACGAGTAGTACGCCATCTTATACTTCTATAACAACTTCTGTTCTTCTACACCTCTTTCATATAACCGATAGTCGCCTATCGGTGTTAGGCGGCCGCATTCGCATTGTTTACAGATGGAGGCCAAGACACAGCGGGAAGCTAGGTGAAGAGAAGAGTCGGGTCAAATCGGGTAGCCAGTCTGATGTTCAAGTAAGGTCTTGCTTCTCAATGTTCGAAGCAATGCCATGACACGCTCGCGCCGAAGAAACCGAAGAATGAATGTTGAAAAACATAGGTAGACGGCCAAGCTTGATCTTCTTCAAGGTCTTCTTTTGTATACCTATGTACATCTCAATCTTGTGAACAGAAGGGCGCGAGTCTGCGTCCTGCGTTGCGGAGAGCGTCTGGGTTGGCGGATGCCAGTCGTATGCAGATCAGGAGGCCCACTGAGTAGCGCGAGATGTCTGACACGCTACCTCTGTATGGGTCTAGCGTGGGCTGACACTAATGTTAATACCGATCATCGCCGACCGCCCGCATCTTCTCCCTCCACTCTCATGCTTCAATGTTCGGTACTCATAAAGATGTTGCGGCCGCATCTGCCAACTTACATCCGACCGCCTCTCGCACCATCACATGAACCGCCATGACGCATGCTCGGGATGTGCAGACATGCATCCGCTGCCGTTCAGCCAAGCGTCAATGCGACAAACTCCGACCCGCGTGCTCACGCTGCAACAAGGCGAAGACCAATTGCACCTACGAAGTACAGACTCCAAAAACGCCATCACTCAAATCTCCCAGTCGCTCGGAGGAGGCTCTCGATACCACACCTGCATCTTCCTCGCCTGATTCGCGCGTGAAAAGACGCGCTCGAGCCTGCTTCTCCTGCACACGATGCCATCGACTCAAGATCAAGTGCGATAGAAGATCGCCTTGTAGCAGATGCGCACGTTCCGGGTATGAGACAACATGCCTCTATACGCACAGAGTCAAGATAGCCGAGAAGCCGATCGTACCATCTTCCACCTTCGCGGATGAGGACCCCGAGTTCGTTGTTGCTACTTGGTTCTTGAAGAAACGAAGCTCTAGTCATTTCAGAGCTCTCCTCGACCGGGTAAGCGTTCTTGTCTTCTTCATAACGTCGCTCCGAGATTCACGGTGGCCTAGCCATCTTCTCAGATCTTTGCGACGACATCGTTGAAAGCATGGTCACGATCAGGGTTCACACTCGGAACAATGGGAACAATTCTCGGCGATTATGTATTCGGAAGAAGCTTATATGTGCATTGTGTTGTTGCTGCGTTTCATCTTCTGACCATTCATAGTTGGAAACATTACCTGGCCTTGAGGCGCCCCCGTTCACCATGGCCATGCGGGAGCACATTGCAGGAAACTGCTCAAGTGATTTCGCGCTAGCTGGTAACTTCCCATTTGGAAGTTCTCAGTCTCAACCGTACGCTTCGCTTGATAAGATCCATGATCTCTTGCAAAACTCCACCGCTACTGCAGTGCTCTACACCGAGGCATACTTTAGGGTATATTATCCTGGTCTGCCAGTACTCAATCTCTCTACATTCATGTCAAGGATGGAGAGTTTCCACGATACTCCTGAGTTGGAAGATTTCAGCTGGCTCGCTCAATACTTTGTAGTACTCGGTCTTGGAGCCTATGCAACAGCCACCGACGAGGTTGCTTCTTCGGAATATTTCTACGCCAGCGAAGCTTGCTTAGCGAAGACCGCATACATGTATCGTCCGACGACCACAAACATCAGCACGCTGTGTCTCATGGTACTTGCAAAGTCAGTCGCATGTGCAACTTGCTGGGCACTAGACACCAGCTGGACTGTCATGGGTCTTGTCGTTCGCTTGTCCATGATGATGGCGTTACACAAGGACTGGATGGCTGGATTTGACGAACCGGCAATCGCCCACGAAAGACATGCCCGGCGGAAGCTATGGGTGATAGTGGTGTATTTGGACATACAAACGTCGTTGATCACAGGTCAGCAATCGCTACTCCCGCAAGATGATCTTCCAGTCGGAACCGACCATTGTGCACCAACGAGCTTGGAAGACTGCTTCGACAGCATTGTTCCCCGATTGCTTTCTACCATACATCGCTTTCTATCCCGGATCAATTCGCAACACGATCAGATTACTTACGATGAAGCGAGGCAGTATAACCTCGAGATACGCCAGATGATGTGCCAGACTTCAGACTTGCCTGGCAGCGACAACCTACGCTTGACGCTCGATCTATTCGTTTGTCGCGCACTATCGATTCTCCACGGACAATTCGCACTCGCATATGATGCTCGGTCCATATATCCGGTCTCATACCTATCCTTTGTCGATACCAATCTTGCAATGATGAGACACCACCAACACCTCTCGTTGACACCGGGACAGAGCACGGACCTGGCATTAGTTGCGCAACCATATATGTTGGACTTCTTTGCAGCTGCACTGTCAACATGTGTACAACTACTTTCCACGGACTCACCATTTGATTATGCAGCAACACTCTGCATTCTAAGGAATTGTGTAGAGCTTATTGGAAAAGAAGAGAGCAAGTCGTTGTGCTTTCGCACTGGATACCACCTTCTCAGTTCCGTGTTCGATCTGACAAACAGGACGTATATGACCAGCCAATGAAGGGCGCCCTATATGACATCGGATCAATGGTTAGAGATGGCCTGTGAGCTAGCCATATCATCTTAGGGTTTTTGCTTGTAGTAAACCACTCCAGTTTGTGGAGTTTGAGATGATGTCGTAATATAAATTACTTGATTCATACACTATCTACATAACTACGAATTCAGAAGCAGTCTCCTACAACTTTCGTCGGTAGTGACCAGTGCTGTTTCCACCAGTGATCTCGGTGTCCAATACTGCGACACTAAGCTCGGGAAGAGTAAAGCGGAACACACCATCGCTTCCGGCGGTGAGCATCATGTTGGTAGTGTTGACGATGTTGATGCCGGTGAAGGGGTCGTTGTACATGTATGGGTCGCCAACGGAGTTGGTAAGGTAAGTAAGGTTGGCCATAGTACCCGGAGCAACGCCCTGGAATTGGACGCTCACAGGGACGTCAGCGTGGTCGGTGGTGTTGTAGACAGCACCCTTCCAGACCATGGCACCGTTGCGGTTCTCATCGTAACCAGCACCCCAGTAGAGTGGTCCGTAGGAGGTGTTGGAGTGGGTGGGAAGCGTGTGGGAGATGGGGTGGTGAGCAAACAGACTCCAGCAGTACCACGTAACGGCCTTGGTGGTGCGCTTCGGGTCGGCATCGAATTGGATGAGTGTGATGGGCCACTGGAAGCGGTTGTTGTTCTTCAGGACTGGTGCGTAGAAGGTACCAGGGATGCGGTCGGAGTTGCGCTCGTAGCCGATCAGCGATACGGCTTCACCAACAGCACCCTGCCACCATGGGTAAGGGTACAAGTCGCCATCCCAGCGGATACCGCCGTTGACGTGGGTGGCGGCGACCTCACCAACAATGTGGCCGGCGTCGTTGTCGAATCGGTTGAACTCATAGACGAGCTCATCAGGCTCGCGGTACGGGTGGTAGTCACCAAGCGCGTCGAGAGGCAAGATCTGACCGTTCTCCATGTTTGGTCCGTAGATCGGGGGAGTTCCGGCAGGGTCGCTAGAAGCAGCCGAAGCAATCACCTGAATGTGAGGGTAGGCTTTGCTGATGGCGTTGTAGAACATCGGGAAACGGTATGCGCGGTAAGACTCCCAGCCACCGGGGAAGCCAGCGAGCCAGTCTTCGTTACCAACCTCGACGTAGTTGAGCTCAAACGGCTCAGGGTGTCCAAGCTCGGCGCGGCGCGCACCCCAAGTAGAGTTGACGGGGCCGCACACAAACTCGATCTCGTCAAGAGCGTCTTTGACGAAGGCTGGGAGGTCTTCTTGAGGTGTGACACCACCGTCCAAGTCAAGACCGGCCCAAACACCCAGGACAATCTCGAGACCCATGTCCTCAGACCACTCAAGGTACTCCATAAGACCAAGACCGTGAGTCTGCTGGTATCCCCACACGCCCTGGAAACCAGGGCGATATCTCAGAGGACCAAGCGAATCCTTCCAGTCCCAGTAAGAATCGTTCCTGAGACCCTCAAGCATGTTACCGCCTGGGAATCGGAGGAGCTTGGGGTTCATGTCCGCAAGAGCCTCAGCAATATCGACACGGAGACCGTTCTTGCGGCCCTTGTAAGTCGGAGGGAAGAGGGAGATCAGGTTGAAGTCGAGTGCGCTGGCTGCGGCACCGTCGAAAGTGATGGAGAAGGTGTTGTTGGAATTGGGCGCAGCCATCTCGGGAACGAGCTCGAATGTGTGCTCGGTCCAGTCGTCTGCAACGGACTTGGATGGCACTTCAACGGATGCGAAGACGTCGCTTGTCAAGTTTGATTCCAGCGATGCAGTGAAAACACCGTTGTACGCGCCCTTGACCCAAAATGATCCGGTGTAGGTCTGCGGGCGGACGTCCATACCCCAGTAGCCCTCGTTCTTGAAGCCAATCTTTCCGGTAGCATAGCTACCATTTCCAGCTGAGACGCGCATGGATGCCGGCAACTGCTCAGATAGCGGCTCGTCTAGCATTTGAATGCTAAGCTGAGCGCCATTGACGCTGAAGTAGTGGTCCGTGGAAACGCTGTAGTTCTGGCTGTACTGGAAAGCACGGTTTTGGATCAACTCAGCATAGATGCCACCATCACCAGAGTTGTTGATATCCTAAGAAAAGGTCAGTACAAGGCGTTTCCACACGGATGATGATGATTTACCTCGTGAAGGAAGCCATAGCCGTAAGAGTGACCAAACGCGCCGGTTTGATTGCCTCCAGAATTCTGGACGATAATATCAGCAGCAAGCGCAGAAGTGGCGCAGGCCGCAGCTGCAATCCCTTTGAGAAACACCATCTTTGCGATCAAAAGACGATGAATTGCTGAACCGGCCCAAAAACGTCTGTTCTGGCTGACCTTATACCTCCACCCATATCCCGGCTCACTTACCGTTCCCCAACATCGCGGGACTTCAGCTACGCCAGGCCTTGGCCACGGGAAGAATCAAGAGCAATGTGCATACATGGGCCGGTACAATCGTCATGACATTTCCCGGATCGATGGCGTATAGGCGAGAGTGCTTGTGTAGCGCCACCCGTCATTGGAGGACTCAGGCGTAGACGAGCGGAAGAATTGGATGAAGTCGAGGGTTAGTTCCTGACGATCCATGCATCCCATGCCGGCGGGTGCAGCGACCCCTCTCGAGTGACGTTATGCGATGTCCGACATCTTGGCTGATGGAAAAGACGGTGCATGTCCAATACTTGTATCCACGGTGCGTGCATGCTGTTTGCGGATGTTCGGTCGCGGCGTCCGGCAGAGCGATGGCATTGTCTTCGACTCCCGTCCAGCTTCTTGTGGAGTTGAATTGGTGTCATAAGGCGTCTCCACTTGCCGAGGCTACGGAAAGAACCTGGGGCAGGCTGGGGTCTCCGCGCCCATGGCAGCTCGGTGCTTTCGCCGTCAAAATTGTCGTGTCGGCCTCATGCGCGGCTAAATTGCTACTTCAGTACTAGCGTGCCCCAGCCTCCGAGCGGTACGAGATGAGACGGTTTGGCGCCCAGGGAACCCGTTCTTGTTTGCGCTCGAACGATGCCCACGATAGTAACGCGCGGAACTTGTTGCTGATGTCCAAGGCGACCTGGTAAGATAGTCCGAAGTGGGGCCAGCCAGTGCTTCGATGCATCGGGTCAACATTCTCCGCTGTGAAAGACTGTGGGGTGGTGCGCAAGCGCTTGGTCAATCAGCAGCACTATCTGCTTTGGTAGTCTGGTTAGTGATCAAAGAAAAGGCGCAAGAATTGAGCAGATGTGGTAAGCATGCTAAAGATTCTGAACACATAGTAAATACCTGATCCCAATATCCCGCTCTCTAGAAAGTCAAAATCTCGATGTCGCAAGCCAGTGCTGCATCGTCCGATTACCCGTTCAAAATAACATCCATTTAGCCTTATTGCACACCGATGCCCTTCGTCCTCTGTAAACTGTCATCGAAAAGGATCAGCCTCTTGCGCGCTATCCCTCTTGACATTGCTCTGATTCCCCTTCTCAACCCAAGCTGCAGTTCCACTGACGCTTACCACCACGCAACCAAGTATCTCGCTTTCCCGTATTTCCAATCCAACAATTGCATTGGCGCCCTTGCTTATTGCCTCTTTCACAAGCCTGTCGATCGCTTGATCGCGCGCCTGGTACACGATACTCGTCACGCTCTTTGCCTCTCCCCAGCTGCTGTTGAAACTGCTTGCGATGTTCTTGATGAAGGATTTTGGGTCTTTGCGCGTCGCGCTGGTAGTTCCGTGAACGGCACCGAGGACGCGGATGACGCGATGGCCGGGCAGGTCGGATGTCGTTGATGTCAAGACGGCGGGTGTGCGACTTTGAGGTGCTTCGGTATCGATTGCGAGAGGCGTTGATGATGGCTGCTGAGGCATGGTGCCTTTTGAGTGAGGATGCCAGCTGGGCATGCGGTTGGGAGGGACCATCATGGTCGAGCGACGGTTGGTCAACATGTTGTTGGTTGATGTGGCAAGGTAAGAGAAGAGAGTTGAAGAAGATACGCTCTTGGTATATGATACGACTCAAAATGTATGTATCAACTAAGAGATGATGTAGTTGATGTATGTATAGTACGTGATGTTCAAACTGGGCAGCGGAGAACAGGGCGCGACAATCGATCAATATATCCGAAGAGCACCCTGAATGACGTCCATCGGGTTGCGAAACACCTGAGGACCATGCCTTCCCATGAGCTGTCATCCAGGCATAGTTCCTCGACGTCTAAGCCCCCATGACAGCTGCTAAGACGGACGGGAATGCCGTGCAACGAAAATTCTGCAGGTGACGGAGATTAAACCGTCTTTTGCGACTGAATTCTCGCTATAGAAACGCGGAGTGGGATTCCGCACTTGAGTTCGAGATGAGGTTTGGGCAGGTCGACTCGAGGTGTGAAACATGCGAGGTTGCGGGGCTACACCTCTGGTTTCAGACGCACCGCTGATACATGGATGATGCGTGAACATCGATTTTGACAATGCCAGAATCTCTTCGTATTTCGGTGTGCAATGCCGTTATATGCGCATTTGTGTGATCTTTATCGCCACATGCGGTGCATGGAGGAGGCTTCCGCGAGGCTGTTTTTGAAGCCTTCTTAGTCATTACCGGGGCTTACCAGAGAGTCTCCAGATGTGGTTGGTCATCGAGCGGTAAAATCTACTGACACACTGGTCTTTAGCCAAGTCTTTCCTCAGCATTGTCTCGTTGGTGTTGGGTAGAGTGCAGTTGATAGTGTTGTTTGGTGTATGTGATGCAATCACCTAGTACCACGTGCAGGTGGGTCACGACGACGTCTCGATGTGGTTGACACAGCAGGCACCATCGGCGGTTTCGCATCTCAAGCCTATACATCTGCAGGAAGCTTTCTACCCCAGTAGATCAAGACTCAAGCTTTGTACACCTGCTTTCCCTCAAACCATGTTTCCAGAATCTTGGCCTTGAGCAACTCTTCGCCCTTCCACTCCATGTCTATGACGCAAAAGTCTGCCATCTTTCCGACCTCCAAACTACCTACGCGATCATCTGCGAACGAAGAATACGCTGCGCCCCTAGTCACAGCAGTCACCGCTTGCGTCAACTCAAGGCGGAAATTCTCATTGACAGGCGCGTCTCCAGCATCTGGCTGCCTCGCTGACTTGCGAGTGGTAGCGACATACAGATTTGGCAGCGGCGCATAGGGCGCGGTAGGTGTGTCTGAGCCGATGGCAAGTGTCGCACCGTGATCCGAGAAGTCAGAGTACGCAAACGCTCGCTTCACGCGTTCTGGACCAAGAAGCTTCGGCCACGCACGGAGGATAGCAGGGTCTGAGTGGACTGGTTGAATACTTGCTGTTATGCCGAGCTGACCAAGTCGCTTCGCGTCTTCCGGTGCGGTAAGTTCGAGATGCTCGATACGGTGCCTCTGGTCTTGTTTTCCATATTTTTCGAGCACATTGACAGCATTGTGGACCGCCTGGTCACCTATCGCATGCAGGGCACATTGCAGTCCGCCTTCGATCGCCTTCTTGACAACGGGATCGAGCATCTCTGGTGTCCAGATTGGACCTTCAAAATGCCCGTTCGAGGTATACGGTTCTGCCAGCGCTGCAGTACACGCATCAATGACTCCATCACAGATGACCTTTATGCCAACGATTCTCAGATCAGGGCTGGTGTTCTTGTTAAACTCCTGGCTTAGTTTGATAGCGCGCTCAACCTGTCGCAGCCGATGTTCCTCGCCATCGCCAGGCATGATGCACCAATGCGCAGCCACTCGCATTGGCAACCCTTCCGCAGATCGTAGAGCAAGAATAGCTTCCCAGGCACTCTCATCCATCGCCATGTCGATGCATCCTGTACAACCAACCGCATGATACGCCTTAATCGCAGTCCGCAAGGCCGCCATTTTCTCATCGAGTGGTGTAACCTGTGCAAGCCACGGCCAAACGATAAGTAAGACACATGCTTCGCTCAAAAGGCCCGACGCGTTGCCGTTGAGATCTCTCTCGATCGTGCCACCAGCCGGCGTCTCCATCTCTTGAACACCCATCTCTTTCAGCGCTGCACTGTTACACCAGCACGAATGAATGTCCTTCGAATCTATGTAGATCGGTCTGGGATCTAGGTCGTCCAACATGCTCGCTTTAGCCTCGCCGTTGGTCATCGAGTGCATCCAGCCTTTGCACATTATGCGCGGTTTGTCCGGATTCGCTTTCGCGTACTTCAAGATGCGGGCTCGGATCTCCTCGAGATCCTTCGCATGATCCAGGTCCACTTTGTGCAGCGATTGGCCAAGCATAAGGAAATGCATGTGAGAATCGATGAATCCAGGAAAAACATGTTTTCCGCCAAGATCGCTCACTTTGGCACCGGCATTGCAAAGCTCTTGGATTTCGGAGCCCTGTGAGCTTCCGATGAAGCTAATCTTGCCATCTTGAACGGCTAACGTCGTGTGGAACTGTGCTTCGGACTGTGTTGCGCCGCTGTTGAAGAAGCGACCATTGGTGAAGACAGTGGTGTTCTGAGATCGAGACATGACTGAATGTTTGTGGCAGGAGGATCTGTGTTGTGAAATGAGGGGTACAGTATCAGATGGGCAAGCATATTGAGTCTTAGATCCGATGCATCACCGTAGCTGCCCCCACTTCTCATCGCCCATCATCTCGCGCCCTACGCGCCCTACTTTAATATTGACCATACCTCCCGATATCGCTTTGAGATTCGAGAAGAACCCGGATCGCTGAGCACACCCATGACGACTACCGCAGTGCACGTGCCGGACCAGACGACATACGAGGAAGCCCGAAATGGCGCCGCCGCTTATCTGCAGTCACGACTCTCGGCGAAGGACCGTATTGCCGATGAGAACTTCGAAATACCTATTATCGATCTGACTCCTTCATTCTCTGCTTCTCTTGAGGACCGCCAAGCGGTTGCTGCGCAAATTCATCGAGCCTGCACCACCTCTGGGTTCTTCTACATTACCAATCATCGCATACCCGAATCAGCTTGTGATGGAATTCTGCATCAGGCTGATCGGTTCATGCATGAACTGCCGCTGAGCAAGAAAGAGACTTTGCATCTGAAGAACAACAAGTTTGGCTTGGGCTGGGAGCCGAGCGAGTATACATCCATCGCCGGTGACAAGGAGGAGAAGGAAGTCTTCAACTTCGCTTACGAAGAGCGCTTGGACTTTTCTGGTGGCGATGGCAAATACAAGAATCTTGATGGGTCAACAGAGAAGAGTAACATGTGGCCTGATGAACAGGACCTGCCGGGATTTTATGAAAACGTCCGTAAATACTATGGTGCTGTGAGTCGAATTCGCCAGAGGTGTTCGTCACGTAGTGTGCAGACATGCTCACCGTTTCTAGGTCCTTGATCTCGCCCGTCACTTGTTCCGCCTGTTTGCGCTCTCACTCGATCTCCCTGAAGACTACTTCGACTCCATGACGGCGCATCCCGGAGGTATCGCACGGCTTCTGTACTATCCACCCCCCAAAACCCCTCTTACTAATAATCTTACGCCAACCGAGGAAGCGCAGATCGGCCTAGGCGCTCACTCAGACTACGAGTGCTTCACCCTGCTGCTTACATCGACTGTTCCCGGCCTCGAAATTCTGAAGCCCTCCGGTCAATGGTATATCGCTCCGCACATCCCCGGCGCCCTCATCGTGAATGTTGCCGACTTCCTCATGCGGTGGACGAATGGGTTATATAAGAGCACGGTACATCGCGTCGTGAACCGAACTGCAGAGGCAAGATACAGTGTGCCATTCTTCTTTTCGGTGAACTATGACACGGTAATTGAGACGTTGCCGACGTGTTTGAAAGAGGGCGAGGAAAGTCGGTGGAAACCAATCAGGGCTGGAGAGTACATCCTGGAGAGACTGAATGCGACGACAGCATATGGCGCAGGCTTCCAGCAGAAAAAAGAGTAACATCTGGATGACGACAAGGGGTGTGGGTGGTGGCTGGTAATCTAGGGAGGAGAAGAACGCGACGCGTCGCGAGATGCCCGGCTAAATGACATCATCTACGCTACTGTCGCGTCTTCCAGGGGCTCTCTCTGCAGCTCGAGACTAACGGCTGCATCAATGTTATGGCAACATAGCGGCCTTGGAACCTTTATGATATAATCCCAGAAATGCCAATCATCTATCTGCAGCATTAGAGCGCAACGCGGGTTGTGGATCTTGCTTTGCTAAAGGTCGTCTGAAAGCCGTCCTTGTTGGTCGTCCAATTCGAGATGGCCATACTACGTGAGACGTTTAGACTTTCATTCAAATATATGTTCGAAACCGCTGTGCAAACAACATCATACTACTTCTTTCAGAGTCTTGCGGAGGTATCGCACAGAGACGAATAGTTAAGGTCCAGTTCCGGAGTTAGCTAACTCCCAAGCTCAATCCCATGCAGAGCCTTGCCCCGACCTACCATATTAATACCCAGATGAACACGGCTTACTACTATCAGGTTGGTAGTTACTGCGTTGGTGCCTCTCGCGTTTCCGACGAATGAGATGCGTCCCTTTCGTGCTGATGTGACCGAGCCATCTTGGTGCTCAATGGTCGACGCGCACAACGGGAACAGGACAGATACAAAAACCATTGGAACAAATTCCAAAGAGTTTCCAAACGTTCGTAGAGCTTAAAACAACTATATCAATTCCTTATGCCACCTGCGAAGCGTAGAAAGACCGGCGGTGCGGAGATGAAGGCGAAGAACAAGACCACCGAGCGAAAGCCGCTCCCAGTGACCGTCCTTTCCGGATTTTTGGTAAGTGAGGGCTGATAAATTTGAAGATTAAGACTAACAAAAGTAGGGCAGTGGAAAGACGACCTTGCTTCGTCACATCCTGCAGTCGCCGGACCATGGACTACGCATAGCCGTCATTGTCAACGACATGGCATCAGTCAACGTCGACGCAAACCTCGTTAGCCGTGGCAACAACAAGAACAGTAACGGCGAGATACGTCTAAAGGAGAAGGTCGTGCAAATGGAGAATGGTGAGACAATGACTGGGCGAAGTATATGTAAAGACATACGCTGACTTCCCAATAAGGTTGCATCTGCTGTACATTGCGAAGCGACTTACTTGTTGAACTAGCACGCCTGGCTTGGTCCGAGAACGCATTTGACCATGTAATCATCGAGAGCTCCGGTATTAGTGAGCCACAACAAGTGGCAGAGACCTTCACGACCGAGCTTACTGAGGCAATGATCGACGCTGAGGGACTGGAACCTGAGGAGAAGGAGGTCTTTGCGAAAGTGTAAGTCGAAACCAAGGCGGTGGTACGATATAGTAGCTTACAAATGTTCAAAGCGCGAAGATCGGTGGGCTGAAGAGCATTGCGACCGTCGATACCATGGTCACCGTGGTGGATGCCTTCCGCTTCTTTTCCGAGTTCGATACGGCCGAGTTCCTACAAGACCGCTTTGGTCGAGAAGAAGTTCCCGATGAAGATCAACGAACCATATCCGATCTTTTCGCGGACCAGATTGAGTTTGCCAATGTTATCATCATCAACAAGATTGATAGAGCCGACAAGGCAACCCTGGGGCGCGTTCGAGCATACATAAAGTCGCTGAACCCGAAAGCGAAGATCATTGAAGCGAGGTACTCCAAGGTGGATGTTCGCGAGATGCTCAATACGGGCGTGTTCAATTTCGGCGAGGCTGTCGCAAGCGTTGGATGGCTCCAGTCGTTGCATGAAATGACCGTTATGGACGTCTCGGGAAGAAAGCGTGTCGCACCCAAGCCGGAGACGCTCGAGTAAGTCACTCGGTACTGGAAGCCTCGCTTATGCTAACCTGGATTTAGATATGGCATCGGCTCTTTCGTGTATCGCGCTCGCAGGCCATTCGACCCAATGAAGCTGTACCGGCTTATCCAGGGCAAGTTCATCCTGCTGCAAGACGAGGCGGAAGACGTCGCCGATGCCGAAGAGGATGAGGAAGAAGAAGAGGAAGGCGGTGATAATGGTAACGATAACGCCATCGATGGGTCATCTGAATCTGGAAAGGCCAGCGCGTCCGAAGATGATTCCGACAAGGTCAGCGACGACGATGAAGAGATTCCCCAAATGGATGACAAGGAAATTCTGGCCAACAAGAAGGCTTGCCCCTACTTCGGCGGTCTACACCGAAGCAAGGGTCTCTTCTGGCTTGCCACGCGTCCTAATCAGATGGGCTCGTGGAGCACTGCAGGCGCAATGCTGACACTCGGTTCTGAGATGCCGTGGTTCTGCTGCGTGTCTGAAGAAGACTGGGGCGCCGACGAAGACACACTGAAGGCTATCAGGAACGACTTCGAAGGAGGTAAGTGTCGCTGTAAACCTACAGACTGCATGTGAGACATCCGCTGACTTCGCACACTAATTTATAGAGTGGGGCGACCGCAGACAAGAAATGGTAAGACATATCGCTGTACGAACTGCACGTGAGACAAACACTGACTTCGTATACCCATCTTTAGGTATTCATCGGAGAGAAGCTCGACGTCGACGGGTTGACGAAGATGCTCGATGCATGTCTTTTGACGAAGAAGGAGATGAAGAAATGGAAGAAGGTCATGCACGATGACAAGTTGGACAATGATGAGAAGGAAGAGACTCTGCAAGAAATGTGGGACGATGGCTACTGGGCCGAATGGCCGCGGGCGCAGGACGATGAAGGAAACGACCATGGCCACGATCACTCTCATGACCACGGCCATCATCATCACAATCATAGGCACTGAGCGATGATATGGACGGTGGTCGTGGTGGATGCGTAAAGTGCGGGAAGCAAAAGGCGCTGGTCATGACGTCAGCGCCCGGGCGCATGGCAAGCATCACGTGTCGATGGGGGCTCCGCCCAATAGCTCCATCTTAGCTTCTCTTCTACGTGCGATTTCTGAGTGAGATGCGAGTCTACAATGAGACAGTTTTGCGTACTGTCAATCTTGATACGACTGATCACGGTGATCAAGCCGTCAATCTTTGTGCCGATACCACTGGCTAAACCGGTTGATGGTCTCCGGAACGCCTACATCACGCTGCTGTTGAGCTGATGAGTCGGTCTGCCCCAACGAATGTCCGCATTCCGGAAGAATTATATTGACCTCTTCGCTGTTCTTCAATCCCCCAATCGTCATGTCAATTCCCCTACAGTGCTTTCCGAAAGCGGTCGCGGAGCTTCTCTCCGCTTCAAGAACGGCAGTCCTTCCTTTCAATCCTTCTCGGACAAGAAGCATATATTATGAGGACGTATGTTGACGACTGGTAATCTTCATCAACGTATCCATCATCTATATTCAGCATGTCCCTACGTTCACTGCTTGTCGGATTGGCACTGGCCGGCTCAGGCTTTTCGCTGGTTTCGCAAGATGGACGCACAGGCCGTCTACCAGCTATGGGCTGGAGTACATGGAACGAGTATGAATGCGCCATCAACGAGACCGTCATCCTGGAGGTCGCTGAACTCCTCATTTCTCTCGGCTTGAAAGATCTCGGCTACAATTATGTGAATATAGATGATTGTTGGTCTGACAAATCTCATCAGCGCGACAACGTCACAGGAAGGATCCGTCCTGACTATGCCAAGTTTCCGAGTGGCATCAAGCACACAGCGGACGAAGTTCATAAGCTCGGGTTGAAAGTCGGCATCTACGGTGATGCTGGCGACACGACATGCGGTGGATATGCTGGCTCTTTGGGACACGAGGAAGTAGATGCTAGGACCTTTGCCGATTGGGGCATCGACTGTAAGCTACATACCCTCTACACGCCTCTTCATTCCTCATTCCTACCAGATCTCAAGTACGATAACTGCGCGGTCCCTGACGAATGGGACGACGAGTACCGATGGTGGCCGGAGAATTGGCTCGGAGGCCCTCCTGCTGAGGATCAGAGCGCCGGCGGTGACGGTGAAGCTCGGCCTGTTCCAGCGCCCGCAGAATATGATTGGACGACTTCGAAGAGCTTCACGCGGTATAAGACCATGAGTGATGCACTCCTCGCGACAAATCGTACGATTGAATACTCGCAATGTGCCTGGGGCCATGCCCACATCGAGCAGTGGGGCAACGATACTGGACATAGCTGGCGCATGTGGGGAGACATCTACCCAGAGTGGTACGGCAAACATCAGTATTCTTGGGGCATCATGCCGATTCTCAATCATGCCTCCTTTTACAACAATGAAACCAACTTCTGGGGACACGGCGACTGGGATATGCTTGAGGTCGGCAATGGAAACCTTACCCTCCAAGAGAGTCGATCCCACTTCGCTCTCTGGGCCGCTCTGAAGTCGCCTCTCATCATCGGTACCCCGCTTCACGGCATCGAATCGGAAATCCTAGAGATTCTGAGCAATAAAGAACTCATCGACTTCAATCAAGATCCAATCGTCGGCGCTGCAGCCAAACCGTACAAGTGGGGTATCAACGCCGACTGGACTTGGAATCAATCGCATCCCGCTGAGTACTGGAGTGGACAGTCTTCCAAGGGTGTGTATGTTTTTGCATTGAACACACTGAATGCGACCCAGACCAAGGTCATTGACTTCGCAGAAGTGCCTGAGTTGAAGGCCGACGCTGAATACACTGTGTTCAACTCGTGGACGGGAGAAAAGCAGGGAAACTTCAAAGGACGGTACGAAGCGGTTGTCGAATCACATGACACCGCGGTCATTCGACTGGTTGAGACGAGCGACATGGGCTATGCTTCGTCGTACGATCAATTATAAGTCGTAATATGTGGGATGAAAACGCGACGGTTGACGCGATTTCGACGCGTCGTGATGTCGTCACCTGGGGTGGTTAGAATTGGTGTCGCAATCTTCCAAGATATTATAAAGGCAGAAGTATACATTGTCTTCGCAACTAGTTACTTATTAAAGTCTAGACGCATGTAAGCGACAGCCTCAGATCGACTCTACGTCAACTCGCGCTTCGACCCCGGGCTTGACCGTTGGATACATGTGCGGGGTAATGTACTCCGTAGAGCTCGTATTGCTACATCCTCCTCATGCAGCGATAATACATCATGGTGCATATCTTATTTTCCGAGGCTAAATACAATAGGGTGTTCTACGGATCTACTCCGGGCCAGGACGCCTAGGCGAAGCTACTCAACATGCAAGACCATGCAAGACACCAAGCAATGCGTACAAGATCTACAAAGCAAAAAGCATGAATTGAGCGTGGAATGCGGGGATCGTGCGCTATGCCTGAAGTGGAATGCGCAATTCGTATGGCAAGACAGGCATAATATCGTCCATCAATGAGCATCTATATCGATGCAGGGCTGAAGCGACGATCTCAAGTACATAATAGTAATGTGTTCCTAATGCTTTCATTCCTCATAGCCCATCGTCAGGAGCTCAGAACTCACAGAAGCAAGCGTTTGTTCATATGCTAAGTCTAGCGACCTTAACAGTCGCTTCAGGGCTCGCTCCCTTGATAGCGGCAAGCGACGCACGCCTTTGGTACACAGCGCCCGCCACTTCCGATGCCTGGACAGATGCACTACCAATAGGAAATGGGCGTCTCGGTGCCATGGTGTTCGGAATACCCGTACAAGAGCGCATACAGCTCAACGAAGAGACCATCTGGTCAGGCGGCCCACGCAACCGCGTCGGTCAAAACAGCTCGCAAACACTATCGGATGTAAGAGACTTGCTCACACGAGATCAGGCAGGCGATGCGGAAAAGCTGGCGAACCTAGGTATGATGGGCACGCCCCAAAGTGTTAGGAACTATCAACCGTTGGGAGAAATGGAAGTCTACTTCGATGATACTAGCGACTACGACAACACGACCTACGAACGCTGGCTTGATCTCGAGACGGCTACGGCAGGCGTCAAGTTCAGTGTCAATGAGACACTATACGAACGCGAGATGTTTGTGTCAACCCCGGACGACGTACTCGTACATCACCTACAAGTCACCGGGCCTGAGAAACTCTCTTTCCAGATACGCGTACACAGGCCACAGGACGGCTTGAACGAGGCATCCGATCAGGACTGGAACGCGAACGGGGTGGCGTATATGACTGGTGGGACTGGTGGTGTTGATTCCATTGTTTTTACATCTGCTTTGGCAGTCAATACTGATGGCAATATGAAGACACTTGGTGAATTCATCGTCGTCGATAATGCCACGGAAGCAACTGCTTTCTTCGCGGCTTCCACTTCTTACCGAGCCAACGACACGCGCATGGCTGTAGACAGCAGTATACAGCGAGCTCGCCAATACACATATGCTGAACTTCGTCAACGCCACATCAAAGACTATGCACCATTGTATAATGCCAGTATCCTGGAGTTCACGGGATCCGACGCAAACGCTAGCAGCCTTCCGACAGACGCGCGCATCAACGCGACACGCGAAGGGACGGTCGATCCGGGACTGGCCGCTCTAGCATACAACTACGGCCGTTACATGTTGATCGCCTCGTCTCGCATTGGGAACTTACCTTCTAATCTCCAAGGTATCTGGAACAAAGAATTCATGCCGCAATGGGGCTCGAAGTATACCGTCAATATCAATCTCCAGATGAACTATTGGCCGGCAGAAGTCACCAGTCTATCGAGTCTGCATACCCCGTTATTTGATCATCTGGACCTTATGCGAAAGGACGGCATGCACACTGCTGATAAGATGTACAATGCCTCGGGATGGATCAGTCATCACAATACGGATCTCTGGGGCGATACTGCGCCTGTAGATCGCTATCTTCCCGCGACCTACTGGACACTGTCATCCGGATGGCTTGTCACTCATATACTCGAGCACTACTGGTACACAGGTGACAAGGCCTTCTTAGCTTCCAGGCTTGATACCGTCTCCGGGGCTGTCGAGTTTTACCTCGGTACACTACAGCCATACAGCATCAATGGGACCGAGTATCTCGTCACTAATCCTTCTGTATCCCCGGAGAATAGTTACATCGCCGCAGATGGAAAGACTTATTATTTCGACATTGCGCCAACATGCGATATCGAGATTCTGAACGAGCTCTTCACAAACTACCTCCGAGCGGTCTCCACTCTCAACAACGCCACAGTCGACTCATCATTCTTGCAACGAGTCCGAGACACCCAAGCAAAACTTCCACCATACCGCTACTCAACGCGCTATCCGGGCACGCTCCAAGAGTGGATGCAAGACTACGAGCAAGCAGAACCAGGGCATCGCCACGTGAGCCATTTATACGCACTCTATCCAGGCACGCAGATTTTCCCACCAGGTGCGCCAGGCTACGACGCCAAGCTCTTCAATGCCGCAGCGGCTACCCTCGAAGACCGACTTTCTCACAACGGCGCTGGGACAGGATGGTCGCGCGCATGGACGATCAACTGGTATGCGCGGTTGCAGAACCAGACAGCGCTGGCTGAGAATGTTTTTCAGTTCTTCAACACCAGTGTGTACAACAATCTGATGGACGTCAATGAAGGTGTTTTCCAGATCGATGGAAACTTGGGCTTCGTGAGTGGTGTGGCGGAAGCGCTACTTCAATCGCATATCATGGATGGAGAGGGTGTACGGGAGGTATGGCTGCTACCCGTCTTGCCTGAGCAATGGAGTTCGGGAAGTGTGTCTGGGCTTGTTGCCAGAGGTGGCTTTGTATTCGATCTGGAGTGGGTAGATGGCAGGATTAGCAAGATGAAGATGGTGAGTCGGGTTGGTGGTAGTGTGGTGATCAAGTATGATGCTGGGTCAGGAAACAGCACGGTAGCTGGAGATGTTGTTACGGCTAGCTCTGGGGCAATTCAAGGAGTACCTGGTGGTAAGATGAGGCTGGATACGAAGGCGAACCAGATGATGGACTTTGAGTTCACGTGGTGAGCTTCGTGTTTATACGTGGTAGAATTTTCCAGCTGGGAACGATAGCAAAGACGAGTCATCTTGTCTAGTTAGGAACCTATATTTCAGTCTCAAGAAGTTGAACGATGCACACTTTCGATGGCGGATAAAGACGCGACAAAATCCTTGCGGTCGACGAGAAGTGCGGGCAGCATTAGATATGCGTCAAGGGCGTGATACTCGTAGTTTGTACGACCGTCTTTGGGCTTGCATTTCAATGATCACAAGTGATGTCGTATCCTCCTGGCTGTCGCAGCCAGCACGCGTTGAACGATGAGGGAGGGTTGTAAGGTCCTCGAGGGGTGCACTAGGCCAAAAACAGGTGTAAAATGGAAAGCGCGCGGGTCTAGCGCGAAATCGCGAGGAAAGCGCGTCTGGTCCTTGTCCCCCTAGCGACAGCGTGTGTTTGCCCCTCTACAACCACCATTACGACTGACGATACGCACGACACATATAATGGCGGACAGACAGACACCTTTCTCAATCAGCCTCTTCGGCAGCCAAGCCGGCGATGGGCCCGGCGATGCAGCTGCGCCCTCGCGCGTACACCAAGCGCTTGTCGACTTTATTATGGACTTTACCCTCGACAACATCTTCGTCTACAGGTATGGCAGACAGTCGCATGTGCCATATGCAGCCGCCTAACTAGTTGCAGAGATCAGATTCGCGAGAATGTTCTCTTGAAGCAATACTACTGCGACATTGACGTCGCGCATCTTATCAGCTATAGCCCAGAGCTTGCACACGATCTCAGACAGAACCCGGCAGAGATCATACCTCTCGTGCGTTGTACAATCTGCAACTGCATGCGCATACTAATGCCTTCCAGTTCGAGTCGGCATTGAAAACGTGCACACAACGCATCGTCTACCCCTCACAAAAGAACATCCAGCTCCCAGAACACCAGCTGCTCCTCCACTCGAACGCTTCAGAACTCTCCATCCGCGACCTGACCGCGACCAACGTCTCGCAACTCGTTCGCATACCCGGTATCATCATCGGCGCATCCACGCTCTCGTCCAAATCTACCGCACTCGCTATACGATGCAGGAATTGCCAGCACGAAGAGATTCTGCCTGTATCGGGTGGCTTCTCCGGTGTTTCCCTCCCGAGGACATGTGGCAGGAAGAAGGGAGAGGGCGAGCAGGGAGAACAATGCCCGCTGGACCCTTACTATGTCATGCACGAGCGCTGCCAGTTCATTGACCAGCAGGTGCTCAAGCTGCAAGAAGCGCCCGATCAGGTTCCGGTCGGTGAATTACCACGACACATCATGATCTCCGCAGACCGCTATCTAGCGAATCGTGTCGTTCCGGGTACACGATGTTCAGTAATGGGTGTCTTTTCTATCTACCAGCAGAAGGGCTCGAGGCGTGCAGGCAACGCCGCAGTAGCCATTCGCAACCCATACATACGTGCTGTCGGTATACATGCTGAGGTGGACCACGGCAGCAAAGGCAACGCCGTATTTACTGAGGAGGAAGAGCAAGAATTCCTGGAGATGAGCAGGAGGCCCGACATCTACGAAGTCTTCGCGCGCTGCATCGCACCCTCTATCTACGGAAACCAAGACATCAAGAAGGCTATCGCTTGCTTACTAATGGGTGGCGCAAAGAAGATCCTGCCGGACGGGATGAAGCTACGTGGAGACATCAATGTACTCCTCTTGGGTGATCCCGGTACCGCCAAATCGCAACTCTTGAAATTCGTTGAGAAAGTGTCACCCATCGCCATCTATACCTCCGGAAAAGGATCTTCGGCAGCTGGTTTGACAGCGTCTGTGCAGCGCGACCACAACACACGAGAGTTCTACCTCGAAGGTGGTGCTATGGTTCTGGCCGACGGCGGTGTGGTATGCATTGACGAGTTTGACAAAATGCGTGACGAAGACCGAGTAGCCATCCACGAAGCCATGGAGCAACAAACTATTTCCATCGCCAAAGCAGGTATTACCACAATCCTTAACTCGCGAACATCTGTACTAGCGGCTGCCAACCCAATTTTTGGTCGTTACGACGACATGAAGACACCCGGCGAGAACATCGACTTTCAGACTACCATCTTGTCGCGTTTCGACATGATCTTTATTGTGCGCGATGAACACGATCGCGGCCGTGACGAGCGAATAGCAAAGCACGTCATGGGTATCGCAATGGGTGGCCGAGGCGTGGAAGAGACCGTTCAAGCCGAGATTCCAATCGAGAAGATGAAGCGCTACATCACATACTGTCGACAAAAGTGCGCTCCGCGTCTGTCGCCTGAGGCCGCGGAGAAGCTTTCCAGTCACTTCGTCAGCATCAGGCAACAAGTGCACGCTTCGGAGATCAACGCAAACCAAAGATCCAGTATCCCGATTACTGTTCGTCAACTAGAAGCCATTATCCGTATCACCGAGTCACTGGCCAAGTTATCGCTTTCGCCTATCGCTGACGAGTCGCACGTCGATGAGGCCATTCGTCTCTTCCTTGCATCTACTATGGACGCAGTGAACCAGGGCGAAGGCCAGAGCTCAAAGGAGCTCATGGACGAAGTCAATAAAGTCGAAGAGGAACTCCGAAGACGTATGCCTATTGGCTGGCAAGTGAATTTGTCGACGCTCAAGCGTGAGATGGTCGATGGCAAGGGCTACTCGGAACAAGCGCTCGCTCGCGCACTTCACGTTATGAACGCCCGCGAGACGATCAGATGGAGACATGGTGGCAGTGTAGTGTTTAGGGCAAGCGCATAAACTATGGGCTGAATATAAATGGGCACAACGGCGTCTAGCGTTGATGGTGTTTGCATATGCGCTGCAGGTGCTTTGAGCGTGAATTTGGGCGGATAGGTACGCCGATACTGTTTCGTGATGAGATACACTGGAACGTTCACGATGGAGAGCTGCATCGCTGCATCTTCTTAGCAATGTAATCTTGTATTCACTCCTCATAAGAAAAGTTCCCTCTCACAGTCTGCTGTGTATGATAGTGTCAGTGTTGCAATACGCTCTTATGCCGGTGTGCAGCGGCCATCCTCCACAACGAGAGGCCACAGATGCCGCGACTACCATCCGTACCTTCCCAGCTCCTGCCTGTTCTCTCTCTCGGCCTGAACAAACGGCGGAGAATAACTCCGCGCCATTACGCAACCCACCGTCGCTCACTGATCGAGACTCGTCTACATCCTATCTAGGCAGCCGAGCATCATCGTCCCACTCGGACACACCGAGACCTTCTTCGCTTCAGTACCTAGGTATGAGTCCCACACCCCAGGGCTCCCACTGATGATCTCAAGACCGTTAAGACGATGATACGATCGATGCTTTCATACCCCGGTCCAGCCGCCTGAGAACCAGGGTCCCGCAGGGCTGCAGCGGGCGCTAGCGAGATCTAAGATTTCAAGGCGAATGCTACCAAGGTAGTCAGTCCTCCAAAAATTAGGATAAAATCTAGCGCTGCATGTTTCATAGGCGTGAATTGAGTATAGATCTCTTGTGGGTACGCTACTGGAACGGAGAATGTTTCTGTGGTCGCGTAGACGGCTAGATCGCCGTCCTCCAAGGCCTGACTCTGTCGGCATCACCGACTTGGAAAGACGAAGTTGCTAATTGGAGCCTTGGGCATATGGCCGATGGGCCCTGGTTTCCTTTGAATCGTCCCTTCTCATATAGTCACGTGCCTCGGGGGTTGTTCAGTGGTTCTCGCTAGGGCGTAGAGCGCTAAGTGGAGGTATGAAAGCTGTAGCCAGTAAGTCGGCCCCAGTTTCTCAGAGCATGACAACGCCGATCGTCTCACGTGCTCTCGTTGCGGCTCTGCGTGCCAGAACGCTAGCGGATTTACAAGGGCTATCTTTTGCATTCTATGCTGTGTTGTATTCCCCGGATGCGTCTCCGATGAGATTTCGTCATCTAATCATGTTGCTACCTAGAATTCTAGCCATGCGTTCATGTGATGTGAGTACGTTGTAATGATACCTTTTGGGAATTCCGGGCAAAATTTGAAGCTCGAAATAGTTGCCAGTGATTTTAAGTTTCGTAACAGAGGCCTAGCAAGTATGCTCAAATGCTTGAGATTGGTGGTTAGCTCTGGAAATGATGTGGCTCGGAGCCGATCGAGCGCAGAATCGAGAGTTGAGATGAGGCATATACGCAGAACTTTGCTCAGACTTTCCAGAAGACCATCCGCTTATATACTGACCATGACAATGTGCCTACAGTGTATTGGCTCGCACACTGGGACGAGTCAGCGTTGTTGCTTTTGAATAAAACCGTGTAATCTCGAAGATGATGCAGTGGTAGACTTTATTGAAGCTACCCTAGTTCAGTCATGTTTTGGAGGCATCAGTTTGGGACAGAACCACGGGCGACCGGTGATCCAAAATGGCAGCAGATCCCTTTGAGTGACTGATGGCTGGAGAACAGCGAATGTGCACGGAGAGAGATCTCTTATAAAGACTGACTGCCCATCTCTTTCATTCTCGTTTGCTACCTAGGTAACATTCCAAGGTTTCTAACATCTCCAGACCGATTGCCCATCATGGAGGGCGAATTTCCTCTTCCGGTTCCCGACAGCGAGAGGATGTTCCACAGCAACGTAAACGGGTATCAAGCGTGTTTTTCGTTTCCTAGCAATTTCCTTGACCCATACGATATCCGGATGTTGCCGCCTGACAATAGGCACATGTATGCTCACCCTAGCGCCGTCGGTAAGTTAATCCGTTCCGCTCCGAGCTCGGCTTTGCTCGGGATAAGACGTCCGCTGATCTGATAACCCAGGATCTTCATCTGATAACAGGAACCCATTCCACTACGACCCCAACGATCCGCCGCGCAACATGGCCTCGTTGACCAACGCCGCCACACCTGGCTCAGATTTCAGTCCTGCACCATCGCCTGCCGAGTCATCGGGAAGCATCTTCTGCGCCGCTGCCGATTTTGATCAAGGCCGTCGCAGCTCCATCCGACGTGAGTAACGTGATTGCTTTTTCCGCGTGTCCCGCGTACCAGCAGTTCGCCGCGGCTGTTGGCTGCCATACTTGTCCAACCGCGTGATCGACCCTTGCCCACTTCAACAACTGACACCCACCCAGATATCGTTCCAAGGTCCCCACCACGCCCTCACGACGCCGCCACGTTGTCCGTCAATACGCACGCCAATGGCCCCTCCCAGTCAGGCGGGGGGCCTACGAGCATGATACATTCGATCCCGCCCCGACCCAAGCCCGGCCGCAAGCCTGCCACCGCGGAGCCTGAGACCAAGCGCAAGGCCCAGAACCGCATCTCGCAGCGCAACTTCCGTGAACGCAAGCAGAAGAATGTCCAGATGCTGTCCGAACAGGTCCGAGAGGCCAGTCTGCAATTCAAAGATGCCCACAGCAAATGGCTACGCGAAAAACAGGCCTTGGAAGAACAGCTACGGATCAAAGAACAAGAAATCCGGATCTTGCAAGACCGTGTACGCACAAGTGACGCCCAAAGTTTCATGTGGAAGGACATGTACCAAAAAGTGAAAGGAGGCGAAGACGTTTCCACTCCAGATACCGAGGACCTTCTGCCCATGCAGAGCTTCGTCCAATACCGTAGCGCGCGCCACGACGAACCGCTCGAGGGCACGCAATCAGGATGCGATCGCTGCACGCCTGAACATTGCGCCTGTCTCGCAGACCTCACCAATGATATGCAACTCCCGGACGAGGCCTCGGCTCGTATGGACGGCGTGTCCATGACTGGAATACTTCGCGGCGGCCAAGGAGAATTCGATCAAGAGAAGCATCCCCACGTCGAGTTCGAAGTCGACTTCACGAACAAGTTCAAGAGCGCAGCTTCCTATGGGCAGCAACAACCTACTACATTTGCGCCATCGACAGAGGACAACAAGATCACAGACTGTGGCTTCTGTGAGGGACAAAAGGACATTTGCATATGCGATCCCCCTGCTCGTGTTGACAGCGCCGACGAGGGCGTCTCACTCACGCGCATGAAGAGTGGTTCTTCAGCTGAAGAAGCCAAGCCCAACATGGCCTTGACCGGGCCTGGCTCTTGTGCCGACTGCCAGTCAAATCCTCAGCAGCGAGCCTGGTGTCAGCGAGTCGCCCAGCTCCGAAGTGAGGAGACCCCTTCGAGCTCACGGCGCAATTCAAGCAAGAGCAGCTCGCTCGATATTATGGAACCCAAGGCATCGACCAGCATAGACATGAGCGCCGGCATTTCGTCGCCTGTGGGTACCGGAAGAACAGTTGGTTGCAGCGATGCCTTCAAGCTACTTGATGGTCGAGTTTCGACGGACCCGAATGCCATGGACTGGCGCCAACTTAAGCCCGTTCCGCAGGCTTTCGGACGCCAGGACACCCGCAGGGACACTTTCACTATGGAACCCGGCATGTACAGCGCGATGGAGTTGGACGCCAGCAGCATTCTCACTACCCTCCAACACGCCCAGCGTCCTCTGAGGCCCCGCCCGTCTGACGGTCCACATGCGCCGCTGATCGAAGAGGCCGAGGAACGGCGCCGGGCTTCTTTCTCGCCCATGACCAAGGCCGACGATCACGCCATGATGGACGCAGTCTCTCACTACAATATCGGGCATTAGTTGCGCCCTCCTGTCTTTGCTTTGCCAGATACCCCGCCTTTAGTGCTTCCGCCAGCAATCTGCGGCGTTGATACGGAAGAGTGTCTGTATTCTGTTTCGCATGGTCGTTCATACGTAACGAGAACACAACTTGAGAGTTTTGACGGTCGCTATGAATAACGAGTGGACGGTGACACACACACACTCTTCACTTTCTTGCATTTTGTATCATAACGCATGGCTACTGCAGCCCAGAATTAGACTAATGATTACACGTTTCAACGAACCCAACTATGGGTCAAATGATATCCTTTCAATTCACACATCTGCCTGCATGTGACGACCCTTAGATTTCCGCTGAACGTAAATGGGTTTTTCGAGATTATACCGAATGAACATCCGCCCGTGCCCAGCTCCGCAGCTTGGCTCGTCAATCTCCGGGCATGGGCGAAATCACACCACCGCCGAACCTAGGCGTCCGTCCTCCGAAGACAGACCGCCATTTCTGGTTCCAAAGCAGCCAGTCGTGTCGAGTATGTCTACGCGTACAACATTAAGTTTACACGAGCGATATAGGCTGGAGATGGTTCGGAGCTGATCTTGAGCTATGAGTGGTCGATGGAGCATCCGGTGTCGCATCTTATCTGATGATCTGATAAAACTCTGCAGCGCTAATCCCCAAGGTGCGAAGAGGGGTAGGATCACCGACATGAGGGGAGAAGTCTTACCCGTATACGCATGCTACAACCTTCATTCGCCTTTATGCAACATCACGATAGTTGCAAAGGAGATGGGAAACCGAGGGGAAAGAAACACATTACATTGGCCTCCAACGACTATTGTAGCCGATTTCCGCTTCTCCTCCCGCACCACACAGCTCTGTGCGCACCATCACGCCTGACTGACATTCATCCCCGCGCCTTCCACATGCACGTGCCGTAGCTCCCTTGTCCCCTCTCTTCTTCCATAATTCCCACTCAGTACTACCACTACTTCTTCACTCCGTTAACAACGATCTCGTTCCCTTGCCCAACCCACTGACCATGTGGCCCAGCTCTTACAGCGACCTGCGCCTTGTGTTAGTACCACAATGCACTCTGACCCTGCAATGTTTATAGTAGAAGCATCGCGGATACATACCTGTACATCGACGCCCCATCTTTGCGCATTGGCCAAAGCAACATTCGCGGCTTCTTGCTCGAGAGCTGTGGCGGCAGTGGCTAGTTTGCCGCCGATGGCGCAGAGTTCTCCGCCTAGTTTGTTGAGGTCGGCGGCGAGCTTGAGGAGGTTGTCGGGGGTGTCGTGTGACATTGTTGGGGATTTTGGTGTGATGATATGATGTCGTAGATTTAGATCAAGGTGAAATCCACAGTGACCAGCAGTGATGTGCCGGAGATGTGGCAGGACAGTTGATGATGCAGATATAGATGAGCGGTAGTAGGTGTTTATGAAGCTGTGGTTGGATTGTATATGTTTTTATGGCGATATGAAATAGTGAGCGTGTTTGCATCACTGAATGGCGCAGTCAATGGGCGAGCATTCCAGGACGAAGCGAACGCTACTCGGCCAGCAATGCTATACTTGAAGTACATTCAAACATCTCAGCATCACCTAAAAGCATTTTGATCAGTACAACGGAGCAAGAGAAGAGGGTATGTGTGGACAATCATTCAGTCTTCAAATAGTGTCTAGCCTCTGCCGCCTTCGTATCGGTATTAGCGCACGAATTCGGAGTGATATATGAGTCTTTGACGCGATACGGAAACTACGAGCACCATCAAAGCAGTTCATTTGGTCATTTTCCCAAATTTGTCCACTCAACAGTACCCATCTATACACAATGTCTTCTTCAAGGCACCCGTTCGCACCCACCACAGCACAGCATGACGCAAACTATCACTACAGTCAGCAACTCACAAAGCTGCAAGACGAGATTATGGATCTAGACAAGATCATCGAGAACACTGCTGCAGAACATCGACGTGAGGCAGTTCCGCTATAACCCTCATTCTGGCTAAATTACAATAGGCGAAGTCTCGGTACAAGCCCGCGCAATGACCTGTCTTAACATGAAGATACTGTGGCTCACGTAAAAACTCGACCCGATCCTCAAGGTGGACGGCATAATAGTAGAGAGGATGGGCAGGCTGTTTCCGGAAATTGCAGAGTACTTTACTCTTGACTGAGTAGCGTACTAGGAACGATGTGTGTATGAGAGCACCAGCAAATCAGGGTGACGCGACTAGCATTGCGAGCACACTTGGGCGCAGGAGACGTAATTAAGCGTTCATATCAATTTCATCGTCCTAGCCTAGGGCCCTGCTTCAACAAAACGAGACGGGCAAGTCTCCTCCGCTCCGGCGCACTGATGGGGACACTTTTCTTCTCCTCCACTTGCTCTGCTTGCTCCACTTTCTCCGGTGAAGCTTCATCTTTCCTGTCTATCTTCTTCAAATTGACTCCCACTCTCTTCTGCACATCGTGCATGAACAATCCTTGATCGATGTCTTCTTGATCTTGCGCAGTCATCTCTCGCACTTCCTTGTCAAGCCGCATCTTTGTTTGCCGAACGATTTCTGCTTTGCGTTCGTGCAGTGCAGTCTCGCGTCTTTCTAAGGCTTCGCGAGTCAGCTGACAGTTTGCAAGCTCGGCTTCTATGATGCGGAATTCGGCGTCTGGTGTGAGGGCTACGGGAGCAGGTGTGCGTGGATCTTGAGTTGAACTGGTGGGTGGAGACAGTAGCAGTAGTGGAAAGCTGACTTCTTTTGGCGGGTTTGAAGATGTCGGAGTGGCTACGAGAGGGCCGCTGGTGTTCTCTTCGGGTCTTAAGGCCATATTTCGGTGTCCGGGTAGAGTCTCCAGGATGCCGTGTTTCTCTTTTTGTTCGGCGTCAGCTACGGCTTTTGATACGACGGGATGAAGGAGAGTCACTATGGGAAAGGTCATGATCTCTACGTCTTAGGATGATGACAGGCGTTGGGGGAGTGGGACATGTCGACAAACTAAAGCAGCTTCCCGGTGTTTGCTGTGATCGGTAATGCTGGTCAACGCCAGGAAATGGAGAGTACAGAGTCACAGGGAAAAAGTGTGCAGTGTTTGAAAGATTTGTCATTTGAACATTGTTGCTGAAAGTGATGTCGCGCATCCATGTGAACCACTGGGCGAGAACACAAAATACGACATCAGGCCTTGGACTCTTCTCGCATCTTCCTCAAGGTTTCCAACACTGTTTGCTTTTCCGATCCGGCCTTGAGGGACTTAACTAGTATGTCCTGTTCGCTCTCGGGTGCCATGCCAGCCGCTTCGGGTACCCTCCTGTCAAGATTGGTTGGGAAAGGGTATCCTTCAGCGACAACGCCGACAAGCGCTCTAAGCTCATCGCTTAGTCCATGCTGTTCATACATTACCAACAATTGATCCCAGGTCTTCTCAACAAGTGCGTGTGTATCGATAGTTTCCATCGGTTTACCAAAGGCTGATGAAACCTGAAGTAGATTGGCAGAACGCATGATATCGACCGAGTCATTCTGACCCGCGGCATGGAACAGCGCTGGATTGAAGAAGAGGCCATCGCCCATTTCTAGTGGCACCGAAACATACTTCTCAAGGAAGTAGTCTTGAAATTCAGGCAGACGGTATGCCATGTATCCTTCTTCAAACTTTTGGCTGAACGGCAGCAATCGCGTCGGCCCGCTCTCCACTGGCATATCTGAGTGTGCGACAGCTCCTTGTAGCGTGAGAAACTGTGACGCAACTTGCATCGCCTTGGGGAACTTAGCGCAAGATTCGTTGTCCTGGAAGCCAATGTGGTAGTCTCTGTGCGATATCTGGGCCTTCGCGCCCGGCTTCACGATGTTGACTTGTGCCGTAAGGCGGTGGTGTGGGCCGAGCCATGCTTCAGATATCAAAGGTAGCCATGGATTCGTGTAGTACTGCACGAATGACTCCGGGTCTCTCTCGCAGTGTTTCGAAACGGAGTTCCAAATGCGATCGTTCGCGCCGGCCCCAGCAAAGTGGTCGCCGCGTCTGCCGGCTACTTTCTTTTCTTCCGCGATGATGTTTGCGTACACCTTGTTTACGTTTTCGAGAAAAAATGTATCTTTGTAAAGACCTTTGGTGACAAACACGCCTGGCCCGGAAAGCAGTATGTGGTAAAACTCATTCTGTAATGCTGAGCGTTGTTCTGAAGAGAGCGTAGTATAGTCGGGCAGGTCATAGATCGGCACATTCGCTTCGATTTTGCTTGCTAGTGGATAGTGACATGGAACGGACTTCGTTGTAAGTTTCTTGAACTCGTCCAGTGATGGTGGTTGCTTGACGGAGAATAGCCGAGGTCCGATTGGTGGCTGATGATCGTTGGTGTGGCTGTTGGACTGTTCATCGTTCGTGGAATGCATTTTGGATATCAGAATGTATCAGAGATGTTCTGTATGGCATTGCCCTCAATGCTATATAATCGCGTCGACTAAGCTTGTAGGATGATGTACCGGACCGGCAATTCTGCCCGCACGCGGTGGTTGTTGCTTCTTTGGGAAGCGGAGAAGGTGGCGGCCCCACTTACAATCACAAACCCTTTGCACAATCCATCCTCTTCTCCCGTACCAGGTGTCATTCTACAACAGTTACAATAATCTTTCGCGATTTAATCTGCTCATGAGGATGAAGAACAGTGGATAGAAACATGAGCAATCGCAACCTGGCCGCAGGCACTGCTCTCGTTCTTCTCTTCTGACTCCTCGACTTTACTACGGCCCTGCGGCACCTCAGTATCAGTAATCATTACAGCCTCTGATCCTTCGCGGCGAAGCCAAGCCCCAACTCCAGAGCTTATTGAGACTACAACCCTAGGTTTCGCCTTCAAGCATTGCGGAAGACCTAAATTTTTCAAAATTTATCATCCAGGCTCCATGGCGAGTTCCGTTCCAACCTTTCGCGTACATGGAGGCCGGTTGGTATATTCGTAGACGATGACAATGCTAGAGCTTTTTGAAGAGTGTATTAGCTACTACTCCCGAAGACTGCATCGATGACTCCAAATCTTGGGTCAATATAGAGATGGCACACAATCCTGCCCTTCCGCGGTACCGCGGACTCCAACGTGTAGAGCATTGCAAACAACATGGTCATACCACAAGCTTCTCTACTTCGCATCCTCAACTTCCTCGATCTCCCAATCTCCGTACACAACCCCGGGTCGTCCGTTTCTAACACCAGCGCGTCTTGGCGACCCTCTCTCGGATCCAGTGTCGCGAGGCCCGTCGGAATCCGAACTATTGTCCGGGGACTCAGTTCGCTGACGATCTCGAGGATCGGGTACCGGCCCGGCCATACCTCCTGGAAAAAACAGCGGGCCCCACAGCAAGGGCATGCCGGCCGGGGGCATCGGTCCTCCAGCACCACCACCAGTCATGCGCATTTGCTCAGCCATCATCTGTTGTCGATATGCAGCCACCATAATCTGTTCTTGTTGCGCTTTCATCATTTGCTCGCGCTGAGCCCCCATCGTCATCGCTCTTATGCGCTGCTGTTCCGCCATTTGCAGGCGTTGTCCTGGCGTCATGCCCTGCATTTGCGCTTCTTCCAATCGCGCTCTCATCTGTGTTTCCAGCTGCAGCTGTCGCATCATCATGACTATTCTGGGGTCCATTGTTGATGTCGTGATCAGACTCTTGCTATACTGGAATGTAGTATGGGGAACGAGCTGGCTCAGTGAACGAAGACGGTATCGTGGCAGTACCGGGGCTTTCCCGATAGGCTCTGAGAACTTGATTGTGTGGAAACTGGTAGATAGTAACTCGGGAGATCGTGGTAAGAGGCTCTATACCTCTGGCTGAGAAAGATCGCTTTCGCTAGACACCAATGGTCATGATCAGTGAGTAACTGAAGTGAAGACTTGGTCGTTGAATCGCACCCACCAACAACGTGATCGGAAAGAGTTTCTTTACGATAGCTGAGCCATCACGTCGCGCACGTTTGAGGCGTATATCCAACGCGACATGGACATTCAATGATCGTCACGGTTTGAGCTTTGGATATATCAAAACTCTACTTCACGCTGTCTAGCCAACTACCAGTAAGCGCTCAGCTGATACAACGACGCAGGGAACTGTGTTCATAGACCACCTCGCGAGTCAGCACAACCGTTATATATATCGATCAGCATCTATAGCTAGTGGACAATGTTTGCCTAGATAGTCTCGTTCTGAATATTTGCTATATCAAGTCTATCATTTGCTACAGAAACCGTGAAGAATCTGAGTTACAGCGACGGCATACACCGGCTGCTATTTCGATCAAACGGTTCCGGAGCCCTCTCCATCTCCAAGAGTGCCTCGCCGCCATACGGCGCCTCTCTACCTCCAGGTCCGACATCCTGCTGAAAAGATCCTGTATAAGTAGAACTTGCTTATTTCGCTTATCGACAGCCTGCAGATTGGACAGGATGCAGAGCCAGCCTTGAAGACGATCTGTGGCCATTGCATAGGCGAGCATTGTCTTCAGGTTGGGACTGATAAACCATGAAGAAGACGACGTCTCATGTCCAATGTGCAGGACTAAGCTATGTATCGGGCAATACCCATCCAAGGTTCGAGGCCAGATCTTCAGGTTTGTGGAGCATCTTCGTAATGATCCGGTATTCGATCGAGAGGTCGATCAGTTCCTGTTGAGCACGACGGAGGAAGATGTGAGGCAGTGCTATGGCCCTGAGCTTGGAGTCATGCTTATGAAGCTGTCTGCGCGGGCGAAGGTGGTGGAGAAGATGTTGAATGGCATCGTCAATAGTATCGACGATGGAAAGAGAGTGATGCAGGCGGGAGAAGTGCTCGTAGTCAACTAGAACTATATGGATTGGTTCGATCGCGAGGACTCGATCGTTCCGATGGTATGACGCTCGGAAGATAGCTGGGTTTAGTGAGTGATCATATCCATGATCATGAGTGTCTCCGTACGAAACGAAAAGAATCGTCAGTGTAGAAGGTGACAAGATCGTACCTGCCGTGGGGATGGGCTGCCCTCAGAAATCCTGACAGAGTGGTCTGCAGTGATGCATCGACTGGTGGGCCAGCGAGGAGAAACAGGGCGTGGCACCTACTCTAATTGTAGAACGCCACCGTATAACAGTATTGATCTACTTTCAGAAGTTGTGCGGCCGATCCTGTGCGACCACGTAGTCTTGGCATGTAGCTGTATTGGAATTGACAAGGAGGACGTCACCTGTCTACCAGGCATCCTTGCGAGAGGAAGAAATTCACGGCGGCTTGGACGTTCCGTTCCTGTTGGCAGTTGGTGTGTGCGAGTGTGTGAAGCAAAGCTTCCGCCTCATCACCAATCTCGTCCAGAACAGTCGGAAGTCGAGACCGTGGCCCGGACGCTACGCTGACCAATATCGGCAGCCGACGGAGCATCACTATCGTGAATCGGATTCGCATCGCGGGTAGTGGACCCCTACACCGCCCGGGTGGCATCCGCGGAGCGAATAGGAGAATTCCAATATCGGCGGTTTCTTTTGGTGCATATTCGCCAAGGTGCCAGAGATTCAAAACGTGAAACGCATGATCACCCCAGATCTTGGCGACAGCGGTTTCCGCTGTCGTTGTGTTGGTAGTGTCGAGTCTTGGCACGGCGCTTCCACCGCTTAAATGAGTTTCAACGTGTGGTTGGGACTCCTGTTTTCATTTAAAGTGAGACTAGAACAAAAGAATCGTTCTATGCGACTGGGTACTATGGGCTTATGATCGCTTATGACGCCTTGGGGGTGGGGTGGCGCCGTGTAGATTAGATGAAGAGAATGGGTGTTGATGAAATTTAGGGACCGAAAAATGGATATCCCTCCAATGGAGCGGAATGATGCGGTGAACCACGCTGAGGGACTGGTTTGTATAAGTATCGCACTGGTTACCATGGTGTAAAAATCATCGCAATCATCAGCATTCGATACCAACCAGTACATTCGCTTCCAACTCTTTACATTCACTTCTTTTGAACATATTCATCCTCTTTTCATCAACATGAAGGCCTCAATCATCCTCTCTCTCCTTGCGCCCCTGGTGGTCGACGCCCACTACATCTTCAACCGTCTTATGGTCAACGACCAGGCCATCGGTGGTGACTATGCTTACACCCGCAAGAACACCAACACGTACATGCCCTCGTTCACCAGCGAGATTGTGAACTCTCCCGACCTTCGCTGCAACAAGGGCGCTAAGGCTGGTGGTGTTCCCACCTACGCCGTCAAGGCTGGCGACAAGATTGGCTTCAAGCTCGCCTACAACGAGAAGATCGAGCACCCCGGTCCTGGATTCGTCTACATCTCCAAGGCCCCTAGCAGCGTTGCCAACTACGACGGCAGCGGTGACTGGGTCAAGGTCATGGAGAGCGGCCTCAAGAACCCCAGCCAGCCCGGTGTCGACACTGCCTGGGACAGCTGGCAAAAGGACCGCCTTGAGTGGACCATCCAGAAGAACATTCCTGCTGGCGAGTACCTCGTCCGCGTTGAGCACATCGCCATCCACGAGGGCCACGTCGGCAAGGCTCAATTCTACATGGAGTGCTTCCAGCTGAAGATTGCCTCTTCCGGCACCGGCAACCCGTCTCCCAAGGCCAAGATCCCCGGTATCTACAGCGCTAACGATGCCGGTATTGCCTTCAACAAGTGGTAAGTCCATTTCCACTAAACAAACATATTGTGACAAGCATACTGACTTCTCATTAGGAACAACCCCAAGTCCTACACCATGCCCGGCCCCAAGATGTGGAACGGACAGTAAGCGACTCGTTTCGCTCACTGGTGTTCCATTAGGCAGTCAAGTTGAGGAGGAATCGGTCTTTTTTTACACAATGCACGCCCTAGTGGTGCTTACTTTCTACCTTTGCCCGCATTCATAGCGCTCGATCTCAGTAGCTTTTGACAAAATTACAATGCGTTTACCTCAATTCCATGTTCCTTGACTTCTGTGATGATGGCGATGGGTTGTGAGACTTGGCATTTGGTCGACAGATTGTGGATCGTGATCAGCCAGCCTTGTATACTCAGCTGGTGACCCGAGCGTAGGCAAGGCGACAAGTCGCGCGCGCCTACTACCGTTAGACCGCTATTAGTAGGCAGTCTAGAGGTCCGTTCATATTAGCGTACAACAACAAGACAGCTGGGTAGAGATGTGGCCGACGGCGGGAACACGTGTTCGAGAGCGCAATAGTTCTATAGCTGCCCAATGCATAACGGAGAGGCAACATCGCGAATTATGTGCGACTGGATGCGAAACAAGGTCAGTTATGCAGGGCGAGTGCCCAAGACGAAGCGAATGTCGCGGTGTAGAGTTGAAGAATGTGTGACGTGGTAGGCGAAGTGGGCCGCATCCTGGCCGGTGCGTGTCGCGGTTGCCCGGGGAGCGGTCGCTGAATCGTGTTTACCCAACCAAGACGGGACGTCAGGTTGCGATAGGCCCTGCTTAGCTCTACCATACCACTCCCCCGCTATCAATCGGGGCGTGACCACAGAGAACTGCTCTCTACCATTGCTACCATCGACTCCTGTCTTTCGCTGGAGCATTCTGCGCGTCCCACACCTAATCGACGCCGCCTCTCACTATTCTAATCGACGCATGTCATCCACGCGCCGTGCATGCCCCGAACAAGTTGCCGGTCAACATCAAGTACTGTGTAATACAACAACCAAATAATAACCAACATGGCAGTCGGCCAGGCGCTTCCAGTGCGCTTTCCCTGCTGGTGCAAAGCTGTTTATTCATGGGGAGGAGAGGTAAGTTCAGACGGAACCTGACTTGCTGCTGCATCTTGACTGACGACTTGACTAGACCAAACGCGACCTTGGATTCATAGAAGGCGACCTGATTGAAGTCCTCAATGCCGGCGATGGAGCTTGGTGGATGGGCCGGTTGAAGCGCGACAGGCGCATGGTCGGCCTCTTCCCGTCCAACTTCGTCGAACTACTCAGCGAAGACTACCAGCCATGGGCGCGCAATGGCAGCGGTGGCAGCATGTCAAGGCAGAACAGCGCACAGGAACAACAGAAGCCGGCGCCACAGAAGCAGAAGAGCATGTTCAGGAAGCCCTTTACGGCCTATGCGGCTGCAGGCGCCCCAAATCCAGCTGCTGCGGCGCGAGAGAGGCTCAAAGCCGGCGGCATCAACTCACCGAATGGCAGTGTCAAGACCAAGTCTCCTTACTCGTCGATGAAGAGGTCGTCTATCGAGAGCCGTGACAGCCCGTCGCCGGCCACGTCGACGAGGAAACAGTCGAACCTGCGCGCAGTGTCACCGCGACCCGCCTCCAAGAGGACGCCCGTAGCACGAGCTGTATCGCCAGCACCACCCTCACGACACGGCTCGCACGCACGCGTACCCTCTCCCGCACCGCCCGCCGAATACCGCTACCAACCCCGTGCAGTGTCACCGGCACCTCCCATCCGACGCGGCTCATATATCCCGCCACAGGCTTCCGCACCTCCAACCCAATATCAGTACCAACCCCGTGGAGTGTCACCTGCACCTCCCATACAACATCACAACTACGCCAGAGCCGCATCTCCAGCTCCCCCACAACAGATACAAGACTTATACCGGACAGCTTCACCAGCGCCTCCAAGACAAAATCAAGACTACTACCGGGCGGCCTCGCCAGCTCCTCCACGACAGAGTCAGGATCTATACCGAGCAGCTTCACCAGCACCCCCAGTTCACTACCAGCACTCGAGAGCTGTTTCTCCTGCGCCCTCGTTCCAGTACCGAGCATACGACCGTGGACCTTCCCCAGCACCATCGTTTGGCGAGCGTTCGCGCGCTGCCTCACCAGCCCCCTCGATCCAGTACCGCGCATACGACCGAGGCCCATCGCCATCTCCTTACCAACACCAACTCGATTACGATGATCACAGCCGCGGTCCATCGCCTGCGCCTTACAATGACGATTTCGAAGCAGATGTCGGCTCGCCGCCACCTCCACCTCCACCACCGCATCGTGTTGCTTATGACCCCAGCAGAGCTCCATCTCCCGCGCCTCCTTCGCACAACGGTTTCATCACACCCGAACCGCCCTCACCTGATCCAAGAACACGTGGAGGCCACTTCACGCCTTCCCCGCTCACAGCAGCAATGGACGATGTCATGACGTCTCTGCAGGATATGACAACGTCGAACAGCAACGAATCGCCAGAAGAATCTCCTACTCCAGCGAACCCGTGGTCTCCAGAGGCATTCGATCAAGTGTACCAAGAGTCAGCGAAGAAGGTCAGGGCACAGTCCGCGATGGACCAGGGTGATGAAGACGAAGATGAAGGCCTGCCAGACGTCAACAACTACATGAAGCGCATGGAGAGTCGTTTGAGGCGGATGAAGCAGCAAGAGCAGACCAGGGGCGGTGAACTGTTTATGGGCGAGGATGAAGGACCAACTGTACCTTTGAAAGGCTCCCATCAGAGGCCTGGGTCCTCGAGGGCAGACACTGATCCGGAGGTTCAACGAAAAGGCTCGAAACTGCTTAACCACCGCAAATCCGCTTATAACATGGGACGAAATGCCCTTGGACGAACATTTACGAGCAAAACGAACTCTACGACTACGACGCATACCAGCAGCAGCACCGATCGCAGCTTGATGTCTGGACACTCTGCTACGAACATGAGTGCTACAAGCGCCGGAAGCTACTACCGCAAGAAATTCGGCAAGGACCGACCGAAGAGCGTGATGAACACAAAGGACACAGCTGGAAAGGGATACGGCTTTGACGATGGACGACCAGAGACGCCTTTTACTGGTGTCACGTATCACTCCAGCCACGCTTCGCAGCCGCGACCTGGTTCCAGTGATAATCAGCAAGCTGAGGTTAGCACCCCAGCAACGGACGACCCAGATCCACTTGGTGGACTGAGGCAGCCATTGAAAACGAAGCGCAGCGGCTTCTTCCGCAAGATGATAGACACAGCGAAGACACAGGCAGCGAATGCACGCAGCACCATCGATACGATAAGCAGGCCAGGCTCCCGAGCTGCTAGCCGGGCAGCGGGCCGGGCAACCAGTCGCGCCGCAAGCCGCATGGACAGCAATGAGTCAACAGGTATCGAAGGAGGTAAAGCGACCCACACGGCAAACCCTTCGAGAGACACCGGCCTAGGAACGGTGGATTGGGTACAAGTCCGCCGGGATGTCAACCGATCCAACTCTCTAAGCAAGAATGAGCGTGCGGAGCGAGCCGAAAGGTGCCAAATGATGGATATTCCCGTTTTGAACCCGATTGAGATCTTGTACGAGTCAGCGGAAGGGGATGAAGGTCTCGACGGCCTTCCCATCACCGAGCCTACCGATTTTGCAGCCTGTAGTCTTAGCCACGTTGACAAAAGCGCGCGGTTTATCAACAGCATTCCTCTTGGAACTAACCCAGCGACCTTGGCTCAGGGATACGTGTGCCGACCCTACCGGAGCGATATCCAACGATTACGGGCCATCTTTACCTGGGTCAGCGAGCGTATCGCGTGGGAGGACGACTTCGAAGGCGAGATGGACCCGAAGCATGTGATTCAGAGCAAGCGTGGATGCTCCCAAGAGATCGCCATGGTTGTGGCAGAGATGTGCGCTTCTGTTGGAATGCATGCTGAAGTTGTTCGTGGCTATTTGAAGACACCAGGCGAACCTCTGGATCTGGAAAGCGTTGCCCGACCGAATCACTTCTGGAACGCTGTCATCGTTGAGGGCGAGTGGCGTATCATGGACTGCTCTCTTGCCGGGCCTACAAATCCAAAGCGAGTTCACTACTCAACGGCGGGATCATCCATGGCGGAGACGTGGTACTTCCTCGCTCGTCCCATGGAGATTTGCTATTCTCATGTTCCGCTCCTGCCTGAACAGCAACACATATGCCCTCCACAACCTCATGAGGTGCTGATGGCTCTGCCTTGCGCGACGCCGGCTTATTTCCGCCACGGTCTGAATATGGTTAACTTTGACACTAGCCTCCTCAATCTGGACAATCTCGAGATGGGTCATGTGTATATTGACGTGCCGGAAGACGTGGAATGCGTTGCCGAGGTCGAGGCAAGATCTTACTCTCAAGACATGGACGGCGACTTTTTCGAAAGCGGTGAAATTGTCAAAAAGCCGGCATTGGCACAAGCGGAATGGTACGGAGGCCAGAAGAGATACACCGTCAAGGCTCTTCTGCCGGGTGATGGAGGCCAGGGTGTCCTGAAAATCTATGCAGGACCTCGAGGACTCATGGTAAGTTTGTCCTAAGACACTGTCAATACATGCATACTAATGTTTCCCAGCACTCGAACAAAATGAACCCTCATAATCTGGCAATCGGCCTTCCAATGACGCATACCGGCACAAATCCTCCGTACTCATTCTTGACACTGCATCCTACGCCCCATGCCCAGCGAAACGATCTATACGTCGCTCAACCACAGTGCGCCAATCTGGCTCTAAACAACACTTTCGTCTTTTGCGTGCGCCAGCATCCATCATCCCTAACGAAGTCGCCCGAACCCAGTCCTGCGATGCACGGTCGAGCGTCGCCGAATCCCTTTGCCCGCCCTGCTTCTGCTATGAGCATGCAGAGCATCTCAGCTACTGGCTCCAACTACACAAACCCATCGCAAAGTTCTTCCGGATCGGCAGACAGTAGAGGCAACAAGCCCGCTAAACTAGCCGTACAAACCCCCTCTGGCAAGATTATCCGCCTGACGAGAAAGACGGAGCACATGAGCAGTACCAATGATGCCGACGGTACGGCTTGGGAGACGATCATCAAGATTGGAGAGAAGGGTACATGGCGAGGCCTTGTACTTGCTGACCGAAGCGCGAGGTGGTGTGTTTTCGCTCAGTGGGAGTGTGCTTGATTTTGTAGCGACTTTTCTCTTCAAAGTACGTATTATGACTTGTAATGATAGCGCTTGGTTATAGTATGACCGCGACGGCCGTGACGGCGCTTTTGCATAACTCGGCGTTTCTGTAGGATATAGGGTGTGACAATACTACTATGGCGTATTTGGTATCAAGATGATGTTTGAGCTGTTCAATAGTGATGTGTGATGTATGTGACAGGAAAGATGGAGTCATCGCAATGACCAGCACGTACCAAGATCAGGTTATATTTTGAGTCAAAGGTGCATATTATTCTTGTTCGTGAGTCATCTTGATCTATACGATACTGACTACTAGATTGTCGATGCACAGAAAAGACAGCCCTGTACTCCACAGTGACTCGTACCTGCCAAGCTCGGCGACAAGACGCTGCCCCGCGTCATCAACTCACCCCACCACAGCTTTTTCCCAACCCCAAAGACTAGACGACTCCAACACCATACGCGCACCATACTCACCACCAACATGGACGCGCAAATCGCCGAATGGCAACAACGCTCCGAGGCGCTCAAGCCCCTCAACCTCAAGCAAATCGAGCCCCATCTCCTCGAACTCGACGCCCACCTCACCCTGCGCTCCCACATTGTCGGCTACACGCTCTCCGACGCCGACACCATAGTATGGAAGACGATCCGCGAGAACCGCGTTGCGCACGCCTTCATCAAGCAGGATCTGATGAAGAACCTGTGTCGCTGGTTCAGGTATATCGAAGAGGCGTATCCCCAGAGTGTGGTTGTTGTCAGTGGGGGGCAGGGGAAGAAGGAGGAGGGGAAGGGAAAGGGAAAGAAGGAGGGCGGGAAGAATGATGATGCGAATTATGATATTGGGTTGCAGGATGTAGGGGATGGGACGGGGATTGTTACTAGGTTTCCGCCTGAGCCTTCGTAAGTCTCTCTCTCTCAACTATACGAACTACTCTTAATTGTAACGCAGAGGTTACCTCCACATCGGTCACGCCAAGGCAGCGCTGCTCAACGACTATTTCGCGCACGAGAAGTACAAGGGCAAGCTCATCCTACGTTTCGACGACACAAACCCCACAAAGGAGAAGCAAGAGTTCCAAGATGCTATCGTCGAGGACTGCGCGCTTCTCGGCATCAAGCCAGACCAGGTATCATACACCAGTGACTGGTTCGATCAGCTGTACGAGAGCTGTGTGCAGGCGATCAAGGATGGGCTGGCATACGCAGACGATACAATACAGGAGAAGATGCGCGACGAGCGCATGAACGGTATCGCTAGCGCTCGCCGTGATGCCAGCGTCGAGGACAACCTCGCGCACTTCGAGGAGATGAAGAAGGGCAATGAGGAAGGACTGAAATGGTGCATCCGCGCAAAGATGTCAGTTGACGACCCGAACAAGGCCATGCGCGACCCCGTCATCTACCGCTGCAACCCCCAGGCGCATCACCGCACCGGCGAGAAATGGAAGATCTACCCTACTTACGACTTCTGCTGCCCCATCGTCGATTCGCTTGAGGGCGTCACCCATGCGCTACGCACGACCGAGTACAACGACCGCGACGCACAGTACCAATGGTTCATCAAGAACCTCAAATTGCGCAAGGTGCATAACTGGGGGTTCGCGCGTCTAAACTTTGTCCGCACGGTGCTGTCCAAGCGCAAGCTCACCAAGATCGTTGATGCCGGTATCGTTGCGGGCTGGGACGACCCGCGCATGCCAACTGTACGCGGTGTTCGTCGCCATGGTGCAGTCATCCCGGCTCTCCGCGAGTTCATCCTCAAGCAAGGTCCTTCCAAGAACATTGTCAACCAGGACTGGTTCGCCTTCTGGGCCACTAACAAGAAGCACATCGAGCCCACTGCTGCCCGTTACACTGCCATTGACGATGCCGGTCGCGTCCCCGTCACCATCATCGGCGCCCGCGAGGGCGTCATCTCCGAGGACAAGCCGAAACACGCCAAGTACGACCTTGGTAACAAGAAGATTGTCTTCAGCTCCTCCGTCATCATGGAGCAAGCCGATGCTCAGTCCTTCGCGCAAGACGAAGAGATCACACTGATGAACTGGGGTAACGCCATTGTTCGCAAGATCAGTCACTCCATCAACCCTCTCGAGATGGCCAAACACGGCCTCAAGACCGTCACCAGCCTCGAGCTCGAACTGCACCTCCAGGGAGACGTCAAGAAGACATCCAAGAAGGTCACTTGGTTGAGCAACGATCAAGATCTCATCCCTGTTGAGCTGGTCGACTACGACTACCTCATCACAAAGGACAAGTTGGAGCCGGATGACAACCTCGACGACTTCCTCAACAAGGAGACTGAGACGAGGACCAAGGCTATGGCTGACTGCAACGTTGCCGAGCTTAAGGTTGATGATATCGTCCAGTTTGACCGCAAGGGCTTCTTCCGCATTGACCGCGCTTTTGCGCATGGCGAGGCCGTCGTTGCGTTCCAGATTCCTACTGGTAAGAGCAAATAGACATTGCTCTTGAGCTTCGTGTATCACAACTGCTGCGATGGCACTGAAGTGGTAGCCCTACAATGTGCTTCACCAGATCCTCAATTAAACAAGACTTAAGTCAAATATCCGATGTGCCTCCTCAAGTTCCCGATCTCTTACATGGCTAGCCTTTTCTTTGATCTACCTCAACCCGCAGTGAGTGTGGTAGGTTCCAGGCTAATATTTCATGCATTCCGTACTCGAATCGCTCCTTCCCGCATCAGAAACTTTTCACCGTCACTTTCCTCATTCCTCGTTTACCGATTACCATAGCTCCTGCGGATTCACCATCGTCTCCCTCAGCTTGCTCGCTCAAACTTTCTCTTTCCTCTCTTCTACACCATCATCGCCACTACGTTTAGATTCTCGGTGCATCATTCAGTCAGCAATCGCCCCCACGCAACAACACCAGAGGAGTCACCATGAGGTTCTTTGTTCCTGCTGTCTTTCTGACAGCATGCCGCGTGCTCACTGCTGCTGCTGCACCTGCTGCCGGCATAGGAGACAGTGAGTCGGGCCATCAGACACGAAGAAAGCTCTTGCTAATAACTACAGCCACTGATGTGGCACTCGGTGATGGAATAACATGCCCCGGTGCACCCAGTACGTTACAAACTTCAAACTCAACTATAATATCCAGAAGAACTACCTGCATGCCACTGTCACCTCTCAAATCCATACACCTTCATCTAACCACCTACACCCCATCTAGCTTCATGCGACGACGCCCTCACCCTGCGGCTTGGCCACAACGGAATCAACGTTGGCGACAGCAAAACCCTCTACCACGATGTCACTGAAGCCCTCGAAGCGCTCTGTGCCGAAGACTATTGCCTGTCAAAAGCCGCTACATTCCCCGTCTCGATCATAGAGTCCACCTCCCGAGGCCCATATTACAGAGAGCGCGTAGACAAGACAATCAGCGTCACCATCCTGACCGCTGACTGGGGCCGCCGCGTCGATGTTCGTAAGTTCATGAGCAACACCATCGCCGCGGCGTTTGAGCGCGGAACCTACGATCCGAAAAACTGCTACATGAACCGGGTCAAGGGCGACAAGGTAGAGCATTTCAGGGATTGTATGACGTTGGACTATGCGGAGGTTGTCTTGTCGAATGGATATAGCATGAAGGTCATGTTTGGCGGGCCACGCAGTTCGGTGAAGGGGCTGAACTATGACTGTAAGAGGGAGGTTGATGATATGTACCCGTTCCTGAAAAACGACTTGGCGTGGAAGGCGAAGGCTGTTTACGTCTATTGTCTGTCGAAATAGATGCGGGGGCGTCATGTGATGGAATAGAGAGGGTTACGTAGGGGAAACACTAGGATGACCCAGGAGAGGCCAGGAGATGATGGGTTACAGGCGATCTCATCAGATATTCACTGGGGAAGGGTGATAGCGTCTAGAACTGTCAGGGTTCTCATACGATCTGGAAGACGTACTGCAGTATGAAGGTAGTAATGAAACTTCACATTGAAACAACAGAAATGTTCTTCTTGGGTATCATATTGATTCATGTACCGTATCTAGATCTTTTCTAGGCTCGTGACTCTTGTCACGGCCACCTCCCACCCACCCGACGACATCATATCGTCATACATCAATCGTTATGAACAAACCGCCAAACCACCAAAATTGTGTCTGGCATGGCAATGTCAAGCCCAAGATGCTCCCGCGTAATCATAGCTCTTCGAGCCACAGGCCAAGTGTGCATCTACTTAGAGTTCGACCCACCGCCCTCCTTTCTTCCCTGCGTCCCCTCCTTAGTGACCTCATCCGGCTCACCCTCCTGCAACTTCTTCTGCCTCTCCTCCTCGCGCTTCCTCTCATGCTCCCTAACCATATCCGGCGGGCTGTCCTCAATGAGATCGGAGTCACCACTCAGACCACTCCACTTGGGCAGACCATCCGGAATATCCATAACGCGCTGACCGTAGAACATGTGGCAGCGGGGCTTGAAGTACGCCTTGTCTTCATCGGTCTTAAGGTGCACGAGCGAGGGGAAGAGCAGGATCATGTTGCGGCCCTCGTCCATGATGGGCGAGTGGCAGTAGGAGCAGCGCACTTTGCAGGGAAGCTTGTGCTCGATGGATTTGTCAGTTGGGTCGTACCATTCTAGGTCGTGGTGGCCGTTGGTGAAGTTGATGTCGTCTTTGTGGAAGATGGCGGCCCATTGGAAGGGTGCGGCTGAGGGGTGGGTTTTAGTATAGTTACTTTGATTCAAGAAGATGAGACAAGGGGAACCATACCGTGTTGTGTCTGGCACGTGGTGCAATGACACAACTTGCTGTCGAGAGGCTCCCTTCTGCTGAGCTGGTACTGGACCTTTCCGCAGTGGCAGTTGGCTTCGTACTTGACGTCAAAGTCCTCGTTCTTCTCGTGGACGCGGTAAGGAGGACGCTGCTTCCACTCAGACTTGCCAGTCGTCTCCTGGCCGCGGCTCTGGTCCTGTTTGACCTGGTCTTTGTCCATCCTGAAGGCGGATTGAGAGAAAGCGGGACACTGTCGCGTGAGGCGTGAAGCAACTAGTCGTGCACGAGGTACAGCTCTTGAAGTCGTTAGAAGTGGTAACCGACGGAATGCAATTGAAGCTGCGGACATGAATAGAGAATTGGAGGGGATGTGGTGGAGTTACGTGGGTGGTTTTGATGTTTGCTTGCCGTCATCATCGATGCTTTATTTGGGGAGGCGCGTTGATCTGACGTCACCATGACCACAGCTCAGCTACGCGACAACGCGTGCTCTAGATTCCTTACCACCATTGTGGGCATTGATCGTCAAAAAGAATACGCCTTCCCGCAGCGAAAACGCTCAGATATGGAGCCCAGATTTCGCCTTCCAATGCTATGCTTTTTCTACACAATTCCATTCGTCAATCCCTCCCTAGTGTCCCACTCTCCCGTACTTCATCGCGATCGATCCTGCATCGCCGTCTGCTACGAGCCGTAGCCCATGACCCTGACATCGCCGGTAACCTTGCATCTGGCGGTAGCCATCGTGTTTCGCGATGTTGGATCTACTAACGATGGGTTTTCAGCTACCGCATCCCCAAAAGCCAGTTGTAGCTGGCGTTTGCGCTAACTGCACGGAGTCGTTCCGTGCCTGGCGGTCCACAAAGTTTCATCGCAAGTAGCTCAAGCTCCTTTCAGAAGCTTCTGAGCTTCTTTGCTGGACAAACCGAAGACATTAATTAGGTAGTCGAGTCTGCCAATGTTGTCAGCATAAAGCTTTGGTGGATTGATCATTGTTCACTCACTTGATGTCTCCAGCTATCCGCCTGCGTACAGCCTCAAACTCAACTTCAGCCTTGTCTCTTGTCGCATCCTGTCTCTTCGAGTTGATTGTCTTGACACGCAGCTTGAACCTTCCGCTAACAGGACGGTGGTCCGAGACTTTGATGGTGTCGTGTCGCCTGTAATCCAACTGCTTGATCCTACCCAAGCCGCGGTACAACAACCGATCACACCATGCAGGTGATCGCTGCTTCTCAGAAGTATCGTAGTTGTCGGTCCCCACGTCATACTTGTAAGTCGGAGCAAAGTTGATCGGCATCTCAGTGAACGCCCGCAAGCGGAAGCCAGGATTGCGCTTGCGAGACAGAAGCAGCTGGTCACGCTCGAGGAGCTTCGCCAGGTTGCCTTGCTGCACAGCAGCGACGACGGTATTGCGAGGCATCGCGTCGATGCGATAATTCAGATCGCCATTTAAGATACAGATCTCGTGATCCAAGATCATGGACCCATCACCGCCTCCAACAAAGTAGTTTGCGCATGAAGTTGGGGAGCGGTTCTTTGGTAACGGTGCGTTCTCCATGATTGCGGCTGCATCGTTGTTACGATGTACTGTTTGCGTCTGACCAGCCGCAAGATGGCAGTTGATGAAGCAGAGCGACGAGTCGTCAATGAAAAAGCGTACTACGAGCGCACCCTTGTTGCCAACACGACCGCTGAAGCCAAGCTTGATCTCAGCTGCGCATACATCGCGGATATTGGCCCGTTCCGAAGCCTTTACGAACACGCAGGTGAACAGACCGACGAGATTGGCGGTATGCAGCAGTACGTAGTTCTGCTTTGGACTGTACTCGTCCAGGACGCGAACAAGATGGTCTCGCCACGCTCGATATTGATGTGACATGTGCTCGCTCTCTGATGTCTCTTTGTGCTTCTTTCTTTTGAAGATACTCTTGGCGGTGATCTTCTTGTCTTCCAGATCGACCAACTCCTGGAAGCCAAACACAAGGATATCAGGCGGATTCTCGGGTTCGAGTACTTCTCGGAAGAAGTTACGATCTTGCTCTGTGTTGCGTAGATTTGCGGGTTTGACTGCGCCGGCGTTCCAGGTCATGACTCGCGCTGAGAGTTCTCTAAATTCGCAGTACTCCCCATCACGTTGTTGCATCAGGTTTTCTACAGAATGTCAGCATGGCACCACAGAATAAACACAACACTAATTACCGAGCCAATCGTCCTTCATCATGCCATCCCAGACACGCAGCATCGTGTCTGTGCCAAGAGACGCAACCTGGAACCTATCAAGTTTCCAGATGCTCGTACGATCCGCCAAGATGCCCGCTATCGGCTTGTCGTGCGCCTTCCAATCCTTCAACACCTTCCAGGGCGTCGACTTGGTGTCGTACACGTATATCATTCCAGTACTGTAGCCAGCCCAAAGCACATCACCAACACCGACCAGAGAGCTGATCTTGTACACACTGACATTCACGATTCCAAGACATTCGAAGGTCTTCTTGGAGTATATTGTAACTTTTCCGTCAGCGTGTCCGAAGTACATGCGGTCGGGCTGACTGCTGATGATAGCACCGGAGGTTACGTCTCCAACATTGAGCTGAGATAGCGAACCCTGGGTCAATTGCTGGAAATGGTTGTTGTCCGACGTGCGGGCGTAGACGCGGATGTCTTTCGTCGTGGCTACCCATAATTGCGAGCCCGAGATGATAGAAAAGGTGCTTCCCCGAGGAATACGGTAGGTAAGTGGGGTCTGCTGTAGGGACGGGCATCCAAACTCGTCAGCTGGCCAGATGTGTAGTACTCCATCCTCGTCAAGAGACCACATTTCTGCAGCATAGCGGAAGATCTTGATGATGACACTCCTAGCGTGTGCGTTACTCTTAGTGTGCACTACACTTTGCGTGGGTATGTCAATCTCATGCATTTCGCCTGTGTTTGTTCCTAGCCATAATCGCTTGCCTTCGTCTTCCACATCTTTCGCTGGTCTGAATGCAATCGCTGTGGCTTTGACTGTATCGCCGTGAGCTAAGCTCATAAGCAGTCGCCCGTTCAGAACGTTCCACACGTTCGTCACGTAACCAGTCGTACATATATAATCGCCACAAATTGCAAAGAGCTTGGTCTCGTAGCCGGTGGGGATACCCGCTATACCGTCTGGGAACACTGGTGGTCTTCGATTCGCTTGTGAGGAGTCTGGATAGTCAGTCAAAGCAGTCGTTGGTTGCTTGTCTGCGCCCGTATCTTCTTCATCCGAGTCATAAGTATACGGCTGTGATAGCTGCGATGCCTGCGCAGTAATCGGCTGTGACGGCCTTCTCATTTCCCCCGAGTTCCGTGGAGGCGGTGGTTTCGGAGGTTCTAACGCTTTTCCGGGACTAGCGGATATGGTACCAGTTGTATTGGTCCGCCGAGGAGGCGGCATGAACTTGTTGTTCGCTTCTTGCACCATTTGCCCAGGCCGGGTTTGATCGAAAGATCGTCGGACTGGCAAATCAGGAGGAGGTGCTCTTTGCAGCTGTACACTCTTCCGCAGATCGAAGTTGTCTTTCTCTCGTCGCGTAGGTAACGACGGGCGGTCTTCTGGCATGTCAGTCGGTGACGGTGGCGGCATTGTCTTCTTCAAGGGCTGCTTCCCCGTTGGCCGAGGGTCTGCAAATGGGTGATTTTCGGCGACTGCGTGAAATGCGGGAGCAGCTGGGAAGTAACCGTTGTTGCTTCCAGTCATCTTTGGTTTCGAGAAGCCTGGGATGACTGGTGGAGAAGATTCGCCTTTGACGCTCTCTCCACTACTGCTAGGCGGTGTACTGAATGGAGAAATATCTGCAGCGTCTGATGTGGCTTCGGGAGCCAAGTTTGCACGAGCTGGCAAATCCACAGAAATTGACTTTGGTGGGATCTTGGGTTTCCCGGCTCGGTTCACAGGCGGTGGTACGGGAGGCGCCGAGGATACCGGTCGGTCACCCTTTCGCGGGTCGTTGGCGGGGCCGTTGCCTGTGTGGGTTGGGAATATAGGTTTCGCATCCGTAGCGGGGGTGCCATTGCGACTGGGCATTGTGAAGAATCTCTTCCCGGCAGACACTGCTGAGGGCGAATCTAATGCGGCATGTTGAGCAGGTCGCTCGGGCTGCGGCGAGAGTATGGGAGAAGCGGAGGACTTGGGCGGTGATCTTGGTGACTGAACCGTAACCTTTGGTGGGGACCGTGTTGGTGATCTGGGCGGAGAAAAGGCCATCATCGACGTCGGTCTCTGCTTTGTGTTGCCCCAGAGCGACCGTCCGAGGGTGTTTGAGCGCGGTGTCACTGTCCCACTCCCACTGTAGTCGGCCACACTGGGCGAGGGTCTCTCAGCATAGTCCCTGGGCATGTCCAGGGATATGCGCCCATCCGTCCTCCTGTTGTCCTCGGGCATAGCAAGGCGATCATTGGGGCCAGGAGAGCGTTGTCGCGGAGTGGCAGGCGTGGCGGATTTGTTTGTACTGAGGAGGTTCTCGAATTGGGCGCGGAGGGAAGACACTGGCTTCTGTGCTGAGAGTCAGCAACACGTTCTCGTTGGGAAGTAGCTACTCACTATGGACGAGCCGTCCATGTTCTCCTCTTGCTGGTTGTCCATGATGATTGTTTTGTCGTCAGCCGGCACCGGGAGGTATCCTATAGCTGCGCATCGACCAGTGAGGTCTTCTTCCCATTTGGCGCTTCTTGTGAGGGTGGAAGGAGAGGCTGTCGCTCGCGGGCCGTCATGCAGCCAGCGCTACGGAGGCAGGATCCAGAAATAGCTTGTGCAGTAGTGTTTGTGGTAGTGGATACGGTGGCGGTGCGATGTGGTAGAGGCCCGAGTGACTGTAGGGCTCCCTAGTGGAGACGCGTATACTGCCTGCTAAGAATGTTCGGCGACAGGGAATACCGGCGACAGCGCGGGGGGTGCAGGTGTTTCGCAACTGTCGGAACGTAACGGCTATCGCGACTGGCGACGAGTGCTCCCCGTGTGCGCGTTCGGTCAGGTGACGTTCCGGTTTGCAGGCGATACAGAGGCTCTGTGTTGGGCGTGGGCGGCTTGGAGCGGTGTTGTCGTGTCTTGCTACTGTCATTCCCCACAGCGCAGCAGCACGGAACCCTGCACACCACCAACGGCAAGGCGATCAGGCACCGGCGAATTATAGACGAGCATACAAAACGCCAAACTAGCCAGCCTGCAGCCGTCAGTTTGTACTCCCATAGCGCCGTAGTCTCTCTTCACCGACACCAGCCATGTGGTAAGCACGCGTTTCTTGTCGCCTCCGAGACTCCCCCGCCATGACCTCCGCGGCTGGCTGATGCCCATGTAGCAGACACATCCTCAACGCCCAGGTCTCCATCCGCTCACCATGCTGTACGGCGCCCGTCCTGAGATGTATGCGATGAATGCTGAGAAGGGATAGGCAAGAAATGGTTCGACTGCGCCGAATGTCACCAGGAGCAGAGCGACCACCCGCTCATGCAGACGTTTGACATGGTCTTCATATGCAAAAAGTGCAAGAAGGCCTTCCGCAAAGATGCGCGTGAATTCGAAGACGCGTGAGTAGGGTGTTAATATTCAGTGTGGCGCCGGGCTGATGAGTGGTAGCGACGAGTACTGCCCGCACTGCGACAACCACTTCGTTCTAGAGGCCAAAACTCCCAAGGCGTCGCTGCAAGTCGAGGGCGAGGATGTGCGCAAGGACGCCAGGCACGTCACCCCCCTCGTTAGTGACGGAATATTGCTAACAGTATTTCAGGATGCTCAAGGATGAACGTGTACGAAGTGAAGAGATGCGCACCATATTCGATGTCAAGGAAGCACCAGACAAGTTGGGCTGAACCAGTGGGATATCGCAACACACAATACTATGCGTAGCACAAGCTACAAACCCGTAGGGCGGGGGCCCTCACCCAAGAATATCACGCGACGAGCGAGGGGTTGGACGTGGAAAGACGCTTCATGGTGTGCTAGATTGCCATTTATGAGCACTAGCTGGTCGTATCTGCATTATACAGAATCAAAGTCTATCACCAGACGCCACTGCTGTTCATGCCTTTTCGCCATCAGTCGTTAACCATGCCTCTATGCGCCACCAGATCCTGAGCCCTCAGCTGGGGTCTGGCGGGTGAGGATAGCGGCCTGGCCTGTGCCGGGCTGTCGTCCAGGCCTCCTGTTCGCCGCCTCTTCCTGCTTCTCTGTGTTGATGTTCTCCACGTACTTCTCAATATCCTCGACGGGCAACATTTCGATGGGCTTTCCGGGTGCCATGATGGCAATCTCAATGTTCTTCGCGCCAGTCTGCACTACCTCCAATAGTGACTTGACTGTCAACTTGATTGTCTCTTCCCGGTCCATCCCTTCCTTGTGGTTACGTTCGAGGAACTCGCGGACTGTCTTGCTCGATCGGCCGATCGCATTTGCTTTCCTAAGTGATATTAGCACAGAGAAGTATAACTTCGTATATGCAACCTACCATGCTGAGTAGATACCAGAAGGCTCGGTCTGGTACAAGCGCGGGGTCTTGTCGTTGGGGTCGAAGCCGACTATCAGTGTGCTGATACCGAACGGCCGGACACCACCACTCTGCGTGTACCTCTGCTGAACACCTGCAACGTACTTGGTGATGTACTCTATCGATACCGGGTCTTCGACGGTGAGGCGATGTGATTGCGCTTCGAGGCGGGCCTTGTCGACAAGGATACGTGCGTCGGCGTTCAATCCAGCGAAGGCGAGGGCAACGTGGGTGTCGACGAGGCAGATCTTGGAGGGTGTGATGCGGGTATCTTGCAGCTTCATTGCGGATCGCTTCTCGCAGCCGAGTACTACTATGTCCGAGCCCTTAACACCAACGGCGCATGTTCCTGGGGCGAATGAGCATCTGAAGTTCGCTTTCTCCTTCGTAGACTACGCACCTCGCTTTACTGCTTCGAGTGCATATTCGACCTGGAAGACGTGGCCGTCAGGACTGAAGACTGGCGGAGTTAGCTAAGCCCGCATCTCCAAGTGTTGGTTGTTTGTACCGGAGAGAGCTCGATCGTAGCCGGATGCCATTGTGAAAGTGAACGTATAGTAATCTGTAGGGTCCTTGTTGTTTACTTGTCTATGGCGACGATATTTGAGAAAAAGCGGCGGGGCAAAAGGTACGGCTGTCGTCAAGCTGCTCGCGGAGCTCCAGAGCTGTCCGCGTCGCTGCTCCCGCCTAAACTACGCCAAGCTATCTGGCCCGTGCTTACCCTGTCGAATTAGGTCATCAGGATAGATATTCGTGAAGGCGACTTGATTATTTCCGCCGCCTATCGCATCTCTTCTCCGGTCAATTGGGATGGCATCTTCAGCGCGCTTGGCCTCGTCACTGCGACGAACTGCACTATCTTCTCGCGCTGCATCGCGCTTTCAATATTTGCGACCAACAAGTCAAGTGCGATGGACGGGTAGTACGTCAGCGACTTCGGAGCCTCACCAGCCAGACGAACATGGCGGAGTGAAAGGCCCGACCGCGTCGTCAAAATCCATCAAGTTCACTTCCGAGTCGTACGTGTTGAGGTTTGGATTTTTGGAGGGGTTTGCTAACGGTCCGCAGTTACCCGCATCTTCAAAGAGACACCAAATTCACCAAAGTCAGCGAGGAGCATGTAAATTATTTTCGAGACCTTCTGGGTTCCGATTCGGCCATCATAGATGGTGTGTCGAAGGATGCATCGGATGATATTGAAGCCTTCAACAGCGACTGGATGCGCAAGTTCCGTGGCCACACCAAACTAGTCTTGAAGCCCAGTTCCACGGAAGAAGTCAGCAAGATCCTCAAATATTGCAATGACAACATGCTCGCCGTAGTACCTCAGGGCGGTAACACTGGACTTGTCGGTGGCTCCGTGCCTGTGTTTGACGAGATTGTGATCAACATGCAGAGGATGAACGAAATTAGGTCCTTCGATGAAGTATCTGGTATCCTCGTCGCTGATGCTGGCGTGATCTTAGAGAATGCCGACAACTTCCTTGCCGAAAAGAACCACATCTTCCCATTAGATCTCGGTGCTAAGGGCTCTGCTTATATTGGTGGCAATGTCGCGACAAACGCTGGTGGTCTCCGTCTCCTCCGGTATGGCAGCTTCCACGGAAACGTCTTGGGTATCGAGGCAGTCCTTCCAGATGGTACCATTGTAGATGATCTATCGACACTCCGGAAGAACAACACTGGCTACGATCTGAAGCAACTGTTCATCGGCGGAGAAGGTACCATCGGCATCATCACCAAGGTCTCAATTATCTGCCCGAGAAGATCACCCGCCGTCAACGTCGCGTACTTTGGGCTGGAAAGTTACGAGCAGGTCCAGAAGGCTTACATCGAGGCCAAAGGGCACCTATCTGAGATCCTGTCAGCCTTTGAGCTGATGGACGGTCGCACACAGAAGCTGGTCAACAGGGTAACCGGTAAGAAGATGCCTCTGGAGGGCGAACATCCCTTCTACTGCCTGATAGAGACCAGCGGGTCTAACGCCGAGCATGACGGCGAGGTAAGCAGGCTCATGGCACGAATCCTACCGGTCGCTAACCTGTCTAGAAATTGCAAGCATTCCTTGAACATGTGATGGAAACCGAAGTCGTCTCCGATGGTGTTCTCGCCGAGAACCAAACTCAGATTCAGGAGCTTTGGTCATGGCGCGAAGGTATCACCGAGTGCCTTGGTCATGACGGAGGTGTCTATAAGTACGACTTATCGATACCTATCGCTGAGCTCTATGATCTGGTCAACGAAACTCGCGATCGCTTGACAGAGGCTGGCCTGCTTGGCAACGATTCCTCGCACCCCGTAGTTGACGTCGTTGGATACGGTCACATGGGCGATGCCAACTTGCACCTTAACATCCCAGTCAGGAAGTTCGACAAGGCTGTAGAGAAGAAGCTTGAGCCATTTGTGTACGAGTGGGTACAGAAGCGGAATGGTAGCATCAGTGCTGAGCACGGCTTGGGTGTAACGAAGAAGCCATATATCGGATACAGTAAGAGTGAGACCATGATCAAGTTGATGAAGCAGATCAAGGATCTATACGACCCCGTAAGTGACTACCCTGGGTCAATTTGTTTTCATCATGTGCTGACTACGACAGAACGGCATTATGAACCCGTACAAGTACATATAGACAGCCATTGCGGCACATCCAGTAGACCATTCATATACACATTTTACCCACCTTTTCACATCTTGCTCTTTCCTTTTTCCAGCAGTTTAAACGCATTGCCCTGATAAACTGCGTCTCTCTCCTTCTCTCCAAACAAACTTTCCAATCCATCCTTCATCCTGTCCGCAAACGCCTTCACAAACTGTGTCTGCGTAAAAGGAAAATCACTCCCATACAACAACCTCTCATGCGAGATCTCAAACCCTTCAACAAACGCCTTCAACTGCCCCTGCCCCCCACTCTCTCCATCGAACACGAATCCTGCGAGATCAAAGTAGAACTGCCCATCAAGCTGCTTCCGCACCGTTGAAGCATTCAACACCCTCCCACCCGGCACCACGCTGGTAAACTGGATAAACCGCGTCATAAGCGGCGGTAAAGCACCGCCAGAATGCGGAATAACAAACTTGACGTTCGGACACCGGTCCACTGTCCCCGTGCTGAAGAGATTGATAACCGCCCTCGCAGTGTCGAAGAAGAACTCAAACATCGGGACGGGGTATTGTTCACCGAATGGGAGCGCGTCTGTCGTCCGAACCGGTTCGCCGGCAGTGGCATTCCCGCCACCGTTTCTGATACAAGGTTGGGCGGGATGAATGAAAATCGTGGCGCCAATTTCGTTCAGCTTATCAAACACAGCGTCCATCGTTCCATCTCCCACATAAACCCCATGGTAATTCGTCAGTAAGCCAAAGCCCTCAACACCTTCTTCAACGCATTTCCCTATCTCGTTCAAACTCGCCTCAACATCTGGTAGTGGCAGTGCAGCCCAAACACCAAACTTCTCGGGATGTTGCTGCTTAAGAGATGAGGCATAGGCGTTGCATTGCCGTGTTAAATTGATTGCCAATCCCGGATTGCGCAGATTGATGTTTGTCCCTGGGCTGGAGATAGAGAGAATTGATTTGGAGACGTTGGCTGTTTCCATCATTTCAAGGTGTTGGGACAGAGACCAGGAGGGGATGGCGGGCATGCCGTCTGGATGGGAGTGTCCGTTTTCGGCGAGGGCGGTGCGGTAGAAGGGGGGGAGGAAGTGAGAGTGGACGTCTATTCTTTTGGGGAGGGGGTTTGTCATTTTGGCTGGGGGTTGGTATGAGAAGATCGTGGTTGTGTGTGCTAGGAGGAGCGTTAGGCTGATAATAGATGGAAACATAATGACGCTACCTTTCTGAGATGACAATCTTGTAAAGGCCAAGTTGAGCACGTATATGCGGTGAAAATGAGTCCGGCTGGACTTGTCGCTCTTGTCAGAAGCAACGAATGCAATGACTACTTATGCAATGCAAGGTGCTGCACCTGCATCAAGTGATAGGTTGGCATCCGGGACCCCGCCCCGAGAGGTGCACATAGAGAGCAAAGGATTGTTGATCATCGTGCATCTCGTTCATTGAGGACGTGTGGATTAGCGTGAAGCTTCTGTGATATATCAGGATATGATCATGTGTCGCGGAAGATCATCCAGGAACTGCAATTATGCGCAGTGGAAAGCCGATGCGTTTGTACGATACTCTCCCTGTCGAAGGCTAGATAACGCGTTCATCAATGTGACAACAGCTGTTGCTAGTCTTCCATCCAACACCATGTGACTTTCACCGTACAATAGAATGTTTGTTCAATAGTCGTGTCAGAGCTCCCAAGTGCCCAGTGTGGCACGTATGCGCCGATACAGGATAATGATCCTGACCGTCGATCGCGTGCCCCACCCGCGCCTTCCAGATGAGCGGCGGGTCACTTTTTTGTCTTCCATCACTTGCAGCCATGACACAACGTCGTCCGCCACACCACCTTTCCCTCTATCCTCAGTCACGCGTTCACGATGGAGAGGATTACGGATAAGATCAATGCGCTACCCGATGGCGCCAACTACTTCTCGCTCGAGTTCTTCCCGCCCAAGACGGCCATGGTGAGTTTGCCCCGCTCGCACGCGACGAATGTGGAGGGCCGCGATATGGATCGGACAAGAACATCATGAAAGAAGAATTGGTTGCTGACAGTTCTAAAGGGCTTTGCGAACCTCCAAACACGATTAGAGCGCATGTCGCAGGCTCTCCGACCACTCTTCGTTACCGTTACCTGGGGTGCCGGCGGATCAACGGCCACCAAGTCGCTCGAACTCGCAGAGATATGCCAGCGCCAATTAGGCCTCACAACATGTCTACATCTTACGTGCACCAATATGAACCGCCAGCTCATCGACGACGCGCTCGAACAGGCAAAGGTGCTGGGCATACGGAACATTCTGGCGCTGAGGGGTGATGCGCCACGGAGCGAAGAGTACAGGGACGAAGGAACACCGCCGGAGCAAGACTCGAACAAGGACTTTACGTGGGCGATTGACCTAGTCAAATACATCCGGAAAGAGTACGGAGACTACTTCTGCATTGGTGTTGCTGCGTATCCAGAGGGCCACTCAGATCAGAGCCATCCCAAAGATCAAGATCCGCTGCACGACCTGCCATATCTGATTGAGAAGACCAAGGCTGGCGCAGATTTCATCATGACCCAGCTCTTCTACGATGTTGAGGCGTACGACAAGTTCGAGAAGATGCTGAGGGAGCACGAGAGCGGAGTGTTCAAAACGATACCGATCATACCGGGGCTGATGCCAATACAATCGTACAAGATCTTGCTCAGGACAACGAAGCTATCGCATGCGAAGCTACCGTCGGATATGCTGAAGCGACTGGACGCCGTGAAGAGCGACGATGAAATGGTGAAACAAGTGGGCGTCAAGATAATGGACGAAATGGTGGAACACATCAAGGCGCGGCCAGATACTTGCAGGAGAGGTTTCCACTTCTACACACTCAATCTGGAGAAAGCCGTGTCGCACATCGTTGAAGACACTCACCTCATACCATCGACTATCGAAGACGACGACGACGATGTCATTGTCGAGACCACGCCCGCCATCAACCTTGAGCCACCACCGAACGGCATAATGCCACGCAGGCGACGATCATCAGCTGTTAACTCCGGTCCACACAACAGAGTAATAATATCACACCCGTCCGCGGCCAAGTCAAGCAATCACTCGTATGAAGCTACGGAGGAAGAGGCTGGCGTACCAAGGGGCCCGATTAACACCCGGGCGAACACACTGGCAATATCAGAGGGCGAGGGTTCGCTGGGCCGTGAAGCAACTTGGGACGACTTCCCTAACGGTCGTTGGGGTGATGCACGTTCGCCTGCCTTCGGTGAAATTGATGGTTACGGTCCGACGCTCCACGTCTCAACACCGCAAGCTCTCAAGCTCTGGGGCCATCCAGTCGAGAAAGATGACATCTCGAAGCTCTTCCGCCGTCATATCGAAGGAGACCTCGAAGCCATACCATGGAGCGAACAAAGTCTGTCTCCCGAGACTCTAACCATCAGCAAGCAACTGCTCGCCCTCAACGCCAAGGGCTGGTGGACAGTCGCCTCGCAACCTGCCGTCAACGGCGTCAAATCCACTGACTCCGTCTTCGGCTGGGGCCCAAAGAACGGCTACGTCTTCCAAAAGCCCTTTGTCGAATTCTTCATTCCCGCCTCCGAATTCGCCACTCTCAAACCCAAACTCGACGCCCACGACCAGGTCACTTACTTCGCTGGTAATGCCGCCGGAGAGTTTGAAGCTAGTCAAGAGGATGGTGTAAACCCTGTTACCTGGGGCACGTTTGCAGGTAAAGAGATTGTCACGCCTACTATCATCGAGGCTGTCAGTTTCAGGAGTTGGCTTGATGAGGCTTTCAGTATCTTCAGGGAGTGGCAGAGGATTTACCCGCCGAGGAGTGCGAGCAGCACACTGCTTGGAAAACTGAGGCAAGATTATTGGCTTGTTAATGTTATTTGGGGTGATTTTGTCAATGGTGAGGGGCTGTGGGAGTTTTTGGAACAGTAGACTGAAGATATAAGAGGAATGTATTGTGGGTGTACGTGCGAAAGCGATATGGACAACTCACCTTAAGCTCCCGATGATTGTCATCCCATGTAGATTGATCGCAGCCCGATATATGCATTGTACGAGCACGAGTCGTCCTTGATTTGCTCACATGTGCTGCGAGGCTGAGACGCCACTTCCTCGCCATTGGACCCGGCTTGCACATGGATGGAAGGACCGCTGCTCAGCCCCCGCGATTACGATGATTTTGGCTCCCGACCTTTTTGCTCTCATTCCCTCTCCTCTCATACCTCAACACAAGCGTCATTCTTCAAGAGTGATGAGTTGTTACAACGTCAGATGAATTTCGCCTCACGGATTCGTAAACACAGATTGTCATTTCTTCAACACCAATTTACAGTCGGTCTCCAACTCCCAACCCCCTGTCGCGTGTGATGTTAGATCCATCTTTATGGACGACAGCAGCGCAAAAGACGCCGAGATGATAGACGAAGAAATGAGAGATGTGGCTCTCGACGCTTGGAACCGCGAGTTTGGCCATGAGCGCCAGCTGACCCTAACAGTCCATGATCCGGAACCAATCACCACAGGAAAACAACTTGGAAAAGGAGGAATGGGTACCGTCCACAGAACAGACCTCCACGGAGTCTCCTTGGCTCTGAAACGATGCTGGGTCAGGCGTCTCACCTCGCGCCAATTGAACGAAATCAAAGTCCTAGGTCGCATCTCGGAGAAGCGACATCGCCATATTGTCGAGCTAATCGGATCCTACACACATCGACGAAGAGTTGGATATGAAGTTGGCATGTTAATCTGGCCAGTTGCACATACAGACATGGCGAAACTGTTCAAGGATCTCCAACGTCTTATCGCTTTTCTGCATGTGCGCGATGGCAAAGATAAGACGAATGGGTTGAATTGTTACATGAGTTCTCTGCTTTTCATAGCAGCTACCGATTCAGCACCCTATCTTCCGACTGAGCAATCAGCTTGGGAACTGGTCCACGCTTGTCAACGTCGTATACAACGCAGCGTTGGCTGCATAGCAGAAGCAGTGGCGCATCTACACCTCCACAAAATTCGCCACAAGGATCTCAAGCCTTCACAGATACTCTTATCTCCGAATGGCTTATGGCTGACTGATTTTGGGTGGTCCGTGGACATGTCTGAAATGGACAACAGCGTCACCAGTGGCGGTGAAATAATCACTTCCAAGTACCATGCACCCGAACGAGACAACAGACGACCCTGTGGACGCGCAGAGGATATTTTCGCTCTTGGGTGTATCTATCTGGAGATGAGCTACGCTATGTTACGTACATCTGGAGACCCGACCCCCCCTTGGTCTGACCCTCGTTCAGGCTTCTCGTTCCACGGCAAATTGAAAGACCTAGACCTCTGGATACAAGCTCTACTTCGACTCCAATGTAACGGAACCATGCACTGGTATGCACTCGTACGGATGATGTTGTCTCGTGTGGACAAAGAACGTCCCACCATCAGCACAGTCCTCGAACACATTCACACCACTTCTCATTCCAGGTTCCGCCTTGTCGATGCATGCTGTTACAGGACCTTTCCGAAAGAATCAGAGGAGCCTTTCTTGGCCGCACTTCCATCTCATGAGCCCGACATCATGCTACATATCCGCCAACTGATTGAACAACAAGTTGCAAAAGCAGATAGTCGTATCTCATCAAGCTCTTGGTCCAGGTTAGATCTAAATGCTCTTCGAGCCTGCCCCGATTGAGGAAACGCTCAGGTACAAGTATATTCCACCGACGCTTTGAAATGAAAAAGTTTTGCACGAAACTACCGTTGCACACCCCGTCCGCCAAATTGTCACAGTCACAAGAATAACTATACACTGTTGGTTTCTTGATATCTCTTGCCTACTCGGTTGTTCACATCTAAAGACTAGATAGTGTACATCCATCTCAGACACTGCACTTGACCAGGTGGAACAGCCACAAGGTTCGCGTAGAGAAAAGAGTTCTCGGCTGGCGTACATGAATGGATCTCAATCGTTCTGCCACCATGTCCACCTCACTCCTTGATGGGCATAGGATCTGGTGATGGAAGCTAAGACCGCTGAAACTAGAATCAGTCCAGAGGAACAGGAAAAGCTTCATACTATGTAACGCTATCGGTGCAATCTTGTTGTGTGGCATAGCGAAGCTGCAACTGCAGTATGTTTCTTTCGTCATTACTATCTTTCCAGGTATCTTAATTTACACATAGTTCATGTACAGTCTCATCCGTACGAAGAACTCTTCACCTAGGTGCAACTCCATAACGCCAACCATGCAATTTTTTCTGGCTTGTTAGCTCTTCAAAGAGGAAAAGCAGACGCCAGATTTCAAAAGGATGCATGCCATGAAAAGCAGCGAAGAAACGTGATCGTACCGATAGAGCAAAAGCAACGCTGTAAGACTCATTGTGAAGGTCTTCAATCCTCTCCAAGTTCACCATCTTGTGCCGTTGTGTGCTCAAAGATGCCCGTGTCAAAGCAGCCGCCGAGTGGAACTGGCACGGGAGGCTTTCCTCTATTGAAGAAGGACATGGTGTTATGGACGTTCATGCCGAAGCAACGTGATCGCTCACAACATGCCCGCGGCAGCCAAGTCACGGTAGACCTTCTCAGGCATAACGTTGCCTTCGTTGTCCTCCATCTCGACCACGTTCTCAGCAAGCAGCTTCTGTTTCTTCTGGTCCTTCTGGATCTTGCGCCACAGCTCCTCAGCCTCCTGTATGCTTGTAATCTCTCGGAAGAGGGTAGTGTTGGTGATGCCGAGACACTTGAGACCATGGATATGGCGGGGCTCGTTGAAGTGCTTGTCGAATGCGCGCCTGCCCATGTATACGAAGTTTCCGCAGATCTCGCAAGGGAATTCGACGCCCAGGCCGTGGAGCTTGTACAGCCAGAAGGGAATGGGCTTGCCGTCCCAGGCGAGTGGTAGCTTGAGCGGGTTGTAGATCTTGTCTTCGCTGTCGGACTCGTTGTCCTCCTCTTTCCCGCCGTTCTCGGGTTGCTCTGCGTATAGCTGCTCTAGCTCTTGTTGTCGCTCGCGCTCGGTCATACCCTGCTTCCGCTCGACGTTGACCTTGGTATCGCCGCGTTCCGTCTGCATGGCTGCAGCGAGTTTCCGTATTCTGAACTCGCGCTCGGCGACTGCACGCTCCTTGAAGCGTTGCAAGTCTGAGGAAGCACCATTCGACTGCTTTTCAGCATCCTGAGCGCCGTTCTGGCTCTCTTGTAACGCCTTCTTGTGTTTCTTGCCTGACAAGTGTGCTTCGTAAACGGTCTCTTTCGAGAAGCCTTTCTTGCAAGCTGAGCACCAGATGCCCTCTCCCTGCGCTTCTCCGTTGACTGGCGCAGACGCCGTGGATTTCTTCTCCCAGCCCGGAACTGCGTCTTTTTCCCATGCCTCCTCGAACTCTTTATCGAAGCTGGTGAAGAGCTTATCCAGGTTCTCTAGCGGCTTCGTTCTTCGCATGAAGCTCTCGAGGTAATCTTGTAGAGCCTTGAGGTAATGGAAGTAGGCCTCTGATTTCTTCTGCTCGCGCCGAATGTTGCATTGTGGAGGGGTGAAGATGTCGAACTTATCGAGGTACTCCAGATAGGTCAGGCGACGCGCGTTCTGCTGAACGGGAAGGTTCAGGTACTGCTCGTGCAGAGTCGTCAGGTCGAAGAAGCGACCAAAACCCTCCTCGCCGGTGAACATGGAGTCGATGGCTGCGATCGATGCCGTGTGGTCTTCGGGTGAGCGTTTCTTGTAGGCCTTCTCCAGGTTCTCAACAGGCTCGTTCGGATAGCGGTTGTGGAAGTCTTTGATGGAGGCGATCTCCTTCATGAAGGATTCCATGGGGTCGCCGTGGGTGAGACCGCGCACCTCGTCCTCCTTCTTGCTGTCCTCATCCTGGTAGATCCTCAGTAGACGGCTCGACTGGCTCTCGATCTGCTCCAGGAATCGCGCAATGTCGTGGTCACGTGCGAGGCGATCGCGAATCTGATGAGATGTTAGCTTGCAGTTCGCGACGGACGCGAAGGTAATGCCTACATGCGGGGGGTCTTCGAGGAGTCGCTCGGCAGCGGCATCCTCGAGGCGCTCGAGGTCCTCGTGGAGTTGGCGCTGATCTTCCAAAAGCATACTTGCGGTCGCCTAGAGTAACTATGAGTCTTGGTATAGCAGCGGTTCGGTAGTGGATGTGCAGACCTTTGCGGCGGTGACGATGTTGAGCTGCTGGTGGAGCCTGTCGCGGCGACATAAATCGCAGAACGCGCTAGTCAACGGGGCTAGCGCGCCGAGGCTCCGGCCCTCCGCAAAGCTGAGGCGCAACTGCTCCAAACTTTCTTGCACATCGCGAACGACTCGAAAACTACCAATTACCCATACCAACCCTGACTTCACATTCAAGATGGCGGACGGAATCGACCGAAATGCAGACGAAAAGATCGAGTTCTCCACCTCCAAGGAGGTCACGGTCGCGCCGACCTTCGAGGCCATGCACCTGAAGGAGAACTTGCTACGCGGTATCTACGCCTACGGATACGAGTCGCCTTCAGCTGTGCAGTCGCGCGCTATCGTCCAGATCTGCAAGGGTCGCGACACCATCGCTCAGGCGCAGTCCGGAACAGGAAAGACTGCGACTTTCTCCATCTCCATCCTCCAGGTCATCGACACGGCTGTGCGCGAGACACAGGGTACGTCATATCAGATTGGCGAAATAGAGCTTTGCTGATAAGACATAGCACTCGTACTGTCACCTACTCGGGAACTTGCGACCCAGATCCAGCAGGTTATCATGGGTCTCGGCGATTACATGAATGTGCAATGCCATCCTTGCGTCGGAGGAACAAACGTCGGCGAAGATATCCGCAAGCTCGACTACGGCCAGCACGTTGTCTCTGGAACTCCAGGACGCGTAGCTGATATGATTCGCCGCCGCAACCTCCGCACACGCAACATCAAGATGCTCGTTCTCGATGAAGCCGACGAGCTCCTCAACCGAGGTTTCCGCGAGCAAATCTACGATGTCTACCGCTACCTTCCACCTGCGACCCAAGTCGTTGTCGTTTCAGCCACCCTCCCATACGATGTACTCGAGATGACGACTAAATTCATGACGGACCCCGTGCGCATTTTGGTTAAGCGCGACGAATTGACGCTAGAGGGCCTCAAGCAATACTTCATCGCTATCGAGAAGGAAGAGTGGAAATTCGACACCCTGTGCGATCTCTACGACACACTCACCATCACACAAGCAGTCATCTTCTGCAACACGCGCCGCAAGGTTGACTGGCTGACGGACAAGATGCGCGATGCCAACTTCACTGTATCCTCCATGCACGGAGAGATGCCCCAGAAGGAGCGAGACAGCATTATGGCCGACTTCCGTCAGGCAAACTCTCGCGTGCTCATCTCGACCGATGTGTGGGCGCGTGGTATTGACGTGCAACAAGTGTCGCTAGTCATCAACTACGATCTACCATCGAACCGTGAGAACTATATCCACAGGATTGGTCGAAGCGGACGATTCGGACGCAAGGGTGTGGCTATCAACTTCGTCACTCAAGATGACGTTCGCATCCTCCGTGACATTGAGTGTAAGTTTTATCTGGCTTTTCCATCAAACACTCGCTAACCTCCATAGTGTACTACTCTACCCAGATCGACGAGATGCCCATGAACGTTGCGGACCTCCTCGCGTAGAATTTCGAGCGAAATGTAGACGCACTGCATGCGATCGAGCACAGGGCACAGCAGATATTCACGCTCACCGTACCAAAGTCACAGAGACTCTCACTCAAGGGACACGACCCGCTTCGGCGGCGAATTGGAAGTGGAGGAAGGGGCTCTTTAGCCGAACAGTAAGCCTACCTCTGTCGCGAGGCTTCTGTTGCCCTGGCTAACTCTGCGACTCTGACCAGAACGAAATTGTAATCAATACCCATAACGTACTCACCATTTATGAGACCGATGGCCAGCCGATGAGTTTTGGGGGCGGTATCATCTCGATATTGGAGCTGTTCCGACTATCGCTTTCGTGACATAATGATTCGCAGTTTGCGATAGATTCCTGACATACAGTCCCGATCACGCACTCCTCAAAATCCAACATATGTTCTTCTGCCACATCATGACATCCGCAATTTTACCAGGAAGGAAACCTGGTGAGTTCACCGCACTTGGCAGCTGGAACTGCAGCCTCAATACAAGATTTCGCTATCCTAGCGGAAGTGATTGAAGATGGCACCACTCCGTTCTTGGGCCACCCGACGGCTTCAGTGGGTTGTTTTCGCTATCACCTCGTCCGCAGCACATCCTCGTGCATATGTATTCCTATCATGCATACGTTCTCTCTTCGTCTAGTGGCAGACCTAGTCGCCTGGCAAATGAGACAATGCAGCCCCCAAGGTAATAATGGATTTGATCAAGGTAGCAGCGCTGTCCTAGTGCTCCATGCCATGGGTTGATGCCTCACCGTTGATGCGATATCACGCGACCTAGCCTTTCCCGCTGCAGTACGTCAATGCTTCTGCCAGAGGTACAGTGGGGAGGCGACTGAGTCGCCGGTACAGTGACCATATGCTCTGTATGCTTGCTGATAACGTAAGTGAGGGTACTTGCCGCCAAACAAATCGGAGCGAAACATGCAGAGTGGTAGAGACCCCTGGGGCGAAATCGAATGCGGAGTGTGACCCAGGGTCCGATTGCGCGAATATATATGCTACGAATTGCCCATGCAGAGGTGTTGAGAGTGCAACGTAGCGAAGAGAATCGAGACCCGCGAGAACTCTGACCGATCGTTCTTGAGCTGGTATATCGGAGCGGAGACAATACTTGAATGCGTACCATGGGAGTACGCAATCATAATCGATAGAGCATTACAATCAATAATCTACACGTGTGTCACTCTTGTTCATTGTGTTCTGTCTGGCTCCGCCCCGTCTTCGGCTTCCACTCAGTCGCATCATAGTGCCATGGAATGGAGAGTACCAGCTCCATGTGCTTCATGATGTATGGACCCTGCCTCATCAACGTCTCCGCTTCTCCGAGACCGGAACCAAACATTGCCGTATTTTGAAGAGTCTCGGATGTTTGCGATCTCTCTCATTTGAGGAGAACCTTTGCGTATGGGATGGTTATGTGTTGGGGGATTCGTGAGCGGGTCGCACTGCGTCCCATCGCAGTACCACTGGATGGAGTGGATGACAACCAAAATACCGAACCGCACACACCGACGTAACACGAACGCATTTGATGCCGATTCCGAAGGCTGAGCAGATGCAGGTGGATAGTATAAGTACCGGCACATCCCCTCTCACTGTGTTCATTCGTAAACACTTTGATATCAACTTCAATCAACAAAACTCAAAGTATGATCTCTCCTCCTCTTACATCCTCTCCACCACCTCCTCAAAGAAAACATAGCTAACATACCCCCAGCCGCCACCCAAAAAACGTATTACCTCCCCAGCCACCACTCCATCTTCCAACCTAACACCCCCTTCTCAGCACCTCAATCCCAACACCACCGCCGCAATGCAGTTTTCAACCATCATCAGCGTCACCCTGGCCCTCTTCGCTGGCGCCGCCTTCGCTCACATGGAAACCATCACCCAAATCGACATGTTGAAGCCCAGCCCACCTCCACAATCCGAGTTGAATATTGAGGACAAGCGTGCCCAGGTCACCGCTGTCCCCAACGCCGCATAGACAGGTCTACCTTCTGGTATCTGTCCGTACCATCTTGTTTGCACTGAGATGATTGGGATTACGATGTGAAAGGCCGGTCAGAGGTCCTACTGCGAGTTTTCTTGAGGGTAGATGGGTCGGACTGGCTGGGATTAGGACGTTGGATTGTCCGGGAAAAGTAGATGGTAGACATGATTCAATGCCATGTCTTACTGTCTGATACTTGGTTTCTTGCTTGCTGTGTGATCTACGATGACAACTACTGGTGCGACTATGGAAACATGATGCTAACACAAGATGCGCCTCCAGACCACAAAATACTTGGTATACTGATGGGTAGAAGTGGTTTGGGAACGAGGTATTGGTTCACATATTATCATTATGATGTAGATACTGCTAGTTGACTTCCATCCCACACATCACTTCTTCACGCTGTCGTCTCATCACCAAAGGCTAATTGCATCCTCCTTGCGTGCGCAGCTCTTCGCTTAGCCTGCGCTGACATGGGCTTCTTCGGCGCATCTCCGATTTGACTTCCGTTGGAAGGTGCTTGGGGAATTCCTGTCTGTACTGGAACAGACGGAACAGTATGCGGTATATCGACCTGGACGGGGACCGATGAGGTAGTGGATGGTACCTCTACGTGTGATTCTTGTTTCGATGTAGAAATCAGCTGCTTGTGCAATACAGGCGATGAGAGTATGGCTTGTTGCGTATCCGTTGTCTGTTGCGCCGCTTCTGTAGTAGAAGTCTGTCGTACCAAGTCTTCAGCCATCGTCTTGATAACTTTGTGGCTGCGCAGTCGTTGCTTGAGGATGGAGAGCACGACGTCGTCATCTTCTAGCTCCGCCGGAGTCTCTGTTGGGCTGGCAAGTATGGGCTGCGAAGCTTCTGGGGCAATGATCTGGGGCGGTGGTAGTGGGGGATTGGCAAACGGTACACTTTCCGGAGGAGTGGCCGTTTCCTCCGAACTATCAGGTGTAGTTGTAGTTTCAGCAACGGTGGCGATTGTGGGTGACGGTGTTGCATTGAAGGATCTGCTGCTTGACGTTTGCGACAGCCTTTTGGACATGCGCTGTGACGGTCGCTGGCTACTTGGGCGACGAACTGGCTCGTCGTCGGTGAAAGTGGTTACGTTGACAAGAGCACTGGGCGATCGCAAAGTATGTGTAGATGTGGCATAGTAAGACATAGGCGATGGTGTACGCTCGGCAGAGGCAAAGTTGTTTCGTCTCAAGCTGGAGTCGTCGTCGTGCACCGACGGCACGTTCGCGTTTACTTTTGCATGCTGTGGGTGTTGCGCAAGTCCTTCGTTGCTCTTAGCAAGCTGATCGAATGATAGCTGCGCTCTAGTAGTCTCGTTCGTGATGTCTGGTAGATCGTCTATCATCGCATTCGCTATAGGTGTCGTCTCGGGGACTACAAGTAACGTATGACCGGTCGTTGGGCTCGACGTCACCGAGATCGATGGTATAGTAAGTATTGGACTATTTGGCCATTCTCTACTCGGCAGCCTGTCACTCGCTGCGCTAGGCATCACATAGTCCGCCAAGTCATCGATAAGTGACGGTTGACTCTTGAGATGAGGAAGCTCTGAGGGTAATGACCTGTGCTTCTCGCTATGTTTTTGGATGTCTATCGACGTTGCTCGATACCGTCTTGCTACCATGGGGACACTGAACATAGCTTGTGTGGACAGAGTGGAGTCGTTGCGCTCGATCGTTGTGTCTTCATTGTTCGAGGCGGAGGGAGCGACATCGATAGAAGCGCAAGGTCTTGGTTCCCGAAGGACAGATTGTCGGAAATAGTCTGAACGTGCTCGTGGCCGTCTGGACAAAGCTGAGCTCCCATGACCAAATTCGCGAGATACTTGAGGGCTCAGGAAGGTTTGTGAGTTGTGCCTCTCCTCGATGTCCAAGTCAGCTGGCGTACTACCTGCTAGTTCTACTGGCACCAAATTGACACTACCGGCTGAAGGTTCTTGGTTAGATTGAAGCTTTGTCTATCGTGGATGATACTTACTTTCGACGTCGTCTTTTTCAGCTTCAGACACCAAGGTGATATTTGATGCAGAGACGTTGGTGTGATTTGTTCGGTGTTTCTGCCTCGAATAAGGTCCACGTAGCGCGTCTTTCTCGTCATGAGGTACCCACGGTCGTACAGGAGCCTCGAAGATGGGGGTTTCTGCGATAGCACCAGGCTTTCCACAGAGTTCTGCCGTTTGCATGACGTAGATAGCACCAGTCAACTGAGCGTGACACTGATCTAGCTGTTGCTTCTTTTTCAGAAGCTTCTTCTGGTTTCTTAGACCCCACTCAAGCTTGAGCTTCGATGCAGCTGTGCCGCTATCTCCATCGTGGCCCCAGGCTTTGTCCATATCCATGCCGATTTCATTGAGAGCACGCCGCACCTCGAGCAAAGAACTCTCGATCCATCTCCGTTTATTTGGGTAAGCATCCAGGAAACTCGAAACCGCTGATGAAATAAACAGGCGCGTTGCCTCGTCGATATCTTGTCGCACTTGTTGGATGATGCTTACGAAGGCGATGATATCCGCAGAAGCTTTCTCGGTGGAGAGAACATAGTCCGCGAAGTAGTAGGTAGTCGGTATTGCTGGGAAGTCCCATGAGATGTCATCGGGCGTTTCCCTCGGGATAGCAGTTGATGGCCGCCGGTCTTCAGAGTTCCTGGGCTCCTGCTTCGGCCGCCCGATCTTGCGCTGAAAGTACTTCAGCCTTGTTCCTTCGGTCTCCGTAGGCGCTGGCGTGGGGGGGTCAGCCCGATGGAGTGTCTCTGGTAGGAACAAGCCGGCAGTGGGCAACATCGAAGTCAACGTTGGCATGAGCGTTGTTCGTATTACTTCAAGCTGATTGTACTATTGCTGTAAAGAGTCTGGAAGTAGCTGGTAGCGCGCATGGGCTAAGCAATGGTAGCAGGCGACATGCTTCAGGGAAACCAGGACACACCCCGCAGACAATGACGCAGTACTTGCTCCAAATAGGCACAGCCGGTGCGGATGCGCTGGTGTTCCAGTTTCGTGTGTCGGCCTGTCCGATGGAAGTATTTGCTAACAGCTACACATGGGATAGCTATCAGTCGATCACGGCACCGATGTAGCGGTAAAGTGTTGGTTGGGGGCGCAGAACAACAACTCAGCCGCGGGCACCGTACCGCAGAGTCATGCAGAGTTGTCGTCTCACGCCGCACAACAGAATCATGCCAATGTGCATGGGACATCTCGCCGGATTCGGTATAAATTACTTATGAAGTACTGATCCTCGATCCAAACCTCGCTATTGGGCTACGCCGCAAGGATGCTTGGACTACGCCCCAATGGGGGCCAAAACACATTCCATATTGGCCCCCATGCACAAGGCGCGGATTCGGAAGAGGGAAGCACAAACGAGATCAGGCTAGGGGTTAATCTAGCCGATTGACTGTTGCGCGTAAACCTTCGCATGTCGAACACGACGAATGACCGTCTTGAGCGTAGGTGCAAGGATCGTAGCGTACCGCCTTCTCCTGTTCGGCGAGAAAATAAAGATGTAAGCACAAGTCTAAAGCTTCGGTTCATTCGATAGCAATTTGCCCATCACTGTGACAGCAGGAAACCTGGAGGCATCCGCAACATGAAATTTCTTGAAGGTGGCACAGTCGTACGCGAGGGTCTCCTTGCATAACCCACCGACTCATGCATCCAACCGTCTCACCACAGCCTCGCTAAAAGGCCGCGGCGGATTGACCGAATGACCAGCCTCGTCCGCTACTTGCACAAGAGCGGGGAAAATGCACAAATCTCCTGGCGTGACACCTTGCTCCTCCTGCCACTCGAACTCCCATGCGCTAGGCTGGGAAAACAGCGTGAAAGCGAAAAGTGCAGCCCGCTTTAGCACTTCCTCAAGGTTTCTCTTGCGCTCTCCATTGTTTATGCGAGAGTCCGCGTATGGCTGCAGAACGTTGTCCAATGTTGCAAGAGTTGCTTGTATACTTACATGTCGACTGTCGGAAGGACCGAAGGCATTGCGAATGTAGCTAGACTGCATCAACTCAGCAGTCATGACCCGCCAGCGTGCCATCAATGATGTTTGGGCTACAGGAATGTTAGCGCTTGTATACTACATAACGAAGCAATATGTATCGCATACCTTGGTAGCCACGATCTCCAGTTGCGACGGCTTGGTAACATTGGGCGACTTCGGCCGGCAAAAAGCTCTTTGTAGGATCTTTGGAGGGCTGAAGTTTCGATACTACCACCCAGGCGATGATGAACCTTAGAGCAATCTCTCTAGTTGCAGCATTTCCAATCAATGTAGTGAGCGTTCCTACAGAGACTGGGAGACCTGACCCCAATGCGTGGAGGTCCTCATAGTCGATGAGACCAGGATTGACACGGCTTGTGTGGTAGTAACTCTGGACATGATTCTTGATGGCATTGCTTATTTTAGAAACATCACCAGAGATAGCTTTATCTTCCAAAGGTTGAGGAAGTCCCCTACCCAGAGCAGCTACAGATGATCGTTTTTCGCTTAATGGTATGGCACTGGCGGAAAACCCTTTTTCTTGCGAAGCCAATGCAGATGTATTCTCTGCAGGGTATTGGGTGTTTGGTCGTCCTCTTTTGCGCCGGCAGAACCAGAAAATGAGTCCGGCTAGTAAGGCACCTGCGGCGAAACACCCGATTGCGATCCCGGCGGTTGCGCCTGTTGAAATTCCTTCGTTGGTAGTCTGCAGTTGAGGGTTCGGGTTCGCAATTGAAGTCGAAGTAGTTGTTCCCAATGTTGGTGAGGAGATGGATGATTGTGGCGGATCAGATGTGACTGAAGCAGCTGGAGCCGCACTAGAGGATACCATAGCGCTCGTGAGCGTTGGAGTAGCCGCAGGAGGACCAGAATGAAAAATGATCTGAAGGGGATCGATCATGTATGAGACGGTGAAAGGCCCGTCCAGTTTTGCAGCCTCGCCAGGCAATAATGTCTGCTCTTTGCCAAAACGAATACCTGACGCGACGGGTACCAGGACGGTAATACTCGTGAATTGAGCCCCGTTAGCACTGACTGGAACGGTGAAATTTCCAGTGGCACCAGGGGGTTGCAATGACGCCGGCAGACTGACGGTTTGAGTATTCGATGTCACAGGAGTAGGTGCTGCTGCACCTGGGTCCGCGTTGCTTGCCATTGTTAAAGAGATATTCGGGGTTGTTGGGTGCTCGTTCAGCGGAGACAGGCTAAATGACACAACGCGCGATTGTGAGCGCGAAGGACCAAATAAGAGTAACTGAGTAAGAACCTAAGGCCCAACCCATAGACAGGTTTAGTTCGCTTGCTTCATTCTCCGTAAGATGACAAAACCGTTATAGCGTTGCATGTACATGCACCAATCCTAGTTGAGCTTCCGTTGACGCAGAGAGAAGTGACAATCAACCAGCTATTCGGTAGCATGCAATGTGCCTCATTGCGGCCCCCAAGGCGCACTCGGCATGCATAAAGCGCGTATTCTTGGGTCCAAGATACATGGGGGCCGAAATGGCGCGTGTTGTGGTCGGTCGAGAAGACGCTGTGCCGCAAGGCTGAGACATAGGGGCCGCCTCAAGGCACCTGCATCGTCTCTGCATCTTATAGATACGTGATCAGGCGGGAAGGCAACAACAAAGACCGCGTCACCGACAACGAGACAAGATGGAGCGAAATGAGCGACCGCACATGATCGTGGGTGTAGACCTGGGGATGACCTGTAAGTTTTGGCGAGGCTGGGAATGGCGCACAGGGATGCGATTGCCGATTCGGCTTAGTGTGTGCTGTTGGATCACGTGCCCCTTCCTACATCATCTGCAGTCCAAGGCTGATACATCTCTCCAGGTACCGGCGTAGCATATGTGAACCTCTCCATAGGCAGTGAAACTGTTCGTTGGGTGCAGAAGTGGCCTGGACGATTCCAAGCGAATGAAAACAAAGTCCCGACGGTCGTCGTCTACCCAATTGGGTCGAAGGACCCGTCATCATGGGGCTTCCTTTCAGAGACTGCCGCAGAGACCGCAGCCGACGACAAGGAGTACAAAGAGTGGTTCAAGACATGCCTCGACCCAGAGAAGCTCCACCGAAAGCAGATGGAAGATCCGGAAGGCGCGCCCGAAAACTTACAAGAGGTCGAGAAATGGTATGGCGACTATCTGCGGAAGATGTACGAGTACTTGTCGTTCAAGCTTGGCGGAGAGCTTTCTGGCATCGGCTGGGAAGAGGCTAGGATTGAGTTCATCTTCAGCGTTCCTACCACGTGGGCTCCGATGCCAACTGTAGAGAACTTCAAAAGGCTGGTGAAAGAGGCGGGCTATGGTACGCATCCGCACCACGAAGTGGCAATTGGCTTGACGGAAGCCGAAGCCGCTGCTGTACATGTCTCCACTGAAGCACCGGGCATATTCCGCGAGAACGACGTCCTACTAGTCTGCGACGCCGGAGGTGGAACAACAGATCTTAGTGTGCTGAAAGTCACTGGCACGGTCAACCAGACTATCGATCTTCAGCAGATGGACGTCGTATTTGGCGAGACCATCGGATCCGCTGCTATTGATTACGAGTTCGAGAGGCTGGTGATGCATCGGTTGACGCTCGCACACAGTACAAATCCTCTACCAGTCGACCCTGCGGATGCCGGGTGGGAGATGATGAAAAGTCGAGACTTCCAAGCCGTAAAGTGTGAGTACGGCGCTCCAGACGATACGCCGTTGTTCAGTATAGGGATTCCGCGCGTCCCACAAACGTACAGCAACTCTGATCCGGAAGTTCGAATTCGCAATGGTGAGATGACTTTTGAACGGCAAGATCTGCAGCGCCTGTTCGACAAGCAGATTGCGAAGTTGTTCAAACTCATCGACACGCAGCTGCAATCGCTGTTTCAAAAGTTTCCAAGAGAGCATGTAGCGCATCTCGTTCTTAGTGGTGGGCTGGGCAATAGCGCATATGTGCAGTCGCAGCTCCGAAAGTACTATGCGCGCACCTCTTTTCCGAACGCCGAGTCGATCTCCGTGAGCATAGCACCTGATCCTCAGCTCGCTGTGTGTAAAGGTCTGGTCAGCGATCGTATGCGAAAGATCCTGACATCACGATCGGTCCTTGGATGGCGTTGCTGTCGAGCGTCGTACGGCACTGTCTGCAAGATTGCGTTTGATAAGAAAAACCCCGATCATCAAGGGAAGGAACTTGTTCGCGATCCACTGAACAACAAGCTGTACATCACACAGTCGATAGCGTGGTTTGTCAAGAAAGGCGCGCCAGTAAGCGTGGATAAACCAATCGAGCACAACTTCATCAAGAAGGTCGACCCGGGCGATCCGCGAAGGGCATTCCCGACGACTGTCATCGAGAGTGACTTGGATGCGACGATGTTGCCAGACCAAATGAACCAATGTATGTGTACAGAGGGTCGTCCGCTTTACCCGTCAGGGTTGCTAATAGCTTGCAGACACGCGCATTCTGTGCGAGATAAATTCAGACCTCTCTGCTGCGGACGAGAAGAAATTCCAAGAGAAGAACAAGCACTTCTGGTCGTTGCAGAAGCACTATCTGCGCATCGAGTACTCGGTACGCGTCTTGATCGGACCCGCAGATATCCGCTTCGAGCTGTGGTTTGACGACCAGAAGCTTAGTCGCGATGAGTCGATTAGGGTAGAATGGATGCCTGCACAGATGCCGCAGACGTCTCAGATTGCCGAGATGTCCGGGGCGGAGAGAGAGGCTGTTGAGATGTCCGATACGCCGCCCACGCCCATAGGCGGTGCGCCCCCAAGCGGCGCATTCAAGACTGATCCGAACGCGAAAGCCATGAGGACAAGTAGTTTCGCAGTCGTCAATAAGAGGACTACTGTTGAGATGGGCAAGAAGTCGAGAGGAGTGGGTGGGCTATTTGGGAAGAGCTCTTTCTTTGCGCGCGCTGCCTAGGATGAAGCTCTGGCAGCGATGGCGCGAAAATGACGCGGTGCGCATCGGCACGGAAGGCAGCTTCCGATAGCTTCGTAGCTGACACCACTAATCAATACCTTCAACCTGCATCCTCATTCTCAGGTACATGATGTGCTCTCTTGTTTTGATTGGTCGCTATGTTGCGAACGGATGAGGAGCCACTCAGCTCCAAGCCGCCATCGCCCCGGTCACTTGCCTGTCTTGTGTTAACGTTACACTCATCGCGCTTTCAGCCCGTCAGCCTCGTCAGCCTCGACTGCAGGCAACGAGGTGACCGTCTACTTATAAGCATGCCGCACAAACTACCTGGTTCCTGATCAACACTCCTCAGCTTTCAACCTTCCTGGTCATAAGAGATAACATCATGCGCTACCTCCCGTTCCTTGGTAAGAGGCTTGTAATCACAGTTCTGATCACACCTGACGTATTTGAAGCCACCGCATACGGTTTGTTCGCATCTATCGCAGCATTCGATATTTCACCGCAAGAGGTACTCGGTTCAAATACGCCCAAGCTCTTGACTGAGGCAATCGATCCTTGCTCGTTGGCCGACTCCCCAAAAGCAAATGCGAGCATTCAACTTAGCAATTGGTTAGAATGCGCAGTCAATGGTACGTCGAAAAGACAATGTATAAACGGCCTCATCATGCTGACATGATAATAGGGTTCTATCCATATCCTGCGAACACGGACTGGCCCAACGGCCATGCGAAATCATTCTCGAAAGACATCAAGTTCACCTTTAACGACACGCATTACGACTTCGATGGCTCACGGCGACTTTATACGACCTTCAACGCGACCCTCGGCATAGCTTTCGCCCCCTTCAAGCATGGATTCATCAACACCCTCGGTGTACCCAACATAAATGGCGATAAGGGTGGCTTCGTTTATATGATCGGGTGGGCCGGTGGGTTCCAGACCCGTGTCAAACGCGACCTGTACTTCACGAATGCAGCATTCGCGGTAGTCAAAGAGGAGCATGGAGAAAGAAAGATTGTCGAATTTCGAGAGAGCGGCAACATTCCGAACACTGCGCATCTGCCAGAGCCTGTCGAGTGGGGTTGCTCGTTCGAGTAGTACGCTTAGCGACACTCATGCCAGCGGCAGTAAGGGCATGTCGACGCAAGAAGTTTGCAGATGGCACCTGGTAGCGCGTCTCTTAACTCGACGACGTTTACGGTATCTTCACACCCGCGCCTTTTCCGCTGTAACAAAAACCGTTTCTGTTCTCCGTTTCTGTGTCATCTCTGCCGTTGTTTATCCAGTCACGGACTCGGTCATCGTCTAGCAACTCGCTCTTCCACTCCATGACCTCCAAGTTCGCCTCCATTTTTTCGGTGTGTGAGCGGATAAGATCAACATAGTCTTGCTGCTCTACGGCTGTCTCGATAGCTCCAAATTCGTTTTCTAGCTGCTTGAGCAAGTAAAGAGTTCTCAGTACCTGGTCGGCTCGATCCTCGAGGTCCATTAATACGGATGTCAGGTCTCTCAGTTGGCGGTTTTGAGGGTTGTGGGCGTCGCTCATTGTGTTGACTGTTGCCGCTGCGGTTTTTAACATGCATCGCATATCTCTGTTTGCTGGCCTGCTTTTGTAAACCACAGCGTGAAGGGAGAAGCAGATTTTGACTTCATGGGTGGATAATTACACATCTGAATATGTGAGTCGAGAGGTATCATTGTACAATGATATTCGCGTTTAGTCGTACTCTGTACATTACCCAACAGCTAGCCTACTGGCATTCCATACTGACAGTTTTGCATTGTCTCGAGCTTGATCTGCGGCTCAAAACCTTGACATTTGAAGCGGAATCCAGCCTCTAGGGACACATCGACCAGTCCAACTCTCCCTCTTCGAATCCGTACCTCACATCGGCCCTGACCTCTTTCACTTTCTCCTTGATCATCTCCAGACTCTCTTCCAAATCCTTCTTGTCTTCCTTGGCGATCTCCAATGCGCGATGCCGCGACATCCCTCCCACAACATAAGTTCCTGCAATATCCGTGATGTCGATTCCATTTACTAGCTTCCGATACTGCTCCACATCCTGCTCCAGCATCTGCAGTTCGGCTTTGGTGGAGGCTACGGCACCTGCGTGTTCGGTGGCGAGGATGTCAGACTTTGTTTCGTGATGTAGGTGTGCGATTTTTGACCAGCGGTTTATGATCTTGTCGTAATGTGAGGGAAGGATTTCCCAGAAGGTGATAGAGAGAAGTGTTGCCCGAGGTGTTGGGTGTAGTGTTGACATGACGGCGGAGATGACTTTGATGCTCCATTTCGGGTGGACGCGCAAGCCGTGGTTTTGTAGAAGCATGCATCGTCTCGGGAGGGCGGCGCCTCAACAGTAGATAAGGCTTCACAACAACAGCAGCGACGTGTTTGCTTTTGTTGAAGGCGGTGTAAGCGAGATTTCTGCAAGGAACAGTGTCTATGCTTCTGTTCTTTGTCGATCGTGCCATTTGGATGGTGGCCGTGACGCGCTTTGACTCAATGCCGGCTCGTCACGTTTTCGGAGTCACAGCTTGTGTATGATTGTTCGTGCAGAGGACAATATGGCACAGTCATAGCTTCCTACAGAACCATCGCAAGAATTTCGTGAATCCTTCACGTACTATCGAAAAGTCGGAGCTCTCCATCAACATGGCATAGATTTATTCTACCTACGAAGCTTCTCTCACGCTCGCGCAAGTCAAGAGAGTTCTCGGTGAACACGAAAATTACAAAAAGGAGTTGACACCTTGACTCGAGCAGATTGAGAAAAAGAGGAAGGGGGTCTCTGAATTGCCACTGACCCCAGCAGGCGAACTCTGTCCTAGCTGCATGTTTGCCGTCGAAGTGCAATATTGATATGCTACTAACAGGAGAACAGTTAGGAAAACAAATATTACCAATGTTACTATGGCTCTGGACGAAAGCTTACGGATGCGAGCATTGGTTGTTTTCTGAGAGAGCCAGCGCGCACCGGCAACCGGCAACCGGCACCAGGGTCCATCTTGGGTTATCTGCGAAATCGGCAAAGGGAAAACCAGTAGAAGCAATGAGGGACTCCACAAGAAGAAGCGCATGGAAATACGCAGTATTTTCGATGCGGCTTGTAATGGGATTGAGCGGTTTCAAGAGTCCGTTTCAGGCTAGATCTTGGAGCAAGATATAAAGACACTACTATACGGCTTGAAGTGCGACGAGAAAGAGAGAGAGAAATGATACCAAAAAGATAAGCTGATAGAGGCTTGGAATAGGAAAGAGAAGGCGAGGGAGGTCATGAGTGGTTTGGAAAAGATGTTTCAAAGAAAGCTGAAAGCTGATGGTTGTGAAGATGAAGACTGATAATTGGGGTTTTGGTACTTGATTTGAGTTGGACCATTCAACGGCTGGTACTCAAGAATCGAAGAGTGTAGATATGACTGCTGTACTGATATTCCATGGCGTTAGCAGATAAGGCAAGGCGAGCAATCGAAGTAGCGACGTAGCGCCGAAATACATGTGAAGTACACCTAGTCACACTCTAAAGTCGTATGCTCATCTAAGAAAATCGCGTATGCCTTGATGGCCCAACTCAGCATCTAACACTCCATTGTCTACTACGGAGCTGGTCATACGCATCTGCACCTCGACATAATTATGAACACAGAACAGCGAACTCACGAACCGCGCAAGGAGCCTCCATCGGAGTTCGAAGATCTAGTTCGCAAGATCAGTAAGCTGGAGGGAATCATTTTTGGTAAACTAAAGGAAGTCGACTCGCTCTGTTACCGCTTCATGGAAGCCACCCCGAGTACAGCAGAAGACCGCGATCCAGTTGAGCGAGTGTGGAAAATAGTCGCCGATATGGAGAGGCGGTATCAAGAGATCGATGCTCATTGCGGTTGGGTAACGGCATCAGATCGTGAACTCAGGAACAAGGTACTCGGTTCGTACTTTGGAATGGAAATAGACGGCAAAGTTTGGCTGAAGAGATATATCAAGCGGCTCAGAAACACCCGCCGTATATTGGACATGAGCCAGCAACGTATCTTTTAGTTGAACATGAGTATACATCGCGGGCGTATGAGTTGGTGTCAGCCCGACCTCAAAGTTTGATCTAGAAGTACTTCCCCGAAGTCATACCCAGTAAACCCCAAAGCGCAACCACACCCTGATACGTCGCACGCATCCTAGCAGACTCTGGAGACCCATCCTTCGCGCATACCACACCGTCAATGATCGCCATCCATCCAATGCAAGCAAGCAGCGTATCCATGGCTTCCAAATGGCCCCCTAGATAAATTCCCCAGATTGCCATACCGATAGTGCTGACGCGCGAACCTTCGATCTTGATGAGAGGCCAAGCTGCCTTTGAAGCTGCGATGCTTTTGGAGAGACCGTACGCCAAGATAGCTTGTTCGGGCCCGTGGGTAAAAGACATCAGCCCGCCGACTGTCCAGATGCTGGCGAGAAGGAGAGGTGGGACGTGCCTGGGTGCGAAATGTTCAAACATGGTTGATAGGGAGGTTGTGGTCTGGTGGGCGAGGCGATATGTATACCAAGAGTTTTTCGGTTGGTGATACTGTTTCGTATTCCTTCAATATGGCGCGTTGGTGTAGGCGTAAAGAGACAACTTAGAGGTAATGTAAATGTGATGCTCGATTCAAAAATGACAGCAAGAAGATCGTTACAATGGCCTGGTGGTAAGAACGGGGGGCCTGAAACTTGTGATGTGTCTAGCGCAGGGCGTAATTGTGCAATTAAATATAGACGTACACTAGAGTGTAAGTGCCGGGAGAGGACAAGGGCGAGCCGATAGACGGATCAGCCTACATTCGTGATGTGTTGAATCACATAAAGGCCATGGCATCGTCTTGTGACCTAGACGGTATCGCGCTTTCGGGCAGGGCTCTCGTCTCTAGCAGCGATGCCTAATTGGAGGAGACAGGAGCGAGCGCCTATAGAACACCGTCTTTTAGCCCGATTCCGCTACGGCGACATGCCATAGCCGTCGTCATGATCGTCTGCGGTTGATGCTCAAGGTTGTCATGGTTGTCTATCCAATGTGGCAAATTCATAGTATGTAAAGATCCTGATTCCTGCCCCACAGCGTGCGATCCAGACTTCTTGGCTACCGAGCGGGCAGGTGTGAAGCGTATGGAAGGGGGGACAAGTATGGGTTTTGCCAAGATCCAGCGGCTGACTACGAAATGATGGTTCGTGTCTCGAGAATTTCCAAGCAATCTGGACTGGCAAGCTTGCCGTGCCAGCTGGAAATGCATCTGGACATAGCTGATGCCATACGACGCTTCCTGCAAGTCTTGTAACGCTTGGAGGTGAGCTTGTTCTTCGATGCGAGTCATTGAACCAGAGTCCAGGTGAAGTCGCGCTGAAAGACGTAGAAGGCGAACCAAATCATTATCTGTGATATTTCGAATGAGTTTTCGTTGAGTATCGTTCAGTGTGATCTCCACAGATTCTGTAAACAGACCCACAAAGTCTGTAAATAAGTCAGCAGAATCTTTTAAGTTATCCAAGGAACCTGCGAAAGAGTCTGTAGAAGTTGTATCCCTATTCGGTCGATAAAGCCCGGAAATGCCGGACACAGTAATGGTTGCGCGTCTTCTCCATCGACAAGATGCTGGACATGTGCGATGTCGATTCGTGAAATGGGGTTGTGTATTCATTGCCGTCACCAACACTGAACTCTGCCGCTTGATAGAAGAAGTGAAGCGCCTCCTCTTGGATCTGAGGATGCATGTTCACCCCAATTGGGGTAACGTGCAAAATGTGCAGCAGACGCTGCGGGTCAGCGAGAGCCTCCTCGTAGATGAGCAGTCGCATTTCAGCCGACAGCTTCCCGAAAAGCACACACTGCTTCTGCTCGAGAGGCTCACCTCTCGGTAATTTTGGTCGTGGTATCGATTTGGCGTCTTGGCCTGGTTTGATTGTCGTCGTCGGTTCGGGCTTTTTCCGCTGCCATTTTCGGAGCAATGCACGCATGGCGGCGTAGGTGACGACGAAGAAGGTATCGCAATGCACCTCAAAATATGTCGAGAGCTCTATGTAGTGGTGAAAGATTTGCATACAGATTGTAGGAGCTCAAGAGGCCTTGTTTGGATCGTTGGGCTTTTTACTGTGCCCAGGTGGCTCGGGATGAGATTGCGGCAGAGCAGTGCTGCGTGCGAAGACCGAGGGCCGGCGCTTACATGCACATGCGTGTGGTATTAAGGCGGTAATCATAGCGTGGAATAAATTGACGCGTCGGTGGGACTTTAACAGGACCCCGTAATGATGTACACGGGAGCGATGATTTATTCCAGTGATGTTGGAGCAATAGCACGACGAGGAGTTTCGTCGAATGTGGACTAGCGTACTTTTGCACGTCGCGTCTCGTGATTCTCCGCCCCTTCCGTTGAGCTGCACGCAACTGCATCTGCATTAGTGCTCTGAGGCTACGCCAGCCTCTCTCTTTCCCGGTTACCGCACTGTGGTAGATGTTCTGGGTTTGATGTCCTCACTTTCTTCGAAACACAAAGCTTTCCACATCCGCCTGCATTCGGCCTCGTAGTATCTAGCGGTGACGGTCACAGGTCCAGTGCCGCCAAGATTGCTACACGGGTTTCTTTATTGGAAGGGGATGCATCTTTCAACTAATTTCATAAGGCACTGAAGTTCGTTGGTAATCGATACTATACAGGCGCCCGGAGCGTGTCACTGTGCCAGAAAGTAGACCAACGATTCCGAACACCAGGTTTCCGCCCTCACGCTCCTCCCGCGACTGACTCACATCGCGTCCGCCGCAACCTCGCTTGACTCAATTCCCTAGATCGAGAAGGCGCCTCCGACACTTCCTGTTTGGCCTTAAAGCGGAGATACCGTTTCAGCCTCCGGCCAAGCGCGGAGCGGAAACGCCAAGCAGCCTCTCATCACAAGTATAGCCGCATCCCTTACAGAGCGGGAGGTAATCCCTTGATAAGCAGGCATTTTTCAGGCTGCGCGACGCTTGCATCACTGACTCGTCTCCACGTGCGAGCATATCTTTGCCTCAGCCCAGACATCAGGCCCGCATCTGCGCACGCCTTGGCCGACCGCCACATGTATCCCCAAGACATCAGGATGCGAGGTGCGAAACATGTGTTGACGCGGAGCGATAAGCTGGCTGGCTGGCTGGCTGTAGATGTGTTTAAAGACGCAGTGGTCGTCGTGTAGGGCCTGGAATAGGCAAGCGATCTTCGCGTTTTTACACTATCAAGACGGTTTGCAACATGGCTGGTGACACTTCGACTCCGGCGACAGAAGGCTTTTTGCAGTATCATGAGCCGAATAGTAAGATCTCTACTTCCTCATCAGGTTTCGCAATTGCTAATCTTTGGCAGTCATCCAAATCCTGGTTCTCGTTTCGTTTTTCTTTTGGCTTTCCTTTGGCGAATGGCTTTCGAACCGCGTATTTCGCGCTGGTCTTATAGGCCAAATCATAGTCGGTCTGATCTACGGATTACCTATCGGTGGTGACATGATACCCATCGCCTGGCAGGAAGCTTTTATTGCCCTGGGATACATTGGACTTGTTCTCATCATCTTCGAAGGCGCCCTCGCCGTCCGACTGGATCTGCTCAAGGCAAACTTTGGCCTCTCTGCTATTGCGGCAACTATCGGCGTCGTCGCTCCTATTGGACTTACGTACTTGCTGCTATATGTCGGCTTTGGGTATGGAGCGATCGAGACCTTCATCGTTGGGGCTGCGCTCTCCGTTACCTCTCTTGGAACAACGTTCGTGGTGCTAGGGAAGAGCTCAAAGGAGATCAGCTTCGCAGACACTCGAGTCGGTACCGTTCTGGTCAGCGCGGCTGTATTCGACGATGTATCCGGTCTAGTGATGGCTAGGTAAGGCACAAAGTTCTCTGCAGCCACAGAGTATCACTAACATCCCTCAGTGTAATCGGCCAACTAGGCGCCCTCGGAGGCGAAGACTCCCCGAACCTAGGCTGGCTGATCGGGCGACCAACACTAGTATCCGGCCTCCTAGCAATCCTCACTCCCGTCCTAAACAAATGGGCACTCGCACCTGTATACCGAAAGTTCATCGAGCCACGCCTCCCCAAGACGCGCAAACGCCACGTCGTCAACGTCATCATCATGATCTTTGTGCTGTGTGCTTTCCTCAGCATCACAGGCTTCGGCGGTACCTCCGTTCTCTACGGGTCCTTCATGGCCGGCGCATTCCTCACCTACCTCCCATCCAAGCACCCGACAGGTCCCTTCCACCCGCCTTCGCGCGAAGACGCAGAGGAAGCGGAAGCGCGGTCTATTGCTGAAGCCACCGAGTACGACGATGCGGGTGAGCCGTATATATGCCCTACGTTCATGCATACGTTTGAGAAGTACTTCCTCGACGCTGTCAAGTACCTCCTGCAACCTCTCTTCTTCGCATCGATTGGCTTTGCTATCCCCTTCATCGATCTTTGGACCGCTGAGGCGTTCTGGAAGGGATTTGTGTATACATTACTTATGCTGGTATCTAAAGTCGTGGTCGGCCTTGTCATACCTTTCGCTACCATCTTCCGCAGACCACCAGGCATGTCTATCCGCGAGTGCTTCACCACCACATTCTGGCCGGCCATGCTCCTCGGTTCCGCCATGGTAGCGCGTGGTGAGATCGGTCTGCTCGTTGTACAGATTGGTCTGAACAACACACCGTATCTGTCCAAAGAAGCCTTCATCACCGCCGTATGGGCCATTGTGCTCAACACCATCTTCGGACCTGTGACCGTAGGTCTTATCATCAAGTACAAAGCGCGTGTCATTGCAGATGGGGTATGGGGCCTCGAGAAAACGGAGTCGAATGGCAATGGCTGGGACGATGGAGTCTCGAGGGCGCCGACCATCGTCCCGGAGACGATGAGTGTCAAGGAGAGGAGCAAGAGTGTTGCGGTGTCGCAGCATAGCAGGATGGTATCTGATCCTGTGACCGTCCCGATCTCGCCTTGATGGCGGGGCATGTGCTTTCTTAGTATTCATCACGAATTTATGATGTCTTTTACTTGCAAATACTGTCCTGCTCTGAGTGATACGAGGTAGGCTGTGGTCAGGAAAATTGTCGAAAGCCGTATTGTCACATCTGTTCGTAGGTCTCACGTATGTACTACAGCGATGTCTCATCAGCAGGAAGTAAATCTGATTCGCTCCGATGAGTGGGAAAAGGTAAAATTGTATCTGATTGAGAGGGGTATGCGCTGCTAGGTATTCGAAAGTGCAAAAAGCAAACAACACGACAACGTTTACCAACAACAAGAGCGAGCGGCATTCGCAAATTCAACAGCAACGCCCAGCCCAAGATTTCGCCAAGCACCCATAAATAGATCAACACTCGTATCACACGTGCAAACACCCTTCACCCATACGGCAGGTCTAGCTAGACCAGAACCATCCACTCCTCTTCTTCTTCTGCTCTTGGTTCTCTGGCTCGGCTGGCCTGGGCTGGCAGTCGTGGAATGCCTTCCAAGCATCGCGCTGCTGTGTTTCGGTCTCTTGGCCGCGCTGGGTATGCACAGTCTCCGAGCTCTCTTCTCGTCCATCAGCGAAGCGCTTCTTGAGCACGACTTTGGTCGTAATTGAGCCGTCAGAAGCTACGGTCCGCTCGGTCGTCGTAAGTGTCGAAAGAATCGAAGGCTTGTCCTCCTTCATCCGCTCAGCGACCGCAGATGTTACCGAGATAGGCCCGGAGACTGAGGGTGAAGGCTGCGACACAGCCTCCATGCGTTCGTATGCATCCAGCTCGGTCTCTGGGTCCTCATCTCTCTCTTGTGCTGCATCTAGAACAGTGTTGTATGTGTCACGTCTGACTGTGTCGGCGTAAGGGAACCGGTCTTGTTTCGGCGTAGGCGGATCGTCATGTTGGTCTTCGTGATCGTGGCTATACTCGTAACTTGGCTCGTCGTATGTCCCAAGGTGAGGGCAGCTGGGCGCGTCGTTGCGGTCCATGTGCTCCTCCAGTTGGCGATGGGTGATCGGGATCTTTCCATGAGCCCAGTAGTTGTCAGACGCATCAGACTCCATGGCGCTAGGACATTCGGGCTCCAGCTTCCCCTGCATCGTCTCCTCTAGCTGTTGTTGCGTAATAGGTATCTTCCTTGGTCCCCAAGCCGGTCGGTCTCCCCTCATCATACAATGTGAGACTTCGCCTTGCTCTGCTAGCAGGTCCTCGTAGGCTGCCTGCCAAGGTACGCCGGCCTTGTTCATCTCGCGGTCCTGCTCGAGTGCGCGGGGAGAGTATGCGGGGTCGTCGGTATGAGACGCGTCTGCTGGAGGCGGCCACTGCCACGATTTGGACCATGACCAGACGCGAGGCTTGCCATCTTCTGGGCAAGATTCATAGTTGTTGAATCTGGCAACTTCCGCCTCGCGGTCATCCCAGGCCTTGTCGTTGAACTCCTCGGCCAGCCTCTTCGCCTCTGCCTGCATGCGTAGCAATCTTTCCAACTGCATCCAATCCTTTGACCTTTCTTCCTCCGAGTTGGCTGATGGACTGCGGCCATCGTGATCAAATGGCCGAGGAAAGCCCCAATCCCACGACCATCCCCACTCTTGACCCTTCTCGTTGGCTACCTTTTCAACCAAGCTAGCATCGTCGCGTAGCGCGACCTGTTGCTCGTCGCCTCTTCTTACGTTGCCGAGTATTTCCATTCTTATGTCGTCAGCCTTGCGGCCGAGCCTCATCAGCTCCTCGCTGTTGCGCAAGACAGCTTGCACATCGCCGACTCTGAACAGTTCTCTGCCTTCGTGGCGCAGCTCGGCGATGTCACCTTCAATCTCGTGAAGCTTGTCGCATTGTCTTGAGTCGGCCTTGCCAAAAAGACACTGCTCACGTGCTTGGTGCGCGTTGTTGTAGTTGGCGATGGTGGCGGGAAGCGTGAAGACAGTGTTGAGCAGCGACGAGACCTGGGAATCGGCGAAGCGGCGGAAGGCGATGAAAGGATTGTCTTCGGGTCGGCTGTGGTCGCGTCGGAGATTATCGTTGTCGTTTGTCATAGTGATAGGTAGGCGTTGTGGACGTTGTGATGGTACTTGGCTGATGGTGGGGAAGATGGGGTCCGGAGTGATGATGATGCCTGGAGATAGCTGTGGCTGCCTCGGCGATAAGGCCACAAGGCACGCGCCACCCGTTTCGACGCGTCAAGCCATCGCCTCTGACAGCCAACCGTGCTTCCGTCACTCTACCTCTCCAAAACGGAGCATCGTGAGGACGCGCATCGTCGCCCAATGAGTATTTCGCATTTCCAGAATGCTTTCGGCCTCTCCTTCGCTATTCTTACCATCACCAAGCATGCACCGCCATATGACCCAGACATGCTGAGCCGGCGATTACCTTGCCCAAGAGCTGCCGCGCTTCTCTAGAGCTCAGGAGTCAGTATGAAGATTCGATATTTCCAAACAACTTTCATATATCCATTATGGCCCAAGATCTGCCTACATGACTCCACCTACGTATTGCTGGAATTTGTGAGTGTTGCATCGCAATCAAGGCATGATCTTGGCTTTCTTGGAAATCTACGCGGGTTTGGGATCCTCTCGGCAATCTATAGTAGTCTCACTTCAACACCACCGACAGCGCTATCAACAGGACCAAGAGCATCGCCATCCTTTGCTTGAGACATACGCGTAAGTTCATTACGAAAAAAAGCCGCAGAGGATATTTTCAACCCGGCATTATTCAGCACCGCCTACGATCTGCGCCTTATCGTCTTACCGCCCGCTGGCAGCCAAGGAGCCAAGTGCGCGGCATGCGAAGACAATTGACTTCAAGACCTTGATCGTCCCGGATTAGAGCCGCGCAGTCCAAAATCTGGACTTGCCCAGTTCAAGCAGCCATACACAACGCTGCTTTTCACTGCCCCGTGATAGGTTTCCACGCTTTAGCGACGCACTGCGCGTCATCCCGAGCGGAATTGGACGGGCAATCCCCGCCTGTACCTCCTTTCACTCCTGGGCCTTTCCTACTACGGCCTTATCACTAGCGATCGAATACCCACGTTTCCTGTTTCTGATCTTCGAGTATGTGTTTTGACAGCTGTGCCAGCGGACTGGGTACGTCACACAGGATCTGCGACGCCAGCGAAGAGGGTATAAGTAGCGGAGTAAACACCGCGTGTCGAGAACACAAAACTGTTTCATCTCGCGGCTTTACCAATATATATCACCAGACGCTTCCCTTCCATCTGTACCGATACAACATATAACACTTGTCCAATCGCTATACAACGAGAACCAAGAGTCCAAGACCTGCTGTTCTCTCTTCTATAAAGCCCGCCCGAACTATCCTCGGCATCTGCAACACCTTAACTACAATTCCACATCTCCAAGATGCGTTTCTCTTTCATCATCGCCACCCTCCTCGCTAGCGTTGCCGTCGCTATGCCCGATCCTCTCCCACAAGGCTACTCTGGCCCCTGCTCAAAGGACAACTGCGGTGTTAGCGGCCAGGTGTGTTCAGGCGGCGCAATCTGTGTGGGGTGGCCAAGCACCGATCCCGCAAAGAGGAAGGGATGCACCTGCAGCCGGGGTTAAGCATTTGGTGCTAGATTTTTTTGCATTGGCAGGCGTGTGTGAGTATAACGAGGTCGAAGACGAAGCATAAGCTAATGTTTAGCAGATGGCATATTATAGCGAGGTTGACTGAAGCATGTTGGCTGTAATCTAGAGGGTGTATTATCTATGAATGATGAAGACAGAATTTCTACAAATGATTGCTTGCTCTCATCTGTGTGCCACACGAGCTTAGGCATTACCAGGTCATGAGAAACAACCGACGCGATCGAGCTCGAGACCTGACAACTCGTTCCTTTCACTTATGTGGTGTTGTCTTGGAGTGAGTTCTTCACGCTTTCCTGGCTTGGTAGGTCGGGGTCTCACTTGCAACTGGCTATAGCACTTCCATGCTGCTAAAGCCCTACTATTCGACAGCAGCACCCTCTTGCCAATCTCTGAACCTGCGACCACAACGCATACCCCACCACTTGGAACCGACAACCAACATCATCAACCGGGATGTGGAGCACCAAGTTGCTGTATCGCGCTCCACTTCCCAGGCCGTTCTTTGACTTACCGTGGGATATCCGAGAACAGATCTACATTTACATCGAGCTTGGTGCGCTCCCACCTTTGTCAAACGATAGCGAGTATGCTGGCTTTGTTCTCTCGTGCAAGCTCGCCGTCGAAGAGCTTTCTTATGTCGCGACCCAGAACTATCGCAAATATCTCGACAAGTTCAAGCAATTATCGAAGCAGAGAACAGGCTACACGAGTATTGTTGCTCAACCCAAGCAGGAGTCAACTGGTCAGACAAACCCCTTTGCTCATCTACGCCAAGTCAATGTGGAAGTCCGTCTACGTAGGTGCGCCTTGAGTGGCAACTCGAGCTTCACAACAGCATGGTGTGACATGTTTCATCCTCTCTTCGGACTTTTCCTCGACGATGTAAACATTCATTTTGTGGCTACTTCCAAGCCTGAGGGAATAACGAGAAGAGGATACACGGATGAACTATACAACGTGCATTGCATGATTCGCCGTTTATTCGATCTAATCGAGATAAAGAATCCGCAACTACACAAACACACTCCATTCTTCAGAGGCAACTCAGTGCGACTGGAATAAACACTTCACCGATTCCTCAACGAGTTTGGATGGCAGGTCCCTGGCTTCATGCGGACGAAACGCGTGAATGCAAAGGGTATCTGCTTCTCCTGGAACTGTCGAACAAAAGCTCAGATCGGATCTCCCGCCGCTATGATGGATCCGGTTTGGCCCCATACACTGCGTCTCCGTGACACCATGGGGAAGGACACGTAGACATACTACCGGGGGCATGATGTAGATGGCTTCGCTGGTGAGATACGGATTGCAAGTTCTGCTCGCTGGGCTCCCACATCAGTTGATCTTCCATCGAAGTCTTGTTCCAGACACTGCAAGGTTGTCGCACTGCAGATGAAAAACCTGGACTTCGGCGATGCAGCACTGATCTTGAGTAAGGTGGAAATATAAGAGGGAGAAGAGGCGTGGAACGAAACTTACGCCTTTGGATGCTTTTTCGGCCGCTGGTCGGATAATATACGATTTCCTGATCGGCAGAGTGGGTCTCATCTAGGACACTCCACATGCAGTACGAAATGAAGACTTCTGCCTTAGAAGATGACCAACACAACTTACCTTGACTGTAAAGACAAACATGTCCTCGATCACAAAAGAAGGCAAACTTGCTCTTCAGAAGCTTCACACAATTGGCGGATGTTTTCTGCTCATCGTGATCGGTGACAATGCAATCGCATGTGATGAAAAACAGCTCCCATCCCAGGTCAGCGCACCACAACGCCCATGTACGGTGACTTCCCCGGATAGAAGGCCACCCAATATACTCGTTCCCCGGAAACGCACCCCATATTCCACTCCACAGCGGCTGAAATGCCCCCTAATGAAGCGTGATCGCTACCAGCCCCAGGCCCATCAATTGGTATTCTCCACGAATAACGACATGCAGATGCGATATAAGACATTTTGGCACCGGCAATACGCCGCCGACGCATCGACCCTCAAAGATTGCATTCACATTCCTCCGTGACGCAACGCAGCTTCGCGCAGGGATCGGTTGTTGTGGCACAATGCATTTAACCGCGATTAAAGGCGCCAAGCCTGCTTAAACGAACTTCCGAAGGGTACACGTGTGGTGCTAAGCAAGACAAGAACCGGCGCCGGAAGCTTCATTTAGATTAATGCGAAACAACGACGTTTCGTTGTCTAGACTGCATGGGGGAAGCGCCGGGTGCGCATTGGGTACAGGCTGATCGACGACGTGCAGGTACTGTGGCGTGTTAGATGAATTGTCCGTCTTCCGCTACATGTGGGTAATTGTCCTAGGGCTAACGCATACATGTTTCCCCGTACTGCGTGGCGGATGCGCAGGGAGGGACCGAGGTGGGCTTGGTGGATGCATATTGTTCGTAATGAGAAGGAGGGAGTGGAGATCGCTAATCTTGCGAGCAATATCTGTATAGGGCCGAGGGAATTTGGAGGTTTGGTATAAGTAGTCTGGGACCCTCGACTTGGTTGAGATATCCAGCAACCTACGTTCTTTTACAGTCCAAGTCCAGTTACAGTCTCGATATACCGATTTCACCATGAAGATTTCTCTCGTCACCATCTTGTCCGCCGCCGCGCTGGTCCAGGCTGCGCCTTTTGCTGAGCCAGAGGCTCTTCTCGATGAGCGCCAGGCCGCTCAGAGCATCGATGCTGCCATGAAGGCAAAGGGCCGAAAGTACTTCGGTACCTGCGCTGACCCAGGCCGTCTCAACCAAGGAAAGAACGCCGCTATCATCAAGGCGAACTTCGGTGCCATTACACCTGAGAACTCGTAAGTCTTTCCAACCCTGGACGCGGTGTTGTATGCGGTGCTAACTGCCGGATAGCATGAAGTGGGATGCCACCGAGCCCTCGCGTGGAAACTTCAACTTCGGCAACGCCGACCAGACTGCCAAGTTCGCAAAGGACAACGGCAAGCTCATCCGTGGACACACCACCGTCTGGTACTCTCAGCTGCCCGCCTGGGTCTCGCAGATCAATGACAAGGCCACCTTGACCACCGTCATGAAGAACCACATCACCACCCTGATGAACCGCTACAAGGGCCAGGTCTACGCCTGGGATGTCGTCAACGAGATCGTAAGCTGATTCCTTTGCTAAGGTCTACTTGCAACAAATGCTGACTTTCGCCCAGTTCGAGGAGAACGGTAGCCTCCGCTCCAGCGTCTTCTACAACGTCCTCGGTGAGGACTTCGTCCGAATTGCTTTCGAGACAGCCAAGGCCGCCGATCCGGCTGCTAAGCGTTACATCAACGACTACAAGTAAGCACCTCTTCTAACACTCAATATCATGGCACTAACAACCGCCCAGCCTGGACCAAGCGTCCTACTCCAAGACCCAGGGTATGGTCCGCAACGTCAAGAAGTGGATCGCCGCCGGTGTCCCCATCGACGGTATCGGTTCGCAGGGTCACATCACATCCGGCCAGGGTGCCAACGCCCCCGCTGCCATGGCCGCGCTTTGCGGAGCTGCCCCCGAGTGCGCCATGACCGAGGTTGACATCCAGAACGCCCAGACGTCCGACTGGCAGAACGTCGTCAAGGCTTGCTTGGACCAGAAGAACTGCGTTGGTATCACCGTCTGGGGTATCCGTGACAACGACTCCTGGAGGCCCAACGGCAACCCCCTTCTCTTCGACTCCAACTACAACGCTAAGACAGCTTACAACACTGTCCTTGCTGCTATCAACAAGTAAGCGCGTCAAACACTGTGCACCTAGCACAATTTCTGTATATATTTTGGGGTTGGTTGTGGAAGACTTTGTACATACATGGAGGGACAGCAGAAACGTCTTCTGGCTATATAGCCCAGCGTTTCAATCAATCTTGTTCTCTCGACCAGTAATCGTGCTCTCCCTCTGTGCACTCTTCAATGCCTTGATGATACTGACGCCAGCATCCGCACTGGCTCCCACTTCGGCTTGTTTGGTCCAGAACATGTCGGCTGCATTGATTCGAACGCTTTTACGCCTTTCACGCTCCGTTACGTCAAGATGTGACTTCTTCTCTGCAGTTGCCTCTAGCTCGTCCAGATGCTTCTTTCTCCTCGCATATCGTTCTGCTCGCTCTTTCCGAGTCTGCTCCGAACCGATTCTGAACAGGGCAAATCGCACAGCAGCCCTGAAGCCCATGAAGATGTGTTCGGAGATGAGGATCGTCACTGGTAAGCTGGCCCACGTGCTCAAGCCAAGATACTGGCCAAGAAATTGCTGGGAACCGAATACGTGGACGATGGCCGCACTGGAGATACTCCCCAACCATGTCAATGACTCTAGACTGGCTACCCACGGCCCGATGCCGTCGCTACGTGTTGAGTGAGGACGCTGATGCTCGACACAGATCTTCAGGAAATCCGACCGCAGCTCGATCCAGTTGTTGATGAAGAAGCCTATCGGCACTAGCGGCCACACGGGACTGAAGAGCGCAAGGTAGCCAAATTGAATGACCATCTCTGCGATGTCTTCTTGGACGTTGTATGATGGTCTCAAGGCTTGTCGTCTCGTGCGACGTAGGAAGCGAGATTCCGCAGGATCTTCTGCAGTTGGACTCTCGTACGAGTCACTGCTGCGGTTTTGTGCTCGGCTAGCTTGTCGATCACGCCACCATTGCTTGATCTGTGTCTTTAGCCAAGGTAGCGCGAGCTCTTCGACTGCGCTCGAGACCTGTCCAGTTACAGTGAGCGCGATGACTTCGTTACGCAGCCGGTCAGGGTCGGCCTTGAACATCATCTTGGATCTGTTCTGCGCGCCTAGCGTGGCATCGATAATGTGTTCCAGCAACGGTATAATCTGCCCGCCGAATGGCACGTATACGAATGCCGTAAGGAGGATTGGTAGATAGTTGGTGATTGAGTTGAGCACAAAGATCTTTTGAGTGAGCGACATCTCGTAGTGATCAGCTGTTCGATGGTTCTCGTATTCCGTCAGCGCAGTAGCAATGTCTTCCAGAAAGTTCGTCGCATATGGTAAGAAAACAGCAAGAAGGACCGTAGGCAGGTATTCCTAGTTGATTGTTAGTGAATATCAACGGGCGCCACTAGGAACACACTGACTAGGTAGAATTTATAGGGCCCCTCGTAAGCTTCTCCAATGAAGGTCTCGATGGTAAAGACGAACGCGATAAGAATACCGAGTAACATAGTGCTGACGAGGACGAATGGAATGACTACAAGTTGCCGCACGATCCTCTTCCATCTCGGAAACACATGCCGAACTCTTCCAGCTGAGTCGATGACCTCTTGCTCGTAGCGAAATTGCGGGCGGTTGACTTTGAGGTCGCCGACCCCTCTCACATTCCATCGGATGGCGAGATCGGTCTGTTTAATCTTCCAATACTCCAAGAACACGGTACACCAGACTCCAATCAGCAGTGCGAATACCAGAGAGTACTTCGGTAAGAACGCCCAGGCAAATACACCAGCAGCGCAAGGGAATGCCAAGGATCGGAAGTAAGTTTGGATAAAGGCGAAGTAGAAGGCAACTTTGGCACCCCATAGATCACGGATACGGTCCAGGTCGTCGGGCTCCAAGAACACTCGAGTGCTCAGATGGGCCAACAATGCGCGGTTCGCACCTGAGTTATGCAACGGGAAGATTGCGGTCACATTCTCCCATGGTGGAAACTCCGGCGTGATACCTGCGCCCCCAAGCTCCTTGCGCCAATTAACAAGGTGGTACATAGAAAGCAGATCTTCGGCCTCGAAAGCTGCGGTAACAACGGTTTTTGCGGTGCCGCCAGGATGATCTTTGGTAATGCCGTATAGCCAATCTTTGACTCTGCATATACCTATCTAGCGTCACATTCAGATGGCGACTCTATGGGTGAGCTCAACGTACCGTGACTTGTAGACTGTGTTACCAAGTAGATCTCTGGGCGCTTGGACAAACACGAGTAGTGTTTGGTCATAGCCAGGGCGCACCTCAGTATTGAGGCCTGCCGCCTCTAGGTCATGCAATAGTGTCTTGCATTCTGTAATGGCAATATCGTCATCTTGTGGTCGTCAGCCTACCGCTCCACCTGCTATGCCTCAATGACTTAACATACCGACATTGCCGAAGTCGTATACGACAACGTACTTGTCGTTATACGTGATGTTGGCAAGCTCAGTATCATCGCTCAGTGTCGTATCCGATCTCTTCAAGGGTCTAATTGACATGGCCAGAAGGGTTTAAACCGAGCGGAGAACCAGGGTAGCTGTCAAACTGTGAGAAGTAAGGGTCCACAACTGTGGCTGGAGGATTTATAGCGGTAAGCCACTGAGGCGTCGTCATCGTGCTGGCCATAGCTCCTGTGGAGTCAGGCAAGCCTCAGCTGTGTCGCGGATTGGTGTTCGATGGTGGGACTAACGCGTCTGAGTGCCAAACTTAGCACCTGGATGCCGACTGTTCCGAAACCGTGGGGGAGGATGGGCATTTACATCAGTTGCGTGTTGGGGCACAGTGCACTTTATAAGGCTTCCGACGCTGCGATCGCATTGAGGAATAACACATGCAGGGCCTGGGACTGTGGAGAAGGAGCGATGGAGCGATTGATGGAGATGCGGTCACATGTGCTCGTCTGTTTGGGCCTAGCGCTGGACACTTTCAATGACGTAAGCTATCGATGGACGCGTCGAGACGCGTTCTCACAACGCTAACGCTTCACGATCGCTTTGTCTGCACTCCTTTCGCGAGGGCATTTGGGCATATACAAAGAACGCGATGAACATTGCCGACACTGTATCACGATCCAAGAGCCGCTATACCAAATGGACACAAGACAGAAATTCACTAAACTCCCTCTGAAGGCGACACAGCTTCCACCATAACCATGCGTCAAGAAATCACAGTCACACAGAAGTCACCGGTACCCAAATCCTACGGCTTCCTTCCGAAAGGCGACCGCTACAAGACGTTACACTGCCGCAAACTCACCCACGAAACCGGCCGCCCGTTGTACATTGTCCTCGACGACCAAAAGAGAACGACTGGCATCCGCATCCCCTTGAGCGTCCTGCACAAGGTCAATAAGCAGGCAAAAGAAACGCTATCAACTCGTCGGGAAGCCACAATAAAACGTGATGCGACTGACATCACGAAAGCAGCAGCTGAGATAGACGTGCAATTCCCGAAGATCCCGGCGTCAGAGGAGAAAGCGGTACTCAAGCACGGCTTCAAGAAGCATTCTGGTAGAGTCGGTCGAACGAGCTCGATACCATTATCACGGAAGATCTTGTTTGCCGTCATTGCGCATATACGGCATAGGCACACTGACTATGATGCCTTGCTGAAGGGTGGAAAGAGCAGGGAACATGCGAGGAAGACCACGAGAGAGGGTATCGAGACGGTGATGAGGAAGTGGGGATACTCTAAAGGTGCGGAAAGGAGACGCTGACTGCTGGTATCCCGGCTTACTGACTGTAATGAAGAACTCGATTGGTACTTCCGGACCGAAAGCGCATAGAGTCGAGGAGATAGTGGTTATTTGAAGAGAAACAAAACGCCTATGATATGGTATCTGCTATGCAAAAGACGTTACACCCCCATTCACTCCACGCTATGCCATGATCCAAAGCCCATTTGACGCCTGCCAGACTACGTTACTACAGTCGTGTAGTCCATGTTCTGCCTATGAAGGAAATCCAAACCTAGAGCTGTTGTTCGCTTATCCAAAAGTATCGCTCGAAAACCTAGCCCTCATCCGAATCCACGACCATGCTCTCCCCAAACGCACTGAGATCCTCCTCTGCCGCGCCTTGCGCATGTCGCCTCCTGCGGCCTTGCCTGCCCGCAACGCGGTTTTGTTCGATTTCACGTAGCTTGCCGTTCATCCGCCGCTCTAGCTCTTCAATCTCTTCGTCTTCATCTGCGTCTCCTGCCATGTCTGACCCTGCCGCTGTTCCGGACTCGAGGAGTCCGCTATCCGACTCGTTGATCTCTAACGCGCGGTTGAGAAGATCGGTGGCCATGGGATCCTGGGGCGAGACAGCGAGAGCTTCGTGCAAGGTGATGATAGCGTCCCAGCTCCGATTAAGGTTTAGGAGAACCAGGGCCTTTGCGGTGAAGACGCTCGGGTCCTTCATTCCATGGCGAAGCACCTCGTCGAATGTCTCGAGCGCTTCGCTGTACTGCTCACACTTGCGAAGCGCATGTGCGAGATTGATCCGCATGGGTATCCAGGCATCGGGGTCTGCTTCGTTCTGCTCTGAGAAGGCTAGCGCGCGGCGGAAGAATTGTATAGCGTCCAGTAATTGTCCTTCGTGGAAGTAGACAACGCCCATCTCGTTAAGAAGGCAAGGATCGTTCTCGCATAGATCGTACGACGTCTTCAAGTACTCTCGCGATAGACTCAGATTGTTTAACTGAAGGTTTTGCATGCCGAGGAAGAGCTGTGGGAGATGTGAGCCCTGGAAGAGGCGTGCCGCGGTGGAGTAGGCGGAGATGGCTTGATCGTGTTCCCCTTCTGCGGCAAACGTATGGGCGAAGCCTATCCATGCAGGGCCAAAGTGTGGGTCCATCATGGAGGATTTGGAGAAATAGCGGCGTGCTTCAGCTATGCGACCGATTGCGAGATAGTAGGTACCGACGGCAAACCATGCGCATGGTTCTGAGGGGTTCGTGTCTGCGAGTTCGTGTGCAAGCAGGAAGAGGGTATTCTTTTCGCCAAGCTCGTGCAAGGACGCTATATGTATGGGCATGATGTTGAAGTTGTACTTGTCGTTTGCGAGGACGGCCGACGTGAGGGCGAGAGTGTCGCGGAATCGGCACAGGGTGAACATAAGGTCAGCTTTGGAGAGGACTATGTCGGGGTTCTCGCCAAGGTTGTAGTGGGTGGTGAGTGTCTCGGTCGCGTTCGCAAATTCTTCTGGTCTGGTGTACTTAGACAGACGTGTTGTGTAGAGGGTCTTGGTGAAGGACGCTGCCTCTTGTGACAAGGAAGGGTTGTTGGCAACGTTGATAGTGTCGAAGTTGAGCGATTCGAGGAACTTCCATTCTTCCTCCGGTGCCATCAGTGAGTTGGACATGAGCGCATCGAAGGCCTCGAAGCATTGCACGTCGATCTGTACCGCGGTCTTGTAGCATTCCTTGGCCCGATCGAAGGAGTTTTGCTTTGCATAGCACACGCCCCGGAGGTAGCACATGCCTGCTTCCGACTTGATGTTGTTAACATCCTCTCTATCACGCTCTTCGCTCGTGGGTAGGCGCTCGTTGCGCGAGCCATTTTTGGTTTGTCTTGCGCCGGCCCGTGTGTTGACGTCGACATGCCGCAGTTTGGTGCGCGTGTTCCCTGGCGCCGAGATTAGATGGGTCGGGTTCTTGTCGCCCAGTATCTGCAGTGCGTCTTCCAATTTTCCCAGCTTCAGAGAGCAGTGCGCAGCGAGGTATCGACATTGGGGAGTCCGCTCAACGAGATTTCCGCGTGCGAGGAGTGACTGTGTCCTGTTGTAGTTGCCGGTGGTGAAGTGCACCTGAGCTAGCCAGAATGCATCTTGATCGTCATCTATGCGGTTTTATCAGTATAAGTTGACATGTCGAGTGTTAGACCATACCCGTCAGTGCCAGCAGCTTGTCTGCAACAAAGATGGCTGTGTCGTACTGGCAGCGATTGAGGGCTTCCTGGCGCCACTCGCGTAAATATTTCTCCATAGCTTCTCTATCGCATTGGGTATAGTCTGTTCAGGCGGGTTAGTAAATGTGTCCCAAAAGATATCCCCAGTCGTGGTTGCGGTCGGCGGCGGCGCGGTGTTTGGTGCCAGGGTCGCGCCTGCCCGACGCGAGAGCACATGTTTGCGGGGTGCCTGCAGCAGCGGGCCGCCTTAGTCAGCCAAAAGTTCCGCGCTAAGGTTGCCGTTACCTAGACGTGATTTCTAGCAATCACTTAACATCCAACACGCCACACGACCTCATCCATATCACACGCGACACCCTCATTTGCGCAGCATACAGCTTACGTTTTGTTTCAACACCTCAACTCGAAGCACCCGATCAGCGCCGCACCACACCAGACGTCGTATAACCCCCAGCCATGTCCGAACGAAAAGTGCTTACCAAGTACTACCCACCGGATTTCGATCCTTCGAAGATCACGCGCCAGCGCGGTCCCAAGAATGCCGGTCCCAAGCTTATGACCGTTCGCCTCATGGCGCCCTTCTCCATGAAATGCACACACTGCGGCGAGTTCATCTACAAAGGCCGCAAGTTCAATGCGCGCAAGGAGACGACCGACCAAAAGTACTACAACATCGCCATCTTCCGCTTCTACATTCGATGCACGCGATGCTCCGGCGAGATCACCTTCAAGACAGACCCTAAGAACATGGACTACGAATGCGAGCGTGGCGCAAAGAGAAATTTTGAGCCGTGGAGAGAGGCCAAGCTCAACGAGGAGACCGAAGAGGAACGCCTGGATCGCATAGAAAGGGAGGAAGCAGAGCGTGACGCGATGAAAGAACTCGAGACAAAGGTCATCGATGCCAAAACCGAGATGGCCATCGCGGACGCTCTCGACGAGATCAGGTCGAGAAACGCAAGGCTGGAGAAGGCGGACCGCGAGGGCAAAGGAACCGAGGTACAACCCGATGCTGCCGACGAGCGACGCAAGAAGCAGGAGGAAGAAGACGCAGAGGCTGCACGACAAGCATTCGCAAATCGGAGCATGCCTGACATCGGCGAGGAGACGATTGACGAAGACATGTTCGACGCGCCCATCGAGGTACCCGTTGCTACAACGTTCACCAAGAAGCCGAAGGAAAAGAAAGACTTCAGCGCTGCGTTAGGCCTCAAGAAAAAGGCGCCTGCTTCGACACCCGCGCCTCAGGTCAAAGCTACCGCACAACCCTCGAAATTATCGACCATGCTCGTAGCTGGTTATGATAGCGATGACGACTGAGCTGTTGAAAGACCATTCCAAGCGTACACAAGAGCAAGCAGTGCATACACGCACCCACGACATCTCGGATGCCTCCTAATTCACACAATCAGACACAACGTGTTGTGCATTTGCGCTGGTCTCGGAAAGATCGTTAAACACGGTATTACTGGTGACTATGCGGTGAGTCTGCCATGGCTAGTGAGGGTGGCTTATGCAGAACCAGCTTCGAAGCTCGACGAGTGCATGAGGTCGACTACTGGACAGTCGCAAATATTTCCTGCGCCCCAGAACGCCAAAACAGACTATACGAATTCGACTGCCTTCTTATTCTGGTCGATAGAGCGATCTTATTTTGGCATTTGCATTAGGCCGAACTACCGAGGCTGCCCATATAGCGCCTTGGAAACCGGTAGCGCCGGAGAAATACCACACCCCATATCCAAGTTTAATCTATCCCCAGACCCACCTACCAGAAGAGGTTCTACTGACTATGTGACTGCGTTACCCCGCAAAAATGGTCACACTCCTGGTCTGACGTTCCTACGGTTCACTGAGGCTTGGGTACCTAGCCGTCTTGGGAGGAACAGCCGTTGCGGAACGCTCGTGACGTCGTATCCTTGACAGACTATATGGCAACGCCGGATAGAACTTTATTCTACAGCCTTTATAAGTGACCTTGCGCCTTCTCGTCTACTCGTCATATCCGGGCTTACTGAGTTTCTTTCACGATGCGTCTGCTCACTTTATGTACCCTGCTTCCTAGCATACTTGCTCTTCCGTCACAGACCCTCGACTTTTCAAGATACACCATTGCATCTCGTGCTGATACGTCTCTGACGAATTATCTCGGCGTCTTCTTCCTCGGCGACAAGCCGTCTGTCTATTTCTACCTCTCCAATGGCAACAACGCCAACTCCATGACTGCTTTGAACAAGGGCCAAGCTGTCATTAACCCTACGAAAGGTACTCTTGGAGTTCGCGATCCAGCCATCATATCTGGTGGAGCAGCTGAAGCTGGCAAAAAGTGGTACATCATTGGTACCGACTTGAATATCGGAAAGACAACGTGGGATGCATCTCAACGTACGGGATCTCGCGGCATCTTTGTCTGGGAATCCGTCGACCTTGTAACATGGACCAACGAACGCCTCGTCACCGTTGAGGACTCAACCGCGGGAATGGTTTGGGCGCCCAGTGCTATCTTCGACGAAGCCAAAGGCCAATACTTCGTTCATTGGGCGAGCAAGTTTTATCCCACTTCCGACCCGCAACACACAGGTTCACCTTCGTCTATTCGCATCCGCTACGCATACACCAAGGACTTTAAGACCTTTACCACCCCTCAGGACTACATCAACCGATCACCCACCAACATCATCGACCAGGAATTCCTTGCTCTCGGTAACAACGCCTATGCGCGCTTTTTGAAGGATGAAAGCGCGAAAACAGTCTTTACCGAGATCTCGACCAACGGACTTTTCGGTACGTGGTCTAGGCCCGCAGGTGCGAATGCGATCATCGCGTCTGGCGTAGAGGGCCCTGCGCCTTACTGGGACAACCAAGTCGCTGGTAAGGCGCACCTGTTGCTAGACTTCTATGGCGCCGATGGATATAGACCCTATGAGAGTACCAATGTAAGAGGCGGCCAATGGACAGCGAGTGATAGGAGCGCTTGGCCTCAAAATCTTAGGCACGGGAGTGTGTTGGGCGTTAATGCGACTCAGGTGGAGGCGTTGAAGAAGAAATGGGGGGCTTGAGCGTTTGGACGTCGGTGAAAAGCGGGTCTTGTGAACTTGGTTTCACTCGTACCTAGAGGCTTAATGCGGCCTTTACGCCTCTATAATTGCGTCGTGGTAGACATTGCAGATTCAAGTCAGGAGTTTATCCCTGTCTAGACCTTACCTCCATTCAAACCCCTTGCTCTTATCATTCCAAACTATTACTACTACCCTTTCTTGAGATGAAGCTGCTATTTTACGGTTGTCTCGTCTGTCTTGTTGCTTCGGCTACAAGCGTAGTCGTATCTAGACACGAGCTACATGAAGAATTCACTGCCATCAACTCAAGCGCAAAAGTCTCGGTTGCCGCCGCAGATCCCCTACTTGCTGTCGATACACCGCCGCCCCCAGAGCACGACCCCATATGGAACAAGGCTTATTGTCGTGGCGCTGCCCTCGTCCGAGCCATGTCTCTCAACGAAGAAGAAAGCAACGCGATGCTGCAATGGCCTTACACACAGAGCCCATGGGACGGCGACCTAAAGCCCGACCTGAGAAAATGGGGTTGGCTCGATGACGAAGAGGAGAATGCAAAGGTTGACGAGCAATGCGACTTTGATGAGACGTTGAAGATGAAGAACACTTTCGATACTCTTGGTGTTGATACACGATCGGTAGGCCAGGGTGGACCGAATCATTGCTTCAGATTACAGCATAGCAATGGACCTACGGTCGTTCTGGACAAGGATGGGAAGATGCCTTATCTGTCTAGTCAGCGTTATGTGGCGGATGGGAAGACGTACAAGGTCAGCAACCTCCAGTCCCATGAACACATTGTCCGCCAGGCCAATTTATAACAACGTGATAGGTCACCGGTGCCCACAGTACAGTAGGTATAAACCGCAACGACGGAATTCTCTACTTCCTCAATCGAATCTCGCCCGAGCAAGCAGCCGCAGACCTCTGGAATCTCAGGCTTGACCAAGTCGATAAAGCTGACTTGCCGAGGATACGCTCGAGTTCTGATTTAGTTTGGGCGCTGTGGAACAGGGTTCCTGGCGAACCGAAGATCAAAATGATTATGGCTCTTCAGATTGTCAATACGCAAACGGCTGAGACCATCATACCGAAGGCATTGGCGGCGGTGGGAGAGACTGAGCTGAAGAGATGGCCGGGAACGGAAATTGTTGTTGAATCGGATAATGAGGCTGAAACTGAGGCTGCTCTTGCGCTTATTGGTACGCTATTCCTCCTGTACATCCACTGCTGCTCGCTCTGACACTTGCCTAGGTTCGCCAAATGGGCTCGGCGCTGGCTACTTCCTTCTACAACACAAGAGGCAGCTCAGTGGCGCGAATTTCATTCATAAGATCACAATATTCAGGAATGATGGCGATGAGTTTGATGACGAGCCTAACATCATTTTTCATGTTGATAAGAAAATATCAGCGATGCCGGAGCCGCCGAATGACCTCCTGGTGCGCCGGAGAAACTGGCAGAGAAGGGTAGCGCGGTGGTTCGAGAGGGTAAGACAGTGAGGAGGAGTAGGAATGGGGAGGATTTGATTAAAGAATATGTCGTTTGGGCAAAGCTTTGATGGGGAAGAGGTAGCGTGTTGCAAGAGGCTGGATGTGTTGCTCAGAATTCCTTAAACCAGGCACCTTCACATCAACACTGCTCACATATTACTAATTCACGGACCATTGCGAGAGACAGTATGGCCGCAACGTTTGCTGCGAAAGTGGGTTCTTGTCTTCCACATGCTAGAGATCCCGGTGTGCGGTCGTGCCTGCCTTAGCTTTCTGACGCCAGTCTCTCTTTCACTTCGCAGGCAGGTCGCACTTGCTCCGAGTTACTTCCGCGTCCCGGTCACTCACCCTTGCTTAAGCACCCTAGCATCGCTCGCTTGCCTAGTGTAGCCTACAGTCAACACAGTCACACCTTTCTTTCCTTGTCAATCCGTCGCGACACTACGATTCCATACGATGAAACTCACACACCTCATCTCTATCGCCGGTCTCTTTGTCCTTGGCGCGACTGAAGCTTTGCGCAATGACACCAATGTCAAGAGAGAGACTCCTGAGTGCCGCTGGCATCGCCGCAGCCTGAACGCCAGAGGTGACGAGGACGACGAGGACGACTTTTGTTTCGGTCTACAACCTGCCGACGATGCGCTCTGGCATGCAGCAAAATGCAAGGGTGTAAAAATGTTGTTCGGGACCACCCAAAACGCACCGGAAGCTGCACGATTCGTGATTCCCATCAATTCTCCCTGGGACGGCGAAATGAGGAACGAACTTGCTACGTGGGGTTGGAACGATTGGGTTGCGGATCCCGATACAGAGTGCAACGCCGATTTCCTCAAGACTGTCCTCCAAAACCTCGGAACCACTACAGGCAGCCACCTCTACGGCGGACCAAACTATTGCTTCTCAGTAAAACATTGCGACAGTGATGCTATTGAGAGGGATGAACACGGAAACCTGCCCCCTAAAAACGACCAGTACTATGACGTCAATGGTCGATTATACAGGGTGAGTTCATATCTCGAGTCCCGACACGGTCTCGCAACCTCCTGCTAACTCAACCGATCGCAATTCAGGCCACAGCCGGTTTTGCTACCGCTTTCGTCAATCCAGATATAGGCGCGCTATTCTTTCTTCGACGTGGCTCTCCCGCATTCGAAGCCCGCAACTTATGGGGTCTAGAGGATCAGCATACAGTCCCACTAGATGAGTTGCCGGCTCTGCGTATGAGTTCTGATCTAGCATGGGCATTTTGGAGGCGAGCGAGTGGCGACAAGCTCTGGAACATCAAGTTGATAGGATCTTTGACAGTCGTCAATTCCGAAACGGAAAAGATTATCGACAGGGCGATGAAGAGAACCGCGTTGGACGAGATTCCAGTCTGGCCGGGGGTCGACTACCTGTACAACACTGACAGCTATCTGGCTATCTTGGGTACGTGCTGTTCGTTTCTTCCCTATACTTACCCATGTGAAGCTTTGCATATTTCTATTATGACACGAAACTGATCAGAACTACGCGATAGGATCCCCCAACGGCAGGGCAGTCGGATATTTCCTCGCTCAACACAAGAGCCAACTAGGTGGCAACCGCTGGGTCCGCGTGATTCGCGTTTTTCGCGCAAACGCAGGATCATCGGCACCCCATATTTTCTTCTATATCGAACCCGCGCCCTACCCACCACCGCAGGTACCGGATGATCCACTCGATGTTCTTATACCGCCACCAGCGCAAGCGGTAGAAGTGGCCAAGAGAAGTTCCGGTGAAAAGAACATTGTGAAACAGCATGTGCTCCGGGCGAAGTTGTAAGAGTGCGATCTTCCGTATACGACTTGGGCCAGATTACACCGACTCACAGATATATATGCTTGGGTTGTGCCATAAGCTTATCCAAATGCTTCTCCAAGTTGATTGATGACTGCGTCTTTCACTCTTAGAATTGCCACGCTAACGCTTCTGACTCTTGCTGCTTACTTTCAATGAATCTTTCACTCAGATTGCAAACACTCCGAGTGCCACTCGCATTATTTCGGGTGCGCGCACGTCGCGTTACCGGAACTGATGCCCTTCACTCAATAGACTCGCTTACATCTCTCATGTACTCTCTCACCGCAGCGCCTACCACCTTACACTGATCTACAGCATGAAAGTCCACCTACTTCCATGTCTCACCGCGCTCCTAGATCTCATCGTGGGTGAGGCTCTATCACCCTATATCAACGAGACGTCAGTCGATTCCTCGAGTCTGGTCATTGAAGATGGCCATAGCCTACTCAAAAGAGCACCCATCGCGCCGGCCAGCGACTTCCTCTGGCAGACGGCCGGTTGCCGAGGCCAGAAACTTCAGCTCATGGACACCCTCAATCCACAGGAGGCCCAGCGATTTGGTACCCCTTTGAACAGTCCATGGACTGGCACTCTAGTCAATGAGCTCGCGCAGTGGGGCTATTTAGACAACAGCGAGAACCGTGACATCAAAGACGAGTGCGACTTCACCATGAAGCCGATGTTTGAAACCGCACTGAAGGCTCTCGGAATCAGCGCGAGAAGTGCACCGGATGGGGGACCTAACAAGTGTTTCTCCTACGTCCACAGAGACAGCCCCGCAGTCCAGCGCTTGCCAAACGGCCAGCTGCCAGCCAGAAACCAACAGCAGTACGTTGCAAATGGAAGGAGCTACAGAGTCACGGGCGCATTTCACACCATCGGTATCAACGCGCAAGACGGCGTCATCCACATGATCAACCGCCGGTCAGCCCAATCTGCGGCCAAACAATTATGGGGCGTAGCCCAGGCTCCACGAGACCAGCTACCCGCTCTCACTTCGAGTTCAGACATCGCCTGGGGTCTATGGGAAAGGATGAGCCCCGGGAACCTCGCCAACATCAACTACATCATCTCCCACAGGATCACCAACGAAGATACACGCGCCATCATCACGCGCGCTTTGGAAGGCCGAGAGGCGCGACCTTGGCCCGGAGAGGTATTTGAAGCTGGCATGGCTGCGGAATACTGGACTTTGTTAGGTAAGTTTCACACGGTCTCTTGTTTGCAGGATGTTACACAGTGCTGATGTATGACTTCTAGGATCACCGAATGGAATTGCCGCAGGATACCTGCTCGGACAACATAAACCTCAGTTTGGTCACAACAGATATGTGTCGGCTATACATGTTTTCCAGGGCGCGCCAGGAAGTCCTTTTATGGGGGTGCCAGCGTTGCCGTATCTGTGCTTCGTTGTTAAGATGGCGCCGTATCCTCCGCCACCTCCTCCGCAGGAGATCCAGATGCGAGACGTTATACTGGATGAGCCTATTACTATCGATGAGGATGAGGATCGAGTCGTGGAGCGGTCTGAAGACGGGAGGAGCATTGTGAGAAGTCATAAAATCTTTTCGAAGTCGTGATAGAGATAGAGAAAGTTGGAATGAGGAGGGCAAAAGTTCCATGATGTTTTCTCGCAGACAAATTCGATTTTGAAATGTATACATACATTGATTGCTTTTGATGAGGAGCTGATGGCTACTTCGAGAAAAGGACCGCTATGTGCTAATGATTACGTATTGATGGTTTATATTAATGTTGTAAAGCAGTCTAATCGTTTCCTTCATGTATACGAAACCATCTACTCCAAGCGCAGCACCAAACAGTGGCCTCCGTATAGCTAACTTCAGCGACCTGCAAGAACCACATGACGTCTTACAAGGCTTGTCCCATCACTATCCCCATCAACAAGGGTCGACTCCACCAATCCAGTGCCCTTATCCTTGCCCTTGTCCTTGTCTTCCGGCTCCGACATGTCCGGCGGTGGCGAGGGCACATCGTTAACATAAAAGAGAATATTCCTCATTGGGTTTTCCTTATCGGTCAGGAAGACGTTGATCTTGGAGATGTACTTGTTTTTGCCCAATTGGCGCTTATGTTGCGCAAGAAAGTAACCTGCGGCTCGGCCGTTGGCGGAACCTATTGAGAGATCTTGTCAGTAATTGAGAGAATAACGCCACGATGTCAGAGGAAGACACTCACCGATGATCGCCAGTCCTTCCTCCGACTTTGGATCAATCTCCGTTCCTGGCCATTTTTTCGGCTCTTTGATGTCCTGTTTAGCGAGGGCTCTATCGATGATAGATTGAGTCTCTTTGTTCGAGATGTACAGGCTGAAAATCTTGCGGATGTCACCGAGGTTATCTTTACCGCGTATCTTATTCCAGAGGCCCCATGCGAAGTCAGAGCTGGCGCGCAGTTCGGGTAGCTCAGAGGTTTGTGGGGTGTATTTCCAGAGCATCTTTGCGGTTTCGAAGGGACTACTGCGCGAGACGAAGGAGAGTACGCCCGCCTTGGGATTGACGCCAAACGTGTACGTGGAACATGTGCACTGTACTCTATATCAGTCACCCCCGTAATTTGCTATGATGTTCGGCTTAGCAGGCTGATGCGCAAATCCAACTTACCCGCTGCCTCTTGCCCGATGGATCAAGATAGTATTGTTTGTCGATTGGCAACATCCGATGATCCGGGTCATCCAGGTAGAAGGGATCTTTTGGATCAAAGAGAACGGCCGGACTGTTGTAGTGGAAGGCGCTGAAACACTGATTGTCCCCTCCGTCGTCGAGCGACTTATCGCTGATGCTGAGAGCTTTGAAAGCGGTTGTCATCCCTTGGTGACCGAAGGCGCACCAAGAGTCCTCGTCCGTCCACAGATCCCAGGCCTAAAATGACGATGTACGAAGTCAGTGTATGTCTCACACGCGGTTCGTACATGAGAGATTTTACCCAGGTCAAGCCCTCTTTCTCGAGGTTGCCGTCCCAAGGGCTGTTTAGCGGATCGATGTAACGTGTGCCTTGGTTGCCATCTCTAGTCATCGCGAGGAAGAGTTTCTGGCCTCGACATACCGCCTTTTCATACTCTTCATCACTGATTGCCGAGGTATGGACGAGGAAGCCGGGGTCCGCGGGGTTAAAGGCAGCAAAGTCGATTGGAATGGCGTTCCTCCTGGAAATGTGAAGGGCTGAGATGTTCAAGAGAGGCCCGCGTGGCGGAAGAAGACCCTCACTTGCGACAACAGCGACCAATCCCATCCACGACAAAATATTAAATGTCTTCATCGCTGCGGAAAAGGAAAAGCGCGGTAGTGTATGACTAGTTGAGGCTCAGCGATGGATTGGTTCGCGAAAGCGGAGGAGCAGATGAACAAGCAGTTCCGGCGGCCGGTTGGGAGGTGAAGAGCTTGCAGCCTGTATCTAATCGTTGCGCAAGGTGCACGAGCGGTCGAAAGTGTAGAGCTGGAGGCCTGACCCACACTGCGTTATAGGCGTACTGGGAAAAAGGTTTTAGTTGTAAGCGACTCCACTGTCGTTCCATTTCACTCAACAGCACGTAGTGCTACTGCGACCGAGACGTAGTGAAGGCGTCACCTGCTCAGCACTGACACTGGCCTTGCACCCTCGATCTTCGGAATCTAGAAACCCATGGGCGTGTCTGCCGCTTCTCCCGCGCGTACAGCGATGTTGCCTGTCGCCGTGGGTCTGAGAACAGTCTGGGTATCGTGAATAGCATGAAGCCGAGAGGTCATAGCTGCAAGCCTTTCCTGGCCTTCGTTCCACAACCTGTGGTTGCCTCATCTTTACACGTTGAACCATGTCTCTTTGAGCTCTGTTTCTGCAACCATGCTCATCGACAGAATTCCGTCGATGTTGATTAGTATTGCTTTGCGATGTTGTTGTGCGGGCGTTCGTTGTAGATGCGATAGAAGATGCGTGCCATCATTACCTGCATAAGCTGGATTGTACATAATCAACTATGGGGACACGCAATGTAAACTGGTTTATCGCGAAAGCGAGCCATCAATGCCGCTCAACATGCTGACAAAGAGATGGTTGACGGATGATGAGCTCCTTTCTGGTGCAATGGTACACGATGTTAACAGACGCGCCTGAATTAATCCCGTTTAACAATGATCGAAGCTCGTGGCGTTGTAGCATGGAAATGTAGCTGGGATAACTGTATCGAGTTAAAAGTAGCCGTTGAATAATATATGGAGCGGCGCATTCCACAGCCATTGTCGTGGGTGTGGATGGTTAAGCTGGACGCGTCGACGCGTCGTTCGGCCCGGCGTGAGGCGGGATGACTGATTAGTCAGCGCGAAACAGTCTGTTGGGGCAGGTAAGCCGGGTGTTTGCTGCAGCTGCGCGTCACCACTATCGACAACTTCCATACATTCATCGTCGGATGCTTCATGCTCCCAGTCTCTTGTCGAGAAGTAGTTTATCCTGCGACAGCTCATCGTGCAGACGCGCATGCGGATGACCCTCGAGTACAGCCCGTTCCGTCCTCCCTCGACCCTTTTGCCGCTTCATCGTTCATCCGCATCTATCTTGTCTGACTTCTACTCCATCACCACTCACAGTTACAGTCTCACGCGAACAACATGCTCTACGAGGCCACTCCGTCCATCCGCGCTCCTTTTGAGTAACTTCGGTTCCTTCAATGCCTCGCATAGCTGAGGTCTCTCAGATACTGAATATCCCCATTGTGCGAGCTCATAAGCCATGTTACCGTCCCATGGACTGCTGATAGGGTCCAGGAACTCATTGGCGTGTGGGGCCGGCCATACCATAGCCTGGACGAGTCGCCCACCACGACAGGCCCAATGCCACCATTCTTCTGGTGTGGCTAGTCTTTGAGCAGCTGCACCGTTGTTGACAATGAGGAATATCAGAAAGAAGGCAAGGAAAAGCCTCATCTGGAAAGACTTCGCTGGTGGATACCGAGACACTGAGATTGACGATTTGAGAGAAGGAACAGATGCAATTCGACTTCCAGATTCACCGAACTGTCTACTTCGCGGATAATGAGGGAGAAGGTCGCCTTGGTCGTGCATGATGGCAACAGCTAGTGCTGTCATATAGCGCTCTTGAAGTACACCGCCGAGGGCAATCCGAGCGATATCGCGCTTGAATCGGCGCATCGGAACACCGCGAGCGTCAGCTTGGTGACCGATAGTACGGAACAATCGCTTTGAAGCTAAAGATATGCCATGACCCTCAACAATCAGGATACGAGCGCTTCTGACAAGAGGTAAGTCAGCTGAGAATCCAATGCTCAATGTATCACTATCATATTGTGGGTACCCCCCACCAGAGTGTTTGAAAGTTGTGTACGGCTGTCTTCCAGTGCAGTGGGGACGGCCAGGCCGACCATGGATGCCGCCAATCAAGATACCATTCCAGTTTCCCTGGCCGAGTACTACGCCCTTTCTTTCTAGTGTTAGAGTGCTCAGTCCACTGGCTGTTTGATGAACAAACAAATATGCTGGCGGTGAAAGATCATGATTGTCACTACGTGCGTTCGGCGTACGCGCGTCATCGTGAAGATGTGGAAGGTCTTCTCGCATTCTTTTCGTTGAATGAGACCTGCTATACGATCGTGACTGCGGTTATATCATCTATGAGCTCCTTGTGGGCGCACTGTCACAGCCCCACAAGCCAGTGGACACGGTGGCGGGAGCGTGACACATGCTTCGGTATACCATCGTCTTGACTTTAAAAAATTCGTATTATCATAACATTATCGATCAGGTAAAGATTCGACGACCTTTGGATGCCCGGGCAAGCATGTCGTGTAGTCGTTCTTAACTTTTCCCAATACAGTAGTCCGTGGTGCGTACTCTTGGGGAAGGTTTGCCGAACCCCGCATTACCGTGTACACACACGCGTCTAGCCAGCGCCCGCATCGAGACGACTCCGACGAGCAATTGAAATTGCTTATAAGCAGTAATAAGTTACTATGTTCTTTCAGACGAGTGAGCAATATCCATCTTCTGACATATTTACATTATGAATGGCCATACGGAACCGAGCAAGCGCCAATGCTTCGATGTGCCTGCCAAAATGAAGGCACTACAGTAAGATGCTCGACGCGAAACGTACGATTAGATCATTGCTAAGTGATTCAAGATATTCAGGACCTGAGAAGTTTGCAGTTGAGACCATCGACGTTCCAACAATTGGTGACGATGATGTTCTTGTGCGGCACGCTATTTATCACCCCACGATGCTTGATGCACTAACTCGCGAAAGGTCAAGATTTCAGCCTGCGGTGTATGCGGAACAGTAAGTAGAAGAGGATGAGAATATCTTTGAAGAATACATCTTACTGACGGCATTGAAGGATTTGCATTACCAGTAAGCTTCGGATGCGAAAAACTTGTGGGCATGTACTGACTCGGCATGTTCATCTCTGCAGTAAAGGCGAGTTTCTAGCCAAGGTGAGATCATTGGGAAAGCTACGTATCGAACTGCACTAACATGCTCGAAGTACCCTCTGATACCAGGTACGAGCGATCGTTCAGCCCTAAATACACCTTACTCATCACTACAGGCCACGAAGCAGCAGGCACCGTCGCCGCTATCGGCAAGAATGTCAGGAACGTCGCGGTCGGTGACCGTGTAGCAGCCGATGCCTTACAGCCATGCCTCAACTGCTTCTATTGCATTCGCAGGAAGACCCAACTCTGCGAAAACGTCATCGGTTATGGCGGTAATGTACCCGGCGGCATGGCAGAGTACTGTAGGTACCCAGCCCGGATGGTATTCCCTATCGGAGACCTTCCGGATCTGGAAGCTGTCTTGATCGAACCCGCCGCATGCGCAGCGCATGGTATTGAGAGAATGCAGATGGAAGTCGGAAGCAGGGTCTTACTTTTCGGATGCGGGCCAACTGGTATACTGTTAGCTCAATTGATCAAGATGAATGGCGCTGCTCATGTATGCAAATCCTTCTAACATTGCAATCCGAACTAACATCGTCTAGTTGACCATCGCCTCAAAAGGCGGCCCGAAACTCGATCTTGCACGCGAACTCAACATTGCTGACTCCTACATTACCATATCCGACGGCAATCCCGGGGATGATATGGCTGCTCTCTCGGCCGACAACCTCTACGGGTTCGATATCGTTGTGGAAGCAACTGGCGCACCCACAGTTCTCGAAAAGGCCATCGAGTACGTACGGAAAGGTGGAAAGCTAGTCGTGTATGGCGTATATGACGAGAACGTGAAGATTGCTTGGTCGCCCTTCCGAATCTGGGAGAATGAGATTACGATATTGGCTAGCTTCTGCAGCATGGGTCACATACCGCACGTATTGGAGTATGTAAATGCTGGGAGATTGAAGTTGGGCGGCATTGCGAACAAGACGTATAGAATTGAGCAGTGGGAAGAGTGTCTGGATGCGGTGAGGAAGCAGGAGGTTGTTAAAGCTGCTATTGTGTTCACTTGATACGAATCGTGATAGTAAGCAATTGGATAAAGACCTCAAAGCATTGCATGCAACATTTCTTCAGATGGTATGGAGGAGAGTTGTTTATAGATGATCGTAACGCTACTTAGATTACGACTAAGTGGCTTTAGTATAATTTGAGTACATCTTTGTGTGAAAATCGCTTTTCGCCAGATCGACGGCCCGCTTCGTAGCCTCATTGAGGTCCTCCTTCGGAAGTCTCAAATCCTCGTTACTCAGCTTATGATCCCTCTCGAACAAACCTGCCTCATCGATGAAGTACCTCGTGTACAAAGCTGTCGCAAAAGACATGCGATCACCCATCATCATCCGCTCCCTAGCGGTGGCCAAACGCTGCTTCAATGGCTCCGACGTAATTTTCCAGTCTCTCTCAGTGGTGCCGGTTACTTTCTGTACCGCCTCAAACATCTCGCGCTGGTTGAGAGCAAAAGACGATACGAAGATCATGCTGTTGCGGTACTGCCCCAGTGTCAGTCCGTTGCCATCAGATGCCGATACTGGCAGAGATAGCAAATTCGCTACAGCCAGTCCAGTCTGGGGCCATGTGCAGGCATTCATCCGCTGCTTTCCATCGTCAAAGTACACGATCTCTCGTTTCGGTATGTCGATGCCGTAGTAACCGCCGCTGAGAGAGTACTCGTACCAGAAGCCGGAGGTCACGCCTATCCACGAGGAAACTCCGAGCGACTCGATGAGTTTGCGAGCGATCGTCTTGCCAGGCCCGATGGTTTCGTTTTGGATCTCTTCCGTGTTGTACATGCCGAACTCATTTGGTAAAATCCACGGCACGCCAGCTTGAGCTGCTCCACGAATGAGCTTCTCTTGCGCATTACCACCGAAGACGCTCATTGTGATGACGAGTGCATCTTGTCCGGTCAAGGCTTTGACTATGGTGTCTGGACTGTCGTAGTCGATGCGTGCGACGCTGACGCCGGATGGGAAGGTGGCCTTGGACTCCGCACGCGTGACGGCGGTGACGTTGAAATGGTTCTTTGCAAGGAGGGCTGAGGTGATATATGAACCGACATTGCCATTGGCACCGACTACAGCGATGTTCTTGAGTTTGGATAGCAATGCCATATTGCTAGGTGTGAGAACGAAGGGGTTCTGTGATTATTGGTAGAGTGAGGACCACAGAAGCGTGTCAGATTGTCACCTTAACACTTGGGAGTGACTTCCTTCTATACACCTCTTGAGGTACATTAGGAAAGATCAATGTTGGGAGACATACGGTCGGTATTCGGTCGTAACCTTCTAACTCCGCCCATGCATAGACAAGGAGGTGCTCCTATGCTGCAACCAGTGTAGCTCGATGAGCCAATACACACAATGTCGACTGGTAACACTGATGGAGCCTTGTTCAGGCCTCCAGATCCATACAGGGCAAGCTAAGTATGCACCGAAGTCCGATCGCTGACATGATATGTCCGAGCTGGAGAGGCATTAAAGCGCGAGCACCGAAGTGTGTGGTGATGTCATTCACAGATTCGGTTAGCGGTTGTGGTTAGCGCCCGGGAGCCCATCTCCACATCCGCGGTCAACGATCTCCGCGCATGGAAGACGCGTCAAAAGAAGGGGTGACGAACGTCCTCCCGACTTCCCGTCATACGAGTTCACCCCAACCAAGTCAAATGTTATGCAATGCTCGTTCCGTCTCCGTCGTTTTTCTGGAGACGAATGCCACGCCGTTTAAGTGTGGCCGCCTAAAGGAAGCAGCTCAACTGCAGGCGTTCGCCAATCATGTGTGTCTTGCACAGCCCCTCCACAAGGGGACGAAAGTCTCAGGCCAACCTGATTCTCTCCAGCAATCGCGACAGCATTGTCTCGACAACGACGCAGAGCCTGCGACATGCCGGCTATTCCGAACTACCAGTACCGACCACTCGTGGAAGATGACAACTCGCGCTTCATACAGTTGTATCCAGCGGCGCAGTTCGACGATCCCATACGAGTAGATCTCGTTGAGCGGGCGTACGATGTCTCGAATACTAATGGTCCGGCCGGTTACGAAGCTTTATCCTATACCTGGGGCTCAGATGTGGATTCCGCTTACATCTTCGTTGCGCAAAACTCTCGCTTGCTTGTCCGTCGCAATGTCACCCAAATCTTGAGGTATCTGAGAGACGGTATTGCCCCGGGATGTACTGCCCGAACCCTGTGGATAGACGCTATATGCATTAATCAAGCGGACAATGACGAGAAAGGAAAGCAAGTTACCATGATGGGGAAAATCTACGCATGTGCTACGAGTGTGCTGATCTGGACTGGACAACCCGGAAGCGATTTGCAAGCGCTAAAGGTCGGGCCTCCGAACAAGTACTTCTTCACTGGGGAGGACGACGACATCACTCGTGCAATGAAGTTCCTCGAAACCGGATGGTTTTCGAGGCGCTGGGTAGTCCAAGAGGTTATGCATGCACGCGAAGCCTACATTATCTCCGGTAATGGTACAATGCAGTGGCATCAATTACGTTCCCTTATCAAAATCCTTGAGAAAGCAACTGTCTACAAAGCGTTGACGCCGCACATTATTGCAATGTTGCACCACTTGAGCAATCTCACCGCAGCACGAAACACAGACTCAGAGGACTCGTCTCCATGCAGCGAAAATACTACTGGTCCCCGAACGGATGATACCGTAGCTCACGCAGAGAGTATGGCGACACTCTTGACACGGTACTCTGTTACCGAATGTGCAGATGGCCGCGACAGGATATACGCACTGAGAAGTCTCAGTTCGACCTCCATTCCAGTTGACTATGAAGTATCAACGAATGAGCTATATTCTCGTTTGAGCCAGAACGAAGTGGTCCGATATCCAATGGCCATCATGAGCTGTGCTGGGGCCTTCGGTGTATTCGCAGCCTCTTGGATCCCGGACTGGAGATTGCCCATGCGACACAGCCCTTTTCAGTCTTCTCTCAAGATGCAATACCCGACATTGCCAGGAGAAGGGGTATTGGTTAGCGTTACGAAAACTTTGCTCACGATACGAGCCACCTTTGCTGGCGTCATCAGCAGTGTTGTAGATCTTCCAGGTTACCACCCAAGTCGCAATTACGAACGAGAAGACCAGACCCTGTACAAATGGGGCCATTATTTCGCCCAATATCACAAAATCGCGATGTCGGAGCTGAAATTGATGGATGAAGTGGTCTTCTGTTGTACTCTGAGAGCGATACTTATTGAAGATCTGGCGAACTCTCAACCCTCTTCCTATGTACAAGAGTCACCATTACTCGGTGAAGAGATAATCCGCTGTTGGCCCGAAAAGTACAACACGCACACACCTCAAGATGAAGCGATGCTAGTGAAAGCAAGAGACATGGGACTCATTCACACAAGGAGAGGCCGCTCATGCTTCTTTACCGACGCAGGGCAGTTCGGGTTAGGACCGGACTCAATACAAGTTGGCGATTGCGTTGTGAGCATGCCAGGGTGCGACTCCATGATGGCACTGCGTCCGGTCAAGATTGAGCAGAATATCGAGCCGATGCATGGAGACATCGGATCATCTCAGTATCCAGCTATGACGGTTGTCGGTGACTGCTGGATACCTGAACTTATCAAAGCTAATAGACAAGATGCTACATCTAATCTTCGCACATTCCACATCGTGTAAAAGGAAAAGGCCTTGCAGTTTGTGTGCGTACTTTTCTTGACGGGAGTCCTGCACTAGCTAACAAAGACGCAGCGGTGATAACATGCTCATTTCAGAAGCGCCATCATTCATCCCCCGTATATGAAACGAAGCCACCTTAGCGAGCCTCTCGTTCATCACCAACCACTTGGTCGCCCGCTTCCTCAACATACTCCTCGCCCTCACGATATTCGGTTTCATCGTCCATGGCTTCCGCGTTCCCCGCATTTCCCTGCGGTCTCGCCCGACGTGGTCGACTGACAAACATCGCCCCTCTTTGCGGTGTGTATGGATTATTTGGCGCTCGAGTAATCACAGGTGTGCGATGTGGCCCATTCCGTATCGGCACTGGCCATACGTCTCTTGCACGCGCCTCACACCCTGGTTGGTCCCTACACATGCCCATCAAACCTACACCTTGCCTTCCCTCATCACGCGGAGGCGGACGAGTATAACCCATAGGCGCGGGCTCTCGGTATTCGAAACCACCATAACCTTGACCCATTCCACCAAAATGTTGGTTGAGATGATGATTGTGCTGGAACTGCTGGGGCCTTGGAGCTGGCGCGGTTGTATAGTACTCATCCTCAGAAGGTGTATTCCAAGCCGAAGCGGCAAACGGATCGGGCCGTCTTGGACGTTCGTATGCATGATAACGCGGTCCTGATCGGGCTGCAGGCATTCCAAGCGGGGCTGGTGAAGTAATCAATGTACTGAGGCCTGCCATCTTCTTTGCCCAGGAATGCACAACATCCAGTTCACGAAGGAAGTTGTGGAGCTCGGATTGCTCGATGAGGACGTATGTTGACCGCATGTTGGATGATGTTGTCTTAAGAGCTTTAGGAAAGTACATAAATATAGTGAAACCTTCTGCTCGGGCTGATTGCAGTGAGACGAAAGGACTTCTTATATACACGTCCAAAAAAATGCGCTGGTCTAAAATGCTGCGCTCGTAGGCCACGTCTACTGATTGTGTACTCTGGGAGTGAAAACAAATGCATCGCTGAGTGTTTGGCGAGCATGCGGAATTTGTTTGGCATTGCATATTAGAGCTGTTCGCTACATTGCACTATACAGTCATGATCAACACGCATACTCGCTAAAACTCGCGAAGCCATTATCTAACAGACTCATTCGATCATCGCAAGTACCTAATACAGCTGCACCACGCCATATCCTCCCATGTCACTCAACCACTCCATCCATTCCAACGCCTACGCCTACCTTCCCTCCCACTCTCTCATCTCAACTGACTCTCCCATATCACAAAAAACCTGAAAACCAATACAACCACAACAGGCAGCCAAAAAGCTATCAAACGCCTATCCACATTCGAAAACCGCGTCACATGCTCTACATCATGTAGCTGATTTGGATGTAGATAATCCTGGGTAAACACTAGCATGCGCGAGATGATATAGTAGGAAATAGAACCAGCAAGGCTGATCGCGAACGCGACTTCAAGCAAAGAGAGGGTGATTACGAGAGGCAGGAGAAAGAGGGGTGGTTGGGCGCGTTGGTTGGGCATTGTGCTAAATAGAGCACGATAGTTTCAGATAATGTTAGTCAATCTGCGGAAGACGAGGATGGAACACACGGCAGAACAAGATGTGATGGATGTTTTATCAAGTATTTCCTAGTCTATTTGCTCCTCCCCGGTTTCTGTGTTGATGATAGCGCCCTTTACATCAAGCGGCCGCGGTGATAATGTTGATGATGATGAACATGCAACTCCGTTCGCGTCGCTTAGCCGCAAAGCTGCAAACGCTACTAACGATGATGCAGCCCGTGAAATGTGTGATGGTAATGTCGTCGAACGCAGAAGTAAACGCAAAAGAGAAGAATGAAGGAAAATGAAGAAAAGAAAACGCCGTGCTTTGTTCCTCCGTGAACTGTTTCCGCACAGTGTGGTATCGTAATGCGATTGACCAAATGCCTTGCTGTGTTCTTCTGTGAACCGCTTCCACCCAGTGTGGTAATGTGAAGCAGATAATCAAACGCCGTATGCAAAGAGTAAAAGTGTATCCAGACGCCAGTCGAGATATCCTGTGGCCAAACACCGAGTGCAAAGACCGCGAGGTATCCAGACACCGATCGGGATGTCCTGTAGTCAAACGCCAGTAGTATGAGAGAGGTGTGTCGGCCTGCTATGAGGGTGTCCAAGCATGCCTCGACCGGATATGGTGCTGTAGTTTCAGGACTAGTTGTCGGAGGTGTATGATTTCGCAGGTGAATAGCCGGGGTAAGGGCCAGCATTCTGCATCTGCCAGAGCAACTCCGCAGATTGCTCGCTCATATGAGCTTCTTCCTCATCCTGCTTGGATGCCAGGTAGCTTGTGAGCTCAGACGTGAGCCTCTGCTCGTCTGGACCCTTTGTGTCGTCGGTGACCGTAGCCTGGCGGCGCAAGTTGAGCTCATAGGGGTAGTTCGCCATGAACTCCTGGGTCGCGGTTCCGTTCTCAATGTCTGCCATCGTGACGCCCATATGCTGAGATTGGGGAACAGGTGGTTGCGCTACATGCTGTTTGATGGCTACCTCAGCGCGAGGCGCTGTCTGCTCAGCCTGGGTGAGATTGACGACCTCTTTGGCGGCAGTGCCTGAAATGGGAGTCGGAAGGGCCTTTCGGGGACGGCCTCGAGGCTTCTTGGGCTGCTGCTCTGTAGCTGGCTGTGAAACCTTGGCTGCCTTGGTGGCAGGAGCTGCCTCACTGTCGTCAGAACGAGGTCGCTTCAGCTGAGGCGCCGGCTGTGTTTGCTGAATACGTTGCGGCTGCGGCTCCTGATGTTGCTGTACTTCTGGAGATTGCTGCATACGCTGAGGCTGTTGCGCGAGCTGTTGCGGCTTCGACACCTGCTGTAGCTGCCCGGCTAGTTGATGCTGCTGCGTTTGTTGCATTCTCTGCTGATGCAGCTGCTGCGCAGTTTGCATCTTCTGATTGTAGACATTGCGAATGTGCTGCTTTTGCTGCAGTTCCGGCACCTGTCTAAATCGTTGCGACTGCTCAGGACTAAGCGAGTTGAGGAATTGCTGCACGAAGTTGTTGAAGTGTGCCTGTTGTACTGCCTGTTCCTTTGCCTGTTGTTGTGCCAGATGCTGCTCGTGCGCCTTCTGAATCAACTGCCGTTCACGTTGCACTAGCGCGTTTTTGACGATCTCGTGTTGCTTCTTGCTAGGTAACTGGTTGAACTGCTGCTTTGCCTGCGGGCTCAACCTTTGAAAGTAGTCGGTTGCAAACACAAGGAACTTGCGGTGCTGGCGCGCCTGAATCTCCTCGCGACGGGGAGATTGAGCTTGCATAGTGGTCGAGCGCGGCTGCGATAGAGTCGACATCGCCTGACGGTGCATGTACTCGGCCATCATCTGCGGACTCATCTGCTGGCGCGTCTGAGTCTCGTCGCGGGTGGCAGAGCTCGCTTGCATACTGTTCGAGCGCGGCTGTGACAGAGCCGACATCGCCTGGCGTTGCGTATACTCAGCCATCATCTGCGGGCTCCTCTTAGGGGTCGGCAACTGCGCTTGAAGAGGAAAGACCATCGACGGATCGTACGGTGACTGAGTCTGATGGCGACCGAGTGCGCCCTGTGGTGTTTGCGGGCTGCTGACATAGCTATTCACCGAATCGCGCCTGGCGCTGTCGTCGTTTGCCGCCATGGTGGGCGACTGTTGTAGGCGGAAAGGGTGAAAGAAGTGGGTGACAGAGATGCAAGTTGAGGGTGAAAATACTCAAATTGTGGGTTGTGATGGCCAAAGCAGTGGGTTGTGAGTGTTCAAGATGAAGGTAAATGACAAGTTGGGGGGAGCCAGACTCTACACTGCCTCTGTGTGCGCATTACCAGGCTTACATAACCGAGCGGAGCGATAGATATTGCGAGAACAGGTGACTCAAGAGGCCGACCGGCCACAATAGAAGCGAAAGGACAAGTGAGAGTGAGAGAGAATAGCAATGGCTGTGCTGCTACTGGCTGCCCGATAGTCGTCGACCATGGATTCAGGGTCCAACGGCCAAGTTCCTTGACTTCGATATCCAATGAGTTTGACAGCGTACGGAAAGTTGGAGAAATAATTAGTCGCAAAGAGACCTACATAAACGGTTTTGCAAGACTCGCGGTGCCAACGATATCGATGTTGAGCTAGTATGCGGGAAGGTGAGTGGGGGAGCACAGGCCCCGAAGTGACTAGAGGGAACTGCGCGGGGGTTCGCCCAGGGACGGATAGCAATGCAGGCACGTTTGTCAGTACATGCTGTACCGAATCCAAGGGTCTTAACAAGTGGGTAGCTCTTGCACATCATTCCAATATTCTTGTACCTTTGCTAGTGCGCCAAAAAGCCACAAAGATGCCGCGATGTTTTACACACGCCTGCAGCCCCCAAAGCGCCCAAAATAGGTAAATCAAACAAAGTGTGCTCGCCCCGCCCTGTGTGACAGTGATCAATATGACATCTTCAGACTTCTAGTCCGAACCATGGTTGGACCCGAGTCTTGAACGTGAACCAGCGTCTATACGTAGCCTGCCAACACGCGTCAGCCTACAGTGCCCCAAACTCCTCCCATGCTGAGAGAGCTGTCATATAATACCTTTCCTGGCGCCCTGGAAAAAGAAGCGGACAATGAAGACCTGCAGTCCTGCCATAGTCATGATCAAGCCCGACTCCATCAAACTGAAGTTGAATATCCTCTTCTCGGTGCTCTTGACGGTGCTGAAGTTGCGGTTCTCGCGCGTGCGGAAGTACTTCTGGTTGCGGGAGATGGTAGAGAGTTGCGCAGAGAGCTTGAGGATGGATTCTTCGAGGACCGAGGTCTGCTCGGGGGATGAGCCCTGCTTGGATGGGATTTTGGCGCGGGCGGCTTCGTTCTCAACCTGTAAGAATACGGAGTCAGCGTTATGTTTCGGCGGCGTCTGGAGAAATGGGGCGAGCTGGTACGTACGGCGATCTCGAAATCAACCATCTTCTCGGCGAAAGTGCTCATCTCATTGTTGAAGCAGAAGCGGTATTCGCCCACGTCAAGCGCTGTGAAGACAAAATCGCCCTGTCGCTCCTTGGTGCCGTCGAGAATGACTTTGTCTGTGGGGCCGACAACCGAGTAGTCGACATCGAAAGAGCCTCCGGATTGCACCTGTTCACACGCTCGTCAGCTCGATTGTCTTGGGCTCCTACTGCTACTGTATAACTAAGTGGCTTTAAACAGCGGAAAAGCAATTGCGCATAGATCTTCCGATCGAGACACATACTGCAAAGTAGAAGGCCAGCTTGGTCCCCTTGTTCTCAACAGTCGCGAAGAAGCATGCTTTCTCGTGTGCTTCTAATCGGTAGGTGAGGGCGGTGGCATACACAGCTGTAGTATATGCCAGCAATGCGCTGAAGAGGGTGAGGAGTGACCGCATCGTGTTCGTTGGCGTGGACGACTGCGTTTGTTGATGCGTGCTCGTGTGCTGGAAGTTACAGCTGTCGACATCGAACGTCGGCGCTAGTTTTTGCCGACGCACCGCATGCAGGGAGGGAAGCCGCGGGGAACTAGCCACCAGCCAATGAAGATCAAGGCGGCCGCGGACAGGTAGCGCGAAATGCAGATCCTCGACGCGTAGTCAAGTTACACTCGTGACATGAAAGCAGAATGATGATATCTTTGAGACTAATCTACATTGCTTACTTACTGATCCAGAATGGTACGCCGTGATCATTCGCCCGACGCCTGCGCCAACCTCCCCACACACACTACTCCACCTATGCAATACTTGCGATATTTCAAGCTCCATTGCGCCATGTATGTTGGAGTGTGCGCAACCAACGCTTTATTGCCACTCCCTATGAAATGCTGGCAAAACTTCGCGGGCAATCTCATGCCAATTGTGCCCGTACCGAGTTATGTCGCGCACCGTGCTTTTCTTCGTATCTTACACAATTATTGTGCTTCTTCAACGGATGAAGATGGAATCAGTCTTCCCCCAAAGCGTCTTTGTCTTCGCGGGGTGCTCAAGACCAAGTGATACGTCATCACGCGTGCCTACCAAGTCCCAAAGTACTTCATCTGTGACGTCGTCAGTGGTGCAATATCACCATTACTAAAAGTAGCTTACCGTCATCGATTGGCTCAGGTTTTGCGTATTGACCCTTGCCGACAAGAGAGAACTTGATCTTGTCCAATTGCTTTCCCTTGATCTTGGTGAAGTCTGAAAGTCGCTGTTTTGTTTCGCTGAAAGGCTCACCCTGATGTATGTTAGTGCAAATGAAAGAGGGATGCTGATGGCAGCGCGTACCTCTTTCAACGCAAACTGGAACGGGATGCCGTGTGCCTTCGATGGCTCCCTGTCAAAGTGGAAGACCGAAATCTTCTTCGATGCGTCGTCTTCGGGGTAAGGCGCAGCGAAGATTGATGTGTAGTCGTATAGGCTCATGACCGAGTGATCTGGCGGGAGGACCCTGTGGAACTTATTCACGTGTGCCTCGTAAACCCGCACCTTCTGCATCACTTCGTCGTTGATGCCTGCTTTCTTTTGCAGCGCTTCAAGGAGATCCGCAACTTGGGCGTTCTTGGGTACCATCAAAACGTGCTCCTCCTGTATCACGTTAGTTCGAAGTAACAAAAATGACTGGGTTCAACTAACCTCTTTGCTGAGACCCTCAGGGAGCCAGATCACCTTGACAGGCTTCCTCAGCTCTAACTCCTTCAGACTCATATCCAAGACCTCGTAAAACATGGCATCGTTTCGCTGATTTGCGCTTGCCGAATAGTTGTATGGGCCAGGGAAGAGGATGTTGTTCAGAGTTGACGTGGGGTTGTACTTGACAGCGTTCTTAGGCTTGCCAGCAGTGCTAACCGTCGAGAAGCGGATATAGCTAGAGTCGGTTTTGAGGAATTCGGCTACCTTGCTGGAGAATTGGTCGTACGCCATCTTTTTGCTGAGAGTCAAGGAAAACGTGGGTAAATCTGTATCTGGCAGCTTAGGCACAAACTCGATGCTAACTCTGTTCAGGAGGTAGTCGTAAAATTCCTTTGCATCAGTGTAGCCTCCCGCAGTGGTTATTTGGGCGGTCTCCTTGTCGTTCAGTACGCGCTGGACTGTGATGATGTCGCCATCTTGTATCTCCGAGGCTGCCAGCGTAATCTTTGGCTTCATCGCTTCGATCATGTTCTGTTTGATCTCCTCGGAAAGCTTGATCTGCGTACCCGCCGGCCAGCCTAGCATCTTCGTGATTGCCGGAGTTAGATCAGAAACCTTGTCTTGGAAACCGGCGTAGAACGTGCCCACACCGAATAGACTCTGCTCGTTTGCGTCAAAGTGCTTCAAGAAGATCATCAATGGGCGGTTGTTAGCCTGACCCTTGAGGTCCACTAGCTTCTCGCCGAACACAGCCGCGCCGCTTTCATCGCGTTCTTGGGCTTTCTCGATCCACATTCTGAACTGCGACTGCTTCGTGCCATGCTTGCTGGCAGCCTCTTCGACGGTCATCTCCGGGAATTCGAGGGCGGTATCGGGGCGGATGGTGCCGTTTTGCCTATTAACCATCGACCATGGCCGCAACATGTCAGCTTCAGTTCCTAGATCTTGAGCAACCGTGACCGCAAAGTCGGCCATCGTCGTGCTTCGGAGAACGCGGTAGATCCTTGGGCTAGCAGGTGTCTCTGCGTCGCTTTTCCATGGGACGATGTCAAATCCTTGGTGGGCCTTGAACTGTTCATCTGACGCGACTGCAACGTCCATGTAGAGATGAGCTTCTTCGCGTTCTTTCTTCCTGCGCTCAAACAACGCACGTTCTTCGGCCAGTCGTTCCGCCAAATGCTTCGGTGGTTCTACGGCCTTGCTGTCTATGAGAACTTGATCAAGCCTCGTCTCCCTGATGTATACCAACATGTAGGCGCTCATTGAGCGTTTTGCAGACCAGGCCCTGGTGTAGGGATTACGTTGGCCAGTGTTCCCGTTGGCCTGGGCGTAGTCACCACCAAAGTTTTCTTCCAGCGCCTCGCGTATTGTCGCTCTGGTCACACGGTCGTCGTCGAATTTGTAATAGTGGCCGTCTTTCGTTGGTTTCAGGAAAGCGTAATAGTGGCCAGCGTTGAGATCACCGCTGTGAACCAAGACGCCGTGGAGGTGGTATATCCAGGATTCGGATCGATCGGCTCCCTCGGAGAGATATGGCGCGGCGTCCCAGACTTCGGGAAATTCGTAACGGTCGTTCACCTTCATCATGGCATCGCGCGTAAAGTCGTATTCGAAGCGCTTGAGCTGGAGATGTAGCACCGGCGGAAAACTTTCGAAGATGACACCCTTCTTAGCGTCTTGCAATCCAAAACCCTCTGCAAAATACTTGTTTTCGCCATCCATGGTCTCCACCTGCACGTAGTCTTTGAAGCTGTCGTCCAGGTTCTTGTTCCCGCTCACGTTCAATTGTATGTCCCAGAAATCCTCAACCCTGGACGATTCGTAGTCGACGTTGATACATGATATGTAGGTCTTCATCTTACCAACGAACATGTTGGTCAAGGCACCCTCGGCTTCAGTGCCCTTCATCCTCTCATCGAGCTTGTCCATGAGCACACGGGACAATTCCTGTACGTCCTGCTGTTCGAAAATCTGCTTCGAGTCCCAACCAAATGAGTGTGTCAGCTCTGTGGTTCCTACGGCGTTGTTTGATGTTTGGAGAAGGTAGAAGAGTCGTTGTAGGGCGTAGGCGCTATTCGAGCGATCGGCTTCCTCCGCAGTCGGGATCTGGTAAACAGCCTGGAGGAGTCAGCTGTAGTTCTGTGTGTTGAATTTCGTGGCATACCTGGCGGAAAGCATTGGTAAAGAAAAGCGACTGCAAGAGCGAGTTCAAATAGCATGTTGCGCCTTGGTTCTTCAACCCGACCATGCCAGTCTCTTTCTTGGAATCGTAGCTTTACAAGTCAGAAAACAGCATCGGCAAGACTCAATGTCCGTGAAACTCACTTGATGAAGTTGTGCCATAACACTCCGGTGGGGTCTTTGAGCACTCTTATGTATGCAGTTACATTGGCCGCGTTGTCTTCTACCATTGGCCGTCCCCGGTCCTCCCAGGAATTGCTGAAGAGCTTTCTGAGCTCTGCAAAGCGTGTGAAGCCCCAGTCGCCTTCGTCGGCAGTAAAGCGGTGGTGTGCAGTGTGTGTGGTGAATATGGTAGGGTCCTTGGGGTTCCAGAGTACAAGCATGAACTCGACACATGCATACCAATCCTCTGGCATTTGCTTCTCTTCATAGGCCTGTTCTAGGTAGAAAGATGCAAAGTCGACATTGTTGCCGTACGGGAAAAATAGTATCCGCCAGGGATGACCGCCGCACTCGAAGATTGGGCCATGTTCACGTCGTGTGAGCTGGCGCCAGTCCCTGATCTCCCATGTGTTATATACTTCGGCCTCGGTCTCGTATTCCGGGTTCTTGGGCATGTGTCTCTTCATAAAGGCATCGTACTCGTCGGCGCGGGGCTCGGGGTCGGCGTCGACCTCGTCCATTTGGTCGTCTGCGTCGGGCGTGATTATGGCCACGTCGGCCTTCTCGTCGTACTCGTGGTCCACGAGCATGTCGCTTTCGATCTGGGTGGGTGAGTGGGTCAGCGTGGCCGCGTCTGGCGAGAACCTGGCGAAGGCGCAAGCTTACCTGATCCATGGCGGCGTCGTCTTTCCGGCAGGTGCGGATGGAAGCGGGGGCAGATTGTGAGAAGGAGATCCAGAAATCGGTCGCGAGGGCAGTCACGACTGGGTGCGCTCGACACTAAAAGGTGAAAACGGAAGCTGCGCGCCTGTCGCCTAGAGAAAGGAAGGTACGGGTGGGCAGCACTTGCGCGGGCGGGATGCGGGTAAGGATAGGTTCCTCGCTAAAGGTGGCGTCAGTGGAGATATGACGATCGGATTATTGTCGTCTTGAAAACTCCAACATCGAGCATGTGCAAGGGGGAGGTGGACAGTGAGGGCGCACAAAGACAAAAGCTGGGAGCAGCTCTCGAGGCTCAGAACAGCAGCTCTCTTTCGACGGATGCAGCCTTGGCGCTCGATATAGTGGAGTGCGTCAAAGCAAAGCCGCGGCCTAGGTACGTCATTCGTCCAACATCACATACTGGCAAGCGACATGCCACGCGCATATTGCGAGCTACAAACCTTCACCCAGCATGTTTGCCATCATGCGTGATATGACTGGTGGTGCCATGAAATGCGCGTCCCTCTGCTTTTGCGACCAATAGTTAGAGGTTGTGAGTGAAATTCCCAAAAGTTGCGCCGGTGAGCGGAGCCCGCCGTCACATGCCCCGTATTTTGCTACAGCTCCCTCAGCGAGCTCCTCCACATGTGCGCTCTCGCACCAGCAATTATGAGTATAGGAACACGTACTCTTGCGTCGTGCGCGCGACGTTCTGATATCCTCCGTAGAGCGTCTCCAGCATCGCCTGCCTCTAGGGTACAAATTCGACATCCACATGCCGCAGCCGTCGCTCCCGCATGGAGACCGTCTTCGGCCTTGGACGAGTGAGCAGATAAGGAAATGCTCCTGTCGACATCCACAGCTGACATATGACTAGATGGGTGCTGCGTGAAGCCAGACCCATAAGCCTGCGCCAGTTGACTTTCTTTGGAAGAACCTTGACAGAGTCTCGTCTGATCGATTCGGCCAACTACTGCCGTCTGGAGCTCCCCACGAGGTGTGATCTTGGTATCCGACAAACGGAAGTACAAGTGCTGAACACGTGTAGACTTGCGCACCGCCTGCGTGATATCCAGACTCTACCATACGTCGTCGTCGCGAACCCTCATCTTGCTCATGTCTACGAGTCGTACCTACGCGCCTTCGAACGCTTCCGCCGCGTGCCCGAGATAAAATCGCTGGAAGATAACGAGAAGTACTGCAAGGTGCTAGAAGAGACGTTGACCGAACATGCGACTGTCATACCCCGCCTCGCCATTGGTGTTCTCGAAGTTCGAGGCTTGATGAAGGCTGAGGAGACAGACAAGTTCATGACTACCATGCTACGATCGGTATGATTCCCGTATATCCATACTGTTGGGCAATGTTAACCAATGCAGCGCATCTCGCGACGCGTCATTGCCGAACAACATCTAGCACTGACCGAGACTTTCGATTCCCCATGGCATTTCCCACAGGCTGAAGTCCATCCACACGACCAAGAGGCGGTCGGCGAGATATTCCTGCGATGCAATGCGAAGGAGATAGTCGAGAATTGTGGCAAGACGATGCAGGAACTCATCAGGACCGCTCAGGGTCCACATGTCGAAATTCCTGAGATCAAGGTCTACGGTCACCTTGACGCGACGTTTCCGTACATCTTGAGTCATCTCGAATATATCATCGGCGAGCTCTTACGCAACTCTATTCAGGCTGTCATCGAGGAGCGCAAGTCGAAAGACGCCAAGCTGCCGCCTATTGAGGTATTGATCTGCGAAACTTCGCAGCACGTTATTATCCGGATTTCTGACCAGGGTGGTGGCATCCCGAACGAAGTCTTGCCATACCTGTGGAGCTTCAGCAAGGGTCCTAGGCGTGAAAAGAGGCTGCGAAATTTGGCGAGGGTCCCAAAACTACTAGGAACATTGCAGGAGTTGCAGGTGCCCGGAGGTGAATCTGCAGCACAGGTGCAGCAACGTCTAGATAGAAGGTCCAAGCACGGCGATTCGGGACTGTATCACGGTTCGCTGTCTTCATTGACAAGCCGCGCACCAGACCTGCGTCTGGGCATTGGACTTCCCATGTCGCGACTATATGCTGGTAGGTATTTCATGACAATGGTGGGGCTGCGCGTAGCTAACAGTCTTGCAGAATACTGGGCTGGCAGTCTCGAGATCCACAGTCTTGAAGGCTATGGCGTCGATGCCTTTCTTCAAATTTCGAAGCTTGGCAACAAAAACGAACGACTGACTACACGAGCCTCAATGGACGCCATATAAGTGGTGTACAAGGGAGAATGTTGCGGTTGTCCTGCGCTGTCGTGAGCAGACGCACTCTCTACGCATCACAGTCGCAACACAGTACCGCGGCAGTCGCTTACGAGTACCTCCCCAACACCAACGGAGACGTTTGCCTGGATTGCGCGACCTTCTGTCTGACAACGACGTTACCATCACAATCAGACTCCGCCCAATCACCAGTACGACGTATTCTTCACGAGCATCTCTTACGACAACATGTCTGTAGAACATCTCGTGAGTACACTCGACTGTGCTTGCGAACTCTACTAAGACTCTCAGCTATCGCTACGCACCGGTGTCGGCGCTACTGGCCATGCCCATCCGTCGCCCGTAGCCGATCCTGTCTTATCCGACGATGCAGAACGTCAAGACTTGGAAAGCCTCATAGCTAATGTAGCTTTCGATATCGATTTGTACGGTGATGACTTTCACAAGAATTGTGCTCCATATCACATGCACTATCCCCGCATGAGGAGATCAAATTCCAAGCAGCCAGGTAGGACTAAAACCTTCGAGCATATTTCGGTGCATTGCTGATGCTCAACAGCGACGGATGTCGATTATCTCGACGTGATCATGTGTTGGAAAGGCATATCGACGGCCCAAGCTGTCGAGCTCACGATATGGGAACGCCTTTTTCAGCAATGTCTGGTCTCACACTTCGAGAGTCACATGCGGCGAAACATTGTTGCTGGACTGAGCGCTTTTCGAGGTACGACCCCCATTCCAGACTGTTTCAGACATCGCACGGCAGCAGCAACTCACACAAGGAAAACACTGAACATTTTGGAGCCTACATTGTCGCCAGATCTTCCAATTTGCTTGTTTTATCATAGTTGCGTTTGCTGATTGAGTCGCAGATCACATTGACGAGGACGAGCTCTGGCCTTGCTTGACACAGATCCTGCCCACCGACCACAAGCGTCTTGTTCGCATCGATCTTCCTGATCTCATCCACAACATGATCGATGCTCTCTACGATGAACTTCACAGTGAAACCGTCGCAACAAACATGAGATGGTCGCTCGGATTTGGTGATTTACCAAATTTTGTCTTTAACTACATAATGACGCACGATTACTTGCTACGCTTTTCAGACGGACTATACCTATCGGTCGAGATCTTTATCGCCTGGAAAACGATGCCTGTGCTCGCTATCGTCGCTGCCGTCGTCTCGCAACCACCTAATGTCGATATCTGGCGTATGCACTTCGGGTCAAAAGACCGGGACGCCGTTGTTCTCTACTTTGAACGCATCTTCAGCGTATTAGGATCTTCGAGCTATGAATACTTCCCCGAGGATGTCGTATGCGAAGTGAAGGAACACAGAGCGAAGGTACGATAATCCAGAGCCTACGTTGACGTCAGATCGTCTACTTTGCATCATCTCATCTTGATCTCGGCTGCAAACCTGTTCAGTTTTTGCATTACTCGCTAGAAAGCAATTGCGGTCGTTTGCTAGACTCTTACTGACAGGAAGGCTAGGTAGACACATCGAGAGTGTCAGAGACAATCGTTCAAGCGAAAACGATCACACAATTCCCGGATGACGTACGTTTCGAACGTGTATCGCGATATGCCGTCAAGGGTGAGGTTATGGACATTCGACGAGTCGATGCAACGCCAGACAACCACACACCACAGCAAAAGGAATTGCAGACGCCCTGGGTTCCGTCGTACACCAGTACGCCACTGTCCAAGACTCGCCGTCGAAAAGCACCTGTTTCGCCTGTATATGATTATTTGAGGAGTGCAAGTGCATAGTTTGGACGACATTCTAATAAGAGCCCTGATGAAAAAGCGGACTTCTTAGCCACATCGATTACGGATGCATTCATGCTGTCTGATCCTGATCTGCCAGCCGGGTCGCCAAAGAAACGAAAGGCCTCGTTGCGCTCCACGAGCTTTGACGGAACATCCACCTTGCAGTCAGCAGACCATGAGTCAAACGCCTATCTCAAACGTCAGAGGCTGGAGTCTTCTGGTGATATCCACCTGCCCACGACGTCTACGTCTACCGAGGTCATTGCGCTGCAAAAGAAGTTGGCCGCAATTGCGCAAGACGTTGATGCTATGTGCAAACGACTCAACCCGCCTATTAAACACGTGTACAGCAATGGTTCTGATGTGTTGCGGTACAGTGAGGATATTGTGCGTCGTTTAAGGGAAGCAGTCGCTTCGTCACATCCCTCGGTCTCAACAGTATTTGCCACCGATTTACTGCAGCAACAGGGCGAGGACCGACAGAAATCTCTGATAGGCAAAGGGAAGACAGTCGTTCTACCTCCTACACCAGCCCTGGAACAATACGACTCACTACTCCCCCGATCATCTTCGCCAATCTGCCTCACTAGCGAACCTGACGACAGCGACGCTATTTCTCCTAACTCGGCCATCAATGTTAGCAGTCTCGGTGCTCAGCAGCCCGGCCACGGTGGTAGCGCAAACCGCCGCCGTCATTTGACCGAGCTGTCTCAAGACGAGATTCAGAAAAACTACCGCGAGTTCGAGGCGGTTGCTCAACGCAGAATGACGGATCCCACGTACGCGCCTGTCAACGATGTGGGTGAAATGAACTTTGAACATATTTTTCTGGGGGACAGCGAGATTGAGGATCTGAGCTTGGGCGATATCGATGGTTTAAGTGAGGAGATGAGTGGGTTGGACATGGGTGAGAACTAAGTTGGTAGATTGGGTTATTGACCGTGGCGTGTATTCTACGCTTGGACTGGTTTATTGATCATTGCTTTGAGTTGATGCTTGGATTGGTTTATCCGTAGCACAATCGTAGTATCAACAACTGCGTATTCCTTGAGCTGCGTTCTCGTCGAGTGATAAGACTAGGCATTGACTGCGTTTAATACTACTATGTTGGCACAGCAAAACACCGCACACAACTTCACGGTCGTTCCTATCTGCATTGCTCAAATGGACTCATACGAGTTCCAAATCTTTCTCGTTCGATCTAGCACTGACAACGAGTAGCAAACGCGTACGAACGAAGCTTCGTCTCCGCGCTATGAGAAAGTGCTGTTCAAGCCCACCAAACATGGAACGAACGCCTTCTCGGCAGTATATGTACATGCTGCATCAGTCATTTTTCCCTACTGATTCTTCTGCTGCGATCATGGCTATCCATTATTTCGAAGACCAATCTTGGCTCAACTTGCTACTGCTCACCTTACCCATCGTTGTACCTCTTTCGATCTCATTCTACTTCGTTATGACGGAGCAGCCGAGACCAAGAAGGCACGTTCACACCCTTCCATCCCATAATGATGCCAGCAACTCGTGCGAACGTCTGAAGCGTGTTATTGGTCCTGTGCTTGCCCACCTCGATACGTTAGATCCACCTGTACGAAGACGCCAAATCGCCCGCCCAACCTCTCCGCTACCATTCGTAGATGCGGTGTACATGCCTGATCCACGCCGCAATTCAAGAGCTGAAACACGTTGGGGCAGCGAACACGATCTTGTTCATCGCGAATACATTCGTCAATTGAGGAACAGAAGGTCGCAATACCAAGACTTCGGGCCTAGCGAGGTAGTACCGATACAAGAACCAATTGTCCCCGAAATCGTCGCGTCACACCAAGACCCTTGGATTCCAGATAATTTCGGACTACCTGACGCTGCGGACGAAGAATTTCCATCTCCAGATGAACATACCTTTGTACTAGTAGATCGCAGTCGCAACTCTTCATGGGAAGTTGTGTCTGATACCGAAGAGCGCCAGCGGCAGCATGTTAAATCTAATCTACGTGGCGGTAGTGGAGACGAGCCAGTAGCGCTGAAGCCCATCTTCGCTCGCATGACTGAGGAAGAGCTTCGCGAACATATTCGCAGGAATCGTGCTGAGACGTTGGCGATGCTGCAGTATCATAGTGATGCTGCGGTGCGGGCGCGCAAGAGGGACGGCTCGCCGGTAGACGGGCCGTGATGATGATCAGGGTTGAGAGGTTGTTGGTGGGGTGGCCGACTGTCTCGTCGCGTACTGAATGAGCGCAGGAAGCGAAAGTGGTTGATTGTCACCTAGCGTTTCTAGGCAGCTTGTTTTTGAGATGAGGCATTGCAGTCAATGGTTTTGAGGTTCCACTTGATCAATCGGAAGCACTACGGTGATATTCTCTCGGGGACTGCAGGTCTGTGGCACAGTACATAGTATGTGCTGCACCTCCGGTTCCTATAAGTATCGATACGCATGCACGTTGTGGAATATATAGTACTTGAAATCGTTTCATGCCGCCTTGTTTGAGAGCATATGCTATACTGCGATCCAAATTTGGCAACACACCAATGATAAAATGCCTTCTTCGTCACGCCCTGCCCCACTTGACGTCATAGGTACCTTACTTCCTCCGCACCCTTCTTTGCACAATGGACGGTGTCTCATCTGTCATTCCTTCGGATATCTCCACGTTTACTACGTCAAATCCGAACACACTTGGGACACGGTCGTTGAATCAGCTCAGACATGTCTCTATTGCGACGTGATCGTTAGAGGCTGCCGTGGCTGGCTAGATGAAGACGGCAAACAAGATCGGACTCCAAAGAGCCTGCTCCTGCATTTTAGAGATGACAAAGAGTTCTACCAAATCCTGGATCCGTACATGGATGGCCATGTAACTTACAGATACGATGTATCTGACAAGGAAAAGACGAGATCGAACATGAAAGGACTGAGAAGCGTCGAGATGATCTTTGTGTCGACATCCTTACAGATAAGGATATTTGCTGCCGATTGTGGGTAGCCCCAGACGTTGGTGGTCACAGGAGACTAACAAGTCTAGCGTTACCAAACGATAGATTATGGAGCCGATTCGGTGCCTCTCATCGTACTACTGGCTTCACTGGATCGATGGCAGCTTTTCAAAAAGCGAGAACGTTGTTGCAAATGTGTGTTACGACTCATATAGCCTGCGTTAGCGATGATGACCAGCCCCTACCAAGCCGGCTACTTGATCTGAGTTCGCAGGACGCAGACACCGTCAAGCTGGTCGAAACCACTGGGAATATGGAAAGTAAGCCGCTCTTAGTCATTGTTGGGGGACTACCTCACAGTTCACAACTACGAAGGTTACAATTTACGAAAGAAAAGAAAACATTTTCCTCGCACAGTTGACGAACACGTTTCGAGAAGCCGTTCAGGTGGCTCGGGCGTTGAAAATTCGGTATCTTTGGGTAAGACCCTCGTTCACGATCAATGTTTTGGACATCTGCTGGCTGTGTATACTGACATCACAGATTGATTCGCTATGTATAGTGCAAGACGATCATGATGATTGGGCGCAAGAAGCATCTCGCATGTTGACCGTGTATCGGAATGCGCTGATTACTATCTCAGCGACGTCGTCAAAATCGGGAAATGAAGGTCTGTTTCAAAGATGGTCCGAGTTCGAGACCCGCGTCATCCCGGGAGACGAAGAAGCAGGCACATTCATCTTCAGTGCCGAGCGAGAACACTTCGGCGGGCAGTGGGGGTCTCATAGACAGGAATATCCACTCCTGAGTCGGGCTTGGGCCCTCCAAGAGCGCTTGCTATCTCCCCGTATCCTACATTTTGGACGCAGCGAGTTACACTTTGAGTGCATCGAAGAGTTTCGATGCGAGTGTTCTGGTACCCAAGATTACAGCTGGACAACTTTTATCAAGGAACCAAAGATATATCTGCTTTCGAGGATACTGCTTCGACAAGCCGCAGGAGAGATATGGCAGAGTATACTCAGGCAACATAGTTCGCTGCAGTTGACATATCCAAGTGACAAACTCGTGGCGTTGGGTGGACTCGCGAAGCAACTTGCGGAGCCTGGCGACCAGTATCTAGCAGGACTCTGGAAAAGTAGGATTCTTGAAAACCTTCAATGGGAAATTGCAAGACACGTTGACTTGCATCCAAGGCCGAAATGGAGAGTGCCTTCATGGTCCTGGGCATCTATAGAGGGATCACTCTCTGCAGTCAGCGCCTTCGCTAGAAGTTCTACACCAATGCGGCATGAGTTATCAGCCCAGTTGATCGACTACAAAATAGTCCCAAAGACTAACGACGAGTATGGCGAGATTCAGTCAGGTACAATCCAGCTGCTCGCTCATTGTTCGCTGGTTACATGGAAAGAGAACCCCGAGAAATGCAGATGCGGTAACACGCACTACTACGTTGTCTTCCCCAATGACCAAGAGAGGGACGTCATCACCGATGCCATAGACGAGATAACGCCAATGCACACTACACAAGCTGGACCTGTAGAGACTGTATGCGTCTTGATTTACGAACACCAAAGTCAGCGTACCTCACTTGTTCTCCGGCGATTAAAGTCAGAAAGATATGCCTTCCAGCGTGTAGGACTCACGCGCGACGTTGGCATTAACGGTCCTCTGGAGGATGTATGGAGGCTCTTCCCACGAGAAAGGCGCATAGTGACAATAGTGTAGCTATGTCCATCTTCATGTAAACGTCAAACTGCTTCTGGTTACATTCTCCTCGAAAGTATTGTAACTGCCATGATGCTCGAGTCAGGAAGAAAACGTATCCCCGTCACTGCCTATCGATTCACCAGACCTTAGCGTTGCAGGAAACATGTGGAACAGCCATGTGTTTCAACACCCTTTTTGATGAGAGGAATGCTGAGAGAGGGAACTTGATATGTAAGAAATCAGTTTACGCGCGGTTGCTAGATCTCGTCGTATCTCCTTCTGGTCGCGGTGTCAGTGAGGAGGTTATCACTGCGAACATGAACAACTCGAATCTTCGTCTCGTGGGTGTGAAAGATGCGCGCGTATCAGCGCACGATGTGAAACTCAAACCATTAGCACTGTACTCACATGGTATATCAGCTGGCGTAGCTCATCTTTCTGCTGGTTTGCCTCAAGTATTCCCTCTTCACTTGTTCTCCCCATATATTCTTCCTCATTGCGCCGCAGATCAGAGCAACAGCGCTCAACCACATTAATAACAACTCTTTACCAACAACACACACAAATACCATGATGAGCAATCCCACCAACACCCCTCGCCAACCACTTCCCCCAACTCAAACCCCCAGCCTAATAACATCCTCCCCCCATGCCCTCCAAAAGTTCGAACTCACCGCCCCCATCCTGCGCCTCGACTTTCCCACGCCCGCCGCCCAAGCAACCTTCCACCGCGCCTTCCTTCAAGTCCGCAACGAAAAGGACAAAGCAGCCTTCATGCAACGTTTCTTCGACAACTACGACGGCCAGGTATCTATTCCACGCAGGGTCATCATGGATACGAGTCAAGATGAGGAGGTGGCGAGAAGGCTGCAGGGGAGTTTGCCGGTTGAGGTTGATGCAGGGAGGGATGAGGAGATGGCGAGACGGTTGCAGGGGCAGATGGAGCAGATGGAGAGGGGTGGTTTTGGAGGTGCGGGTCGAGGTTCTCTTAATGGAGGACATGGTAGGATGAATGGACGAAATGACAGCACAAACGGTAGAGGATATGATGTGGGAAGTAGAGGCGTGGCCGTGGACGACGAAGATGAAGCGTACCACGCAGGGAGACGAATCGAGCGTCAGAGGGAGATGCTGGAATGGACGACCGCGGCTGACGAAGCTTACATTGACACTATGGAAAGACTCAGACACCAGTTTAGTCGGGCGGGCCTCCAAGATCTTGGTGCGTATCCTGGACAACCTGGATATGGCAACGCGCCTTCTCAACGACATCCTCGACTACCGCCTCGTCGCTCTGAGAACCAGGTAAATGAATTCGACGGCTATCATGGCAATTTAGGGCATGGCTCTTCAGGATATGGTCAAGGTAACGGAGGGTATAGCTATGGGTATAACCCACGCCGGGATCACTGGGGTCATCGAGGTGGAGGCTATTAGATGAGCGGGCGGTGATAGCAGTTCTTGGGTTTGGGCTCAGCAAATCATGGAAGAAGTCTGCAACAAGCAATTAGGAGATGAAATTGCTAGAGTACCCCCAGTTTTGTCCTAGTGAAAGTGAAAGCGATTTTGACTCGAAGTGTACCTACTAGACGATAGCAATGCTGCTAACGCAAACACCGCCTCCAATCCTCCATTGATGCAGGCCGGTAAATTACCCGCTCGTCAGCCCCAAACGTTAGCGCACGCCCTCTAAAAGGCTCTGGTGAAGTTGACACTACTCTTGGTTGCTTTCCCTTCTCTACCTTGGGCGTGTCTTCGTTTGGCGGCGTGGGAGGTTCTTCGTTCGGGGGTATGGAGTGTTCTTCGTTCATCAGGATGAGACCCTCGCACAACATGCCGACATACTCCGTCTAAGTGTTATGCGTCATTGGCCGCTTGTGTATCTTCCTGACTTTCTGCATCTTGTATCCATTCGCACAGTAATCAAGGAGGTGATCAAGGGGCATTGCGTCGTCCGAGAAGATCTCACCAAGTCTAGACCGAAAGTTATCGCGGTCGATGGGGTCGTTGTGGATGAGGCCGTCTGGTAGACGTTTGCTCAACACGTGAAGAACGAGGGAACAAAAGCAGCGACCGGGGGCGGACTCCTCGTAATTTGACTCTTGTATCCATTTGACAAGGCATGGGACAAAGATCATACGGAGGTCCTCTTCGTTGGGCATACTCCACGGGATTAGGTGTTGGCGAATGTGCAAAGGTGCCAGATCCCGGGGCCCAACCTCGAGCCGTCTCTTCATGAACCTTTCTGTCAGAATCAATCTCAGCCTCTTCGGCTCTATCGCTTTCGGATCAACAGTGGGCCTGTCGATCGGGTTCGGGGATGGAGGTCCTTGCGGCGAATCGCTTCGCATAGGCTCTTTCCGCGTGGACACCTCTCGTGTATTCATTCGAAGTGGAGCGCACCACCAAGATGACCGCAATTTCTCCGAATTTGCCTTCGAGTGATCTATGGGGCAGGAGAACGATCGTGGCCCGAGGGACGGCATGGGCCAATGTGCACTGGAGGTAGCAGGCGTGGTGATAGTTGGCAAACTTCGGCGATGTGGACGTGAGTTAATGGCCATAGTGATAGTATCTGTACTTTGGCTAGTGAGGGTGAGTGTATAACGATAACGCAATATCGATGTTGTGATGTGCTGAAGTGTGACTGTGAGTGGAATGAAAGTGGTGTTTGGGTCAGCAAGGCACGCAACTGCTCTAACCACGTCGATGTTCTTCCGCCCTTTCCATCTTTTGTACCTTCGCTACTCTTTCCTAGCTTTACAATGGAAGGTGCCTTATCCGAACGGGATCATTTCGCACACGATGATTATAGCTTCTACAGCCTCATATTCGCATCCCGTCGTTGTTGACACCGCACATATCTGTTGATAGGCCTTTGTACGATCGTACGAGTTCATAACAATGATGAGGTTCTTGTTGTATGTTGACATGTATTACTACGAACGCGGGCGCTACCAAGGTATACCCAAGCTCGGTATGAGCCGGGCCGAAGTAGGATCGAGGCGGTACATCGGACAGCCTTGGGGAACATGATGTGTGTACCAACACAATCCTCAAGAACCAACCCCAGATCCTGCCTGGACGATCTTTACAGCTGTCTGCAGTAGCAAAAACAAGCATCTGGACTCTTCCTGTAATCAAAATAAGTCTCTGCATCTCTGAATTCTGCGACGTGATACATACAACTGCACTCTGTATACCTGAACTGCACTCGCACCAGGAAAGCAAGCGTCTACACAGCCTCTGTTTTGGCCTACAGAAGGTAATCATCCGTTAGTAAGTGACCAAAGACAAAAGCGCGTACAAGAGATTGCTTACATGCTCGGTTGTCTGCAGTAGAACAGCTCCATTCATCTCTTGGGATCGCGTCTCCACCTTTCAGGCAAAAGTACCTTATCTCGGCAGCGGCGAGCGAGGCAAAAAGCATTGCGGCAACGATAGACAACTTCATGGTGAATGATCTTAGGGTGCTGAGGGGTTTGTGATAGAGTGAATGTAGACTGCTGAGTAGAGAAGTGATTCTGTGAGGCGGTCGATGGGCAGCTTTGTATGCCACGAGCAAGCCACAGTCTTCCGTCTCACCTGTGGTACGCTATACTATTTCAAGGAACTGCTCAGATAGAGTTTGAGCTTCAAATTTGGCCGGGGATCTCCTGGTACGATTTGTAAAATTGGGTGCTTACATTCAAGGGCTTGGATTGTGTGAATCTTGCTACCACCTGCATAAAATTGGTATGGCGCGCTACGGGCTGTAATATTGCCTAGCGCATGAACCAACTATTTTGGATGATTCGGCAAGCTGTAGACTTCGGCCCGTTCTCACCTCTTCTACCAGAAGCCTAGACTACAATCCGGAGTTTGGTCCGTTAATACAGCCCTGGAGTACATGGAATCGTGTCTTCGTGCACGATGTCTGAAATTAGGAAAGCTACCACTCAGCATAGGTAGTCATTGTATGGATAGAACAAGAATCCGCACCTATCTATTGACAGGAAAAGCTATAGTGGCAGCTTTTACTATTCAAGAGTTATCTCAAACAATATTCTTGGAGTGGCTACACCGCCTGAACCGGCTCGTACCGGCTCGTACATTTGATACAGAATACGGCGTCTGGTGATGCTGAGTAGTATCTCCGCCTATCATTCCATTGTCTTGGTGATGCCTAGGTCTTTCCGTAGCAAGGATGACAATGTTGTGGCGGCTGACAAGGACGGCACTCTCAGGCCAGAAACGGCCCGCGACGATCTATTGACCCCTTCTTAATTCTCTCATGTAGATATTCGTCTTCCCTGTACCTAAGAGTCGAGATCATGCCAAGGTTCTTTGTATACAATAAGCGGTGTGATGAGCTCTTCTTGCGCTTAATAGTTCCGTCAATACATTGACAAAGTGTCGATCGTCGTAAACAGCACGCACCTCCCGAGCACATTAGCTATGATACACTTTGACCATCAGGGTTGTCCAGCATGTGTGTTCAAAATGCAGAAAGAGCAACTTGGAGCAAGGGCGGTTGCTGGCATTCAGAACCTCGGGACACGCAGGCGCCATTGTACACGTTGCAGAAACTCCGCAGCCATGACAGGTACACACAGTCTTGTATATCTTCAACGCCTCAACGTCAGATACGGCGGATATCGGTGAGACTCTTTGAGTCTGAGTAACTTTAGAGCACGTGAGCTCCTCCTTAACGTGGTGATCACGATCAACTGGGCCCCTCGATGTAACAGTTCATCAATATTCGTATTCGTACAATGGTATCACTCTTCAAAGCCCATCCACTCGCCTATATCTTCGCCTTCGTCGCTATCAACCATCTCTTCGTCCGATATCCCGTTCTCTATCGCTTTGACCTCGAAGTCAAGCTGAGCTGACTTCTCTTTCTCCTCTGGCGGCTGTGCCAGTAGATACTCGATGCGATAGATGTTCTCATCAGCTAATCTTGCGAGCTCAGCCTGTATCCTGCGAACGGCTTTCTCAACGCTTCTTAGCTCGGCCTCGAGTCCACCTTTGTTGTCCTTCATCCACCGGCCGTGCTTGCTGAGTAGCGACTCGATCCATACTAGGTTGAACTCGAGATGCGGGGACTCGTCGGCTTGAAGGGCGACAAACCGAAGTAACCGACCGAGGTATACTGATGGTAGGTCCTTGACTACTAAAGCGACGTTGCTCACGGGCGTAGCTTCGTATACACGGCGAACGAGGTTGCGCTCGTTTAGACGGAAAGCCATTACTAGTGCCTTGAGGTAGTCTTTCTGTGCGAGAGTCTCGAGAGTCGTAGCTGGTGTGACAGTGATGTCTAGGTCGAACGGGTCGAATTGGAACGTGTTGTCGAGTGAGTAGATCAGTAAACCTTCCGTTGAAGCAGCACAGAACGCTCGGCCGGTTGGCGAGAATGCGACAGCGGGTACGCGAACTTCCGGCCGTGTTTTCCGTGCGCCAATACCCTTTTGGGCACCAGGTAGTGTTGTGTCTCGACGATCTTCTAGATCTGACGCTTCGCCTTGGTCGTCGATGAGACCTTGTGGCCCAGCATCTGTGAGCAGCTTGCTGTTAAGGAACTCCTGTGTGCCATCGAGAGAAAGGTTGACAGATACAGTGAACTTCTTGAGTAACACACCCGACTGAACATCGTACAGACAGATGTACTTGCTGTTGCCGCCTGCCAGTACACACGTGCCGTCTGCACTGTACTTGACCGACGTAAAGGCTTTGGTGCCTGCTACGTTGGCTGCAGTGCGTCGATCTGACATCTTGCGACCACCGGAAACGTCCCTTCGCGCATCAACGCCATTTTCTTGCGCAGCGTCGGATACGTTCCAGAATGTCAATTGTCCGTCAAGAGTTGTGACAGCTATTTGCTTCGAATCAGGGCGAAATGCAACGGATAAGATGTCAGCCATGAGTTGTAGCGGTTCGCTTGTTTGGGTGCGAGCGAAGATGTTCCAGACGCGAACAGTCCTGTCCCAGCTTCCACTGACCAGCGTGCCAGCATCCGGAGAAAATGCTAGGGATGATACAGGGCCTTCGTGTCCAGAAAGCCTGTCGAGCAACTGGCCGGTCTGGACGGACCAAATGTGAATGTCGAAAGAATCGATGGAGCCCGCGCATACGACCTCGCCGCTTGGGTCAACAGCTAGGGACGAAAAAGAAAGCCTCGATGGCGCCGTGAAAGTGCGGAAGTTGCGATACCGGTGAAGATCCCAGGCCCTGATGGAGCCATCAAGACTGGCTGTGAACAAGACATTTCCCTTCTTCGCGAATTCGCAGGCCGTCACACCGCCCATATGTTCTGTGAATGTGACTACACAGAAACCGGAGTTGACTTCCCAGACTTTGATCTTTCCATCGTCTGCCGCTGTTATTATCCGTTGACCGTCTGGCGAGTATGCGATTGTGTTCATCGAATCGAAGTGCCCTTGCTGCTTCAGAATGTATGATTCCGACTGCCATTCCCACACAAGGAGCTGGCCGAGTTTCGACGCGCCAAACGCTAGCCATTCTCCGGTCTTGTTGATGGCGACGTAATCAATGTCGTTCTGCGAGATGCTGAGGCTGGAAATTTGCGCAAATTCTGGTAGCTCGTGAATGAAGAAGGCACCGTGGGAAAAGCCAGTCACGAGCAGTTTCGACTCGGGATGGAAGCTGGCGCATGTGACATGCGCATTGTTCTGATGGAAAAAGTGGCGTTCCTGGATACCCCATTGTAGATTCTCGTCGTCGTCCGGGTCGGCGTCGGCGGGCGCATCGTAGCGTAGCATATATTTCCAGACAAATAGCGCTCCGTCCTTGCTGACTGTGTAGATGGTCTCTTGGTCCTTGGAAAACCATGCGCCGACTACTTCCTGCCTGTGTCCACCGAGTGTTGTCTGCGCATGCCCTTCTGCTTGATCAACGCTCCATATCCGCGCTGTCATGTCTTTGGACGCGCTCAGGAAAAACCTTGAGTCGCTCGACCATTCTATACTTTGGACTGAGTTATAGTGTCCTGTATATATCCGATGTCGCACGAACGGCGCAAACTCGAGATCGCCCTCCGCAACGTCTGGAGTGGACGGTGTGTGCCATACTTCAATCTGCCTTCCTATGCCTACTGCGAAATGCCGACCAGAAGGAGAAAAAGCAATCGAGGTGACCTCGCCGCGGAGGGAGAAGTGGTAGAGAACAATGCGACGAGGGACGTTGGTGAGGACTGCGCGGCCGTCCTCATCGACCGAGAGGAGGAGGTTTCCGCGAGGGTTGAGGGCAAGGCGTGCGATGTTCTTGCGGTGCGCAAACGGAAGCGTGTATGATTTGGAGCTGACTAATGATCAGCGCATATCGAGAGAGGCAGTCGCAACTTGGAGCCTACCTCACGAGGTCGAAAACCGTGACCCGGTTACCGACCGGCGACAGCAGACATGTGCCATCGGGCGTGAAGAGAAGGTTGCCTCTGCTGTAGACGGTGCCCAGCAGGTTGGAGAACTGTGGTTGTCAGACGCGAAGATCTTCATGGAAGCATGCAACTCACCTGAAAGTCAGTCTTCATCTTCAATCTATCGTGGCTGCGGTCTCGTCATGTCGTGGCGGGCATTATGGTCGCATCTTGAACTTTTTCGAAGCTCGGATCATCGCTGGACGCGCTAGTGGAGTAGTGTGCATTAGTCGCGGTTTCCCCGTTCAGGGTCAGTGCTTGCCGAATGGGCGACTGGCAGAAAGGGGACCCAAATTGTCTACCAACACCACACCTCCTCACCAGACCCCATATCGCACGCTGCTCAGCAACCTCATTGCTGACTTGCTTTTCATCGGCCACCTCCACGTATGTTCCCACGCCGCACTCCACGGATATCAGGCTCAAGATAGCTAACACCTCGCAGACCCATACATACCAGCGGTCAACCACACATCAGCACAATGGCCGAATCCGCGTCCCCCATTGGCATTGCCAATGTATGTATACCATCTGCTCGACTATGTCTTCAATTCGTATACTAACATGTAGTGCAGCTGCCCAACCAGAGGTACTATCAACAAAGCGGACACGCAGCTTCGGCCCTAACGTAGCACAGGCACAAGATTGTTGCAAAGCGCGGTGCTGCCTTCACCATAATGGTACGCATACCATCGCTATGGTCTATGAAACCCAATCTAACTAGCTCAGGTTGCTGGCGAGTCTGGTCTCGGAAAGACCACCTTCATCAACACCCTCTTCTCCACCACCATCAAGAACTACGCCGACCACAAGCGACGACACCACAAGCAGATGGACAAGACTGTCGAGATTGAGATCACCAAGGCCGAGCTCGAGGAGAAGTTCTTCAAGGGTATGCAGCACCATCCTGCTGTCCATTGCCTCTGCTAACACCTTCAGTCCGTCTTACCGTTATCGACACCCCCGGTTTCGGTGACTACGTCAACAACCGCGACTCGTGGCAACCCATCATCGAGTTCCTCGACGACCAGCACGAGTCGTACATGCTTCAGGAGCAACAACCGCGCCGCTCTGATAAGATTGATCTCCGTGTTCACGCCTGCCTGTACTTCATCCGCCCCACCGGCCACACCCTGAAGCCCCTGGACATTGAGGTCATGAAGAAGCTGTGCACACGCGTCAACCTGATCCCCGTTGTGGCCAAGGCCGACACACTGAGCCCAACAGACCTGGCCAAGTTCAAGGCGAGGGTAAGTCAATCCATCTCCCTGGCACCAGCAGATATTGATCGTCTTTAGGTGCGCCAGGTGATCGATGCTCAGGGCATCAAGATCTACACTCCCCCTCTCGAGGATGACGACGCCGCCGCCATGCAACACGCACGCGGTCTCATCGATGCCATGCCCTTCTCCGTCATCGGTTCCGAGAAGGACGTCCAGACCAACGACGGCCGTACCGTCAAGGGTCGCCAATACGCCTGGGGTGTTGCCGAAGTCGAGAACGAGGAGCACTGCGACTTCAAGAAGCTCCGCGCTATCCTCATTCGAACCCACATGCTCGACCTCATCCACACCACTGAGGAGAACCACTACGAGGCCTACCGCGCTGGCCAGATGGAGACAAGGAAGTTCGGCGAGGCGCGCCCAAGGAAGCTGGACAACCCCAAGTTCAAGGAGGAGGAAGAGGCACTCCGCAAGCGTTTCACCGAGCAGGTCAAGGTTGAGGAGCAGCGCTTCAGGCAGTGGGAGCAGAAGCTCATTGCCGAGCGTGACCGCCTCAACAAGGACCTTGAGGCCAGCCACGCGGAGATCAAGCGTCTTGAGACGGAAGTGGACAGCCTCCAGGGCAGCATCAACCGCTCTCACGGCCGTCGCTAGACGCACCCTTTGGCGTTGGTGGTGTTGCACGTACAGAGATGGTGCAGCGATTCAGCATGGTCGCACTAATTCTCCACATTCTTCCTTCAAGATTCCCCTTTCTGTTTCCGTAACTTCGGTTCTCATATGTCTGTAATGTCGCGCCGCCGTGAGGATCACTGTAGGCGACGCGTATCTAGGCTTGAGCTAAAACAGCACGTCATAGCTTATAGTTCTATAACTTGGTATTAATCTATTATGAAGACCGCTGGTCGCTAAGTCTTGTTCCTGGGTATACGTGATGTTGAGGTGTCATGACTAAACATGTAATCCGCCAAACACCCTGTCCAGCTCCTCGCCTTGATGTGCCTTGCGCTCTGCCTGCGGATCTAAATCCATGAGATTCTGCTCCGGCACTTTCTCTTCCCTCGGCCCTCCAGCACCCGCGTTGTCATCGCCAGGTGCCTCCGGCTTGATTATATGCACACCACTATCCAACCACCCAGGCGCAACCCTCCTCTTCTCCGCGAGATCTTCCTTCCGCCTCCTCTCCTCCCACTCCGCCAACGTCCTCCTCGCGTCCGCTTCTAGCTTAGCAAGGTGCTCTTGCAACGCGACACACGACGTGAGGATCTGGTCGGGATGCGCTGATGTGCCTGTTGACGAGATGACGTATGCTGGCTTCGAGGCGGAGGCGTTGGACGGGTCTTGTTGTTGTTGTTGTTGTTGCTGCTGCTGGGAGAGGATCGAGGGAGGCAGCGTCGACGGTAGGGTTACGTAGGAGTATGGCAAGGGGACGGATGTGGGGAGGGAGAGGAAGGGCGAGAGTGTTAGGGGGACTTGGGCGAGGAGGGGATGGGGATCTGTGAGAATGGTGTTAGTGAGGTTCGCGCTTGTTGTGTTGGGTGAAGGGATGCGATGCGATGTGACGAACAGCCAGACGTCAGAGCCTGTATGTCGGGTGGGACGACGTCGAGGTCGCTGTTGCTCTCTTGGCGTGCTCTCAAGCGATGTACTGGGATTGGAAAAGCTCGCAGCCGGTCGCATGGTCTGGCTACACGCGCACATCGCGCTGGGCACGCATTGTAGCGGGGAAGAGGGTCTGAGAAGCACTCACGTTCGTCGTGCATATTCGATATGGCTATATGCGTATGTCCAATACCGTCGATTTTGCCAGAGTGCCAGTATCAGGGCGTATATCCAGCTCTGTCGAGTACGGTGGGGCGTAACTTTGCGGGATTGTTGTTGCAGGGTTTGGGGTTGCGGAGGCACGAGGTGTTGGTGGGGAAGCTCCAAGCTGAGTGGAGCTGCTGACGCAGGTACGAAGTTCCAAGGTTCCACGGTTGGAAGCTGCGGTCACACGTTATGCATGTGAGATAAATATGGGCAGATTGTTTGTGGGGTGCATACACGAAGATAGTCACTGGGCCAGGCTTGTTATGCGGATTGATGGGGGGAGTCATTCTTGTGGCATTCTCAAAGGTTCTTGAGTATCATGAATGTCTATGTATATTTCGACAACCCTTTCACTAAATTGCATTTGTGTTTCATGTTATGGTACTTCATTACGAGATGAGAGAGTAAGTTTGTGTATGTATGTATGTGTGTTTGTGCGTGTGTGTATGTGCGAAAATATCACCCATATCCGCCTACCTGATCTTCGCAGAGCAGGTGAATGGTCTCGGACCAGGGATTATGTAGCTGGTTGGGATCGGCCAGTACAGTTGAAACTTAATCCCCGGGTCCGTCGCTTTGTATGCGCCTGGAAAGTTGACGGTCGGCAGACTGCCACTGCCACCTCCTGTCACGTTGATTTGAGCACATTCCATATAGAGTTGAGCACCGGGGTAGTTGGAGGCTGCGTGGAGAGCAATGAGCTCAGCGCGGAGGAGGTATCTGAGAGGAACCGTGTCAGTCGACCATAAAGATGTATCTAAGAAGATAAATGACTGACTGTCCACTGGGGATGCACGACGGTAGTACGAAGTCTACCAGGCCCTTGTTGTTGTACAGTCTCGTAACGGCCCACTCGCCATTGGCATCCATACCATCCTCGTAGATCTTAAACCACTTGAGTCCCGTCACTTTGGTAGACAAAGCATCATCGACTCTGGCAAGGTAAACCATGATGGGACCTAGATGACCGGGGTCAATTGGATCTGACTTGTCCGTCTCGGGCTTGGAATCGAGCGTGTGGTGCCACTCGGCAGTGAGCTTGTCTCCAGCTTTGACCTGACAAGGTGTAAGCCGAAGCCATGTGGCGTAATTGCTTATTGCGCAACCAACATACATTGATGATGTCTTTGGGGAGAGGCGTTCTGTAGGGGTTGATGCTGAATGCGGGTCAATATAGCACTTGGTTCCACGCTTTGTAATGCTTTACCCGCCATTACAGATCACATCGTTTGATGTTACGTCCGTTATTGGTCTGAAGCCGTGAGTGAGATAGAGCTCAGAAGGCGATTGTGGGGTGCATTACCCGTCGTACGTCTATGTCGCACTGTCAACAGGGGAGCAACGTGAGAGTCGTGACGAACATGCTCACCGGCACTCGAATCCCCTTGGTATGTCCCTGCGCTACGCCATTGACATGTAGTTGGGTGAAGATTGTGTGCGCCGCTACGCTAGCTAACAACGAGTGAGTAACCACAAAAGCCTTCATCATGTATATTCTTGCTTCAAGTCATGATGACCCTCACCAACGCTACTATGGATCTTCCTATATGCCATCGTTGTGCACCATCCTGAAGCTGTCCAGATGGAACACGGAATGATTGTACAAAACTGGACGACCTTCCAGCTCGGCACGCATGCGACTCGCGGAAGACCCGCGTGACAAGAAATCTTCTATTCCTCAATCTATTTCGCCCGCCGTAATGCACCTTTGAAAATATACTGTGTATGCACGAGACACGTGCTTCGCGAATTGCTCAGCGTATAGGATCCTCGGCATATGCCAGATAGGCAAAGGGCGCCAATGTGGTTGCGATCGTGCGTGCTTTGAACCGGCGGTTGGGTGGAAGAACCGCAGTATTAATTACAGGGAGGAGGATATGACCGAGACATGCCGCGACACCGTGGCGCGGCTCTTGGAATGTGGGAAGCGAGAGAAGGAATGGGTAATATAATAGATTGTGTGTTACTGGTCTGGTCGATCGTTTCAATCAATGAAACGTGCGCATCTTGTCGGTCTGCGAGAAGGCTTGGAAGCCGTCCTTCATTTTGGGGCAGCCTTGCGGAATATGCGGGAAGAAGCCGGTACCGAGAAGGCTGTGGCGGTTGCACGGGGTCAAGGGCACTGACTTGACAATCCTTCCGACAGTTCTGGTGGTGCAGATGGTGCATTTAAAGAGGCTGATGCGAGGCGAAGGCGTGAAGGTGACGGTCCATCCCACCAGCCACTAAACGATTGTGGGGAAGCCTGGGCCCCGAACGGGTAAGGGGCACATGACTAACGGCGAATAAGTCGCAATCCCGGCTTCTGTCAATCTACATCAATCAATCCACCCATGCCGCCGTAGTTTCGACATATTAACGACTAACCTTGAATCTCGGCCAGATCACCTACGTTTTGAAACAACCAATGACGATGTCGCCCACGGTAATCACGCCTCTCGGTTGGCCCATCCTAGCCAGCGCGCGTCTTCCGTACCTGGTTCAACGCGCACTTCTGCCGCCTCCAGAAGGAAATTCCCCAGGTAGTGGCTTGGCCACGGGTGTCAACCCCATACATGGCGGCGTAGTCTAGCATAAAGCTGATATGTATATAACGCGTCCGCACCCTGGCATAGCGATAGAGGCCACAGCTACTACTTGCGCTTGTCAATTCATCTCATCTTCGACGTGCTGGTAACTAGTCTCCAAGATGAAGACCTCTTCTTTCGTTCGAGCGGCTTCGCTGCTATCCTCTCTTTTCGCCCCTCTCGCTCTTGCGCAGGAAACGTTCACCCACGAAGGCACCGGTATTGAGTTCTGGCGCCAGACAGTCAGTGACGCTCAGACTGCAGGTGGTTTCGAGTGGGGTTGGGTACTTCCCGGAGAGCCTACTGGAGCCAACGACGAGTACATTGGTTATATTGTAAGTTACAGCAAGACTGTATCGACGCTGCAGCCGCTAACATTTCTCAGAAAGGTTCACTCGAAGCAAACAGGCAGGGATGGTCCGGTGTCAGCCATGCTGGTGGCATGCCAAACTCCCTTCTGCTCGTCGCATGGCCGGAAGAAGATGCCGTCAAGACCAAGTTTGTCTGGGCAGGTGGCTATGTTGCTCCTGATGACTACACTGGCAATGCCAGCTTGACTCAGATCTTCCACTCTGTGAGCGACACACACTTCGAGATCGTCTACCGATGCGAGCACTGCTGGGTCTGGAACCAGGGCGGTGCTGAAGGTTCTCAACTTCCTACTACCGAAGTCAACGTTATCGGCTGGGCCCAGCACGACAAGATCTACGACGGCACTTGGGTTTTCCACAACAAGGGACAGTCTCAATTCGGCGCTCCTACCGCGGATGCAAGGAACGCAAAGTACACCGACTACCTCAAGCTTGTAGGCGACCAGCCTTCTGGTACACCTACACCCACGAAATCTGGCCAGCCATCATCTACGCCCACTCCAACAACACCTGTCAAGTGCCAGGGATCGCCTGCCCCTTCAGGCTCCTTTGACTACATCGTCATTGGCGGTGGTGCTGGAGGAATTCCCGTAGCGGACAAGCTTTCTGAGTCTGGCAAAAGTGTTCTCATGCTCGAGAAGGGCCCGCCATCTCTCGCTCGTTTTGGCGGAAAGATGGGCCCTGACTGGGTTACTAGCAACAATCTGACCCGCTTCGACGTCCCCGGTCTTTGCAACCAGATCTGGGTTGACTCTGCTGGTGTTGCTTGCACCGACATTGACCAAATGGCTGGCTGTGTTCTTGGTGGAGGCGCTGCTGTCAACGCTGCGCTTTGGTGGAAGCCTGTTGACATTGATTTCGACTACCAATTCCCTAGCGGCTGGAAGTCGGCTGATGTCAAGGGCGCAATTGACCGTGTCTTCAAGCGCATTCCGGGTACTGACACGCCTTCTGTTGACGGAAAGCGCTACAAGCAGGAAGGATTCGACGTCCTATCCGGTGCGCTCGGTGCAGATGGCTGGAAGAGCGTCGTCGCGAACGACCAACAGAACCAGAAGAACCGCACCTACTCTCACTCTCCCTTCATGTACGACAACGGTCAGAGGCAAGGTCCCCTTGGCACGTACATGGTCTCCGCCCTTGAGAGGAAGAACTTCAAGCTGTGGACCAACACCATGGCACGCCGTATCGTTCGCTCCGGTGATACTGCCACCGGCGTTGAGCTTGAGAGCGGTGTTGGCGGTACTGGCTACTGCGGTACAGTCAACCTCAACCCTGGAGGCCGTGTCATTGTTTCCGGTGGAGCTTTCGGATCCTCCAAGGTTCTCTTCCGCAGCGGCATTGGACCAAAGGACCAGCTGAACGTGGTCAAGAACAGTGCCCTTGACGGCTCGACAATGATCAACGAGTCTGACTGGATCAACCTTCCTGTTGGCCAGAACTTGAACGACCACGTCAACACTGATCTTGTTATCAAGCACCCCAACATCTCCTTCTACGACTTTTACAAGGCGTGGGATGCTCCCATCGAGAGTGACAAGGATCTATACCTTTCCAAGCGCTCTGGTATTCTTGCGCAGTCTGCACCCAACATCGGTCCTCTCGCTTGGGAAATGATCAAGGGAAGTGATGGCATTGACCGGTCAATTCAATGGACTGCTCGTGTTGAAGGTCCCGGTGCCAACGACACCCACCATCTTACCATCAGCCAGTACCTCGGCCACGGCACTACCTCGCGTGGCGCACTGTCCATCAACGGTGCTCTCAACGTCTTCGTCAGCAAGGCACCCTACCTGAACAACGATGCCGACACCGGTGTGGTTGTTGCCGGTATCAAGAGCATGATGAAGGCTATCCAGAAGAACCCGATGATCGAGTTCCAAGTACCCTCACCCAACATGACGGTTGAGGAATACGTCGCTAGCCTTCCCAGGACCCCGGCTGCCCGTCGCGCCAACCACTGGATTGGAACCGCAAAAATTGGAACCGACAGCGGTCTCACTGGTGGAACAGCCGTCGTAGACCTGAACACTCAGGTCTACGGGACGAAGAACATCCACGTCGTCGACGCGTCTCTCTTCCCTGGGTAAGCTCATACTCCGCATCACAGATCAGCCTTCAACTAACATGGCGCAGTCACATCTTCACCAACCCTACATCTTACATTGTCGTGCTCGCAGAACATGCTGCGGCCAAGATTCTTGCGCTTGGTGCAAGCAGTGGAGGTGGTAAGCCTTCGTCGTCCGCTCCGTCATCCGCCAGTACCGCTAAGCCCTCATCTTCCAAGGCGCCGACTAGTTCGTCAGCTGCCCCCGTGAAGCCATCGTCGTCACCAGCCAAGTCATCGGCTGCGCCAACCAAAACATCTGCAGCACCCTCGGCTACTCCTACCAAGACGGCAAACGCCTGGGAACAGTAAGTGGACAAAGAACTTCTATACATTGAACACATACTAACTTCATACCAGATGCGGTGGTCAAGGCTACACTGGTCCGACAGCTTGTGTCAAGGGTTACAAGTGCGCAGTGAACAACACATGGTTCTCTCAATGCGTCCCTAACTAAGAGGCGCACCTTCATTTCCTACCCTGGTCTTGAGATCTGATACATCTGGGGTATCTTCTTTGTACATACTTTAGCTTCAGTGTATATCACTCGCTCTTCCTGCGACTTGGCCTCATGAGTGCTTCGCCTGAAATCGTGAGCTGATAAAATCCACACAATGTTTGGGAGCCGAGGTGACGGATGCGTGACGAATGGGGCATAGTGCGCGTCTCATCGCGCCCCGCATTTATCGACCTTTCATCGCAACTGATTGCCATCTCATCTCATCGCAACTTCCTTTTGCTTTTCCAACACCATTCTTTTCGCGTAGCATTCCTCAATTCTACGTGGCTTGGGTGTTGTATACTTCTTGGCTGCTTCGCACGTACATGATGCCATCCAACTGCCCAACCACCTCTGCCAAGCGCGACGATGACGCGTCGAAAAACGTGACAGAACTGATCCACCAGCGGTTTCAAAGTAGCCCCAAAGATGATTGGGGACGATTGTTAGAGTGCTGGGGCTATGATGACTGTGGAGATTGTCATCGGAGTGAAGGCCATTGCGGGTGGTGTGCGATTGTATGTTTACATCTCCTCAATAGTCGTCTCTTGCATTCATCCCTAAGATACCGTGAACTATTACTGAATCTGTTCAACAGTCCTCGACGTGCCTTCCGTTACCTACGGATGCTTTGTCAAAAGCTTTCCCTCTCCTTTCACCCATTCGCTACGACTCGATATGCGCTTTGCCGTCAGAGCGCTTTGAGCTGCGTACCTCGGGGTTAGGCTGTCAAGTATCCACGATCACTTTCTTGACATCAATCGTAACGATATTCTGTACACTCTTTGGCGTTCTAGTACTTTATAGTCTCGCAAAATGTATCAAGTGGGTTGGGCTGGGTGCGAAGGCGAGTAGAGGCGGCCACGCGCTCTATGAGGATGGAACTGAAGAGGTATGGGTCAGAAGAAGTGAAAGTTGGGGGAAGTGGTGGCGAAGGGTGAACGGCGAGCAGAAAGAATTCGAGGTCGAAGAGGTGGACGAAGGGACGCGTAAGAGAGGCTATTTTTGGTGGAATACGAGGGACGCAGAGAGGAGACCATTGCTTGAGTGAGGGGATATGACAACGCCATTCAGCTTGTCTTGGACGACTCAGGTACACTGGCGTTGCATTCATTCGAGCAGTTCGGCTATCTGCGTCACCACCGCCTGCTCTCGTACTCACCCAACCCTTACCACATCTCCGCGTCTGCCTTGCCGACTACTTCATTGTCCAGATACGTCCGGTCTTTCACCTCTTCTCTCTGAGCAATATCACCTGCTCTCACCCAGATCCGCGTCCGAGCTTTGGCGCACTAAGGGCATATAAACAGACTCCTCTCCGCCTAGCCCATTTCCTCCACCGTACACCTCGACAATGCCGCGGTACCCTGATCCCAAACAATCCATTAAATTCACAATCAAGAAACTACAACAGACAGCCACTCCACTAACGATGCTTCGGATCCCCCAACATGGACGTCCAGGCCGAGCCAATCCGATGAGTATTCCGGGCTCGTTCAGTGAGAGCGACAGCGACGATCACCTCAGCGCCGCTGCTCACACTCCGCCAATCTCTGACGAGTACTTATCGCCTTCTAGCAGTATGTCTCTCGAGGTCAACACCATTGGTTTTCGATCGCTCGAGCAGATCACTGAAGAGGCAAATATGTGTGCGGCATCCCAGCTTGCGTTCGACCACGACGATGAGGCTTTCGCTCAACTCGAAGTCCGCCTCGAAGAACTCAACGCTGAGTATGAGCAAGCTCTGGAAGGTCAACCTAGTAAAGACAACATCCACGACCCCGCGCCGGACGCCTTCAGTAATGAAAGCGAAGAACGCAATGAGCAAGGTCCCGCTGGAGACGTCGCACAAGGCCACAACGAGGATGATGCGGTAGTCCAAGCGATTGTCGGCCCTTACGAGACGGCAATGAAGAGCTCTTTTGACATGGCCCAGAAAATGGTCAGGGCTGTCCCTTCGGCCGTCAGTCGCTTCCCGGCTACCAACAACTTCCGTTCAACGATCAACTGCCCCTATGATGTCGCAGAAGGCATGCTCAGTTATACTCCATTGGACTACTACAGGAACTACCGACACCAGGTTGAGACACAGTCACTATCGAATAACGACACTGCTGCTCCTCGCTCGCCAGAAGTCAAGGTTGCCCCTTCTACTGCACGCCTTGATGATCAGGGTGAAGAGCAGTCCCTGAAGAAGAAGTGGAACACTGTTAAGCTCAAGTCTGGAGACGACGATGGCAACAGTCCTATTGCAAAGCGACCAAATCTCCGTTCGGCAGACGAGAATACTTTTGTCCCGAACACTACGCCATCCTCGGGATCGATTCGTGCTCGTGTTGTAAGCAGGGCATCTAGGCCAGCGCCTCCTGAGCTCAGGACTTTTGAGGACGTCCACCGCCAAATTCGCGAACAAGATAAGTTGACCGCCGACAACCTTGCTGCTCAACTTGAACTTCCTTTGTCCAGCGGCCCTGCAGCCCAGCAGTCTGAGGCTGTTCATTCACATCCAAAACGCGTTCACCCGAAGAAGAACGCATCCAGCCAGTCATTGCTAGAGACCCATTCGGGTGCCTCCACAGGTCAAGTTTGCAATGTGGAATATCCTATCCCCAACGAAGGTATCTCGCGCTATCCCATCCCTAACGAGGGTATCTCAACCATACATCTTCTAGATCTTCTTGATAATTCCGACATTTCCGATATCGAGTTCGACATCGAAGATGACTGTGTTGAGGTCAAGAACGGCGATGCGACTACGGAAGCTACTACTTTGGAGCCGCGTCAATTTGTTCCGACTGTTGCGAAATACAAGAAGCAGGCTTGTTTATACCCAGATGGTCTCGAATACGTCATAGAAGAGTACGGTGACTCCGACGCCGGTCCGGTTCCAAACGTCCGTAAGAGTGATCAATCGAAGAAGTCTTCTGACGTCGAGACCGCTAGTGGCTTTGCTTCTGCTGACAGCACCCCCGCACCGGACGACGCTATGGTGGACGAGTTTCTGGACTTTACTGCCAATGCCTTCTGGCGCGATGAAGCCTTCGAGATCCTTCGTATGTGTGGCGCAAATCTGGTTGCTGCTGTCTCCATATACCGCAACGCCCGCAGTCTTGATCATATCCGACAGATGCTGAGGGTCTGGCTCGCACCACTTGAGAATGGCGGATTTGAAGCAGCTGATCGTCCGGTTGAGCAAGTGAATGATGTGGACTTCTCAGAATTGCGGATTTGCTCAATCGAGAAGGCACCCGCAAGCGTCAGTGGTGACGAGCCTACCGGAGCAAGGATGAGTGTGCGAGATGCCTATAAATTGCTCGGTCTGGAAGTCTACAGCTCTGTGGACCAAGCCACACTGATGAAGAGCGTTAGGCCAAAGCTGAAACAGCACGGGCCAGCCTCAGCTATGTTCCAACTAGAAACACAGCTGTACCAGGCTTTTGCCACCGTTACCCAGTACCAGAATGAGATCGACTGTTGCGAGCTTTCTTCTTCATGTGCGTCACCCTGGACTGAGGAAATGGACGAAAAGCTCATCCGATGAATGACTGAAGACGCCAAGATCACATGGACTGCTATCGCTGGAGCCTTAGGTATGACCGTGAAAGAGTGCAAGGACCGTTTCGAGGTCCTTCGACCTCCAGAAGGCAAGGCAAGCTCCACAAAGGAAGACAAATTCAAGAAGCAGCAGGACAAGGCCAAGGACAAGACGGACGCTGTTCGTGCAGCCCCCTCTGCCATCAGCGGCGACCATGGTGGTTCACGCGATCCCTGGGCCGATCTGTTTGGAATGCCTTCGTCAAGTTGCGCATGGGAGTATGATCATCCTGCTTGGCTGACAAACCCCGACTCCCCGCCTGGTAATTGGGGATCTCCTGAACCAGATCCACAGAGCTCAGGAGACGACGCATGGGCTTCCATTAGCAACCGTGACGACCCCAATAACGCCCCCGAACCAGAAGCTCCTGCATCTACTGACTATACCGTCACTTATTGGGCCACCGTCGAAGCTGGCGACAAGACTATTCACATCCCCATCGACAGCAGCAACGTCTCCGGTCCCGAGAAAGAGATCATCGATGGCAGCATTGAAATGAAGAAGATCTGGAAGTGGGCTCAAGAGAAAGGTCTCAGCGACAAGATCGGCCTTCAAGACGCTTTCGATCTCGCCAAGGATATGCACTGCGAGGGTGAAGTCGACCAGCCAGTCGGTGAGAAGCCTGAGCGTGCCACCAAGGCCCCACGTGCTACCAGTCGCAGCCGCAGCCGCAGCCCATGTCCACGGCGGGCTCCTCCCGCTGCAGATTTCCTTGATGTGGACTATATCTACCCCTCTTACGTTCGCCCGATGGTCTCTCCGATGAGTCCGGTCAGTCCGGCCCACGAGGAGACGCATGGTGACTGGTGATGCATGGTCTTGTTATCCTTTTTGGCTTGACGTCTTTCAGGGTGTGGAGGCTTCTGTCTCCTACCCTATGGACTCACGAATGATTGTCCGTGCGATGGCCTTGCTTTATTTGTCTTTTTCTTGGATACGGGATCGTACATATGGACGAGATCACGGTAAAGGGTCATCGACTTACAAGGCTAAAGGATGTTTGTGATAGGCGAGTTTTGCATTAAAATGGGTAGTTCGGATAGGTGCGCTGCTTATTGCCATGAACGTGTAAAATATTTGTAACCTTGTCCCTCACCCTGCAGTGATATCATCAACCCCAGCATTAACCTCTAGAGATATGTAAGGCATTTTAGGCACTTGGTATCCCCTCGCACCAGGGGTTTTACCTAAGGTGAGCTGCAAACTAGTTTGATGTGGACGTGTGGTAGACCGAGAGTTGTTCGCGATGCCGACCAGCCCCACACTCTATTCGTAAATTAACGTTCATGCAGATCCATACGCAACCCACCCATGTTCGAGTATGCTAGCCCAGATTATCTTCAACGGCAGTTCAGGTAGCTGAAGAGTTGTTGTGATTCCATAAAGCTGGAGGATATGCGACAGATACCACCACTATCCCCCTTCAACTCTGCACTGGTACTGTATTCCAGGAGCCTCTGTCCCTCATAATGCGCCCTTCAACCCTCCTCAGCGCCACAGCGCTCCTCCCCCTCGCAATGAGTGCCTGCGAGCGGGAATTCCTCGCGGCCTTCACATCCCTCTACCTCTCCGCCCAAACCATCGGCAACTCCACACTCCTCACAAACTACATGCTCCAAAACTTCACCTACACAGAGAACTTCAAGCCCGCAAATCTCTCCGCTGCAACATCCATCATCAACACGCCCCTCAACAGCACCAATTCGCGCGTCTTTCTAGACCCGTATCTCTGTAGCGCGTTCACCGAGATCATCGTGGCAGAGTCAAGCCATCCGTATGTTCTCGGCGTGCGCGTGGAGGGAAACGGCAAGTTTGTGACCAAGATGGAGACGCTGGTTAGTGATGAGGGGGATTGGTTGTTCAATGCTACTGGTACAGCATATTGGAATGGCATGCAGAATTGGTCGCCTATTCCGCTTGCGGATCAGGATACCCGCGAGGTTATCAAGGCGGCTGGTGATGCGTATTTCGATCGCTTTGGTAACGTGAATGTTACTATTCCGTTTAGTACGCCTTGTGCCAGGCTCGAGGGAGGTGCGTATACTGATACGAGTATGACGAATGGCGAGACATGCTCTCTGGGTCTGCCGAGTACGGTTTATGTGCAGGATCGCCGGTACGTGGTCGATGTCGAGATGGGGAGTGTGAATATCTATGTGGGGTTTCCGGGCTTGGACAGGGCGAGTGAGACGCCGGCGCCTGATAGCCATACTTTCCGCGTCGAGAAGGGGAAGATTCGGTATGTGCATACTATTTCGACGTGTGAGAATTTTGGGTGTGGATTGAATGGGACGTATATACCGATTGGCGGTGGGAAGAAGATGTCGAGAGGTATTGCTGCTCCAAGGCTTCGAAGGACAAGACGCGCGTTTTAGGATGACGGCGAGACTGGTTGAAAATGCGTTGTTATAGCTTGCGTCGCTTCGTCTGCTACTCTATACTCGTACCCTCAGGTTCAACCCTGTGATACTCCACCGACCCACTACCAATATACAACTGCCCAACAATACTGCAGTTCCCGCGAAGATCTGCGCACTGAGATAACCGCCGCCATTACTTTGTATCAACGCTCCTGCGATTGGTGGGCCGATAAAAGTACCCATCCCTACGATAGCAAGACCTTGACCGTTCCTCGTGCCTACCTTACTCATATCCTTTGTCAACGTAGTCATCACAGCCGGGAAGATACCCTGGAACCCCGAGACGAAGAAACCATAGCACACCGCCCAAGCGTAAAGGCTAGGCTCGCTATTAACCAGAGGCCAGAAATACAGTACAAAAGCGGAGACAAAGCAAAAGGGTATCAGGATGTTGTACGGCCCGGTATACTTGTCGGCGAAAAAGGAGGGTACGATACGGCCAAGGACACCGACACCGTTCAGTACTAGCAGAATGTTGATGGAGGTGCCATATGGTAGATCAAGAATGTCGATCGCGAACGACGAGATGTAGTAGAAGGCGAAGTACTGCCCGAGGGCGATGAGGAAAACTCCGAGCAAGAATACACTATACGGCATTTCTTTGAATGCGCTGAGTTCGAGCACTGGGCCAGACTTCCTCGGAGGTAATCGTGGTTTCAACAGCGAGCTGTAACATATCCCCACAGCTAACATCATGAAAGCCATCACCCTGACAGTCCACGGGAAACCGATCCGGGGAACCAATTGTCGTGCGATCGTTGGGTAGACAAGTCCACCCGTCGCACTACCACTAGCCATGATTGCGAGTGCGACACTCCGATTCCTGGCAAAGTATGTGCTGACAAGTCCCAGGACGGGCGCAAACTGCATCCCGTTTCCGACTCCATTCATGACACCCTGTGCAAGGAAAATTTGCCAGTACCTCGTACATAGACTGGTCATGAACATGCCGAGGCATGAGATGAGCATCCCAGGGATCACAGACCAGTAAAAGTATCCCGCATCGAAAAGACGCCCGGTCAACATGCCCAGCGAGAAGTGGCCGAGCATCTGGAAGCTTCCAATCCACGAGACTGCTGATGGTTCAAGACCTAGGTCGAGCGTGTAATATTGTTGGAAGACGCCGAATGTCGCAATCATACCCCACGTGTTGAATATAACAAAGTGGCCCATGAACGCCTGTACCCAGGCTTTGGTGCCCCCATCGGGCGGTGGTCCAGGGTCGATGACGGATGCATTCGAACGAGCGGTGATAGTCTTGGCCAGGCCGATCACCGACTTCTTCGTACGAGAGGTCTGGGAGGCGTGTGTTGGTATCCTTTCGATCTCCTCTTCTTCGCACCGGGATGCTGGTCTTGATGGAACTCTTATTGAGGCGTACGATGCGTCATGATGGCGTTCGGTGTCCGCTTCTCCGAACTCCGATATTGTACCTTTCTCCACATCGCGATTGGCACTCATCTCAATGGATCGGAAGGGATGTTGTCAGCGGGCTGAGATGATCAGGAAGGCAGAAGAGAACAGCTTCCAAGAAGTGGTGTGGCTGGTGGGTGGGTATTGGAAAGAAGCGCATCCTTCGGTGTTTTATCCGACGGTCAACCATCTTTTCGACTCATCGTCCCCACTCGCCGGCCGCGGAGGCTAGTTGAGATCCGATACCATCTTGAGCTTGGTTGTTGAATCTGTATGCATACTGCACGCAGGATGTCCAATTGCGAAGCTTTGCCTGGGAATATGGGGAAAGCTTGTGGCTGCTTCCCCAAAAATTCGGCGTTATCACCGCATTGGTAAGCTTTACGCTAAGCGGATCTGGTGGCCGTGTCGTCGATCTTCAAAGCGCGCCCTATGGGTCTCATCAAGTATTGCCGCACGACACTACAATCTACATCATGATATAAGAGAAACTTGACTTTCGTGATCATTTCGTATAATTGCGCCCTTGGAGCTAGGAACTAGACTCTGTCGGCTTTGGCGACCAGGACATATGGTAACCTCAATCAGACGTGCTTTCGCCACCATCCTCACCGCTTTATCATCCACGTCGCAATGTCGCTACGGAATGGAACGTGGCATATGACAGTGCAAACGTCTCTCCGTAGAATGGGAAGAAGAAGTGCGCGTCGTGGATGGCGTCAGAATGGCATCGCTATCTAACTCGTGCATCAGCAAGCATACCTAGATAATAAGCAGGAACAAGACTCTACACACCAGCTAGAGACTGCGCATCAGTCTGGACCGGCACATCGCCGTTCTCGATAGTATCTTTGGAGGACACAATTCAGCTCGTAATAGGTGACGCGTCGAAACGTTTCTTGTACAGGCATTGCTCGGAATCCTCGCACATCCATTCCGCGATGTTGCACATCTCGTTGAAATTGGGAAGGCTCTGGCGAGCATAATGAGCGGAGACGTCATATGGGCGCAATAAAAGACTGCCAGCATCATATATGCAGTTGTCGCGTAAAGTGATCAGCTCTCTGTTGACAACCCGACCATCCTATGTGGTTTACAGGTGGGAAGATTTGAAGACAAGAAACGGCTCCAAATAACCAGTGAGACTTCGCAATGATTCGACGTATCTTACCACTTTTGGTAGCCACCTACGAGCCTCTTTCAACATAGTGAGAAACTCTCGGTCGACTTCTGATCCAATTTCAATGATAACGGGCCATTGGCCTTCGCTCAAACATTGATTATTGCACGCTGCATTTTCTAATGCGTTTATTCGATTTCTCGAGTACATTGACAGAAGCTTGGATGGTGTTGCGGTGGATCAGGCGGAACGGTGTTTCGCGACATGGACTGTCTGTGATGGATGACATATCGTGGATACAGCTGTTCCGATTGATGTGGAGGAAAGCTGTTATATGGGAGTGTAGAACAAAAAGTCGCTAAATCTGAAACAAACGAATGGAACAAAGAGAGTTTGGTGGAAGAATTGGATCGAAGCGATGGCAGGGACTTCGTGACGACGGGGAACGCGCAAGGCTTTGTGTCTTTCGGTGGGTTCATTATGACAACTAAGGGCAACTGTCGAAGGCTCCCGGAAGACAGTCTGATGCGAGAATGTAACTGTAAGCATGGCTTAATAGGGTCTTTTCGGACCCTTCTCTTACCGAGTTCAGTTCCACGGTCCATCATCACGAACCTCTAGATGACGCCAGAGGGAAATATCGCGGAATTTGGCAGCTATCAAGCTACATTTCCAATAGACTGACTATGCTAACTCAACGGAGCAGTAGACGCATACCCGATCTGTCTAAGTCGGCGCAATACGCCTATCCTAATGTACTTTCGACATCACCAGCTACTCCACGGTATCTCATACCTTCACACGCTCCTAAAAAATCAAGGACGCTCTCGGACAGAAGCAAGATCAAGGTCGGGTTTTGGTAATGAGTATGGAGCAAGTCGAAACCCGCAATTGTGAACATTACGCTCCACCGGGTGCAATAGATCAGCCGCCATCACAGAACTGCGATAAGCCGCACTACTTCACCATCAGGTAATCTTTTACATGCTCGAGAACCATACTGAAGGGTCAGACAGTCTGTGTAACTCTACTCGAGCGACTCTCACTGGGACGACGGAAGCGCGACGACGAATGACCCGAACCGTTTCGACTCACCGTCGTGGCCTGGGGGAACTTCCAATGATTATTCATTGACTCTATTCGGTGATGAAGACTGCAAGTAGATGAATAACGGAGAGAATTACCGTAGCGCGTGGAGGAGGGAACGAGATAAAGGAAGAGCAAATATGCGAAGAAGGTAATTTCTACAGGCTGATACACAGTAGCTTCCTAACTATTCGAGACAGCAGGTAATTAGGTGGCGTTATTCATAGAATATGGTATACAAGAGGATTAACGTTCGAGTGTGACATCTACTCCCCCAGAGAGGCATGTGTGTTCAACATCGGTTGCTTGGACCACCGTCGATCCGATATAGACTCGTCCAAATCCGCCTTATCAGCACTTCTCTTCCTCCCTGAAGGTGGCGGCGTAACAGCAGAAAGCTCTCTCCGATTCTTCGATACGAAGTGTGCGATATCCTTAAGCGTTGGTTTGCCCTCTTTCCTACATCCCAGCCACTTGATGTTGACCAATGGTAGCCCTTTACTCGAGAATAAGGCCGGAAGCTCCTTCGTCAAGTATCGGATCTGCGACTCGTCAATGGTTTCATGTTTCAGCGCAAACCCCAGATGCAGAAAGCGTGCGTGGGACGATATGCTAGATTTCTGCGTCGGACGCTCATTCTTTGGCTTGAGCTTCCTCAACTCAATGTGTCGGCTACTGCCTGGGATCCGCCGCCATAGTCTCGGAGGTGAGTCAAAACGTTCCTTTGCCATGCGCTCGACAAGATCGTGGGTGTCAAAGTAACTGCCATAGTTACCGGAGCTTTCCACGGCTAATACCTTCAGATGTCTAATGAGGCAGCGAGTGAAAGAGTTCTCGCCGGGCTCAGGGGTGGGCGCGCCAATATCTGAGGCGGCTATCATCTCGAATGTTCGACCGTGCTCGGGGACGTTGCGGAGAAGGTCGCTGGCGTAGCAGCAGTCCATGATAGTGAGGACGTTGGCTTTGACTTTCTCAATTAGGGTCCTCTCAGCTTCGTTCCAGATTGCTCGAAGGTCATTTTCTACATCGTCAGTCCTGGCATTGCTGTTAGCTAAGCGCCTTGGATTTTGCGTTGGGATATGTACGGTGAGAACTCAAGGACCTTGAGAGCCTTGTCGTAAACACCATGACCGGCGTAGTATACTACAAGTAGGTTGTTGGGGTCATCGTGCTCGTACACCCAGCGATATATCTCAAGCTCAAGCTGGACTTGCGGGTTCTTCTCTTCTAGTTGTAGCTCGGTTACTTCGTAATTGAAGACCTTTTTGAAGACATTCGTCAGGTCGTCGACCTAGTGGGTGTAGAGTTAGTATTGCAACACCAAGACAATCAGACGAAAGGTTATTTCCATACCTCTTGCCGCACGTTCAGCTGATCTATCGCATCTTGCCATTTGATCACCAAAACATGTACATTGCGGTATCCATCTGGCAGATCCAGATGCTTTGCGATTGACTTGTCCCAGCATTGTTGAAGTTTCGCTTCATGCTGATCATCTCGAGCAGAGCGAATTTCTCCAGGGTTAAGGCTCAACGGCGAAGGAAGGGAGCTAGTGTCGTTCACCGATGATATAGGTGACAGCGGGTTGGGTACGTCGCAACAAATTGGCGATGCCATGATGCGAGAATAAAGGGAAGTGCGAATGGTGATCAGGGTTGACTCCTGTTGACGAACGTGCTACACGTTCGCATATCTAGCCTTGTTACACACATTTTCAGCCGCGAACCTGAGGCTGTGCTTGTCCGCTGCCCCATCATGCCTGTCAGCCACTGAATATATTGATTAGCCAGCATGCAGGTAATACTAGCCACACGATCACGCGGAAGGTCCTCCACGCTCCAAAGGGCCAATGCTTCTCGGACTCCGCCTCGTAGAACGCCTAGTGTTACGCGATTATTGGTGGGGTTAGGATAGGCGAACGATCAGTAACATCAGACAAACTGCTGCCTGCGAGAAAAGCAATGATGGCTCACCGGCACGCTGCACCTCGCCCACTATTGCGGCAGCGAGTGGCCTTCAGCTGAAGATGGAGAGGGCGTTAAAAGCCTTGACTCAGCCTGATATGAAAGGCTGACAGCCAGGCCCATCTCCGACTCTTCTTACTCGCAGTCATGACCGACGAAGGACGACAGACAACGCCGAAGGAGCATATCGATGACCAACAGCAGGTATGGCCCTATCTACCAGTATGTTGTGTGTTGCGCACTAACCATGGACAGACAGGAAAGGTTGCGAGGGAGCGCGCAGGGGTAGTGAAAGGGAAGGGGGCTGAAGTAAGCGCCATGCACGCCCCTGTCAAATAAGCCTAAATGCTGATTGGTCGCAGATCGTCGCAAAATATGTTACGGGAAAGAATGTCCAGATCACAGAAGTCATCGAGAGCAAGCAAAAGAGGAAGAAGCTTTATGTTGCGTTTAGCCGGAAGACCTCGAACTCGAAGATGGAGTATCAATTGACTGAGACAAAGGACGATACCACAAAGCTCTACAGGAACGGGAAGTGGTTTCCTGAGACCGAAGTCTATGTGATCAAATGAGACACCTGAACCAATCAATGGAACGAGGCTTGACCGGTGAAGAAGCACATCGATATTTAGTTCCCAGCTGAGAATGTCAACTATTTTCGTCTGTTAAAGACCTTTCTCATGTCTTCTATCGTCTGGTAATATCTTCATGCCCCAAACCCTTCCATCATGACTTCTCCTCCAGCATCACCGGTTGAGAAGGAGTTCTCCAGCCCTTGTGCACGGTACTCCAATGCGTCTTCATCATCCACTCTCCGTTCCAGTACAACTCTAAACTCGCTGCGACACGTAGCAAACAGCTTCGGACTGTTGCTACCGAGAGAGAAGCCAGCCGATGTAGAACAGCAGGCTAAGCCTGAGCCTGCTGTTGGCGAGGACAAAGATGATGAAGAAGATGATGGGCCTACCTTCTCACCCGGTGGGTCAGGCCCGTATCCAACCAAAGTACGAACACTCGAAAAATGTCCGAACGGCTACGCACGGCTCGCAGCCTTCAATTCAAGTGAACAAAACTTCATGCTCTACCGTGGCTTCAGCAACGTCCATGCACGCCTCCTCCTAAGCCTCCAAGCCAGCATTCAGATGCTCGAAGCCGAGCTAGACGACATTGACCGCTTCCACGACACCCTTCCCGAGGCCTCTAAGAAGCGCCTGCGGTCCTGGGATCTCGACGTCGCAGCCTGCAGACAAGAGAAAGAAGAAGCAAAAGAAGACGGAGACGAAGACGAAGTTCGAACGCGAGAAGATATCCTAGAGGAACTGAGAATCAAAGTGAACCAATATGACGAGCTACTGATCAAAGCAAGAGAGCTCGTCTCTTTCCAACGACCGACCGAGCGTGATTACCGAAGCGTGAGGAACTGGTTCCACAATATTGCGCCCCTCGTAGACGAGGAGCAAGATTACATACTCTGGAAAGAGGATATCGTAACGCTCAGACATGGGAGGGAGTGGGCGGGTTTCGACGGTATGGTCGAAGCGATGTTGCATAAGATGGATTGCCCACTCATTCAGGTGAGTAATCTATACATCTCGGGTTTCCGCGCTTTACTTATAACTAGTAGCGGCTCTTCCGGACCGATGATCAGAGGCGCAAATCCACGGACAAGAGGAATTACTACTTTGCTCCTTCGAGGGTGTCGACGCTGGTCAATCTCTTCATTACTATTGCACTTTTCTTGCTACTGGTAGCTCCAGTGTTGGCGATGTATCGTCTCTCCACTATCAAGACGACGGAGTGCGTATTTGCGGCTATTGGAATTTTGATGGTTTTCACGCTGCTGTTTGCTGCAGCTATGTCGCTGCTCACGAAGGCGAAGAGGCATGAGTTGTTTGCTGCAGCTGCAGCGTATTGTGCCGTCTTGGTGGTTTTTGTTGGGTCCACTAACTTCAATTGACTGCGTAGTGGTGGTATGCGTATGCGCACCGAATGCTGGACCATAGACCCCACCCCTATGGACGGCGCCGTAGGCAGCGAAGTCATCAAGAGAAGAGATCTTTGGAGCGGGTTTCCTGGGCCTCACGATGGGGAATGCATAAGTGTTGGTGCCGGCCAGGAGGACCGAGAGGAGGACAGATGAGGAAAGAACGGGTGTTAAGAACTATACCAAACACCTCAAAGGCTCAACATGCCTCAAATGCTTCGCGAGCCTATTTTATACAAGCCCAACGTGCTTCAAAGACCATCAGTTTATGCCTTCAAGTGCTCCTCAAACAACTTCTTCTGCTTCTCCCACTCTTTCTTGAGCTTCTTCACCCTCCCCTTAGCCACATCTGCGCCATCCTTATCCTTGGTCGGAAGACCATCCTCATCCCACGCACTGTATTCCTCAGTCCTGAACATGTCCTTGGGGTTAATCTTCGCTTGCTCCGCAAGCTTGGCCTTCTTTTCCGCCTCCTCGCGTTCGCGCTTGAGCTTGGCTTCGGCTTTCTGACGAGCGATTTCCTCTTTCTGAGAACGAGCGGCTTGCAGTTCGGCATCGACTGGGCGGACCATGGCAGGCGCGTTCTCGCGATCTTCGAGGTAGATGCCGAGATCCCAGAGGTGCGTGTCGCGAAGCTGGTCGCACAGGTCGAGATAGTCCTTTGCTGGTGCTTGCTTCTTGGCGAGGTCTTGTAGAGACTGTTGGAATGTGGAAAGCACTTCGGCGTATGGGACTGCTTCTATGTCTTGTTGCTTCGCGGGAGTGTGCTGGGCGATGATGGAGTCTAAGTTCTCGCTGAGATCGCCGGCGATGGCATGCTGCCGTACTTGATCACGTTCACGGGAAACTGCGTATACGTGCTCTTTTGCGGCTGAAGGAATGTCAATGCCAGCCCAGCCGATTCCACCGTCCCAGGGGTCGGCTGAACCGTCCAGACCGAATATCCGGACCATGCGAGTAATGTAACGAGCGACGTCGAATGAGACATCATCAGAAAGTCCTGCCTTGTCGGCTGAGTTGTATTCGGTGATGAGACTGGAAATCGCACGCATAGCAGTAGGTGTGTCGAAGGAGTCGGCTAGTGCACTGATGTTACATTAGTAGAATTATTGATGCCCATGTTCTTGTGTCTTACTTGTGTACTTTCTCCTTCGCAGATTCGAAAGACTGCTTCACTTTCTCGTCTTCAGCACCGGTCGAACTGATGTTTGGATGTACTTCAAGATCTCGAATCTTGTAGAAGAAGTTGGTAACATAGCTCTCCCATGATGAACCCGACTTTCGCATGTCTGGTGTGATTTCGATGCCGTCATGCCAGCCTCCAAGAAGGAAGATGATGCGCAAACTCCGTGCATTCCAATCACCGCGGCTCAAGGCTTCGCGAATTGTGGTGAAATTCTTCAAGCTCTTTGACATCTTGGATCCTGATATAGACAGATGGCCCATATGGAGGAAATAGTTCACCCACTGCGCACCACCTTCCTTTTGCCAGTAGGCTTCTGACTGTGCTAGTTCGTTGTCGTGGTGCGGGAAGCAAAGATCGATACCTCCGCTGTGTATGTCCATCTGTTCGCCTAGAACGGCAGAAGCCATAACGGAGCACTCAATGTGCCAGCCCGGTCGACCAGGACCCCACGGGCTCTTCCATGCTGGCTCTCCCGGTTTTGATGACTTCCAGAGTGCGAAGTCGGAGTCATTGCGCTTTTCAGAAGTCTTTACGGTTGACAGAGCACCTTCGCCATCTGCTTGCAGGTTTGTGTCGCCTCTGTTCCATGGCTCCAAGCGTGCGTAATGGTTGCCCTTTCTCTTCTCGAAGCTCTCGATGTCGAAGTAAACAGATCCATCCGATGTGCTATATGCCATGCCGTTTTTGATTATCTTGTCTACGAAGGCGACGATGTCATCGCCGTACTCAGTCACGCGAGTGACGACATCCGGATCCAGCACGTTGAGTGCTCGCATGTCTTCGTTGAAGCGCGCTTCGTACTTCTTGGTGAGTGAAGTGAAAACCGAGTGGTCGCTGGCATCAATGGCTGAGCCATACAGTGAGTCGAGGTAAGGTAACAGTACGTCCTCAGCGCCAGCGTAGAAAACCTCTACGTCTTCAGGAGTTGTTTTCGATGGAGCCAACAATGATGTGACCGCTGTGCTGGCCGTCCGGAGATGCATCTTGATCTTCGCTTCCTTGTCGCCCGGTGGACCGACACCGTCGACGGACTTGCCTTGGATGACATTGGCATACTTCTCCGCAGAATCGCTGTTGAAGCTACCGATGTTGACATCCTCACTGAGCAGGGGGAGGTTCTTCTTGACATATGCGTCAAAGGCTTTGATGGTAGTGTTGACAACTTCATCCGTTACTGCTGGGTTATCGGCCTTGAACTTGGCAAGAAGATATTGTTGGCGCCCGCGCAGGATGATCTTGTCGTCAACGTCTGTGATGTTCTGAACGAACTTCAGCCTGTAACCGTAGTAGTGGGCCAGAATTCTCCGCAGAATGTCGTTTGTGACGTAGTTTCGAGCATGGCCCAAGTGTGCATCGTCGTAGACGGTAGGACCGCAGCTGTACCATTTGACTTCTTTGCCTTCGGGATCGATGGGTATGAAGTCATTCTTTGATCTAGTCAAAGAATTCCAGACTTTCAATTTTGCTGGGCTTGATCCTTTTGGTTCCTTCCATGGAGGCTGTGTGCGCGCTGGTGTCGCCATGTTGGCTGTTAATCTTGGCGATATCTGACTCCGATGTATCCAAGTGCAGTTGGTTTTCGGAAGAAGAAGTGGGGAAGGCGATTTGACGGTGCGGGACAAAGACCGGAAAGCAAGTACCATCAATGTGGCGGGAAATAGGACTGTAAGGAGTGACGGAGAACAGTGCTAGTAGTCAGGCCAGGTGTAAGTTGGGAAGCCGCTTACGGTGAGTCAGTAAGTGATGTTCTCGTCACGTTCTGTTGGTGGTCTCTGAGTGAGCAATAAGAATCCCTGTCAGTGAGGGCTTGGCATTCCCCTCCAATAGCGTCTTCGAAAGCTCCCCGCTGAATATCTTTTTGTTCTCTGGAGCTCCGAGTCGCGATCGCATCATCTCCACATCTTTGGTCTGTCGCGACTTCCTACACCCATGGCGACGACACCCTCCCCGTTCCTTGACCCGGGGACTTGTGCGACAGCAAACAACCTTGGTATATTGCAATTGCGCCGCGATCAACTTATTCCTGCCGTCTTGACACCCGAAGCCGATTCCGACTATCCTGAAGGCAAGGTTGAGAACACACGATTCGGCTCGTTCCCACATAGTACGCTTGTCGGGCAGCCCTGGGGTACACAAATCCTCGCGTCACTCGTTGACACCGGATCGCGCGGGAAAAACAAGAAGCGCAAGAGAGACACCAAAGATGAAGGAGAGGGCACACCAGTCGCCGAGCTGGATACGGCGAAGAAGGACATAGTGAAGGCTGCCGCTGCGAGTAGTGGTTTTGCGCATCTCATACCACCTACGCCAGAGATGTGGACGATATCGTTACCGCATCGTACGCAAGTCGTATACACGCCCGATTACAGTTACATCTTGCAGAGACTGCGCGCAAGACCGGGCGACCACATTATTGAGGCTGGCGCGGGCAGCGGAAGTTTCACGCATGCGTCCGTACGAGCCGTCTACAATGGCTACCCTGGGACACAAGCTACTGAGCCAGAGACAAACGGCGACGAGGAGAATGCAGTAGGCATGTCCAAGAAGAGGAAGCGCAAGACGCGGACTGGCGGCGTATACAGCTTTGAGTACCACGAACCGCGCGCACAGCAGCTACAGCTCGAGATCAAGGATCATGGCCTGGATCCTCTGGTCACAGTAACACATCGCGACGTGTACAATGACGGTTTCAATCTCGAAGATGCGACTGGCCCAGATGCCGATTGCATATTCCTCGATCTGCCAGCGCCGTGGCACGCCCTCAAACATCTCACGCGCTCCCCTCCCTCTTCCGCCGCATTGAAGTCCGTCGCTTCAGACCCATCCACACCAGACGAACCCGCAACCGAGGCACCACCGCCAAGTACTTCCTCCTCGAAACCCTTCCGCAGCCCCCTCAACCCGCGCAACGCAGTCCGCATCTGCACGTTCTCGCCCTGCATTGAACAAGTCACAAAGACCGTCTCCGCCCTCCGTACCCTCGGCTGGGTAGAAATAGACATGGTAGAGATCAATGCCAAGCGCCTCGATGTACGTCGTGAGCGCGTTGGTCTGCAAGAAGAAGGTGTCCGTGGAGGTAATGCGCATCCCGCCAATGTCCAAGAAGCGGTACAAAGACTCCGGGACGTGGAAGGTCGCGCGGCAGTATTCCACAGCATGCAGCGTGAGAAGCAGGAAGAAGTCATGCGGAAGGCTGAGGCGCGGAAACGGGGGGAGAATGTGGATAAAGACGGCGTGGGCCAGGGCAAGAAGAAGAAGATGGAAGGCGTACCTCCGAGCAAACATGATAGGCTTGCTCAGTCGAAGAAGGACATGGAGAGCCGGACATTGTTCAAGGAGGGCAGGCTGGTGCACAGGACGGAGCCGGAGCTCAAGACGCATACTTCGTATCTTGTCTTCGCCGTACTACCACGGGAGTGGACCAAGGAAGACGAGGAGAAGGCGAAGAGGAAGTGGGGTTGAGATATGAGCATATGATATCAATGGAAGATACCCAAATTACGAATACTATTCCTCGAAACAGGAGCTCTGTTCCTCGTTCCTAGAATAAGACATTTGCCTAAGACTAACACGGACACCTTCGACCCTGCCATTTGCGGACACCCACTATCCCCAGACAGCATCCTTTGCCCGATGGCTACCACTCCTCCCTGGTGGCGTGCTGATACTGTGCGTCCAAGCCTCGTTCCCATCGATGAACAACCTGTAGTTGACAAAGCTCTGCTCTCCGTGTTCAGGTGTGGTAATCTCCACAGCACCAAACTTGCTGTTACCGTCGGGAAGATACTTGAGGCATACGTCCTCATCATCTGTCTCCTTGTAGGTTCGGAACGGTAGATAGAACATGCTCAGCGGGCTAGTGCTGAACTCATGTACCGTAGCGCTCGTAGGCCACTTGCCATCCTTCGGTGGTGGAAAAGAGGTAGCAGCAAATTCGTGACGGTCACCGCTGAGGACTACGACGCCGATATCGTGCGTGGAAGAGAGGTCCCATGCAGCTTCCAGGATACGTCTGCGCTCATACAGATGTCCGCCCCATGTGTCTTCCGAGCCGAATTGCCAGTTCTTTGTGAAGGGTGTACCAGTTACAATGAATTTCCAGTGAACACCCGGAGGCGGCAATTTGTGTATCCAATCGAGTAGATCCGAGAGTTGCTGGGCACCGAGCATAGTCTTCGTGGGGTCGGATGCATCTTTGCTCGCGGGGGTACGGTATCGTCGCGTGTCGAGGAGGAAGAACTCTGCTGGACCTTGTGTGAAAGAGAAGTATGTGACGCCTTCGCGATGAGGAGGAGGGTTGGGCGCGGCGTTGTAGTGCGTGAAGGCGTCGTAGGCTGGAACTGCTACACCGGTCATGTTGCTGTTCCAGTCGTTGTGAATCTCATGGTCGTCAATGACATGAATCCATGGCAGGTTTTCGCTCACAGCCGGCCATGACGGTGAAGAGTACACCTGTCGGTACTCGCGTCTGTATGTCTCGACATCGCTACCTTGGCGATGTGGCACGTCCACGTAGATGAAGTCGCCGAGGAACAGCATGAAGTATGGCTTGAGCTCTGGCAGCCAGCGCGCTAGGTGTTTCATGCCGGGGAATTCGAGAGGGTGCTGGAAGGGCGTGTAAGGGACACGGGGCTTGATGCAGCTCGAGTGCACGAAAGTATATTTGTTGTCCTTAAGCATCGATATGCGTCCTGGTTTCGGTGCGGTCGTGAAGGTGCCTGATATGTTCCCGCGCGAAGTCTCAACGATGTACTCGTAAGGCAGATCGGGTCGGAGGTGTTCGATGTTCATGACGGTTGTGAAGTCGGTCTCGTTGGTGAGCCAATACTCGGGTTGGCTGGCGCGATGGGTCTTGTGCATCCACGATCGTTCTGTTCCATCGATGGAGCGATAGAGGACCTTCACGTCAAAGGCGTACGGCTCTCGCACCAAGATCTTTGCGCTGTTTTCCGACACGTAGCCGACGCGTGCAAAGCTCGCATCGTGGCATTGGTGGAGTATCGGAGCGCGATAGACGACGTCTAAGGCCATTGCAATCAGAGCCATGTTGATGCCAAAGGTGATCCAGCTCCACATGGCCGAAGAAGGACTTGGAAGCCCAGTGAGTAGTGTACGCAGCACCTTAGGCTCCCTTTCCTCATACTGGACAGTCTCCTGGACGTCAAGCTCTTTGAGTGGCCCATCATCGGCACCGTCAATGAGCTGTACTTCTTCGCTGGAGTCATCGCCGCGTCCGCCAACGGTCTCTTTCACGATGATGTCAAGTTCATCGGATATGACCTTGTACTGCGCCGTGTCCTGGAAGCTGGTGAAGAAGGAGGGGATGTAGACGAGCGTGAGGGCAGTCGCAAGTGCAGGTACGATTGTTGTGGGTATCTGCAGAACGGTCAGCTACATGCATCAGATACTCGTTCTCTCCTCATACATACCCATCGCAGAAAGATCCATATGCTCAGACGGAGTGTCAAAGAGCTAATGAGGGTAAGGACATCGCTCGCAGATGCCATGTTTGCTAAGCGACAAGCATCACTCGGCAGAGGTTTGATGGAGAGAGATGCGCGTCTCGAAGCTTGTGAAAGTGGAGCCGTCGTCACGCCAAACGCGAATTACCATGACGTCGTTGGCACTAACGACGAAAGTAGCTAGCGGTACTGCGCACGCGTCTGTGAACGTGTGACTTTGTCATTCACTCTCACCACGAACTACAGCCATCAGCGATGCAGTATCCCTCGTCTTCTCTATCTCATCGTCACCTAGGTATCATCCATGGGCCTGACACAAAAAAAAAAAAAGACGCGTCTTGCCCATCTGAGGATGCATGCCCGGGCTGAGTTAAGCGACATGCATCTTCAGCTACTCTACCCGTCAGGCTGAGATACTGGCACGTCTTCTTTCCCCGCTCCTCAAATCTTCGCCCCCGACATGCAACATGCGTCTCATCAACACAAGCACTCGGAAGTTCGAAGAGTTCATCGGCACATCAATCCCCACATATGCAATTCTTTCTCACACCTGGGGCGATGAGGAGGTAACTTACAGGGACTATGTTGAAACCCGCGATGCCTCCATGAGAGGCTACAAGAAAATCCTCATGACATGTAAAATTGCGGAAAAGGCCGGTATAACGCATTGCTGGATCGATACCTGCTGCATTGACAAAAGCAGTAGCGCTGAGCTGACGGAAGCTATCAATTCCATGTATCGATGGTACAGAGATGCAAAAGTCTGTTATGTTCATCTAGAAGACCTGGCTCCAACTACAGCGACAAGCGTCGATTTACCGAAATGCCGCTGGTACGCTCGAACATTTCATCCACACTTCTTGTACTAAGCATACTAGGTTCACGCGTGGCTGGACTCTCCAAGAACTGATTGCGCCACGCGACATTCAATTCTATGATGCCAAATGGAATTTCATCGGACTCAAAACGAATCTGATTGATGGCTTGTCGACTATTACTGGCATTGGCGCAGAAATCCTGATGCATGAACAGTCATTGGACCTAGTATCAGTGGCGGCAAGGATGTCCTGGGCGGCTAAGAGAGAAACTACGCGGACTGAAGACATGGCATATTGCCTTCTTGGAATCTTCGACGTCAACCTTCCATTACTGTACGGCGAGGCAGAGAAAGCTTTCCAGAGACTTCAGGAGGAAATCATTCGTTCGAAAGCCGATCTCAGTATATTTGCTTGGCAGTGTCCGCGGCCTCCCGGAATTGATAGATGGACGCTTACCGGTGTCCTCGCGCGATCACCAAAGGACTTCTTCAATGGTTATCTTGTGGAACGCATGTACAGGAGGGAGGCGCATGAATTTGCGATCACCAATGTCGGCATCAAGACGCGCTTGCGTAACCTTTGGGCACAAGACTACGGCTATGTTATGCAGTTGAACAGCTACTCGGCCGTTACGGGGAAACACTTGGCACTAAGACTGCGCAAAGTTGGACCAGAAATGTACTTGAGGGAGGGGCCATACGATCTTTTGGAGTATGCTACTGGCGCCTTCTCAGAGAGGCGACCTGTCGAGCGATACCTCCTTACCGCCATACCGGCAATTCCAAGGTTCTCGGAGTGGTTGGATCCATCGGCAAGGTTCCAGGACGCAGGACGGTTACTACACTTCATGCGACAATCTCCCGTTCGTATCAAGCTTCCATCGACGTTCAAGTTAATGAAGATGTGGCCAGCTGATCGCTGGGACGAAGAAGACCGGCTGTTCTTCGTGTCTGGCGACTCGCGTTGGGATACGTTCCAACTGAACCTACAATATGAGTTCAGTTACGTTGCCAAATCCTCCGATGGAACTGTCACTGAGAAGGCCACAACACTTGAATTTACCCTGTATGCCTTGGGATGGTCTCACATACAGCTCGACGCTATTGACCGTGCTTCATTCGGACTCATAAGCCGTCTAGAATACGCAGAAAGCATTGACAAGATACACCGGTGGATCTTGGAAGAGGAGCCAACCACGGCTGCCATATCCAAATGGTTCGCAGCGGAAAAGATACCCAGACACCAATTTATCCGCTTCGATATACCTCAAACACCTCGTAGCCTGGCCATAAAGATTGAAAGCACACTGCATAACATCGTCACTCTGACGGCGGAGGAAATCGACAGCATCGATGTGCTAGAGCGAGTCACACAGGACTGGCCTGAGTTCAGGGATTACTAGGTCGAGGTTACAGATTGCTGATGTACATGTACTATACAAGCCAGGCCTCGCTCGCCGTAGCTTTTCCTGAGTTCACATCCTCCACCAACTGTCCATACATGATAGCCGAGAAAGCATCATGTCCGGTATACTCAGTATCCTCACATATCACAGCATCGCCAAGATAACTGTATCTGTCTACGCCCTCATTTCTTAGCACTGCCGGTCTTCTCGCGCCATACATAACCCAAACCTCGTCACCTTCCCGAGCAGCCCTTGGACCAAAGACCCAAGCTCCACCGGACAGTATAAGCGAAGACACATGATCAAACTTCGGCTCCTCAATCCTTTCGATCTCGCCCACAACCACACCCTTGACGTTCAGATACTCGTACAAGTCATCTTCGGCATGGCTCTGGAACTGGTAGAGTGCATTGGTGTCGTTACCCGCATTGAAGGGAGTCGCCTTGTCCCACTCATGGTTATCAATGCCATACATCGTCTCTTTGCTCGTCCAGTCTGGAACCCACGAAGGTAGTCTTACGCCTAGATTCGCGCGACCACGATGTACATGCTCGAGAACACGGAGTGACTTGTCGCGACGTATGATGCTCTTAGCAGTCTGGATCAAGACATGCTCTAGCTTATTAGTACCTTCGTAGCTGGGTATAATATTGTAGCCGGGTTCTGCGAGTCCAATGAATGCATAGATCCTATCACGAGAGTCTGATGCTAAGCAATTCCGAGAGTGTTGCAGAAGAACCACCAAATCGGAATGGCGCCGGAAGTCCTTCTTCCCTTTGACGATTGATGCCAGTGCGGATCTGTCGAGCCGACGGAATTCATCCTGCAAGCGAGTGATTTTATCGCGTCGTTCGATCTCTTGACCCCCTAGTCTCACACGACTGATGTCTCGGCGGTCGGGCAAGGCTTCTTCCTCGATGATTTCGCTTGCGTCGTGTGAAGATATTGGCGACAGTCTGGCATCTTCCACGTTCGCTTCCGGGTTTGAAGGTGGTACTGGTGTCGGGTAGCGGTCCCAAGCTCGAATCGCTGCCGTTCTCGATCCGAGCTGTCGATCTGCAGAACGCACTTCTCGAGCATTACTTGCGTGGTATATGCGACTGCTCTGTGAGTCTGTCGAATTCTCACCTTGGATGAGATGCGGGGTTAGAAGTGACAGCGACAACTTTGGTTTCATGGGCGGTGTAATTGTGCTGGGTACAAAGTCGTTCGACATTTCGGGCACTTTGTCCAATGTGTGGAGGGCATGAACGCGTTCTGGTGCGTGCAATCGCCATCCACACCTCTGATTGAGTTTCTTCTCGGCCTTGGCGCTGCGTCCAATCGCTGCAGCTTGCTTGACTATCTGTATTTGGTCGTCTATAGGCTTCATGACTTCGAGCCCGAAGCGACCAAGCTTTTTGAGCCGCCGATGAAGTCGCACGACCTTCATTGGATGCAGAACCTTTGTAATAGATTTCATCTGGTAGCTCAGGCGAACTCTCTCTTGGAACACATCGTCACGCTGTTTTTTCTCAAACTCCTTCCTTTGATGTCGCTGCTGCTCGCATGCTGCGTTCCACTGCGATAAACTTTCTTCATCGTAACGTCTTTGCTCTTGCCTGTATCTCTCCTCACGCTCCTGCAACCGAATTTGGGCTGCCATGTGCTCTTCGGCCTTGCGCCTTTTCTGTTGTTCTTCATACTGCTTATGCCGCTTTGCCTCTTCAAAGGTACGTTTTCTCTCTTGTTCTTCTCGAAGTCTCTGCTGTTTCTTTCGCAGCAGCCTTTCTTTCTCTTCTCTCCATAGACTTCGTTCAATCTCCAGCTCTTCGCGATGCTTGGATTCCATCTCCTCGGTCACCTGTGACTCAAAGTGCTTACGAACATCTTCTGTGAACTGTTCCAGCCCATTGCAGACGAACTCGACGAGTGGAGATAAGTCGTGCCATCGTAAGGTGATAGATCCCGACATGAAGTAGATAGAGTTGGCAGAGAGAAACTCTTGGTATACCCAAGATCTATTCGGTCAGTGTAAGGTACCACTCGAAGCTAGTTTGACACACTCATACATACCTTCGCCACCACGAGTTGGTGATGAATGATGCTAAACTAGTTTGGAAAGTCGTGATAGAAACTCCACCTAATGACTCTTCATCATTTGGAACCAAGTCAACGACAGCTGTAGGCTCGGATGCGATCGCGCGTGACTTTGCGCCTTTGTTCCCCCCTCTGAGAAGCTCTAGCAATAAATGTTGCAATAATTTCACGCCCTGGTCTGCCTCCCTACGCGACGGCATCGCATCCTTTAGGTTGGAGCAGGCAAGGATTCCAGGCGTCCACGATAAGCAATCTTTGATAGTTGGAACAGACAAGCAGACATAGGTCTCGGAACTTCGGCGATAGATGTCGCGCATGATCTGAACCTGCTGTGAGCGTTCATCTTTGTCGCTTTGGTTAATACTAATCTGATCAGCCCATAACAGTAGCGGTTCTTCCCTGGGGTGAGTGGACGTCCAGTGAGCCCATAGCCTGTCGATCGCGTGCTCTAGGTTCGCAAACGCATTGAAGGGGATACCATCAACAAGAATTATAGCTGTCTTGTGCGGATCACCTGCACAGTACGACAGAGTGGTATAGTTGTCGCCGACCCTCATAAGCGAAGTCTTCTCCATTTCACATGCAAGTATTTCCTGGTTTCTATTCAGCTTGGACGCATGGCTCGCGTTCCAACTCGTGTTTTTGTCATAATGCTGCCACAACGGTTGTCGCGGGTGCACTCGGAGCAATCTGAACTCTTTGAGCTGCGATTTGAGCTGGGTGTAGGGCCTGGCGAGGTAGAATTTACCGTTTGCAGGTGTGTAGAAACTATCGTGTTCCTCAGTACTTTTCTGCGCGGGTTGGAAAGATTCTTGATCTTGAGCATGGTGATGGAATCTGGGTATTTTTACATCTCCGAGATGTCCAGATCCAAGTAATGGAGAGTCTTGATCCAAGCTTACTAAATCGCATGAGAGAGTGACTGAAACATCCTCGCTTTCTTCCAGACTGTATGACCTGTCTCGTATCTTCGCGAAGGTTGGCTCGTGTCGGTCCATCTCGGCGAGTTCGGTTGGGTGAGGTAGATGTACAAATTCATGCGAGGCTTCCTCGGGGCATTGTATGGATGAATGTGACTTATTTGGAGGCTGGTGGGGTCGATTGAATGTAGCAGCAGTCTTTGGTGCTGTCTTTGGTGTAATTTCTTGCCCGTCTATTTCATAGCTCGGTTTGGAAATTTCCCTCGCCAGACTAAAAGGAGACGAGCTACGACTTTGTCGATTAGAAAGTCCATTGTGCAACGAATGAGAGGATATTCCTATTGTGGAATATATACAGTTGCCACCATGCGAGATAGGTCGTAATTCAGGCGTGACAGGGTATGGTGGAGGACATGGTCGTTGAAAATAAGGCTGGTATGAAGATGCTGCTCCTGCCTGAACACCAGGTGGTGCCATCCATGCAGGTACTGAGTATTGAGTTACGTTCCCGTAATTCGTTTCGAGCATGTTTGGGTAGAGCATGTCTCCGAGCAGCTTCTTTCCCTGTGGCGCTGACAAGTTCTCAGACGGAGCGTCTGCCCGCGGGTTCGAAGACACCGTTCGTGTCTCAGTTGGGATAGTTCGGCAGGGTATCGCCCTCTCGCGCCCGAAAGTGTGCTGTGCGACGGTGTTTCCATCCGCAAGCTCTATGGGTGCTGATCGCAGCTTGTCGTAAGCAGAGAATGTTTTTTTCGCCAGTGGCGAAGGGAAGCGGATGTCGGTTTGTATCCCTCTTGAGTCTTTCGCCGACGAAGATGCCCTTCTAGGCAGATAGGAACTGAGTGAATCATCGCCATGGTTCCTCAGCAAATTCCCCGGTCTTGAGCACGACGGTCCCAGCTGAGAATGCCAGCCATAAGGATATGCATCCTGCCCACTCATTAGTATTAGCAACTTTCTTTCAGACAAGCGCGGCAGCGACTTGACTGAACAGAATGATCTTGAAGCTGATGCAAGCTCATTATCAAAGAAGTCCTCGTATCACTGTATTGAGCTGTAAAGTGAGCAGTCACCAGATCTTTACATCCCAATCTCCTTGAGATGAACGCCGCAAAGCGCCTGGGTGGCGCATGAACTCGTATAATGGTCTAACTGTGGCTGCTGCGATGATGTGGCATTCGCTCAGAGGGAAGAAAATAGACAAAAGTATGTATCAAACTAGGTGAAGTGAACGCGCACTGCGAGAAGTCCGAGATGTTGAGTGGGTATCCGCGGGCATAGGTATCTGTACAAGAGCGACGCTTCCAAGGTTGCCAAGCCGAGCCCGATCGTGTCTCCGCTGGACGCCGATAAGCCGCCACCAACCTCCACCTTCGCGATCAGCTGCAGCCCCTCAATGCTTCCAAACAGCAGCTACCAGTCGGATGATGCCTCACTCTGAAGGGAATTTCAATGCGCTCGTGGTTATTGGTGTATCTGGACGGTATCAAATGGCGGTGCAGAACGCCTTCACGTCCATTTCCGGCGCCTGCAGGTAGTCAGGCAGCAGTCATCACTAGAAGATGTGTCCGCACCCGTATTGGCCATACACATGGCAAGTAGCCTTCGCATGCGTCAAGAGGCAGTGCAAAGAACTGACTCCAAGGTTGCGGGTCCAGCTCACGAGCAGCTACCATCTTTATGGCTGTGTACACATCAGTTAGGCGGAATTTTAAATTCTCCTCCTAAGACGATGCCAATGACAAGCAGCTTACACCCATACATGACCAGTTCCATCCACGCCATATTTCGTCTTTCGCGGTGTGAGGCGTGGCCGTACAAGGCAAATGGAACTTCAGCCCGATGCGCATGGCACGCATCAGGCTAGGATTTCAGCCCATCGGGTGCTGCTTCTCATAAACTGGCGGCAAATCCCATTCTAGTGCAACAATACTTCACTTCTCCAGCACGTATGATTCGCACCTTTATGGCTGCACTACACTGAAATGCGCGACACACATGGTATAGCGAAGTACGCTGAAGAACATGGCGTTGCCCGACTCGAAAGACCCTCTTGTCTGCCAAGACCGAGACAGCCTCCTCCGGACTTCATAGGCCCCGAAGACCTAGAAGACGCACATACGTACTTGCTGCAAAGAAGACATGATCCCATGGGCGGCAAAGTCGAGCCATCGAAGAGTAAGAGAGCAAAATTTGGACTACTAAGTACCTCGCGCATCCAGAAGATCAACAAAACTTTCACTCTCCAGGAACGTCAAGATGCGGTAGAACATCTGCTGCAAACCAAGCGATCGGTTGGTCTCATTCAAGCAATCATCGACTTTCAAGACCATCCAGTGCTCGACATCGATATTTGCAATACAGCACCGACGAAAGTCCTGGGTTTCAAACGGTCCGACCCCGATGGCAACGTTAAGCCAAGTATGTGGCTCCAATTGGCCACCGAGAAAGATCTTGAGGATCATGTACAACTCCTGGCTAGCCGAGAACCTGACCAGTGTACTCTCGATGATGCTTTGGCAATTGCTATTAGCAAAGGCTCTAAAGCTATGGTCACAAGGCTACTTCGATACGGTGCCGATATCAATACTTGTCGCCAAGAGTTCATGAACAGATCAATCAACGGAGATATGCAATGGACGGAATTGCTTCTGAGCTCGCCTCACCACCCGGTGGATCAGCTGGAAAGAGATGATGCGTTGGCCGCATCTGTCCAGAGCAGAGACTTGGAAATGGCCCATCTTTTACTCACATTCGGGGCTGATGTCAATCATTCACGTGGCCTTCCTATCAAGCGCGCTATCCAGCAGTCAGACCTTCGAATGACCATCCTCTTGATCTCTACCCCCTCAATATCAGACGCGACCTTGCGCAGAGCCATCAAGGACGCTTGCACTGATTCAGTCTACAAAGATTCAATCAGGCTTGGCATGGTGAATATCCTTCTCTTAGCTGGTGTCGACATTCCACGGTCATCTCTGGGAAGTCTTCTCAGAATTGCGATGAGTGCCAACGACACATCTCTCGTTGCACTTCTCATCAGGTACAATCAAATCTCCGCGATCGATGCAACAACAGCTATGGAGAAACTATCCACTACCCTGCCGGAAGAAGATGTGCTCCACATGTCTGAATTGTTACTCAAAGCTGGAGCTCAGGCCATAGCCTTGGGCTCTTTACTCTACTGGGCTGTAAAGAAAGACTATGATCGAATGATTGCACTCCTGTGTGAATATGGAGTATCTATTGACTTCGAAAACGCTATTTCCATTCGATTTGCGCTTAAACGGCACGATACAAAGTTACTTAAAGTCTTACTAAGCGTCGAAAGTGCAGCATTTCGCGGCAGTACATCCACGAATACAGTTCTCGCAACCGTACTCCCACAGGCTCTTGGATTGAGCAGCAAGAACAAAAGACGTCAAGCAGTACAGCTTTTGCTCCAAAAAGGCGTAAAGGGCCCCTTTGTCGACCAGGCTCTGCTTGATGTGGTCACAAATCCATCAATCTGTGATTTCAGCATTGTCAGCATGTTACTCGAAGGGGCAGCATCTGTGAACTATTACAAGGGCGGCGAAAACTGTCTGCTCAGCGCGGCACAGGATGGCAGCTTAACGATGGTCAATCTACTCGCCGCGCCAGAGCGTGGTGCGATGCCCCAACTACTATCCTATACGATACAGCATTTGTACCACTCCCGGGCAAAGTCGGTCCACAGCGATCTCGTCAAGACTATGGAGGTCCTTCTGCAGCGTGGAGCAGACTGCAGTGACGACACAGTCGCTCAAACTCTGGTCTCTGCAATTCGCGCTGCCGACGATGATAAGAATGCAACGATTGTCAGGCTATTACTGCAGTATGGCACCGAAGTCAACTACAACAACGGTCAACCCATTCAGGAAGCCATCAGATTGACGAATGATGAAATTCTTACATCGATCTGCACCACAGACAGAATCAACGAGAGCTCATTCGGCCACGCTATTCAACCTGCTATTAAAACTTCAAGGATCGATCAGTCCAAACTGATTATCCTATTGCATCACTGCAAAGCCTTTACCAATGTCACTGGTGATGCATTGATAGCAGAACTCACCGAAGGCCCTTCTGGTGGTCAGGATGAAATAGTACGGATTCTTTTGGAGAATGGGGCGGACGTGAATCGCAACGAGGGCATGGCCTTCTCGAAAGCGATTGAGATCGTATCACGGTCCAAGTCACTGGGCTATCTGCGATTGTTGCTAGCACAGAGCCCTCTTGAGACGGCATTGCGCACAGCTTTCACTTCAGCAAGGAAACTGAACTGTCCTTTGAGTCATCGGCATGAACTCTTCCGGCTTATTCTTGAAGCGGGGTTCAACGGGAAAGACATAAACAACGCGCTTGCCGAAACGATAAACTCGAACCAAGACGATCTGACCATCCCACGCCTTCTCCTCCACTACAAAGCTGACGTCAATCATGAGCAAGGCTCAATACTGATCTCGGCGACAGATCTTGGTAACATACAAATGGTAGCCGTGCTACTTGCATATGGACCAGTCGCTTCGACGGTCGACAGATCTTTCAAAGTCGCCTGCCACGCGCAAACTCAAGAAACCCACAGGATCAAATTATTCCAATGTCTACTTACCACGAATCTCGTTTCTAGGGAAACCATCACCTACGCTTTGACTCACGCAGTTACCAAGGGTAATAAAGATAAAATTCTCCTCGCAATGTTATGCCGTCACAAGCCAAGAGTCGAGGTACCGACGCTCTTATCGTTGATACGAGACAATGATGTTTCTACAACTCAGTTCTTACTCAAAGCACGGCCACCGACACGGGAAACATGCTCGCATGCGTTCACAGCCTGCCTCGATCTTGAAAGGGATCTGCGACTTGCCTTTGCTCAGCTTTTCATCGGCAACGGTCTCGACAGAGCAGTATGGGCGGCAGCGGCACAAAAGGCAATCGAGAACCAGGATTCACATTTTCTTGATCTTCTACTGCTTCACAGCTCTAACAGGCATGCAGAAATCGATGCGGCGCTAGTTCTCGCCGCGAACACATTCAACACGTCCATATTACGGGCTCTGCTCTTGAAAGGACCAGATTACAGCGCTCGAGATCAAGCGTTCGAAAATATGTTAACCTCACAGAAGATGCAAAGCACAACCGAATCTAAGTCTGCGGCAATCGCTTTACTTGAGTATGGCATCAGTCAATCTCTTAGAGATCGCGCGCTTCTACAGAGCTTTGAGAGTTATCGACATAATGGATCCGACTTTTACCAGGTGCTGCTTGAGCATGACGCAGATGTGACCATCCAGACTTGCATTTGTTTCACTCTTGCTGGCCAATTCGAGGACCTGGATATCTTCTGCTCGCTGCTCCAGCCCAAGACAGACTTCGATCTCGTGATCAAGTCGCTTATTGGTCAATTCCCGCAGGAACGTTATGAGCGACTCGTTGAACTCATTTACACCACCGTGACGTTGCCGTTCTACAACAGCAAACGCCGAGATGTGAGCGTCATTTTCGATGCTATGCATCGTTTCGGCCAGGGAGTTGGCTTGGTACGATTGCTATTAGAATATGGCTACCCCGCTGGGCAAACGTTGCGTAGTGGTGAGAGGGATAGTGGGAACTCCGAGCCTGTCACCCCCGTGATTTGGGCGCTTGGACAACCAGAAGAAGGTGTCAGTGACGACGTTATTCTGACACTGTTGAAAGCAGGACAATCAGGTTAGTTCACTACTCCTTTGACCACATCTAAAAGCTCTGAAAATAACTATCTGAAGCAAACCCAGGATTCACAACTAAGGATTCAGGTGCTTCAGCCATCACCCTAGCGGCACAGCGTGGCCGACATGCGATTCTCAGACGATTGATTGAGCTCAATGTCGACGTTTCCGCCGTGGATCGATCTGGGCTATCACCTCTCTTCCACGCTACAGTAAATACCGACGAAATTTCGGTCTCCATGCTACTCGAGAATGGAACACAACCCAACGACGGGAGCTTACATGAGGCAGCACGTCTTTGCCAGAAGGGCATGCTTAAATGGCTACTGGAAAAGGGCCATGATCCAGATTATGCCTGTGATCTTCACGAAGGAAGAACAGCTTTGGGTGAGTTATGCTCAGAGGCTACCGTGAAAAATGGGGAAGAATCTTCTGCGACATACGAGACTATAAAGTTGCTCATCAATGCTCCGGCAGACTTGAGCTTCAGGACCAAAGGGAAGACGGTTTTACATCTGGCCCTGGAGAATGAGCATCCAATCGACATCACCAGAGCATTGTTACGTTTTCCTGAAATATACAAGGACCTGCGTACTGACTCGGAAGTATTCGTATACGAAAATGACCATGGGAGGTTCATGTCCCCAGATCTCTACGCGCAGTACTACTGCAGTGATGAAAATTGCTACAAGCCACAGCTCATCGCTATCCTGGAAAGCAAGTGCAAGACGAAATGGTTCACGAAGACAGGAATCCAGCTCCAAGACTGCAAAGGTCTTCCGCGCGAGCTAGAAGAGATGAAGAAACAGCAAGACCTCGCTGATCAAGCCGAGCATCGTGCGATACAACGACGCCAGCGTGACGCACAGAACGAATTGCAAATCAGCCAAAATCACCACAGGAACAACATGCTACAAAGCCGAGAACAAGCTGACCTGAATCTCTTCAATGCACAACGACTCAACGACCAACAAATCGCACATGATAGCAGGGCATCAGAACAGCGACGCTTACATTCAAATCTAGACCGCGAGGCCGAACGTTACCATATCCAGGAAAGCCATAGACTTATATACAATGCCGCGCAGCAAACACGACAGCTCGAGTACACCTCGCAGCAGCAATTGAAACAATTAGAGATCAGTTCCCAAAACGAGCAAAACCAGCGGCGATATACGGCGCTACAACGAGAAGCTGCACATGAGAGGAACCTGATCGAAGACAGAGAGGCGGCAGAGAAGCGCAGCCAGACCAGAGCGATAGAAAGAATGGCACGTCAGGATGAAAGCGTGAGGCTGATAATGCAGGAACAGCGAGGTCTGATTGCTGCGGCGAAGGAAGCAAAGGTGGACGCGCAGGCTACCAAGTTACCGGCTTTGACGTGGAACGAAGACGTCGATTAAAGAGTCAAGTAGATAGAATCGCGATGACGAAAACAAAAACATGACGATGTTCCTGTTCCTGTTCCCTTCTCTCATCATCCCTTCTCTCATCATCCCATCACCTACCTCCCCCCCCCACCTGTCTCCCGTCTCATCTCCACACGCATCCCTCGCGGTCGATCAAACAGCCTTCATACGCACCCACAACCACATCCACATGCACGCCATACATCCTCCCTCCGCTATCACAATCATACGTTCCTGCGTCCTCCTCCGTATGCCTATCTTCCTTCTTCCCGTTTCCATGCGCCAAGTCGCTGTTTCCTTTTCCAGAAATATCTCGCGCATTCGCGGACTTAACGCGTTTCACGTTGACGAAGGAACAATCATAACACGACGGAATGCGACGTAGCACGACACGGCAGGACGGCACATATCAACACAGTACAGTAATCAGCCCACCCATTGTAGTCGTAGTCGTTGTCGTGGTCGTGGTCGTGAGATTAAGGCACATCCTGGATACACTACGCACGTACCACACGGAGAAATCTTACTGGAAAGGCTTACAGTACAGCGGCACAAGGCGATCACAAGGGTCGGTGTTGGTAAGTTTGAGACGTGAGATGACGGGTATCTGATCGGGTCGGTGGTTTTCACGGCGAGATAAGAGAGGGAGCGATGGGAGCGGTGCGGCAACACCGAGTCAAGTCACATGCGTCGTCGGACGTGAGGGTCCTTTTTGTTCGTCAATTCCGGACAGCGGGTTATAGGCAGGGATGGGCCGGATATTGAGATCGCCTGAGTGAGGCTGGTTTTTCTTTCCTCTCTGCATCTCGTGTCTATCGGGTGGTAAGTGGGGTGCTGTGACCGTGTGATGGTGGAGTGGAGAAGGGATGAGCGGTGGGTGGGTGGTGAAGTGGAGTAAAACGGTCGTTGTGTCGGGGGACAGAACGGTGTTTATTGCGACTTAGTCAGGATAGCCGAGCATGGATGCTGAGGGTGAGTCGAGATAGTCATCTCCATTGGCGGTGTGATTGATGGAGCGACAGAGGTGAACGCATGGACTACACGTCTACTGTAGCAAAGGCAAAGCAAATTCCCATCATTGCCGCACTGCAAGTGTACGCGGAGAGGGCGTTGTCAAGTCTTTTTCCTCCGGCTCTAGTGACTACTCCGGAGTACTATCGTTTGCTTACCCGAGTAAAAAGCACACTGAGTTCACACATGCAGCCGACATGTATGCTACACATGTCGGATGTTTGTAAACTGTCGGTGTTAGCCGATAGGCTGCATGTTTCGTGGTCCAGTTAGTTTCCTTCTGTTCGCCTCGTTCCTCTTCCCAAACAGGGACAGAACAAGGGTACCTGTCCCCACATCAATCACCCTGCGATAGCCAAGCCCAAAGCAACACAGCGCAAAAACTGGGCCTTTGGACGCCTTCGGTCCGCGGCAGAGCACAAGGGTAGTTGGTGGAGACGGCGCAACTCAATCGGTCCTGGAAATAATGCCTTTTTTTTCCGGAGCCGAAGGAGTTGTAGAAGAGGAAACTTGGATTTTGAAAAGTTGAGACCCAAGGGTCCACAGTAGAGAGGGTCTTGCAACGTCATGTTGGACCGTGGTGTTGGGTTCACGAAGGTTTGTTGATGCCTGGTAATGCTGGGAAGGTTTGTGGTTGGAAACCTGGTGGTTGGGCTGCGTTATGTGGCGTCATTGTGCATGCGCGCGCTGGCGATGTCGTTGTCGCAAGTTGATGGCGTGACACCCCGGAGTACCGTGAACATGTACGTCACAAAACAAAGGTAGTAGCCATGATCATGCATTTTGGTGGAGCGATGTGACAGGCAAAGTGTAGTAGTAAGCGAGGTAGATTCTATTTCTCTCATCTCGCTAAGTGAAGACGACTAATTGGGATATCATGACTGTTCGTTCCGAAACAAAACAAAGTCAGGCTGCAAGCTCAGCGACAAATTGTAAAATGACAAGAAAATATGCATGCTGGATGCGATGATAGCGACAGATGGATATGTGGCGGCGAACACTTCGCGATTGCCAACGGCGGAGTAGCTGGGAGGGTATCGTAACCTCTAGAGGACAAACAGGAACGGAGAGTAGAGGACAAGGAAATGCCATGTCGTGCGCCATGGGTACACCGGGTATTATGCGCTAAGGTTGCTTAAGTGCCAAGGCGGCGAGCAGGGAAGAAGATAGTGGTTGGTAGAGTAACATGTACAAGGTAGTCGCATGCTGGGGAGGTTCGTCTATGCGTTTATGCGAGCGTTTCGAAACAGATTGAGTTCTTGATGCGTTCATAGGGAATCCATGAAATCCATTAGTGACTTGCGTCGTCGGATTGCGCGGCTCTTGATGCTGGACGTCGCGTCATCGGTCTCGCTGCCAAGGAACTCTGGTATGACAAGTGTAGGTTCACGCTCGTTGGCGCCCCGGGCTGTCATCCTGCCCATGGTGGTGGAGCGCTTTTGCTGCATAGTGCTGAGTTGCGGGACCGGGGGAGCGGTCTCTGGTGTGGGTGTCCGCTTGGACTCGCTGCCGCGAGACTTGGGTCGGAGGATGGTAGATGCGCGGCGGAGTTTGTTTGGGCTGGAGAAGTTGTCGGTGCCTTGGATGGGTGCAGTCATGGGGGTCATGGGCGCTGGTGTCATTGGTGTGGTGGGGCCTCCTGGGGCTCTGCCGTTGATGCGAGAGTCGTATGGCTTCTTCGCTGGCGAAATGGCAATCTTGGCCAGAGACAGCTTCATGGATATCGACCGTAGCCGTCGGTGCGCAGCAGGCTTCTTGATGATGGGCGACGCAGCGCTCTTGTTCTGGTTCTCGTAGGGGTCAGAGCTGAGGAAAGATAGAGCGGGCGACTGAGGAGTCAGCGGAGCGAATTGTGATTGCCGATACGACGACTGGTATGACGATTGTGATGTTTGTATCCGTGACAGGTCAAGACGGGACTTTGTGGGAACGTATACGGAGGAACGAGCAGAGGTGGAGGGCCGGCGAGGTGCTTCGCTTGGTGCAGGTGAGAAGCTACGACTTGAGCCGGTCTGGAAGGACGATGTAAAGGAAGCGGAGTCGGGGTACGTGGTAGGCTTCTGCGTGATGGGGCTGTGGCTGGTGGAGGGCCGTCGGGGCTCGGGGTCGGCGACAGGCGATGTTGAGCGAGAAAGAGGTGGTGAAGCCGGACGACTTGTAGGCATCACCTTCATAGACAGGCGCTGTGCCTCGTCGGCCTTGCGTAGCTTGCTGGCTGTGGTAATTGGGAGCAGGTTGGCGACTGAAGCCGAGCGCTGCTGCACCGTTGGGCGATCGACAGGTGAGCGGCAGTCGACCTCAACAACCTTGGGACGACCTGCATTCGCGTAGGAGACTAACACGGCCATGTCGCAGCTCTTTCCCTTGTCCCATCTCGATACAGACATGGTCCTCGCCTTGCACTCGTGTGAGAGGTCGTGGACAACCACGTCATCGTAGTCATATTCAGATTCAGAGGCGGAAGCGTCGTCGGCAGTGAGGTCTTCTTCGCTGGAGAGGTATCGCTCCTGGAAAACTCTGCCTTGCTTCTTGGTGGAGGGACTCGAGGTTTGTGCAGGGGCCGAGTCTATGCGCAGGGTGTCGGGAGCATCGTCGCACAGGTTGGGGCTCGAGGCAGCACTGTCAGTACTAGAACGCTGTGGGCGGGCGACAACGGCAGGCTTGTCGAAGGTCCACTGCTTCAATTGCGAAGTCACAGCAACGTTGACCATGATTGCGGAGAGGGAGAATTGGCAATTGCAGTTGCGTGGCTCGTCCAGTGGGTGATATATCGGACTGAGCGGCAGCCGGGACGAGTTGAAACCAAGGCGTGCAGGTGCTACGCGCCAATGGTCGGAGACGTGTGCGTGGCTTGGGAACACCAGGCAAGCCGGCGCTGAGTGAGACTGGGCTGTTGCACGGGGTGTTGGAGTGTGAGATGCCAGATACGGTGGAACACGCACTGAGGGGCAGTGTATGTAGGGCGTGGTGTGCAGTAGGGTGGGTTGAGAAAGACCGGCGCTATATTACGCACATTGGCGAGGGCTGTATATATTGCAGCACTTTCCAAGGCTGCGCACCCCTGGCAGGCGTCGAGGTTTCAAGTACAACCGAGGAGCGAGGGAACCCAAGAGTCAGTTCACCGTGTCGGTGCGCCATTCATCATCTCACGCTGGGCTAGCACAGGCACGCTGCACTGACGCTTGAGGGCTGCATGGCGCAACTCTGCCTGGACTAGCAGCGAACCTGATCTGAGTGGCCGACGGCGAGTTTCAGACAGTCGAGTGTGCACACCCTCAGCAGCGAGCGCTATCAGAGCGCGCCTGCTGCGAACTCATGGCGTGCACACCCGACTGCTGCCGTTGCAAAAGCCCGTGGGGCGTTGCGATGGCAATGTCACCAGAGGACGGCACGCGTTCAAGATCGCCATCCTTTCATCTTCGCGCCAGGCGGCCTTTTCCCTTCTGAGCGCCCTCGACGGTGACCTGACAGGTGTTCCTGTGCCGCTCAGGGGCAGCACCACTCAGCGCCCGCCGTCTGCCACTGGGGTGCCCACCGTGTGGGGTTGGCCCAGGACCCGGCGACGCCATTGCCGAAAGGATCATCCATAACTGTCACCATGTCTTTTTTCGCTGCCCGCTCTAACCGTTGCTTGGATGCAAGACCCTTCTTCTGCAAACTCTCCCATGCAGGCCTCCCCTCTCCCTCTGCTGGACTTGCCTCCGACGCCTGCCCGCCTGCCCGCCCCCAGCCCCAGCACGCCTGCCGTCGCACAGCGCTGACGGCACGAGAATATCTGCCTCGTCACGCCAACGCCTATCTTTGAGCGCATGCAGCGGGCTCTGAATCCACTTGGCATCAGCCATCAGGAACACGCTGATCGCCTGGCTCTATTCTCGGTCCAACTGCCATGGGCTCCAGTTTACCTGCAGTTTATCTGCAGACCGTGTGCACGGTCGCTGCTTCCCCATTCGTCGCTGCACTTTCTGTAGCCCACACCGCCAACACCACCATCAGGCCTCCCTGGGCCCTGCGCAGCCTATACCTATAGTTCATCGTGCCGCCCTCTCAATCACAAACCGCAGAAATTTCCATCGAGTCAAGACGTATCCCGCGATTTGTCTGCGAGGGTCTTCTGATTGCCTTGCAGAGTCAGTCACGTCGCCGAATGCAGCCACTAGCATCTGCTCGGCAATCTGTGTAGATTACACTACGCCTCTAGCAGCTTATCGTCGGAGTTTAGGGCCGTACTAGTTGGCTGCTCGCAATACCGACATGCTTTGCAGCAGGCTGGTCAACGGTAGCTAAGGTTTGCAGTCGCGGCCAGTCATTACGAGAGTGTCTCGTTGTCTACTGTCAGCATATATCGCCCTGGCAGCATCCGACTACCAGTTCCGGACTCACACTGCAGCATCGCTCGGACCATAGTCCATTCTTAGTCACTACCGCTGACTTCAGCATGTTCTGTGGTAGCTTTGTGGTAGCCTTGTTGCACCTTAACAGTCCGGCCCCTTGAGCTTGCGTCGCAAGGCGCACCCAAAAGGGTCCAATACTCAACACCAACGGCCGATTCATCGTCTGGTTTCCTTTCGTCAGGTTCGCAGCAGTTCACACGATTGTCCGTTTCACGCCCATACATACCGTCTGAGCCCTGCATGGAGAGAAGCGTGTCTCACACGCAGTGCCTTTGCGCGTGGTGACGCTTGCGCACCCGTTGCCACGCTCAACCGTACCGCGTGGTACCAAATTCGGCCTCGGAAATCTCGCCCTGATCGTCTCAACGTGGTAACGACAGTGACTGCTGGCGCTACATGCACAAGACCGAAACACCCCTCTACCCGATCTGTTATCATCACCACATTGGAGTGGCTTTGAGGACAAGATCAGTTCACAACAAGGCAACAGGCAAGCACATGCTGAGAGACACGGCCTCATCCGTGACAAGGACATGCATCTCTGTCTGCGATGATGCCATCTCAGTTGCCCCTCGACCCTAGCTGGTTCAGTCAGAAGCAGGCACTCCCCTAGGATTCCAACATAGACACGAGCATTTGGCCCCGTGAATCCGCACAGGTATTTTCTGATGTAAGGTCTTACATTGACGCAGCGATCCGCGATCGAGCACCGGCTTGTGTTCCAACGGAGCTGACAAGCCCAAGTTCTGGGGGAGCACAAGCATCCACAGATTATGCTGACAGACGACTCGCGGTGCGCCGAATCACTCTGGACACTTCTCAAATGATCCTGGTTCATTTGCGACGCCTGTGTGTGTCTGTATTACAGCCGCAACAGTCGCGCCGTCATGTTTGAGGAGCAGAATACAGCGTGGGGGTGTGACGCTAACGTGCCAGTTGATTGACAGACAAAACGGGTCGGAAAAATATCAGTGGAATTTGAGCGATTGACGCTTGTCCATCAACGGCGAGCTACTTCATCTCCAACGGCGAACCACGAAATTAATGAGAACCCGACAGTCGGGATCGGCAGGCCTCATGAACATCGCAGCCAACACCCACGGCTAAGCAGAAACCTTCTCGAACATCTGATCATCGGTCGTAATATTGTTCGCACACCACCAGTCAGCGTTTGCTTGGAAGCGAGTTTCACGTATAGTATACTCGACCGACATCGCGGCATAGCTGTACCGGTTGCCGTGTCTTGACCACCATCGTGGGGTTTGCACCAATCAAAACAAGACTCGTGGATGGCGCAAGCAACCACATCTAAGACATAGCGATACCGATATTACAGCAGTCGGCAAGGGTCGAAGATTAGCCGGTTCATGTATCGCCCGGGTAAGGATAACAGAAGTTTGGAGACATTGACGATAGTGCAGGCCGATGGAGAACAGAACAGCAACAGCTTGCGAATGGACCTTTGCGGCTTGTTATTAACAGTCGTGCGACACTGCACTCAAGCAGTGCGCTTGGTGACAACTTCAGTATTCATCTACACGGTGCACACATCCCGTTTCTATGATTCATCACGCAGACGCGCGCACTGGCAACTGCCACGTGCTATCGCACAATTAGTCGTGGTCGCGTGGTCAACCGATCCTAACCCCGAATGCAAAGTGCTCGCCTTCTGGCCGCTCTATTCGCTTCAGCTTGCGCGCAAGGAGCAACACAGAAGACGCAGACACCCGCAACTTACAAGGCGAACTTGACTGACTGCGCACTACCTACAACGTTATAATGTGATCCCTTGAAACAGCAAGGGAGTAACTGAATCGAGACTGAAAGCTACTTCTCAACAGAAACATCCAGATAAGACCCGATAAGCGACAAAAGCAACCGTGTACAACGAAAAACGTTCGCTTCGGATGCATACCTCCCGTATCCAAGCTTCACCGCATGACCTCAACCCATCGGCGACATCACCGAGGCAGCAGCAGCGAAAGCGACATGCCATGGGCGGTTACGTATCAATTGTACGACGACGACCCTGTACATTGAACAACCTGAACGTCCACAACATCCCCTTTTGTACCTGACGGCCAAGGTACGTTTTCGCAGATCTCATGGATTAAACGTGGAAATCAATGGATTAAAGTTCCTAGCCGCATACTTGGCGTGTCTTGTTCGAGCCTTTCGTACCTTTTGTTCACTCAAAGCGCTCGCATCCCCGCGTGGTAGATGCCGATTGTTGGGGCAGAAGAAGGAAATATACAACAAGTGCTCTGCATGTGACTTCGCATCGTTGGGACGAGATGTTCATATTACGATGATTATGCCTTTGGATTGACAAGTGTGATACTCGCTCCAACATACATTCGCTTTTTTCTCTTCGTTTCCATCTCTTTTCGAGTTTACCCTTTTCCTTGTATTTGTTCGCGATTAATATACCCGCTCTCTCAACAAGGAGAAGATGGCGACTATGGTCATGCAGACTGAGGTCCAGTACCAGGCACCGGTGATGATGGCGACAGCAGTGTCTACGCCGCGCAAGCTGTGGGAGCATACAGATCCGACGTCTACAGCTATGTGGAAGTTTATCCAGGATGCGAATGCAAAAAGGGGGTTGCAGATGCAGGTATGTTTTTCTTCCTGACTTGGTGATACAAAGAGGCGTGCGTTTTTGCTTGAAGCATCGTGCGCGTAAGTCATATTCTTTTGTTTAGTCAAGAGGCCGTTGCCAATTACATCAGAAGGCAGAATTTGTCCTTCACACGTGGAACACACGAACGCAAGAACATGAAACTCAATCAGACCCATCGCATGCCATCCACTTTTCTTATCGTCTACGATGAAGCCAATAATTGTCAAAGACGGTTGAACAATACTAACATGCTCTCTACAGACCTTCCGCGACCTTTACAACTGGAGCGTCGGCCCCTCACGCACAGATTTTTGGGAAGACATGTGGGAAACCAGCAACCTTATCTATTCCGGCAACTACACAACCGTCGTCGATACTTCGCTGCCCATGGAAACAAATCCACACTGGTTCCAGGGTACCTATCTCAACTTTGCCGAAAACATCCTCTTCACTGCCGATCCCACCTACCCCGGCGTACGTACCACAACCCACAAAGAAGAAACCAAAATCGCTCTCACAGAGATCCGCGAGGGAAACACAGAGATCCGTCATTTGACATGGGGCGACCTACGACGACGAGTTGGCGTCCTCGCGAATGCACTGCGAGCTAGAGGAGTCGGGAAGGGGGATCGTGTCGCTGTCATTGCATCAACGAGTTTCGACACTTTCATTGCGTTCATGGCGACGGTTGCTGTGGGTGGACTGTTCAGCTCTAGCAGTACGGATATGGGTGCCAAGGGCATCCTCGAACGGTTACTGCAGATTCGACCCAAATACGTTTTTGTGGATGACTGGACGGTATACAACGGCAAGACCTTCGACCTTCGACCCAAGATTGAGCAGATCGTTGCGGGGATGAAGAGTGGAGGTGTTGAAGAATTCGAGGGTGTTGTTGTGCAGCCTAGGTTCCCTGGAAGACCCGCCGATGTCACAGATCTGGCCAGGACGGTGCGGTTGGACGAGTTTTTGGAAGTGGCCGGAGGGGACAACACATTGAGGTTCGAGCGGGTGGCGTTCAGAGATCCGTTCCTGATTGTGTACTCAAGTGGAACGACAGGCGTACCGAAGTGTATTGTGCACTCCACTGGTGGCGTTCTCATCAACGTAGCGAAGGAGAGTATACTGCACAAGGAGATGACGCCCGAAAGCGTCGTTCTACAGTACACAACCGTAAGTACCTTACTCCGACTTCGCAGACTGCCGAACTAACGAACACAGACCGGCTGGATAATGTACGTCGTCTCAGTACAAGTCTGCCTCTTGGGCACCCGCTCCATCCTCTACGACGGCTCGCCCTTCCAACCCACGCCCGAAACCTTCCTCTCGATCCTCGAAGAACAACGCGTAACCGACTTCGGCACCTCCCCGAAATTCCTCCACGAGCTGCAAAAGCGCAACATTACCCCGCGCACCCTCTTCCCCTTCAAGTCTCTCAAAAGCGTAGCAACAACCGGCATGGTCCTCCCCGAAGCGCAATTCGAATGGTTCTACGACACCGGTTTCCCCGCTCACGTCCACCTACGCAACATCTCCGGCGGCACCGACATCGCCGGCCGCTTCGGCATCGAAAACCCGCTCGAGCCCGTGTACAGTGGCGGCTGCCAGGGCCCGTGTCTAGGCATGAAAGTCCAAGTCTACGACTCCCTCATCGAATCTGGACCCGGGTGCGCTGTCCCCAACGGCGAACCAGGCGAACTCGTCGCTACAGCTTCTTTCCCTAACCAACCTGTTTACTTTTACGGCGACGACGCGGCAGGGACTCGGTATCAGTCTGCGTACTTTACCCGTTTCCCTGGCGTATGGACACACGGCGATTTCATCCAGATGCACCCCATCACCGGTCAGATCCTCTTCCTCGGCCGCGCAGACGGCGTACTGAACCCCAGTGGCGTGCGTTTCGGCTCTGCAGATATTTACAGCGTGGTTGAGACGCATTTCCCCGAGATCGCGGATAGCGTCTGTGTGGGGCAACGGAGACCTGGGGATGCGGATGAGAGTGTTATGCTGTTTCTGAAGATGAACAAGGGGTACGAGTATACGGATGGGTTGGTGGATAGGGTTAAGAGGAAGATTGCCGAAGAGAGGAGTCGGAGACATGTTCCCAGGTTTGTGTTTCAGACCTGGGATATTCCGGTGAGTTTTGTTCTTCTTTCTCTGGCGAGCTTCTAAGAGCGCGATACTAACGTGTGTTATAGACTACAGTGAACCTGAAGAAAGTCGAGTTACCTGTCAAGCAAATCGTCTCAGGCAAGAAGATCAAGCCGAGTGGGACGTTGGCGAATCCGGAGAGTTTGAAATTCTACGAGCAGTTTGCGGATGTGGAGGAGGTGGTTAGGAGGATGACGATTGCGAGGATGTTGATGGAGAGGAGGAGGTGGAGAAGCAGTACGTTGTAGGTAGTGACTTGAGGATGATAGATAGCGTGTGTGGCGTCCTTATTCCTTTTCTCTCTTCCCCTTCTTTTTTTAGATATCTCTTCTTTCCTTGCGTCTTTATACCTATAGGCCAGCTCTGTCATCTCGCGATGCACGGTATAGCTTAGCTGTAATACATATTATTCCCCGAACCCTCTTACTATTATATCACTTCATACAAGAAAAAGACTAAAGAGGTCTAGAGACCACATTAAGATAACATCTTGCAAAGTAGGTAACCTAACGTCGATGTAGACTCTACGGTGTTCAGTTGTACCTAGGTTGACATGACATTATCTTTGAGCGGAGAACACCTCCCATCAATCATGTCAGCTCGCTGACGACTTTGCGATATCATCTCACAGATCTCTACATCAGCACATATGCATAGTCAGACTTGCAACATGGAAATAACCATCTCATTCAAAAACCCTGCCATTTGCCCACTGAAGAAGGCATCTCGGCGCTTCGTACCGCCATAAAGTGAATCGGCGCGCGTCTAGAGACTTTTCTTTCGCCAATACGCCGTTGAACGCCCTTGTCATGCCTCCACGTCCTCCATCTTTCGCCTCGGAACATTGCCTTCTCTCCCTCTACATCGTGTTGATATCTCCATCACCGTCTCCCCCTTGCGTACTGTCCGTGACCGTTGTTGCGCGCTTAAGCCTTCTCAGCGACCTTGTTCTCTGCGCACCGTTAGCCCTCTATCCCCAAGCTCCACCCCCAACCCGGGTGTATCTTCATAGCTTGGTTCAACATACTCTGCTGTGTCAAAAGCAGTCCATAGCGCTTCTTAATCGTAACCCTGTGCCTGCTGTACTTGTCGTCGGGCGAGAAACGGGCCGGGTGCGCGCTCTTGCTGACTTCGCCGTCGATGACCTTTTTCAGCGTGTAGATGCGCTTGGTCGGGTTCGCCGGGTCGGGGATGTACATGAGATGCATGCTGAAGATTTGTTAGTTTTGCGGTCGACATCGTATTGTCTTGTTTTGTAGGGAAGATGAAGATGCTGCGCTTGTGGTCGGGGTGGTGCTGATCGCGCGGCTCGCGCACGCGCTGGGCTGAATTGGAAGGAGACTCACATTTCGGTATTGAGTATTCCTAAGATTTACGGTAGAAGATAGATTGCAGCTGAGCGAATGCGATAGGGGATGCAAGGTGGGTAGTGTCGCGTAAGGATGTCGCGATAATCTCGAGCTCGAAATTCCAGTCGGCGGGCGGAGTTTTTTGCGGACCACCGAGCTTTCCATGGTTTCTGCCAAGACCACACACCCCTGCCACCTTCCATACCCTTGCAGCTTGTTTGGCTCGTTTGCATTGATTGGATTGGGGAAACCGACACATCATCCACTTTGCATTTACGGTTTGTTACACTTCACACAGGTTACTTTACGCTTGTCGCATACACTCGAGATACGGCTGCGAACATGGCGCGCTTTCAAATCCTTCTCGCGGTCCTCGCATCGTTTGTTTGGGGCTCGAGTGCGCAGTTTGGCTTCTTCGACCAGATGTTCGGTGGTGGTGGAGGGCAGCAACATCAGGAGCCGCAGAATGTGAGGAGTGATGCTAGTTGGTATCAGGCGCAGTATGAAGCTGGTATGTTACATTGTTCTCTTCCCATACATTACATCACATCTATATTCCCAGCCTCGTAGCCATCTACACCATTTCTGTCGCGCCTGCGCCTCCTACGATTCATTCAACGGCACGAGAGGATCCTTTACTGACAACTCCTTACAGCACAATGCTCCCACTACCTCTGCCCCGGCACCCTTTCCTGCGTCCATTTCCCACACCACTGCCCCTGCGCATGGGAGAACGTTGAAGACAAAGTCGAACTCGGTGACGGAATTGCGATCTGTGGAAGTAAAGGAGGATGGAACACTGGCGAGTTTGGCAGGAAGGTCGAATTGGCTAGGAAGGGGCTGCTATAAGAAGAGGGACGAGTTGTTCATGCCGTAAGAGAGGGTACGCAGTTGAGGACGGCAATATCATGGCTGGCCATGGAGAGCTCATGTCGAGTTACTGTGACATGAGCATAACTGGCATGGACATACACCTCGAATGAGAAGGAAGAGCGAAAATCTTGGGAATGGACCAATCAGGCCAGGTCATGAATTCGTTGAATTGCAAATATACCAATAACGCCTTTGCTATGCAATGTGTACTACAACTTTTCACCTTTTGACGTACTTGTACCGATACGCCTGCTTCCCATCCTTTGCTTCCCTTTCATCATCGATGCCAACCTCCTCTCTCCCCCATTGCCTCATCAAGACCTTACCCAGCAACTTCTTCTCTTCCTCCAACTCCCGTACACTCTCCGTCCACTGCCCATCACGCTTGCCCACTACTGTCTTAGCCTTCTCCTTCATAAGCTTACTAAGAAGAGCGGCTAACTTCTCGTCCATTTGCTGGTTTATAGCGGCGTTTTCAGCAGCTTGGTTTGCGAGGCGAGTTTCAAGGGCTTCGTTCTCGGAGCGGAGGGCGGACAGTTGGGCTTCCAAGGTAGCTATCGTGTCGTGCGAAGATGATTTCGATGTTGCCGTCAGAGTCTTGTTGTCTTTGCGAAGGGCGGAGAGCTCGGATTTGAGGGTCTTTGTTTCCGAGACCTGTTTGCGGATAATGTCGCGGAGGTTGGCGATTTCGGTGTCTTTCGCGTGGGTCTCGGTTGCGGATGAGGAGACGGTGGTATCATCGTCTGTGTCCTCTTCTGCAAGCTTTGCAACAGCGGCAGTACGGAGCTTGTCTACCTCGTCTTTGGCTCGCTTTAAGTCTTTGGTAAGACTCCGCTTCTCGCTACGCTCTTGCTCGAGCAGTGCACCGGCTTTGCGCACAGCGTCTTCTGCCTTGTCGCGGACGTCCTCCATCATGGCCTCGTGTCCTTCAACCATGTCTTCATGCTGATCGCGTAGCTCTTTAAACTTGCTCTCGGCCTCAAGCTTCAGCTCCTTCATCTTGTCGAGCTTCTTCTCAATGTCATTAACGCGGCGATCTGCCTCCGCGCGAGCATCCTGCAGACGATCATTGGCATCTTCAAGGTCTTGCTCAAAGCGTTCCGCATCAGCTCTGGCCTTGGCGCTATCGCGATGCGCTTCCGCAAGCTGTTGGCGAAGGTTCGTGTTGCCTGTTTCGAAGCTCTGTAGTCGACCCTGGGCTGTGTTCAGGCGTTGCTCAGCCTGTTCTGACGGATCAACAAGATCTGATATCTGTTGCTCCTTCACGGCGAGGTCAGCTTGAGTAGATCGCAGTTGCGACTGCAATGATCGAATACGCGTTTCGAGCTCAGCTACCTGGGGTAGTCGTCCCTCGGTTGTGATTTTCGTAGTGCCGGACAGGTCAAGTTGCGACTGGGGGGACTCCAGTTCCCTATCGGCAGCAACAGCATGCTGAAGTTGCTCTTCCTTAGCAGCTAGATCTGCAAGCGTAGATTGGAGCTGCATCTCAAGAGAATTGATACGCGCCCTCAGCTCGCCTGCATGCCGGTCTTGCTGTACATTCGTGGTTGCAGCCCCGCGAGCTGCTTCGAGTTGTGATTGGAGATCTCTCATGCGATCTTCGAGATCAGCTGTACGACGACTTGCTTGGTTTGTTAAAGTGAGTTCTCTTCTTGCATCCTCCAGGTCTGACTGCAATGTGCGGAGCCGAGAGTTGAGATCGAGATTCGTATGGAACAGTTGTTGTTTAGCTGTCACGTCGGCATGGGAGCACTCCACTTCGAACTTCGCAGCCTGCAGTTGTCCCTCGAGTTCTGCAATGCGAGCAGTCTGGCGTCGAGCCTGTGTTTCGACAGTTGACTGCATGTCGTCTCTCCTTCGGGCTTCCTCACGAGCTGTCTTTGCTTCGGACATGGCAGTTTCGAGGCTTGATTGCAGAGCATCCGCGCGTGCTTGGACCGAGGAGAGTTGGTCGGCCAACAAGAGGCGTTTCTTCGCAGCATCCTCATCATCATGCCCAGACTCGTGTAGTTGCGCTTCCTTCAGATCGTGTAGTTCGCGCTCGTGTATTTGGCGCACCTGGTCTAGCTCGGCTTGCATCTCTTCTAGTCTCTGGTCTTTGTCCTCAACCTCTTCGGTAAGTTGGCGCTTGGCTTGTTCAAGCGCCCTTCGCTGTCGTTCGAATTCTTCGAGCATAGTCTCCAACTTTGTGAGGTTCTGGAGGCGCATCTGCTCTCCAAACTCATGCATCCTGGCCTCCAGTGCATCTTCTCGCGCCTTCACCTCGGCATCCGCAGCTGCCCGAGCTGCTTCGTGGTCTGCGCGTTGCTGCTCCATGCTCTTCTCCAGGCTTGCCACCTTCTCCTTGTGCTTGTAGTTGTCGTTGCGCGTACTCTCCAGCTCGGATCGGGTATAGGAAAGGATCGTCTCCAGCTCGGTGATGCGCGATCTCGAGGTAGACTCTTGCTGCTCCAGCTGGTGTTGTAGCTCCGCAATCTTATTGCGTGCCACGTCCTGCTCGCTCGTGTCGATGATAGCTGAAGTGTGCCGTATAACCGTTTCTTGCGTGGGCTTCCGCGGTGTATCATAGTCCTCGACGGTGGGTTGCAGCGATCGCGCTTTCGGGGGTGACGATCGGGGGACTTGGAGGAAGCTGTGTCGAGGCGCATGTAGCGGTGTTCCTGTGAGCGCGCCCTCCATCTCCGTATCTGGCAGGTTGCTGAGAAAGCTCCGAACCTTCTCGTCGTTCTCCATGGACCTCTCGGAAGCTGGCGAGCTGTGCTGCCGCTCGTTCTTGGTGCCATTCGTGCGCCTGGTAGGAGAGGTTGTGCGAGACGTATTACTTCTCCGCCGCTCCGTGTCCTCCACCACGACTGCCGGATCGCCCACTTCGGTCGCATGTCTACTTTCGCTTCCGTCTTGTATGGCGTCCATTCGTATTACCGGTCGTTTCGTGTTGGCCTCCTTTCGCGATTTTATCTGGGCCAGCGGTAGATCTGCCGTCATCCAGTAGGTCATGTTCATGGTGAAGTCTTCCGGTCCCTCAATCTCGCTCGTGTCTACGTGGTCCACTGGCGGTTGGTGGCTATTTTCTAGTTCGGTAGACTCAAATGTCGAGTTGAGGCCCAGGGCGTCCAGGTCCATCTCATATTGTGATCCGTCTTGAGATGGGCGGCGCGCCGGGCTGCGTTGGGGCGATTGGAAGCGCGTGGGGCTGGCCGTGTACGATGAATGTGTTCGAACCATGTTTGTTACATGCAACTAGGAACTGCGAGCGTCGCGATGTCGTGATGCGGAGATGCGATAAGAATTGTGCTGCTCGTGTCTGTTTGTTGTGGTAACGCGCACTCGACGTGTCTCGCGAGTCATGCGGTCATGCACGGGCCCTCAATGCTACTCAGATCCAGGGTCCAGTGCAAAGCATGAACGCGTTCTTCCAGAATTTCACCAGAATGAGATGCTAAGTTTACATCACTTGGGAATGTTTCTTGAGATTCTAGATCCACTTTACTGGTATACCGAAATATCTTTTGATGTGACGCCTCATGAATAAGGGTTATACTTTCCATCCTACTACAAATCTAAGCTGACCATTTATACGGCTTTCTAGCTTCTCGATTCGCTCTCACACATCAGACATCCTGTCAACGGGCATTGCGGCATGTCCTTTCTGAACTTGGTACGTCTCCAACGACACTAAACCGATCTCTCTGGACATAGCAACATCTCCAGTGGTGAGTTCGTTCTTTGCGTGGCCATACTAGAACATTGTAAATCCAAGAGCCATGCCAAGATAGATGGCGTGCTGGAAAGGGTGGCACCATGTGATTGAGATCGCGACATTTTTGCGCCGCCAGAGCTTTGACAGAAGGACTAGGCAGTTGTGCGACCACACTGACTTTGTGCAATTATCACCGCGCTTCTCCGTGCTGATGTCTGACGCCTTCCATCCATTCGATCGCGTGTTACGCGGCATCAAATCCTCACCGAATGAAACTTCATCGCCTTGTTACTGGGGCGAAAATTTCCTTCTCATCTCTTGCTGGATGAAGTTGGCGCTTATCAGATAGGCTCATCGATCGCGCTTCGTTGAGTAGTCATCTGCTGGTGTAGCAGTCACGATCGGTAACAATTCGTATATGAAGCGAGCCGGCCATGGACGCCGCGCTCCAGTCATGGCCATCCGAGTCCAGCTCAAAGTCCGAGCAACCGCGATGAATGGCAAAAATGGTACAGAGATCGCATTATCTCTGGACGTAGTGCGACCACATTGCTGTCAAATTGCACGCCATAGGCAGACCGTGCCATATCGTTTGCGAGCCACTATCATACCAAGCCTCGATAGGCAGCTATGATATCCTGAAGGCTGCCCGTGTCGTATTCGATGTCTGACTGGCAGGGTCCATGTCATGGATGCATAGCGGGAAGTCTCCCGGCTTCCGCAAGCATAGGAAGAATAACAGCGACGCCTATGACCTAGGGAGGAGTTGGATGAGCTGGCGAGGGGTAAGAGGACAATGCGCAGTAAGATGGTGAGCAGCCCCCACGTATGCTACTTGAAGCGTCTCCCGCGCGAGCTTGTTTATTAGACGTGCTGCATATGCGGCGTCTGCTTGTGGGTCCGGGATGCTGAACCGAGAGGGGGTCCTGCAGACGACATCATCGCATGGTGGTCATGTCGGTCGACTCCGAGCTGACCAAGGAACGACCCACCTTGACAATGGTGCTCTCCCGAACTGCGGGTAGTCGTTTAGTCTGCCCTCTGGACCGCGTGCACGTCATTGCGAAGCCTTCCAATGAACACACAGTCGTGAAGAAGGGTGCGCAGGTGAGATGAGAGATGATGCGGGGTATGCGCCTCGTTGGTTACACGACAGCACGCATCGAGGTACTGGCTGCTATGACGTCCATGGTCGAATCTTCATCTGCCCGTGAGTAGTGCCGACTGCGGGACGTGTGTAGGGTAGTATCAGCGCGTATCGCGACGTGGAGCAAAGGGTGATTGATAGCCAAGCAGGGTCCGGTCGACAGCGGCGGCTATGCTCGGCTTCCCGCTCAGGGACAGAGGGCAGTGCTGCATGCAAGCAATCGTGTCCCGCAATACCCATGGACTTCGTGGGGCTTCACTCCATGTGCTGCTGGGGTCAGGGACTGCAGATACGTAGCTCGTGCTGAGAGGCATGGCGTTCGTCATCTGGCGGAGATGGAAGTCGGTTGTTGCGGTCACCACACGCTTTCCCGAGGGTCTGCCCGTCTGCGGCGCGAAAATACCGTCTTCGCTGCCGTGCAACTCTTTCGTTGTTTTTGGCGTAGATCAGGTACCCTCGAGCACAAGATAGATTGGGTGCACGTCTGGTTGCAGCGGCGGCATGGAGACTGGTCGTTGGCCGCATACAAGCACGGACGATCCCAAGGTTTGCTTGCAGCTCGTCGAGTGCTGCATGACACCAGCAACAAAGGGGATACATTATTGTGGCTGCTTCTGACGTCCCATCCGCATTGTCGAACATGACATGCTCTGCTCGCCGCTGACTATTGTTTTGCCGCCGGCCACAGAGCCAATCTCCCAGCATCATGGGCGCGCCGTCGTGGAAAATTCTCGGGGTGCCTCATCGAGTCACCACACCCGGATATCAGCTCCACTCTTGCCCGTCGACTCACATAAAGCGTTGAACCTTCCTGAAAACCACCGGTCCACTCCGTCCACATCGATAGCTGCCACTACACTGCCTTTTGACCAGGTTCTGTCCCACGCTTTCACAGTCGACGTCAGCAACAGCATCCGCTCCACGCGCAGGACCGATTCCTGCGTCCAGCCGTCTTCTAAGCGTCCATTCCCGTCCAGTGTGCCACCCCACGCGCCCATCTGGCCCCGCGCATTGCGCACTCTGCCCTGAAATCCAACTATAAGGTTCATCCACCTGTACCATCCGTGAGCCTCCAAGCCAATTAGACCAGGGTTACCTGCATCAATCCCCACGCCGCATCTTTTACCCCAGACTCGCGGCATTTCGTCCTAATTTACGCCTCGAGTTCACATACAGCGGCTTCCAGACCCTGCCCTGCAATTGTGTCACTTCCACGCATGCCATCGGTCCGTAACTGAATCGGTACGATTGCTCACAGCACCTTGTGTCATATACTCCCGAGGTATCCAGGCGCCACACATCCTACTCTCCAAGTTATACAACCCGGCTTGTGGGATGAATTTCGGCTTCAAAAATAATACTTCGCACTGGCCCGTTGGACAAGAACACATCAATCGATAGCCTGGTCAGATCCCCCGCACTTTCATCTGTAGCTGCATGCCATCATCGCCGTCCTAAGAGTCTCGGAAGAACGATAAGCTTGCTTTTTCTACGGTTTCTGGAGGCTCCACGGGCCTCTTAGCAAGCCTCGTCAAGCTTGACTTGCCGAATCGGAAAGTGATCCCGAAGCCAGCTACCCACGAGCACGCGAGCGATCGTCATCGAAGACGCCTATTCTTATCTTATTTCTGTGGCACGTAATGGACTCATCTTTGACACTGCTCAGTGCGAATATCCGTATTCTGGTACGTGGGCCTCCCCTCATCATGCGTTCTTCTGCATTGCATGGTAGCAAAATTGTCCCTGTCTTACACCGGAGGGAGCCTTGGTGGCGGGTCCCTCATGCACGACATAACGGCAGGGCAACTCTTATAATTCGCCTCCCACACTGAAATTTTCTCTCCCATGGACATCAGCTAACATGATCACCTTCAAGGATACCCAACTCGCTCTCATACACATCCCGTTGCCTCTGTATCGCAACTTTCTCCAGTCCATTCTTCAACTAGTCCTACCCAATGCGACGCGCAAGTCTTACGGGAATGGTTCTGGCGCCGTGCAGCCGCCCAAAGGCTGGCCCTGCGAACATCCCTTTGTGAATATCTCCATTACACCCGTCGAGTGCTCCATAGTATGTTCGAGGACGCTTGCGAGTGAAGTATTTCTGCCTGTTCTCAACTTGCTGGATCCTGAGTCAAGAGCGTCTGTTAGCATTACCACAGATGACTATGTCGTAATGCAAGTCGATGGCGAGGGACTTGATGCAGGACAACGCGTCTTGGAGCTGACAAGTCCTCTTGCTCTGGCTGGGATGTAAGTAGAGGCCATCACAAGGCTTTCGCACAAGGCTGACTTAAATTCCAGTCCCATCTTCTTCATCACTACTTACTTCTCCGACTACATCCTGGTTCCACTGCGACACCGATCGCAGGTCGTACAAGCACTAGAAGAGCGTGGTTTCCAGTTCGAAAAAGACACTTCCTCATATGTCAACTCCTTCCAACATGCCCGCAAACACTCAGCCGCGTCGCTGGAAGTTCAGCCGCCCAGCACCCCTCCGCCAACCACAATCTCAGAGCTTCAAACCAGGACCTTCGCTACACTTAAGCGTCGTCACATCGTTCCCACGGTGGACTCGAGCATCCGGCTCGTACAGTGCGCCGGTCGACGCGATAGTACAAATGGCATGTCTCAAGCTCGAAACCGCAACAGCATGACGACAGCCGCCGACGACGCACTCCACCTCGGTCTCGTAAAATGCCTCATCACGCAGCCATATCCGAAGTTTTTATCCCTCACACTAACTGATACCGAGTCTGCCGCGCTGCTGTTCGACCACACCTTACTACCACATTTCGCGCAAGATACTCTCCTCGGCTCCAGAGATGAGTTCTTGACACCCATCACGTTAGACCTGCGAGGTCTGCCAATGGAAAGCACCGGCATCGTATGCGGTGTAGCTGGCAGGTTAGTCGGCGAAACCACAGGGCAACTGGAGGATCCTGTCGAGATGAGCTATTTGAGTACCGCGCGTGCTGGAACAGTCATGGTCGCTGAACAGGAGCTGGAACGTGCACTCGATGCTCTGCACGGCGCTGAGAATGGGGTTCTGACGGCAAATGAGTAGTCGTGCTCGTGTATGAGCGCGGCACAATTCCTTTTTGGCTGTGACGACCGGTTCTGGCTGAATCGAGGTCGCTTGAGCCTGCCAAGTATGCGGCCTTCACTTCCCACTCGGCTTGCATCGGCTGCTCTCTTTTACTTCGCGACGAGCAACATCGCTACGATCTTTGCATTCGCTGTATAGGATATGATTAGGCGACTGGATCAAAAGTTATTATTTATGCGTACAATTAATAGCTGTGTAAGTGCGTGATGTAGTGTCTTCACCCTAATATCGATTTGTGCAAGTGGCTGCACGTATACCTCACGCCCGCGTGCTGTAAGGTAAGAGTACCCCGCCGCTGCGCCCCTCTCATCCTACCCGCATGTCGTCGTTATGCACGACGACGTTCCTCGAACTTCTAGTTCCCATAGGTAATCTTGTTGGTTCACATGGGTGCATAAAGGATGTGACAGCTGTCTTCTCTCCGCCAATCGCGATCGAGTGGTTCTTTTGGCCCCCACTGCGGCTGAGATCTTGAGATGTTTCAGCTCGATCTCATCATAACAATCCGCGATGACCTCAAACTTCGACGAGTACGACGATACGACCTTGATTTAAATACAGCGTCGCTACAAAGATAGGAGGCCGACCGCGACCGGCGTCACCACTACACATGTCTTTGACGCATTCGCCGCTCGCCTTTGTGGAAAACAAGGACGCGCCTGTGAAGCTGATTGAAGTGACCAGCGATGGTCATGCAAGGAGACTGGAAGTAACGGAAGACTTGATCAAGAGGTATATTGAGAAGGACTTCTCGGCAAGTCCCACTGTTATTGGGCGCAGATGCATATTAACGTGAGAGAAGACACATGGTAGCAGGAACGAGCTGCCTGCAAGCGTGGAAACAATCAAGCTATTGTGCGTGTAACCTTGCATTTTACGAAGGCTACGCTGCTGACCTTTTCTCTTACAGCTGGTCTAGGCGCGTAGGGGAGTATAATGGCAATATGACTCCGGTGCCTTTGTCGTCGCATTCTTTTGGGCGTATCGCTCCATTTGCTCGAATACCAGAGATTTATGCCCGCGTGTTGGACTACAAAGCTGCGACATACGTCTTTGCCAACCCCCAATTGCCCTTACACCTGGCGCGTACTTCGCCGAAAGACGTGCGAAGCAGATATTTGAGTAAGCAGTAAAGATGCGCACCTGCAAAAGACGCCGCTGATACCGGTACCACAGGCTTCATCTTACAGTCCGTACCCGGTGCTATGTCCCATGTCTGTATCAGCGGTTCCTTCACGTACGACTTCTCAACCAAACACATGTACGTCTTCATGCATGGCCTGGCAAGCAACAACTACGACCGATTTTCGAACATAATCCAAGAGGGGGCTTCTAGCACGTCTGCGTTTCTTCTTCCAAGTATCATCGTGCGTTTCAATCTTGAGCAGCGAGTGAAAGCACTAAACCTTTGGCAAGATAAGATCTACTGGCACGAACGAAGAGTAGGCATTCGGTTTGATCATCACGATAACCCTGAGCTGTCCAGTATCGATTTTAGCACGCTGTCGAAAGATCTCAATGCCGCAAACACAAACCTCGCGTACGTAATGTGGTCTTGTAAAAGTACTACACGTATGCTCGACTTTCTCGATCAGATTGCAAAGAGGTACAAACAGCAAGCTATTGCAAACAAGATATCTGAAGACGATGCGGCTGAGATTGAGCAATTACTCGTCGATGCTCATGCACAAATGCGATCTTGGAACGCCGGCCTCGAGGATCGTGCGGACTATCTCGCTAAGCGGGGACAAGCTCTTGTACAGACTGTGAGTAGCATACGAACTTTGTGTTCAGTCTCCTAACATCGTGTATCAAGGTTTACAGCGGCATTGCGCAGCGCGATTCGGCGATCAGCCTTAAATTGGCGAGCACGAGCATGAGCCTTGCACAGTCGTCACGAAGCATAGCGCTATCAACTTCACGCGACAGCAGAGTTATGAGGATAATCGCCGCCATCACAGTATTCTTCTTGCCAGCAACATTTACTGCCGTAAGTTCGATTGTGACATAGTATTAGGGAAAGAGAATCTAATACTCTGCAGACATTCTTCAGCACCACATTCTTTGACTTCAAGCCAAATCAAGACGAAAAAATATACTCACAGTGGATTTGGCTGTACTTCGTGGTTACAATAATCTTGAACTTGACTGTGTTCTTTGGCACGTGGTACGTGTGGCGAAAGAAAGAGCTCGAAATCATGGCATCTTTCAGTTCAGCAGATAAAGAGCCAGAAGCCCAGACAGTGGAAACATCTGGAAGAAGACTTGATCTTGAGACTGCACAGTATGTTGAGCAGGAGATCGGTCACGCGGCACCGGGGGTGAAGTCGCGCACGAAGTCAAAATGTGATCAATCCAGTCAGCAACAAACACATTACGCGAAAACAGAGACAAGCGCATATCGAGAGCGAGAAAGATCCGAAGCACCTCATACAAGAAGAGACTTAGACAGGCCTAGAGACACATTACCATAAAAACATGCAAAGCAGGTAATCTAGCGTCGATGCAGGCTCTAGGGTGTTCATCCTTTTCCTAGGTTGACGTGGGAGAGCAATCGAAGACATACATTGAAGAAGTCATACAGGATTTCCCACTCTCTGATCCACATCCTCTTCTTCTGAAGCGCGCGTCGAACTCCTAACCACGTGCATACGCAGTAAGATACGCCTTACTATAAGCCGGGTCATTCACGCGCAGCAACGCAATCTCAAGTAGTCTCTGCGCCCGCGCGGTAGCCACTATAGCCTCCATGACAGGATTCTGCTTCAACCAACCACTACCATGGTATGCATCCTGACAATCATCGTCTATCGCGGCATGAGCGTAGATGATCGATTCCTCCGCCTGCTTTACCCACGCACACTGATATGCACGGTCGCCATATGGAACGCCTCATTGAACATGAAAAGGCTGGGCTTCCAATTCGTCGATACCGGCCCCTCCTTACGACATGATCTCGTCGGCGCATTGATTGAATTGCTCTTTGGGGATGAGCTTAAAATGGTCTGGTCTGTCGTATAGCGAGGAGAGAACGTCGGAAGTGGGTGTTGCATTGGCTACAGGGCCGTTCTCGCTCGAGGCTTTGGATTTGGCGGCTGCACGGAACGTACCTAGTGGACTATCTTTGTTGTATCGTTCTTATCTGACGTTAGGACTGAAGATTACTCGTCGCGAGTGACTGGCCTTGGGACCTTGGATATGTGTCTTGTGGTATGGATCGGCTGCGATCTTGGCCAGTAGTGTGAATGTGTCATGTCGATATAGATAGGCCTCGAGAGTGGTAGTTGGCGGTCCGCCTCGTGCACAGATCTTCGATGGAGGTTTTAAGTGACCAAGTCTGGACAGTCTGGGGCTGATTGTCCATGGTTGCAGACAAAACGCGGGTGCGTTGAGATTTGGCCATTGATGGTGAAAGGACAGGTCGAGGTTGAACAGTGGTGGCCGAAGGTCTCCTCAATAGAGGCGATTCGGGACTCGATGGTTAGTGGAAACGGCTCTCATAGCAGTCAGGTGAGACCCAGAGCTGTTCGTGGCGCGGAATTGTAGACCATGTCACCCCCTGCCCATGTCAAGTTCTTGCCGAAATGCAAACACAGATCTTCCGCGCCACGATCCAGCGATCGGTGGTGATTCACCAAGCTTGTGGGTCACGGACCGTGTCCCCTGCTTTCACAGCAATGGGTACTGATAGCGTTGGACTTTCAAATGCCTTCTCAAGATTGGGGTTCAAGCGACGCGGATAATACCCTCGGAGTATTACGGAGCCTTTCGCTGCGATTCTTCCAAGATCAATACTGTGGGTCCAAAGTCCTGCTCCTCGAGCGTATCACTATTGATTCCTCGCCTAATGTTGTCGCTTTGGGCTTCTTCATCCGTAGCAAAGCGGTAGCAACGCGTCTCAGCTAGTCCAAAGCGTTTGCCCTTCACGAGGAAAGCCTTGATACCCCGATGCGTGATGATAGCGATGTTGCTATACGTCGCAGAAATATCTTTAAGTCTTCTTCTTACTCTCTCAGCACGATCAGTAGCGCCTTCGATGCTATGCTCGGGATAATCCCACTCTTCATTGCACTCGGAGAAGTCGAATGGTGGAAACTTTGACGCTAGCTCTTTTCGTGACAAACCCTTGTTGCAGACGGCATCGTTGGCTTCTCGAAGGTCGGGCCAGATCTGAACGGGGATGTGGAAAGGACCTGCCTCTGTCAAGGATGGAAACATGTTCATCGCAGTTTCTATGGTGCGGGTCATCGGCGAAATGAGGATCAGATCTGGCTGAACAGTGAGATTGACGCGTTTGGTGGAGACGTTGCCGGCTTTCGTCAACGGCGGATCTCGGTGCGGATAGCCGCGCTGAACATTGTGCAGTGCTTCGCCATGGCGTATGATATGCATAAGCGCTGTCATGATCTTTTGTGCAGGCAAGTGGATGACGCAGGTGTCAAAGGTGGAAGCACTGGAGATGGGCATTCAGGGTTATCGATAAGAAGGCCCAAAGGCTTAGCAGCGCTTGAGTCTTCGAAGCTCCGCTCTTGCGCGCTCAGCTTCCACGTCATTGCACATATCGTCGTCAACTTCCTTTGTGAACGCGCTCCGGAGCTACTGGCAAGATTGCTGGATTCGCTGCTTCTCCATCACATGTCCGAGGCATGCAGCTGCAGCCGGGCCCCCTTCAACGGCGCAGGAACTTGTTCAGGAGATGGCTGCACCCACCGTCATCGATGCCAAGGCCACCGAACGATCTCCGCTATCGGATGTTGCATTGATCTGCATCTGATAAGATGAGATTGATAAGATTCTCCACCACCTACTTCGCCGGAGCCAATCGCGAACACCGCACGTACGACGTCAACATTTTTTTTAGGCAGAATGCTCGTACTGCGACAAGGTATAAGAAAATTCTGCGAGTGTCTATGGGCCATGGCATAGGTGCAGTAACCTGACGCTGATGGTGGGTACACGACGTGTTTTCGGGGCGTGCCGTGGGGCCTATAAGAGCATGCAAATCGAGGACTTCACTACCTTCTGCCTCTAAGCTTCCGTGGTAGTTGTTCTCTTTCCAATACACTATGCGGTTTTATAGCATGGTTCTCGCCTCGCTGGCGTCCATTTTTGTCCATGCGCAGAACAATTCAACCTCAGCCTGGCCATGGCAAACCTTCAAGTCTCGCCCCGGATTCGAGCCTCCGGTACTGTCGGTCAACAAGACTGGCGACACCTCACCGGGGGTGATTACTTTCCCTCAAAGTGGACGTGGGGCTCATAACTACAGTCTGAACATCTTCCAAGAAGATGGCGACTTGGTTTGGCAGTCTGGCTATGGCGACTACGCCGCCTTCAGAGTATCTGAGCTCTTCGGCGAACCCGTACTGGCATACTTCAGTGGGATCTCACTTACCGAGCCTTGGGGTTTCGGGTATGGGGTAATCTACATCCTCAACCAGCAATACGAGAGCATCTACAACGTCACTCTTTGGAACGAAACATACCCACTCGAGAGCATCTACCCGCTGTACGATCCTACCCAGTACCAACCTTTCAGCTGGGTTGATATGCACGAGAACCTTATCACACCTGAGGGTACGATGTTCATCGCCGCCGTGAATGTTACCCCATGGGATCTATCATCCATCGGCGGCCCGAAGGACGGATGGGTTGTGGATTCCATTGCGCTCGAGCTCAACGTCACGAACAGCGAAATTCTTTGGCAATGGAGCCACCTTGACCACGTGGATCAGATTTCGCTCGAAAGCGCTGTGCCGACATATCCGCTTGGTGAGCTAGGCAAGAACAGTAGTTACCCTTGGGGCCCGTTCCACATCAACTCCATCGAAAGATTTGAGGATGGAAGTTACTTGCTCTCTTCAAGACATTATTGCTCCATCTACAAGGTTTACCAAAACGGCACCGTGGCATGGACTTTGAATGTAAGTTTTCATCCCCGTTCCCATCCTGCTGACCGCACACACCAGTGGCGAGCGCCATGCTAATGGACCCCTAGGGATACTCTGGAGGCGACTTCACCCTTGAGAACGGTCTCTCTTTCTGCTACCAACATGACGCGCGTATCCACCCGTCTCGCTTGCCCAACACCACCACGATCTCTCTCTTCAACAACGACAACAGTGCCGTTGTATCCTATGTCAACGAAACTACCGGAATCTTCATGTCCATCGATGAGCGCACGATGACTGCCACATTGCTACAAGAGCTCGCTGACCCAGACGATGTCATCTACTCGGTCAGCCAAGGCAACATGGAAGTCCTCCCCTCCAACCACTCTATCATGGGATATGGCAGCGTCCCGACTCTGAAGGAGTTCGACCAGGATGGCGATGTCGTGTTGACTGTGAAATGGGGAGAACCCGAGAAGGTGCAGAGCTACCGCGCCTACAAAGCCCCGTGGGTTGGTAAGCCGATCACCAAGCCTGATGTGTACGCCTGCAAGGCGAGCAACGGCACAGAAGTCTACATGAGCTGGAATGGTGCCACGGAAGTTCACACATGGGACGTGTTCGGCGGTGCATTCAACGAAACCTTGAGTAAGGTCGCCAGCGTTGAGAAGTCTGGTTTCGAGACCAAGGCAGCTGTAGGGCGGAAGCTTGGGTTCGTGAGGGTAGAGGCAAGTGGCGAGGAGATTGAGACTGGTGTCTCGCAAGTCGCAGCAGTATCGGAGATGTGTTAGGCGATGCGTGAACAGTAGAAACACGAAGTGGACACCCGTAGGATAATAGTCGATGCATTATGCATGCATACATAGTAATCGATAGTTCATAATACTCTCAGCCTACCATGGGTAACCTCCTGTATTATGGATAAACTTGCCACATTCCTCATCTCTCTTCCCATCAACAAGTTCCATAATGCTCTTCACAGTGTCCTCCGCACTCCTTGCACCAAACTCCACCTTGTTGTGAGGGCCTAGATTCGAAGCTGTGAAGCCAGGGTCGTAGCAGAATACCTTCATTTTGACGTTGCCTTCCTCTTCTGCAGCCTCAGCATCGCCTTTTCCAGCATTCTCAAAGTCCACCTGAGGAACACCCAGCCCATACTCTACATACATACACGAGCTAAGCATGTTGAAGGCGACCTTGCTAGCGCGGTATGGAACGGCTTGGATCTTGTACATTGGGCTCTCGGGGGAGAGACGGCGACCGATTGATCCAGCTCCTGACGAGATGTTGATGATGCGCGGATTCTTACTCTTCTTCAGCGACGGAACAAGTGCATTGGTGAGAAGCCATGGGCCCGTTGCGTTCACATCGAAAGCCGTGGCCAAGCGTTGGCGCTCCGTTAAGCCTTCAGGCAGCGCGACTGCAGCATTGTTGAAGAGGATGTCGAGTTTGCCGTACTTCTTCTCAATGAGCGTTGCGGTTTGCGCGATGTGGTCGTCGTCTTGCACATCCAGATGCACGAGCTCGATGCTACCTGACAGCTTGCGTGCTTGTAGGTCTTCGAGGGCGGCCGACCCTTTCGTAGTCGATCGTGAGGCAAGGAGGACGTGATAACGACCCCGTTTAAGGAGCTGGTGAGCGATCTCAAATCCTATGCCGCTGTTCGCCCCGGTGATAAGAGCAATTTCTTTGGCCATGGACTGCATTGTGGGTGATATAGGGATTTGTTTCAACCAAGATAAGAAGGAGAGTGTCGCGGTGACTTCAACATGGCTCAAAGCGGGCTCAAAGCCACTGTAATATACGTTTCCTCCCTTCGTGAGAGTTTGGCTCCAGCCGGACTTACGAGTTCAAAATCCGCAATGATGCGCTGCAGTCGGCCTAGATGCCATGCCGCATTTGTGTGTGTAACCTGTGTCTATACGTTGAGACAGTCATTTTACGACTAGTCGACGTTCTCGGGCGGATGAGTATAGGCCAGGCCGGACTGTCTGGACGCCTAAGAGCTTAATGCCAGCGCGGTGGAGGCGCGGAGTACAGCTTTTGCACTTTCAATCGCCGACGCTAGTGCCGTAGTGGACTAGAGGAATTGCACAAACATCACCCGTGCATTGTGTGCGTCATCAAGAGCTGTCAAGTTGTGATGCGTCGCAAAAGAGTTGAGGCTCATGAGTTTGATTTTTGGAAGCATTTGTTATGCGAATGTTCTCGACTTATTGGAATTTATCGCTACCTGACCTGCACCGCAATCCCATCATCACCCCGGATTTGCGGAGACAACGAATCGGCTCGTAGTTCTGTCACGGCGATATCCGGGGACTTCAGCCAATCTTGCTGTACCAAACCTCTCCCACGTTCGGTCATCTGAAGATGCGGAAGCTCCTCCCGCAATGCGGTGATGCCACCTTTGACGCTTCTTGCTGAGATGGCTTTGGCGCGGAGCACACTCGTTGCAACGCGGGCCGTGTCACCGCCGTAGCAGACAATATATACATCTTTGCCAGCAAGGTCGTGCGCACTGATGCGCTCGTTGGTGAATGTTGATTCCAACTCTTTCCATTGCTTCTCGAGAACCGCGGCATCCGAGAACGGGCTTGGTGTGGAGGCATTTAGGCTTTGTAGCGGTAGGTTATACGATCCTGGGATGTGACTAGTGACGAAGTCCTCTGGCTTCCTCAGATCGAGCAGGACGGCACCATTGTCCCTGTCGACAGAATCGGCAAACTGCGATAGCGCTCGTGTAGGTGTGAGTTCCCATGCTTCGTCGTAGCGGTACAGGTCGACTGCGGTGAGATTCTGCAGTCATGTTAGCTATGGTCGGTGAAGTGGGCCAGCATAAGGGCCAGCCGCGAAAAGTACCAAGAGCAAAAGCTTCTCTTACCTCGTTGTGTATAGGTCGAAAGGCGGAACTTCCAAGCTTGTCGAAATATTCATCGATGTACTGATATGGGCCATCGCAGGCCACGAATGCGCAGTCGATGATGCCATTGGCATCGGCCAGGTCGGACAATGTGCCATCATTCTTTCGCTTTTTGAGATAATTGAAAAGCCCTAACGATGTTAGCGACTATACTTGCACTGCCAGATGGTTCCACTTGCCTTGCAAATTGAACCCTGAGGATGGACCGCAGATCAGACCTGCGCGGCAGAGCGCCAGGGATAGACTGAAAGCATCATTGGACCCCACCTCCTCAATGGCATCGACGGAGTCGCGCCATGGGAACTCGACAGGGCTCAAAAGAGCGAGAGATCTAGGTCCTGGAACTCGATCGCCGGCGGCGGTGCACACACTGGGCACTTGGTCAGGCTACATCTCCATAAAACGGTGAACATGGATTGACTCACCCTAATCGAACCACAGACGGCTTCGCCGACTTGAAATATTGGCCGAGCCCTGTCATCGTCCCAGACGTACCCATGCCTGCGCACATGAGACGGATGTTTGGTAGTTGTTGATGGATTTGCGGTCCGGTCCATTTGACGTGCGATTGCCAGTTCTTGAGAAGTCAGCGTCTACCGTGTCGACTAAAGGCAGTGGGTAGCTTACTGCGTCGTTTTCGTATTGGTTGACGTTGAGAATTGCTTCATCCTTTTCGGCCATGATTCTAGCTCGATGTATGCCGCCGCGTTCGTCATGTGGTTCTGGTTGGGAAGGACCGCCAAAAAGCGTACTGCCAGTGGGTTAGATGACTTCGAGACACAAATGATTCCGTCTCATACATGTCCAGCCCAAAGAATTGCATGAGCCTAAGTTTTGGAGCCGAAGTTTTGTTACTCAAGAAGGCGCGAACATCTTGTATCCCGTGGTTGATACGAGATACCAATGCTAGAGATATGACAGTAGATCCCGAACTGTACTCAACTACTGTCTTGGACTTCTCCGGGTGGACCTCTTTGGTCAACATGTTCAACGCTGGTGTTGTATTAGCGATGTACGCGGCTGACTATGCTCGATTACTTCGCACATACCGGGCATAATCTTGACATTGTTTGAGGGATGCATAGACATCATCTTCGCATGTATCCTAACACCATCGTTGTAGTACGGATTCAAGCTTGGTGGAATCTCAACGAGAGGAATCATAGGTGTGCGGTCAGGATCAAAGTAATTTTGAAGAGCATCGGGCCCAGAGTAGGCGTTCAAATAATTCCGTGAGACCATGTTGAAGTGAACAAAAGCTGTACGACACGGTGCGAGTAAAGCCCGAGCGCTGGAGCGGACTGCTCTTTATCTGAGTGCTTTCGCGGTGATACATCGGAACCTGCCCGTCAAAGTCGATATTGAACCAAAAGATCTACAGCACCAGGATGTAATTGCGTGGGTATCATGCAAGTTGCGACGACGAAGGTGCTCATCGGTGTCACTTCATGGGTGCTAGTGCTGGAGCGAAATTAAAACCGAAGTGGGATTCGTACGGTAGGATTCCCGCTGCAGCCAAGGGACATCCCGCAAAGGCCAAGACGTATAACTATAGTTTACGGACGAGCGCGCAACACAAAAAGTTCCGTGATGGGGTTCATTGGATGGCATGGTGATGGTCATAGATGGTTTCGAGGCACATTGAGGCACATTGAGCACATTGATGGCGGCGAGTCAGGACGAGACGCGCTTGTGCTAGTGTGTTTCCGTACTAGCGTTGACGCGACATGGGCCAGCCCGCGGGTGTTCTGGAGTTCCGGATGTCACAAACCTCGCCATCTGTCTGCCTGACACGACGACAGGGTATGAGAGCACATTTGACGTGCAGACGTCGCAATTCTTCACCGAGGCCCGCCCCTGCATGGACCACACGCGCATAGTCGCCCTCATTGTACTCAACAGCGTTTCCGGTGAGCGCCCCACGAACTGGACATGCTGCGACGCTGTGGTGTGCCCTCGCTTTTGCATCGCATTGGTTATTGCAAATCACTGGTAGCTGTCAGTCATATTGCCTAGGCATAAGAGCTTTTGGCAGCCAACAGGACCCAAGAAGCTAGCGCACGAGCGTAGACCGTTACACATCTAGTTTGCATCGCGTACTTTGCAAGGATGTATTCGGCTCCTTACGTCTTACGTTTTCGGAAGTATACACAAAGTGGAAGATCAACTGATCGGCGTCGATGGACCAGGTTGAGTACTACATGTCAGATTGCGGTCCCAGACCGCGTTGGCATCTGCACCAACGTTGTCTCCACCGCTTCGAGTCGTGGTCATATCTGTCGAGCTTGGCCCATGTTGAGTCGTGCTATTCTTTTATCAGGCCATCCCAAGACACCACAGACTACGTGAATACAGACGGTCGAACATTTCTGAACCATGGCGACCAAAGATCAGCCCCGGGCTGCCATGAGCACAGCGGAAAACTCTCTTGCAGAAGCCTCTTCTGTTCAAGCGCCAAAACAGCCTCCAGAATTCAACGAACAGACCAGTACGGTATGCGCAGATGACATTCCGAATTTTGCTAACTCCATACTCCAAAGACTATGTACCCGTCAAGACGATCATCACAGTGGGTACACACTCGGATATGATTGCTTTCGGTACTTACGTATTAGTAGATATTCCTTGCTTGCGCGAGCGTTGATTTGCTGGCCTTGATGGATCAAACCACACTTGCAGCTAGCTTGACCATCGTCAGTAAGGATCTCAACGCCAGCAACGAGAGCGCCTGGATTGCAGGCGCCTACTTCTTGACGTCCACGTCATTCCAACTCCTATACGGACGCCTTTCCGACATATGGTCCCGCAAGGTACTCTTGGTTATAGGCATTGGCATCTTCTTTTTCGGCTCCCTGGCTGCGTCCCTGGCACAGTCCGCTCTTCAGCTGATCGTCTTCCGTGCATTCATGGGCGTAGGAGGTGGCGGCCTCATGACGGTCGCGCAGATGATCGTATCGGACATTGTGCCTCTACGCGAAAGGGGAAAGTATCAGGGTATCCTCGTAAGTGGTGTTGTAATGCAGCCTACGGTATACCGCTCACGTCATCCTAGGGATCTGTAGTAGCTCTGGCGAATGGTATCGGGCCAGTAATAGGTGGGGCACTCGCTTCCCAAAGCCACGATTCTTGGTATGCACATTGTACTGACATCCAATCAACACAAAACTAAGCCGGTTGCAGGAGGTGGATCTTCCGGCTCAACTTGTTCCTATGTGTTCTTACCACTGGCTCCGTCATGTTCTTCATGCCACTCAGAAAGGTCGACGGTAGTTGGAAACGGTCGGTACTAGTTACCTTCGCTCATGGCAAACACTGACATTATCAGGAAAATATCAGCAATCGACTTTTTCGGGGCGTTTTTAGCCCTGGCTGGGTCTGCGTTGCTCGTGGTATGTTGCGCGATGCCATCAACCATCCATTCTAGCCAAGGCTAACCATCCTAGCTCGCCTTGACATGGCCTGGGGGAGACTTTGCTTGGGGATCAGTGCATGTCGTTGCAACTCTGGTAGTAGGCATTGTAGTCTCGGCTTTGTTCGTCATATGGCAATGGAAAGGCACCAGCGTGCCATTGATACCGAGTAGGTTTCACCCAGGCATCATGCAAAGCTTTGTATTGACTCATACCAGTGACCATTTTCACATCCAAAGTCGTCAACGGCGCTGCGCTAACCATGTTCGTGAACGGCTGGAACTTTCTTGTTCAGGTCTACTACATTCCTTCATTCTACCAATTGGTCTATGGCTACTCAGCCGTGAAGTCAGGAGCACTACTACTCCCTATCACGCTCACACAAAGTAAGACACCGTCTTCCATTCACATCGGTCTGTGTCTGACTTTCTCATAAGCTCTCTTCAGCACCCTGTCAGGCCTCGTTGTACACTGGACCGGTCGTTACAGAGAGTGTCTACTGGTAGGCTGGGCGATATGGGCGATTGGTCTGGGCCTGATATCGACACTCGATAGCCCGTCTCTCGGAAAGCAGATAGGCTATGGCCTGCTCGCTGGTCTTGGGCTTGGTAACACACTGCAACCCTCACTCATCGCCGTTCAAGCGGGGGTGGAGCGTAAACACATGGCTGTCGTCACTTCGACGCGCAACTTCGTACGCAACCTTGGCGGCACCCTTGGCCTAGCGATCTCAGGCACTGTGATCAACAACGCGATTCGATCATCGCTAGTCCCATACGGGCTTTCGAGGCCAGAAATCCAGTTGTTGCTTAATTCACCAGACATGTTCCGGGAGTCAGCTGGCCAAGAGCGTACCGATCTCGTCAGGGCTGCACTTGCATCCGCTTATCAGCACGGCTTTCGGATTGTTTTCATCGTCGGCGCAGTGCTTAATGCGCTCGCATTCATGGCTGCTTGGTTCTTGATGCCTCAGGTGGAGTTGTGCAGAAAGGACGATGCTCAATTGAAAGAAGAAGGCAAGAAGAGAGATGAGGAAAAGCGCGGCACAACTTCCTCTGCGTAAAAGTTTTGATCAGGAGTATCGGAGGGAACGGCGAGACGAATGATACAACACGATGAGCCATTTCCGGATCTGTGAGATCCAACGACGATTGCAACTACCGACGACGGAGGATGGGTGCCGGGTAAATAATAGATTACCATCCGTGGTGTCCTTACTACACACCCCAGCATACTGACCCCACATTGAACAAGTACCACTAATGCCCCGCACAATTACTATAAGTGCTTGTTTCATTGTCAAGCATAGAGAGCAGCCGGACAACGAAGCCTAATTACACATTAATTCCATAATGTCGTTCAAAATTATAGTCTTATATCAGTTGACCACATCTCCAAACATGAGTAGCATCATGATATCTCACTGAGACTTTTAGAAATCACAAATATGCTCACCACCACTCTCATCGCTCTCGCACTGGCCGCAATCGGCCTCTCTCAAGCACCAGAAGGCTACCGTACGGTGTACATAACATCGGCGCAAGATGCCAAATTCGTGGTTGTACCAAAGTCACGAGCCACGGGAGCAACACTCGTGGTGTAAGACCCATATCTCTTTTTCCTTCTCGTGCCAATACATTCTACTAATGTATGTCTCAGGCAAACCCTCACGTCTACCCCAGCGCAATCATGGTACATCAAGTCGCCTAATAACGCAACCTCCATCCAGCTCGCATCCACAACCCTCTGCATGGACGCTGGGCCGAAGTCAGGCTGGAAAGACATGGCCAACATCTACCTCCGCGAATGTGTTGCTGGAAGTGAACAGCAGACCTGGAACGCCATGGCTGATGGGCGCATTGCTCTTGCTGCTAGCACCGGTACGCAGCAATGTGTAGATCTACAGTATCTAAGAGCTGTGCAGAATAACCCGGTCGGGCTGTATAACTGTGCCGGGCTGGGAAATACTGGGGCCGCTGATAAGGGAATTAACTGGCCTCTGAGGAACGCTACAGTTGTGTAGGCGAAACGAAGGGTGATTGGTATAGCATCTGATGTAGCCTAGACGATTGAGGATCTACTTGATTCAATTATCAATGGCATGTCCCGCATTAGATGTAATCGTTTTGCTGACATAATTTATGTACGTTTGGTCTGCTCGATGTATCCTCTCATCTAGACATCTCCAAGGATTCGACGGTCTCCAGTCAATGAACGGGCTGGTGAGTTCAGGGGCGCTTCTTCCGGCGGACGGCCATCTACAACATTATGCGAAGTTGACGCTGGGTCGGTCGTCAGTGTCAGGATCCGCATTCGTAACTAGCCAGGAGATGGTAAGAACACCGTCAATGCATCATAGTGTCGGACACTCGTGAGGACAGACGGAGGGTTGCAGATCAGCCAAGGCGAAGATGGTGGGGCCGCGCACGAGCCCTCCGTTGCACCTCAGCTTGCTGATGTTCAGTATATCTTGAACACTCGATCGCCCTCAATGTATCTGCACAAGGCATGACGAAGAAGCCACATCGCTCTGAAAATATCATCCGATAAGCTCTCAGTCAAACTGATCGCGATACCCTCGACCTCTCCACTTTCATCAAGGCTGTCACGCGGTTACGTCACAACTCAGCCGCAAATCACGAACACACTAATGACAAAACGCGTGCGCCGACACCTTGTGCAGATTCAGAGTTTCGTGAGCTATCGAGGGTCTCATGAGCCAAATGCTTACACATCAGCGCCCATAGTAGGCCACCGCAGATAGATGCTTGAACTGCAAAATCACGCGCCCATCCTCCAAAGCCAAACCACGGAACCTATCTATCACCATCTCCTTCATCCGCTCCGCCTTTTCACCCGCCAAGTGGTAGCCATACCTGTTCCCTGTGCTATCGTTCGTCCAATTCCACAGCGCTTCCATACTCTCGAGCGCACGCGTGCCAAACCCGCGCGATACCTTCACATCGCCAAAACCGGCGGCGCTCAGGTCGCGTTGTAGCTCCGGCAGCGTCGAAGGCCATATGAAATTATCTGTAGGCTCGCCCAGTTCCGCTAAGACGTCATCGCGAATGTCCTGTATAGGTAGACGGAATACGCCGTCCTGAGTTGCGATGCCAATAGCAGTGCCGGGCTTGGATAGAGTGGCGGCTTGAGCGAGGAACAAAGGTTTGTTGCTGAACCAATGGTATGACATGTTGCAGTGTATAGCGTCAAATTTCCGTCCTGCGAACATGGAAAGATCGTGCACGTCGGCGACGTGGAGCTCTACGTAGGACTTGAGGTCTGGATGCTCCTCCAGGGCCTCATGCGCCCGCTTGATGCTATGTTTGTCTAGATCAAACCCTACGACTTTCCCAGTCGGGCCTACAATTTGGGCAATGTCGAGAACGTCGCTTCCGGGACCGCAGGCGGCCACGAGGACGTGTTGGCCTTTCGAAATGTTCATCATGGCTGTTAGGGCATGGCCGTAGCCACGCTGCATCGTATTGGTGCGGCTGTAGCGATCTGCTGTTGTTGCTGTGGCTGTACCCCATTTGGTGGGCTCGTCGGGAGTAGTAGTGAGAACAGACATGATGAATAAAGTTGTAAGTAGCTCTAAGCAAATGAAAGAGGTGATATTCCGAGACTGAAGATGAGACGGCAGGATCGGACGCGCTCAGTACTGTCAAGTTATATGCGTAGAATATGTTGTGATAGGCGCTTGCGGGAGAGCGACGCGTTGCTACTTCGTACGAGCCGGCAGATCCTATCTTCTTACTTCCATTGTATACCGCGCGGGGAAGCTCCGACAATCCGCCGTTTCTTGGATCTTCGGTCTGACGGTAACGTCATACAGCTATAGCTGCTTCCAATTATCTCTAGTCAAAGACCACAATGAGGCCCGACAGCTACGCACGCTAAGCTTTAGAACAGGGGGAGGGCAATACACAAGAAGCGGCCTCGGTGTGTCTTTCGCCACAACTCTCGCAATACATACGTGTTGGGGACCCATCGATCAACACGGCTCCCTCGTAATCAAACCATCGGCTTCAGCATCGTGCATGCGCCAGCCCAAGACGTATGAAACAAAGGGTTCTGTGGGGGTTCACGGGCCGACTGAATAGACATGTGCTTTTTACAGATAAACTTTACACTAACGGCGAGGTCTACGTCGCCTATCAAACCTTCTTCTCGACGTTCGAAATGCGCTCGAACGGAGATGTCACACTTGTTCGGCGCCTTGGCCATTTTGTCATATCAGAGTCCGTTCCCGCTGAGGCACTTCTCATGCATCTGCTTAAGCGATGAGAGCAAAGCAGTGGATGCATTGTGATAACCACCGACTATACATTCAAGACCAATTAATTTGAGATAGCCAAGCTAGCCTTGGCTGAGAAAACACACATTAACTCCAACGAAGAGATTCCAGATACAGGCGCCAGTACAGTATCTCCATGACCATCTCCAAGCTGAACGATGCCAAAACGCCGCGATCGTCCTAGCCACCCACGCCGAGATCAGTCGCTACATTCGCCGAGACATCTATCACTTCCATCCACTTCTCAGGCCTATTGGCCTATGACATAACTGCCCAGTAAATAAGGTTGTGCAGTATCTTTACTACATTTTTCACCACTCCGACATTCTTACCTTATTACTCTCATCGAAGGCGAAATCGGTCACTGCGCAAAACATAGAAATGCGAGCTTTTCAGCAAATACATCGGATCCATGACCGTTGATGTATGGAGCTGATCAGAGGCCAAGAAGAAGAGAAGTTGACGGCGTTGATCTCTTACATTGACACTGCGAATCCGAAATTGATACGCAAGGAGAAAGTTTACATAAACTCTGTTGCCTATATCTTGACTTCATCGGCATTAATGAGGGAGACCGGGGCAGTAGCATGCTCGTCATGTCCTGTAGAATTCACTTTGATGATCCTATTCACTCACACCAAGAGGCGTGATGTTGATCTTACCAACACGATGCACTCACAAAGTTCCATCTCGATTGTTCACATTAGATCAAACACCAAAAACACTGTTACAAACAGGCCGTTCACCCCTACCTACATATTGTATTTCGGAAACCATCCCGATATTCATCTCATCCAATACAGCGCCGATATCACTAATCCTCACCACGTAAACGACCCTAGAGTAACAGTTAGTATGCCAGTAACCTCCTTTATCAAATGTCTAGTAGACTACGTATCCTACAGCTGGAACTACCACCAATGCGGTAGTGATAATGTGGCGAACGACCACCCAGCTCAGTGCGCCTCGTGCTCGCATTTCCATTGCTGGAAGTGTGAGAATATCATTCACTAATCTGCATATCATGTGCGAAGTACCCGTATAACTGAGTTCGGATGTACCGGAATGGGAATTTAGGATACAAGAGAGACGAATAGTGGACTGCCGTCGTGTGACGGATTCACAGGAGGGGTGTTGCTCATCATGTTCATGTGATGGCGGGTTTCAATGTAGACAACACACAAGTTCTTCGCGTTGTTAGAAGGTTATGTGCATTGATATTGTTTGCTGTTATGGTGATTGCTTCTCGTAACGAGTAGCCGATGTTTCGTGGTCATGTACGCCTAGAAACGTGGTGCTGATACTGTGAAGAGTGAAATGCCGGTGGCTACACGTTTCCAAGCGCTAGACCGGAATACCGAATGAAAGGATACTTTGGCTCAGTATGGGATGTGACGAGTAGCAAACGAAAATGGATGGAACGGGCCGCAAAGAGTATCATATTTGCAGTGACAAAATGTTTGCGATAGTCAGATCACGCCGGAAAGAGTGAAGTAGTCCGGGCAGCTGTGATACCATTACTTCTGGCATGTCGTGCAATCTTGGCGTCACCATAGAGTCATGCATTTTGCACAACATGGTAAGATAGCAATACTTTCGATGCTTGCTGTGCCGCCTACGCGATCTGGTAAACAGGTCCTCTTACAGCGTGCTGCTACATATAAGGAGGCAGGTAGTAAGATGTCCACGACTGTCTATCACCTAACATAGTAATCCTGCGGGCGCCGAGATGATGTTCTACCCTTTTCTCCTCCTCTGGACCAGTCGCCCCTTCGCGATGCCGGCCAGCGCCACCGAAGTGTCGCATTTGATAAACGGCCTAACCCAATACAAGAACCCGAAAGAGCTTGAAATACCATTGCGATTACCGTTCATGCCAAGCCTCGTTCCTAGCAGCGGGGAACGGATTCGGAAAAGGGTGATCGATGATAGCCCATGGGTCAGACCGAAGCGCCTTCCAACCCAAGCGCCTCAGACAACGCCACGCAAGTCCAGCAAACAGCAGCCAAAGACCAGTTTACAGCTCTCGCGGAAATCATTCTGTTCTCAAGGACTTGCGAAACCGACCAGCAGTACCAAGTTCTCGCGATGGTCGAAATGTTCGTGAATGTCGGTGTCGTCAAAGCTGATCTGGAAGGGAACATACGCCGAAGCTCGTTCACATGGGGCGAAGATGTTCCGGACAAAGATTTATATAACCACATGGATGTATGTAGATATACTTGACGATGGGCCATTGGTGACGCCGGATCTGATAGAGAAAATGTTCTATCTGATGATATATGATCAATCTTGCTATGCGACACCAGGCGAGACCAGAGGCGGCAGACTGCGGGCGTTCCATGCGCGTACGGGTAGTGAGCTTGCCAATGTGGTCATAAATGCGGTGGACTCTAGAGACGCGTAGTATTAGGCAGTGGATCGTATGGAATGGGAAGGCAATGTATTTGGATGATCCTTTGGAGTACCCTGGGGTTTTAGGCTCTCTTATCGTCTTCTAGCTTCAAGCCGTTCAAATGCGTATGCGGATCTGGATCCACAACATACTCGTCTAGTTGGACCAAGCCTAGTAGAGCCTCGTCGTCAATAACGTCTGTCATTGCTGGTCTCTTCTCTGATTGTTGGCTACGGGCCGCCTTCAGCTTCAAAATTGTCTCCTCGTTGTATTTCTTGAAAGCCTTAGGATTCTTCTTCTCCCTATGCGGATCATGCGACTCGCTCTTGAACTGATATCCTCTAACTCGCGGCCCTTGGCCAGACTTCTCGGGAAGCGTAGGTTCGTAATAGGCCTCGAAAGCGGCTACGTCGGCATCGAAGGTACCCGCTTCGATGGAGGCGCGGATGCCGGTGAAGAAGGCCGAGAGAATGGCGTGGTTGTGTAGCTGAATGAGTACCCAGCCAAGCATTTCCTTGGCGGCAAGCAAGTGCTGGAGGAAGGCGCGATGATGCTTTGTGCACGCGTAGCATGTGCAGCCTTCGGATAGCGGGGTAACGGACAAAGCATGGTCACCGCTCCACATGTCGATGCCCAGCGAGCGGCGTGTGCTTGTGTTCTTATCTCCGGCAGGCGCTGGGAAGGTAAAGTCGAGCACGATACCCGCGTCGGTCGCGTCGGCGAGGAAGGGCACGGTGAAGACGTCCACGCCCATGCGCACGTGGCGGAGAAGCTCCTGTGGGCTGGCAGGGACATGGAAGGATAGTCGTGGGAGGTGATCAAGTTCGTCGGGTAGGTCATCAAGTAGATAGGCGTCGTAGACGGCAAGGCCGCTGATCTTGTCCACCATGTCGTCTAGGAGGTGATCCAAATACCATGACTGTAGGTCGCGCTCGATGGGCAGGATGGGCGCAAAGATGCTCCATGCTTTCTCGCCCTCGCCAATAGTGCCCTGTTTGGCGACTATGTCACGCAGCCACACCTCGGTCCTGTCGCTCATCCTGTCCTTCCGCTTGAGGCTGATGGCTTCCTGCCCGACTGGTATATCCCCCAATCCCACGACGATGTCTGGTTGCAGCTTCCGTGCCGCGGCGGCATAGTACTCAGAGCTGAGAGTCGTGAAGCCGACCGACGTCAGAAGGCGTATCTCGGTGTCTGTATTACCGTGAGGGCTGGCTATGGGCGGATTGCGACGCGCACCCAGGATGAGGAGCGTGTCTTCGGGGAGGGCGATGAACCTGCGCAACGGCTCAGGCACGTCATACTTGAAAACTGGCGGAGTCTTGTGCGGGCGCTTCTCGACAACTGCATGCTGTTAACGGTGCTTGGTGGCACATATGAGGGAGGGTACGCACAGTCCTCGAGCGCGACGTAGACCCCGCCAACATCGGCGCTCCGTCGGAAGTTGTCCTGCGACACATGGGGTATGACGCCTCTGGATGTGTTGCCAATAAAGGCGGGTGTAAGGATACTCTTGCGTCCCGGGAACGACAGGCGGCCGAGTCGCGGCGCAAGCGAGCCTGACGTCTTCAGGAGCGTGAAATCGAGCATTTCAGCCGGTAGTTGACCAAGTTTCCTCGTAGAGACCCCGTCAGACATGGTGTGACTGGAAACCTCACTGTTAGACGCCTGAAACTTTCTCTCAGTCCACACGACAAGCAACAGCTGTCGTATACAACTCCGAATGTCGTTGCCTATGGTGGGGCGTCCACGTTCCTGCCGACTCATCGTCGAAAATGTGCATGCGCGCACGTGCAAGCGTGTCAAACCGCGTCAGGCGTCCGACTGCTTCTGAATTCTACATCTGTCCTCAGCGAAGGTACAAAATGATGGCAGAATCTTTCTGTTGCCGTATTAGAAGTGATGACGAACTGCTGAAGCCGCCTCTAGCAGCGATTGACCATTTCATCACCAATGACCAAGCACGACCACGATGAGCCACCTCGCCAGGCTCTACGCGCCTCTACCACGAGAGAACGATATCGAGACCCATTGGTCGTGTTCGTCGTAGTTCTCGTCGCTTTCCTTGGCTTCTACCGCATCTACCACCCTTCCGCTACCATAAGTTCACCATCATCTCACGACAATGACGTCGATGTCCAGGTCGTCGAGACCTACAACGAAGACCAGCTTCAGGAGGTCGCTACCTTAATGGACGAACTCTACACCATTCTAGCAGATACCTCTTTCATTCCGCATGACTCTATCAAGCGTGGCCCGCACCAGATCAATTCTACAGCCAGTCCTTGTAGGCGCGATCCAGCCGACCTGCGCTTGATGGAGATCCTCCCATATGTCGACACCACACTACTCGACGATGACAGTTGGCTATGGGGTGGCACCTTTGTCGATTACCGGAAAGATAAATTCTTGCGCTACGGCTGTGATCCTTCCGAAGCAGACGAAGACCCGTCGTACCTCATGCGTCCAGGAACAGTCCACTTAACCAATGGCGGCCGGGATGGCTGGGACCTCTACAGAAGTTGGAAACTCCAATATGACACTAGGAAGAATGCAATTAGGGTCTATGAAGGAGAGGAGTGGATTGAATACCAGCCACAGGTCAATGGGTGCTTGTTTCAATTCCGAGATCCATACAGGAACGAAAAGTACAGATCTGGTCGCAAATGGGAAGACACCCCTGTCTTTGAAGGGAGCAACTCAACGGGAAGTCTCTTGGTGAACAGGCACAGCCGTGGATGGACGAGATGGACTGATGCGCCAACCTTCTTGAGGAGGATCAGAGACGCATATCGGAGCACAGCATGGACACCATGGGTGGCCGCGAACCCCGCTGATCGGCGCGTCCTTCCGCCGTCCCACAACATTACCTCATCGCTTCTGATCAGGAACGGTTGGCCCGAAAAGCTTGACATTGATCAGTTTTGGGCTGACTTCATCCGGGCGCGGCACAAGCCGTCAGCACGAGGCTGGGCCGAAGGTGCTTTCCAACACATCAAAACTCACCAGGATGATCCAGACGATCCATTCAACATCTACTATCAAAAGAGAGCTCTACAACGACGTCAGGGTCATGAGTTTTTCGGAGCGACCGAAAAGTATACTGGAGACTTAAGCAGCGGCGGAGTGTTGTGGAGCATGATGATGGAGGCGGAAAGAGTAAAGAATAAAATCGATCAACACAACAAAGATTACGAAGAAGGGAAACGGAAAATACAGCGGCTGTGTACAGACGGTATTTGTGTCGAGGAAGAGGATCTCATTCTTTGGGAGTTCAGAGAACTAGAAAAGACACATACAAAGGCACAGCTCGAACACGACACTAAGACACTGTGCGAACGTCGCGCCTTGGAGCTAAAAAGGTTTCATGACAAGCATTTATCGTCAGATCAGCACGCAAGTTGCGTCACCCAACTCAACTTGGAGAGACACTGGCTAGAGCTGGCGTACCAACAATCCCGCGCCGATGCCCTCGCTCAATGCGCTCGAAGCAACAAGGACCTCCTCCCCCCTGCCTCGTTCGAGACCCTCGCGAGTATCCGCATTGCCGATTATGAAAGTAGTATTGCCAGCTATGACAGCATCCCAGCGCTGATTGACGCCTGGCAAGAGAGAAACAAAGCACCTGAATCTACCATCGAGACACTTTACGAGAACTATCATTCTGCCAAGGCTCATGATGCCAGATATTACGGGTCGCGGATTGAGGAAATCAAAAAGGCTTTGTCTGGTGACATTGGCGACGAAGCCCTTCTAGAGCTCTGGAACAGATTGGAGTTGCCGGAGAAGCCTCGTTCAGAATCTTATGAGAGACTATTCTACTAGAAGGTACATGGCCCAGATATCAACATGAAGAGTGGTGGTCGCAATGGTCAAAGGTGGCGATTACGCTCACTCTCTTCTCAATTCAAACTGCATTCACCTTCATATCACTTCCTGTCACTTCACTTCACCTCACTTGCTCACATCACAACACATCAAAACGCATTAAAACACCGCCAACTCCTTCCTCAATGTTCTAGCAAGCCAGAAGCATCAATGAAAAAGTAAAGGAACACAAAAAGTGAATGTTGTGAAGAACCGCACCACCTCGCGGTCCTCGATGACTCGCAACCATGCGTCAAATGAGTCTCTCTTCCAAGCCAAGCCCGGAAAAGTCCAGGAGTCCAGAAGTCCGAAAGGCCGTCCAGAAGTCGAAAGAAATCCAGGAGGCGCTCCAGAAAGCCAGTCGAGGAGGCGGTGCTGTGGGTAAGTGCTGCGGGTTAGTCGGGATCAAGCCCTGGGGGCAGTTGATAGTAGGAGGGAGGCAGCAAGCGCTGTTTATATAGTCGGCTGCCAGGCTGCCAAGAGCGGCCGGATGAACGAGTGGTCCCGATTTCATGTGAACTGTGCTCACGCCGGTGCCCGTGGTTCTGCCGGCGGTAGGGGGACGTGCGGGACGAGGTGAAGGCGAGGTGAAGGGGACTTGCGACAGTCTGGAGTGGTGCGGTGACGTCAGACTTCTTTGCAGCAGTCAAGACTCAACGGGCGCATGGAATGTCTTATCGAAAGAGTATGGGAGTCTCTGCTTTGGAAGAAACATTGCGTTACAGCTTGAGACCTGTGGATGAATGTCAAAGTCACGTGGGGTGATCTGGTTTCCGCCAACGACACCTTCCGCATTTCATATGACCCATACGCAAAAAGATACTCACGAACTAGAAAAGTATCGCATTTCCAAGAACCTCAGACTTTGCATCACGCAGCTCACGCAGCAGGGGAAAGTGAAAGCACGCCTTTTTCGCTAGCGCTCACTGTCTTCGCCTGACCTCCCGCTCAGAGTTCGCAATTGCAGACACTGCGCCTTGTACCTCACCTGCGACTACCTCTGCCCGACCAACCTCATGCATGAACTCCATTAGCGGAGGACGATAAAGCCAAGCAACATCAATCGACTCATTCATCATGACAGGCCGCCTAACCATCGTCGCCAAAGATGCGAAAGCGCTCGTTCCGGGTCGCAAGACATTCTTTGATCTCTCCGGCGAACTGCAAAACCAGATCTACGACCTTGCGCTCGACAAGCAATATCAGGGCGTACCTTTAAACCCATACTACCTCAACAAGCCCGACCCATTTATTGCTCTACTACAGGCATGTTCACAAGTCTACAAGAAAGCACGGAACTACCTCACCGAGAAGCAGGTCGCCTACGTCCCCATCATGGCCGGAATGCAATACAACTACGGGGGCGTCCTTGACGAGGACTACAGCTTGAGCAAAGAGACAACAGACACCATCGCAGCCTCACTGACGGAATTCATGGAGGTGCATTTCCACTTGCATATCGAAATTATGCTGAACATAGGAAGCCGTTACTTAAGCGACGATGATGAGGACGACGACGACAGCAACAACATCCGTCTACTTGATTCAAATGGAAAAGAGTGGGACATCGGCACCTTGCTCGAAACCCTTCACCAAGCCATCAAGAACTATACTCCGCACTCTTGGGACCTATATCTGAAACACGAATTGGGCAAGCGGCGTGCGACGATACACCTAGATCACCTCCTCTCACTCTGGCCCAGGATCTCAAAAGACCACCCTTGCGTCCCTATCGCTGCGATGAGAGATCTCGTCGATCTCATGGCGAAAGACACCATGACCGACTGGCAGATACGGTATTACATTCCGACTGGCCAGTGCGGTATGGATGTCAGATACGGATGCACGGTTAACGACAATATGGCTAACGCGATTCGCGACACGGAGCTAGCGCAGCTACGCAGTTACGCGAACACATGCGGACATGGCAACATCACCATCATTGCGGAGGTATATGGCGAGAACACCGAGTGGGAGTACGGCGACAAGTCTGGTAGCGTGACGAGGCAGCGTACTCCCGCCACAGAGTTCTGGCCAAACATGCATTTCGACCCTTGGAAATATAAAATCGTACGCGGTTTCCACCTCAACAGATCTTATCCCGGTAAGTGAAATAATCTATGGCTTCTTTCTGCAAAATTATTTCAAGCCAGGAGGATACAATGACTTAGGAAGAATATACTTCTCAACGTTCAGTGACGTGTATGCTACAACACGAATTGTGCCACTAGGCGGCTCCCTCGAGTTACCCTTACTAATGACACATGCGTAGAAGACATGCCCATCAAGAACTTTGAAGAAGACACCCTTATAGCCACTTTCAAAGACCGCCCGCGCCGGCTAGATTGGATGGAGATGCTGCAGCGGCGGGATAATCAAGCTGACTTGTGGCGGAGGGTAAAGGGAAATGAATGGCCGGGCGGCATCAGGGATTTAACGTCTTGAGAGACAAAGAGTCGTGATCGCGTTTGAGATGTGTGGAAAGACAACTGCTCATACGCAGAGTGGAAGTCGTCCTAGCGGGCAACCAGAACTGGTATCACTGTACAAACATGTATGGCCGATCTCATATCAATCGCTGGATGACGGTGAAGTCGTCTCTGATTTCATAGTCTGCTGCAAAACCACCACGTTGACCTAGGGAAAAGCTGAACACCCTGGAGGCTACATCGACGTTGAGTTACCCGCTTTGCAGGTTTTCATCTTCATCTATTCTTATGACCTGTCCAGTTTCCTCCTTGTATAAGGTACCGTCTCTAATACCCTAACTTTGCTACCCTTTCTTTCCCCAGTATATCCGCCAGACTAACCAACTTGAAGCTCGCCTCTTTCGCAGTACCCCCTTCAGCCAGCTCATTAGCATCGTCATGCGTGACAAACAGCCCATTTGGAAAGTCCTTGTTGAGCGCGTTGCCCACAGCAGCACACCCATCCGTGTTACTAACGTGGTCGATACCCTTCGCCTTGCTATCAACGATAGTGAACGTCTCTACGTACTTGTGCGGTGGCGCGCGCTCGTAGATCAAATATGCCGAGATGCCCTGCGACGAGACGATGATGTAGCCGCCCGGACCTGACTTGGCTGGCACAAGCGTGATGCCCTCGACGTCGGCGTGGAGACCGCTTGCGTCGCCTACTTGTGCAATTTGAACACCGGTGTTCGAGCCAGTGGGTTCGGCTTCGTAGCGCCAGATGCCGAGTGGTTCTTCGCCGATGAAGAGATAGCCGGCGCCTTCGTCGGCAACGCAGCCTTCGACTTGGCCGCCTGAGCCACCTTGGAACTCGCGGACGAGCGTGGTGTGTAAGGTGCCGTTCGCGGTTGCGGTGAGTTCGTACTGCAGGTATTGCGCTTCTTTGTTGTTGACGAAAAGGTACTCTTTGCCAGTGGTCTGGGAACGGTAGTTACACGAGCCGTAGGGTTCGTAGTCTTCCGGTAAGGATTGTTTACCACCAGAAATGGTGCTGAGGTAGCCTGTGCTGTTCACTTCCACTAGGCTTGGCGATGAATTAGCAGATGTTCTAAGACACCATGCAATGGTACTCACCACATGGTGTTGTCACCTCGGCATGCGGCAAACGCCAGATCGACCTTCCGGGTACCGAGCGTGAAGTTGTAGATGACATCGACGTTGTTTGGCTCCTCAGCCGTCAAATGCTGAAGAAGCTTTCCCTGCAGATCGAAGACACCAAAACCCTCACCTTCTTGCGACTTGGTGGTCGTAATGATCTTGCTTTGGTCTGATCGAGTGGGGTGGATCCAAATCGCAGGATCGTCGCCGTCTCCACCGTTCGCCTCAGTTTCGTATTTCGCCTTGACTGCAACGAACGAACAGTCTGGGCCAGTCCATCCGTCTTTGCATTTGCAGACATTTGGGCCGGTACACTTGCCGTGACCAGAACAATCGTTTTCGCAGGTGGTCTTTGAGCAGTCGCGGCCTGTAAAGCCGGCAAAGCAGGAACAGTCCTTGCCAGAAGCGAAACCACTGTTGGAGCACTTCTTGGTGATGGAGCTTTCGCAGTGCTTGCAATCCTTGCTCTTGGGACTGTACTGGGTGTTTGGCTTAATGCCCAAGGCTGTAAGCGCGCCGTCCAGAGAACCTACAGCTACTCCGGTGTCATCTTCTCCCTCGAAAGCGAATGCGAATGCGCCAGATGGATACCCAGGCACTGCAGATTGAAGGATGAAGAGCGAACCCTCAATAGAGAGATCAGAGATACCGCCCAATGAGATGCTTCCCTTCTGCTTGATGTCGGAATCGTACACATCGATGACCTCGTCGTGGGCTACGAACAGATAGTCGGCAGACGCGCTATGATAAGTAGCAAGCCCCGCCACTTCGATGTCTTCAGCCACAGTCTTGATTGCGGGTGCCTGAACAGACTCTAACGCCTGGAAAGAGTACAATGGTCGATCTTCGGCCGAAAAGAAGACCTGACCATTCGTGAATACAGCGCAGGTTTCGCCTTCAATAGCAACTGGGAAGGTGTGAACCTAGGGCTATATTAGTTTTAAAGATACATATCATTTTTCCAGGATAGCAGTACCTCCAGAATCTCGACTCGGCTTTTGTTGCTTCGAATCAAAAATTGCACAACCATCTTCTTTCCGAACAGGAAGATGTAACTCTCTCCGCTCTTCCCACTACGCCATACACACGCAGTACTCCAGTCACCCAGCTGCTTCTTGCCATTGCTTTCGACCATCTTCCCAATCTGAGCGTCGAAGACCCTGATCAGAGAATCGGGGGCTGGGATGTTGACGATCAGATCTTTGCCACCGATGTCGTGAACAGCGACTGCAATTTTCGAGCGACCAGTCTTTTGATGCGACTTCTCCATGAAGCTCGAGGCATTGGAGACAGAGAATATCCGGACGCCACCATCGGCAGCACTCCCATCATTGATAACCAATAGAGGCGACTTGCCGTAGACGAAGTTGGCATTATCGCCCTCGAATCCAGTAGCTGCTGCGACAAGAGTAACATTAGCGTCCTGGGCCGCGACAAACGGTAAAATCACGGTCGCCCATGCGAGGCATCCCGTGAGCAGCTTCATGGTATGGTAGACGTTGGTGAGATCAATGGAAGCAGTCTGGCACTATATAATGGTCGTCAAGGTCGTCTTATATTCTAACTGTCTCCAAGTAATGGGCTGAACCTAGACCTCCCGTTGATCCTTGAATATATGCAGTCCATGCTCGCTATAGCTCTTCGGGGCTCCGATGTTTCGAGGAAAAATCCACAAAGCTACGCGACATTGTCGCTAGGGGCGCGATGCATGGTGTGCCTGCTGCTTTCGGTTAGGTCAAGCTGGCTGAGTGGCCAATAACGATGTCTGCTATTGAAACGTGAGACGGCCGGGCAAGGTTCGACGTCGGGATCAACATGAGGGAAACGGAGAGGGATGGGAACCTGGTATGGCTTTCAGGTTGTAGCTATGCACGTGGGGAACTGTGATGACACGCCAGGCTCGAGCCAAGGGTGCTGGTATGTCTACCAAATTGCAGCCATTAAAGATCCTGTGCCACAAGAAGGGCAATGAGCCTAATCGCGCTTTGTCTGAACCATGAAAATCATTGGTCCTTATCCTGCTAGTGGACTCTGGCACGAATGTAGATGGAGATTGGAAGTTGATGGGTTGATAGGATCGAGTAGTCTTCCACTCATATCTCATCGGCTACGCCAGGCGGATCCCGCATGTGTTCATCATATGGGTTGTTGAAGGTCCATGTTTCTGAATTGAAAGCTTTGCGCGAATCGAGAGAGATGTTAGTGTGTCTCTAGGAGCGATTGGAAGAAGACCATGAGAACAATGACGCGCGTGGCGCCAAGGCGAAGATCCACACCCGCGGCACCAACAGACTCGTAGACGCGACAGCTATCTCGACCTCTGGGATGACGCGCAACAATGCGCGAAAGTAAGGACTTGAAAACAGTATGCACAAAATGCTGTCATAATTCCACAACTCCACGCTTACATGATCGCCAGGTTTTCCCGCCTTCAAGACGTCGCAGCCGTCCGCACGATGAGCTCTCTCAGCAGTACTTCCACAATCGTTATTCCACGTTGCATCGAGGCGCTTACAACAAGAACCCTTGGTCGAGATATATGAGAACTACCTAGCTTGCCTACACTCAGGGCTTCGGTCACGATCGATTCAGATGCGCAGCTTCAGCTTCAACTGCTCTCTCCCAACGTAAGCAACAGATCGACCAGGGGCATACTTTAGCATGCGCCTATGTTGGGAATCCGTCGCATGGCTTTCCGGTCCCCGTAATGCTGCAATGCAGTTAGCGATCGGATACTGTCGTAGACGCAGCCTTCTGTTACGATGGTCACCTTGGATCGATTATACCTAACAAAGACAACACTCGATCAAGCCTTCAGAGATTGTACAATTCAGTAAGTCGCGATTGCGAGCACACTGGGCTGCAGGTGGCAAAGTAAAACCAACATACTTGAAGGGACGAAACACATCACAGTGTTCGATAACTGGTCTGGTTGCCATATGGAACCCTCGAGCCCAAGCCCTCGGCACTCTATACCCTTCCTCCTGTGACGACGCGGCACTTTGGTGGCTCCAAATTGCATCTCCACACGGAGGGAGAACCCTCTCTCCAGCTTGTCACACACTCGAGCATCCCAGAAAACAAAGGATCCCATGGTATTGGTGTCAACGAGCAGTCGTACGGACCGCCAATTGGATTGACGCGGTGGACTGAGTTGATTACTATCCATTCGCGACCCCGCCCTCTACGTGTTGCAGCATGCACGAAACACCCTGGCCATCTGTGCATCTTTAAATTGCCCTTGCGAGATCCAAGAACACAAATTGTCCGGGGAAAGGCACCAAGAATGCTTAGCCATCGGTACATTCGCAATGGATTAAACCACTACCTTTAATTCGTTGCTCGCACGCTAACCCCGCACTGCACCTTTAGCGCCACGGCTCTTGACCTCATATACCGAAGTATAATCACTTGGCAACATTGGAATATCCATACGAAGCGCACTACGCCGAGATATACATGATTGGGGTATCGTTTTGGAAACCTAGCTGTGCGACGAAGTGACAGCCTAATCGCGTCCATCAATGAGTTCCCAACTCCCAAGGCGGGCCAGATGTCTATCAATCCGTCAGAGAATATCGCATGATCAGTTCTTCATATTGCATGAGCTCATTGTCGGGCTTCTGGAGGCTGGGCAATATGCATTATGTACTTTGTACACAAGCATGGCCAGGATCGAAGTCGTGAAACGATCCTATAAGTTGGCAGCATCATGTACTCCAGTAACGGTGTGACATCCCACATCCTTCATTCAGCTCACAGTCTTCTCTTTCATCATGTTGTCGACTTCGAACCTTGCAGTGTTCCTGGGTGTTTGCGCCTCCCGCGCATCCGCCTGGGTCATTGGAACGGAGCAGTCCGAAACCCACCCAAAGATGACCTGGCAGCGCTGCACAGGCAGCGGTGGCAATAGCTGCACCAACGTCAACGGAGAGATTGTCATCGATGCTAACTGGCGCTGGCTCCATGCTGTTGGAGGCTACACCAATTGCTTCGACGGCAACGAGTGGAACACCACGGCGTGTGCGACCAACGCCGCATGTACCAAGAACTGTGCTATCGAAGGATCAGACTACCGCGGTACCTACGGCATTACGACCTCTGGCAATGCTCTTACTCTCAAATTCGTTACGAAGAACCAATACTCTACCAACATTGGATCACGCACGTACCTCATGAAAGATGCAAACAACTATGAGGTAGGGCAGCGCAGCAGATCTAGATGTGACATAGACGCTGATAATTGCTATTTGCTGTTTAGATGTTCAACCTTATCGGAAATGAATTCACCTTCGACGTCGACAACTCGCAGTTGCCATGCGGTCTCAATGGAGCGTTGTATTTCGTTTCCATGCCCCAGAAGGGCCACGGTACACCCGGTGCAAAGTACGGGACTGGTAAGTCACAAGATTTGCTATTCATAGAGCATGAGCTGATACATCCCAGGTTACTGTGACGCTCAATGTGCTCGAGACCTGAAATACATCGATGGCAAAGCCAACGCAGAAGGTTGGCAAGCATCCGAATCTGACCCCAATGCGGGTATTGGCAGGAATGGTGCATGCTGGTGAGTACGCCATTCTGCTCGGCCTGGCCCATTCTGACGCAACTCAGTACCGAGATGGACATTTGGGAGGCAAACTCGGTCTCCACGGCTGTGACCCCACACTCTTGTCAACCTGAAGGCTACTCAGTCTGCACAGACGATACATGTGGCGGAACATACTCGCTCGATCGTTACGCCGGCTCCTGCGATGCGAATGGTTGCGACTTCAACCCATACCGTGTCGGCGCAAGGGACTTCTATGGCAAGGGCAAGTCTGGTGTAGACACATCAAAGAAGGTGACAGTCGTCACACAGTTCTTGGGATCTGGAGGATCGCTCAGCGAAATTAAGCGCTTCTATGTGCAGAACGGCAAAGTCATCGCTAACCCGGAGCCCACAATCCCTGGCATGGTATGTACTCACATCACTAAGCCGTATAAGTCCACTCTGACAATCGCGCAGACAGGCAACTCGATCACCCAAGAATGGTGCAACACGCAGAAGGAAGTCTTCCAGGAGGAAGTCTACCCCTTCAACGAGTTCGGCGGCATGGAGTCCATGGGCAGGGGTATGAATTTGGGCATGGTGCTCGTCATGAGTCTTTGGGACGACCATTACGCCAATATGCTTTGGCTTGACAGCAGCTACCCTACTGACAAGGATCCGGAGCAGCCTGGTGTCGCTCGCGGCGAGTGCGACATCAACAGTGGTGTGCCAGCCGATGTGGAGGCTGCCAACCCGAACGCGCAAGTTATCTTCTCGAACATCAAGTTCGGGCCCATCGGCAGCACTTTCGCGCAGCCTGCTTGAGTCTATCGGGGCACACGATGAACTTCGTGGTTGCTTTCACTGTCTCTCTGGCTCTGGCTCTACGCACCTGACCGGGTGTCGCTTGTACATAAATCTGTCTGATCACGTCATTCGCTTCATTATGATCAGAGACAAATCAATCAACGCTGTACAGTCCTTAACACACTCCAGGCTATGAAGATTTGTTCACAAATGCGCACACACGGTTCTGGCGCTTTCACCTTTGGATGTGTGTACGCACAGTGAGATGCTGGTCAGGGCACAATGGGCTGCTGTTAGCTCGTAGGAAGAATGCTTTTGAATTTTATCCCTACTCAGCCCGTTGAAAGATCGCATGGAGCGGAATCAGATCTTCCATATCATTGTCTAACCCTCCCCTTTACAGCACCTGTCAACTGCAGATAACACCATGGCTGTGGACCTACAGCTCGCAGAAACATCACAACAATCAAATGCGCGGCCGGATCAGCCAGCATCCAGTGCGTCGCAAACTGCGTTGGCCATACCAGAGCTTGCGGAAAACATTTTGAACCGTTTGCCAGATTTTCGCGATCTGGTCCATGTTCGGACAACTTCGAGGGCCTTAACGACAATAGTCGACGGAACACCCAGCATCCAACGCCGCTTGTGGCAGCTTCCGAACCCCGTTCCGCATGGCGAAGACCCAAACTACCCTGATCTGACACAAATTATGTCCAAGTATCGTATCGAGCTGAGCTACCAGGAGGTGGAACTTGGCCTAGAGGCGATCCATCGCATGTAATGGGATAAGTACGACGCAATCGAGGCCGGCGAAGATGAAGTAACCGCTGCCGCGGTGCGAACGCAGTGATACGAACAACTGTGGTATACGTTTGAGAAACCTAATTACACGTTCGCCATGCACACTATCTTCATTCAGACACCTCAGCAACAAGCATTCAAGTGCGACAACTGCCATTATCTTCACCCTCAATACGTTTCCTTGGGCTTACATTCTGCTCTCCGCTTCCTACACAACCATGAAATTTGCGGCCAAGGCTCTGGTTCAGAACTGCTTCTTCGCTTTGCTTTCGGGGATCTCCGGTATACAGATGCCCGCATGTGACCTGCATTGGACGAATCAAGGAACCGCACGCTTGAACGTACGATTTTGTACAATATGGCGGTGTTTACCAGGGCTGTGAGTGACGCTTACGAAACCGCAAAGCAACACGGTATTCTTCAGCTCTATTTCGTGGCACCAGTGTGCACAAGGCTCATTCTGACTTGCGTCAAAGCTATAGAACCTATGGATCTGGCGAATACCATCATTCGCGATCAAGATGGCATCAAGGTAGGGCAAGTGCTACGCGCTGTTCTCTGACTGTGTCAAGTCATGTTTATACGCGGTCGCGCTAGGGTACTGACTGTCAACGATGCCTATGTCATCCGTGGGATATATGCTAAGACATGGAGGGAAGATAAAGACTACATTGCCCAGCTATACGATGAGACACGGGCGGAACTACCTTGCTTGCAGGAAGGTGGTTCAGATGAAGATCAAGCAGCTCGTGGTTAAGGTAATGAATGCGCCCAGAGATCACAGCGACTGATCCTGTATCTAGAAGCAGGACCTCTCATGTCATGGATGATGATCTTCTTTCTTTAATCTTGAGCGTTCGTCTCGGTACACCAGAGTCTGATGTCGCATGGTCCAACCAAGTTCATTTTCACGAGATATCGACATGAGCGTCTGCTTCGTATGAAGTAAACGCAATCCGTTCTCACATGACCGAATACAAATACTTTCATGCTCTCTCTTGTCATATTCTTGCGTGCCTAGCTTGTATCTCTTCTTCGGAATTTGCCTTGATTTGGCCCAATCCGTAGCTATCGTTGCTAGCAGATCAGCGTACTCTTCGCCTAGCATCTCCTCCACTGCTACATAGCCAGTAGTTGCCTGCAGCATCTACCGAAGATGCTTGAAGACCGTGTGGAAGATGTGACGCGTTGTTGGTTCGTCGATACTCCTTGACGTGCTGGTACCTGAAGTTTGAGATCCTGTGGGGACGAAAGGACCCCAGCATCAAGTATGCCGGACACCATATGGTAGATGGTCATAAGGCGTCGATGAACTGTAACCCTCACACCAACACCGACGGTGCGTCTGCTGGCGATTGGGCCAGTCAGAGGAGATACCAGGATCCGCGAAGCATGGCAAGGATACAGCAAAGATACAGTACACCAAATGTAGTGGAAGTACTGCCCGGGCACAATCGGAGAGCGCCAGCGCATCTCGTGACGACACGTCCGGGTTTGAGGGTCGCATGATCCGGTGACGCATAAGTATTGGCTGCAACCTTCGCCGGGTGATCGCAAGAACGTGATACTCACCGCCGTCTATCGCTCTGCTTCTGTTTATTAAGACTTCTGCTCTCTGCCACATGATAAACCAAAAGTTTGAACGCATCCAAGTTTGGTCGCCCCGTCGATGTTCAGAGCTTGAGGTGCGACATCTGCTCTGCCCCGCCACCCCCGCTTCCTCGGCTGTGGCGCCCCTTATCGCTCATCGCTTATCGCAACATTTCCGCATCCGTCTTCGGCGCGTCATCTGCTCCTTCGCGTCGACACGCCTCAAAGCAAAGGCGGACAGCCTCCCCAGGGAGCGTCTTAGTTGTCTCGAGTTTAAAGACCAAGAGCCTCGTTGCTGGTTATTGGCGAAACGTGTACTCACTTTTTCCATCCTAGTCGAGCCAACGCCGGCCGGACGTTTATCGAGCGGCACCACCTACACCGTTCTCACGTCACGATCTCCACTAAGCAGCAAAAGCAAAGGCCCCAACTGATTGTATTCGACTCCCATAGCGCCAGGCGATAGACGCATCGCTATATCACTCTCTGATACTCCGGTCAACCCTCTGTAGTACACCATGCCGAGCTCACCAACGCAACCATTCCCTCTCTACCTATTCCCTAGCCTTCCCTTTCGCCGCCGCCGAAGCTCTGCCATCAGCACCTCGACCGCCTCCACATCTCCGTCCTCGTCTCCACCACAACCGACCTCTTTCTTGACAGCCCAACCCAACTCACATCTGCGCTGTCAGAAGTGCCTAGCCGACCTCGTCCCCACGTCAGCCATCATAAGCAAAGGGTTCACTGGACGTCATGGTCGCGCATACCTTGTAGGACCACCATCGGCATCCAGCGCATTTGCTGGTGGTGACATGTCAGCGACAGGGTGGAAGGCGGGCGACCTACCAAACACCTTGACGCATAAAGCCCACGCTCGTCAGCTAGTGACTGGCGCCCACACCGTATCCGATATCAGCTGTCGCAGCTGTGGTATCGTCCTAGGGTGGAAATATGTCGATGCTGCCGAAGAGACTCAAAAGTACAAAGTCGGTAAGTTCATATTGGAGACGAAGAGAGTCGTCAAAGGCGCGGAGTGGGACGAGAGCGTAGAAGAGGAGGACAACGGCATGGTGCTGGAGAAGAAGGAAGAGGACATCGAGTTCGATTCGCAGGACGAAGACGAATGCGAGGACCTCTTCAGCGGCATCTGGAGCCCCCAACTTGCGAGTAAGAGGAGGAAGCGCCGTGCCTACGGTGACATTGACTTGTCGGTATGAGCTTGTCGACCCTTCTATATCCACAGTACGAATGCTCTTGAGCGTATACTGCGACGCATACCCTGCAACCCGACACAAGAGACGAACAGATACCCCGGAAAGATAGATACACTTCCACTTTTGATACCCAGGAAAGGCGCATGGTTTTGGTGTAATGGTTTGCTTTTATTAAACGACATGTGTATGTGCCATGGTACAACACTACGATAATTTGATCGTCACCCACTACCAAGTAAATCTCACTATGCACTAATGTCTCGTGAGCCATGAATTAGCGAAGTAAGCCATTGAGACTTCGACATTTTCTCTTTTCTAGAATAACCACTATGCCGTGTTTACAACTTCGCACTCGCACCCTTCTCTCCCTTCGCTACCTCAGCAACCCCACTCGAACTCTCTGGATTCCACCCAGCGATCAGGTCCTCCACAACATTGATCTCGTCCTGTCCCCACACCAACCCGCCAACTGCTGTCCACTCTCCACCGTTCGTCTGTCTCAGCACACGATATGTAGGCACACCACAAAGGCCCAAGTCCTTTGCCTCTGCAGTCAAAGCCCGTAGTTTGGCTTTGACCGCGGCTTCGTTCGCGCGCGCGATGAGGTCAGCACCATTGAAACCGCCCTCGTCAAGAACAGTGCGGAGGACAGAATCGTCGGAGACGTTTCGGTTGTGGGACCAGCATGCTTCGACTGTGCCTGATTAGCATATCGCATGGTACGTAGGATATGTACTAAACAGCAGACGAAAGTGCAACTTACACAGCAACTTCGTAGTGCCCGGCTCCACGATAGCAACCCTCAAGACAGTCGGTGTCCGAATGGGAAACGTATCCGCCCAATGGAACTTGACCTGTCGACCACCATCCTGTGTACTAATAGCATTCCAATACTCCGTCCAATCCGCGTGATCTTGTCTCGACCACATCGCCTTCGCAGGACTAATCGCCGAACCTGGTAGGTTCGGTGCACCAATCTCTCTGAACAATATGCCCAGCAAAAACGGCTTCATGACAACCTCCAGCCCTGATCCAAAAGTACTCTTTAGTCTTTCCAGTTGCGTGTACCCGAGAAACGCCCAAGGACTGCTGAAATCGAACCAAAACTCCAGCTTGACCTGACCGTGAGGAGTATTCCTAGGGATACAGCGTGGCATCAGACTCTTGAGTGCCGCGACACTACTCCACCCTTTACCAGCCGAAGCAGAGGATGAAAGAGCATTCAACGTCGCCTCAACAAAATGCATACGATCCTGTCCCCAAAAGAACCTCCCTTTCTTCTCCTCGCCATCAACCCCCGTCCACACCGCATCCGGGATCCAGAAGCCGGGAACACCAAAAGCACCTCTCTGGATCGCGTCTTCCGTACTCTTCTCTAACTCTCTCCTCGCCTCCACGTCAGCAAAACACTCCTCTCCAAACCCTTCCACCCCACACTCTCTCGCAATCTGCAAAAGCGTCGTGTTAGAATTTACATCTTGGCCGTCTACCCAGTAAGCTTGAAACAGCCTATCCGTAAGCAGCCTCCTCCTTTCCTGGTCCTTCACACAGTACAATAGACGGAGCGCATTGACAGTCTTCCGCGGATGCTGGGGCGGTGGGTTGTACCGGATGTTGTATCTGCGTAGTGTGCGTTGCATGCCCTGTGCTGTGACGGCCTTTTTGGCGGAGTTGAAGACATCGGAGGCAGAGCCGCCGGCGCCTTGGGGCGCGGATGTTGCGCGGTAGATGGCGCCTAGGAGGACGGGTTTGTAGGTCAGGGTTGAGGAAGTGCGTTGGGCGAGGGATTGGACGCGTGTGGAGGCTATGTAGGCGAAGGGGCAGGAGATGTCGTAGTTGAACTCTAGGGTGGGTGACATGGTGGTGGTGGAGGTTGGGTGGTAGAAGACGGTTATTTGTCAGGTCGCAGTACAGAAGAATGTATGAAGATGAGTTAGCTTACAGAGGACAACCATGCGTAAGCTTGGGCGACTTGTGCGCTTCAGTTCGGTATGCTGTAGCTTGAGTGTGGGGTAAACTCAGGTACAGCCGAGGTTCATCCTACGCGCAGGAACACCAACACCTTCTATCATGGACACTGACTCGGAAAATTGATATTTTGTAGTATCTACCTCTTGCGAATGATGTTGTAGTCTACCACACGTGATCGAATCCTCTAGTCTATGCATAGTTGAAGCTAGTTCTGCAGAGAGGACAGCTCGAGCTATCACTGCTCTTGAACCACTTGAACAGACAAACACCATGGAACAAGTTCTTGCATGTGTGACACTTCTTGTCGGGCAGTTTGCGATCCGATCCGACAATACTATAGCAAATCGCGCATTCGCTCTGGCCCTTGAGCGCTCCATCGACGTTCCTCTTGAATGTTGTCAGCGCATCAATCAGGCTGCCGTTGAAGATCGTGATAGCTCCCAACGAAGTCCTCAGCCATGATTGCCACTTCTGTTCATTGACAGCGACGCGATTCAGGCCTTCAATGTGCGCGTTTGCGAGAGGGAACGCAGCAGGCAGAGAGATCCGCATCGCCATAGTCTGTTCGTCAACAACATAGGACGCAGTGATCTCGCGCGCGCGATTGACAACCTTAACCGCGAACGCTGAATCAGGCTCGGATGCAGCTTGTTCCTCCGACCATGTGTTGACTGCGTTGAGGGCGGCCACAATGACAGGTGGCGACACGTACTTCTCCGTCCAAGGCTCGAGCGTAACGACTATGGCGCGCGACTTGCAGCTCTTAAACCAGGTCTTTGTCAGAGATGGAACGTCGCGCAGACACAGGAAATACAAGTGCGTAAGTAACCACTGCAGATCGCGCTTCGGAGGCTCAATATCTGCTTCGTATGTCGTGATGTCAAGTTTGGAGACGTCGACCGGCTTGTTGTGCGCGTGGCCAAGGAAGTCGAACATGAAATCAAGCAGACCGGGAAGGTATTCACCTTCGCGAATGTGCTCAACGTAATCATTCTTAACCTTGAAGGATGCATGTTCCAGGTGATCGAACACCAGCAACCAGCTTAACAGATAACCGCGCAACGGCAACGGCACACTGCGTTCAAAGTTGGCATCGGCAATCGCCGCAACCCTAGGCGCATCGATGATCAGAGATAGCAACTCCTCGGGTAAACGCGCGGTAGTCTTCTCCAATGCTGCATCGATGGATATCTGCTCCTGAGCTGCGGGAATCTGCTTGTGCAGGATGTCGAAGGCAGTCTGCTGAACAGGTTGCGATTCCACGTAGAGAAGAGGGAAAAGCTCTTCCGTGGACTCAAGATGCTTGAGCGATACCTTGGATATCTGGCGCGCTAACACATCATTAACCATCTTGAGCGGCTGATGGAACTCATCCGGAAAGTGCTGCGAATGCTTCAGGATGTTGATAAGCCCATCAGCAACTGGTTGCTCGTTCTCTTTCCAAGCGTCGAGGAGATCGTCGTTGGGCTCTTCAGCTTGCGTCAAAGTTCGGAGCTGTGCGTATAGCTTTAGGGATGCGTGCACGAGAGGAATCGGGCTATCCATGCCGGACTCGTTGGACTCTAGCTCCTTTGTGGTCTCCCAGATTCCGGCAAGTGCACTTAAAATGCCAGCCCAGTGCTCGCCGTACATGTCGCCGACCAACGGAAGCAAAACTGTTAACGCGCGACACAGTTCGGCCCTCACAGGACGAGAAAGTGTTTCTTCTTGCAACCAGGGTATGACGTGCTGCACGAACCGCATAAGACGAGGACCAGCGATGCTTTCCAAGATGCCCTCTTGGTCCATAACACTGTTCAACAGAACAAGCTGCTGTAGTGCCTCCTGCGACCTTTGTAAGGCATCAATAGCGGTTAGATCAGCGATGATTTCATTGCACATGCGCTCACACGACTTTGCATACGACAATGGCTCTTTGAAAGCGTTCAATAATGCAAGAAGCTGGAGAACGTTTTTCGTGCCTCGCGTCGTCTTGAGCGTTTCCTGAAGTTGAGCGGTTTGTGAACTTTTCCAACCAGCGATCTCAATGGTGTCAGCGATCACAATAGCGTACGCTCGTGCGTAATAGTACGCCGGAGATGTTGCGCTGGCCTCTATGCTCGCCAAGAGTTTGGCCGCCCATGACAATAGCGAAGCATCGGCATCGTCTTTTGACCACATTGCGACAAGCTTCTTTCGTTCGTGTGTCACAAGAGACTGGGCATCTGAGATGAAGGTCATAGCGTCAGCTTCAACATCTGAGTTGTAGTGTGTCCAGAAGCCGTTTGCGCCAGCGAGACCAAGGTTGTCATCTGCAAGTTGTACGGCAACCGCGATGTTACGAAGATAAGTATCCCGGAGTTCAGAAGGAACCTTGTCCATGGAGAAATAGTCGGGGCTCTTGAAAAGCCTCGCCACATATTGCGTGATTCTGTATGCAGGAGAGTAGCCATCGGCGTCCCGTGACATGGTCCTGATCGTAGAAGGCATCTGTCCATCTTTCACCAGATATACGGCGCCACCAAGGGGGTTTGTAATGGCCAAAGATGATTTTGGCGCAGCATTGAGAAATGGCTCAAGAGATGAATTCCAGTCTTCGATGCTTGGAAACACTTTAGCAATCTCATTCCAATCACCACCCGCCTTGACAGACTGTTTTGCCAAGTCGACCAGAGTCTCGACTGATACCGATGTGGGAGTAGCATCTCGCAGCCCTTGTTGGACGAGATTATAGATAGATTGTTTGGAATCAGATCCAGACGAGAGTATCGTCTGGATAGAAGCGTTTACAGCTTTAGCACCCTGCGCCACCTCGTCATCCGGGGATTCTGAGGCAAGGAGCAAGCCTTGCAGAAGGCCGGACCCATGTGAGCTAGCGACAAACTCACGGAGCATCGGCGGGTTTGATTTGACTATTTGGCGTAGGCCCTGCAATGAGTATGGAGCCTGATGCGATAGTGAAAGGGTTTCCGTCATGTAAGCGAGGATCTCGTCTGTTGTTTCCGTAGATAGTATTTTCGCCGGCGATTGAAGCATGCGGTTGAAGGAGTCCCATTCGTTAGAGCCTTCTACGGCCTCGCGTACGTTTGCAGTAATGTACTTCTGCAACTCAGGGTCCGAGGTTGCAAGATCGAAGGAGGGTGGAATCCTTGACGAGGTAAGGATTGCTTCAAGCGCTTTGGTCTTCGCCGGAGAATCTGTCTCTTTGAGAACAGTCTTGAGCGACGCGCTCCATGCGTCCTTGAAATACGCGCGATCGGACTTGGTGTACAGTATGTCAATCAGATATGAAGACGAAGGGGACAGCACCAGACCCGGAAGATCCTGTTGTATGAATGACTCTAAATCTTGTTCGAATTGGGTGGACGAGATCAGGCTAGGATTTCGTTTCGACAGAACCGCAATGGTGCCCGCTGCACCATATGGCTTTCCATTTCGGTTCTTCAGTACTTCTAGAGCTTCCGCGGCTATCGACGAGCAAGCTTGGGAAAAGACCGATCGTAGCGTCGCCAGATTCTGAATCGTAAGCGCTTGATCCTGTATAGTAGCAAAGTGCGTGGCGTGCTGAATGACGCTGGTCTGAGACTTTTCGTAATCTTTCGATTGCTCGGGAGCCAGGGTTTTGATGGCGTCGATCAATTGCTGTGAGAAGGTAGGCCATTGCTCTTCCAGCACAACAGCCATTCCTTCAATCTCTAATGCTTTAGAGAGCAGCCCTGAAGCATTGGACGGCACAGCCCAATGCGAGGTCTCTAGCGACGGTCGGAGGTACTGCGTTATGATCGGCAACACCATCTCCTGGAGGAGCTTGGTCTTCTCATCACTTAATCGCTGGGTCAGATATCCAGCTACTTCCAGGTATGCCCGGAATCCCGCTTCATGGTTGTACTTTGGCTCGTCCTTGCGAATAATGCCACCGTGTAGAGCGTTCAGCAGCTCCGCGGAGTCAGTACTGGATTGTGGCAGGACTTCCTTTGGTATGATCTTCAACAGCTCAGGTATGCGGCCCCAAGTATCACGAGGTCCTAGTTGAGAACCCTTCTTCAGGAATTGCCGTAGACGCCTGTCCACCCCGGTCTTGCTCTTGTAGTCGGTCGTCCACACGGAGGGATGTTTGGAAGTGAGAAGGGTCAGAGACTCGACGTAATCGCCGACAGAACCGGTCTGATCGGAGTTGAGTCCCTCCGCTAGGTAGGCTTTGCTCAGGGTATCGAGATTCTCCTGGATAGCAGCATCCTCCTTCGCAACGCATGTCCTGAGAAGACGGTGCACTGCGCGCCGTATGCCAGCGTCATTGTATGAAGCAAACTGCCACAGCTTCTTGTCGTGAATCAGAGTCTCGTAGTCGGCGTGGTACTTGGAGATCTCCTCGGGCTGCAAGTTGGTCAACAGGCTGCCCAGTAAGGATATGCATGCAGAAATGACACGGCTGTACTTTGCTTCGGCGTCATCTTTGCTGACTATCCGCTCGTCACTCAGAGTCGCCGTGCTCTCCTTGTCCACTGCATCGCGACAGTATTCTAGTATGGATTGCTGGTAGACCTTCCGAATGCTCTGTAACTTTTCGGGCGTGTTGAAGACTTGTCGGAGCGAGGTCTGCGTCGCGTCTACTACGGATCGGTCGCTGTCATAGAGACCACATAACCATGCTGCCACGCTCTTAGGCATGTGTCGTGCTATGCGCTTGCCGGCGGATACGGCGAATTGGCCGTGGACGAGGTGGGCATTCTGGCGAACGGCTTTCGCATTGTCGATGGAGGTTCGCGGGTATATCTTGATCCATGCCTCGAGCAGGCCCTCTTCGACTGGCCCTTGCAGTGACGATATGTAGGATTGTATGTCCTCCAGCGCCTTTGCCTTGGTAGTGCTGTCTTTCTTGGACAGGTTGCGGAAGTAGACGACGACGTTCGGGTCGGAGATGGCGGAGAGGTCTGGGGGCTCGGACACGTAGGACAGGGGCGATGTGCTCGCGCTGAAGGCTGCTGATGCGCCGCCGAATGCGCCGAAGGAGGATGTCGTGGCCGCCCGCGCACTGCTCGCCTGCGCCTTTGCTGCACGCTTTGACATGGCGGGGTTGGGTAACGGCAGCGTCACTCGCGGTCGAGGCTCGAGGTGGGAGGTGGGCGGAACGTTTTTGTGACGACGGAACAAGGCAAAGCCGGCTGCAGCTACGTATCCAAGTACAAAAGAAACACACAGTTGCACGCCAGTCACCATGGCAGAGGTTTACGGATTACGCGAAATATGCGGCTCTGCTTGATGACGGCACCAACTGTGGGTAGCGGAAGACGGTGGGACATCCCTGCCCTTTGGCCAGGCCCAATCCGTCTTAGTGTTGTCGCGCTGACCGCGACCGAACTTCGTCTGGAGGCAACGCACACTTGCAACTTCTCTTCATTTCCACCAACTCCCTTCCGCTACAACCAAATCCGCGCGGGCGGTGGACCATCAATATGAGGTTCTATATCGATAACCTCCCAGTGCTATTCCCATATCCCCGAGTATATCCAGAGCAATATGCCTACATGTGCGATCTCAAGCGCACCCTGGATCAGGGTGGCCACTGTGTCCTCGAGATGCCTTCAGGAACGGGCAAAACCATTTCTCTGCTCTCACTCATCGTCGCTTACCAGCAGCACTATCCTGAAAAACGCAAGCTGATCTACTGTTCGCGTACCATGTCCGAGATCGAAAAGGCCTTGGCTGAACTTAAGGCGCTGATGAAATACCGCACTACCGAGCTGGGCTACGAGGAAGAATTTAGGGGTCTTGGATTGACCAGTCGGAAAAACCTCTGTCTGCACCCGTCCGTCAAGCGAGAAAAGAGCGGGACCGTAGTAGACGCGAGATGTCGCAGCTTGACTGCTGGCTTTGTGAAAGAGAAAAGGGAGCGCGGCGAGGATGTCGAGCTTTGCGTGTACCACGAGAACTTGGATCTTCTGGAACCTCACAATCTCATACCGGCTGGTGTGTGGACTTTCGATGGCATACTGAAGTATGGTGAGCAGCAGAAACAGTGTCCTTACTTTACAGCCCGGAGAATGATGCCCTATTGCAACGTCATCATCTACTCCTACCATTACCTCTTAGATCCCAAGATCGCAGACAGAGTATCCAAAGAACTATCCAAAGACTGCATCGTCGTTTTCGACGAAGCCCACAACATCGACAACGTTTGCATCGAATCTCTCAGCATCGATCTTACCGAGGATGTACTCCGGAAAGCTACCAAAGGTGTCAACAACCTTGATCGCAAGATTACAGAAATGAAGACTAGTGACGCGGCCAAATTGCAAAATGAATACGCGAAGCTAGTCGAAGGTCTCAGAGCTGCCGATGAAGCGCGAAACGAAGACGCCTTCATGGCTAATCCAGCATTACCAGACGATCTCCTCACAGAAGCCGTGCCCGGTAACATACGGCGAGCGGAGCACTTTGTTGCCTTCCTCAAGCGCTTCATCGAGTACCTCAAGACGCGCATGAAGGTGCTCAACGTCGTCGCAGACACACCACCAGACTTTCTCAAACATTGCAAAGACTTGACCTTCATCGAGCGGAAACCACTCCGATTCTGCGCTGAGCGTTTGACATCACTTGTCCGAACCTTGGAACTCACTAATATTGAAGACTACCAGCCGCTCCAGGAGGTCGCTACCTTCGCCACGCTAGTAGCCACATACGAGACCGGCTTCCTCTTAATCATTGAGCCCTTCGAATCAGCGACGGCAACAGTACCAAACCCTGTTCTACATCTCACTTGCTTAGACGCGGCCATAGCCATCAAACCCGTCTTCGAGCGCTTCTACTCCGTTATCGTTACTTCCGGAACCATGTCTCCGCTCGACATGTACCCACGCATGCTCAACTTTAATACCGTTGTTCAAGAGTCATTCACCATGACACTCACACGAAAGACATTCCTACCCATGATCGTCGATCGTGGCAACGACCAGAACCAAGTCACATCGCAATTCGAACACCGCAACGACTTGCAAGTGCAGCGAAATTTTGGCAATCTGCTCATCGAGTTCTGCAAACTGACGCCAGACGGCGTCGTCGTATTCTTCCCGTCATATCTCTACATGGAGAGCATCATCTCAGCATGGCAAGGCATGGAAATCCTCGACACAGTCTGGAAGTACAAACTCATCCTCGTCGAAACGCCCGACGCACAAGAAACCGCCCTCGCGCTAGAAACCTTCCGCACAGCCTGCAACAACGGCCGCGGCGCCGTCCTCCTCTGTGTCGCGCGAGGAAAGGTCAGCGAAGGAATCGATTTTGACCACCATTACGGCCGCTCTGTGCTGTGCATGGGTGTACCATACCAATACACGGAATCCAGGATCCTAAAAGCCCGACTAGAGTTCCTGAGAGAAACCTACCGCATCAAAGAAGCAGACTTCCTCTCCTTCGACGCCATGCGCCACGCAGCCCAATGCCTAGGTCGCGTCATCCGTGGTAAAGACGACTACGGAATCATGGTCCTGGCAGACAAACGCTTCAACAAGAAGCAAACCCAACTCCCAAAATGGATCCAACAAGGTCTTGACGCCAAGAGCACAAAGCTATCCATCGATCAGGCTGTAGGCGCAGCAAAGGCCTTCTTGAAAGACATGAGTGTCCCATTCAGCCGAGCAGAACAAGAAGGCCATTCGTCGTGGTCGCTGGAAGATCTGGAGGCTCATCAGCGCAAGAAGGAGGCTCATGGAATTAGTGGGACTGACAACCCGGCTATGCGCGCGTTGGAAGGTAGAGCCGAAGTCGAGCGCATGGAGGTTGATGGGGAGGTGGATGAGTTTGGCGGCACGGCGGATGTTGATGCTGAGATGGCTGAGATGGCGACCGTCGATGGATAGAGTCGCGAAGGCGACAAACCACTCCCGTGTGTATATCGCCACATGGAAGGCGGTGTTAGTGAGACCGGGAATTCATCATCGTAGCGCTTGGGTTGGATAATGTATTTGGACACGCACTGAACGGCGAGTTGGAATGTGGTAGTAAAAGAATAGGAATGAAGGCGCACGACAAGCCGCGTTCCTGGATATCATCTACTTGACGGATGTATACATGCATTTGTTCTTTAGTCGCACGGCGAGGCAGGCTCTGGCATACACTGGCAGAGAAATTGGCACGTCACAGAGTACTGATAGAACCTGGTTACAAATATTGCATTCAACTACAAACACCCTGCTAGGAAACCATACACATAGCCAAGCGACCGGACTCCATGCGTGCTACTTAGGAAGAAGAACCAACGCCCCAGTCCGTCATGCGGAACTCCCCAGGAAAAGAGAAACTCGGACCATATGCTGTGTTGTAGCGACAGACACCAAGAACCCTAACCACGTTCCCATCTTCTCAGTACGTTTATATCTCCATATCCATGAACAACCATTTCTTGCTTGTCAACTCTTCGCCCTGGCTGAACTCGTCGAGCGTTGTAAGGCCGAAGCCGATCCAGCCCAGATCCTTGGTGACGTTGGCCAGAGCAGCTTGGTCGACGTGGCGGTCGATGCACAGGACGAGTCGGTCGCAGGAGAAGTAGTCGACTTCGCAGAGTTCGAGAAGGGCCATGAGACTGCAGAACGTTAGTAAAGTGGTACCGAAGACGACGCGAATGTCGGTGACCTACCCTGCTTTCAAATCCCCGTTGATGACGGATTCATCGAAAAAGATGAACATGGCCCTCTCGTCTTCCTTCTGAGCAACGAAACTCCGGAACCTAATGCCACCAACGTAGTCCCACATCTCAATGTAGTCGGCTATCGCACCCTTCTCCTCCTCGAACCGCACCGTTCCAGGCGCAGCAGATTCGGTCGAAGAGTCCGAGTAGCGACGAGCATCGATACCGTAGTCGTTGGTGATAGCGGTGGTCGCAGTCGTAGTGTTGTCATATGGCATACCCATCACTAGCGAGTTCTGGCGATGCTGGCTCCCCTCACCCAGGAATACAGATCGCAGTGTCTCGCAGAAGAGTCTCTCACACTCTCCCGTGATGGTATATGCTGCCCCCCCTCTGCGCGCCTTGCCACCTTGGGCGGTGGACGCATTTTTGGCGGCGAGGGGGGGACTTGAAGGGGGTGATGGAATTCCCTGTGCGTGTTAGTAGTGGTTCCTGCATGGAAAGTAAGGCGTGGACATACCGAGCTGACCTCAGGAACACCACCCGGCCCCGGCAGACGGGGTAGTGGAGTAATGGAAGCCGTGAAGGCTGGCGGTAGCGGCGTTTACGGAGTAGCAGCTAGCGCGGACATTGCTCGCGGACGAGTACGAGTGAATGCTACTATTACTACTCATACTACTACTGCTTCGTTTCGTCATCGCCATTGCTACAGTATTGCCACGGTTGGTTCGGTATTGGTGTAGTGGGATAGTGGTGTCGACGACGGTAGTGCGTAAGCGAGATTATTCTTTGAGGTAGTTGCGGTATCGTTGTGTAACAGAGGGCTTGAGTCGACGTTGGAGTTGGGCGAAGATGAAGAGGAGTTGGGTTATAGCGTTGTGGGGTCTTTGGGGCTCGTGCACGCTTATCGCGCTGTGAGTGGCCCACCACTAGCGCTAGAATCTTCGCAATCTCGGAAGCCTCGGTTCTACATTTTATCATAGTGACTTACTTTCGGTTTGGGAACATCGGAACTGAGATGTGAACAGCAGGGTTGTAGCATGTCAACTCGATCATGTCGCACTTTTGCAGACTGGCACGTTCTGGATGTTGCTTGAACATTGTGTATTACTACCGCTCGTAGATCTCAACCGGAACACCGTGTAACTTTTCAAAGTAGCTTCCTCAGCGAACCTTTGCTCTTTGGCAACATCGCCTCGCTATATCACTTACAGACCCGCCATATGGATAAAACATTGGCGAAGAGGACTGAGAGATCCTTCCTCCTTGCACACATCTAATGAAACAACCCCAGATTATGCAAGTCGGATATCTCAGACGACGCGCTATGCAGTTGATACAGAGACAGAAACGGAAATGAGAATGGCGCGAACGCACGCAGGCAGGCGGGGTCCTGCATGGGAGTGGATCCGATCCTGACGGGACCAAGTGGACCCTATTGCGCGTGAATTTTTGCAGAAACGCGTTTAACCGACCGAGATGCACTTGATGTCGAAGATCAAGTCAGAGTTAGGAGGAATGTCCGGGGGAGCACCCTTCTTGCCGTAAGCCATCGCCGCAGGGATGGTAAGGCGACGCTCTCCGCCGGCGGTCATGCCAGCGACACCGACGTCCCAACCCTTGATGACTTGGCCGACGCCGAGCTTGAACGAGAATGGCTTGCCCTTCTTGTTGGCTGCGTATTTGTTAGTCAAGGTGGTACTATATGAAACGTCGAAAACTTACAGTCAAAGACCTTGCCGTTCTTCAGCTTGCCAATGTAGCGCATCTCGACGCGGTCGCCCTTCTTGGCGGCTTTGCCCTTGCCCTCCTTCTTGTCGTCCACGAGAACACCACTGACGGTGCGAGGTCCCTTGGCGGCCTCCTTCTTTGCCTCTGGCTTGGCGTCAACCTTGGGGGAGCCAGTTGGGCCCTGCTCAAGGTTCTTAGCGAACTGAACCTTCTTCTTGTCGCTGCTGGGGGTATCAACCTTCTCAGCCTTCTTCTCTGGCTCCGCGGCACTGGCAACAGCCTGACCGTCGTTCTTCTTCAGCTTCTTAGCCTGCTTCTTGCTAAGCTTAGCATCACCGTTGGTCTTGCTGATCATATCATCGAGGGTAGCATCATCCTCAGCAGCGCGCTTCTTGCTCTTCTTGCTAGCGTCAACAAGCTTGGGTGGCTCCTCATCGTCGCTGTCAACCTCAGTGATCCTGGGGTCGTTCATGCCGTCGAGCTCATCATCCTCTGATTCTCCCATACCGTCAAGTTCCTCATCTTCGGAGCCGAGATCGTAGCCGAGCTCGTCGAGACCATCATCCTCGTCGTCCTCCTCATCCTCCTCCTCGGGAAAAGCGAGGTAGTTACCGGTGACGTAGACGTCGTGAGTGCCGCTGACAGAAAGGTAGACCTCCTCGCCTTGACGGACGGTGATGTCGAGCGGTTGCTGGTAGTGCTACGCAGGTATTAGCTGGAGTCTATTTGGACTTGTCATGATCAAGTATACCTTCTCAGGATCGAGAGTGCACAGAACGAGCTCCTCAGGCTCGTCATCATCGTCCTCGTCGTCCTCATCGTCCTCATCGCTCAAGTCGTCATCGGTGACCTTGGCCTTACCCTTGGCCTTTCCCTTACCGTTGGTCATGCCGTCGATGTCCATGTCATCGGCCTCAAGCTCTTCTTGCAGCTTCTTGGTGAGGGCTGCCTGCTTGGCCTTCTTTGACCGGGCAGGATCGCTGGGGCCACCGTTCTTCTCGCTCTCGCTATCGTCGGAGTCGGACATGTCCGAGTCAGCTTCAGGGAGCGCACCAGCGGCACGCAGACGAGCAGCGATGGCCTCGATGTCACCCTCCTCGTAGTCCTCATCATCATCATCGTCCGAGTCAAAGTCCATGGGCACACGGATGAGCTTCAGAGTCGCGCGAGGATGCTTGTGCTCGTCGTCAATTTGAGGCTCGGCATCTGGGTCGATAGCAGCCATGGTGATGCGGAACTAATCATTGTCAGTACGTTGTCATGGAATTGCGCATGCGACAGAGTTTTACTGCGAATTTTCGGCGCATAAAACTTCGCAACGCAGAACAGGTAGAAGCGGGCATCGCGGCTACTCACAGTGGAAGACTGGTCGTCAGCGGCCAGGATGGGAAAGTTCCCAGCTGGAATGCGACGTCCGTAGACGCCTACAGGAATGGCGGACGACATGTTGGAAGTGGTCGCAAGTCTATATCTGAAGGAGCTGACGGATTTGCTGAGAGTATGAGGTCGGCGAAGGTGTTTATTGCTCAGGGAGTTGCACAGCTCGAGGACAGCTGGTAGAGCAGGATGATAACGAAAAGCGAGAAACTGAAGAGCAGCGACTTCGAGAGGTAGAAAAAGTTCGCCAAGGCCTGCAGCTTTCTCTTAGCGTGCTTTCACCGCCGGCAGAACGATCCACTTAGCGCTGCTAGCGTGACGTATTCGCGGTCCTCCAACGCGCCACGGCACGCGCCTTTCACCACCAACACCGATTTCGACATGGGGCAGCCGACGCACCTCCGCGACGCCCAATCATGACCCCGACCCCGATGAACGCTCTTGATCCACCACACGACTGTCACCATGGGCTCGCGCCTAGAGAAGAACTCCGAGTCGGTCCGCAAGCGCATCGCCAGCCACCAGTTTGATGGCGAGGATGGAGAGGAGTACGGCGGCTCAGCCTTTGGCGGCTTTACCGACTACTTCAGGCGGAAGAAGATCAAACTGCAGAATCTGGATGCCGACATTCGAAATCAGGCCGGCGACAAACCTCAAATCTTTAAGGGCATCGTGGCGCATGTCAACGGCTACACGCAGCCATCGCTCAACGACCTGCACACCTTCATAGTCCAGCACGGCGGCGGCTTCATGCAGTATCTGGACGGGAAGACTACGGTCACGCACATCATTGCCAGTAATTTGACGCCGAAGAAGGTCGTTGAGTTCCGGAGATACCGGATCGTAAAGCCTGCGTGGGTCGTAGACAGCATACAAGCGGGCAAGTTGCTGCCATGGAGCGAGTACCGAGTGGTGGATGAAGGCGAGAAGCAGAATGTGCTTGCTTTTAACAAAAGTGGCATGACCAGCACGGCGAATGTCAAGACAAGGGGTTACCGGGACCAGACAGATGCCAGCTGGTATACGAGTCAACTGAGGGGAAGCCAGGCCGGTCCTGCTAGTACACCAACACCGAGTAACAGCATGCGCGCCCGCTTTGCGAACAAGAATCAGCGGCTGCCTACACCGGACGATAACATTGAGGGCCTGCCACCCTCCCGCCAACCAGAGGGCTTGCCCGGCCAGGCCAGATCCGGAGAGTCGAGTAAAGCTGCAAAATCTGTTACACCACCCAAGACCAGCCCTTCGGCAGCCCCGGCCCGTATCGACGACGTGCCGGATGATGTCCACGATAGTCTCTATATGAACCCGAGCCCTCCTCCGCCACAGCGTGCAGAGTCAAGAGACGATATCGAAGACCAAGCTGAGCGACTGCCTCTGGCACAAGACGCTCCAAAGCCTAGGAACCGAGAGCTGACTGCCGAGGAGCACAACGCAATACTTCTACGAGATCCGAAGGTTCGCAAATCCACCGTTGTGGATCGAAACTTCCTTGAACAATACTATCGCGAGTCACGTCTGCACCATTTGTCGACATGGAAGGCCGATCTCAAATCCCAGCTGCAGGCACTAGCGAGCGAGAAGACCTCTTCACAGAAGGCCAAGCAGAAGCGCGCCCTGGGCGCTCGGCGCTATATCCTCCACGTGGACTTTGATAGTTTCTTCGCAGCTGTCAGCTTGAAGAAACACCCAGAATACAAAGACAAGCCGGCGGTTGTTGCGCATGGCCAAGGCAGCGGGTCCGAGATCGCAAGTTGCAACTATCCCGCGCGTACGTTTGGTGTCAAAAACGGCATGTGGATGAAGCGAGCTCAGGAGCTTTGTCCAGACCTTAAAATCTTGCCTTACGACTTTCCCGAGTACGAAGCCACCAGTCGCGCTTTTTACGATGCCATCCTGGCTACCGGTGGACTAGTACAGAGTGTTAGTATCGACGAAGCGCTCATCGATGTATCGAACCTATGCATCGCTGTTGGTGGTAGCGATGGCAAACATTACTCCGAAGCCAGCGATTATCGCGAGCAAGCGAAAGCCGAAGAAATTGCACTCAATCTACGCGACGAAGTCAGATCTAAGACTGGTTGTAACGTCTCTGTCGGCATCGGTAGCAACATCTTGCTAGCCAAAGTAGCTTTACGCAAAGCAAAGCCTGCCGGACAATACCAGATCAAACCCGACGAGGTATTAGACTTCATTGGCCAGCTTCAGGTACAAGATCTTCCAGGCGTCGCTTGGTCGATTGGAGGCAAGCTTGAGGACCAAGGAGTCAAGTTCGTCAAAGACATTCGCGAGCTTAAGAAAGAAAGACTTGTTCAAATACTAGGGCCCAAGACTGGAGAGAAGCTTTACGAGTACGCAAGAGGTATCGACCGTCAAGAAGTAGGGGAGCAAGTCGTCCGCAAGTCTGTTTCTGCCGAGGTGAATTGGGGCGTTCGGTTTGAGAATCAGGAGCAAGCTGATGAGTTCATTGCAAGCTTATGCGGAGAGCTCCAAAAGAGACTGCTGAAGGAGAGGGTAAAGGGCAAGCAATTCACGATGAAGATCATGCGACGTTCTCCAGACGCTCCTCTGGATCCTCCCAAGCATCTTGGCCATGGCAAATGCGACACGCATAATAAGAGCCTCACGCTTGGTGTCGCTACCAATGCTAAGGAAATTCTTACAAAAGAGGCATTAGGCATACTGCGCGGTTTTGGTTTCACCCCAGGTGAGCTTCGAGGCATCGGCATCCAGATGACAAAACTTGAGCCTATGAAGAATGCTACGGATGGTAGTCTTGAAGGCTCACAGCGACGACTACAATTCAAAGTCGGCAACGCAGAACCGGCTCGTGTGGCGCGAGCCCCGAAGGCAGTCGAGGAAGACCCTATTCAAGACGATCCAGAGACCCCACGAAAATCCAAAGCCTCGTCAGGAGAAGAGCATGTGTCGTTTGGCGCTCAGACACTCAATGCATCAACACCTTCGCGCCGCCCGCTAAACATGTTAGGCACGCAGTTCATCATGCCCACACAGGTTGACCCTAAAGTGCTGGCCGAGTTACCAGAGGACATTCGGTCAAAGCTGCTGCGCCAAACGCGCCAATCTTCACCTACACCTACGCGCAATGTAGAGAAAAGAGGCAACCCTAGCACATCTACAAAAGCTTTGCCTTTCGCTATGACAGCACTCCCGGCCCAGTCTCAGCTTGATCCTGATATACTCGCTGCGCTACCAGCCGAAGTTCGTACCGAGATACTTGCACAGTATGACGCCAACACCACTCCCTGCTCTCCGTCTCGCCGCCCAAGGGGTGCGGACCAAACGATACTACCCCAATCGCCACGCAAGAACAGGATTATAGGTATCCCTGCGAAGAAAGCCATTGTACCTGTCAAGCGTGGTAGAGGCCGACCACCAAGATCTGCAATGCTTGCTGCCGCTGCTCAAGCAAAGTCCATCAGTATGACTGGCAAAACACTCACTCAAGCCAATTTCATCTCTCTCAAAAATCCTGCACAAGACAGTGAAAGTAGAGAGAATTCCGCCGGCCCAAGCGATGATGCCTTTGAAGCGTCCACCGTCCCCAAACCACCAAAGGAAGATGACCTTGACCCAGCCTTCCTCGCTGCGCTACCCGAAGACGTTCGCAAGGAAGTACTTGCACAACACAAAGCCGAGAAAATGAACGCTTTCCGCCTCGCTGTATCACGCAAAGTCAAACCTCCACCGGTAGTCCAACCACCCACAGAACTACCCAAGATCAAAGTCCCTCGTCCTGCAAAGCCGACCTTCACAACCGACAAACTGTCTGCGCTGGCGGACTTGAGGGTCGCCATGAAGCAATGGATTGGCGAATTTACTGACGAAGGGCCATACGGCGAAGATGTTGTTGCGTTAATCAAGTACCTCAAAAAGGTCGTACTGGAAGAGAAGGACATTAGCAAGGCTGTTGGTATGGTGAAATGGATCGACTACGTCATCAGCTACGAGGCAGACGAGGACGAGAGCTTTTTGAAAGAGCCATGGGAAGCAGCACTTGCGAAGATCAAGGATGGCGTTGTCAAGGCGGTCAAAGAGCGAGGCTTGGGCAGGGTGTCTTTTGACTAGTCTATGTATGTTTCACGACTTATCACGAATGAACGAGCCATGCCACGCTGCAGCATGCGCGCCAGATTTGTGTGACACATGAGGGCGCTCATTTCAGTTAACGGGGGATAGCCAACGCAGAGCACGTTCTGCACAGCTTGGAAGGTGCCTCATGCGATCCGGAGGCATACGCACGGGTGCGGGTCGCGGAAATTCCACACAAGATATACAGTCATGTCCTATGGCTATGGATCTATGACTCCAAATCATGTCTGTTTCCACGCGTCATCGAGAGCTTGGAGCTTCTTCTTCTTCTTCGAACTATAAATCTGGCTGACTCGATATAGTAATGTTGTTCTTCTACGCTTCTTACAAAACTGTCTCATCAGAGCCTACTTGACAATCACATCAACGACTTTCGATCATTACTGCTGTCCAGCAGTGTGAGATTATCGGACACTGCCATCCGCGATGAGACTTTGGCTCGCGCTCACGATAGCAGGGTTGATGGGATCGGTGTCTACCTCTGCCATTTTCTCTATGCTCTCGACGATCTCTACGACTACTACCATCGCGACACTGTTCTCTTCCATTCCGGACCATGTTCCGAGATCAGAGTTCCTCCAATCACACCCTTTCGTTCATACTTGCTAGTATAATTGCCCGATTTACTATCAGTCGTATCTTCTCTTATCCATAGTCAATACTGTGTGAGAATTTGGAGACTGTGAGGCATGGAAGAGCCTATTATTCATTCACTTCTGGTGTTACTGTGATACGTTGCCTGACTTACCCAGGTAGGCACTCAGTGTCCGAACATGACACAATAATCGCGCCACGTGCTGCTCGATCACATAATTGCAGCACTGTTCCACCCTCGGCTTTCGCACTCGTTCTTCACAGGTCCCTGGTTGCTGCGTCCTCGCTTACACTTCCATAATACACAATTCATAATCACTCACCAATATAAGCTTAGGCGCTCATCTGCTCGGCTCTCACCTTTAGCCCGCACCTTTTCCCTGTTTACAAAGCCCGAACAATCTGCTACCATTCAACCGCCCAACCTACACTCATCATGTTGTCGTGGCTCCCTTTACTAGTTTGGCTTGTCGCGTGTCTGGTCGCGCCAGGTATCGCGGTGCCTCTCGAAGTACCTAGCCCGCACGTACTTTCGAACAGTACATCGATGGCAACATCTGATGGAGTGATGGTCAGTACTCCATTTTCGTGCTTATTAACCAAGCAAGACTGACCTTAGTACAAGCATATCCGCTCTCCCAAGAAACTGAACTCCATCCAGATTATCTTCAGGAAGTACGCCCCGCGAGAGTACTATTACGTCTTCTACGAGGGGCCTTCTGGTATCGCGGTAGAGCGCTGCAGCCTGGCAACCGACAGGAAAGACTTCCGATTTATTAAATCTATGGGTCCATACTACTACAAGCACGACGAACCACTCAATAAGCCCCCGTTCCCGCCGGAGGTGAGTCCGCAGAACATGATTTGTACCTTTGATCGATTTGCTTTGAGCAGGTGCTGACTTTACGCGGTACAGATGACTTTCGCCATTGACCTCCCAGGCAAATATGTCGGCTGTCAATATACCTCGACAGGCGGCGATCCGGGCTTGCTCGATTGCGGCCCAGGCCGTGACGTTCTGCATTTCGCGCAAGATCTTCAGTATTCTGATCCAGTCGCAGAATGCAAATGGCGTATGAAAGCATGGGAACATCGAGGTTTCTTCTGCGATACTTAAGCGTGTCTATCGACAAGACGTTGTGATTGAGTATGGCTGAGGTTGAAATACGAGCACAGCGCAGAGTGGGGGCACTCTACCTTTTGATGCATCAAGTACCAGAACACATACATTCGAGTTTTTACTCGAATTTTTCATCTCTCTTCAGCTGAACAAAAGAACGAAAGTAGCTTTCACTTTACCTGCAATATCGAATTCGTCATGTCCAGCTAGTCTAATTCATTTGCTGTCACGAGATCATATTTCATAACCAGTCTTCTAATGTGCTAGCGGCGAGTGCAATCAGAATTTCACGTGCGCTCAAAACACCTTATCTGGAAGATATGTGAATGCCAATACTTGCACATGAATCAAAGCGCGACAATTTTTTGCATTAGTCTCGCACAATAAGCGCACACATCAAAGAGCAATGTTGGATGTGACGCTGTGTACTGAATCGAAATGATACAATGTTCTTGACATGTTCCACTTCAGCGTTCCTGGTTCTACAAAAGAGATGTTCTCACTACCCTCAACGCCTTCTCCCTCTACATCTTCGTACTTGATCTCTCGTTACCACTCATCCACTGCACGTTCGCTAGGTATTATAATCTGGTTCTCAAGCCATCATATCTCTCTAAATCAACCACGAAGAACGGCTTACGCTTTTGCTCCGACAAAAATACCCTTCACTATGCCTACTTGGAAGACTTCACTCATCGGGCTACTCGCCGGTCTAAGCTGCATCTCAGCAGCTCCTATAGAAACATTGACCGACGAAGGCACTTTGATGGTGGCACATGACACTGGAAAAGTAAGTTCTTCAGCCTAGTCCATACGACTGCAAACCACCTTTACTGATACCGATGTTCGATAGGAAGGTCCAGAATTTTCCCTCCAGCTTCTGTATAACATCCTCCTCGAGGACAAATACAAGTACATCCCCTTCCGAGGGAAGCAAGGAATGTCAGTGGACCCTTGTAAGGGCCTAGTAAAGAGCAATCCCTTTGAGCAACTCCACATTACCCAAGTAGGCAAAGACTCCCGTGCCAACGCCATCGATCATCCTCCGTTTCCCAGCGCCGAAGTAAGTATACCATTTTTTAACGTTTTAAAGCATGCTGACTCGGATGTTCCTACAGGTCTCGGTTTCTATAGATGTTCCCGGCAAAAAGGACTGCCGTTACGTAGGCAATGGCGTCGACGCTGGCCAGATTCGATGCGGAGATCAAACTGTCAGCAAGTGTGGGAAAGATCCTCAGTACGATGAGCCTACCTTTAAGTGCACATGGGGCCGGATTTATCATCGCGGATACTCCTGCGAGTTCTGATAAGACAGACTTGATGACTCTGGGTTGATGGCAAGGGTATGCAAGGGTTGACCGTATGGTCCAAGTAGGCTTATCCAAGTGGTCATACCCTTCAATAAGAGCAGTTGCGGTGAGGAACGGACTCGTCCTCAAGATATGCACTCGTCCTCAAGAAGTGTGAGCGTGGGAACAGGCTTATGTGCGAATTTAGACGCGTTGTTTGCCCGCTGGCCATATCTTAGCGACTACCCTTTGCTTCATTTGACACTAACTGCAATTGGCTCCCCACACGTGCTACTCCTGCGCGATTGCCTACTCAACGCACTCAATTCTCACCACGAGCTTGTCAAGTTACTCAGCTCCAACGCTAATTCAAGAGATCGCGTCTCCGCTCATACACCATTCATCAACTCGACGCAAACAGCCTATGAATCAACAGCAGCCATGTACTCCCTGATCATCTACCTCGTATGGCTCTTCGTCGGCCTCGGCTTTGTTCTTCCTGCACCCGTTGAGCAGTTTGCAGACCACCCCACTGCCGTGAGTGGGCGATTGTGTTGAACTTCAAGCCTAGTACTAACTGCACAAAGGATCAGGGTTCATATCCCTACTCCCTCCAGATCCAGATTGAAGAGGTAAGTTCTGGCTATACGAAGTGCATGTGAGACATATACTGACTTTGTGCCTCTACTTCTGCAGGTCGACACCAAGTACTACGTATGGGACATCTTCCAAGGACCTAGCGGCGCAGCCGTGAACCCTTGTCGAGACACTCGCTTCGAGAAGGTCTATCATGGCGAGCCTGGATGGCACACCAACAAGCCAGACATAGACAGCCCTCCTTACCCTCAGAACTACTCGCCCTTCGTCCCCGAGGTGCGTTGGCCACTATTTCTAGACATGCGCCGTACATGCACTAACTCACTCTTAGTTTGACGTAAAAATCAAGTACGGCAACAGCAACAACTGTGTCTACCACGCTACTGGCAAAGATGCAGGCCAGTTCCGTTGCGGCGACGACTACATAATTGACTGCGCGGAGGACCCTCGATATGGACAACAAGTTTCCTGCGGCAACCCGCGTCCCCGCTACGCTGTGGCCTGGTACTGCGAGTTCTAGAGGTTGGATAAAGACTCTGATAAAGAGCGACAGTGAAGATGGGCAAAGTGCAGCTTGAGACATGACTTCAAGTTTCATGCTTCCTATAGACATCGGAACACTGGGCCATTCTACATAGGATCAATAAATGTTTGACGAATCTGCTCGCTCTTACTCTTAGTCTCACTCTTACCATCCTGTACGTCAAAGCGCCTAGAGCTGTGACCCAACGTGGTCATTCGCATGACCCCTATCGCCCGCTTTTTGCCCACCTTTTGCGCACTAAATCGGTCTGGTGCTCGCTTCTTACCCAAGAGATCATAGAACATATATATAGTTCACAGCAGTCCTTGCTCTGCCCCTATCCTCACATAACTCCGATCCTGAACGCCTCACCGAAACATACATCAACACATCCCTCAACATGCTCGCGTGGCTCACCTTCTTCATTAGCCCATCTTTCAGTCTACTGTTCGGCGCGACCACTGCAACATCTGCCTAGTTCTTGAGCCACGAGTTGCAGGCTAATCGCACCGCACGTGGTCTGGTATGTATGCATTATGTTCTGCAACGCGTTGCTTTACTGACCTTATATTAGCAAGCTAATGTGTTCACCAATTCAATTCAGATTGTCCTTGAGCGTTACTCGATGGCGGTGTTCCACTGGTCGTTGTACCTAGGTCCTTGTGGTGTGAAGGTGAATCCCTGCAAACCAGGAGACTTCACGCTCGGCTCGTCGACGGATGAGTTTGACTATAATCGCGACGACATCAACAACCCCCCAAACCCACCCGCTGTACGTGAATCTATTGAGTGTAGGTTGCAAGTGCATCTGAAACTGACTACAGCGTAGATGGAGCTACCTCTCCCCGAGTGGATGGGTCACAAGGACTGCAACTGGAAGACCAACGGGCACGGTGATGTCGGTCAACTCATATGTGGCGACTGGATGATCTACGACTGCGAGCGAGATGCGAGTTGGAACGATGGAGCAATCGCCTGCCACGGCCAAGGTTGGGCGTACCATCGGGCATGCGCCTGCAACTTCTGAACTGGGGTTCTTCGGCCGCGCTGCATAACTTGGCAAAAAAGTCTTTTGTCGCTTGCGTAACTTGGTGGACGGTCTTGGGATTGGAGCCTTTATGTCTGCGATAGGGTGGAACGTTGGATTTCCTCTTAGAAGCCGGACAACAGGTTACCATCTTAGATACTTGATGAGTAGAACTGGGTATCGCTTCCAGATACACATGCCTACATTCTACTCGCTCCAAGGGGCGCTGGTGGCCGAAAGAAAGCGCTTTCCTATTTGTTTGCTTGTATGATCTCGGTGTGTGTTGTTCGTCTCTCGAGGGTGTCACTGCCTACGTGTGAATCAATCGGTTCACCTCCGCTTACAGTATATAAACCCATCCCTCTGCTCGAACCAACTCTCCTCTCCTGAACGGCTCTCAAGATCAAGAAGCAAGTAGCACGTTGACTACTACGCCGTTAAACGTGCGGACGCTCGCCTCACTACTTGTCAGCCTAGTCGCTATCCACCTCGGCACGATTTCTGCTACACCCGTCAAGTACACCGGCGTACGGAGATCCGAAAATGGTACCGGTTGGCGCCCTACGGTCGGTATAATAAACAACCCATAATGGACTTCATTGCTAAATCCGACGTAGGACTACTACGACTCCTCGGTCCAGGTCCTTCTCCTCCGATCATCCGGTACAGAGTACTATTGGCAAATGTACCAAGGCCCAGCCTTAGTATCCGTTGATCCTTGCGGCTACCCAGATCCATTCAAAGTCGCGGATAACAAAGGCGTCTACCATTATGGACGAGACGCCATCGGTAACGCTCCACAAGCTCCTGCCATAAGTCGTGACATGCCTTGCGCGAGCTTTTTCCAGATCATGGACATACGTGATGGCTGACATCAAATCCCCAGATGGATCTCAAACTATTGAAGTGGATGCACCATGATGACTGCGTGTGGAGAACGCAAGGTAACGGAGACGTTGGGCATGTAGTTTGATGTGATTGGATGGATATGCCCTGCGAGAAGGACGGGTCTTACGACCAAGGCGTGTTGAACTGCCATGGAAGATCTTTCCATCGTATGCACGCTTGTAGGTACTGAGCGCGGGTGAACGAGGTGCTTGTCGCAAGCGGGTCAACTTCGGGGTCGCGTCAGGGAAACTATAGGTTTGGTAGGTGCTTCTGATCGAGTACCCCCTTATTCCACAGCTGTGACCACCCGCAGTGTGTACCTTGTGATGGCATGGTTTCGCATGCCTTAGTATCCTCTCCACTAGACTTTTTACGCGCACTTAACGCTTTCCTGCCAACCTTTGGAAATTAACGACATGCCTCTGGCCTCGCAGTTGGGGAAGAAGTCATGTGAGTTGGGGCGTGCACGATCAGCTCATGACGACATTTACTAATCCCCGAATGGTTAGCGTGCCTAGCCATCTCTGCGATGCATCTGTGACTTCAGGTTCGACCTTTTCCTCTTCGCCCACATCTTTGCCAATTGTACTCTTAGAGTTTCCAGATCTCGCATACCCCGGTACTTAATGCAAAATTACCACGTTAGTTGAAGTTAAAGTTCTGACTTCTTCCGGGTATCTACTAGACTACCTAGGTACAAGCCGAATGCGAGTATAGTACGATGCCGTATCGATGCAGCCAAGGTGGTCTTCCCGTCTCCATCGATATGGTTGATCCACATGCTCAAGTAGCAGGTAATTGAACACGAAGGTTATGAGGAAGTCCAAAGCTTCTGGCGTATGAACTTCCCCATCTCACAATCACCCGAGTCAACACCAGATCTGCTTATACTTCTCGAGCTTTTTGGGATAATATTTCTCTTCTTACAACCTACCAACTGCCTCGCAATATGGAAATCCCTCTATATCATTCGTCCAAAGGACCAGAAAATGCTACCGCCTACGTCAATGGATGAGTATACACCATGGACGATGTGCGACCTTGGGTTGAGGCTTTCATCGTCAAGCCCGACGGTAAGTTTGAAGCTGTCGGGTCGAACGAAGACATTGAAACCATTTCCAAAAGCAGAGAGCTCGTTCAATACCAACTTCAAGAAAAATTCATCATGCCTGGTATCCACGACGCTCACACTCACTTCTTGGCGGCTGGATGCCAACGCACAGGGGAAGCGCGCGTCGGATAGCAAAGCACTGACAAGACCCTCGCCAGCAGCATCAGGTCCGCTTTGTGTGCCTGATCCTACTCCAATGTGGTGGATAACTGGATTATCGGCAACTTTTACCAGGCAAGCAACTTTGCCGATGGCATTCTCGACAGAAAGTACCTCGACGAGCTGTACTCAAACGACCCTGTAATCATGCGCGAGATATCTTGCCATCGAATCTTCTTGCATACTGCTGAACTGCGTGAGATAGACATCGATGACAACGTCAAGGATCCGCCTGGAGGCTTCTATTTTCGCAGACCTGATTGGACACTAACCGGAGAGATTGTCGAAGCTGCGACGACTCCAATCTGGCGTAGTTTACCGCGCACTCCACTCAGTTATGCAAAGACTGTCATCGGTATGGCAATACATCCGTCCAAGAGGCATCGGCGAACACCGTATATTTACACGCTGTACGTGAGCTGGAAGCGGAGAACCGCCTGTCCCTGAATATACACACGCATATCGTTGTCGCAACAGAGAAGGCTAGCGAGCGCAAAGAATCTTTAGCAGCTCTGCTCAACGTTGCAGAGGCTTTTGAGAGAAGACATGTTTACACCAACTTTGTCAAGCTCTTCCTCGACGGCGCTCGATTGCCTTCGCAATCCATACAATGCGATTTGAACGACCACGGGATGCCTGATGCTAAGCATCTACTGTTGCATTATGACAGATTACTTGAGCAATTTCTTAAATACGGCGCTAGGAACATGACATGTAAGATCCACGCCGCAGGCGAGGGAAGCGTGCGGCTTGCGCTGAACGCCTATGAGGCTGTGCGAAAGAACAATCCCAATGGTTCCAAGCACGAGCTCGCGCACTGCAATGCAGTTCATCCAGGTATGTAGAACCATCCCTGAGTATTCTTTGCGACATTTTCATCCTCCAACACTGATTTGCGCTGTAGACGATATCCCACGAATTGCATGCCTGGGCCTCACGGCCGAAATGTCTCCAGCAATTCTGCACCATCCCATTGTGCAGGCAGCGCCCCATCTGCTGAAGTGGCCTTTCAACAAAATCTTGGCCACAGGCGCTCACATGACGATTGGCTCGGATTGAATCCTGACTCCCAACCCGAGTTTGTTCGATCCACTTGCACACCTGGTGGAGAAACTTGTAGTGCCTGAAACACCAGCCCATAAGGGATTGAACAAGAAGCAGGTAGCCGCTGCAATGCTCTACCGTATGATCATGCTGGGAGGTGCGGAAGCGGTAGGCAGAAGTCGCACGCAGTGTGGCATTGAAGTTGGGAAGATGGCAAACTTCATTGCTGTTGATCAGGACTTCAGTCAGGGAAAGTTTGCTGGAGCCACGGTTTTGAAGACTTGGTTTGAGGGACGACAGGCGTATAGTTTTGTGCCGGGTCAGTTGGGATTGAAGTCCTCATGACTTGACCCTCCGCAAATTCGCCCTGCTATCAGCGCGTTTCATGTTCAGCAATGAAGAGGTCGATGACTTTGGCTATCCTCGCCTCAGTGATTGGAATCTTCCGTCTCAATCTTTTCTTCTTCGTCGACTTCTCCAACCAGTGTGTATCCTTGAGGCTCCTTTATAGCTGCAACAAAGATGGCGCTTCCCACAATCAATACCGCACCAGCGTACTTCCACCATCCCGGCTCCAGTCTCCATACAATCTTATCCGCTAACATAGCAAATACCACCTGCAGGTATACTATATGAAGCGCTCTCTTCGAATCGCCGGTCATCAAGCTCGCTGCCATGAGCCAATGCATACTGAACCCCAATATGCCTAGCACGCATACGAACAGCCATCCTACGGCGGTAGATGGGAAACTCAAGCCTTGTTGCTGTATGATGAGCGATGTGCCGCTGAGCAGCGTACAAACGGGCGCGAAGTATGAAACTGTTGTCATTGGGTGTACGTGCTCTCCCAGGCATGACATCGTCAGGAAAGAGACTGCGCCCCCGAGGACACCGATAAGTGCCGCACCAATGGCCAGCGCGTGTTCTCTAGGCGTATTCGTTACATGAGCGCTCCAAGGCTGCAATATACAGAGTAAGCCGATGGCCGCAACGAGAGCTGCGAGAACTTGAGCGACAGAGCAGCGCTGCTGACCTGGTAATAAGCCGAGGAGAAGGGCAGCGAGAATCGGCGCGAGGAAATTGATTAGAGTTGCCTCAGCTAGGGCGAGATAGCGTAGAGAGACGTAGAAGCCCCAGATACCGAAGAAACCCGCGACGCCTCTTACTACGAGTAGAGGACGCAATTTTGTAGGACCAAAGGCGCCACCAGGGATAGCTGCCGGGGACAGTAATATGTAGGTCCACGACAGAATGGTGATTATCGACATCATTGCAATGAGTATCTGGAGAATATCAGTACTTGCATAGGTGGGCAGGTAGCGTATCCTCATACCTCTGAAGTACCGACTGTTGTGGTGCCTGAGCCGCCGCTACGCTCCGTTCTCAGGATGCGTCCCAATGTCGCCAGGATAGTGGAGCATACCTGCGCCAAGAGCATAAGAATAATACCGGCATTATTATGAAAGACCAGAGCCACACTGCTTGTAGCACTAGAAAATTTATTTGTTAATGGCGATGCTGAAATCATGATGTTGTGATGAGGGAAGGTCCGGAAAGCTCTCCGATGGAAGGCGACCTCAGGATACGGGAACGTGAGACTTTACGTGTATTTGATGCGTTTCACGCTTACTTATAGCACAACCTCCCCAACTGCGCAGCGGAATAAATCATGCATTCTCAGCGGTTGGTCGCGTAAATGGAAGAAGGAATCATGTGCTTTGAACCTCAACAATGCGGCTTTGGTGCGCGCTGCTACACGTGCATCAAGGAATTGCGGTTTGCGCAAAAACTGCATCGTGATGTTTTTGCCAACAGACTCAACAGGATGTTATTCCATCTACATCGCACGCGATTTATGATAAAGTCGAACCTGTCATGTATCGTATTGTTAGCAAAGGCGAGGGACCGAAACAAGGATACAGTCCGCTGGGAGTAATAGACGCCAGCCACCTTTTCCGCATCGAGCAGAACTTCCACAAGCTGAAATGTTATCGCTGGATGTGTGCGACACTCACTATGGCCGTGAATCTTCGCCAGTGACTCCTCGTGCCTTCTCTTGACCTCGACCCCGTCCTTGGGCAGAGTGCGTACTATCTTCCCATGCCTCCTTCGTGATGCGCCAGATCCACTCATTCCCAAACAACTTGTCTTCTATTACCTCGGCCGGGAATCCAAACTTCTTGTTCATCAACCCTTTGAACGCAGTATTAGCATCTACACAAGCTATGTGTATCTCATCCATGCCCAGGACAGCAAAGCCATGATCAATGACCATACGTAACGACTCGTAGCCGTAGCCTGAGCCACGATAATATGTGTCCAACATCAAGCCTGCGTCACCAATCAGTTTGCCATCAGTCTTTCTTCTGCCAACCCAGCCCAAGCCACCTGTGCCGACAGTCTTCCCGTCAACCACGATAACGATGTTAGCGCGTTGTAATGGTAGATCTACAATCTGCCACTGCTTGATCAGATTGACAATGGCATCCACGCTATCGAGCCCAGCACATGACTTGTCGTACTGGACATTGCGGTGGTCGGTGAAGATTCGTAGGAGTGCAGCAGTGTCGTGGATGCTAGGAAGACGAAGCTGCAGTTGAGGGCACGTAAGTGACGTAATGTATAAGCTGCTTTCACCTCCAGATGCTAGATTTGACGAATGAGTGTAAAAGATAGTGCTACCGGCAGCGACAGACGCAGGGTGTTCAGTCCCTGCAGCCATAGACTCGGGGTGATTAACGGACTGATGCGATGATGTCTAAAGGATCGTACGTTTACTCAATTAGCTAGTATGATGCTTTTGATGGATGTACGTACATCGGCTTCTTCATTGACGCAACGCGCATTGGGCGTACTTATTACCGCCTCCGATGACGCGGCGACGTTCGTTTGCATCGACATAATGCACGAGGCAGCCAACAGGACTAAGGTCGTGACCCTTCCTTTAGATATACTGGCGGTCAGAACACTTAGTGCAGCCGGCGAAGCTCGGTGACAGCCACGAGGCTTTGTGGTGGTTGTTTGGTCTCTTCGCAGATGAAGGTGTGGGCACATTTGCAGAATGGGGCTTGGCGCCCCTACCACGTGCAGTAGTTTCGACAAAAAATGGGGGCCTCAACACTGGCCGCGAAAAGCAAAGGGGATGACGGCATACTTGACCTTCACCTTCCCGGAATGCACCATGTGCAAACAACCCATCCAATGGTCCGAGCCTGATTGTGGATGTGTCCCTATCAAAGATTTGTAGTGCGGAGCCGACAGCCTCAGCGTCATTCTACCAAGGTAGCTTTCATAACTACGCCGAAACCGGACCAGATCAGAGCCTACAATGATTTCACGACATACAACGGCGTACATGCCACTCTCTCTTGTTTGATCCCTTGTCCAGAGTGCTCATCTTGAGCTAAGACAGTAGCGCCTGTTACGCGCGTCCTTGACGAACAGAGAGTTAGTGGTGTCAGAGCCTCACTAGCTACTAGGATATCGTTTCGCCATCTCCAACAGACTATGTTTGCTTACACCAATCTATTCGATGGGCCATTACACGGATATCATCTGGGCAGGGTGTCAGACGCCGTGTAAATCGACTCGTCTCCCACAAAGGGTTGATCATCGTCAAAACCTCGACTTAGTCTACACTCAAAATAAACTGCTACGAGACAATGAGAGGAGCTCATTTCTCTCACACGTCCATTATGGCGATATGCTTTGGATCAAAGCAATGTGCATGATGAGATGGGTTACATTTCTGCTACCATAGAAGGATCAATTCTCGCCGCAAGGGCAGAGAAGAAGAAATCAAAACGGGCGTATACTGTATCACTCCACCATATGCTTTCACGAAGGCGCTCATGCATCCTCGGCGACCCAAGACATGGGTGTCTTATTGGTAACAGTCAAGACACTATTACAACACAAGGATGTGGGCTTGGGTGCCCTCAAGGCGCAATGCAGATCTTCCACTCGCCACTGAAAAGACAAGATACACTGTCAAGGAGATCCAGCAACGAGCAGTGTTGAGGCCGAAATTGTAGAGCGGCCTACAGAATGTTTTCACGTTGCTGATCTGAGTATTTTCTTCCTCTTAAGGCATACCGTTAGCTGGCACCGTACGAATCTTTTCACCACGATGACGATGTTGGAAGCACTCCTGTGGCTTTCAGGGGACTTCTCACTAAGATAAGCATCGCAAAAAGTAAGAAATAGTCTACACATACGTCGTCTACTTGGGCAACAGCAATGATCAGCTGAGGTGATGACGGTTGCAGCGCAGTTGCAACAAGCAGCTAGGGCCACCTATTTTGATTTTGTCGCATATAAGGCTCGACTTTCTACGTGTATTCCAACTGAACCATTCTCAACATCGACCGTCTAATTGAGAATACAGCAGATCATTTTCCACCGCAATCGACAGAACATCATTGCCCCTCTTCCCAGCTTTTGACAACCTGTGAAGAGATTTGGCCTACCTCGTCCTTTGATACATTGAAGAAAGGGTTCGTAGCGTCCGCTCCGAATTCCAGCCAACTAGGAGAGCGCATCATCATGGCAGTCACAAAGTCACAACGACAGCGTACGCTCATTCTTGACATTGGGGATGTGCTGTGCCACTGGTCCACCGAGAATCTCACTTCCATCTCTCCTCAAAGCCTCCACGCCATCACCAGGTCGCCAACATGGAGCGAACTGGAACGCGGCTGTATCAGCGAGAAAGAAGCCATCAGAGCCATCAGCAAGGAGCTTTCTCTCGATCCTAACGCCATTGACACAGGGCTCATGCAATGTCGCAAAACACTGCGCGTCGATCAAGAGCTCACTTCCCAACTCAAAGAGCTCAAAGCAGAGCTAGATGGCCATCTCAAGGTTTATGCCATGAGCAACATCGCGAAGGAACATTTCGCCTTTGTCAAGACCGTGCTATCCGACTGGGATCTGTTCGACGGCGAGTTCTTGTCCTTTGAGGTTGGCATGACGAAACCTGATCTAGAATTTCACCAGCACGTCCTGGATAGCCTCAACTTAAGCGACCCTTCTTCCGCGATCTTTGTGGACGACAAAGTCGCCAACGTCAATGCAGCCCGCTCTTTCGGGATTCATGGGATTGTCTTTGACTCCTCAACCGCTCTGATCCGTCAGTTGCGTAACCATCTAATGGATCCTGTTGCGAGGGCACGCCGATTCATGACCACGAATGCACACAAGCACACATCGTGCATTCAGGATGCCGCCCCGGTGTTTTTTGACCACTTCGCCCAATTCCTTATACATATTGAGTTGAACGATGATAGCGTCATCAGTCTCTCACCACCCGGCGCTTCCAATGCTGATATCAAATCGGACATCCGACAGGCCAGTAGCCAAGCCAAGACATGGAACTTCTTTAATGGTCCTCCAGTCGGCACAACGAAAACGTGTAAGTAGAAACGATGAACAGTTGTATGGTATATGTGCTGACTTCATACTCCTGAGCATAGACCCCGATGATGTCGACGATACAGCACTTGCCTTTCTTGCGTTCTCGCCACCTGCAGCTTCTGCCAACCCGATTTTGGACCGTATAGTCGAGAACAGGCACGATAAAGACGGCCTGATCATGATCTATCTTGGTGGAACGAGACCTCGTGCATGCCCATTCATCATGGTCAACGCTGTTCGTGTCTTATATAGATACGGACGTGGCGCAGAAGTACAGCCCGAGCTCGAACACATTCGTCGCATCCTTCTAATGGGCGGTCACATCGATGGATCGGAACACTATCTTGCCAGCGAGACCTTTCTGTACTTTTTGGCGTGTCTTATCGAGGACAATCCCAGTGCGCCTGAGGTTCAGTCGCTACGTAAGCCAACGATCGAAGCCTTGCGTCAGCGTGTCAATCGCCCCGGAGATTCTTTCGTCATCGCCTCGCGTGTGTTAGCCTGCCAGAAGCTTAACGTGGATACCCAGTCTGATTTGGAATCTTTGAAAGAGTTACAAGAATGTGACGGAGGTTGGGAGCTGGGGTGGATATCTCGTTTCGGTAGGAGTAGGAAGATGATTGGGAACCGAGGGATACCTACCGCGTGGGCTATCAAAGCACTGGAGTACGAAGCCCAGCCTTAGTTACACACAAGAATGCTCTATTGGCAAAAGGTCGACATTGTAGAATCACACTTTGAATTGAAATCATTTCAACGCAGTCATCTGTCTACTGTTGGACCCAGCTGACAAATCGACTCGACATATTCGATACAATGTCTTATACACAGCGACTGCGATATGTTACTCTACATACTGAAATCGATGTGTACCCGCCGCTAGATGACTACACTGCCAATTTACACGGAGGTGAAAGCTACACTTATAAAAGTTATCTACTCTTCCCATCAAACTCTTCCTATCACACGCTTGCTATCACACTCTTACTGTTACACTCTTACTATCAATGACCAGCAGACGAATATAATCACAATTCTCGACATTCCTATCGTTCCGCTCACGCCCTCAGCACCACCAAACACCTTTCGACCTTTGCAGTCGCACGAATCGACAGTGGCTACAGGATCTACTGGCGAGCGATTCAAGTACCCTGATGACGAATGCCTGACAGCGTACACCAAGGTTTTGGCAAAAGGTAAAACGCTGCATACACAGATTCATTCTGAGAAGCCCAGCATTCCCCCCAGCGGATTCCAATCGGCCTCCGACCTTGAAAAGTGGGGTTATGTGCTGAATGTTGAAACCGACCCCCGGATAGGCATTGGGTGTAAGGCGAAACATGAGATCGAAACTATCAGGAACGGTGAGACCTATCTACCCGCCGACGCCTATTTTCTCAATACGATATGTCCTGAGACTGGCACGATTGAAGCAGTGCATAACTACACGCCTTATGCCGTGGCATCGGGCTTGGTGAAATTCAAAGACCAGCCGATGCGCCCACCGGTATCGCTGTTGCCCAAACTATGCCACTAGAGCGACGTGGCATACTTCAAATGGCTGCATGTTACTCGCGATCAATCGCCAACGCCTGTATTGCGCACCGTCATTCGACACAAAGTCAATGATGCGTCTGCGATGGTAGTGCGGCATATAACATCTGGACTACAGCCGCGCAACTTGCAGGGGTGACCTTATCTCGAATATGAGTTTGATGCAGACGCAGACTCAGGTTTGGCAATACTTGGGACGCGTGAAGAAGCTGGTACCTCCTTTCTAATGGTACAACATAGGGAGGGATTGGGTCATCCGGTTTTCGACAAGATTGCAGTTCGTCAGCACGTTAAAAAGGAATCTAGGTACTTGCAAATTGTGTTTCACATCAAAAAGGCGGAGAGTATAGATGGACACGTCATGTAGTTGAACGTAGTCGTTAGCTAGTTAGTTTTCGATGATTCGAACTTGCCGTTGCACGTTGTTCGGCTCCCACAATGTGCATTGACTTTCCTCACTCTCCCCCTAGCATCTGACAACATCATCTAGTCGTCTTGGCTTATCCTCTCCGCCATCACAGCCTGGTTCTTCTCGTTGGCGTGTGCAAACTCCCTGTATCTCTGCTCCTCATCTGACTTGCTCGCCCTTACGACTCTTCGGTTCTCTTTGTTGAGTCCCATGCAGAGCCTCGGGTTCTCGTAGAACATAATGTCGATTTGCTCGAGCGTGCGTCCGGAAGTTTCGACACCAAAGAAGTAAGTTAGGGGCACAAAGGACGCGCAAACAGCTGCCCAGACCCAGAAGTAATGGCCGCGGATGTTGTCAAGACCGATCGGGGTAACCATGACGACCACGAAGTTGGACATCCAGTGTGAAAAGACGCCAACCGCTGTTGCCTTGTTGCGGACACGGAGAGGTTGGATTTCGGCTGAGTAGGACCATGAGACAGGCAAGATACCGAGAGTGAAGCAGTCGAGGTACAAGAAAATGAAGGCCACAGCTGCTGCGGCGCTGGCATAGCTATTCTTAGCGAGACATCCGGCGATGATAGCCATACATGCTGCGCAACCGGCTGATGAGCCTATGACTGACCATCTACGTCCGATCTTGTCGATGTAGAAGTATGGTGGCCAGGAGAAAACGGCATACTGAGTGAAGGCCACGGAAGCGAGGATGAGAGACATGCTCGGGGAGTAGTCGAGGTACTGCTGGAAGATGTAGGCGAGGTAGTAGCACAATGCGTTGATACCGCTCCACTGGTTCATCATATACGGGCCCATTCCGAGAACAACACGGTGCAGATTGCGGGTCTTGGTGGCGTTGCTGAAGACTTCACCCCAGGTGGGTTCTTCTTCGCTGCTCTCTGCCGCAATGGCGTCTAGGATCTCCTGGAGTTGACCTTGCACTTCTTCGTCGTCCAGAGGCTTGTCCAAAAGCCGGCTGATGGTGTGTTTCGCTTCATCGATCTTTCCACGAGATGCGAGCCATCTTGGTGTTTCGCACAGGAATGGGCAGAGCGCCAATACCATTAGCGAGAACAAGATCTGGCAAGCGACTGGAAACCTCCACTGCAGTGAGTTTTCGGCGTACAATGTCGCGAAGCAGAGCCAAGAAGCGACCGCGACTCCAATGATGATCAGAGCGGACTGGACGACGAGCAGTGAGCCACGGTTGTGCGCAGGCAATGTCTCTGACTGTAGAATTGGCACCGCAACCGTTGACAATCCGACACCGATACCGCCGATAATACGCGAGACGAACATCTGCCAGTAGTCGAAGCTGGCAGTCTGGATAGCAGCACCGATAACGACAATGAGATTGGCGAGGATGATGGAACGCTTGCGTCCGATGCGTTCACCGAAGACGAAAGCCACGACAGCACCGAGCGCGCACCCAATATCGTAGATAGCGGTGACTAGTCCAGTCATCGTTGGGTTCGGGTTGCCGAGGGTATCCTTGAAGCGCTGGCCACCCAGGATACCGCCGAAAAGTCCTTGATCATCTTCAACCGCGTTAGTTGTCGAACCACGATGTAAAGTGAGATGCTTTAAGCTTACATCCGAAGAGAAGGAAGTCAAGACCAGAGGTCAATAGGATAACCGCGATGAGGCTCTTGCCTCTGAGTTCAAACATGACAAAGAAGACCCTTGGACCCAATTATCTGGTAAGCAGGAAGGGACTGCAGAACAGTATGATCGTGAGCCTAACATGTGGGCCGCAATCATGTATCCTTTATACTCCCAACCCCGTAGAGATTTGCACCGGCATCTCCTCATCCAGCTTAACGTCGATACTTCTAATGTAGCGCCAGGTATCCATGTGGGATTTCTTAGTGGACCGTGTCCGGGGAAATTATGGATACGCGGGGAAGCAAATGCGGAGGTGAGGGATGTCTAAGCTTGCGCGAGAACAAGGCTTCGAACAGGTACATTCATGGCGTTGCATCTGGGCTGAAGTCATGCTAGCTGGGCCGGCTGGGCGAAAATGCGGGGTTCCGCTTTGGGAAATCCCGCAGTTCGAGTGCGGAAGGTTTGCCGCGATGGAACCACCAGGTGATTTCGCTGGTTCCTGTCAGCCGTCAGAATCAACAGCTGGTAGCTCAGACTATGACTCGTACTACCTCATTGTCTTTCTTGCATAGAACATAGTATCGCGCAAGCCTGAACTTCCATATCAGTTGTCAAACTAGGAGCCCCAAAAGTGTTGGTTTGCACATCTAGGAACAAGCGCTCAAGCGTGTTCGCGATGCGTGTGGGGAACGCTGATGCCGGTAATCAGAACCTCGGATCGGGGTACTACGAAGACCAGGGTGAATACCCGGTGCATGATGCCCGGGCATCTGGAAGTGTAGATATGATTGCTCAGCTTCCTAGTAAGATTTGGTTGATGGAGATGATGAAATCGCTTTTCCTGGAATATTAACACGTCGAGTGAATTCGATACACGCAAATGGGAGTGAGAGGAACGGCTTTGTGAGAGTATTGGATATGTAAAAGTACATCTCAGGTATGTGTACCGTGCTTATACATCACCTTGATGCCGCGGCACAACCCTCCATAGTGAGATTCACGAGTATTTCCGCAAAAGATACTCTCAATGCTTATGCTTCTTTTCAATTCCACAATCTTATTGCGTTTCCACGTTTTCATAGAACGTGCAGTTGTCTCACTGCAGTTCACCTAACATTTCTCTTGTCGCGCTCAAGCTCTTGGTATCTCCGTAGATCGCTGCAATCAGACTTCCATCGATCTTTGGGAACTCGCGCTGCAGCACTTCGACGTTGTCGTCATCATCGTCTTTTCGCCCCGCCGCCTCATAACTCTGCATGACCTCGATCTGGTGAGACCGGTCCTGTCCGGTGGGAAGTGCCATCTCCGTAGCTGTGCGACGAGGTGGTAGACCCGGTGGAACCTCCTCCTGTCCAGGGTAGGAAGACTGGTTTGGGTAAGAAGGCTGCGATGTCTGTTGCTGATGGTAGGGTTGTTCAGAAAATCCATGCGGCTGGGGCTGCATGAACGGGTTGTGCGATTGAGCTTGGCTTGGCTCTTGGCTCCATGGAGAGGTATCCTGGTGTTGAGGAAGGTGTTGAGCATACGGCTCTTGAGGAGGATGTTGGCCTAACGGATTTGGAGGTGGTTGTTGAGCATACGGATTCGGAGGCGTGTCTTGCGCTGGTTGGTACGCTTGGTAGGGATTGTGGCTCTGGTTACTCTGGCCTTGTTGGTTTCCTTGGTCCGCCCACGGGTTGTCGTTATGGTTGGAAGCCATGACTGCAATGCGTCTACTGCTCGATGTTCGTGTGATAGGGGTTTTGAAGGTTCGAAAAGGAGTGCAGCGCGCTTGTTTGGCAAGCAGGGAATCTTTGAGGCTCAGGGCTGAATGTTGGCTGACGAGTACGTGAAGGCGCGGTAGACGATGACGTACGCTTAGCGCACGTGCCTCCTCGCCCCGCTTCGACCAACAGAGACCAGGCGCGTAATTGCTGCAAGATCTAGACAAACTTCGTACACTGGACCACGAGCCGTATGTCAAAACTACATTGTCGGGACAGTAGCCTCGACATTCCACTTTCATAGTGCTCCGTAACCATGTTCAGATTGACAAGTCATCAGCGCGATTTGTGCAAGGAGGCCGGAAGCGGACATCCCTTGCATAACGCGGGCTGCTCCTTCAAGGTGCTTCCAAAGTACTATATATGAGCACGCCAGGTAAGATGCGTGAGTGTATCTTCATGTTCACTGTATCAGAATCTATCCTCTCCATCGTTGCAGTCATGGCAGCGCTGAGCTTTCAGCCCTTTGCCCTCCGTTTGTTCAACGCGCCAGTAGGTGTTGACCTCTTGCGCAACTTGAGTGCCAAGATCTCGCCTTTCTTCGAGTGCGAGCGCAATTGATCGTTTGCGTGTATCAATGATCGTAAGGGGAGCACTTTAAGGAAAGAGATGATAGGAAAGAGGCTAGAGGCCAAGAGGCGTGGTAGGCGATGTTGTGCATCTTGCTCGCCGTGTTTAGCAGGCTAACAACATGAAGAGAAGCAGCAACAACGTGCCGAAGAAAAGAAAAGGCAGAAGAAAAACAATTCGAATTGTAAAGAAAGATACCGCGAAGCACAAATGAAACTCAAAGCCATGATCGTGCAGAAGAAGAAAAGTAAGTCCATATCTAACGGGAGACCATCGCCCGTGATGTTCATATATCAGCAAGTTAATATCGTTAAGGTCTCAATTTTCGCGTCAGATGGCGATACCGTTCCTAACACTGACCCGGACACGGTGGGTGTACAAACTACGCTCAAAGTTCCAAAGCCTCCAAGGTTGTTCCAAAATTATGTCAGCCGCTCTGATATGTGACGAATGTCTTATTCCAGGAGGGGGCGAAGTGATGATGAAGATACAGTGTTCTCTCGCACGTGCAGGTAGAGTTGGAGGGGCTGTTTGTGCAATACATCGTTCTGCGTCTCTCGAGTTCAATCCCATTGGTTCTCTCCACGTCTACTTAGTAACGTCACTAAAAACAAGTGAGAAGCGTGATGGGCTGACGAACCCAGACTCCTGCGTCTACTTCCACTTCCATTCTTTATCAGACGCCATAACAGTAGACCGATCGGTATGCACGTTGCAAATAACGTGGCCAATGCGATGATGGCTTTCGTGGATAATGAAGACATCGACGAATGATTGAAATTGGCTTAGGTATGAAGGTGGCAAGGCATTTACCTTCTGTAGGTTTTGAAGCATCTCGGTTGGACAGCTTGGGCGCAAGCTTGAGAGAAGTGCCTGGACGCGCCTCAGCTGCAGGTAATCCAGCATACATGTAAGGTCATGACCGCGGTCGTATACAGGTCAGGTTCCGCATCATTGGCTGGACAGGGAGGACAACATTACGTGGTTTGTTTTCGAACATGAACATCTCTGGTTTTGCATGATTGGCTGGTCGGACGATGCCTTGCATGCAAATCATCGCAATTGGGGCTAGCTCAGCATACTCAGGTTTCGCGTTATTGGTGCAGTCCCAGTCAAGCCTCCATCGCAACCGATACACGAGCATGTCTCTCTCCTCTTCTTCTTCATACACCGTGTTTCTCTTCATTCTGAATTCCGGCTTCTCGTTCCAGCTTCTCATTTCAGCTTCGTTCAGTTATACAATTTCGCAATCACGAAACCCAACTTCCACCACGATGGCGAGAGTGCTTGCGGAACGAATTCCCGATCATATCTGGAACTCTCATAAGCTTGCTATTGGAGAGTTATATATTGGAGAAGACAGGAAGCTCTGCGGTCCTGGAGGCGTCATGGACATCATGAAAAGACGTCACGGATTCTCGCCTACGTATGTACGCATATGAAGTGGTTGTTACATCAAGCTCATCTTTACGCAGCAAATCGCAGTATGAAAACAAAACTGCCTTTTGGGGCATGCGCAAGAAGATCACTGATAAGGAATGGAACGCGATCTTGCCTCGCGTGCAGGAAAGAGAGGAACGTGGTCGGCAGACACACGTCATGTTCAACGGCCTCTGTCTCGACGAGAAACGCATAGGAAGAGAGCTGGACCGCCGCCGTTCCAACTCAAACATGCACCAGGGTTTTGTGCAAGGTATTTAATCCCAATACATGCTCTCATAGGACTAATCCGAAACAGTTGCAGACCCTGGAACCCCTCCAGGCTTTTCAATACAATCGCCACCGAACATCGCCGACACACATGAAGATGAGATCATGATGGACCCGAGTGTACCGTCTCTTGATGCAGTTAGTGACAGCCTCACCCAAAAGCCAACGTCTCAAGTCACGGCTATGGATACCAGGCCCTTGCCATCGGGGCCCTCGAGAGCATGTGCTCAGAACATTCCCAAACAGACAAAACGTTCTTCAGCGAGATTGTCCAATACTCGTTACCATGAGCCATATTGGCTTTGGATCTGCTGTGCCTGTAACAGCGCATGAAATTCGGTGAAGATGGATCTAGGTTGTGCACACTGTGGTAACCACTGGCGTTGCGTTCACTGTAAGGTTGAGGGTCCATGTGCATGTGGATGTGGGAAATATTAGTGAAGCTAAGTAATTTGGTCAGCCACCCCAAAAATGGTAGGAAGAACTACATAATTTGAAAATTTGACTGCTGCTCGACATCTTACAAGCAAAGTTACTTCGCATGTCTCATCATTATTTTGAACAACCATACGCTACGATGCAACACACCTACGCAGGTTCCTCAGTCTTCGCCCGCTTTCCCTCAGCACCGCCGTCCTCGACTTCCAATTTCCTCTTACTGCTGCCAGCATCATTTGACCCTGAAGCTGCCGGCGCAGGCGCCTTGACCTTCTTCTTGACCATACCCGAAACATCGTTTGCGCTCTTAGTAGCTTCCGCAATCTTTGCCTTTTGCGTCGCTGCATCTGCGCCCAATAGGCCACCTAGCAGTCCCTTGAATACGGACGAGTCAATGCTGTCAAACTCCTGCTTATTGGGATCTGACTTGAGGTCTACAAGACGGGTTTTGAGATCCTCGAGCATGCCCTTCTTGTCTTCGATGATGGCTTGCTTCTCCTTCTTCTGCTCTGGCTTCAGTGCGTCGGAGCTGAGTGCTGCTTCCTCCTTCTTCAAGCGCGCTTCCAGACTTTGTATGGCAAGATCTGTCTGTTCAGCAGCCTCCTTCCGCAGATCCCAGTTTATGCCATCCTCGTCTTCCTTTCCTTGTTCCTGCTCAGCGGACGCATCGGTCGTTTGTCCCGTCTGGTCTTCCCGTACTTTCGAAACGGACGCAAATTCCAGCGCGAGGGATAACGAGTAGTGGGCCTCTGTGACGTTCTCGTGCTCGAAGGGGTATAGTTCCTCTTGCAGTGCGAGCGCTTTGCGGGCGTCTGATATGGCGTCGTGGAATCGTTCGTTCTCTAGCGAGATCTCGACAAGGAAACCATGGCAGTCGGCGATGCGCTCCTTGATGACGCGCGCCTTCGGGCTCAGCTCCGCCTTGCCTTTACCCTTGTCTGAAGCGTCTCCTTCTGGGGAATCTAATTGCCTCTCATAAAGGACGCGGGCTAGCTCAAAGATCTCGTACGCGTTTCCGAGATCATCGTCGTCCTCCTCTTCCTCACCGTCCTGCATATCGTCATCTTCATCCTCAGAGTCGGTCCAGTTCTCATCGCCCTGAAGCTGGAAGAATGGCGTCTCCCCTACTGGCTTTTCCTTTTGCTCAGGCTTTACGGCGCTTGAGCCTTCACCCGCCTCTGCTTTCGCTGCCTTCTTTGCCTTTGGCTTCTTCTTCTCTTCCTTTGCCACCTTGTTGCCTAGCACATCGCTCTTGGCGACTGCTGACCTGTAAAGCGCCCGCCCGTAGTAGAAGAGGAGCTCGGCGTTCTCAGGCGCCATCTCGCCGTTGAGTTCAGCTTGAATCTCGACCGCATCGGCGTAGTGTTCGGCAGCCGCATCGTAGTTCTTGGTGGAGTAGTGGATAGAAGCAGCCTGCGACAGCTCTCCCATCTTCTCTTTCGTTCTGGGCATGTCTTCAGTCTCGGTGACGGTCGCGAGCGGTTCAGTAGTAGGGTCGGCCATTGCGTGAGATTTATCGTGTTTGTGTGATATATGCAGCGTATGCGACAGCGATATTGGAGTTTGCAGGCCGTAAGAGTAAGCGTGAAGGATGTTGAGTGTCGTGTTTGGGCAAGAGGCTCGGTGGTTGCTAGGAAAAGTAGCTCCGTCTCTAGCGCGAAATCGCGCTGGAACGCGTCGCACGCGTAAAGTGGAATACCATGCGTACCCATTACCACGTTGCGACACAGCACAACTTCACCTTCACCACACCCAATATGGCCACCTCAAGAAGACCGGAAAAGCCATCGGCGGTACCCTCAGATCTCATCCCGTCCTCATCGCCAGCGTTCGGAACGCCGGTTCATCCCATCAATCCCCGCAGGACTGCCCCCATACGCGCCCCGCCTGCACTCAAGCCAGTCGGCAAGTCCACTGTTCTTCCTATACTGCTTCCGCCAGCAACGCTACGACCGCTCGCATTTCGAACGTTTACCAAAAAGCACAACCTCACCCTCACATCTTCCGCCCTCCAAGCACTAGCAACCTTTGTAGGAAAGCACTGTGGTTCGGGATGGAGAGAGGAAGGCCTGGCCGAAAAGGTCTTGGAGGAGATCGCCAAGAGCTGGAAGAAGTGTGGTGGTCAGGTCATCGTTGAGGGCGACAATGAGACGCTCAAGGGCATACTCAAGACCCTCGAAGGCTCAATGAGCGGAGGAAGGGTGGTCCAAGGCTCAAATCTGGGCAGGCAAAGCAGCTTCAACTTTGGGCCTGAGATAGCCGGCCAGATGAATCGCCCGAGTATTGACACCAACAACAGCTTCGGCATGTCTAGCCTGGAAGTAGAGGACAAGGACGAGGAAGAAGATCTGTTAAAAGATCCACGAGAGTGGATGAAGGTCATTGGTGCGTTCGAGCAGCCAAAGCTGATATACAATGCCACTCAGAAGCACTTTGAGAAGTATGTACAAGCCACGGGAGAGTTGAATGCCTACTAACCCTGTCAGGTCTGCCAAAAAGCCATCGCTGTTTCCAGATCCCTCACACAAGACTGAGCTCTTCCGTCAACGCTACCACATCGTACACCAGCGCATACTCCGCAACGAGACGTTCCAAGCACCTACCTTCTCTACGGCCCGTTCTGCTACTCTCAGCCGGACGGGATCGATTGCGACATCACAGATGAACAGTATCACCCCAATTGCCAATTTGCTTGGTCGAACCGGAAGCACGCATTTGCTGCTAGGCATGCTCACAGTCTCGGCCACTGGTGCGCTGTCACTCTCAGACCTCACAGGCACAATCACGCTAGACATCCAACACGCCCGCCCAATCCCCGAGAATGGCGCATACTTCGCACCAGGTATGATTGTTCTGGTCGAAGGCAGCTACGAAGAGGATGCCGGAGCTACGTCAACTCTGGGAGGCAGCGGCGGTATTGGTGGCACAATAGGCGGCAAGTTCCTTGGCTTCTCGGTCGGACACCCTCCCAGTGAACGCAGAACAGCAACTTTGGGCGGCGCCGAAGAGGTCGACAAGAACAGCTTGGCTGGACCAGCGTTCGGATGGACAGACTTCTTAGGCGTTGGTTCTCAGCGTGCAACCAGCACCCGTATGAACAAGATCGCATCAAAGCTTCTGGATCAAGAAACAGCACACAACATCGTCATTGCCTCAGATCTTCACTTAGACGTTCCGTCGACATTATCAGCCCTGCGTACCCTCTTACGCACATACACACCCGATCCCACCGACGCCCACCCGGTCTACCCCCTCGCTATCATCCTGATGGGAAACTTCAGTTCGAAAGCCAGTCTTGCAGGCGTACCAGGGACAGGCAGCATAGAGTACAAAGAGCACTTCGACGCACTTGCCTCCGTCCTCGCCGACTTCCAACCTCTCATCGCCCACACCACCCTTGTCCTCGTCCCCGGCGACAACGACGCCTGGCCGAGCGCATTCTCCGCCGGCGCCGCTACACCACTCCCACGGAAACCGATCCCCACAATGTTCACAAGCAGGATCAGGAAGGTAGTAGCCGAAGCGAATCGCGAAATCTGGGGTGCAGGCAAAGCAAAAGGCAAAGAAGGAGAAGTAATCTGGACATCCAACCCCTCGCGCCTGAGTTGGTTCGGCGTGAAAGGCGAGATGGCGATACTACGAGACGACGTGGCCGGCAGGCTGCAAAGACAGTCGATCAGATTCAACAAGCCGCCTCCCGATGTAGACGACGAGATGCCATATGCACCAAGTCATCAACAGCAAGAAGCAGAGCAGCAGGATGCTATGGATCTTGATCTCAGGATGCCGCCACCCAGGCCACAGCAACAGCAAGCAGACGTCGATGTCGATACACAAACAGCGCGTGCGCTTACGCGGACTATACTCTCGCAATCGCATCTCAGTCCCTTCCCGCTTTCGGCGCGGCCGTTACATTGGGACTTTGCTCATACGCTGAATCTTTACCCGCTGCCGACGAGCTTGGTGTTAGCGGATAGCGAGGCGCCTGCGTTTGTGGTGAAGTACTTTGGCTGTACGGTCATGAATCCGGGGAGTATAGATGAGAGCGGTGGGAGGGGAAGGAGAGAAGGAAGAGCGAGGTGGGTGGAGTTTGATATCAAGACTTCTGCTGGTACTGTGAGGACGGAGGGATGATGTTAGATAATATGAATATTTACGATTTTCTTTCAATCGGCGTTGCTGTCTCGTGCACACAAGGAGTACAGACTACATGGATGCACTTTGCTGCCTTTTCACGCACAGGGATACAGATGCAATGCTTTCTGAGATGTAGAGTATGCAACGCAAGAGTTCCATTAGAAATTATCTACATCGCTTTCCGCTCTTCCGCTCCATCCATCCATCCATCCAACATAAATACACATCAATTCAAATCAAGTCATGTACAAAACTCAAGCTCTCAAACCAAAAAAAAAAGCGAGGGGTATTGCGGCACACGCGCACGTATGCCGTAGCGTAACTGAAGAAGTCCGCAGGCCTGTACGTAGTAGAAAAGATAAGGAAACTGGTATCATTGTTCTTTTCGAAGACCTCATCGGAGCCAATCGAGCGGTGAAAAGGAAAAAAGGCAGACTAGACAGAGGTACAGCACGGAGCGTAGATGGAAAACAGGAAAATTGATGGTCGTCGTGGGTTCGGGCTCAGAGGCGCAGGGTGGGAGACTGAGACAGTGGGGGTGAAGTACATCGATGGCAGGTCAACAATTTGTTCGAGACGCGGATAAAGGACGCAACGGATATATGCGAGCGGCTCGATGCTGTAGAGGATGAGTGTTCCAGTCTGCGGCGTTTGGCATACACGGTGAAAGCCCCAGGGTGGTCTTGATGTTTTCCCGCAACTCTACAACAACGCGGATTAGCTACTAGCCAAACGCGCTCAGTCATTCAGTCCAAAGACCCGCCTTAGGCCTTGGAACTTCTTCTTCTTTCCGCTTCTGCCGTAGGAAACAGAACGGCCCTGCGCGTCCACGATCGGTGCCGACACGTTAGAGACGAGGCTGGAACGGGTGGCGAAGCGAGGTCTACGGGGCGCGACACCATCTGAACTCATGGGACGATCGTCAGTGCCGATGGTGGGCGGAAGTGGCCATTCCGGAGTCTTTCGGCGTTGCAACTTAGGCGACCTTGGAGAACTGGGTGTCGGATCGCCGAATTCCTTGTCCTCGTCGATGGGCGTCATAGGGTGAGTCATGTCGCGGTTGCGTTGCGCGGGTGGCATAGGAATCTCATCAGGCTCTGAAACATTTTGCACAGCCTGGGGTTGCGCCTGGACAGCTTCCGGTTGAGCAGTAGTCTTCTTCTTTCCTAGACCGAAGAAGCCACGCTTCGTCTTGGCCTTGCCAGCAGCTCCAGAGGAGGCCGAAGGCGCATACTTGCTGTCACGTAAAGAGCCAGCAGATAGGGCTGTACCTTGTGCGCCGGCATTGCCATTGGCGTCACTGGTCCTATTCGGCGCTGGTGCGGGTTGCGCGGCCACATTGGGCGTCTCATCGTCGGCTTCTTCTTCCAGATCTGTAGAGTCGCCGTCTTCTTCGCCAGCTTTCCTAGGAATCCCTCGTACTGGCGCTAGACCTGGGGGCAGAGTGTAGTCGAGAGGCTCGTCATCATCTGAATCATCAAATCGACTCTGGAAACGAGACGGCCGAGCGTCTTCGTCTTCGTCACTTGAGTCAGCGAACCGACTCTTGAACGGAGCTTTGACGGCCTTGGCGGGCGTTGCCTTTTGCTTTGATGGTTTAGATGGCTTTGGTTGCTTGCTGAAGGTAGGCATTGGCTTTGGCTGCGTGGGCGACGAAGGACGCACATCAGGTGCTTTCCGGAATCTGCCCATTGGAGACAGAGATCGAATACTAAACTTGGAAGATCTGACTGGTTCCGGGGTAGGAGAAGACGGCCGCATAGATCTTCGCATGGCGGGCGACGGTGATCCTGGAGGAGAGATTGCGCGGACTTGCTTTGGCGCTGGAGCACTTGCTCGCATGGTAGGCGCAGGTTCTTGTCTCATGGAGCCACGCATTGTGTATCGCCCACCTTGTTCTCGTCCGCGCTTCCTGACACGCTGGAAACTGCTTGCAGATGCGTCTGAGTCACTGTCGTACGTAGGTGCTGGAGCGGCCATCGGTTTTGTAGCAGGCGCACTCTGTGGTCTTCCCTTGCCGACAGCAGCAGCAGGCGGAATATTCTTCTTCTGAAGAGCACCTCGAGGTTTGGTATCCATAGGTACCATGCTGTGTCGTGATGCTGCTAGGCCCATGCCTGGCGCAGGTGAGGGATCAGCCGAACGCATGCTCTGTCGCATCTGGGGCTGTGCTCTAGGAGCTGCAGCTGAAGGTCCACGCATACTCGATCGCATAGTTGATCCCATCTGAGGTTCGGCCCGTGCAGCGGTGTTCGGGCCTCCTCTCATGGTTCGCTTCATATGGACCTCAGGAGTGTCTTCTCTTGGAGCCGCCGTTCGCAGCGATGTTTTGTTCTGCGGTTCAGCTGGGCGTGCCGACTGTGGTGCGGGACTCTTTTTCAGAGCGGACTTGAGAGGTTTTGTTGGTGTTCGATCGGCCGATGTAGCGACCCTTGGAGGTGGTATAGCAGTAACCTTGCGCTCTGGTGTAGTATCCGGTGAATACTCGCGCGTGGCAGATGGTCTAGATCTTTCTTCTGAGACTGGAGCTTGTGTAACTCGAGAGATCACTTCTTTGGCATGCGATGCTCGCTCGGAAGATACTTGGGTCTGCTCTGATTGAGAGTTTGGCTTCCTCAGAGACGCATTCACACCACTCCAATGCTGCTGAGCAGCATTCCAGTCTTGTGTCGGCGTAGTGTCTGAATCGCGGTTGTCGTCCACAGACGTGTCTAACTGAAGCTTCGATGTAGGCTTGCCCGTGGAACTTGCATTGGCATACTTTGAATGCATCAAGCCAGAAGATGCCGGGACGGCCGGACTTTCCATAAGCGCATTGATGCTACCGAACCCGCCTTCGCCATCGGTGAGGTCTTCGTAGGCATCGCTGTAAACGCTGCTGTTATCATCGGTAGTCTCATCGTCTTCCTCGATCCGTGCGAAAGACTGTTGCTGTTGACTCAATGCGTCCTGGTCGGGCATAGACGTGACGGACTTGGTTGGGGTAGGGGTGATTGCGTGCCGGTCGGTCTCAGGAACATCGTCGCCCCAACCCCCAGGTATTGCCATATTCTGATACACAGGTTCAGGCTTCTCGTATGGACTAGGGGTAGCAGGCTGGAGTGCGATGTTGGGCACCTCAACGATCTGTTCCGTGATTGAAGCAGCTGCTGCTGGTGTCTCCTCCTGCGACGTAGACAGGGACTTGGGCTCTGGAGCAGGTGGCTGCTTCGAGGCCTCTATAGGCTTGTGGGTGTCTGAATAGTCGCTTGAGTCTGATACGTAGCCACTCCCTTCAACGGTGGTGACTTCAGGCGGTAGAGGGCTGTCTTGTCCGTGCTTCTGGGCAAAGTCTTCGGCGACAATGTTCCCAAGCGCGACGTCGCTGGAAGCGTTTGAAGTCGGGAAGGTCTCGGTAACCTTCTCAGCCATGTTCTCCTGCGGACGTCGCTCCTTCTCGCGTATGCTGCCAAACAAAGGCAGAGCAGGGCGTGGCTTCATAAAATCCTCGAACTCGTCCTCTTTCTCGGCTATGGGACTCCACTTGGACGCACTGAGACCTCCATGTGATGGCCCGACTGTATCGACCTGTGCAGGTTTGCTTGGCAGTACCGGATCCTCCTCGAAACTGACACGCACGTTTTTCTTCTTCTTCCTGCCTCCATCATCGGAAGCAGTGTCAGATGCTTCACTCGGAGCAACCTTGGCAAAGAGACGTCCGTTCGAAGCAGCGGGTGATTCGCCGCGGCGCGATACTGAAGGCGAGCTCTTCAAGGCAGATTTTGCAGGAGATACTGAGCGCGGCAGCGGGTCGTGTTTGGTACCAGCAAGCTCGACAGCTACAGGCGCAAAATGGGCAGTGCGTGGTGGGCTCAATGAAGTATGTCGATCGTGCGTGTCACGGAGACTGCCACCACCAATCGAACTTGCAGGTGTCGAGTTGGCTGGAGCGGCGATGCGAGGGTACGCACTGTCCTGGTTGATAGCGAATTTGGGCAAAGGTACCTCGTCCTCGTGGCCGGCTATAGTGCCATATCCAGAGTCGTCCAACCTGCGACTGGTGTTTGCCTGCTCCTGAGGTGGGAAATCGGCATCAACGAAGTCATCAGAGTGTCTCGTTGCAGTAGCGGTACTGGGTTGCGGTTCGGGTGTGCGCGATACAGCTATCGGCTCTTCTCTTCTCTGTGGTGCTGGCTGTTCCTGGCGAACATAGTGGCGTATAGGACTCGGCGAGCCGCGGCCCATCTGGTTCTCTGGTATGTGGACGGAGTGGAAGGTGTCGGCATGCTGTGACACATATTGTCGCGTGGGCTCAGGCTCGGGCTCTTCATGCAGCTCTCGATGACGGGCCATGGCATCCTGCTTGTGAATGAATTTGCGCGTTGAAGGATCGTAAATAGCATCCGGTGAGTTCGGGTCGACAGGTCGAGGGGCTTGTCGCGGCACGTAGGATTGCGTCTGCACAGCAGAGCCAGATGGCTTGGCGCGCATACTGCCACTCGACAGTCTTGCGCCTTGCAGGCCTTGTGAAATCTGGTGTGTTTGCACTGGGCGCTCAGAGGCACTCTGGACCGATCGTTGGGCGTTCTGGAGGTCGTAGCTGGATACACCACTGGATGTCTTTGGTCGCGATGTCGAGGTCATGCGCTGGACCGCATCCTGATTCACCAGAGGGCCGCCGAACCATCCTTTGCTCGAGGGCGGAGAGGGATTCTGGCGTGTGCCTATGGCGCCTGGGGACATTGGGCGGGAGAAGTTTACGGACCGCAACGCGTCGTCCTCCTCGGACACCTGAGCGAGATGGCTGGCAGGCCGTTGCCCTCTCCCAGTAGGATTGGCGCCCCTATCCAGGCTGACGCCTCTGCCTCTGCCTCCTGGCGCGGGCGATCCTCCACGGTACGTAGGCTCTAGGCTGGAAGCACGCCGATGGACAACGCTGCCTTGCTGCTGCTGCATGTTCTTTGGCACTGGCGGAACGGGCGGCGCATCCGCATCTGCTGGGCTTCCTCCGCCGGGCGATGGTGCGCGAAAGGAGCGCTCCGTCATGGATCCTGAGCTCGACTGTCGGCGCAGGGAGCCGGGCTGTGGTCGCGAGACGCTGCCGTTTGACGATAGCGAGCCGCGGCGGGCCATGCGCTTCGTGACTGTGTCGCCAACGGGAGTCGGCGTCGTGACGTGGGTGCGCAGGGCGGCGGCCGCAGCAGCCGACGAGAGGTCGCCGTTGGATTCGGCATTCTTGATGAAGGCTTTCGAGGCGGCGAGCGAGGCGGATGCGCTGGGCGGCGGGGCTCGCTGGGGCTGCATGGGCGACATTTGTTAGCATCGCGTCGCCATACGCCGGAGCGCGCCAGGAGGTTTGCGCGCGCACCGAGAGAGCACCTACCGGATTCGACGCTGCCCGTCGTCGCTTGCCGAACATGGTGGCGGTGGTGTATTAAAGATTACTGCAGTTGCGGCTGGCGCTGCATTGCCGTGGGATGCAATGGTGTGGTGGCTTTGGGGATGCAGGTGCAAGGGTCGTCAAGATGATGTCACGCCTGCGGCGGAACCGTGCGGCCTGGGTGAAAGAGTGGAAAGCTACCTGCGTCAGACTGCCAAATGAAAAACAAATCACGGGCGTCTCACGTGTGGAAGGATTGGAAGGGTTGGGAGTGGGAAAAGGGCTTCGAGATGCATCTGGGCGGAGTCGACTTGTTGTAGCTAGCAAAACAAGTAAGAGGATCGTCATGTTCCCGGACACCCCAAAGCTTAGGTCGGACGTGTTGGCGCCGCAGAGGCCCGCCGCAAGCCTCGCACCGGCGCATTTGCATCGTCACAGAAAGTGTCAAACACCTCATCGTCTCAGCTACATGGTCAAACAAGCACGCATGTCGAGGATGAGGCTGTTGCACGCCCAAGGAAAGCGTGACTCGAGGCTGCCACATGCAGTCTAGAGGTGGCCTAGAAGAGACATGCATTGTTTACGTTGTATCTTCACCCTCACGCCTGGTGCTTCCTCACATCCATCATCGCAAACGCGCACACACTTCTCCTGAGACTCTGCCGGGGCGCCAGCACTGCTTTTCCACGAGCCTGTTTCCTCTCTCACGCCGGTACCTCACGGTCCCTGATTTGCACCTCTCCAGCTAGTAACAACCCTGAGCCCCAACACCACTCTAGCCAGTCCCTATCTGGCGCCACTGACGTAGGCGATATCTCCAAGAGCAACCGTCGTAGCGCCGGGCGCCGGGCGCTTTGTGATTCGCGAACCTCTTCCAAAACATGCGCAGACGTCTACAGCGTTTGCCTGCCAAACGTCGCACAGGCACCCATGTCCAGTGCTATGAAATATTGCGACACCATGTCGAGTATAGATCGATTTGATCATTGCAACGTGGAACGCGCATTTTTGCGCAAGGCCTTGTGGATTAGGATCGACGAACTGGCCCACCCAGAGCTCGACATAGATCGCCCAGACCGCACATCTCTTCCCCGCGCTAACTGTTAACATCGTGACAATCGACCAGCACCGCCACCTCCCAGTTCATCAAAGAGAAAGCGGCCGAGTGTATACTTTATCCGTGCGCCTGCCCTACTCTATTTGTTTACCAATTTGCTTTCGTCTGAGATTCCATCAGCATGGCATCACCAGCGTCGCGCCTGCCGCCTTTGCCATTACCAGACGGCATCGTCGAGAACTACGTCTACTGTCCATCAAATGGCATCACCTTCCACACGCTCGAAGCTGGTCATACTCCCCAACGCGACAAGCCTCTCATCATCCTATGCCACGGCTTTCCAGAGCTTGCCTTCTCTTGGAGGAAGGTCATGATACCCATCGCTGATGCGGGCTATCATGTGGTAGCCTTCGATCAACGTGGCTACGGACGCACAACCGGATGGGACAACTCTTCGTTCCCCAACACCAACTTATCGCAGTTTGCTCTGACCAATGTTGTCCGCGACGTGGTTACACTGGTTAATGCTCTGGGTTATCGAGAGGTTAAGTGTATCGTCGGACACGACTTCGGTGCTGTCACTTCCAGCATGTGTGCTCTGATGCGTCCAGACCTCTTCAAAAGCGTTGTCATGATGAGTCATCCTTTCAAAGCGCCTGCACAGCTGCCATTCGATATAGCTCACGGTGGCGCTCGCGAACCTGCGCCATCGCCTGACATTCATGCTGAGTTGGCAAAGCTGCCCGTGCCGAGGAAGCATTACAAGTGGTATAACAGCACTAGTACAGCTGGAGTCGATTGGATCAACCCAAGCCAAGGCCTGCACGCCTTTCTTAGGGGGTATCTCCATGTCAAGTCAGCCGACTGGAAGGATAACTCACCACACCCTCTCAAAAGCTGGACGGCCGAAGAGATGGCCAAAGTGCCGAATTACTACATTATGCCGTTGCACAAGTCGATGCCCGATACTATTGCTGACATGATGGCCAACCAAGATAGCTCGACGACTGAGATATGGATGCCTGAACAAGACCTTGCAATCTACGTCCAAGAATGGTCACGGACAGGCTTCCAGGGCGGTCTCAACTACTACCGAATCACCACCGATCCAGTCCTTCAAAAAGATCTCGAGCTATTTGCGGGCAAGAAGATCGAATGTCCAAGTACCTTCATATCAGGTGCCAAGGATTGGGGTAATTATCAACAGCCCGGGGCCCTCGAGGCCTATCCCGAGTCATGTTCAGACTTTCGAGGGATCCACTTGATCGACAATGCAGGACACTGGCCCCAGCAAGAACAGCCGAAGGGAGTAGTTGAAGCGATATTGGGGTTCGTTCGCTATCTTTAAGTCAATTGCAGCTGCGGCGTATACGATGCTTGACAAAATATGCGATTCTCCCAACTTATCAAGTATGCGGATCCCGATCGTCCGCATGTTTAAAATCCGATTCAATCTACCAATCAAGGGGTTCCTTTCGTTTCAGATCAGAGATGACCATCTTACTAAGGCTGCTACGCCGCTACGCCGCAATTCCTTCTCATCTTCGTTCGGCTAGGGTTGCCGCCCGTTTCCTCGCCGTTACCCGAACCGGGACTGGTATTCAGTTTCGTAGTTGATCACGACTCGTAAGACTTGTGACATGCAGTATTCCAAAGCTTCGTCTTAGTCAAAATCCACTACTGTCGCAAACAGAGTTAAGTGCTGCGACATCAGTACTCCATCGCAGCAATCGGAAGGCAGAAGATCTGGCTGACTAACAGTCTGAATATCACAACTTCTCCACAGTAACGACATACGCGAGCTTCTATTTTCAAGAAGACGAGGTACATGTGCATTGCATCGACGGCAAAGACGGCCTTTACGATCTGTTGAGCGAGAGGATTTGAGAAAGGCTGCACAATGATATTGTATTTAGCTGCTCGAGCTAAAAGCGAATACATCTACGATCGCTTAACTGCGAGCATGTGGCGTGGGCATCCAATTCCCCTGATCTCGCATGCAGCTCGCAGCAGTGCTGACTCGGCGCTAGAGCCTATTGTTACCAGGTGCGCTTAGCAGATCATCGAGCATCAACGTGCAGGATCGCACTTGTCTCCTTATGTGTGAACAGACGGCAGGATGGAAGGGATTGCAGTGTATAAGATGACGGGACGGGCGGAGAGTATTGTTGTGCATAGAATTTTCACTACCACACAGAAATGGCCGTCTCTCCTCCTTCAGCCGCTTCGTCCCGAACTCCATCTCTTCCCTTTACCAATACACTTGCAAACCTACGTCACTTGGTCAAATGCTGCCAAGAAAGCACGCAATTGCCACCCACTCATGACACGAGTGATCAGTCAAAGCGCCAACCAGTCCACGCAATCGAGCAGTCAGACATATCACTTAACTTGCTCAAAAGCTCGCTCGCCCGAACCCCTTCCAGCTCCTCTGTACTCAGCGTGTGCGAAGATGGATATATCAATCAGAATCTCGCTACCACTCAGCACACACTCATTGGTTGCCAATCCCAGACATCTCAAGAGCCGTCTCAAGAGCCACTTGTTAGCTACGCGAAAACCAACATACACAGCAGTCGCGAAGATACCTTCAATCATTTAGGCACTATAAATCAGCCATGCATTCGATCAGCATCACTTCAAAAACATTCTCCCCCGGCAGAATACATGGAGAACTATACAGTGCCACTGACGAAGCTGACTGACGAGAAAGATATCGGCGTTGTGACAACAGTCACCATGTCTTCACTAACGTCATCATCGGTTCTATCGAAGCCAAAGATCAAATTTCGACATCGAGTGCGAGACGTCTGCCTGCATTGGTTTACAGCATACCGGATACTCATCGGGCTCACTTTCGCTGTAAATATCGCAGTGCTCGCTGTCATGATTAGAGGGAACCGGCACGATCATCCCGCCATCTCTGGTTCCCTGATTGCTGCCGCCGCCAATATCTTTGCCGCCGTCTTCATCCGCCAGGAGGATCTCATCAACGTCAGCTTCTCGTTTGTCGCCAAAACTCCAGTAAGCCTACCATTATGGCTCCGGAAGATAATCGCAGACTTCCACCACTACGGCGGACTGCACATTGGCTGCTCCATTTCAGCGCTTCTATGGTACTGCTGCTTTGTCTTCCTGGACACCTCCCACTTCCTCGAACACACCAGGCAGCGCATGGCTACTGGTTGGATGTGGGCCGACATCATCACCTGCTACGCCTTCCTCTTAGCCATCTTGTGCATCTGCGTACTAGCACATCCACACCTGCGCGTAAGGTTCCACGACGCATTCGAGCAAACGCATCGCTTTGGTGGATGGACAGCACTATTGGTACTGTGGCTCAACGCAGGTGTGTCGAGCTGCAACCCCAATCGCCCACCGCTGTACGCAAACGCCGCCCTCTGGCTCCTAGCCGGCACGACTTTCCTCATAGCTCTCCCATGGACGCGTATACGCCGGGTGGCAATAACGACCGAGCCCGTTTCTAGCCGCGAAGTCAAGGTTACCTTCCCGTACAAAAATATGCCCTACACGTCTACAACACGTTTCTCGCTAAGCCCCGTCCTCGAATGGCACGCCTTCGCCACCATCCCATGCTCGCCTTCTTCTGACAACCCTTTCGCATACATTGTCATCTCCCAAGCTGGCGATTGGACAAAGGCAATGATCAAGTCTCCACCCACCCACATCTGGGTTCGCAAACCCGCCGCAAAGAACTTCCTTTCTTTCGCTCCACTGTTCAACTCCCTGCTTCTCGTGGCTACGGGCGCAGGGATCGGGCCCTTAATCTCGCTCTTATGCTCACCGGCCATTGCGCGCATGCGCGAACAGGGCAGACAGATTAGGGTTATGTGGTGCGTGTACGATCCTGATGCGGCACATTGGCAGTTCGTCCAGGATATCATCCGTAACGTGGATCCCGAGCCTAAGATCTTCGACTCACGCGAGGGAAGACCAGACTTGGCGTTCGAAGCAGATTTCATGAAAGAGCAGTATGGAATAGAGGCTGTGATGATTGTAAGCAACCCTATGGTTACGAGGGAGATTGTTGAGAAAGTCAAGGCGAAAGACGGTGCTGCATATGGCGCTGTGTTCGACTCTTAGACGCTACTGTTGGTTTATCCTGGTGTGAGCATGGATGTGCTCTGCTATCTGGATTGATGTTTCTGTTGCTGTTTTTCGGTTATGTTCACTTCGACTTCGACTTCAGTTTCGGCCTAAGAGCAGGCTCTTCCGTCGCAGTAGAACTGCGATTACATTCTGTATTCGTTTTGACACTTCCCAGGATCGGGTTTGGATAATCACCACACATGCACATTATATGCATCGTCGTGCAACGCTTCGTTTATTCATGTAACAAGACTATCGAATATTATCATCGTGAATTAGTATCACATAGGAACTCTCATGATATCGCGGAGGGAGGCAAATGAATACTAAAAATTACAATTTAGAAAGTACCACTACTAAAGCTGCTGCTGTATATTAGAGCCGCGATTACAGGTCACCAGTTATCTCGATAAAGTAACAGTCTTTACATGACCTCAACAACAGCGGGTCCAGCAATGATGGTGTCGTCAGTAGCAGCAGTGTTGCAGCTGGTAAGGACGACGTAGCTCTGACCAGCAATGCCCTTCTCGGGAACGGTAACCTCGAAGCCACCCTCGACCATGGTAGCCTCAACGAAGACAGGGCCGGTAACGGTGATGAAAGCGGCGTAGACCTTGCCGTCAACCTTGTAGCCAGAGGTGGCGAGCATGACCTTGCTACCAGCCTTGATCATCATGCTTCCGTCAGAAGCAGAGGCAGCAAGGGTAGGGAAGGCCTTGACGGGCAGAGGAGCGTTGGTCTCGGGGCAAGACTTGATGAACTGCGCAGCGAGGGTGTAGACCTCGTTGTAGCTCAAGGGGTTGTCGAAGGGAGCGGGGAAAGGCGAAGATCCGACAGTGTTGCGGATGTATGCCGAGTGGCGGGCCTCAACAGTGAGGATGGAGCCAGCGGCAGTGAGGTAGGTCTTGGACATGATGTCGGCGGCAGCACCGAGGTAGGCGCTGACACCAACGCCCTCGAGGACACTGGCAGTGGCAAGGAAGGACGCAACGTCCTTGTAGCCGAAGTCGTAGGTGCAGGCCTCGACGGGCTTGGCTCCAGCAGCGCTGAGCGCTCCAGTGAGGAAAGAGACGTGGGTCTCCTCATCGGAAGAGATGGTCTTGATGCGGTTGTAGGCCTCCTCGGAGAAGTTGGCGGCCTTGAAGTCCTCAACGGTGAACTTGGCGAGGGCCTCGCGGTAGAAGGTGTCCTCGAGGTGCTCGAGAGTGAGCGCGTAGTTGAGGATGACACCGTCAGTTACGCCATCAGCACGCTTGATGGGAGATGCGGTGGAGACAGCCGCAAGAGCAGCGATGGCAGCGATGGTGGACTTCATGATGATGATGGAGTTGAGTAATTAAAACCGAGTAATCGAGAGTGAGGAAAGACTGTAGATGCTCAGAGTAGTGAACTTGGTGAACTGTGAGATACTTCTTCTAAACCAGCGGCATCAATCCTGTCTTATACCTCCCGTGTCTATTACTCCAGACCTCTGTTTCTCCGCCTCAATCTCCCGTAAACACATCTACCAAAAGCTTACTACCCCTCTTCCAGCGTTCGCGCGCACCACCTCATCATCTCATCTCCCAAAACCTATGAGCTAGGCACAAAACATCCCGTAGACGGACATGCTTCCATCCGGCACCAGTCGCGATCTCACAGCCCAAGCTGCCTGCGCCCTCGATTAGTCTAACCTGACTTACTCCAACTAAGGCCGCCGTCAACCCCAAATCAGGCCGAGACCAACGATCAGTATCTCCTGATCGAGCACTGCAGCAAGGGCTGTTAGTGTGAATTCCGTGAGCCTGAACAACTAACAAGGGTCCAAGAGCGCCGCTCCCCGCAGAAAATCGCGGTAAGTCGTTTAGTCATGTTTGTGTACCACGGAACCTTCATCATCCGGACACGCGCTAGTGCGGTTAAGCTCAGGAATGACGTCGCGCTACTGCAAAACCATACCGACGAGGGACTAGTGCCTAGGTAATCTTGACCTTTTTAGTAAGGGGAGTAGGTTGTACAATTGTCATCTTTTGACTACATGTTTTGCGGAAGGTTTTTTTCCCTGAGCTCGCGGAGAACGTGGCTTGGGTGAGATGCAGATCGCAAATGGATAGACAGGGGAGGTCGTGATGGTGCTATGGAAAGGTGAGCTTCCGAGGGGCAATGTCGGTGGATATGACTTGTGGACGGGATGTTGAGGTGAGTTTTTACGTGATGTAAGCTGTACAGCGACCGTGATTGCCCTGCCGATGCTGTGAGAAGCGTCTATCCAGTCGCACCTCCTGCATCTTTCATCGCAGTCGAAATAATGACATGCGCAGAGTCGCTGATAGGCCAGTCCAGATTCCAATAACGGTTCTATCTCTGCGGAAATTCACATCTGGAAAGGTATCCAAGACCACGACCCCGGAATCATCACCGTTAGTACAAACGCCTCCAAAAAACCGCAAACGGAACTTCCCACCTCCACATTCTTCCATGCCAATTACCCTTGACTAGCCAGGTACAGACCATGCGTTGATCTAATATCTAGCCGCCCTGACTGTCGACGGTAAAGTCTGTCTCCGTACTTGAACCCGTTAGTGACGCCTTAAGTTCAGGTTAGTTAGGTCTAGCTGCCGTGATGTTTGTTGTCGCTGCGCCTTTGCTAACTTATTTGCCTGCTGATCAACACTCTCTTCGTGGGATATATGGCCGATGCAGCGGGAAGTGGGCGCGGGAACGTGATCAACTGGTTTTCTCGGAAGACGTTTGATCCGATCAGAGTAGAATTCATCGACCGGGATTTCGGCTTGAGGGTTGGCACTTGTGTTTGGAATGGAAGTAGACTAGTTGGTAAGTTGGTGATGTGACTGGTAGCTTGTTTGGAGGACGGATGAGGCCGTATGCGGAGTATTGGTTGGTGGACGCCAGTGATAACTGCCGCGTTTCGATATGTCCTTAGGTCAGAATTGAAATTAAGACAACTAGGGAGGTGAACTGTGCGCGTGCTCGAAGGCGATAGGTAACGGGATGAAGTACAAAGAAGGGTGTCGAAGGGCGTTCCTTTTCGGTTTCCTTTTGTTTCTCCCTCGCTTTCCTCATAGTTGACATATCTTTATATCTTACCGGTCCTTCCCGATCGAAACAAAACTCACAAACAACTCCTACCTTCAACACCACAATACCTACACAATGAAGTTCTCTACCTCTTTCGTCGGCGCTGCCGTCTTGCTTGCCAGCACTGTCTCTGCGTAAGTCAACCTTCAATCCCTACCTCTTTTACCTTTATCCCCACAGTCCAACCTAAGCTCATTCAAACTAACACTCCCAACAGCGAAGCCCCAGCCGTTACATCCACTCTGACCGTCAAGCCCGGCTGCCCCTCAGCTGCACCCGCCGATGTCATGGTAACGCGCTCCGCCGTTGCCGTGCCATCTTGCGCCGCAGGCGCCAACGAGACCAAGCCCAGCATCGTCACCATGCCTGGCTACGGAACAGGCATGATGGGTAGCGCCACGGGCACAGGAATGATGCCGGAGTTCACTGGTGCGGCGTCGGCAAACATGATGAGCGGTGTTGTTGTTGGCCTGTTTGGTGGATTGGCTGCTGCGCTTATGGCTTAAGATTGTTGCGGTGGTGGATTTTGACGTGGATGATGGCGATGTGGGATGGAGTTGAAGAGATGTTTGGTGCTTCGGGTGTCGTGGGCCTCGACATGGAGGATGTACGAGCTGTGTTTTCTAGTCAATACCTTTTGGAAGAGATAGGGCAGATGATAGTATGTAATGCTAATAGTGGTTGGAAGAATGTACAATGACTTCTCGGCTCGAAAATTGCCGTTGTCACGCATGAAGCACGTACCTTTACTAAGTCGTCATCATCCTCGCTTCATGAATTCTTTTTCTCCATACCTTCGAACAGTGACGGGGTTGTTGTACTCATCCCTGGTGGATACAGCTGACGCCATCCTTCATACCCACATGAACACACACCCACCCGTGGGGCAAACTTTGACGCAACTCCATGACGCGGCCCTGGAACATAAGTTTTGACGGAAGCGAAAGTCAAAAGGATACATCTCTTGCATTTGTATTCCTGTACATGCCCTATCTACAATGCTGCTCATAGATTTTCGCCTCCGTAACCCACAAAGCGCGGAGGACAAATCAGCACAAGGCCTTGAGACCTTGACAAACCCACACGCACACAATAGCCAGCCGGTTTCATCACATCCCGGTAATCGTATATATACACAAGTAGAGGGCTCCTTCCCTCCTGAGATTATCCAACGTAAAGTTCCTAACATGTCTCGATATAGGGCTCATCCAGACAAATCCACTTCCAGAACTTTGGTGTGGGATTCAAGCCCGCAAAAGGAGGGAGTAAAAAAGAAAAAAGGGCACAACTGCGCCCCGAGTATACAATTCGCGGAAAGAGATCGGTAGAGCGGTCGCAAAGAGTCGCCGCGATGATGCCGAAGATGAAGAACGCCCGCCAACGCCATGCCGTCATGCAAGAACTCGTATGAGAAGGGATGCTATACGCGCTCGTGTCGTATCTAGTTGTCGTACGTCGAGGGTAACGATTTGCCGCCGCAATCGGGGATCTTAAGCCCGGGCTTCAGTTTGCGGTTGACGTCCATGAGACCCCACTTGTCTTCCCACTCTTTGCCCTTTTCGTTATACTGGATCTTCCATGGCTCGTCAAAGGCTGAGAACCTGGGGATGCATTAGCGACAGTCTATCAGAGCTGGGTGACACGAAGACTTACCAAAAGTACTCTGTTCCGTTAGTGAGACTCGGGCAAACCCAGTCTTCCATAAACTGGTTCATTTCGTCAATACCGGCAACAGAGCCTCCGGCGCAAGTGTCCGCCGCACCACAGTCGGTGCCACCTCCAGATGGCCAGCCAACCTCGGCAATTACCTGGTGGATGTCATTCTGGGTTGCGGTCAATGACACGTCGTGGGTTTGCCAGAAGTTCCAGGTCCAGGCAGCCGCTTCCTTGACGTCGACACCGGCAAAGAAGGGGTGAACGTTTGACATGACAATGTCAACCTTGGTAGCCATGTCGCCAGTCCAGTTGTCACCCAGATCAGCCATTGCGACAGGCAACTGGCAGCTGTGGTCCGAGATGTTCTTGCGGAAATCGGAAATGTGTCCCAGCAGCTCAGTCTCAGACAGGTCCTTGCGGTAAAGTACCTCGTTACCAATGATGATACCCTTGAAGTAGTCGCAGCCATAGTCATCGAGAATGTCCCATGTTTGGGAAATCTGTCGCTCTGTTGTAGTGTCATTCTTGTCGAGCCATACACCAAGCCAGATCTTCATGGTATCCTTGATTTCCAGGCGGTCGATGGCGTGGATAAGCATCTGTGTTTGGTTGCAGTCGGTACCGTACAAGCGGACTGAGTTGGTCAGTTGCGACATGACGGCCAAGTCTCGAGTGATGTTGTTCTGCGATGGTCCGACGTGGAGACAGTCTGGGTACTGTGTGTTCAGAGGAGTATAATCCATGCCGGGGAACACTTTGTGCAAATCGGCGTTGTTCATCAAGGCCTTGATCTCGGAAGAGTCCTTGCCAAGGTCCTCCTTGTTGTCTTTGGCGATATCGTCAGCAGATTGAGCAGACTTAGCAGCTCCGTCCTTGGCACCGCCACCCTTTCCGACGGTGGCACCGAGGACACCGCCTAGAATTGCACCTGCGAGGATGAGGGTGATGATGGCGATTGCGATCCACATGCGCTTCTTCCTCTTCTTCAAGTCGTCTTCTGCTTTCCAACTTGCAACCTTTTCTGGGACGAGCTCCCCACTTCCGTTGACCATGGGCACGGCGTCGTACTTGGTACCATCGCGTGAGGCAGCAAAAGCACCAGCGCCGGCAGCGGCAGCAACACCTCCGTTGTTTATCGATGATCCTGGCGAGCCATTGCGACTGCTGCCGTCCCGCGAGCCACCGAATGGCACGAAAGAGCGTCGCTTGTTCTGTGGAGAGTTGTGGTCTGGGCCCATTCCCCAGTCGTCATCGTTGTCGACATCGAGCGGGTTGATCTGGCCCATCTGCGGCGCGAGGTTCTGGGCGGACGAAGAGTAGCGGTTGTAAGGCGTGTCGGCGTAGGGGACGCCGCTGTGGGGGGAGTGTGGCATGCTGTACATGGAGCTGTCACTCGAGTACATGCCGCCGACCAGTGGTGCGCCGGAGCCGTAGGAGCGTTGCGAGTACATTGGGCGAGGAACCATGGGTTGGTCGTGACCATTGGGGTCATTGAAGGGTGATGACTGCGAGTTCCTGTTGGGAACGCCCATGGGCCGTCCTGGGCCAGCCATGCCTCGTGCAGCGTGGAGGCCGCTCTCGCGTGGGTGGGAGGAAGCGACGCCGCTGGCAATGCCGTTGATGCCGCCGCCCGGAGCAGTCTCGCCCATGTTGTCTGAGCCGGGAGTGACGCCTGGGGTCGAGTAGTCGGAGTAGTTGTTGGGGTCGGTATACTGGCGCTGGGCGTGGAGGCCTACAGGAGTGCGATGGGCTGGCGGAGGCGGCGGATTGTCGTCGGACGGGAGGGAGTCGTTCTGCTGTCCTAATGGCCAGGCCTGGGGTTGCTGGAAAGCCATTGTGAGTGCTTGTTCGAGGTTTTGCTACACACCTCGCGTGCAGAGGCGAAAACAACCTGCGCGGGCAACGCTTGGTGGAGGTAGCGGACGGCGGCGCGCCGCTCTGCGGATCGAATGGAGGCGGACTATCGCTGGGCCTGGCTAGTGTTTGCGGCGCGGAACACGGTTGGCTGGGTGGTTTGTTCTTCACGGCTGGGGACCTCGCAGGGATCCGGGCAGAACGAGCGAAAAAGATAATGCAGAGGCAGCGTTTCGCAGAGGCGCAGGCGCGGTCGCAGTGGTGGAGAGAAAGTCGGAGTCGTCGTGTGGCCGAGATGATGCAGGTGTGTTAGTCGGGTAGCACGGCGCTGGCACAACAGAGGCTGACGGCTGCGACTGCTCGAGGCGCTAGCCCGCTAATTCACCCAGGAAACCACCACAGAACCCACTGTGACGTCTCCGCCAATGCACCAGCCCCAAACACACTCAACAGGTTTTGCGACAAGATAACGCCTATACCGACTGCCCGCCTTTCCCTCCGACAATGGCCCTTTTGGCGCCTCCGCCGGCCTTGTCGCGCTGCATCGCACGCGTCCACATCACGATCTCCCTCGTGCCTGCCTCGTCCTGCGCTGTGTTTCCTCGCGCCTGCCTGTGCGCCCAATGCAGGCAAGAGCGATATGCCCTCAACCAGAACAAGCAGTTGCAGTGAGGCCTTGGCGCAGCCGCGGGAAGCCCCATCCATAACGGCAAGTGCAAGCAAGGGTGGGCCAGAGGCAATTTCCCATATCAGTTGGACCTTTCACGTTTATTGCCGCGAAGCCTCTCTGGTATTCTCCCTTTAATCCCCTGCTCATCCTGCACGCCTTGCATGTCGTCTGCTTTCGATTCCGCTGCCTGCAACTGTCATGGACGTCTTGTCCGCATTCTTTCCACGTTCTATTCCTAGCTCCTCGTGTCAGCCGCTACCGCAAACGGCTCCACCGTGGAATCTGGAGCGACCTGCTTTAACCCATTTAGTCTGCATTCAACGCTGCATAGCCTCATAGTCGCCTTCGTCTTTTCGGCTTTTTCACGCACTCCCACCTGCTCATTCAACGTCGTTGTCTCAGCCTGGGCATGCGCGACATCCAACGCCCTTGTAGCGATCTGACCGTCGTGGTGAAACACAAACACCACATCAAGATCGCCATCGGTCCCCGGCTGATAAGGCATGTGGTGCTCACCACTCGCTCCTACCCCGCGCCATTGAGCAAATCTAATCCCGCCGTGCATTCGGCGCCGCGTCAGCGTCAAGTCATCCTACCAGACTCTAGCAGCCTCGACTTCTCTGGCTCGACTGTCAACACGCGCAGCCTCCCAGCCTCTCGCCCGCTGCATACTTCATGTACCACGTCACGTTTCTGCAGTCACAGTATTGGCCTACATGCACCACGCCGCGCAATACATCTTCGCACGTTCTCATGTCTATGTTAACCACATTTCACCGATTGCAGCAAGCCAAGCTTCAATGGTAAGCCGGACCATGTTTCACATTGCCCACAAAAGCAACTAGGGCGATTCACCCAGATAAATTTAACTTCTGTCCACAATCTTTCACGTTCAAGGTCGAATTCGATACTTGCGAAGGCAGATTTCCATCATCTCTTTGACCTGCATGTGCTAGAAGATCGCCACGCTTCCATTTCTGGGCCTAGAAATTCGGGTAATGTTCGCGCTCCATCCTGTATTTATCAGTTCGTCTGCGATCCCCGCATAGTCTTTTACGATCTGTACAAGCATCGTTGAGTATGCTATGATGTGAAGAGTTGACCTGATGATCAATATCTGCTCACGAACGCGTCCACGTAACGGCACGGACATGGCGCAAATACAACCTCATACGTGAACGGCTTCAAATAGCCAGTACTCCTCGGAGTTGGAGCAAGGGAAAGTACATGTCTCGGCGTAATCAACCTCCGATTGTATCTTCACGGCACGATAACATTGGAAGGCAACTGGGAGAATGGACGCCTCGTCGAGTCTAAGCCCAGAAGGTGTATCGCTTGGCGCATGATTTTCCTAATTCAGACATCTCCATCATCACAACGAGGACGCCAGCCTTGATGATAAAACGGGAAGAAGAGTATCGAGAAACATTTGCGTATATATATTTCTCTTCTTGCAACTCAGCCAAGTTTTCCATCTTAACTTCCCAAATATTACATTTTACGGTATCTTCTGAAGCAATGCCACCCCACTCAACAATCCACACCACCATCGTCAGCCTAACCACCGGCCCCCCTCTCGTCATCGCCATCATAGGCGGAACCTCAGGCATCGGATCCTACATCGCCAAAGCCTTTGCCTCCGTCTACCGCAACTCTAAATCCAAACTACGCGTCTACATCGTCGGCCGCAACGCCTCACGCGCAGAAGCCCTGCTTGCAGAAGTGCGCTCCACAAGCCCAGGTTCAGAATGGCGGTTCATGAGAGCCCACGACCTGGCGCTGATGAGCGAAGTCGACGCCATATGTGCGCAAATCAAAAAGCATGAAGAAGAGCAGCCATTGAACGGAGGAGAACCAAGGATAGATTTGCTTTACATGACGCAAGCAGAGTCACCACTCGCACCATCACCACGTAGGTCTTTTCTATCTTCATTCGCTTCCAGCAAGAAGTGAGCCGTAACAATCACAATCCACACCGCCCCAACTGACCAACCCCACCAGCAACAAAAGAAGGCCTCGACACCCAAGTCTCCCTCTTGTACTACTCTCGCATCCGCTTCATCCTCGGTCTAACGCCGCTCCTACTGCGCTCTCAGAACCCCACTGGCGCCCACGTCATCTCCGTCTTCGCAGGCACAATCGAAGACTCCATCTCCCCGTCTGCCCTTCCTATCGGCCCACCAACGCCGGAAAAGCATGGCGTCACATCAGTCCGCACGCACGTCTCTTTCATGAAGACGTTCATGTTCGAGGCACTGGCTGAGGAACACGCTGGCAAGATCGCTTTTGTACATGTCTACCCTGGCTTGGTTGACGGTCCAACATTCCTAAGTAAGGCAAATCCTCTTTGGTTTCGCGTGCTGTGGCGCGTGGCTAAGGTATTCATGGCATGGTACATGACGAGTCCAACGGTGTGTGGTGAGGTCATGGTGTTTCTGTGCATGAGCCGGTATCCCGCGCGGGGCGTTGACGTGGGAGGGAAGACGGTGGCTGATGTGGCGTTTAGTAGTACGAGGGAGAGGGGCGGTGGTGCGTATGCGGTGGGCCAAAGGGGTGATGAGAAGAAGCAAGTTAGTTATGCGAAGCTCAGGAAGAGTGACACCAGGGACAGGGTTTGGAAACATACCATGGGTGTGTTGGAGAGTGTTCTGGGGATGCGAGAGTAAGTAGGATGGGGGCGTTGTATGTGATGAAACATCCGTATATGAACTATGTGGAAAAAGAACGGTGGAGATATTAGACTGAAGATTGGAGCGCGTAGTTTTGTACCTTGCACCATGCTACATAGACAACAGGCGTATTTATAACGACTACCTTTATGTACGACTCCTCCGGCGGAACATGATTCCGCAATTCAAAAAGACACAAAGCAGTCACAGCTGCCAGAGGTGTCCACAATTCCATTCTTGCGCCATATTACCACTGAAAGTATGGAGACTGTACAGATCAGGCTGATTATCGGCAAACTCTGCGTAGAGCCCAGAAAAGTCGCTGAGGTATTGTCTGGCACTTCCTCCATGGCCTCCTGGCGCATAGGCTATCGGAAGCGGTTTGAGCGTTTGCTCCGAAGCGACAGGGCGGGTACTCGTAGTGTTTGGGAGGGGGGGCGTATCGCGGACGGTTTTTTACGCTTAGCTAGCGATTCATCGTCGTCTCGTTCATACTGATGACCGCTGTTGGTAAGCTTGGGTGGCAACAGCTGCTCCATGCAAGCAGCCATTATTCTCTTGGTGGTGGAATGTAATTCGTAAATTCGTCCTGGGGATGATTCGGGTAGTTGTACGCAGTTCAGCGCCAACGATAGCAGGATGATGTCTTTGAGATCATCTGCTTTGCCACGACCCGATCTCGCGACGAGATAGTTGATATTCCGCTGTACCTTTGCGCTCAGTACTTTTTCGTTGTGTCCGGACCATTTGGTGCTCTAGGTACCGACCATTCGAGCTAGCCTGGCGAAGATGTCTGATGCGTTGGCATACTGTGAGAGCAGCCCACAGAGTGTCCTTTTTACACAACCAATAGTAAAGGTCCTTTTGTAGGGGTGACGTATCTGTAAGCGCTTGAGGGTAATAGAACTTTTGATAGGAGATAATGGCCACAGATGAATCGACACATTGTATCTAGGCCTCCGCGACTTCTTGCTATCAAGTTGTTAGCACAAACATTACTCCAGAGTAAGTAGGAGACCCCAAAGTCTTAGAAGAATGTTAGAGGAATTCCGCGATCACCCCCAAGATATTTTCGCCTGCGTGTGATAGCTAAGAGAATACGTACTAACGATAAGTCAGCTAGTTATCTTGTAAAGTATCTGTGGCAGCTACTTTACCCTAGTATTCCTGAAAACCGAAAAGAAGTGGTTTGTATAAATATAATAGGACTTGTCGAACGTAGAAGTCAAGGAGAATGCGATGCAGTAATCCGCCTCGATCGCTGGTTGTTGGTTGGCTGTGTTGCAAGCTGAGAGTCAATGGTAGGGAGCACCAGCATCTTTGGATTTCACACGCTACTTCAATCGCTTCGTTCACATCGGGGATCGAGCGTTGTACAACCCAGAAAGCCTTGACCCGTTGCGGAAGAGACATAGCAAGAGATACCTGATAGAGACTGTCTGTCAGATCGCACAAGGGACGGGGAGAAGGAAGCTTCGCCGAAGACTCGTCAAAATCTTCGTCGTTCAGATTTGCCGGTACCGGACAGTAGGATCCAAGCTCGGGGATCACCAAGGGTATACCCGTCATGACGGCTGTTTGTACTTCCGATTCCAAAACAGACGCCCATAGCCGCTTTTGCATCTCCATCTGGTACGGCGAAACATGCTTTATGTTCGCAGGATCCGAGTGTAAACCCATGATCATAGCTGAACGCAGCAGGGCACCGCTGGAGCTCCAAAGTTGGGCGGTGCCTTACGCGCATGGTACGCTCAAAATTCTGGAAGGATATGGAAACCAGCTTGTCACAGTATGGCTTTGGTGGTAGGGACTCCCATAGCTTTGGTAATGGAGGCGAGCATCCAAAATCATGCTTGCGCTCAGAGGGCAAGATGAGATCTCTTTTTGATTTGCTTTGAAGAAATTTGAATTTCTTTGCAGAGGCCATCAACTGCTCATCACTAGCCATCTTGTTGAGGAAGTCTTTGACATTGGGGAACTGTGTTCAGTCAATGATGCTTTCCAATTCTCTTGCCTGATTAAGGAGCGTAATTTTGTCATTCTGCCCATGATCTACCTCCTTCAGCCACGACTGTACCAAGTAGAGGTGGGCACGTTGTTGGTGTTAACGGCTCGACCTCTGCTTTTACAGGGTGTTCACGCTCACGCGCCACGTGATCCATGTCAGCATCTGCGGAGGCTCAAGGCCTAGGCGTGATAACAAATCCCACCAGCACAGGCCAAAGAATTGTTGATGCGACGTCTGGCAATGGATGCGAAGGATGCCTCGTGTCTAGCGACTCTGGATGTAATTGCCGTATTGGAGTTTGCGGCTAAAAACATGTTAGGGATGCGCGGACGGGTCTTTCCTCAAACTGCAAGCAAAGCGGCAAGCTAATGCACGTCTGCGGCGTAGTCGAGGTGTCCACTAACCCCTGGCAGGGACGGCATTTAGACGTTGGTCGAGTGTCCGAGATCCAAAGACACTCTCGAGTTGTCTGTCTAAAGGTAGCTAGGTAGCTTCATGGTCGTATAAGAGGAAGGATATCAGTGACGAAGACATGCCTAAAGCCTACGGTGCACCTGATGAGAGATGCTGAAAGGGTTACAGCTAACGTAGCCTACAAAAAGGTCTGTCATAGCATGTGTGCCATGATGGGAACCACGGTTCAAAGCACGTGGCACTATATCAGCGGTTGACACGTGAAGCTCGATGGTCGTACCGACTGTCGCGTGTGTTCGTGTTGAGAGTTGAGTGTGGTGAAGGAGTCTGGAAGGCGGCAGTGACGTCTAGCTTCATTCGCCTAGAACCCCACACCGAAGGTCCCTGAGACCAACGGCGAGATTTGCCCGCCATAACAACACGTAGCTTCCCAATCCGCAAGTAGCAATTGGCATACATTCCACACATCAAGTGCGTCTCCCATAAACACCCATTGGAATATTGACCCCATTTTGGTATCTCGTGCAGGTAAGTGCAAGGGAACAGCTGCGTGGCCCCACCTGCATCTGAAGCTCTTTGGACACAGTAGCTAATAGCTCCCCTCGCGTTCTGCAGCTATCCGACGTCCATCATGAGCAACCTCTTCGAAGCCAAGGTCAAGAGCGTCCTCTCCGGCGATACCGTCGTCCTCCACAACATCAACAACCCAAAAGCAGAGCGCACACTGAGCTTAGCCTTTGTCAGCGCGCCGAGACTGCGACGAGAGGGAGACGAGCCCTTTGCCTTCGAGTCACGCGACTACCTCCGCCGTCTGCTTGTAGGCAAAGTCGTCCGCTTCCAAGTCCTCTACAAGATCCCGACGGGCGCGAACCGCGAATATGGCCTCATCGTCACACCGAACAAGGAGATACTCCCGCAACAAGCCGTCGCGGCGGGCTGGGTGAAGCTGCGCGACGACGCCGGCCGCAAGGAAGACTCGGATGAGGCTGCGAACCTACTCGAGCGACTACAAGTAGATGAGGCACGCGCTAGGGCAGACTCCAAGGGCCTCTGGGCGGAGACTGGCGGCAGGATCAACTCGTCGTCAGAGCTGAGTGATGCGACGAAGTTCGTGGAGCAGAACAAGGGCAAGGATATCGATTCGATTGTCGAAAAGGTCCTGTCCGGCGACCGCCTCATTGTGCGATTCCTCCTGTCGCCCACCGAGCACGTACAAACAATGGTCCTCCTCGCCGGTGTCCGCGCTCCCGCAACACAGCGAACAAATCCTTCCGACGGGAAGGTGCAGCCAGCCGAGCCGTTCGGCGACGACGCTCAACAATTTGTCGAGACAAGGCTGTTACAGCGAGGAGTCCTCGTTGAGGTTCTGGGAACAACACCTAATGGCCAAATTGTCGCAGACGTCAAGCATCCCACCCAGGGCAGCATCACACCTTTCCTGCTCAAGAACGGCTTGGCCAAATGTACCGACCACCACACCACCCTCCTCGGCCAGAAGATGGGCATACTCAGGGGCGCTGAGAAGCAGGCAAAGGACGGCCGCCTGGGTGTATACAAGGAACACGTTGCGCCCAAGATCAGCAAGGCTGGAGAGCAAGAAGCCACCGTTAGCCGTGTTCAGAGCGCAGACACCATCTTCATCCGGAACAAGACGGGCGCGGAGAAGCGCATCAACCTCAGCAGCGTCCGCCAACCCAAGCCTACGGATCCCAAGCAATCGCCATGGGTAGCGGAGGCCAAGGAGTTCTTGCGCAAGAAGCTCATCGGCAAGCATGTCAAGTTCCACGTAGACGGAAAGCGGCCGGCAACTGAGGGCTATGACGAGCGCGAAATGTGTACAGTCACCTTCTCGGGCAAGAACGTTGGTCTGATGCTTGTAGAGAGCGGTATGGCTTCCGTCATCCGCCACCGACAAGACGACGCCGACAGGAGCCCGATCTATGACGATCTTCTCCTTGCCGAGTCCACCGCGCAAGCTGAAAAGAAGGGTCTCTGGTCAGACAAGTCGCCCTCTGTCAAGCAGTATGTCGACTACTCGGAGTCGCTTGAGAAGGCCAAGCGCCAACTCACTTTGCTTTCGCGCCAACGCAAGGTACCAGCCATTGTCGATTTCGTCAAGTCTGGCTCGCGCTTCACTGTACTAGTACCTCGCGAGAACGCCAAGCTCACCTTCGTCCTCTCCGGTATCCGCGCACCTCGATCAGCGAGAAATGAAAGCGAAAAGGGCGAACCCTTCGGCAAGGAGGCTCATGAATTCGCGAACCGCCGCTGCCAACAGCGAGACGTCGAGATCGATGTCGAGGACTGTGACAAGGTCGGTGGCTTCATTGGCACCCTGTACATCAACCGTGAGAATTTTGCGAAGACGCTGGTTGAGGAAGGTCTGGCTACTGTACATGTCTACTCAGCAGAGAAGTCTGGAAATGCAAACGAACTATTCGCAGCTGAGCAGAAGGCCAAGGACGCACGAAAGAACCTGTGGCAAGACTACGACCCTTCTCAAGAAGAAGAGGACGGCGAGGCAGCGGTAGCCACCGAACCTACCAATGGCGACGCCGCACCGTCAAGAAAGGCAGACTACCGCGATGTTATGATCACCCACGTCGAAGACGACGGAAGGCTTCGTCTCCAACAGATTGGCAGCGGTACATCAGCGCTGACATCACTCATGAGCGCCTTCAGCAAGTTCCACCTCAACCCTGCAAATAGCAGTGGCTTGCCAGACGCACCCAAGGCGGGCGAGTTTGTAGCAGCCAAGTTCACTGCCGACGACCAGTGGTACCGTGCGCGCATTCGACGCAACGACCGAGAGAACAAGAAGGCTGAGGTTGTCTACATCGACTACGGTAACTCAGAGACAATCCCGTGGTCTCGCCTTCGCCCTCTCTCACAAGCCGAGTTCCTGCCATCGAAGCTGAAGCCACAGGCTGTAGAGGCGCAGCTGGCGTTTATCCAACTCCCTGGCAACTCGGAGTACCTTGCCGATGCTGTCAGCTTCATCTCTCAGGAGACAGCTGACCGTGAGCTCGTCGCAAGAGTCGAGGCCACCGAGAAGGACGGCATGCTTTGGGTCACACTGTACAACCCCGACCAGAGCAAAGACGGCACGGAGAGCATCAACGCCGACATTCTCAGCGAAGGTCTTGCGATGGTCCCAAAGAAGCTGCGCCCGTGGGAGCGCTCGCCCAACGTGCTGGCTGCCATGAAGAAGAAGCAGGACGTGGCCAAGGAGGAGCGCCGCGGTCAGTGGGAGTATGGTGATCTCACTGAGGACTAAGCCTGTACATAGTTTGCGGTTGCAGAGCATGGAAAATAGCGGCATCGAATGGGAACAATGTACAATAAAAGCATGTATCACGATTTGCGCACAAGCGACACTCTCACGTTCACATGTGCTACCAAATATGCCTCGTGATGGAGGCCTGGCACCGAAGCTGCGAAGACGGCCAGGTGGAGGCTTAGGCGGAGATGACGACGAGGTGATTGGCGGCTTCGGCCATCCCCCACCCATCCACGGCAGCGCGCTGAGGCGGTGCCTGTAGGCAACCACCAAAATGCACCCCAGTCACGCTGAACACGGGTCTTGCGCCATGACGACTACCTTCCAGGCAGGCGCATTGCAAACATCCTTCATGTCTTTACACACGCGCACTTAACATCCGCCCATCTTCGCTCGTCGCGCGTCAGAATACCCGTTGCGACACGTCCTAGGCAGTCGCGGCCATGGAGACCATCAGTCGACTACCCCGACGCCTGACACAGCTCTACTCCGACACCAAAACCACATGCGATGCCGTCGTGGAGCAGGATGCCAAAGACACGCCCGAGTCGCATGCGCTGCACCGCAAGTTCAGAATACAGAAGGACCGGCTGATAACATGGGGCGTGGACTGGAGCGACAACTCCAAAGGAAAGCAGGTCGACATCGATGAGAGCGTGGAAGAGGCAGGCATGACGGAGACGGTCACAAGCGTGCTCGGAACCATCAAGGAAATCCTCGATGAGGCGGAACAGATGCACCCGGGCACATCTGCTGCGGGTGGGGGAAAGACAATGTCTGGAGAGAAGAGCCGGCCTGACCTTCCCTCGTGGGCGGCCGCCGACAGGTCACGTTACGAGGACCTCATCAAGGACCTCACCACCTCTATCGACATACTCTATGACCTCTCACGAAACCGTAGAGTCCAAAGAAGCAACGAGCGTGGTATTAGTCCAGGAAAAGCTACACCGCATCACAGCACATCTACTCCTGTCTTCTTGTCGCCTGACTACAACGCCTCTGACCTGACGCTCGTCAATCCTGCTACCTTCCCTCTGAATGCACATACCCCCAGATCTCATCTTCCACCCAAGCTAGATCCTGCAGACCTAATCCTCCCCGACGAGGAGCCTCCGCCATACGAGAGTGTTGGAACTACTTCTGTTCGCGTCATCGGCCGCCTGCGGTCTCGCCACAGTTCCACCAACCCCTGGAAAACGGATGGCAACAGGGACATAGAGACTTGCGTCTTGATTGACTACGCGTGTTACGACCCCGCCTACCGTCTCACTGGAGTCTCTCCATCCACCCAGCGCCTTGAGAGCCTTCTGTCAATACTGACAAAGCTTTCCAACAACCAGTCCTTCCACGGGACCCTCAAGTGCCTTGGCTATTTCGAAGATCCAAAGCAGCCGCGCTTTGGCCTGGTCTTCGAGCTGCCCACCTCAGTCTACTCTGGGCCAGCCGATTCCCACAAGCCAGTCGACGAGCTCAAGCCAGTGACGCTGCTCAGTGTATTGCAGACGGGCTCCAAGTCTTTGCACAACCCCAACAGTGCCACCCCGCCACTTGAAGACCGCTTTCGTCTAGCTTTCACGCTCGCCTTGACCTTTAGCAAAATCCACGGCGACAACTTTCTCCACGAAGACGTCAATAGCAGCAACATCATGGTCTTCAAGAAGAGCAAAAGGCAGTCTGCAAATAGCAGAGCATTGCAATACTCGCTGCGATCGCCTGTCATATGTTCCTTCGATCTATTCTCTGACTTTGACATCGACACCGACAAGGCGAAACCAACACTGAACATCTACCGGCATCCGGAGGACCCCAAGTTCACTGGAAGTCAAGACCAAAAGTACAATGCCAACTTTGATCTCTATGGCTTGGGGCTGGTGCTACTCGAAATAGGATTGTGGCAGCCTCTACTAGACCTGTGGAAGCAAAAGTACACCCTGAGCGACTTCAAGCAACGGATAGAAGATGTGTACATCCGTAGACTCGCTTCCAAATGCGGAACAGCCTACATGCAGGTTGTGCGCGACTGCTTCTGGGCAGCTGATGTCAAGGGCGACAATGCGATTGATGTTCCGCAGGTTTACACTCGCATCCTAACCAGACTGCAACGCTGCTGCATGCTGGATGAGTCGGAACCCGGGTTTGACTTGAGCGAATTGAGACCGGGCGCTACACCTGTGCAGCAAGCATCTCCGTTGAAGCGCAAGAGCGCGAGCCAGCCACAAATCGTCACCGATGGCCAGTCAAGTCCATCCTATAGGAGCGCAAAGCGATGGGCACTGGAAAAGGGTACGCAAGCCTTGGAAAGGACCAAGTCTCTCTCGAAGAAGTCACCAGATCTTTCATTGGCTCGTAATCCATCACGGAGCTCGCAACACTCCATCCGGAAGAGCATCTCAGAAAGTCTACGCATGATGAGCCCTAAAGAAGAAGCATCGGAGATGGAGTGGGAACAGAAAGATCCTCTAGAAGAATCAGGCACTCTCGTCGCAACCCCACCGAATTCGCAAGACCCAAGCGATAACTCTTCGCTGTACAGAGAGCGCGTGGCGACTGCCGCTTCAACGATTCAGCGTGCATGGCGACAATCGCGCACCCCTTCCAATGGATGCACAACGCTACAAGACTACAAAGACAAGATTACCATCATCCAAAAGGCATGGCGCCAGACAAAGCAGAAACGCAGTAATAACACCGTCTCGGCACTCGTTAGTGACGGACTGCGACACTGGCCGCAAGCTACTCTTGGCTATCCAACACCTGAACCAGAGATCCAGAGTAGGACGGTAGATTCGAGTGAGAGCTACGTCACTTCGTCTATACAAATCGAGACCGATATCGAGCCAATCTCTCGGCCGAAGCTTCGTCTCTTCCCAGTCAAATTTACACCTGAGATTGTGGAAGAGTGGCACTCATCCATGTTGCCCCGCCTTGAGCGTTTGATAGAACGGGCGCTCAAGGATTCTGAAGAGACTGTCAGCATTGATCTCGTCGCCATCGGAGAAGTACTAGAGAAAGCCAAGCCTACTGTGTTTGTTACCTGTACTAGTGTGGCAAAGGTCAAAGTCATTCTCAGCCGTCGCTTCCGCTTTGATGAGAACGTGTATGACCTCAAGGTCCGGAGAGGAAAGATCAGGCGGTCGAAGATGAGCCGTTCCTCGCGCCGCACTAGGCCACCCCATCGATCGATGATGAACACCGACTCCTACGATGCGGACATGGCTGTGATGAACCCTTACCATCAGGATCGTCCTTTATGCGGGGCTTCTATTGGAGCCTTCAACGGTGAACACCTGCCTCCAGTGTCCTATGGTGGTGTCATTTTGGTCGACGATGAGCCGCTTGGCATGAGCGTCCATCACCTACTCGACGCGCCGTCCGAAGATGAGGATGACGTTGGCGAAGAGCCTGATAGTCCCTATCCGAGCGATGTGATGCTGTCCAGTGCAGCGAACAACCCTTGGTTGATGGGAATGGGTGCGCAACCGGATCTTCATCTAGAGTCGGATGAGCCCGCTGGAATGTGGGATCTCGAACTTTCGGACGACGAGGACATGAGAAGCGAAGACGATGACGCTGACCTTGACTCATTCGACTTCTCCGACAGTGAGCTTGAGTCTGATGATGACTCTGCGGGTATGTCGATCCGACACTTCACACAAGTTACAAACGCTAATTCCGTTTCAGACATGGCAGATTCTCATATTTCGCACGCAACCATGGGCGACATTGACGGCATCGCGCCAGGGGAAGGCGAGGAGATAAAGATTACACAACCAGCCATCGATGACGTAGGCGCAGACTTCTTCCCCTGCGAAGAAGACCGCGACGACGACCATCTCTCCTCGCACGAACTAGGCCATGTCCACGCCTCTTCTGGCATCCGCCGTTGGAAACGCGACGGCATCCTACACGAAATCGACTGGGCGCTTCTCAAACTCAGGAAAGATCGCCTCCAGCCCTATAACATCTGCCAAGGAGGCCGCCGCTTCTGCCTGGGCACCATGACACCAGAACAACGCGCCATAGCGTCCAAGCTGGAGAAGCCGGTCAACCGCCGCAACTACACACCCGAAGAGGACGAGTACCCCAACGGCGTAGCCCCCGCGTCCACCCTCGGTGGCATGTCGGTACACTGCTTCGGCCGCACAACCGGTCTCCAACCGGGCATGGTCAGCAGCGTCATGTCCGCCGTCCGCATCTACCACCGCAAATCCTTCTCCCGCTCGTGGCACGTTGCTGGCGGGTTTGGTATTGGCGGCGACAGCGGAGCCTGGGTCGTACAAAACGGTCACCACAAAGTCGTCGGCCACGTGCTTGCCTTTTGCCAAAAGAACAAGATCGCTTACATCTGTCCCATGGAAGTCCTTCTTGAGGATATCAAGCGCACCCTAGGCGCCAAGCGTATCTACCTCCCTGGTTCTGTAGAGCAGACGCTGTACAAAGCCAAGAAGGCGAGACACCATGATATTATCGAAGACCTGGGGTCGCGGGTGCAGGGTCTAGGTATAATAGACTCTGCGGTCGATGTTAGGGAGAGTCTCAGTTCGGGGCCGCCGGGTAATGGCGGTTTATGGGAGAGTCTGGAGAATGGTGGAAACAGCGATAAGGAGAACACAAGGTCGACTATGCGGAGCATTATGCGTGTCAACGAGGGGAGAGATGGGGGGTTGGAGATGAGTGTCAAGTAGGAGTAAGTGGATGGTGTTGATTAGGCGTTCGGGAGGACGGTATGGGAAGGGGGAGGTTATACCCTGTTGTTTTATTGATATTCGTTCGAATCGGGAAATCTATACTTCTATTCATGTCAAAGTTCACAACCGCAACGTCAATGATAGGAGGGCGTTAACTCCAAACCCTGCCTCCAATGTCCTTACACAAAGTCTCAACATCCTCTCCTTTCTTCACTCTCGCCCAGTACTCTTCTATCTCGGCCGGATAGCCTGTCTCGTTGAGTGGTCTCGTCCACTCACTCGTCTTGCTCCGCGCTACACCGCCCCAGTAAGCCATCCTCTCTGGACGCTTCCCGTCTCTGTTTGAGGCGAAGTGGATGAGCAGAGATGCAGGACGCGCTAATGGCGGTTTACCGGGCTTGTCTGGATTGGGTGGGAAGCCATTGAACCACCGTTGAGGCACGTAAGCAACGGCCGAGGAGAAGTATGGCTGTGAGTCGCAAGATGATTAGTTAATGTACCGAGTAGAGTGGAGATACTTTGTCACCTACACGTCTGATAGTTTCTTCCATAGCACTCTGCTCACTATACTTCAACTGTATATCAGGATCATACTCCTTCAGGCTCAATGCTGCCGAGAAGAGACGTATCGCCCACTCGTTTACTCTGATGAAAAAGACGCCGTTGTTAAGACCATGCCGATCATTCGTCACCACTAGATTAACCTTTTGATCCGGTGGCAAGAAGACTTGCAACGGAATATTCGGATTCATCAAGATGGTGTCGCGATCATGCCAGAAAAGCCAATCCAGCCGTTCCGCAGCCGGTTTAGCAAGTTCAGCTCCAAGAATCGCGAGCAGGAAGGCATGTTTGGACCAAAGACCAGGCAGCATGCGTTCGCGCAGTATGAACTCAGGGTACCCGTAGAGGTCATTGTGGACCTGGTGAGAAGCGATGGCGGCTTCATAGACGGGATCTTCCGGCCCGAATGAGGCTGTTACTTTGCCGATGCGTGGGGAAGACTGTGATGACAGCGCAGATGCAGACGATGCGGAAACGGAACCAAGATGCGGAACATGTGTAGGTAGGAATTTGCTTGAGACGGATGTTCTTGTCGAGAAAAGGAAGATGGCACCAAAGCCCAGAATAAGCAAAGTGGCGTATTTCCAGAATCGAGAAGAGGCTCTTGGAAGGGAATAACGGGAACACGGGGCTTGGTTGTCGTCAGACCATACGCTGGATATGGAACTGCGCCGGCTTTCGCTCATGGTGTGTGGCCGTTAGTGAGCAGCGCAGGACCGTGGCAACTGTGACTAAGAAGGGAGGAGAGCGTCATGTGGAATTGGCTGAAGGCATCGATGTGGAGCTGAGTAAGGTACTGAGTAGGGTTCGAAGTACGTGTTATGAGAGATTTTGGAACTCGAAATTGAAATAGAACCTTTGACGTTGTTTAGCGATTTCGAGAGATGTCAATGGTCAAGGAGCTTTGCTACTGCCAGGGCAGTCGGTCTGAGATGCCAATCGCGCCGACCGGAGGCCTAACCGACTGCGCCTTCTCAGCTAATGCAGCTAAGTGCTTATGCTGGCGTGGCTGCAAGGTGAAACGCGTACGTATGTCAACGCCATTAACTATTGAGTATGCGGAGGCTTGGAGGCTAGGAGCCCGCATCACAGTGAAGCACACGCGATTTTGGTAGTTGTTGGTCTGTAGCAGCCATCTAGCTTTCGCATGAGAGCGCCTGACAAGGAAGAACAGCTGCTGAGCGGGAACTCGGGAATCCGGCATGGCATTGTTGGAGGCAGCGGCAAGCTCAGTAAATGCGGGAGCACCATTTGATGGAGGTGCTGATACTGATTGCGTCAAGGCAACGTTCGGCTGTCACTGCCTGCTGCAGCGGCGCTGCCAAGCCGCTAACGGTGTCTGATCTCCAAACACTGCAAGACACCGTGTGAAACTCCAGCCTCATGGCACCTCGACATCGCCAAGCCCATCAGAGTGAACCGTGGCGATAACATTCAGCTGTGTGTCGCGTCATTTCCGTGTCAAAATTGCTTCCGCAGCCGATAACGAGGAGATACAACCGATAGAGCACACAACAGGCTGTCCGTCTTCGTCTGTCTATCCTCTTCGTGTTGATTTTGAGTCGTCGCATCGGCTTGCCCCCTCAACCTCGGGAAACATGTTCTAGAAGGTCGAAACAGGTGACATCAGGTGGCATTGAGCCTTTTACTGCGCTTCGAAAAAGTCGACGATATCTCAGGCTCCCGAATATGCTGGTCGTATCGTCGAAAGATAATGTACGGGACGTGGCTTTGGATGTCTAGAAGAGTGTATGGGCTTCGACTGCTCCCTCCATAGGGCTACAGCTAATGGAGCCTAGGATGACTTTTTTGCTGATGGTCTAATGATACCGCGACATTTTGATCACTAAAAGTCAACACAGATATCGTTTGTACCGGCCAAGATGGTTCGAATATGACCAAGGAACTGCACTGCGATACGATCGAGATTGACTATCCCCAGATGCTTGGCTCCTCTGAGGTCGTCAGATATAGTAGCTGGTACTCTCTAACTGTCGATTGCAGCTGGCTTGCAAGTCTCGCGCAGCTTGCTAGACAGTCAAAATATAAAGCAATCCCAACATACGCCGCTGATACTAGACATGATGGATACGAAGAGAGCTTGGGGAGCGTACTTGACTGACAGAGTAGTCCGTTGAGGCTGGTTGGAAGCTGCGAGAGAATTGATAGGGTAAATGAAAGACTTTGTTGCTGACCAAAAGTACCACCGAGAGTATATGCGACGTCCTTTGTCCAGGCTTCCTTCGTCGAACGTATCTCAGTCGCTACCTCAATCCTACTGGCACAACCTCGTCGACCTGTTAGGCTTGCATCCGCATGTCTATGAAGCCTTCATAGTACAGTGGATCAAGTACGTGCTTCTGGGGGCCCACTTTGCGACGGCTTCAAAGCTTCGCGTGGCTGGTCTGATATCTCCGTGTACGGATGGTTGGGCGCTACTGGGACCAAAGAGGAAGCGCTAGTGCGAGAGCAGATGTGGCGCAGCCCCTGAAGTGGTCTGTTCTTTGGCGAACACCACGAACATCTGGGTCATGAACAGTCGGGCAGGGTGCGAGATCAGAGCACAGCATATCTATGCATTCCATGAAACATCTCTGGTATGCTGGAGACGAAAGCGTAAAACGCACTCTCGACAGGCATGTATGTGTTCAATCGCTGCAAGATTTGCTTCACTGTTTACATTACAATACACTCTACTTTTGCAAGCAGACTCTAATGCTTGACTGCTTACACGAGGCTCGCTCTCACGATCAATAATCACCCGAACTGGACGTGCATTCAGAGGACGGGATCTTCTCGAAAACCACACTATTGGACACGCAATGGCCACAAGGTCTAGAATGAAGGTTTAAAATAGACAGAGGGATCTTATTGGATACTGGAAGCACATTTGCCATCTATACCTTGAACGCGCTACAGACAAGCTTACCTTTGACCGCGTATACCGGGGTATCAAGCTTTCTGCCAAGTCGGGAAAGGCCCACTCAAACGGTACCCTTACTCCTCCTCCTGGTCCGCCGTTGAGGGGTTCAGCATGCATAAAAGTACATTTGAAAACTCGGTGAGCGGACTTCTAGTAAGACAAAGTCTCATGAGTGTCATCGGACAAGGAACTCCTGGAAGACTGCGTGTAAGATCTCGATAATGCCCTTCCTTTCAGACTTCGTGCAGCTCACGATGGATCGGCCTAAGATGGCACCGTATAACTCCGGAGCTTGTACTTCGTATTCGTATGTACATTTGGGTCGACGAGCTCTACCGAACGGTATGCTCATGCATTGCGCACGTGTCGCATTCTAGAGCTCAACACCCTCGGATTCAGGGTACCAAGTAAGCAAGCGAGCGGCAGACTCTATCGTCTCAGTATCTCAGGGGCGTATGTCTCCCTGACCAAAATGTCCGCTTGGTGAGTATATATGGACGACAGTGTCTCCCATCTCAGGTCTTCACCCACATCTTCTCTCTAATCATCAACACCTCTTTCCTACACTCTTTTTTCTTACATTATCTCACCCCAGTCATTCGTTATACACGATCTTATTACATCTAATATCTAATTTTAACAACACCCATCATCACCATGAAGTACGCACTCATCTTCGTTGCCACTGCCGCTGCCCACGAGGCCTACGGTGGATACGGTGCGCAAGCAGAGTCCAGCTCCGTCGTCAAGCCGAGCACCTCCGCAAAGCCCATCGGATACACGACTATCGTGCCAGGCTATGGCAAGCAGCCGGTCACTGTGACCACTCAGCATCAGCCGTACCCTACCTGCGTGTCTCCCGCCTACGGTGGTCAGGACTGCGCCAAGTGGGATGAGGATGCCTACGTATCGACTGTGATCAAGGACTACGACAACAACTACGCTACGATCACCAAGACCGCGCAGCCCGTTGTTGTCTACCACACCAAGAAGACCATCACCCACTCCGCTACTGCAACAAGCGGCTACGCAGCGCCCACTGGCCTTGCCTCCAGGAACGGCACTGAAGGCTGCTGGTACGAGCTCTACGAGAAGATTGAGTCGGTCCCATACAACCAACTCGGTCCTCACGCACTTCCTGGATACCCTGGTTCTGGCCTTTACAAGGAGGGCGAGCAGAAGCAACCAGTCAACGTCAAGGAGTACAAGGGCGGAAAGTGGTCTGAGTACGTCCACGAGTACTCTTACGGCACTCCTAAGCCTGAGGTCACCACTTACGAGAAGCCCGGTGTCTACACTGTCCCAAGCAAGGACGTCACAGTTGACCACCCTGTCACTTACCCAGCCGAGGCCACCAAGACTGCGAAGGCCGGCGAGACCTGCACGTACGGAGGCCAGTACATCGAGGCCAAGCAGACCGGTTACATCACTGGCGCTTACGGTGCCTACGAGACGAAGGTCAACGGTGGCAAGACTGTCACCGAGACAGTGATCAAGCACACCACAATCTATGCTTCCACCACCGGCAACTACGAGGTCGCGAAGCCCACCACCACTGTCTATGACCACGATACCGAGGTCGCATACCCCACTGCTAAACACTACGAGGCGGGTGTCTACCACCATGAAGCTCAGACTGTCACCATCACCAAGCCTGGACAAGCCTACACTTGCGAGTACGAGCAGACCAAGAAGCACGAGGCCACCTCAGCACCTGCGAAGAGCAGCGGTCATGCGGCCTACCCTACCTCCGCCTCCGCTCCCGCTCACGACAACTCTTACGGCCACAACAAGCCATCTGCTACTCCCAAGCAGCCTACTGAGGGTGAGAACAAGTACCCCTCCTACCCCGCCGGTCCTATGAACGGACACTCATCCTCAGTCCACGAAGCCTACCCAGCTTCCACCCCTTCTTACCCCAAGAAGCCTACTGAGGGCGAGAACAACTACCCCTCTTACCCTGCCGGTCCGGTCAACGGTCACTCATCGTCTTCGGTCCAGGAGTCTTACCCAGCTTCCACCCCCGCCAATGTCTACTCCAAGCCATCCTACAACGGTGGAAACGCCTATGGCAACAACGGAAAGTCTACCATGGCTACCGTCTCCACCAAGGAGTACCCGCACCCGGAGTCCACCCCTGCCTACGGCACTGTTTCGTCTGCCGTTGCCAGCTCTACCCCTTGCGAGAGCAGCACTGCTTCAGTTACCCCTGCTTCATCTTCCGTCTACAGCGCTTCCAGCCCCGCTGCCGTTAGCTCTGCTCCGGCCTATGGTACTGATTCGTCTGTAGTTGCTAGCTCTACCCCTTGCGAGAGCAGCACTGCCTCAGTCACACCTGCCAAGTCTTCCAGCTACAGCGCTTCTTCTCCCGCTGCTGTGTACTCCAAGCCCTCATACAACGGCAACACCGGCTACGGTGAGAACGTCAAGTCGACTCTCTCCACTATCTCTACCAAGCCTTACCCTGCGTCCACCCCCGTAGAACACTACCCTGCGAGCGCCAGCTCTACTCCTTGCGAGAGCAGCACCGCATCCGTCACACCCGCCAGCTCGTCCGTCTACAGTGCCCCGGTCTACAGCCAGGCTACCCCGAGCCCAGCTAAGTCTTCGTCCACCAGCACCGAGGTCTACGGCCAGGCTTCCTCGACCCCTTGCTCTTCTTCTGTGCAGTCGACCCCGACTCCCGTCCAGCCCACTTCCACTCCTGTCTACGAGAACGCATACCCCGCTGGCGCCACCTCTACCCCTTGCGAGAGCGACAAGCCTTCCGCTACTCCTGCTGTTCCTGCCGCATACACCCCCGCCCCTGCTGAGGGCTACGGCAAGACCCAGACTGGCTACTCCAGGCGTAGTGGAATGAGCCAGCGCCGCGCTGCGCAGTAAAAAAGTCCTGTTCTTCTGTAAATAATTTCGTTGTGTTAAAGATGTATTGAGAAGTACTTAGAGGAGGATGATCGAGTCAGTAGATGTGTATGTAGGATTCAATGAGAAGTCTTGCATCGAATTGCCTGGTGTCTGTGTGTATGATATGCGCTGAATCATTTGTGATTGAGCTGAGAAAATGGAGACTCGTTGGTTGTTGACGTCCACTTGTCGGTCCTACCCTACGAAGATACCACATAGGATTTCAGAACGGCTACTAATCCGAACAATCCGTAGAGGACAAGGCAAGACTTAGCGAGCGGGAATTGGTGTTGCATGAAGTGGGGCGGTCTAGCAAATGGAAAAAGCTGTGTCGAAGCGAGAGCGGGGTTCAATTGCGGCTTCCAGCGATGTCATGATGGATATTTCGACAGCAGGCCTTCACCCGTGAGTCTTGTCAATCTTACTAAGTACATAAGTTATAATTTTTGGCGAGTTTCCATCAAGCATTCTTGGTCCAACGGTAGGATAATTGCCTTCCAAGCAATTGGCCCGGGTTCGAGTACGTTCTATTCCAAATCCAACATCAACAACATCTCACTAACATGCAACAGCTCCCGGAGGATGCACAGCTCCTTCTCACGATTGCAACGTTGACTACTTTTTTGCACTTCGGAAGCCAAGTTCCGCTTTTGCAATCGACATGCCTGCAGTGAACTAACTTTTTTTTTTTGGATCTGAAACTCTCTTGAGATATTCTAAAAGTGCTCTACAATGTACATTGAACCCGCTATCACTAAGTGTGTGCTGCAGGCCTAGAGCTGGCTAAACTCTTGGGCGCGACACCACAATGCGGGCTGCTGTCTTTGTTATCAAGCACCATCTCGCTTCTAACTTATGGCTGATTAGGTAGCAACACAGGTCATCAAAGTGGACAGGCCTAGAGCAATTGCTTGGTACTCGAGAGCTTGTTTTTGACATGAGACATGCATATCACTTCAGCTCGCATACTGGACTGATAACATGTACGTTGCTGTCCTGGAGGACACACGGATTCTTGCGGGACTTTGCAGCTCCGTGTCAGTCCAACGCAACATTGCGTAACAGCTATTGATGATCTCGCTCTACTCCGACGTTACCAGCGTGCTAGATAGAGAAGTACTGACTGGCACATTGATTGCACAGACAAGCTCCAAAGAGCGCGACCTAACCACTCTGGCGGGGACAAGCCGTCGCACCCCTCAAAACCGGTGACCCCAAAATCATGGTTCAGAGGCCTATCATCTGCATTGATTGGCTTGCGGCTAGCCCTATATCGCCATTGGAGCCTATGCTGGTCTGGCTCTTCGGCTGGATGCGTTGGCTTTGCAGTGCACTGCGGGGCTTCAGACGCTCGCTCCGAAGTGGGGAGTCGGTGAGCTCACCTGAGGAACATGGCGAACTGGGGGCCCCGCCTGAAGTTTAAGGCGCCTGATTGGACGCCATGTTGCGATATTGTAACAAGTCACCGACATCTTGATTGAGTTGCGATATGCGCCAAGTATGTGCTGAGGACACACATGGAAGGAAATGACGAGGATGTTTTGCGGCGTAGGTATTATATAGTGTGCTGACAGCCTGACCTTTGAGCCTCACACCTGGCCTCTGCAGTCATCCTTCGTCATCTTCGCCTGCAATACGCTGCCACTTTCACACGCAGAGACGAATACGACTCTGCACATATCGCAATCTCTTGATCTTTTAGTGAGATCATCAACATGACATCCCACAACCAACCCATGCCGCCACCGATTCGAACAAACACTGTCGATTCACAAAAGTCACAGTCGTCGTCGGGTCAAATATCTCCACCCTATTCTCCAGCATCACCAACGGCCCGCGCAACTGCTTCGCCTACCGAAACGTCTTTCTTCGGCGCCATTTCAGCACGTATCCGTGGTCGCTCACGTAGTCGCTCTCGTGGAGCCACATCTCGCAAACGCTCCAAGTCGCCCATGGTCATGCCACCCGAGCAAGCACCTTACTCACAAAGACATGCTTCCGCTACAAGCCCCATCAGCCCGACAAGACCAACCGCAGGACCGGTACAAAGTGACAGACCTAGCATACAGGCTGCAGGTCGGCGAAGCACAAGCGGAAGCGATCCATGGAAGGGACGGCATTCGAACGACTGGCTGTTCAACGGGTACTCGCTGACTGCTTCGGCAAAAGAGCTGGTTCAACGACGGAAGTAAGCAGTATGGGTGGCTGGTAGTACTGCTGGCGGTACCACGCTCGCTAGCGAGTGTCTGGCAGCGTTTGACGAACGCTACGAAGAACGATGATGATATGGCTGAACGAATTCATTTCGAGGTTATTGGGTTTACTGGGGAGGCGAGCAGGGCAACTGAGTAGTTCGCGGCGTTGTTGTCGCTATATCCAATCGCATTCTTACTGTCATTACCTTGGTTGTACATTAGCTTTAAGCATGCGATTTGGCATTACCGTATCGAATGCCATGTGTCGCATGTCGTGATGCCACATTTGTCCGATGCGCTCGCATACTGGAGTGGCGCGGCTCCACGTTGAACCATACCAAAGAACACAGTCGTTCCATGCTAGCAAAGATGGTATGAAATGTCTTAGTACAAGGTCAGAGAGTTCGGAGTGGATTTGCGCAGCTTCTTTACATAATCAGCCCTACTGACTCGCGGCGTCTGCTCCGGTCCCGCACCTGCCATGCCATGTAGCAGGTACCAAACGATCTCACCGCTCCAGCGAGTACCTTCATGTCTACCTGTGCTCTGTGCTTTTACGATGCTCCCGACAAACACGCGAATATGATATCGACATTCGATACGCGTTGTTCGGATTGCCCTGGTCGCCATGTCCTATCATCGGAGTAACGACATGATGCCCCAGGTAGCCTAATCTGCTGCGTCGAATCCCGAAGTATGACCCACCACCCCTCAATCACGCCGCCCTGAGGTTCATCATCGTTCGGTACAGATATACGCATTCCGAACCCGGGGGAGTAACGTTCGTCACACCGCATCGGCTTGTCCTTCAGTGTTGGCACCGAACAGTTCACGTATTTAATAATCAATCGCGATCCGTTCCGAATCTCCACGCCTCTCCCTCCGCTGCACTTGGTCTATCATAGAACCCATCATGAAGCACGAACGCGCCACGCTTCCGACACCTACTTCGTCAGACTCTTTCTGGCACAGCGAGCCGAATGAGTTTCTACTGGGTCATTGTACGACAGAGGAGTTGCCCGCCGAGGCTGACATCGTTATCGTGGGATCTGGTATAACTGGCGCAAGTGCTGCGAGGTATCTTTCGGAAGACGAAAGGGCTGCTGGCAAGAGCATAGTCCTGCTCGAGGCCCGAGAGGCATGCTGGGGCGCTACAGGAAGGGTAAGACAACCGCGTCTATTCTTCATACTCAAAGCGAACAAAACATCTGGCGCACACTTGCTGACGATCGCGCAAACAGAACGGTGGTCACTGCCAACCTCTCCTTTTCGACCGAAGCAGCGACGTCGCTGAATTCGAACTCAAGAACGTTGCCGCAGTCAAATCCTACATCCAAGATAATGGCGTCCCTTGCGAGTGGCGCGACGTAACAGGCTGCCGCACATTCTGGACCGAAGGTGCGATGAAGGAGGCTGAGAAGGAAATCGAGCATCTTAGGGAGATCGCACCCGAGATCGCACGTCACGTCACCATTATCAAGGACAAAGAGGAGTTGAAGAAGCATCGCGTCTCGCCTGACTGTGTCGGGGCGACGTTGAGTGAAGGAGCTGCGAGTTTATGGCCATACAAGCTGGTCACATTTGTTCTTAAGAAGCTCATCAAGACTGGCCGGCTCAATCTACAGACCAAGACTCCCGTCACCGAGATCACCTCGTCAGATGGCACGCACACCCTCCACACACCCCGCGGCACCATCAGCAGCAAGACCGTCATCCTCGCAACGAACGGGTACACATCAGCTATCTTACCTCACTTCGCCGATCTCATCGTGCCCTGTCGCGGGGAGATGTCAGCCCTTTTCCCACCTGAAGGATCGACCCTTCTACCGGACTCGTACGGTATGGTTGGGGCTCTCGGTCAGCCAGAAAATAACGACGACTACCTCATTCAGCGCCCGTTCGATGGTGTCCCAAACCCCGGTGGTCACTTGATGTTTGGTGGCGGCCGCGGAGCGGGAAACTTCCCAAGCATAGGCATCTCGGATGACAGCGTAATTGACGAAGGCTCCGCTGCGTATCTCCGCGGTGCGCTATTGAAGGTCTTGAACTTGGGGGGGCAAACTGAGGGCTTACATGAGCTTAAGGCTGCGGCACAGTGGACTGGCATCATGGGATATTCTCGTGACAACCACCCATGGGTGGGCAAGGTGCCCGATAGAGACGGCTTGTGGCTGGCCGGCGGATACACAGGACACGGTATGCCAAACGGTACATTATGCGGCAAGGCAATTGTCGATATGGTACTGGGCGAAAGTGACGGCAAGGATCTGATCGCCGTGCACGAGGAGATGGTTCAGAAGGGAGACATACCCAAAAGCTACATTCTGACAAAGGAAAGAATTGACCGGGCAAGACTGATGCTTACGGTACAGCAACAAGATGCGCAGGGCGTACACATGAACGGTGTTGTGTAGATGTCAATGACAATACCACTGGCTCTCTTCGCATTGATTTACTCGCATGGCAATATCTGAATCTGCTCATCCCATGATCCTGTGATGTATGTATTGAATAATGCTACCGGCCGTGGAATTATCATCACTGTGTCTTGTGGCTTTGTTTTGGTCTTCTTGATTCAATCGGCGCGCGGATGTTAGCGTCTAAGGCGTTACTCCGCTTCCAAGGTTCCCCCACTGGAGTACCAAGCCCGACCGATTACCAATACCCTACTTCACATGATCACGCTGCCACAAAGATCGATGTATCCAGGCCTCTACCAAATTATCTTGTAAACAGTGCATAACCTATATTAAATCACTATTACCTGACTGACGTCTCAACTCCGTTGATGATTGCACCGTCCAAGACATTCCCCTCCTCTACACCTCAACATGCCAGCAAACTCCCTCCCCTCAAAGATCGGAGTAGTAATATTCCCAGGCTTCCAACTCCTCGACTATGCCGGTCCCCTAGACGCCCTCAACATCCTCTCCGCCGACCATCCTCTCACGCTCTGCACCATAGCCGCAACACTAGACCCAGTGCCAACCCAGAACTTTATGCAAGACAAGCAAGGCTCCCAATTCTCACAGTCTATAGTCCCGACTCACACATTCGCCGACGCACCGGATGATCTGGAGGTGCTGCTCCTCCCAGGTGGTCTCGGCGCGAGGGGACCAGAGAGCGACAAGTGGATGAAGCCACAAGTCGAGTATTTGAAGAAATTGGATTTGAGCGGCAAGGGAAGCATCAAATGGGTTCTAACTGTCTGTACGGGTAGTGAGATTCTAGCCAGGGCTGGTATGTTAGACGGCAGGAAGGCTACGACGAATAAGCGCGCTTTCAACGATGTATGTGAACATGCCTCTCATCTCCCCACTCCAGACTCCGGACTCGTTACTTACTATATATTCCAAGGTCAAAGCCAAGCACCCAAATGTCGAGTGGGTTGCAAAGGCACGTTGGGTTGTTGACGGAAATATCTGGACGAGCTCTGGTATTTCAGCTGGTATAGACTTGACGTTTGCGTGGATTGCGGAGGTGTTTGGCGAGGAGACGGCGCACTATGTGGCGGATCGGAGTGAGTATGAGAGGAATATTGATGCGGGGAATGATCGGTATGCTGAGAGGTGGGAAGCTGTGTGATCAGGTATAACGGGATGCGTATAGATGGGGACGATGTTAGTCTATGAAAACAATAAGCATCACCTTACAAAGTATCTCTGGGTAGTGAAGTCATTCATGTCATGTGAAATTAGAAATCTTGTCTATGATGAATATCGCTATGCTGGAAAGGCTATCAAGGTCGTAACGCTAAGATGATGCGGAGTGACCGCTACAACAGACGCAAATATCTATTATCTAATATTGGTGACAGAAAAGAAAAAGCTACTTGCGGCTGCGGAAAGCAGCGAAAGGAGGGAAGAAGTAGGCAGGGTGGAAGCACGTCAGTACCGTGCAAGCAATAGCCAACATCCTAGATATCGTATTAGCATTTTGTCTTTGCTGGAAGGATTCAGATAAGTGAGACTTACATTCCATCGAGGAGCAAGAACTCCTTCTCGTTCCTCATGAGCGAGTTTCCCCATCCACCAGCCATCTCGGGCAAACGGTAGATACACCTGATAAGTACAGTCGTGTACGCGAGGACAATCATCCAACCAAACAGCTTGATCTTAGCCAAGCGCACAGTTCCAGTCTCTTTGTCCATCTCATACGAGCTCTTCTCGCCCATAGCCTGCTGCTTCCTCGCTTTGCGGTACCGGAACACGTAGACGACGACGAGAGCGCCACACACTGCCATGGTGACGACCTGGAACGCGATACCGGCAACAATAAGGTTGTTGCCCGCGTCGATGAGCGCCTTATTCGTCGTGCCACCCGCAGCCGCCATACCACCGCCACAAGCCTGGAGGACGATGGAACCGAAGTCGCAACCGATGAAGATCCAAGGGTAAAGACGCGGCTTGAGCAGCGAATGCTGGGGTCCACAGTACAAGACAAAGTGCTTAAGCGTGAGATAAATCGCGGCAGCAACGAAACTCGGGCCCAGAACCAAGCAGCAAATCTGCAACTTGAACCCAGACTCGCTCCATGGATTGTCATTCATGATAACACGGCCCGCATATCCCGCTGCTTCGAGGAAAGTTCCGACAGCCAGTGCGGCAGTGTAGGTCCATGTGCGACTCAGAACGCCCACGACGAGTGTGCCGATGCAGAGGATGCCGAAGAGGGCGCAGAGAAAGGCGTTGGCGCCTAGATTAGGGCGGTACCCGTAGAGTGTTGCGAAGACGGGGCATTCGGGGCTGACTTCGAGACATTGGCGGAAGTTTCCTTTGGGCCGGTCTTCTTGTGCGGATACGACGACGAGGAGTTGCGTTGCTAGGGCCAGGGCGGCGATGAGGCCGGTTCGTGCGTGGGAGCGCATGGGGGGCGAATTATGTGGAAACGGAGAATCAGACAACGATAGACAGACGACGAAGAAGATGTGGGATCACCAGAACGTCTACTCTACAACAGAAGAGCAAAGATCCAACACGAACAAAAACGCGGGCGAACAACGTGGGTAGGTGGACTAATTAATCCCAGCCCAGCAACGCCCTTTATCATGCACGTAGTATACCCACACTACCGTATACACCGTGTTTGTGCTGCCAGACTGCGCCTCCAATCTCTTTTGCCTCGCCAGAACGGAGAAGGGCTCTAAGCGACGTAGGTCTTGCCGTGCTTGACCGCACGCCATTGGTTCAATGCCGCGGCTCCACCCAAAGTCATTGACGCTGACGCCTTGGCCTCGTCCGATGCATCTAAGCGAGGGTGTGTCGCGACCCGGCGTATGGGTCGTGTTGCGAGGTCTTGTACCCGCGGACGCCGTTTCACCGTTTTCAACGGCACGTGGTGAGATAAGGATGGGGGTTCTGCCTTCCGTTTGCGGTGGCGGGGTGCGAGGGCACTTTTGCTGTGATGGCTTGTTATCACGTCGAAGGAGTGTTCTTGAATGATGGGGGGCTAGTGGCTTTGGGGTGTGGCGTCGTTCGGCTTTGGTTGTCGGGCTGCCGTCTTCCCGGTCGTTTATCTTGTGTTTTTCGTTTCGGCTGGCGAGGCTTCCGTCTCTAGTGGTTTAGAAGGGAGTTCTCGATGCTGTTTGGTTCTTGGTGCGAGGCTTTTCGCACGCGCACGCGCATGTCGGGCGAATGCTTACAGTGTGTAGGTGGTCTCCATGATGAGTGGTCGAGTGAAAGATGACATGTAGTTGCTTACTGGTAGATTGCGCTAACCGACTTGGCTTTCATGACCGTTGCTTCCACATGGGCACTCAACGGTCGCTTTCTTCCTTACCAATCACTATTCTGAATCGGACTCGCGGGATTTATGGCCTCCGCTAGTATTCACTTCGACATATGTGGGGCATGCTACTGATCGTATTCGTGATTCATATCAATATCACAACTTCGAACTCCGCCGAATGCAAACCCTCCCGCCAATGAAACGCCTAATCGCTCCAAATTGCCAGAATCGTTAAGAGTTTCAACCAGCGACATCCTCAACCCTAACCCACCGCTCCTCCAAAGCAAGCACCACCAGCTCCTTCACGCTACCCAGTCCTTCCTCTCTGCCCAGCGCAACAGGACACAGGAGTTCGCTAACGTTCTGTAAAACCTTGTAAAGCCTCATAGCCTTCTTCTCCACTTTCTTCTTATCCACCTCGCCGTGTTTGGAAAGGACAGGACGAGAAGAAACGTGATGTGGTGCGGCAGAGAGAGCAGCGAGGTGGTTGAGCAATTTATGCAGGAGGAAATGCATCCACGTGAGGTTTGTCTTGGGGTGGAAACCGCGCCAGACGTCTTCTTCAGACTCCTCTTTCGTTGGTATCGGTGCGACGTCAGGTACCGTTTCCTCGCCATGCTTGTGGGGAGACCGTTGAGGCATCTGTGGTTCGTCGTCGCCTGAGTCGAAGCGAATGTGTGTGTTTTTTCTAGGTGAGCGGCGGGGTGTGACTGGGGCTTGCTCTGGCTCTTTCTCTTCCACATGTTCCTCTTGCGGTATATCCAGCGGCTCGTATTGCAACGGATTGTCGAAGAGTGCTACGCCACGCATATAGCGGTAGATCTCATACTGGTATTCTTCACTTGCATCGCCTTCGAAAAGCGCCATATCTTTGTTAAGATCTAGGTAAGCGACGTCAACCACCTCTTCACTCGTGGATGCGGCCGTAGAGCTCGAAACGTGCGACATAACAGACGTCCTACGTGACCGGGACAGGGAGGCAAGAATATCTGCGCGCGACAAGGTGTAATCAATGACCGTTGTGTCGAGGCCAGTGAAGCGAAGTTTGCGCCGCAAAGGGTCTTTGATAGAAGGCTGCAGCACATCCCCACCTGAGCGTGAAGACCGAACGCAGATATTGCCAAGATGCAAGTCGCGATGCTCGAATCGGCAAGCCTCTTCTGCCTTTCCTACGCTGATTGCTACCCCCCAGAAGACGTCCCAGGCTTCCCATATCGACGACATGCCACCTGTTTCCATGATCTTCTCAACATCCGTACCAGCGTCTTGCATCTCTACTACAGCCCAGAGCTGGTACTCGTCGTAACTAGTCTTCTTGCTGGGATCGGGGAATTCACTCTTCTTTCCGCGAGGCCGCGTCTTATTCCATTCCTTCCACGCATCGTTGAAAGAAGCCGAAGGTCTACCTTGCACAATCGTGAGGTCACGGAAGACGGTGAATCCAGGTATGTGGGTGAGATTCTGGAGGAGCTTAACCTCGGAAGCAACATCATCGACCTGGGACTTGTACGCGTCATCCTGTTCACGCTGCTCCATCTCTTTTTCTAACTGCGCTTCGCGATCACGAACCGCACGGGTGTGTAGCTGGCTTGGTAGGGGAGCAGCTGGTGGTGTCTTGAGCGCTACGACTTTGAGCACCGACTCCTCTTTAATACCGTTCGCAGGTGATATCGCTGATAATCGATACACTTCTGAGAATGAGGCCTCGGCGATCTTGGTAACTTGGAAGTGCGGCTCCAGCTCGTCTGACCACTCCTGGAACCCTATAACCTTCTTTCTATCGCTGAGTGCCAGTAGTGGCGAAGCATAGGCGGTGTATATGTCTTCAGGTTCAGGTGTCGGCTCGGGCGTAGGAAGGCATGCTGCTGGTTGCGTCGAGGCTGGTTTTGAATAGGCTGAATTTATGGGCACTGGAGACTTTGCAGGTGTAGCGACTACATCTTCGGCAACAATAGTAGGAATCACGCGTTTCTTCTCTTTCTTTGGTTTCGGGACCGATCGGGCCAGTTCGTCAACGTTGTGTAAGGCGTTGATGTTGCGGTCGCTCAGCACCTTTCGCGGTCGACGTGGCTCCTTGAGCATATCGAATTCATCCTCCTTGGGGCCCTTCATGGACAGAGTCTGCATGCTCTGATCCAGTACATCTTCGAATGGGACGACATTCTCCTTTGTGGTATCCTCGTTGCGCCCAGGCTTCGTTTTGCGTGACCGCGATCGTTTTCTTAATATACCCTCATCTTCCACAGGTGATTTTTTCTCTATTCGGAGTTTGCTCAATCCCTGCTCCAACACTGACACATCGTCTCTTTCTAGTTCTGTTTGTTGCCGCGGGTCACGTGTCGGGCCGCTAGCCGCATTTTCCTCCTCATTTTCTCTGTGCGCAACTCCTTTCTCTGGTGATAAGAACTTCGTGAATGCAGTCCGTCCTCCATTCCTCTTCTTTCCATATACGACTTTTGCGGGCATCTTCGAAGGCCTGAGCGAGTGGTGTAGTCGGTTGTCGATTCGTTGAGGAGGTGCCAGGGTTTGGAGGGGTCTCCACGACGGAAAGTCTAAGCGAGCCGTTTCCATAGCAACGGCAGAGCACCCGGGCGAGACTCCTTTGAAGCACAAGTTGTTAGGAGCTATCATGCGCTTGAAAGATGACGTAGTTTACTAAAATCAAACATTTTGCACATGATCAGGACGAGTGATAATAGCACGGGAGTTGAACAGAGAAGCCCGCAAACGGTTCCGCAGAATTAAAATTAAAATCAACAGGTGCTCTGTGATGATACAGAGGCCTTTTAGCACCTCCCAATGCGATATCAAATGAACGCTCTTCCAATTGAGCGTCTAAATCGTGTACATGTAAAGTGAGAGTCCAATCTCCCTTCTAAACCCAGAAGCAGATTGCACAAAGAAGTTGCCCAAGTGACCGGCAGACGGGCAGAGACTGGGTAATGGGATTGAACGCTGGAGACAATAAGGTGAGGGCACTAGGCAATCAGACAAAAAAGAAAAAGAAATAGAGTCCTTGAAAAGCGTTGGAAGGGCCTGAGAAACGTGATGTTGGGACAATTTACAGCCAAGTGAATTCTGGTGATTGATAGGTGGGTGGTTTTGGAGATCAAGGAACGACGGAGCTCAGTTGTCGCCACTGTCAACCTCAGCTGGCGGTGTCTCAGCTTCCTCTTGCAGTATGGGTTGTGGTATGACACCGAGACTCTTGCGTTTACTCTTTCTCTCTGAGTCTCCGTCTTTCTTCATGCCATTTGCCTCGGAGGACGCGGAAGTAGGACTCAGGGTGCTGCTCGATTTCTTGTTCGGGGCCATGCTCGAGTAGCCTACGGTGAGTTTGGATGTGCTGTCGTTGTTCTCGGACTTGTCAGCAAAGTCTTTCCACTTGCGCCAACCGTCGAAGTCGATGAGTGCTTGCATGCAGCCCCACTCCTTGACCTTGCGTTCAAGCCAGACAAAGTTGACAGGCTATTCTATATGTTAGTAAGAATGATACTGAAATAGAACATGATTCCTTACCTTGGTCAAAAAGTCGTTGCAACCAGCCGCCAGAGCCTCATGTCTGTCACTCTGTAGCGAACTGGCTGTAAGCGCGACAATAATGACGGGGCTCTTGAACATGCCCTTGTCACCGAGGCGATCATCCTCGCTCAGCTCGTCTTTGCCGTTGCCCTCTGATCCAAGCCTATTGTTGGGGGCCTCACTACTGCCACTGCTGAAGACGCCAATACTGTTGACACGCTCCAACCGTCGAATCTCCTTGGTAGCCTCCAGACCGTTCATGACTGGCAGCTGAATATCCATGAGTACCAGATGGAACCCGCCTGCCTTCCACTTGGTTACTGCCTCTTTTCCGTTCATTGCACGCTGCCATCTGACCTTCAGACGCTGCATGAAAGCACCCAAAACTCGCAAGTTAATGATGTTGTCTTCTACAATCAACACATTGATGGGCGGCACTGAGCCATCCAAAAGACCGGCTGGCAGACTCGGTGGCTCCAACGGCGCCTTTCTCCGCTTCTTCTTATTGTTCGGTTGGGGCGAGGATATGCGTGGGGTAGGTGGAGTTGACTCATGGAGGGTTTGTGAGTGGGAGATGGGATCGGCTGAAGCAGGCGGGGTGGGTATCGGGTTGTTCGAGGCGGCAGAGTTCTTTGCTTCGGAGGCGGAGGAGTCATGGCGTGGACGGTTTGGAGGGCGGACAGACGTGGCGGAGGAGGGGATGCCGCCGCCGAGGGTGGTTGGTGAGGCCGTGTGCGTCCTAGGGTATTTCGGTCGATGGGCATGCAGCGGCCCTCGTCTGGTACCGCCCGGGGACGGCAGTGCAGGCAGCTGTCCAGTGTTGAGCACGGCTATTGAGTGGGGCGCATGAGGCAGAGGCATGCGGGCCTCATGCGGTTGGCCCGAGGCAGCGGGAGAGGGAGCGATGACGGGCATGGGCGGGAAGTACTCGGTCTGTGGGTGGACGCCATCTTCATGGTGGTAGTAAAAGGGCACGCGTGGTGAGGGCTTGGGGGTCCTCCGTTGGGGCACGTCGATGATGAGGGCCTCGGTCACGTTCTGGCCGCCGGGGAAGTAGGCATCCAGGGTGCGGCACATGTCCTCCTCGGGGCCCAGCGTGCGGTCTCCTCCCCGCTGGTTGTCGCGCGGGATGATGCGCAGTGTGACGTCGGGCGAGTCGAAACTCCTTCCCAGCGAATTGGCGTACTTTTTGAGAATCATCTCGCGGACGTCGTCGACCAGGTCGTCCTCGCGAATCTGCACCAGCGTGGCCGAGGCGCTGGGCCGCTTGACCCAGATCTTGCGGTGCAGCATGCCAGCGCTGAAGTTGGCGGGTACTCCGCCAAAGTAGTCGGCGACGGTGGGCGGGCCGGTCTGGATGGCAGCCTGGGGGATGTCGGGGACGAGCAGCTTCTTGATTATCTGGGCATCGGTCTTGTTGACGACTGACTGGCGGCGGACGAGGGCGGGCGATGGGTTGTGCGAGGTGTCGTTGCTGCTGGCAGGGACAGGCTCGGTGGTTGTGTGGTCGCTCGGGGCGGAAGAAAGCGACGATGGCTCGGCGCGGTTGAGCTCGGCAGGCTGCTGCACTACGGGGTGGAGAGGCGTGGGCGCCTCGAGAGTCACCTCTGGCAGGACGACAGGCACGTCGGCGGAGGGCTGGCGCTGGTGGTGGCTTGCGGTGCTCGCGATGCTGTAAGTCGAGTGTCGATCTCGCGAGGTGTTCAGGCTGCCAGTGCTGCCGTCGGCCTGACTGTCGGCGGCCACTCCAAGCACATCCGACCTGACCATGCGCGGATCAGCTGTCTTGTCGTCGGGAGTCTCCGCGCCAGACAACTCGGGCAGCTGCTGCAGCGAGACGCTCTTACGGAGGGAGCTGGTCGGCGGCGGGCGCGCATGCCTTTCGCTGCCATGCGAGGAAGTGAGTGAGCGTGCACTGCTCGACGTCGCGCTGCTGCGTCTCAACAACTTGGACCGCGCATTCTGCAGCCGCGTCTTGATACTGCTCATGCCAGCAACCAGCCGGAGGCGCCCAGCATGCAGTTTGGAGAAGCGCTGCGAGGCCGTCGTGGTGCGGGCGTTGGGTAAATAAATGGCGGCCTGGCTGCTAAGGAAGCTATGGGATGCGCTTGGCCTGGCTGTCCATCACTCGCCGGTAATCCAAGAGGGTCGTGATGCGGCGGGCACACCAGAAAGAATAGACAACTACGATTAGAACAAGAAGGAAAGGGGCATGGATCGATTACTACAAGACACGAAAAGGAAATGCGTCGTGTTGTGCTTCTTGCAAGCAAGTATTACCATGTTAATCTCAAAGTGCGCTTGGGCCTTGGAAAGAGGAGCGCATTCCTTATGCCCCCTCTCACTTATGCCGCCCAACTTCCAGGCTTGCCACCGGACTGTCTGCCCAGTCTGCCTACATATTTATCATGCCATCAGAGCCCTGGAGTGTCCAAGACGTGTCTCGACCCAATGGCAGCAGCCTCTCGCATCACGGCTGAGCGCCTGAATTCTGCTTCACAGGCTACCCCAGCGCGTTCCATCGCCAACTCATCTCCACCTCACCTCCTATCTCCTCTTGGGTCGCCTGTACGTAGCTCCTCTGTCACCCGCACACCCATCGTCGATCCCTCCGGATCTCGCGATGCAGCTCTCGCCACATGTATGCACCTCGTTGCGATAACCTGATATACGGTACGGTCTATGCCAGATGTGGTGTGGCTGATGAGGGCACCACCACAGCCCATTGGCTGACATGTGCAACTGCATCTCTTAATACGTCGCTACCATACATACGTAGTCGCCAACTACAACGATTATCACGAGAAGCGCCTGACACATCTTCAGAATTTGAAGAACCTACTCGACCTGCTCCCATGGTCAAACGCCATCAAAGTGTTTAGTAGAGAGTTCGGTCACGCTTTTGTTCCGTCGCTACGCCAGTTACTTGTCGCCAACTCAACCATCACGGCATCATATACCACTATTTCAGCCCATTCTTTCACATACGACCACAGAATCTTGAGATCACGGCTTCCCGTCCGCTCAGCCCTAGTTAAGCAAGATATCGGCGGATTAGTAGTCAGGTGGGTGACCACTGGCGAATCCCCGCTGTTGTATGTTTTTGCCTTTTTGCTTCGATGTTGAACTTTTGAACAGGTATTTACGTGCGTTGACATGCTCCCGGATACCCGAGTATGTCCCGATGTCTTAATACAAGACCTGCGTAGACTGTGTGCTTCGTCTTTTTGAATGATTGGAAGAAGTGAAGACATCAGCACGAAAACCAACAAGCATAAATCCAATGGTTGTGAATGTTAACGATACTGGAACCTCATACACAAGATACGTTCACATTTCACAGGGCTGGTATGCGTTTCATACCAAAGCGTACTACCGGTATCGCCTTCAGCACACGTAGCGTGTGTGGCAACGGGGAAACTCGTCATAGCAACAAAACACCCCACCAAGCACAAAGCCTCCTTCGCCTTCCATTTACAATGCTTCGTGGTGGACCCGGGTTGCATATCCAATGCTCTCCCTCTATCCCTCTGTCCGAGTCTCGATCCTCAGGCTCGACACATCATATCCAAGGCACCGAGCCGTTCTCGGGCTTCCTCCTGTGAAGCCCACAGACACGAACCTAGAAGTCTTTGAAGCTCTCTTCCCATTTGTCGCTCAGTTCCTTGGTATATGGGTCTCTCTTCTCCGACTCGGGTTCGTATTCATCAAAGTTGCGTGTGTCAGCGGGCCCCCTTAGATGTGGTACGATGGGTCCCTGGACTTCGCGGTTATACAGCTTCTGCCAGTCGATGTTCTTAAACCACTCGTGCTGTTTCACACGCTGAGCGCCGCCTGCGACGTTACCTAGGCGCTTGGATGTGTCGACGGTGCAGAGGCCGGAGATGAGGTCGCGTGCAGTGGGGGACATGGCAGAAGGGAAGCGCACGCGCCCTTCTACGATTCTAAAACATGTCAGCTCTCCTCTCTCGGATATCTTGGATACTTGCGTACTGCTCGTAAATCTTCATTGGGTTCTGGTCCCAGAACGGTGGTTGTCCCACGAGGAATTCGTACACCAAGATACCAAACGCCCACCAATCGACTGCCGTGCCGTGGCCTGTGTTCCGAATGACCTCGGGTGCCAGATACTCGGGTGTGCCACAGAGTGTGTAGGTCTCTCTATTCTCTACCTTCTTGGCAAACCCAAAGTCCACCAGCTTGAGGTGGCCTTCGGCGTCTATGAGTATGTTTTCGGGTTTTAGGTCGCGATATGCGACGCCTTCCCTCTCGTGGAGGAACTCTAGTATAAGGACAATCTCGGCAGCATAGAACTGTGAGGTGGGCTCGTTGAAGCGCCGTGCTCTCCGCAGGTAGCTGAAGACTTCACCGCCGGGGCAGTAGTCGAGCTGTCCACCATGTCAGTCATTGACGAGTGCTCGTAGGTAGGCGCCACTACGTACCACCATGTAGAGGGAATCCAGCGATTGGAAGCTGGCGACCATGGTGGTTATGAACGGGTGGCCGGCTACTTTAGCCAGGACATTGCGCTCGTTCCGGACGTGCTCGACTTGCTTGAGCCGAATCACTGGGAAACGGGTGTTAGTAGATGCAAAGGGCGCATGTCGAGGGCGCAGACGTACCATCGACTTTGCGCAGAATCTTCAATGCAAAGACTTTGTTCTCGTCGCCCGCCTGTGCGTCCTTTAATCGCACCAGCCACACGCGCGCAAATGTACCTGACGTAGAGTCAGTGTCCTGTCCTCGTCTAGCGGCGTGGACAAGTATGCGCACCGGTGCCGAGTGTCTTGATCAGCTCAAAGTCTTCCTCGCGCAGGACCTTGGAAGAGTGGCCAACGGGCTTCTTCTCCGGGTCAATGTCAATCTCGTCGTGGCTGAGTGTGTGCTTTTGCGCCTCCCATTGCGCCAGGTGCTGCTTCTCTTCCTCGCGCGGCCGGTCCATGGCCGAATCGGTGCGGTCGTGTAGCGGGCCAGATTGCGACGGTGAAGAGGCCTCCTTCTTGTCCCGGTGGTGTTGCATGGGGTGCAGCATGTTCTTGAAGGTAGTCGCCATGGTGGCCGGTTATGCGCCTGCGACAACGGGGTAGGGATGCGAGTAGTAGGCGCGATCGGGGGGTCGGGTGGGTTGCTCAGGTGCTGTCTTATCCGGAATCAGTAACGGAAGCAACTCATGGCAGCAGGCACAGGCAGCGGCGGGGTCAATCGTCGGGTTTGTATGTGCGTAGTAAGCAAACGTATCGTGAAGGGCAGCCTGTGGTTAGGCGGGTCGGCCGGGCGTGTAGCATTCGACGACCGCGGCCAAGGGGCACGTTGGACTATAAAGCGGGCGCGACAAGGTGCATGCATGGCGGGGGCTTTTGATCACTCACTCAATGACGCAGGGCGTGGGGACTGGGCTTGCAACAAAGCCGACTTAAGCCTGATGAGACGGCACGCAGCTCCACTTGTCGAGTACGAACCTGATGTGTTCTTAACTTTCCGATGTGAGCAAACATAGTGCCTTTTAGGTTCCTGTTAGCTATTGCTTAAACAGACTTCCCGTATCCGGCCGCACCAGACGTGATTGCACGCTATCCCCCGGCATTCTGCCATTCTGCCCGTCAATCTCATTTCGATGCGAACTGCCATACGAGGATATAACTTGCTATTCGACTGTACTAGATATGCCCAAACTCCAAAAACTGTAACTCCAAGTATTGCATGCTCGTCAACTATATCTACACCATGTAGTCGTACAAATGCCCATGACCGAGTTCGTCTATAACGTAGGAGTTAAGTGTAGACGTTTAGAAGAGACAAGTCGTGCGTGATTTGCAGCTCAGCCACTTGCTCGGGTGTTGAGGATGAGGGCGACAATGAGTCTGAACATGTTAGTTGTTGGCTAGTCGCATCATTCCGTTGGACGTACCCGTAAAGACCCAGAACTTCGGCGAAAATGAGGATGAGGACCATGCCGACGAAAATCCTCGACTGGCGCATGAAAGAGCGTACACCCTACATATGTCAATGTGTGCCGCTATAGTAGAACCAACGCTACGTACGGCGTCTCCCACGATTCCAATCGCGTAACCTGCAGCCAGGCCAGATAACCCGACTGACAGACCGGCAGCCATGTGCATGAATCCAGCATACAGTGAGTATGTGTTGTCCGGCGGAGGCTTGATGTCGCTAGCAATGAGAACGGATATGACGAGCGCGTAGACAGCCAAGATACCGGACATGACGATGGGGATGAGCGACTGCCCTAGTTAGTTGGAGCTCCCACAGACGTCAAAGACAGCTTCTCACCTTCATAATCAGGTCTGGCCTGTATGTTCCGATACCAGCAATGCCGATACCTGCTTTGGCTGTACCATAGGCAGCTCCAGCGCCTGCTGCCGTTAGCTTCCGCACGTTCAAGGTGTTGGCTCGGGTGTCGTACATCCAAAGATCATCTGGCCGTGGTTCGTATATTAGTTCGATAGCTACGTGGGAGAGGTGCTACTCACAGCAAACGCGATGCCGCTCTGCGTCGTGGGTTAGCTATGAAGTCATCAACACGGCGTGGCACTCACCATGCCAAAGAAGGGCGCGAAGCTCGGCGCGAGCTCATTTGACGACATGATGCCTGCTCGGGTGGTGCGCAGGTCGGGCGGGTGGTGTAGTAGCGAGGGAGTCGACGCGTGATGGGTGAGGCGTTGAATGGTTGATAGTCGTTGCGCTGGGCGTTCGTAGGAGAATGGCACTAGGCTGCTTCGGGGGGCAGCACGCCCCAGCGCTTCTAATACACACGATCGTGGATACGACTACACCCTACCCGCCCATTTCGCACCTACACCACCTCGCATCTTCACGTATCTTCATCCAGGACGGCCCTGGGTCCTCGCTGGGCGGCTTCAACCCTTCCTGCCCCAGTCGCCCTCTTCCCCTCGGCCACACCCCGCGGCACTGCACCCCGACCAGGCAAGACTGCGCAGAGACATGGCCGACTACGGGAACCACCAACGTCCAGAGTATGCGCGCGGCCCCAACCATGGCCAGCCCTCGGGCGCAAGGGAAACCGCCTTCACCAACATCTTCGGCGCCAGCCCCCAAATGGCCGGCCGCTCGCAGACCATGACCTCGCAGTCTCACATGCGCATGCCCGACCGAGCTGCCACCATGTCCAGCCAGACTGCCGACATGATGCAGCGCGCCCCGCCCATGCGCCAGCCGGTCAATGGCTACGATCGTCGCCCTCATCCCCAATACGACGCGCGCCCGGGCAGCAATCCCGGCGAGCAGCGGCCCATGGACCCCCAAAATGCCTACAATCGCCCCATGCCGAATGGCTACGGCCAAGACCCACGATACCACCAGGGCCCGCCGCAGCCTCAACGCCAGCCGCAGCCCCAGTACCTCCCCCAGCCGCTTCGCCCGGAGCGTCAGCCATACGGACAGCCCCAGCGCTTTGACCCGCGAACCTCTCCTCCAGGGCAGCCCCCCTTCACCAAGCCTATACCCAACCGCTTTCCCGGCCCACCTGGGCCTGCAATGAACGCTGACCCGTATCGCTCGCAGTCACTAGCTCTGAACCCGCGCCCGCAATTCACCCCCGGAGGACCTTCTCATCCCTCGCAAGCTAACACCTTCCGCCAACAACCATATATGAACCACATGGCACGGACTACGGCCCAGGGGCGTGTTGTTCCAGAACGACCCGACGAACGCACAATGTCTATGACTTCTTACACCAGAGACCCAGAGCACACTCAGACAATGAGCGGCAGGATCATACCAAACCGAAGACGAGAGTCTGGCGGATCGGAAATGGCACCTGGAGCGCCCGGGCAGCCCCAACATATGAACGCTGGACTCCCGCCAAATCCCAGGAGCATCAGCCAAGGTAGCGTGCCAACCCAGTCTCGCACCATGTCGATGGCATCAACCGTCGTACCTCCCTCCGAACGAACAAACACCATGTCTTCGATGACTTCGCGTCCTGATTCGACCCAGACTATGGGTAGCAACGCCAGCAACAACCGAACCTCTAACCAGTCCATGACCTCGCTTTCACAAGGGCAACAGGTTCCTGCCGCCCAACGACGCGCGCCGCTCGTGTACCCCGCCTTGCTATCACGAGTTGCCGAAACCTTCCAGGATCGAGTTGGCCTAACAGAGAAAGAGAAGGACGGTCTGGTGTACAAGAGTGCCTTCACCGGCGCAGATGCGGTTGACCTCATTTCGTTCATCATCAAGACCACGGATCGTAATCTGGCACTGCTTCTCGGCCGCTCTTTGGACGCCCAAAAGTTCTTCCACGATGTGACTTACGCTCACCGGTTGCGAGATTCGACCAACGAGATCTACCAATTCCGCGAGACCATGGTAGAGGACAAGTCCGAGATCAACGGCGTCTTCACGCTTCTCACCGAATGTTACTCTCCTACGTGCACCCGCGACCGCCTGTGCTACTCCATTGCTTGCCCCCGCCGCCTTGAGCAGCAGGCTCGCCTGAACATGCGCATTCAGCCAGGTCTTAAGCGTGAGGAGTCAAGGGCGAGTCTGCATGAGGACAAGGACAATGAAGAGCAGAAACTCTGGATCAACACTGTGCCGAAGGAAGTCTCTGAGAGTGTGTCTGAGAAGGAACAGAAGCGACAAGAGGTCATCTCTGAGCTCATGTATACTGAGCGCGATTTCGTAAAAGATTTGGAGTATCTCCGAGACTTCTGGATGAAGCCCCTCCGCAACCCCGCGACTTCACCCATCCCCGAGCACCGCCGGGAGAAGTTTGTCCGCACCGTCTTCTCAAACTGCCAAGAAGTCTACATGGTCAACTCGCGCATGGCCGAACAGCTTACGAGGCGCCAGCAAAAGGAACCCGTGGTTCGAAACGTCGGAGACATCTTCCTCGAGTATGTGCCACATTTTGCGCCCTTCATAAAGTACGGTGCGAACCAGCTCTTCGGTAAGTACGAGTTTGAGCATGAGAAACGCACAAATACCGGATTCGCCAAGTTTGTCGATGAGGTAGAGAGAATGAAGGAATCGCGAAAGCTTGAGCTCAACGGTTATCTCACCAAACCAACAACAAGATTGGCCAGGTACCCTCTGCTCTTGGAGAACATCGCAAAGTACACGGCCGATGACAATCCCGACAAGGAAGACATTCCCAAGGTCATCAAGATTATCAAGGAGACACTGTCAAAGGTCAACGTGGAATCTGGAAAGGCAGAGAACCATTTCAATTTGATGCAGCTCAACAAAGACCTTAAATTTAGGCCTGGAGAGTTTGTGGATCTGAAGCTGACCGACGAGAACCGGCAATTGGTGTTCAAAGGTACTTTGAAGAAGACCCCAACTGAGACCACTGGTGACATTACTTGTTACTTGTTTGATCATGCGGTTTTGTTGGTCCGGGCGAAGACTGTCAACAAGCGCGAGGAGCAGAAAGTCTATAAGAAGCCGATACCTCTGGAACTTTTGGTCATTACGCAGATGGAGGAGGTCAATCCCAAATTGGGCATTTCCAAGAGGCCATCAGCCAACTTGATCGCTGGCAAGGCCATTGCTGCTGCTACTCCAAAGAACAACGACCCTAAGCAGCAAGGATACCCTATCACATTCAAGCATCTCGGAAAGGGCGGTTACGAGTTGACACTATTTGCCAGCACCCCCATATCTCAGCAGAAGTGGATGGAGCACATCGACACCCAGCAGCGAAGTTTGAGGGAGCGTAGTAACATCTTCACCAAGACGATTGTCAACGAAGGCTTTTTCTCTCCGACCATCAGAGTCACCTGCGCTGTTCCGCTGGGTATGTATCTTATCATTCTACTGGAAATTTCGGTACTAACTTTTGACAGATGGGGGTCGCAAACTGGCTCTTGGTACGGATGCTGGTGTTTATGTCGTGGAACGGAAGCCAAAGGACGCCTCCATGCGACCTCGTCGTGTGTTGGATTGCAAGGGTGTAACCCAGATCGAAGTTCTCGAACAACACGCAATCGTGCTTGTGTTGGCTGACAAGACGTTGTATTCATACTCGACAGAGGCTCTCGAATCCGACGAGACCCAGTCCATGGTCAAGCGACCACGCAAGATTTGCCACGCCAACTTCTTCAAGGCCGGGATCTGCTTAGGACAGCAACTGGTCGCTGCAGTCAAGACATCCGCACTCTCGACCACTATCAAGGTGTACGAGCCAAAGGAGCAGATGGGCAACAAGAACAAGAAGTCAGGTTTCGCGAAGATGATGCTCTCCACGAGCGGAGCAGACCAGCTCAAGCCCTACAAGGAGTTCTACATTCCCACCGAATCGACATCGATACATTTCCTGCGATCCAAGCTATGTGTTGGTTGTGCACGCGGTTTCGAAGTTGTCAGTCTGGAGACGCTTGAAACGCAATCGCTGCTCGACCAGGCAGATACGTCGCTTGACTTCGTTGTACGGAAGGAGAACATCAAGCCAATTCACATCGAACGTATGGCCAGCGAGTTCCTCCTATGTTACACGGACTATTCCTTCTTCGTTAACCGCAACGGCTGGCGAGCGAGACCTGACTGGAAGATCACATGGGAGGGCACGCCCCAAGCTTTCGCCATCTTCAACCCCTATATTCTTGCCTTTGAGCCTAGCTTCATCGAAATACGGCACATGGAGAGCGGCGGTCTGGTGCACATTATCACAGCCAAGAACATTAGATGGTTACACACTTCGACACGAGAAGTAAGTCAATCACGTAAGATCATGTTCACGCAGGAAGCTAACAATATCCAGATCCTGTACTCCTATGAAGACGAACTTGGCACCGATGTCATCGCTAGTCTTGATTTCTGGCAAACTGCGAATGGTGGCAAGCAGTCGCTTGATGTCCAGCGCTCATACGAGAAGAGCTAGACTCGACAGTAGCCTGCAACGAAACTTTAACGTCGAGCCTCTACTCTCGAACATACGAGCACGAAACCAGTGGCAACCGCATAGTCACAGCCACACATGCACCACCTCTTCTCCTGACGACTGCTCTGCAGTACTTAATGTCATCCTACTTGTCAGCGGAGGCATGCGACATTGCGGTCAGGGAAAGCTCAGGAAATGCCTCGACCGAGTCGCGGGCGGTGGCGATGGGATGATCACGTTGATTATTACTCTCCTTCTCAGGGGCCAAGAGGAGAGAATACATTTGTATCATAATAGACTCGCACGGCGATTGATCTCATTGGGTTTTCCAAAGGCACCTAGGCTCAAAATGTGTTGAAGGCATACCAGGTAGTGCGATTGTTGAAGACATAATCTGAAGATGCGATTTAGCGAGTTTGATTACCTTCTCTTTATTCCTTGCTTTCTCACTGCATCAATCATGTAGGGTTGTGTTTTGGCAATGTGGCTGAGCCTTGTAGTTCGCTTCACTTGCTCGCATACCGACACCGTACTCGAGACTCGGATTAACCGCCGTTACCGACGCTGGAAGTGGGTATATATCTCCGCTTGTCGTCACTAATACCATGGTAGGTCTAGTCGGATAACGTGTTCCTTAGTCTATGGCTAGCTTCACGGTCGGTCCTATTCTCGAACCATCACATGACGGGTTTCAGCTCAGTGTAGCAGTACCTCCGACATCGTTCCTTGTCACTATACTGCCAGAACAGTATTGTTATTCTCCGACCCGCATTCTATCCACTCCTTCTTCACCGATCACACAGTCGAACAATTATCCGGATTGAAAGCACCATTTCTGGAATCATGGCTCCGGGTGTATTGTGGGTTTCTTCGCGCATCGTGAACCCAGACAAACTCTCTACTGAGAAGTTCTGCGATTGGTACGAAAATGTACGTACTTTGAGCCTTCTTCATGAATAGTATCCCACAAAAGAACGAAGAACCTAATAAGAAATGAAAAGGAACACATCCAAGAAGTCATCAGCCTCGGCGGCGTACCCTCCGGTGTACGCTACCAAGCCCTACAACCCCAACCCTCATCATCTTCCTTTAGCAACAAATTTCCATGGCTAGTACGTCTCTTACCCCATTGCCACAACATCTCCATCTAACCCCCAACCCAAAACAGGTAACCTACGAATTCCCCGACATCACCTACAGAGAAAGCGAAGACTTCCAGAACATAGCCGGCAAGAACCCTCCCAGCCAAGAACTAATCAACACAATCTACAAAAACTCCGCCTTCGCCATCCGCTTCTACGAAGAAATCCAGGCCGTAAAAGGAACCACTTCATCTCCGACTAAATTCGTCATCAGTGCCGCTCTCCAACCACCCAAAGACGCTTCTTCAGATGCAGACTTCGATGCGTGGTACCGCGAAGAACACCTTCCGGTTCTCTCCCGCGCACCAGGCTTTGTGCGCTCCCGCCGGTTTAAACTAGCGGCTGCGTCTACGCTGGAGGACTTTACGTTTGGTGATGCGATGGAGACGGCGCCGAGGTATTTGGCGTTGCATGAGTTCAGTGGGGAGGTGTTGCCGTGGAAGGAGTTGGAGGAGAGTGGGCAGACGGAGTGGGCGAAGAAGGTTATGGGAGGTTTGATCAAGGAGGAGGTTGGGTTGTATGAGGTTAAGAGAGTGTATAGTGAGGAGGAGTGGGGGAGTGTTGGGAAATAGAGGAGAATAAATGATTTGTTGATGTTTTGACTTGTTCTCATTGAAGCTGAATGTGTCGTTTATGGATGGTAGGTAGGCTTTGGTTGCAACTATCTTCCTTAGGTGACTACCTAGGCACGTCTGCTTGTAAATGTAGATTCGTATCATTACCTAGCTATCTGCCCTATTGGCTGATGGGTTAACGTGATCTGATATCGCTAACTATGATCAAAGCTGTCCTTCGAGATCGCTCAATAGCCTCTCAAACACGTCTGCTGCCCTATGTGCATCCACCAATGCGGTATGCCAATTCCTTTCCTTAATAATCCTTAGGTTCAAGCTCTTCCAGAGTTTACTTAGTGCCAAGGAAGTGCCACCTGGTACACACCTTCTCACTATATCCGATAGATTGTAGACAGAGACTTAGAGCTCATCTTAGTTCTCTTAGGCAACAAGAAACATGGTCTTCCCTTTGCTAGATCCTCGCTAATGCATCGGCGTCCAGTCTGGTAGCTCCCCACTTCAGGACAATGCCTGCAGTCTCATCTTCAAATCTGATCTCCCTGAGTTCCGCTCTGTGAGATTCCATCAGGCGAGCGTTTTGGTCAGGGTTGTAGTGTGTACGAAGAAACTCAGAGATTCGTGTCTGGAGGCTGTCGTCCTGATCAGCATCACTTACAGCGGCTGTGTGGTTTGCCGTTGCTGTTGCGAAGGAGACGCTCCGGTACTTGATTGATGTAACCTTCGTAGGCCCTTGACCTATCTAACACGTTGGTTATCCCAACTTGCGTCGGGATGGCAATGTAGTTCTTAACCACCAGGCCCTCTGCGTCTGTTGACCAGATGATGTTTAATCCAACTTGTTTGCATGTTTCGAAGAAGGAACGCACTTTCTTTTCGTCCGCAGATCTCTCTGGTAACTTGAAGGTCAGATCCGCAGCTATGTTGCTGATGATGCAGTTCACTGTCCATCTGTGCGAATTGGCGAGGTCTTCTAGCCGCCTAGCATGCTCCATGCACAGTGCAGTGTCCGAAGCCTGCGGCTCGATACATGTGTACGCCATTGCGCACGAGGGACGTCCATCCATGTAGATCTCAAGGTCTTCTGGGACACCTAGGGCCAGACTCGGGAGGGTAACGCTAAAGTCGTCGGGAAAGACAAGCTGGTTTGCCTCTGTCGGTACGTTCTTCCAGGTGACGCCACATCCTAGGTGGCGGACCTCGTCAACTAGCAGCTGGATGTCTGTAAACCTGGCCATCGTCGTTGGCTCGAAGCTCAAAGGCGCTGAACAGCCTCTGTGCCATCGGTCTGAGTGAACGCCGAACAGCGGCAGTGCGTTCTTCGCTGTTGGGTCGAACTGGTATCGCAAAGTCCACGCCTTTGGTCATGTCGTAGGGAGAGCTACCGTCTCTGTGTCCTTGGCATACTGCCCTTCTCATGCGCCGGTCGGTCCAATGCTTACTTCTGAACCTAGGCTTACAAGCCATGGGATCAATAGTGTCTTGTCAGAGACGCAGAGCATTGGCCCGCCCTGTCAACCTAAGAAAATACGGAACACCCTGAAGCCTACGTTGACATCAGATCGTCTACTTTGCACGTTTCATCTTGACGTAGGCTCCAGATTGTTCGGTTTTTGTATGAGGTGTGTGAGAGTCTCAGAGATGTGGATGTTGATTGACAAGTTTCGACAACTTTGGTTGCCAGGAACCCTTCAGACGGCGAGTGGTCCAAAAAGTATAAGTATGCTTCCGTACCCTCATGATCAAATCGCGAGCATATTTTCTGCACTGAGGCATCGTCTATTCTTGGATTGTTCCTATCACGACATGCCAACACTTGATATGCAAGCCTCGCTCACCACTCCAGGCTCAAGCTGTCAACCCAGCTGCCCTTCTTCTCAACCTTGTACGCACTCTCGACGTTTCCGTTACCCAAATCTGCACCGTAGAAATGCGCAAAGCAACCTCTTCCGACCTCTTCCCACTTCAGCTCACCCCTCTTATCCGCATGAACCTGCCCGTCGCCATCGGTGCCCGCGACCAGCACGTCATACTTGATCTTCAGCAGCCACAGCTCCGAGACGTCGCTGAAGAACTTGTCGGCGGTGCCAGGTACTTGCTCCGATGTCGAAAGGTGGATGTAGCCGTCATTGCGGTCGAGGTCTGAGAGCGGGAGGCGAGCGGGGAGGGGGGATGGCGGGGCAGCAGGGAGGATCTTGTAGAGGTAGGTTGGAAGGGGCGAGGGAGCCGGCATCGTAGCGTCTGACTCGATTTACAAGCAAAGGCCTGGAAAACGCGGTATTCAATGTTGCGGTGAGAACAGCTCGTGACAGCCCTATGGGAAAAGATGGTAGTTCGGGCGCAAACTAGAGAGCGTCACAAGTTGCGAGAAATGCACGTTATGCTCATGATTGGCCGACGCGAGATTACGTGAGACAGGCGATTATCCACCGCAACCACGGAACCAACATGCCTCTTGAGCGCCACAAAAGTCAGCCTGGACGAGATTCATAGGCAACCATGTCGCGTCCGTCTTCGCACCGTACCTCGATCCATTCGCAACATAACAGTAGGGTTTTCAGGAGCGCCCCGTTGCGCGGTCCATTTACGTCATCTTTCGGGCTTCGCACAACCGCACGAGCTTTGGGTGCCAGAGGGCCACCGCAGAACACGTTGGCGACGAAAAACACCTACTCGTGAGACCCAGACACACGATTGGACGGCGCGTGAGGACATCGCCCTGTTTTCCACGCTGGCCACGGGAAATCGAAGACTCGCTACCACTCATATGCACCCACGGTAGTCGCCAGGCTGGGTGTGCGCGCGGCTTGGTAGGATGCTCCGACCGGCAACGACAGTTTTAAACGCCCACGAGCCCGACCAACATGGTTTCCATACGACTCACCCAGGATGAAATGCACCACCTTTTGGAAGAGCAGGGAAATGGCCACACGCGCTGCTGTGTACAGGCGACGAATGCGACGCCAGCTGGGTCGCATGTAACTTTTGGTTATCTGAACAAAGGAGCTGCAAATGTCATATTCAAAATCAGACCTGAGACCAGCACTGTCGCGGCACGTTTCCAGTTCGTCGATGTACTTTCCAAGGACAAAAAATCTGGCGTAGCAACATCAGTACCATGTCGAAGCCTGATAGGAAGAGTCCTCCGCGTACCCAGGGGCGGCCAAAAACATCTTTCGTCCATAGAAATCCTGCACGGCTTCGAGCATGCAATCCGGCCACTCTTCCTCCCAGGTCCGTGTAACAAGTCCCAACAACCCGCTCGGGATCTCACAAAGCACCTCATGGACCACGAAGGCGTACTACTCCTACCAGACGTCATGAGCCACCTCTACACGCGCGTCGAAAAGCACACCTTTGCAACCCCACAGTCGCGACGAAAGTGCTGGGGCATCCTCCTTCCAGACATGTCGCCCACGCCTGGTACATCAATAACCCTCGAAGTAAAACCAAAATGGCTCGCGCAATCGCCAAACGCACCACCTGGAGCAATCCGCTGTCGCACCTGCGCCATGCACGTGTCCGTACCCAAGAAAAGGGACAACTATATCTGTCCTCTGCAGCTACTGCATGGGAACTCCACGTCCCTCCAACCATGGTCACAAGCTACGGTTACACAGCAGTTCGACAGAGAAGCGCGACCATCAAACGTGGTTGTCTCAGCGCTCGTAAAAGCCCTGGTGGACTACCTTACTATAGGCGACGGCCTCGCGCTCCTACAACACCTCCTCAATCTACAGAGTTCGCTTGATCCGCGCGGTGTGCTTTGTCGACCTAAGAGTAATGCCGAGGCGTTTGATCATAATCTCAGGCTGGCCATGACGCTGAGGGACTGTTCGATGTTCATCAAGGTTGCGTATGATAAGGCGGGTGTTACGGGGATAGAATCGAAACTAGGGGACTTGGATTTCAAGTCCGCGGAGAAGATTGTGGATTGGATGGATAAAGAGAGGGGGTTGTTGATGGATGGATCGTATACGAAAGGTGTGAAGGAGGGGCCGGTTTGTTGGCTTCAGAGGAGTTAGGGCGTTTGATATTTGGGGGGTTATGGGTGGAGGCTTTCATAGAGATTCTGGTATGATATTTTATATGGGAGATAATGTATGGCCACTATAGAAGGAAGGGTTTCAAGGGAACGAAAAAGATGGATGAAGTTCGATTTAATAGGTATATTTAATTCAAATGTTTACATTGTCGCTAAAGAGGGAAGGAGGGTATCTATATAACGCCAATGCCCATCATATCCTATGGTAGATGGCGGGGACTCCAAACCTGTCCCTCGCCAGAAGAAGAAGAATAAAAACGCTACAGCTGCGCAACAGGAAAACACCAAGAGTGTCCGTTGGTTCATTAAATCATCAATCATTCATGCATCCATGCAATACACCATCCAACATTCACGCCCCCTCGGGGGTAAAACAATGCACACGAACGGTACCATCTTCACTCCCGCTAACGACCCTCTCGTCACTCAGCCCCACACAGGTGATAGGACCCGTATGACCCGTAAGCGTCCTCTCGTGTTTCCCCGTCCGGGGATCCCAGATTTTAATCGTCTTGTCCTCAGCTCCACTAACCAGTCTGAGGGAATCGGCAGCAAGCGACCAGATGCCCTCGACATGGCCAAAGAAGCGGTGGACACAGCGACCGGAAGGTACATGCCAGAGACGAATAGTGCCGTCGAGAGAGCCGGTGAGCATGTATGAGGGCGGAGACGGACGAGAGGGGTCGTCGGGGAAGAAACAAGGTTCTTCGGGGTGGCTGTGGTGGTGAGAGGAAGAAGACGAGGTATGCGCGAGAGGCGGGGCGGTATCAGACGCCAGGGAAGCGGTATCCGACGTATCATTGTTTGCGTTTGCAACAAAGTCGTCTTCGTCGATTTCAAAGGCTTGCGGGAGGGGCAGCACCTGTTGGACTTGGCCGACGTGGCCTTCGTAGGTTTTGATGCAGCGGTGGGTGTCGAGATCCCATAGCTTGACGGTCATGTCGTCGGAGGCGGAGAAGAGGGTGCGCGAGGGGAGGTCGATCTTGACGGCGTTGACCCAGTCTGTGTGGCCTAGTAAGGTGGTGCGCTTCATGTGGTTGAAGTCGTGCACCATGATGGTGTTATCTGAAGATCCTGATGCTAGGAGTTTGTCTGCCATATGGAGGCCGATTACACCATCACTGTGGCCGTTCATGGATTTCACAAGTTGGCCTGTCCGCCAGTTCCATATCTTGATCGTATTATCCAAGCTTCCGGTGATCAGTTTGCTGTCTTCAAACTGCAAGCATCGGATGCCTTGGGTGTGGCCTGTGAGGGTGCGAATCTCTTGGCCCGTTTTGATGTCCCAGACTTTGATCGTGGCATCGTAGGAGCCGGTGATGAGGACTTCATCGTCGAATTGCAGGCACATGACGCCGTTGGTGTGGCCCTTGAATATGCGTGTCGAATAGCGCCCATACTTCCAATTGCTCCCAACCTTGTAGCGATCCTTGTAGACATCCTTCCACGGTCGCTTCTTGGGATGATCAAAGTATGATGTGATTTGGTCTTGACCTGCTTGGAGGCTGGTGCATGGTCGTTTGTTCGAAGCTTCTGGGGAAGAATCGTCGTCTGGTACAGAGCGCTTGGTGCTGGCAGCGGGGTCGGGGCCCTGGGATAATCGATGAGCGAGTGTGTCGGGTGAGGTCTCGGGCTGTGGGGTGATGTTTGGCGACCACTCGTTGAGGCCCCGCCCCGATGCGCGTAATTGTATTCGTCTCTTCTCATGGCGCAAGCGACGTTGGTCGAGAAGCGGGAGTCCCCAGCCGCACTTTGTGCACTTCCTGTCAATGTGCTGCTCGCACATCTTGTGCCAGACGACGTCGTCGTCGGCCAGTTGTCTCCAGCGCCGATTGACCTGGGAGGCTTTGCAGAGCGAGGTGGTGTCGAGATAGCAGAGGATCTTGAAGCCCAACTCGGTGGGGAGTGCGCCGAGAAAGTCGATCTTAATGAGGTTCCGGACGGAGGAGGATATGAAGGAGAGTTGAGGAAAGCAGCACTGGGCGAGAATGCCCTGCAGCATGAGGTTGCGATGGCGGGACGGAGCCGCCGAGAAGAGCGACCAGACGTTGGCGATGCTCTGCTGGTCGGCTTGGGACTCTCTACCGAGTTGTTCTTGCAACTGTTCCATAGACGGCTCGTCTGCTTGTCGTCGACAGAGCAGATCGGGACGGTGTCGATAGCAGAACTTGGTGTTGGCAGTGCGTGGACGCTCGTCTTGCCCTGGGCTGTTGGCCCCGAGCGGGTTATATTGTTGGGGAATGTGCTGGGCGAGGTATGGCGTGATCATCTTCTCCATTTTCTTCGACTTGTTCGCCTGGGCCTCTTCGGCCTCTTCTGTGCCGCCGTGCAAGTGTCGTGTCCGCTCCGACATGCCTTCGTGATCGTGGCCATGCATCAGGGCAGCGTGCGGGTCTGTCGAGGTGGCGGCGGTGAAGTCGTCAGGCGACGAGTCTCGAGGGCGCCATGAGAGCCGTCTTGGTCTTGGGGGAGCGGTGGTGGCGTGGGTGGTTTGCGACGCCATGTTCAATCCATACGCTGCGGCAAGATGCGAGGGCTGTCGAGATTCCGGGGCGATATCGCGTGCGAAGCCCAGGTCGCTGGTTCGACAGTCGGCGGGCTGAGCGGATGTAACGACGACTCGATCGAACGTTGCGCGTAAATATGCCTAGCGAAGGACAGAGTTTGGGCGCACGAAGAGGTCGAATGGCGCAATGGCAGGCCTGGATAGCATCTTCAGCACGCAATGCCAATGTCTCCGCAGCCCTGTGGACCCTGCCGCCCCATGCAGCCGCTCGGACCATGTCTCGTCGCGCATGCCATCATTCACCATCACGAGCCTCACGTCGCCAACCCCAACGCGACCGGCACCACTGCCACTATGCTCAACAACAGCTGCCGTGGCCGCCGACACGATGGCCTCTCCACCCTCCCCCGCCTCTCCCACCAGCAGCGCTGCATCTAGGACGTCTCTGGACCAGGACCACGCCCAGTCGCTCACGCTCGAGCATCTCGTCACGCACTTTGTCGCCGCCAAACGCTCCCTCAACACCCAGACAGTCCTATGGCGCGCCACCGACATCGTCAACACGGCACGTGACCTGCTAGAAGAGAACGCAGTCGTTGCCGCCAAGAACACGTCCATACGCAACCTCGTCGAGCAGCAGGTGGATGCCTTGGAAGCCGTCCGCCGCGGCGTAGACGTGGTCGAGTCGGAAGTACAGGCCGAGTTCAAGCAGCTGCTTCACGACGTCGACGCCTCCTTCGCCGGCGTCAACTCGACCCTTGCTGTTCTGCGCGAAACGCCCATTGAAGGCGTCCTGCAGCCTCCCGGCACTCCCCAGAAGCATCTCTACGACTTCATCGACAGCGCCACCGTCTCCAATCTCCAATCCACACTGCGCGCCTGCATAGACCGCTACAACGATGCCCATGCGACGCTCGACGAGAGCTCCCATGTCTTCGATACATGTCTGGACAACCTCTACTCCTCCATCGAGAACGTGCCCATGACACCCGTGTCTACGTCCACTCCGAGTCCCATACCGAGCCTATACCATAATCTTGAGGGCCACGCAAAAGAGGCTGCGCAGGCATTCCAGTCGCTTGTTCAGCACTACGACCTGTGCATAACAGCTTTGCGCCATACAGAAGGAGGTTCTGCTGCTGCCACTCAGGCAACAGGAGATGCCCCAGTCCACTCCGAGGATAATGGCGCTGCGCCTCCCGAACCTATGAGCGAAGAAGAGCGCCGCGACATGCTCAACGTCCTGCAAAAGGACGCGCATGAGGTGGAAGACGTCGTGACCGAGATACAGGAACGAGGCTCTGAGATGACCTTCCTCCTGGGCCAAATCGAGAATCACATCCGCCACGTCCGCAGCGAGTCGTCAGCCCTGTCCAAGATACTTGAGATGATGTCGCAAATCACTGGCCAAGTCAAAGAGCACATTGTGACCTCACGCTCCTTCTATGCTTCATGGCTGCAAGACACACGGCCTAGCCTGCTCAGCGGCATCGACGAGTGGGAGAGCCAGCGCGACTTCTTTGAACGCTTCGACCTTGCCTACGCTGAACTCCTCGTTGAGGTGTCGTCACGACGCAGGCGGCACGAGAAGGCGAAACGGAAGGCTGAGGAAGCGCAAAAGGAGCTAGACAGAATACGCCTCGAGGATGAACGTGCAAGGGAGCAGTTTACCGTGGCGCAGGGCGACTTCTTGCCCTTGGATATATGGCCGGGTCTGAGGCATCCTCCGCGACAGTACGAGGTCAGAGTTATACCCGCTAGTGTAGAGGGTGAGCAGGATGAGAATGACCAAGAGATATATGGTGGCCAGAGTATACCTCAACTAGGGAGGACCGTCGTTGAAAGGGCTCTCACGCGAGTTAAGCGACGAATGTAATTGACTGGTATCATATATACTTGCTATATAGCCTCATGTTGGCTTCCGTCCGTGAGTAAAGTAGAAGCGGATGTACATGTGCACATCCTTCCTCCTGATATCCGCAACCACCTTGGCAATCATGACACGGCACTCGGACTCACTCCAGCCCATGACCTTGCCCAAGAGACCGAGAGTGTAAGGCTCGATGCCCATGGACATGTGTTCGCGCTGGTAGCGGCCGATTTCCTTCATTTTCGCGTCCTTGGCCCAAGGGCCGATAGGGATCTACAGGTACCGCATTAGCCTCGTAAACGGCATAGTGTAGAGGAAGAGGGTAGACATGCCTTGATAAGCTTCTCGTGAACATCGATGAACCCCGCATCCGTCATCCGCTGCTTCAGGCTATCCCCGGCCGTGATGTCCCTTCCCCACGTTTTAGCGGCGGCATGGCACAGCTCCTGCCACTGCAGGGGTAGAGGTACAAAGTCAGTGTATGTCTCACATGCACTTCGTACAGTCGAAACTTACCTTGAGCATGTCGGTTGCCAGGTCCATGGTCCCGTCGTCACACTCACACAACGCAAGCGGCTCCTGAAATTCTACCCAGCCACCGGGCTTAGTGTGCGTGTACGTCTGCCGCACCAGCTTGTCCCAGTCGGAGATGCTGCCAGACATGGTTCGGCAGTGGATAAAGTCAAAGGCCTCGTCGGGACTATAGACCCATTCCGACTCGGCATCGTCAATGTAGAACTTGACATTGGGCGGCACCCACGTTGGCTGGATGGGACTGAGATCAGTGCCTATGACCTGTGCACCTGGGTGCTCGTCGGCAAAGTCTATGGCCCAGATGCCGGTGCCGGTACCGATGTCGAGGACGCGCTGGGGCGCAGGCGGGATGGGTGCATCGTAGAGCTTGCCGCCTAGGATGAGCAGGAAGATGTGGTGGAGGAGATCGAGGCGGTCTTGCTCCTGCTCGTCATTAGGTAGGATGTAAGCACCCGAACGGTATCCGTGGTATCGCCTTCCATTGGAGTATTCATAGTTCAGGATAGTTGATGTGATGGACGTGGATGCCGTGGATTCGCCGCCGAATGCCGAATCGCTATCGCTGTTGCTGGCCGTGTCGACGTCGAGATGCAGGACGGATTGCAGGTTGCCCTCGGCTGCTGAATCCTGCGGGGCTGACATGCTGTGTTCCAAGATTCTTTTCCAAGAGCGCTCCTGCACTCGCGGGGTCAGGCCTCGCCTTATATCTCCCACCTCTCTACTTTCGTCGGCCATGCCGTAGGATCCAAGATGCCGGGTCAAACGCACCCCATTCCATAATCAGTCTGTAAACCACCACATGCCTTAGCGACATGTAGGAGCGCACTCTGCTCTCTAAAGAGCGCTTCGCCGCCTGATCGGTTTACTGTCTCTCTGACAGCCAGCCGTCATGTCTCTTTTCGCTCTGTGTCTGCTGGCGTACTTTGTGTACCTCCTCGCACGTGTCTTTTACCGCCTATATTACCATCCACTATCCCGCTTTCCTGGCCCCAGGATCGCGGCAGCCACAAGCTGGTACGAGGGATACTACGAGATTGTCCACAAGGGACAGTACTCGAGGCAAATCTCCAAGCTCCACGATGTCTACGGCCCTATTGTAAGAGTGACGCCTGATGAACTGCACATACGAGACCCATACTTTTACGACCAAGTCTACGCCAAAAACGTCCACCTTGACAAGGAGGGCTGGGACAAGAGGTTTGGGTGTGCAGGCGGCCTGCTGCCGACCGTCGACGCGGAGCAGCACAAGCGACGCCGTGCAGCGTTGGCTCCCATGTAGGTTCCAACATCTAGTACACACCACCTCGGCACGGTTAACACCTGTGGTCAGGTTCTCTCGCCGCTCCATCCTCGACTTCATACACATTATCTACCGCCATGTCGACACCCTCTCCGTGCGCATGCAAGAGTTTGAGGCTCATGCAGAGCCGCTTAATTTATCCCATGCCTTCCCGGCCCTGACAGGCGACATCATCATGGACTACTTCTTCGGCTTCAACTACAACCAGCTCAAGCATCCTGAATTCGAGTCATTCCATGACGCCTTTATCCAGGTTGGCGGTGTGGGCCACATCGCTACGCAGTTGCCCATGATTCTTCCCGTGGGTTATCTTTAGATCATTCAAGATGTGCACCTGTCACACGTGGAACTAACATAGTTTTTTGCAGATTCTCGACTGTATCCCTGACCGAATCAGCGGCTGGCTGCAGCCAGCAGTGAAGCCAGTGCTCAAGTTCAAGCAGGTATGCGGCACAGCACTGCATCTATACCGTGTTGAGTCTAACATGCGAGTCAGGATAACCGGAATCACATTGCGCGCACTTTGCATGGCGAAGACATCAAATCCAACGACGCGAAGAAGACCATCTTCCAAGAGATCGTCGCCTCCAAGCTACCTGACTCAGACAAAACGCAGAAGCGTCTCGAGGATGAGGCGCAAATCATCATTGGAGGCGGCGTAGAGACTACTGCCTTCTCCCTGTCCACTGCTGCGTTCCACATCATCAGCACCCCACGCATCTACGAGCGTCTTCACAGAGAGCTCGTAGAAGCTTTTCCCAACAGAGATGACCTGGATCTCGCCCCACTGGAGAAGATGCCGTACTTCAAAGCCATCATCATGGAAACCGCTCGCATGAGTTACGGCCTGAGTGCCAGAAACCCCAGGACACACAAGACACCTTTGCAGTATGGGGAGTGGGTTATCCCCGCAAATACTTGCATTGTGAGTCATTACCTTCCATCAATCATCCACACTTCCCATCGCGTCCAAACTAACTCCCCACCTTCACAGTCCATGACCATCCCCGAAGTCTCGCACGACGAAACTCTCTTCCCTTCCTCCCGCACCTTCATCCCAGAGCGCTGGCTCAACGATCCCAAGACTGCCGATGGTATTCCTCTGGAGCGCTTCATGGTTTCTTTCGGTCGCGGTACGCGCAATTGTCTTGGTATAAATCTGGCGTATGTGGAGCTGTACCTCACGCTGGGCATGATGTTCCGGAAGTACAAGTTTGAGCTGTATGAGAGTGATGTCAGTGATGTGGAGTTGGGTCACGATTTCTTCATTCCGGTTGCGAAGCTGGATAGTAAGGGGTTGAGGGTTTTAGTTACGAGAACAGAGGACTGAGGCTTCTCTCCTTCCTTGCGACCAGAGGAGGTTTTAATCTTGCAAACTTATTCTGACGGGTCATCTTGAGAGGTCATCTTGAGGCCATCATTCCACGGCGTTATACCTGGAAGATATAGCCCCCAGGCTCATACATCCAACTACCCAGTCATAATCTCACATAAGCATACTCCCCCCATCTGTCCTTACCATTGTCCCATCAACATTATAATCCCTCAACAAACCCAAAAACGTCTCCGCCACATCCTCCGGCCTGCCTACCCTCCCTGTCGCCATCCTACTCTCCATTCCCCGCATAATCTCCTGCTTCTTCTCCTCGCCATGATGATCCCACATCTCCGTATCCACCGCCCCGGGACTCACGCCATTAACCCGAATGGGCTTCATATCGAGAGCCAGGTTGCGCACCATGGAGTGCAATCCACCGGCGTACGCGCCAATGACGCTCCAGTTAGGAATTGGCTTTTCGGATACAGCGCCTGTGGTGATGGTGTAAGAGGATTTGTAGCTTTGGACGAGGTACTGCGGGAGGTGTTTGGCGAGGAGCAGGGGCGCAAAGAAACGGATTTGGCCGGCTGCGAGGATGTTTTGCATTGTCTGATTACACTGTTAGTCGACATGCGTTGTTTGAGATTGAGATGCCGAGGAATTTGTAAATAAGAAAAACGCATGGAAAAGTATGCAAAACTGGGAGGAGGGCATGAAAGTTATAAGAAAACCAACCCACCATATCTCCCAATTTGATATCCGCCAACTTATCCCCCGCAGTGAAAACAACATGATCTAACTTTCTCTCCGGCATGCTTTCCACCGTCTTCTCCAATAGCGTCTTCAGCTCTTCTTCCAGCGTCTCTGGCTTGCCTAGGTCAACAGCAAGACCCTTGATTCTCGGGTTTGAGGGGTCGGCAGCGGAGGGGTACGCGGTTTTGAGTTTGGATACGGCGGCCTCGATGCGAGATGGGTTGGAAGAACTGATTGTTACCAAAGCGCCGTTTTCGAGACAAGCTTCTGCCACGCTGTAGCCGAGGCCGGATGTGCCGCCTATGACTAGGATGCGCGAGTTGGTAAGTTTGTTGGTGTAGCGTTTTTGGTCGGTCATGGTTTGGGCGGTTTGGTGTGTGTTGGTGAATGGGGTTTGGGGTGTGGTTGCACGATTGGTCTTTACTGTGATAGGTATCGAAGCAGTACAGGTTGATGAGAATGGAGAATCTTGTATAACACTTTTCCCCACATTAGCAGCACAATTAGTGGTATATATACGCAGATCTCCACAGCTATCCACAACGGCACTTGCATCATGATGCCGAATGCTTCTTATCTCCGTGACGAACAAATCATGGCGCTAGCTTCTAAGCATATACGAGTAGCGTGCTTTCCCCACCCACTATACCTCTGCTCGACGTCATTGGAGAAAGGTACATTCGTATCACCGTTAATTTGTTGCATGGAGATGAACGGAGATAAGTTAGCACGTATATGCGGGTACAGCCGTCATGCATTACATCATCACAACTGGAAAAATCATAGAGCGAGCATTGGCTTGATTATTCATTCCAACATACGCTGTATGAGGTATCGTGACCTCTATCAAGAAGGCCCAGTGAGCCCGCGCTGATCGTGGCAGCTACTAGGCTGACGCAGCTCTGCAGCGTGAGACTCAAGCGTGCGTGCATGTTTATCCAAGTCTCTCTGAGACCTGAATATGTTCGATTCTGCTTCTCTTACGAGACTATGATTGGATAGCCACTCATAGTGTGGTCCACATCGTGTTGATTTGCTTTCGCTTGACCTGAAGTGCTGGTCAGTATGCGATGTAATACGCCAATGCACAGAGCAGTATAAAGATGATGGACTTACCAAAGGCGCAACGAACAAGACTCCAACAAACAGTCCAACGACGGTTAGAAGCATAGAAATCTTGTTGAAACCCTTGCCCAAGATGTCGAACGAAAAACTGGGTGCAACTCGTGTTCCGAAGATATCCAAGCCATAGGCAAAGACCAGACTAGTGCTCTCGATTCCGCTCTCACTTGTGATGATGTCTTCGATACCCAAAACTTCGTACTTGTGGGTAAGGTGCCACTTCGGGTCGAAGTTGATAAGGGGCGTGTATTTGACCAGACCTTCAGACGCTTCCTGCGCAGTAGGCTCACGACCGACGGGTCGGCGAGGATCAATCACCATGCGTGGGATACCAACTATGGCGTTGAGTGCGGGTAGAGTGACGAGGAGCTCACGACTGGTGATGCCCTGTCTGGTCTGTGTGACACTCATGTGTGTAATCTCTGCTGGTACTTGATAACTCTGCGATAGTACATAAGGCTTCGCAGCGTCGCCGTTCGAACCCGAAGGTTTCACGGTAGAAGAGTTAGACGAAGCGCCCAATGGACCCCTGTCGTCGGGAAGGGGGGATTCGTAAAGGTCAGAGACGACGAGCTGGTAGCCGCGAGAAGAAGCGCCAGATGCAGCATCGATAGTCAGCGCATACGTGAACCAGTTCTCTGAGATAGTGGCTGGAATGGGTCGTGTGGTATCGACATCGTTGTGTGACATAGTATGTAGTACTTGTCCAGATGCAGAATCAAGCAGATAGACGGACGCGGATCGCGCAGATTCCACAACTGTTGTGACTAGGACAAGGTTGGGATTCAGGTACTTGTACAGTACTCTCCTGTCGCCTAGTACTTTGCCGATAGAGGCAACAGGGTCCTTGATCGGGCGAGCGACATAGCTGGCAATCTTCTCCTCGACAGGTGGCGTAAAGCTCCATACTGGTTCGGAACCCGGCTGGCTTTCCAGATATCCTTTCAGAGTGCCGTCAACCAAGGTAAATGAAATAAGGCTTTGCCCCTCAGCAACTAGCGAAGGCTCAAGCTTGATTTTGTCGGAAGTGATGAGGCCACCAGTTGTCGAATTGATGAACATTGACCCCTGGAAGCTGGAGTCTTTTACTTCAACATAGCCGCTATGAGCCTTGAGAGTCGGGTGTTGGAAACTGGTGTCGGGCGCGAACTGGCCAAGGTCTACGTTCCACATCACCTTGCCTCGCGAACCAACATCGAGGGCAGCAAGGCGACCCGCCTTAGTGGCGACGACAACAAGCTTGTGGAAACCAAAAGTGTCTTGTTGAATATCGTCGACTGTTGTCTCCTTTGTCTTGCCAAGTACACTACTCAAGAGGCGCTGGGGAATGCTCTGCGCCCACGCCGGGAAGTATTGCAGGTCCTGGAGATGCCTCTGCACACGGTGGATGTAAGCGGAGACAGGGTTGCGATGGCTTTCGTCAGCAAGTGCTTGTGCTAGGGCCTCCTGTTCGGGCAGACCGGCCCAGACTGCGGAGACTGCGCCAGACAAGAATTCGGGCCGGGTCCAAGCCACTTCATCGTTTCGCAGGAGTGCCCACTGTCCGTTGGAGTACAGAACGGCTGATCGCACAGCACTGGCGGCTCCTGACTTCACAACAACTTCAGATTGGCCATGCACAGGGAAGGCGCCCGCAAGTGCGGGAGAGCCTTTAACAGTCCAACGACCCAAGACACCGTGTGAGACTGAAGAGAAGACGGTCACTTCGTCTTCGGTAATCCTGGTGAAGTAAACGTTGGCATCGGATGTGCTTGTAGTAAAAGTTCCCTTGGTCCTCAACTCTGGGAGGCTGTAGGCTTTGGAGACGGTTTGCTTGTTGAGGTCGACGTGGTAGACTTCAGCAGAATGGCCGATGGCAGTCTGGTACTCGACGAGGAAGTGGGCGAGCGAATTGATGTGGTTGGGAGCATGGAGAACGATGTTCTCGATGACTTCGTCCCCTGGCGTGTTGAAGGTCGACACAGCCTTGGTTCCGATTATGTTGACTTTCAGCACCTTGTTCGCCTTGTCGGTCCAAGCCAATAGTGGGGCCGCCGTGTTGGCTCCGGCGAAGAGGATTCGGTCGCGCGAGGAGATCTCTGTGTCCGAGTTAAGGGTGTACTGGTCGAGCTTCTTTCCTGTGATGGGGTTGAGAGACGTTACTCGGAGCTTGGAGCCTCCAAGCATGGGCGTGTGGAGGGCGATGTAGTAGATGGTTGTCGGCGAGGTCGAGACCTGGAAAGGCGTGTCTCCGCTGTGGACCGGTCAGTGTCTGTCACGTTGCAATTGCTTGGTGTAGCCACCTTGTGTCCTCGTATGTCCACTTGACGCGACCAGTCTTGCCGTCAAGCCTCTTGACACTGTTGCTGCTATCGGTAGCTAGGACAATGGCGTCTTTGGCCGCGCTGATGGTCATGCCATCTTCCTGCTCTAATATTTCCAGATCCTCGACTGCAGCCCCTCCGAGGCTGGTGTCCCACACGAGACGGCCGTCGGAAGCGCTCCACGACGTGACGCGGTCTCCGACGGCGCTGATTACCGTGTCCTGCTCGTTGCCTGAACGCAAATGTCCACGGTGGCCGGGCTGCGAGGCCAGGTGCTGCCGCCATACGAGCGCGCCATCCTTGGGGTTGATGGCGCCGATGGTCTGGTTCTGCGATATCGAGTACAGGAGAGATGCCTTGGAGCCCGCATAGGGCTTCTGGAAGAAGGTGGCCTCTGGTGCGGGAAGGCCTAGCAGGGCATAGTGGAAATCAATGTGGTAGGCATCGTCCTCGAAGATGGCCGCAGCCGGAGCGAGACATGCTGCAATGGCGACAGCAGCACTAAAACGCATGGTCGGGTGGAATTGGAGCTTGTCGTCGGCGTCGTCGTCGTTCGGCTCCCATGCGCCCTGTGTCGGCTTCCATCACACGTCTGCAGTGCCAGGGCGCACGTGCCCGCCCTGCTCCAGATCACGGGACCCTTATTGGGTGCCCTGCTCCCTAACCCCAACCGCCAGCCCAGGCTCTTCACGATTCAGTTCAGGCGGCGTCGGGGAACCGGGAGGCTCTCCATGGGCAATTATTACGTCGACAGGATGCTTGCTCGACAGCCTTGCGAACCCTTCTTGTGCACGACTCGACCAAAGGGCCACGCTATCATAGATTGGAGCTTGTCCTGGCGCCCTGGCTTTGTTTCGCGTCTGGCCGCGACGACCTTGTCTCCCTCTCTCTCGCAGCATCTCGGCGCTTTGTTTTTTTGGCATAATTACGGGCTGTACGGGCTGCACCCCAGAGCCGAACACCTGGCGTATCTCCTGCTAAGCCCTACCAAGTCTACTGCATGCATGTGCCTTTCTTCGCTACCTCTTTGTCACTGCTTGCTCCCTGATTATCGCGACGCCGTTTCTTCTCCCACCTCGACCTTCACGTGACGGAAAAATCTTCCCCAGCCCCCAACCTCGGCGCGTCAAACAGGTGCGTTACACAAACTTGCCCCGCGCGTGCATGCAGTCGCTTTGCCTCTGTGGCTCGTCGACTGCTGCGTTCGAGGCTGCTTTTGTCTGATTGGACGTGGCTTGGTTTGGAAATCGATGCGCTGACGAGTGTGGTTGGCCCAGAGCGCAGTACGACGCGCACCGCCGATTCAGCCCTCTGGTACAGACCGACGCAGTGTCCAAGCAGCACGACGAGTCGACTTCCTTAGCCTTTGCTAGACGGCGGCGGTTTTGAGCCGCTCATCCCTCTGTGGCACCCACCGCCACAGGAGGCGAGGAGCACTTCTCGTCAATAACCTCCTGGCCTCGCAGCAAGCTGCCCACGCAAATCTGAAGCATGTCGCAACGCGAGTACCACATAGTCGTCCTAGGTTCTGGTAAGCTAGTTAGACACCGTCAGCAACTAGGTCACAACTGACGAGAGTGGCGCCTTAGGTGGAGTCGGGAAGAGCTGCCTAACAGGTAAGGTTACCGCCTCGAGCACTCGCCATCACCACAGCAGCGCTGACTTGTCCACAGCGCAATTCGTGCAGAATGTATGGATAGAGAGTTACGATCCTACCATTGAAGATTCATACCGAAAGGTGCTTGATGTTGATGTGAGTGTGCTTCGACCCTCCTGCACTACCTTGTTGCTGACCCGCTGAAGGGCCGCCATGTCATTCTGGAGATTCTGGACACTGCAGGCACGGAACAGTTCAGTAAGTGTCTATAGCCACCCCATACACACACGAGACATGACTAACCACAAGTAGCTGCTATGAGGTAATACACCGTTTGAGACTCATGCCAGCTCACGACTTACACCCCATAGGGAACTGTATATGAAAACCGGTCAAGGGTTCCTTCTCGTCTTCAGCATAACGTCGGCATCTTCGTTCTGGGAACTGGCAGAGCTTCGGGAGCAAATACGACGAATAAAGGAAGATAGCAACGTTCCCATGGTCCTCATCGGCAACAAGTCAGATCTAGAAGAAGACCGAGCAGTGCCACGCCCACGCGCCTTTGCAATTTCCCGTGAGTGGAACATACCATACTTTGAAACCAGTGCTCGAAGGAGAGCCAATGTGGATGAAGCCTTTGTCGACCTCTGCAGGCAAATCATCCGCAAAGATCAACAGGAACGGCAGCGCATGGCCCCACCCGATTCACCCAGACCTGGCCCAAGGTCGCGGACGCATACTGGAAGGCCTAAGCGCCGGGGACACCGACCGCATTGTACCATCCTTTAAGTTACGATACCCAACGACGGACGACTGCACGAGTGGCAGTGGGCTTGCTGGTACAGGCGCTGTCACGATTCCCTTCGCATCGCTCGTTCCAAGTTCCTCAGTTTAGATTTTTGGTACCATAGAGGTATTAGATTATCCGCTCACAGCGGCAATTAATTCCCTTTTCCATACGGTTGAATCCATTACGCTTATGTGCCCGTATTTGCGATTGGCTTTGCACGTCTGCTGGTGGGTGTTTGATGTCTCGTATGCAGACGTAACATGTGTCCACAACATGTAGTCAAAGCAAGGCACGGGAAGGAGATCTGTCCTTACACCTTACCCCCACCCGGCGAATCTGCCAGGTCACTAGATCCGGGTGGAGACATCTCGATGAGGACTACGTATGACGTGTTGGCTGTCAGTATATGGCAACATGTCTGCTTCCAGGCCACAGTATGCAGCACAGCCAGCGGAGTAGACTCCTCCGGGAACAAGCACCTTCCGGAACCGACCCCCTCGGATCTCAGCCGGCCCTGCATTCCTGCGGCTACCGCCTATCCTCGGGCTGAAACAGGAGCGCGTGACAGCTTAAGTGTGGCTTCTTTGCGGCAAGCGTTTGCGTGCTTTGTTGGGCTGCTGTCCTGAAGCAAGCCGCGGTACACGACCTGACGTCACCGGCGGGGCAATAGAGGGGCGTCATTCAGGCACGCAGCGAATGCGAGATGGTTATCCATTCGCCCATGACGCGATTAGCATGATGATCCACGATCGACAACGGAATTTTCAAAAAGTGCCACTCTCTTGCGTGGGTTTGTGCATTGCATGTGATGGTTCGTGGCTGCGGGTACTCCATCGCGCTTGCGTGGTCTGGCCCTCTTCCATGGGCTCCTCCTGTGTGACGTCACTCACCACCGAAAAAACAGTGACGTATGTTTGTTTGTACTGTGTTGGAGCCTAGCGCTCAGCCCCTCATTAGCCTCCCTCACCTACCCCTCTTGCTCTACATAAATACCCTCACCCGTCTCCCCTTTGCTTCCTCCATCAAACACCAAGCCTTCATCACCTCAACTACACTATCACTTCTTCAAACCAAACCCCCTCAAACCCAAACACTTCAAAATGTCTGCTCCCAACGCCAACACTCCCAACGAGGGCATCGTCGGCCAGGCCGTCAACTCTGTCAAGAACGCCGCCAACTACGTCTCCGAGTCCATCCAGGGCCAGTCCGCTGAGGCCCAGAAGGAGGCCAACAAGCAGCAGGCCAAGGGCAACGTTCCCGGACAGGACTCTCTTACCGACCGTGCCTCCGGTGCTCTTAGCGCTGCCTCCGACAAGATGAACCAGGAGAAGCACGAGGGCTCCGCTGAGGCCAACAAGCGCTCCATCTAAGTACTCAGTACTTGAGCACCGGTTCGACATTTCACTTCGGTACGTGGTCTTCACTCATCCTTCTTTCACATCAAGAGCTAACAATGCTGAAGGTTCAGAACGATACCACTATGGTTTGAGCGATGAGCACTGCGACTCTCGCCTGGTTCACGATAGCTCCATGATGATGGATATGAGATACCAATAAATCCTTTTAACTTTATAACTTGTGTGCCATCATGTGACTGTGAGACTGAGTAGTGTTTGTACAGGATCATTAACTTTGGCATTCAATCATGGTTCTAGCGCTTCGGGTCTTCCATGCCTTGGCGGACCCTCATGTGCCGTCCAACGATGCTTTCATTATACCCTGAGTTCGCTGGTTTCCATCCAATGCTGAAGCATTAGCCATATAATACATGGTTGTTTTGTGACACATCATCACTCAGCATTCAATGGTATAAGCTCGTGTGGTTCAATGGACATCGAATGTAGTTCAAGTCACATCTCGCGCAGGTCACTCCAACAATCTCATACTTCAAGCATACAGACAAGTCTACATTGTCATATCTGAGCGAATACAAGTCACAACATCATCGATACATAATAGTATGGTCATCTCATAAGGTTGTTCAGTGATATTACCAGTGGTACTACTAGCAAAACAAACGCATTACTCAAGAAAGCGCTTCGCGGAAAACAAAGGGTATCGAATGATCAGGGAATTGGGAAAGCCAAGTATGAAAGGAGTCTACAGTGATCGGGTTCGTGTCATTTCCAACTCTTTCCTCATTGCTTGTGGAGATTGTGGAACATGCCGTCGCGGGGACATTTGTGTGGTACGTAGGCGGGGGCGTGGGCGTAGATACATGTGGTAATGGCGCAGAATTACAACGTTGGTTTCGAACGACCGAGAGATGGTGCTGGTGTTTGCAATAGGCAGTGCAAGAGATCGTGGAAAGAGGAAGAAAACTTCTGGAGTAGCGCGTTGGAGGGTGTGTTGACTGTACGAGCGACGGAGGACGGGTTTCATCCGAGACAGCTAGACTGCGGGACTTGGTCGTACCGTCTACGCTGGAACAAGCTCTTGATGTTGACGATTGTGGCCCCTAAGCAACTGTCTTGGGCGCATGAAGCCAAGATGCATCATCGCCGTGTCCGGTGTCGAATTCAACGTTAATCCGGAACCTCTGCAGATAGCACATCTTGTCAGCACACCTCTCATTCCTAGTCCCTCACATGAAGGGCAGGACAGGAGTGGGCCTTCAGACGTGCATAGCGCCACGGCCAGTATGCGTAGTCCTTGCCTTGAAGTGTTTCCAGAACATCACACCACCAATGACCGCCGAGATAAACCAAAGCAACATATTCGTCAACAGCACCCACACCCCATTCTTCATTCTGGTGATACCCTTGTTCCCCTCTGGGTTCTCCCCAATGAACATCTTCCCAAAGATGCCAAACGCAACGAGATAGCACAGGAAGACCAGCGCATCAACGGCGAAGAAGAACCACGCCTTCATGAGCGGTAGCATGGCGAGGAGTGAGCAAAGCGCACCGAGCGTACCGCATACAACGGCCCACACCCATTTCGAGTCGACGTATTTCCCTTGCTTGCGCGCGTTGTCCAGGTCCACGGCGTAGAGTCCGATGACGGTGAGGCCCATGACGAATTGGCAGAAGCGCAGAACGAGGCGCAGGATGGTTGTTGGGGTGAGGGAGGCGCCGAGAGAGGTCCCTAGGGTGGCTTTCTCGCCCCGTAGAGTGCTACGCGAAAGGAATTTGAAGCCCATGGCTGCTAGGAAACTGAGCATTTTGCGTTAGCTGGGCTTGATGATACGTTATATATATGTGTGTGTGTGGATCTGTGTGAGAGACAGGTAGACAATGTCTTACCCTTTGTAGATGCGATGCGCGACTTTGTAAAGTTTGTTGGTTTAGACGTCGTGCGCGGATGTCTCTCTTCGTTCTTCGATGTTTCGCAGAGCTTCTTGGTAGTTGGGGTGGTCGCAATGGATAGAGCGGGGAAGAAGAAATAGTTGCGAACCGCAGTGATTAAACAAAGGTCGTCTCTCGTACTGTGACCGAAACAACGCCGCTGTAACTTGCGCGTACTAAACCTCGTTGGCACACAAGGTTTCTTTTGGACCCTGGGAACTTCAGGGTCTTGACAATGTCACCGTTCCCTCTTCCTTCCAAGCGCGATGACGTCGGGGGTTGATCCTGGGGTGGGATGTGGCTTCCAGGGATTAATTAAATTTGTGCACGCGCTCTTTCGGTGCGAATGGGGAAAGATCGGCAAAGAGAAGGTGTGACAGCAAGGCTATTTGGAAGATGTGCGATAAAAGGGGTATAGACGCTACTGGAACGATAGATAGGCAAGGCGCGATAGAATGGAAGTACCAAAGGGACTATCCCGCGACTGTCAAAGCCGGCGGTGATGGGAATGAGACGTGGGAAGAATAGAATGCAACGCTGGACATGTACAATCCGCCTCTCCATCGCACCTCTTATGAATTCCACAGCGAAATATTTCGTGGCATCGGAAGCGTAATTCGGCCATGCGTTGGCGCCTGACCACACTTCCAGCGCGTTGTGAACGAGCGGTTGGAGATCTGATGACCCTGTTTGAGGCGCCGACGCTGACGTAGTGGAGCTCGAGTAGCGTTGCATCCAGGGCAGGAGTGTTTCACAATGTGATTCGCTGGCAACACTTGAACACCTGCGACATGAAACTTACCGTGAAGTCCGAGGTAACTTCGCTGTCGCAGGAAATGGCGTGCGACGAGCGACATTGGACTGAGTGATAGATTGACAGTTTCGGCGCCTGGAATCTATATATTTCAAGAAGTCTCTGCGGTGGCACAAGTACGGTATCTGTATGAAGAGTAATATTGTTTCATTCGCGGGGTATTAATCACCCACGGTTTGTAGTACGTTCACATACAGTTATCCGGCATACGAAAGACATGAAAAATGTCTAAGGACTTGAGTACTTGTAGCCATATTGCTCCTTCGCAGCCTTGATCTGCTCCATGAGCTTGTTCTCCTTCTCCGCAAACTCCTTGTCATCCTTCAACTTCTGCAAGTACGTGTCGTTTCCAAAGCCGCTCTTGCTCGGGATGTCCAAGCCGCGCTGGACTGCAGGTCGTGCCTGTATGCGCTCCAACCACTTCTTCACGTTCGGGAATGAGTCGAGATCAACGCCGGAGAAGCGTAGCATGTGGGCCCATCCAAAGCTGGCAATGTCTGCGATGCTGAACTTGTTGCCTACGAGATAGTCTGTGTTGGCGAGGTGCGAGTCGAGGATGCCGACCAGACGTTCCGTCTCGCCTGTGTAACGCTGCATGGCATAGGGAATGCGCTCCTTGGCGAAGCGGTTGAAATGGTTAGCCTGGCCCTGCATAGGACCAAGGCCGCCGTGCTGCCATGCCATCCATTGTTCTGCGCGCGAGACGTCGAGAGGGTCGCTGAAGCTGAACTTGTGTTCGGGGTCGTAGTGGCGCGTGAGGTACGTGAGGATTGAGAGACCTTCTTGGACAGCGAAGCCACCCTGGTCGTGGTCGACGATTACACTATTTGTTGGCATGCAAGGTCAGTACGCGTCTCACGAGAAGTTCGTAGGGTGGCATTGCTTACGGAATGCGTCCATTTGGGCCGAGCTTGGTGAACCAAGGCTCCTTTTGTGTGTTCTTTGAGATGTTGATGCTTTGCCATGTGTAGTCCTTTCCGTAGGCTTCCTTGAGCTCTTCGAGCATAATGCTAGCCTTCCATCCATTGGGCGTGCCGAAGGTGAGCAGCTCGATGCCCTTGTCCGCCTTCAGTCCGGTGGGTTCGCCGTCGGCCATTTCGGGAAGTATGCGAAGTAACGGTTGTGAGCTGTGGAAGTGTGATCGGAGAGGTTTGCGCGTTTGGGCGGGGAGACGTGTGAATTGTCGTAGTTGTGAGGAGAGAGAGGGTCGAAGTAGTGACATGAAGAGGGGTAGCTTCAGCGCGTTATGGAGGGGTTATATGCGGCCAGATGCATGTGGAGAGCTATTTCTTTCCAAGTGCCATTGCTTAGGAATCATCCATGACGTCGTCCTCGTAATACTGACATTGCGCACGCGTGCGCACTGACATGATTGGTAAGTGATGAAATCTTCAAATCCGTCGGACAAGTATCAACGGGCGTAAAGTCCATGGGTCGCGTTCTCTACTCAAGTTCGCGATGCGCTGTACCTTGTCAGCATTCTGGTGACTTGCGTGACTAAGCGACTTCGCGAGACCTGGACTCAAGCCCGACATTGAAAGTTTCGAACCTAGATAATTTAAACAAATTAGTTCTAACTTCCTAAATAAAAACGGATATATTGCACTTGAAGAGATTTGTGCGTCAAAGGAGGTACAAGAAAATTCTGCATGAGATCTACGCCTACGTCGATGAAATACTCATGATCTTTCAATCATTGTGTCTATATCGTGGTATACAAGTCTTATCCAATTCTCTTACTATACATCCTCCTACCTGCTACCCTCACCATACCATGGATGAATTAGCAAGAACGTTGAACAACAAGCTGTAGCCCCTCAACGGATGCTTAGTTGATTTTGTATTCACTTCCGCCTCCACACCAGCACCGTCCCTCGCCTTCTTTCTCGACATGTATTACTACATCCATACCCCGGTCCTTCAGGAACTGGTGCGAGCGCTCCCGCACGTCTTCTGGGTCTGCCATGCGGTTGGCGATGATGTGGATCACGCCGAGAATGCGACGTTGCTTGGGTGCGTGGCTATGATCGTGATCGTGGTCGTGATGATCATGCGAGTGTGAATGCACATGTCCGTGATCATGGCCGTGGTCGTGGGAGTGTGCGTGGTCGTGAGAATGCGAGTGAGAGTGGCCGTGGTCGTGTGAATGGGAGTGATCATGTTCGTGATGATCGTGCGGATGGTCATCGTGCTTATGGCCGCCTCCGCAATCATGGTCCTCTTTTGCGTGTGCTTCTGCATGCGCAGCACCTTCGTCTTCGAGCCAGAACTTTGGTACCGCGTATCCGACAACGCCTCTCAATGTGCCCAGTTCGCCTAAGGTATTCCTGATGCTATACTCGAGGTCGTTTGGCAGACTCAGCATGAGTCTTGCGCCACTCGACTTGACAAGCGGGATGGCTGACAAGAAGATCAGGATCGCGATGATGCAGGACGCGATCGGATCCCATCCAGACCAACCATAGTACTTTGTAAGAAGGGTAGATATGATGACTGCAACAGAGCCAAGCGCATCGGCAAGAATGTGCAGAAAAATTCCCTGCATATTTTCGTTGTCGTGGGAATGTCCATGTCCATGGTCATGTCCCTCATGTCCGTGATCATGATCGTGTCCATGGCCGTGGTGCGCATGGCCAAAGGCTACAAGGCCCACGATATTAACGATGAAACCGAGAATGCTGACAATCAAAAGCTCATTAAGACGCTGGAGTTCGTGACCTTCCCAGAGGCGTTCAAAGGCATCGAAGATGATCTCTAAACTGACCAACCTGCTTCTAATTAGCACAGACGTGAAGTATACATTAGGGTGACTTACAGGAGGAAGACGCCGTTTGCAAAGCCAGACAGCGTATCGACCTTACCATAGCCGTATGGGAAGCGGGCGTTGGGGCGCCACTTGCTCATCACTGCTGCTGCAAGTCCCACAGCGAGACCAGCGCAGTCGAAGAGCATGTGGATACTATCCGTGAGCAACCCCAATGATCCACTGACGAAGCCGTAGAAGAACTGCACCATCATGAAGGAGAGGTTGAGTCTATCAAAGTTAGTTGAATCTGCTGAGTAGAAGGTAGTGGACCTACACGCCAAAGTACGCAATGCGTCGCGAATCGCGCTCAATCAGCACGCTATGCACAATCGAGCCCGGAGTCGCGCGTGCGATGAGAAATGCCGAGATCCTAGAATGGTTTCCATGAAGATGATGATCGTGATTATGGCCGTGGTCATGGCCATGCGAATGCTTGTGCCCCGCATGTCCATGGTCGTGCGAATGGGGTACAGACGAACGAGTGTCAACGGCGACCGCCGCGATTAGCATAGCGCAAACCCAAGGGAACGCGATGTTGAAATGACTAAGAGCCTGGTGTTCCAAGAAGCTCAGGGCGAAAATGAGGATACCGCTCAATCTCAACCCCACCTGTTTTTGATTCCGTAAAGATGCGGGAAGTGATAGGAAAATGAGCGCCGTAGTAGATGCAACCGATAAAACTGACAACCCCAGGGTGTGATGCGATACAGAGGGTGCGGCAGAAGAAACAAATGAATACAAGATAGTTGTGACAGTTAAGACAAGGCCTGACGCAATCGTGAGCAGTTGGTTCTCGGTACTGTTCACCAATGGCGAAGAAGGCTTTGGCAGCGATGCGCGAGATGGCTTTTGAGTCATGTATGAGTCTTGGCTCTTTGGCCCGGTCATCAATGACCAGCCTGCTGTGGGAAGAGGCGGCGGGACCAAGAGTAGCGATACTAGAAGGGCCGTATAGCCGATCAGACTGCCTGTGACGTTGCGAGAGGTACATATGTCAACCGTCATACCCAAGAGAAGGGCCCCGCAGGTCACCTTCCTGGTTCTCAATGTTCGTCGGATGTCGTCCCAAGGTGTGTGCTTCCCAGGTTTCTGGTCTAGGGCACCAATGCCTGCAGCGACTGCTACTAACATGGCTAAGGCTGTCTTCGCTCCTCCTATCTGCAGAGATGCGTAGAACGGCAGTAGGACGCCGAGTATATTGCTTGCCACGCGTTTCGGCGCATTGCTGATAGTGAATGTGCCTTTCTCCTCCTTCCGTCTGTCGAGTGGCTGTAGACTGGAGTTGACTTTGGCTATTACACCGACTAGCAGCAGCGTCCCAGACGAGAGAGCGAGCGTATGTAGTAACGGGAAGCCACTTGTTGCGGTCGCGTATTCGAGTTCAGGTGATTTCTCTGCCACGGCTTCTGATAGACTCGACAGTAGCTCGGAAGGCGGTCTGACGCCGCTGGGGTATGCTAATGCGGCGAAAAGATACGGGAGAGGGATTAGGAGCGCTGTAAGGGCTTCGGGGAGTTCTAGCCATGACCTAGACAGTCTGTTAGTTGTGGCTTTCTTGATCATCTCAAGTAGTCCTTACGAAGAAACAGGAGGAGGCGGCGCATGCGCTGGAGATTCCTGTATAGGTGATACTGGCGAGAAACCATACTTCTCAGCGGCAGGTGTCTTCCTTGCCGGTGAGCGACCCAGATCCGATTCACCCCGCGCCCGTCCTTTTGGTCTTCCATTCGAAAAAGGCTTCAGCGTGTAGGTGGAATCGTTGGAGCCCGACCTCTCATGCCCGTGCTCATGCTCATGCGCAGGACCGTTGTACTCGGCATAGGGCGAGCGCACAGCGCCATACAGATGCCCGTTGCCGTTCATATCAGACCGCGTGTGTCGGTGGCCGTGGTCTTTCGCCGGCGATGAACCGTTCACGGTGTTATTCGAGTACGAAGAGGGATCCGGTGTGTATTGTGACGACGAGCGGCCATGGCTGTGTGTGTGCGAGGTGGGCGTGATAGGCAGCGCATATGTCGACGCCATTCGCAACGCCACGTTCGTCCGCCCGCTATGGGGTCGTCTTGACTCGGTGAAGGTAATTGGCCGAGTGGGGCTCGCGATGCGCGATGAAACGGTGCTCAATTGCCTTGAGATGGCGGTGTTGGAGGGGAAAAAGCAACGTGAACCGTAGCCAGCAAGCGTGAGTGTACTGCAATGAGGCGACGCAGCGCTTTGGCGTCTTGGTGTTTCGATAGCGGCGCGCGTTGCAGCACTATCAATAAGTTTCAGGGGTCTTACAGATTGACATGACTGTCATTGAGCGCCTTCCCCTTTCGGTCCTACCCCGGCTCAGATCTCCGCATCTCGTGGCTAGCCCTTGGCGTTGACGCACGCGGCGGCTGCCACGGTCGCCCGAGCCGCCTTGCAATTGGACAGCACTAACACAACACCAAAATGTTCGACGACTACACCACGCCCGACAAGGACGGCAACCTCTTGTCTGTCATTCTAGGCGTCGTCGTCACGTTGTCAACGCTGTTTACTGCGCTGCTATTGACGCTGCCTAGTCAGTATGATCCGTACAAGGATAAGCCGCTTAGGTTTGTGGGCGACGATGGAAAGGAGATCAAAATGAAGACAAAAGATGGGAAAGAGCCGATGTTATGGAAGCAGGGCCGCTCGGTGCAAGTGGTTGTATTGGGAGACATTGGACGGTCGCCACGGATGCAATATCACGCTCTCAGTATCGCCAAGCATGGTGGAAAAGTGTTCCTCGTCGGCTATCAAGGTTAGTAGCAGTCATCTTTGCAATACAGCAAGCAGCTAAATCCAGGAAGAGTCGGATATTATTCCAGATATCGTATCAAATCCTTTGGTCGAGATTATCCCACTCTCACCAGCGCCAAGCTTCCTGCGGTCGAGTAGCAAACTTCTCTTTCCCGTTCTAGCACCTCTCAAGGTCCTTTGGCAGGTATGGTCGTTGTACCGCGCGCTGGGCTATCGCTCTAAGCCTGCAAGATGGACGCTCGTGCAAAACCCACCTTCGATACCAACTCTCGCTGTAGCAAGCCTGGTATGCTTCTTGCGACGTACTGATCTAGTCATCGACTGGCACAACTTCGGGTACACCATTCTTGCTATGAAGCTTGGCAACAGTCACCCTCTCGTAAAGATTTCTGAGAAGTACGAGAAGATCTTTGCGAAGGCTGCGTCGCATCATTTCACGGTGACTAACGCGATGGCTCGCGTGCTCAAAAACGACTACGGCGTGACAGCAGAAGCACTGCACGATCGCCCAGCCTCTATCTTCCAGCCGATCGAACAGCGAGATCGGGACAAGTTTCTCGCACGACTACCGGAAACAGCAGAGTACGCCTCGGATCTTTCTGCGACTTCGAAGACGCCATGGAAACTCATCGTCAGTGCCACGTCCTGGACTGCCGACGAGGACTTCTCGCTTCTCCTTGACGCCCTCGTAGCTTATTCTGCAGAGTGTACATCTAAGACCTATCTGCCAAAGATTCTTGCCATTATCACTGGAAAAGGCCCCCAGAAGGAGTATTACCTTTCGAAGATTAGGGAGCTCAATCAGCAGAAGAAGCTATTGAACGTCGTCATCAAAACAGCATGGCTCACGCATTCTGACTACGCCCTTCTTCTTGCATCCGCTGATTTGGGAGTCTCTCTACACACATCGTCTTCCGGTGTCGACCTGCCGATGAAGGTGGTCGACATGTTCGGTGCAGGCCTACCAGTTGTCGGTTGGGGAAAGTTCGAAGCCTGGCCCGAGCTCGTCAAGCAAGGTGTAAATGGACTTGGCTTCCAAAGCTCTGAAGAGCTCGCCTTACATCTAGCTACTTTCTTCGGCAACGATACAAGGCTGAGGGAGACGCTGAAAGAGGGCGCACTCAAGGAGAGCGAACACCGGTGGGATGAAGAGTGGGATGGTGTAGGCGGGAAGCTGTTCAAGCTCACATAATCGATGAGCACTCACATGAGTGTAACAGATATATGATAAGACATGAATAAACTACGTTGAACGCTGACAGACCTAAACCTTCCCAAAACTCCAGTCCCAGTACTCCGCGCTTATAACTACATCAAGAAACACAAGCTGCCAACAGAGTTGGTATGAATCAGTTCAATCAAAAACCACACCAGAGTAGCCACCGTCACCGGTCATACATTCACGCGTCGCCCCGATAAATAGTGTATCAGCGCTTGGATCATTAGGAAGCAGCACTGTACGTTCTTCACCCTTACCATCATCGCTCTCGGTTGTCCCGGTGCTGCTTTCACCACTACCCTCCGCTGAACCAGCAATACCATCAACAGCCACCTCATCCTCATCCGCAATACCTATGCTTCCTCGCCAGCTCTCAGCCAGCTCCCTGTCCCGTTCATCAAGATCCGTAGCATCAAGCTCCTCGGCCAAGGAACGCGGCGACGGCACCACACTAAACCGAACGACTGAAGGTGTCAAAACTCCGGTCGAATATTCCCCCCACCGAGCAATCTCTCCGTGAAATTGTGTCACCACACGCTTGTATTGTGCACGAGGACTTGTCGGCTGGCATACCGTTTTCTTGAATTCCTTCCAAAGCGCAGCTTGCTTGATCCTTTCGCCAGTACCAGCCCATAACCTAATCTCTCTTTCTTCACACGCGTGATATGGTACTTTATCCTCGTACTCAATAACGAGATCGTTCATTTCTTGGTCGCATGACAACATTGCTTGCACTAGGTACTCGTGTTCTAGGTCTCCGTACATAACATCGTAGTACTGGTATTGTCGCTGCATGTCTTCGTGCAGGGTTGTGGTTAGATCTTCGATGATCTTGAAATACTGCAGCGTGCGGGTGTGTAGTGGCTGAGGAGAATCTTTACGTATCTCTCCCATTTTGGTTGGTTGGGTGATTGGCGAAACTGGATACCTAGGTATGAATGTGGAGGATTGTGAGAAAGTGTGCGTTTCATACGTGTTGATGAGCGTTGTTGCAACTCAGCTGTCTTTGTAGTAAATTGTGAAAACTCGGTGTCTTGGAGTAAATGAGTCTGTAGAAATGTTGGCGCAGAAAGGAATGTCACAAAACTCAGTTATATCGAGAACCTGCAAAGATGATGAAGTTTCGCTACCGGATAGAAGCGACGATACGGGAATGTATACATTCTAGATAATTGTTTCCTGGTTCGCCAATGTGCTTTGTGCAGAGAGAAATCAGAACCATGATTCGATCATCCAGAAAACTTCATTTAGTGCAGACGAATATTGGGCCAATGAGGTTGACGTTTTTGGTAAGAAGGCCTACCTATTTCCTGGGGTACCAAAGTCATTGATAACCAATCTGTGTTTCATTATACGTGCGGTCTACCGTAGCGGTCGTAGCATGAGGCTGTCGACCAAAGATCACAATATCCACGCTCTTACTTTTCCACCCTTCGCACCTGCCGCGTGAACCCAACTACAGCGTCAACTTGTTCTTCAGCCATGTATCTTGAGCACGTGGATGTGGATACGTAAGGCCTGTATGTCTGTGACACACTAAGTAGCCCACTCGATTGCAACAGCCATCGCAAAGCTCAGAAGCACGGCCACGAACATTGTTGCCGGAGACATTCAATAGAAGATATGACAAAGGCAGGTGTATCATGGGTAGGTCTAAGTATGTCGTGCGAACAGAAGAGAGATATAAACCTAGAAGAAGTCGAGAGAGGCGGTGAAGTGCATAAAGATGATGTGGATGAACGTTGTCGTGGTGTTTCGTTGGTCTGCAGGGTCGGCCCTTCCTCTCCCGGCGTGTCCGCGCCACCCTAGTCCCTGTTTTATCCCCTATCGCTATATTTGGGCGCGTGCGTACTCGCCAGCACACGCGCAATCAGCCAAAACGTCACTTCACATTCCTTTCTCTGACTCCCGATCCCATTCTAACAAACTTCTATTCTCTCTTTGAGTGTTTATTGCGCGTTAATCAAACAATTCTTCCTGTCCGAAACTTTTATCTACACACCGCGACTTTTGCGCGACTCTCACGAACAATTGATCTCGGTTTCTCAGCAACTTGCGCGACATGCTACTCCGATAGCCCAAGCCCGATACGATCTGCAGTCGGCCCATCTGGAACTGTTTGCTGCAAATACAACTGAACAATGATGGATCAGATCGAAGAACGATGGAAAGCTTTTGAGGAGAATCATCCCAAGATACGCACGCTTGTTGAGACCGTGAAGCCATACATTCCGCCGGTCAACTTCATCACGCTACACTATGCCTACTTCATCAGTGTTACCCTATTGGGCACACTCATTTTTTGGGGCTCGTCAAATCCATCCAAAAGCATTGGATGGTGGGATAGCATGTTCATGTGCATGAGCGCTATGACCGCTGCAGGACTCAATTCTGTCAATGTCAGCCAGCTCACTACATTCCAGCAAGCAGAGTTAGCCGTGTTGATGATGATGGGAAGTCAGGTGCTGGTTAGCTACTTCACCGTTGCTTTTCGGAAACACATCTTCGAGAAGAGGTTCGAGGATATCGTGGAGGGTGAGAAAGAGAGACGGAACGCACGGAAGGGCGAGGTTGGCGCTGTGGTAGGAATGACGGGGGCTATGTTTGGGCTGCCAATCATGGGGTCATTTGGAGAAAATAAGAAGGGAAGCAGGCCGAAAGCAGAATTTAATGTGGTCACGCCGCTGCAAACATGCGTTGAGGACATGCCACCCAGTACGCCGATTCAGGATAACCAAACGCAAACCGGATTATCGCCCATATCGCCTGGCGCAAGAGAAAGGAGTCTGGCCCAGCACGTCGGTTTTCTAGATCCTATACGAGAGCGCGTCTCCCACGACAGACCCATGTCAGCAACGACAGGACATTCGATCTACAACGTGCAGAGTCATCAGAGCATGTCGAAACGCCGCCGCTCGCTGGCCGAAGAGTCTGGAGTAGGCGATAGCTTCAACGTGAAGACTTTCGTCAATGAGCAAAAGCGCAACATTGGCCGGAACGGGCAGTTCTTCAACCTGTCTTCAGATCAGCGAGAGTACCTGGGTGGTGTCGAGTACCGCGCGCTGAAGTTCCTCTCCATGTTCGTACCGGCATACTTCATACTCTGGCAGTTCTTCGGCGGAATCGCACTGGGCGCCTACATGTCCGTCTACGAAAGGGAAGCTTGCGCTGTTAATGCGCAGAACCCTTGGTGGGCTGGCATCTTCCTCGCTATCTCTGCGTACAGCAACGCCGGCTTTACGCTGCTAGACGCAGGTTTCATACCCTTCCAGTCATCATACTACGTCCTCGTCATCGTAACGATACTGTCGCTCGCTGGGCCAGCCGCCTTTCCTGTCTTCGTACGCTTCCTCATCTGGAGCATGTCCACACTTCTTGATCTCTTCTCCAAAGACAAAGAGTATGGCGTATGGAAAGAAGGCTTCGACTTCATTCTCAAATTTCCACGTCGCGTGTATACCAGCATGTTTCCTGCGCGAGACACTTGGCTATTCATCGCAACCTTTGGCTCATTTGTAACCGTCGACTGGATCCTGATTCTTATTCTCAGTATTGGGAATCCGACGCTGGAAGTCATACCCCTTGGCCAGCGCATCTTCATCTCACTATTCGAAGGCTTCTCGATTCCCACTGGAGGCTACGCCATCGTCTCCCCATCGGGCATGTACTTTGACGTTCAGGTGCTGTGGCTCGTTGTCTTCTACACCGCTGCGTACCCTCATATCATCACCATGCGCAAGACCAATGTTTACGAAGAACGCTCATTGGGCATATACGAGGGCGACGAGGCTGAGCCAGAACAACTCCACTCGGCGTCCAGCTCGCTCTTCGATGTCGACGCTGCGATGCCTTCTCTGACCACCGCTGTATCACAGTCCGAGAAGACGTCTCTGGCGCCTATCAAGTCTCTCAGCAAAGTCGGCCGCCGCGGTACTGCATTTGTAGGCCGCCAACTTCAGCACCGTATGACGGCCTTCCAAGGTGTCGGTGTCGCCAATTTGCCCGCAGCGCCTGCTCCATTGAAGCGAGCAGTGACCATGGACTTCAATCGGATGTCAGTCCATTCCCTTTCTTCACACCCACCAACCCGACCGCCTTCTCTCATCAGCCAGCAAGTCCGCGGCCAACTTTCGCACGATGTATGGTGGATTGCCTTTGCTCTCTTCCTTATCGCGATCATCGAAACACATCATTCCATCGAAGATCCTCGTACATATAGTGTGTTTACCATGCTGTTTGAGATTGTGAGCGGATACACAACTATTGGAATTAGTATCGGTTTGCCGGATCAATCGTACAGTTTCAGTGGCGGCATGTACACAGGAAGCAAGATTGTTATGATCTTGGTTATGTTGAGGGGTAGACACAGGGGTCTGCCTGTTGCGCTTGATCGCGCTGTCAGATTGCCAGGGAAGAAGCTGGCGGAGATGGAGGAGGAGGATGCGGAGATCAGAAGCATGTTTTCTCAGTGAGCGAATGCGATTTAGCGATTAGCAATTTCTTTGAGCCTGGCCGATAGACTAACAAAAGCGATGGATGCAGTTCTGGAATCAGTCGTACATGCTGGACATTATTCGGAGACATTAGACTCCATTGAATTCGTCAGAGCAATCAACTACCCAGAGTAGCAACAACATCCACCTGATAAATTACCTCCACCACACCATGCACAAGTCCTTCTAACAAGCTTTGCATCCACACCATCTACAAGACAAGTCCAACAGCAGCGAGCAAACCACCAAGCCCCAAAGCCGCAGAAGCCATGTTCGCGGGTGCAGCATTGCCTGGGCCATCGCCGTTACCATTTCCATTACCATTGCCAGAAGCACCAGTACCCGAAGGACCATTACTGTTACCAGGACCACCCGAGCCAGAAGCACCCGTCGCTGAAGCAACGTTAGACGGCATACCAGAAGGACGCGAAGCAGTTCCCGACATGGTAGTCATGGGACCGGGACCGTTGGGAGAAGCGTTCGAAGCGTTCGGAGCGGCAGACGTACCGGAAGCAGAAGCCGGGGGCGCTGTAGCAGCGGCGGATGGGTTGTAGGATGTTGTACTAAAGGAGCATTCGCGGACGATGTCGTTGACGTCTGTGGGTGTGTTAGTATGGGGGTTGACATGGAAGGTGTAGGGAAGTAGGGGTGGTTAGGGCGTACCATTGTCCATCTCTCCGCCGTTCTGCATGATGCATGCTGCGCAGAGGGGGACGACGGTGTTTGCATTTTGGCCGTTGCAGATGCATTGGCGCTCGGCCGTATCGTCGTCTACAATGCGAAGTCAGTATCTGGATGCTCACTGGCCTGGACTAGACTCATTTATGGAGGAAAACTTACTGGTGCTGTTGTCACAGTCGCGTGTCAGCCTAGTGACAGAAGAGCAGACATCGCGGCACTGCATGGGAACATCGTCCCGGTCAACGTCCTGAGCAAGACCGATGGCCGAAAGGGCAAAGACAAGAGCGAGCTTCTGGAAATGCATTGTTGTGGAAGGTGTTGGTAGTAGTAGTCTCAAACGAGAGTCGTAGAGTGTTGTTGTATTGTTGCTGAGCAGTGAAGACAGTGGTTTGTGTTGGTGATGTCCTTCATCGTGGGAAGTCTGAGGGAACTATATACCAGTCAAAACTGCTCGCGTGCCTATTTTCCCTTCTCAGACAGCCTTGCATGCGCATCCAATCAAACGCTGCTCTTCCTCGCGCAGTCGCAGGGCTGACATCACACCGGGGGGATTACGTCTGACAGCAGACTCCGCCATGCGCCCCATCCAACATCGGGCCGTTGTCGGTTATCACAGGTGGAGGTTTGCCATGGGGTAGATGGAGATCAAGGCCTTGTTACCAGACGTCCAAGCATGGACTTAGATGGCGTGCCAAGCCTCCGTCACTTCCTAGATGCTTGGCGGGTGAGGTTATTGGGCTGCTCCTCCAGGACGATCGTCTTGTGTTGCACCCAGCACTGCCTGCCGCGACGCGACAGCTCTGCGAACAACACACACGCCTACGCGTAGCCAAGTGTCTAAAAGAAAGTTACAAGAATCGTCTAAAAAAAGCAGGATACACCACATGGCTTCGGTAATGGTGGGTCTTGGCAGCCATCAACTTGAGAATGCGGAGAACTTGTGGGTTGCGGTTAAGTGATCAATGCAATACTAGTGCATGAGGTCACAACAATGTGGATCGAGTCAGGCCCTCTTGTCGACTAAGGAAATCCTCCCCGCTTCACCTGCCCGTCAAAGCGTTCGAGCCTGATTTGATCAGGCTTTCACCAAGCTCTGCGGATGTTCCTGCCAAGTGTGAGCCAAGTGAATAATGCACATGTTCCATGCCCGCACCGCCATCGATTACGTGGTGGGCAGTCGCACGTCGTGTGAGGCTGTAAAGGCGGTATGACCTGGTTTCTTCGTTGCAAACTTGCAGAGATCTCGCGTGGAAATGCAGTGGTCAGGGAATAGAGAGAAGGATGTATGTTATTGCCGAAATATATGAATAGATATGGTATCTTGATGCGCCGCTATGCTACATGCTATGTGAAATGGACAGAAGTGTCAAACCTCATTTCAAGACGGTCAGTACAACGCCAAAGTCCCATGACGGTTGCCTCGAAAGGACAACTCAGAGAAAGTCCTGATGCTGTGCGCCGGGGTGGTGTACTATGCTGCAGAGCAAAGCTCTGCAGAAAGCTACGGGCGGTTGATCAACACCGGCGGTGGGTATGAATCGTGGCTGTGCGCATGGGAGTCATACTGACTTACGAAGAAGCTCGTTTTTATGAGCTGTACCCTCACACCTTGAAGATGTACATCTTCCTGTGTTCCATGATATGTGGATGTCGAGCACAGCAGAGTGTACATTCTCAGTGTAGACTCTGAGTGTTAGGTACAACTCATAAGAATCGAGCTTCTTCGTACGGGAGAGCTTTTGGTGAGCACCTGTGTAGCAGACAAAAGCCGAATCTCGGGATTGTCCGGAAAGCTCGGGGCTTCATGAAGCGATGTCGGGTGCTTTGCCGCTGGGCGTAATGGGCCGCGACCCTGACACGAAGCCCCGTGATCCTTTTCTAAGCCCTGACTGGACAGGTATGCGCATGGCATCCTCTGGCTTAAGTTCTCCAGTAAGCCACTGACCCATGTGCGTTTGCCATCTCCTGAGATCCTCCGCTTTCGTTGCTTCTCTTAGCCTTCTATGCCGCACCAGTCTCTCCGCAATCTGTTGAAGAACAATCTTAGGTGGCCGATATTCAGTCAGGCCTCCTGGACTGGCGATGTTGTCTCTCTCAAGATATGTCCTTGTCGCTTCCTCCATGGTTGAAAGTGTCTTGCCACCAGGAACTTCTTTCCTTTCGTTTGTTTGGGGGTTCGTCCATGGTCCCTTCACCCAGTTGTCGAGTGGCAGGCCTTCAAGTCCTTTATCGACATTCAGACGCTTATACCATCGATGCTCTCCTTTGGCTATTGTTCGCATCATCTTATGACGGTCTTCGCCCTCGGTGTACTTGATCAAGACATTCTTGAAGACAGCCAACTTCTCACTCCACTTCTGCAGTGCCTTGACTTTGCCCAACGGACCAGGCCAAACTGCCGCGAATCCGTCGTTTGAGGTATCTGGTCGTCCTGTTCCGATAGAAAGCAACAGTCCTGGCTCTGTGTCATCGCCCTTCAGCGAGGCGTGTTCACTATAGGCAGCGTAGGAGGGATTGTTCTCGCGAATTCCTCCATCTTTGAAGCTCATGCGCTTTCTGTTCTTGCCGCTGCCAATGTCGGCCGTGAGCATCTCGAAGTAGAAAGGAGCTGCTGAAGTGGCACGCGTTACCTGCCATATCTTCAACTTGTCGGCACCGGCGTTGTAAGACGTGACCCAGGGTGGAGCGATGTCGGGGTCGTATTGATGGTTGTATGAGCGGAGGAGGTAGGCTTCGTCGATTTGGCCGGAGTGGGTAGCAGTGAGGCAGATTGATTGACATATCCGCTCTGTCGGTTTGCGTCTGATTGAGGGTGCACCACCACTTGACCATGTAGTCGAGCTCTGCAGGGACCCTATCCCTGACTCAATCAACGGAACTCCTGCTGATGTATCCTCTTCCTCCAGAACCCATGGATGCCAGTCGTCTCCTGTGCATTTATTGTGCTCCTTACAGTACTGCTTCACAATATCTTGCACGGCCTTCTCCAACGGCTCATGGTGGTATTTGGTAGCAAGTGGCAGTACACTCCTTTTACGTCCAAACAGCTCGTGCCCTACTCTGCGGTATAGTTCGAGACATTGTGGTACGCTCATTCGTAATCTAGCCAGCATGACGGATATGAGGCCGCCCGTACTCGTTCCGTACATGTAGTCGAAATAATGACATGGTAGTAGCTCGTTCTCGTCGAATTCTAGTCGTTCGCTGCCTTCTACGGGGCCTTCGTCTGCTTGTATTCGGCGTTCGGCTTTGGCGATTTCGTGCATGAGGCGTTGGATGATTAGGAGGCTCGAGTAGCCGCGAATGCCACCCCCATCTATCGATCATGTTAGTATCTGCTCGGAGTGCTAATAAATGCCATAGTTGCCTCCAGGGTCGGCAATACATTCATAGCGTTACGCGCATCCGTCGCGCTACACCTCCTGGACCCTTCCCCACATGGCGAACCAACTTAACGTACCTAGCGTGAGTATCAAATCCTCCCAGCAATTCTCTTTGGTAACGTTCATCTTCCAGGTTTCTCCAGTCTTGTCCTGCTGGGTCGCACTGGTACCCGTCGTCCTTATACTCAGCGGCCTCGAGGCCGGCTCGGGGGGTTGCAACATGACGGCGCGCTTGCTGTGTTCACGATGGCGGTTTGGGACCTAAGGTATGGAGCCTTGCACAAATCGCGCACTGATGATCAGGCCAGGGACGTAAGGATGTAAGGGATCGACGCAGGATAGAATGGATATAAAGCTGTCGAGAGCCTCATGACAGCGCTGGCGCGTTCCTGCAAAGGGCGCGACGGTCTGCTGCAGGCTGGTGGATGGGTGGGTCCCGAGGTCGCGGGAGTGGCTGACTCTGCGACTAGCGAAGGGACTCTGCGAATACGACGAATTAGGAGAACGGATTCGCAACAGAGCCACTGCTAAGCCTTTGGGGTCCAATAAAGCGCTGGGGCTTGTTTCTGATGGCGTTGTAACCCTTGAGGTTTGTTATGTTGGAGTGATCAGGGGGATGATGAGTTTATGTGACGCGCAGGATAGGGTGATGAGATCCGCCGGCTCTCCCGCATTCCTGCCCAGAGTTTGGGATCGCGACGACAACTAGAGTGTGACTTTGCTGATATCCGAAAGCTTGCTATGTAGGCATACAATTTGGCATTGCTGCCTACGCCGAGCTGAAATGTAGGGCGGTGTACGAGTAGGCGGAAAGGCATTGCTCCAAGCTGCAGTCCTCCTCGAGCAAACCAAAACCTCCAGGGGTATGAGACTGTATCCAGAGTGATGCTCCCTTGTGATACTGGCGATGGGCGAACGACTCTGTCGGACTGCGTAGTAAGAGCGAAGAACGTCCGAAAGAGTCACCTGAATGGCGTTCTGGGGTCACAGTGTTGCAGGTGACGTGCATGTTGGATTCTTGCTAGTTCACGCAATATCGCCGTTGGAAGGTTAACGCGATGTGTCATAGAGCAGTAAGGTGAGTCAAATGGGCGACTTGAATAGGTATTTGGTTGGGATAGTCTCGGCACACTGGAAGGGTTCGTTTTCAGGTTCGTAGCAGGCTCTGCCGTTGGCCGACCGAGTTTCTCCTCATGAGACGACGGCTTTCGTCTCATGTTGTGCGAGATGAAACAATGCTAAATGACTGAAGTCTGGTAAAATGTACTTTGCTTGTGTATAGCTATTGCCTCAGGAACGATTCACTGCTTAGCACCAGGCCAATCACGGCAGTCGACGGCACAGCCGCATCATGAACCAATCAGCGAGTGCTTCGGCCGAGCCCGACATCATCTTAGCACAGCCACGGGGCGCGGCAGGTCCGTGTGTTACGCCCACCCAACGCTCTCTTGCGACCCAGGCCATCACCCCACCGGCTCTTGCTCTCAATTTCCACTCACGCGACTGACCACTGCCTTCGCCTATACAAGCACCTTCCACCAGTTTTTCAGGACCACAAACTTTTCTCAAGCGGGACAAGCACCCACTCTCGACACCCAACCTTCACCGTCCACCACCACCGCCCACCGCCCACCGCCCACCGCAGCCCTATCCTCGCCTATAGAGACGTCTCAGCCTTACCCTACCCGGAGCCGAACCGAAGGAATGTTACAAGAAAGCATGACGTTCAAGTCGGAGTCGACGTCTGGCACCACGTCCAGCAAGGCGAGTAGCCTGTTCGACCTGGACCAGAACGGCGACAAGTCTATCCTTGTGTACAAGTATCGCTCAGGCGCAAAGGGCCTAGAGGTCAAGACTGAGCGTGATCTCTGCACTGAACTCGACCAAGGTACGTTCTCTGTAGTCTGTTGGTGTGACTCCAACTAAAGGCAGCGCCCAGATCCGTCATTACCCTTCATACGCGTCACCAAGAAGCCTATACCGCGCGGCAACAGTCGGCTTGACATCCTCAACGAAGACCTACTCGCTCCCTCGGAACGCGAAAAGTACGCAGAGAAGCCTACGCTCAAGGCTTCCGTCGCAAATGTGGGACTGCCCACGCTCGCCAAGTGGAAACACATGATATTGGGCAGCTACGACGACCTCTACATCGTCTCGCGCTCGCATACACTGTCGCCTGAGGCAAGCAAGAACAACAGTCCAGAGTCGAGCCAGCACGTCAACTCGTTTCCTAGAGAAGCGGTCCACAGTGACGAGGCATAGGTGCGTCGCAGGACTGAGCTGGATGCCGTTGGAACAGGCGACTGGGCGATGGACGTCTAACATCTCTTGCGTCGTCAATGACGTTCGGCCTTCACATGACTGCACGCTCGTTACACGACTATACGTTTCCCACCTATCATTACGCGATACCCAATGAGCTTGGCGCTGGATGGAGTTTACATTGTTTTGGTTTCCTTTGGTCCTTATGTTGTCTGTCGCTGTTGGGTAGGAACGAGTACACTGCGTATTTTTGAATCGGGAGTGCGTAACTCTTAATTAAACAACCATTAACATTAGCCGCTATCAAGACATCTGCGTAAGACCGAACAGTGAAGAAACAAGAGACCCCTATGTAATGAGTGCTTTTCAGCGCCGAGGAATGAACCGCTGCAAGGGTAGGTTGTCGACAAACCAACGTCATCAAACATATGATTCGCTTGTAGCGGATATGCCTGTCAAAGTTCGCAGGAGCGACCTGACCCAACAAGGAAGAGACGTAAAGCTTTTCTCTCCGTCTTGCAGCGAAGGAACATGCTGCCTGCATTGTTTGTATACACGTGGGTGGCATCGGACCTTCTAAATGGCTGGGCGCAACGGCAGACCCATTTACGGCTCGTCCAGACGGCACTAAGACACGAAGGCCCACCAAGCCTGCACATGCAAGCGGGGAGCTTCACTCTTGGGCCCGGTCTCAGCGCGCTGGGGCCCTGCATCAACTTCTGAAGCTTCCGCCGTGAGCCAATATTGCTACCACTCCCGTTCTGTCGCGCAATTGAACGCCTTCGAGGTTTGCAATTGCCCGCATCTTGCCCAGCATGAGGTTTGTAGTCCCAGCAATGCACCCGCGCGTGCTTCCTCCAATCGTCGCACAGCGGGTGATGTCAACGGAAACTAATGCGCGTATCCAGGTTCGGTCAACAACTCAAGCAGTCGCTCAACAAGGAGTGGATCTTCTACTACATCGACTACGAGGGCCTCAAGAACTCGCTACGCGTCCACCACATCTGGGATGAGAAGTCGGAGCAGAGCTTCGTCGAGCAGCTCGAGAAGGAGCTCGACAAGGTCTACACGTTCCAGCGCGTCAAGGCCGAGGAGATTATCCGTCGCATAGCAGCGTCCGAAAAGGAAGTCAACGATGCCGTCGCGCGCGCCCAGCAGGACCCCCAGAACGCCGCGAACTACGAGGACGACTTTGATCTGCTCGAGGAGGACCTGAGCGACATTATCGCCGACGTCCACGACCTCGCCAAGTTCACACAGCTCAACTACACGGGCTTCCAGAAGATTATCAAGAAGCACGACGTATGTATTGTTGCATATCTGCCATTAACCCAGAGCTAATTGACTGTAGAAAAACACCAGCTGGTTCCTCAAGCCCGTCTTCGCCGCCCGTCTGAAGCGCAAGCCCTTCTTCCAGGACAACTACGACTCCTACGTAGTCAAGCTCTCGCGGCTCTATGACATTGTCCGCACACGAGGAAACCCGGTCAAGGGCGATGCATCCGCTGGAGGAAAGCAACAGAACTTCGTGCGCCAGACGACCAAGTACTGGGTACACCCGGATAACATCCTAGAGCTGAAGCTCATCGTCCTCAAGCACCTCCCTGTGCTTGTGTTCAACCCCAACAAGGAGTTCAACGAGGAAGACTCTGCCATTACATCCATCTACTTCGACAACACCGAGACATGGGAGCTATACCAGGGCCGTCTGAAGAAGACCGAGGGTGCTGAGGCTATCCGTCTACGATGGTATGGAGGCATGTCTAGCGACACTATCTTCGTTGAGCGTAAGACGCATCGCGAGGACTGGACTGGCGAAGAGTCTGTCAAGGCGCGTTTCAAGCTTAAGGAGAAGAACGTCAACGCATACCTCCGCGGTGAGCTCAGGCCCGAGCAGATCTTCGAGAAGGAGCGCAGGGAGCAGAAGAGGCCTGAGAAGGACATCGCTTCTGACGAGCAGCTGGCCCGAGAGATCCAGTACCGCGTACTGACCCGCAAGCTCGAACCCGTTACACGCTCCTTCTACCACCGCACTGCTTTCCAACTTCCCGGTGATGCTCGCGTTCGTATCTCCCTCGACACGGAACTTACCATGACCCGCGAAGACAACCTAGACGGTAAGAGGCGTGCTGGCGACAACTGGCGTCGCATGGACATTGGTGTAGACTGGCCATTCAAGCAGTTGCCAAAGGAGGACAAGGAGCTCTTCCCTTACGCTGTCCTCGAGGTCAAGCTTCAGACACAAGCTGGAGGAGAGCCACCGCAGTGGATTCGCGACCTCACGTCTTCCCACCTTGTCGAAGCTGTGCCCAAGTTCTCCAAGTACATTCACGGCACAGCCACGCTGAACCCCAAGCGCATCAACTTGATCCCATACTGGTACCCGCAGATGGACGTCGACATTCGCAAGCCTGTTAGTCACAAGTTTGGTATCGAGCGCCCCGGTGCGAGCAACGACATCAGCACTAGCGGCAACCTCGATGACGATGATAGCGAAGACGAGGATGCCGTCATGGGTCTTCCTGCTGCGAACGGCAACGAGGACGATGACCGACTAAGGCGGCTGCGCGAGGCCAGGGATGTCATGGAGCAGAACGAGATGGAAAGAACCCGCGACTACGGCACTCTTACGAATGGCAACGATCCCAATGCGCTGGACATCGAAGAGCGTGTCGCCGCAGGGCGAACTCGCGACGAGGATTACCCCATCTACGATTCTGACAGCGACGACGAAGACGAGGAGTACGAAGCAGCAAAAAAACAAGGAGGTCTCCGTTATGCGCGGAAGTGGGTAGAGCGCACTGCGACCAACGTGGGCTCCACAATACTATCAACAGTCGCCACCGTTATCCCCAAACCAACTCCTACCGACGTCGGTGAGGGAGGCTTCGCCCTTGGTGTGCCATCATGGAAGCAAAAGGGGGAGGTGAAGAGGTTCAAGGCACCAAAGGGCAAACGTAAGTTACTCCAATCATCTCACGCTACCAACACGTACTAACATGATTCCAGGCATCCACGTCCCCGTCCGTGTCGAACCCAAAGTTCAACTAGCCACCGAGCGCACTTTCCTCTCCTGGCTCGAATTCTCCATCCTCATCGGTTCCATTGCCGCTACATTGCTCAACTTCGGTGACCCTCTTGCCTTTGCGGCAGCGTGGGCATTTACTATCATTGCTTGTCTTGCGCTGTGCTACAGCGCAGGACTGTATTTGTGGAGAGTGAACAAGATCAAAGAGAGGAGAGCGGTTACGTACCATGATCGCTGGGGACCCACGCTGCTCTGCTTCGGATTGTTCTGCGCTGTTGCCGTCAGTTTCGGATACAGGTTCGGAAAGGGCGGTGTTGATGGTGGGTTGAAGGGAGATATCAAGGGTTGAATAGTTTGTGATCATGGGTATGGATGGATACATGGCTGGGGGGATTCGACGTTTTGAAGTAGTCACGACTGACGGATGACCGGTTCGAAGTTGATGGGAAAGATGCATTATTGGCGTTACGTGTACATAAAAGTGTACATAATAATGGGTATTGTTGTACTTTGACTATCTCTGTAACCCTTTGCAAGCAGTGAACATGGTCATCCGAAGGCTTTCACCAGTGACACCGAAAGACAGGATTGTGTGCACGTGCTGTCCCGCGGAGGGCCGAAGGGTATGAATCGCTCTCGCCCAAGGCCCTATGCAGGTTGAAGAGCGCCGTGAGCTGTAATACCAACGCTTCTGGTCAGGATTCTGAAATTTGACACTTGGGTTGGGTATCAATCAGCGTTTGCGTAACTTACAACTCGCACTAGACTGATGTGATTGGCGGCAAATGTGAATGTTCAGATCACGAATGTGGTGTCAACCTTGGCAGGCAAACGCGAACCATGGTTCACAGATCGTAGAGTCACATTCTATAGTTAGAAAGTCTGCTGCCCAGCGACTTTCAGTTTCTTTTATACATTTTATTGTACTCAAACATTTGTCGTACGCACTTGAAGACCCTATCGAGCAATGTCCGACCGCCGCAGCAACAATCGCACTGACGATTCCACAACGTCCGAGTTGCCAATATCAGACTCACTCAGGAGTTTGATTCTCAACACAGTCAATGCGACGCGGGAATTTTTCGAGTTTACAGATGAGGATCAACGCAACTCATCCCCTGAAGTTATACTTCGACGTATGTTGTCCACCAAGTCGGCAATATCAACGAACTCGTCTCTCGCTGAAGCAAACCAACGTGCTCGCGACGATGCAGCACTTCCAAAGTTTTCCAACGTCGGTCAAGGTCAATGTGGCATAGTTTTCGCCTTGAAAGGCACTACTCTGGTCGCCAAACTGCCCAACTCCTCGGACAAAGAAGATGAGCTTTACACCGACTTCCAAATGCACCAACTCGTGTACAATACTTTCGCAGCCTTCACATCTGTCTGCAAGGACATCCATGTTCCTGAAGTAAAAGCATGGATTGGCCCGCAGAGTACAGAATTCTGGAAGGACAACGCCACTCTATTCCCTTCGGTCGTGAAGACGCCTAATTACGGTCTCGTATCGGAGCGCATATGGCCCCTTCCTTTTCCGGTACGCGAGGCCATTGTCGATGCATTATGCCCAAAGGCAATCCAGGACAACAAGAGCGACTTCCTCAAGCGGCCTGAAAACAAAGATTGTCTGGTACGACTGTACATGGGTAGACGCAACGATTCGCGCAAGATGGAAGCAAGGAACGTTCGACTTCGGAATTTCCCCCTCCATGTCGATGAGATGGAGCGTCTGGGTCTTGACACGCGCTCTTTTGCTATCACCATAGCAAAATCTCTGGCCATCCTTCACTGGAAGGCTGGTGTAGATGCTAACGACGTGGAGTTTGTTCTGGGTAGTCGTCCACAGATCGCTGGCAAACCGACAGTAGAAGATGTGCTCACTGCCAACAAAGATACGGCAACAGAATTGTACCTTACCGACTTCAAGCACCGCACCTTATCCCTTTGGCTTTTGGACTTCAATCAATGCAAGCCTTTCAAGCACAACACAGCTGGAGTGAATAAACTGGTAGAGGGATTCTGGTTCAACGATCCCTACTATCCTCGTCCTAATGCCACCAACAAGGCTGACAAAGATCTCTGGAACGCGTTCCAGGCCCATTATCTGGAGGTTAGCGCAGAGCTTACCAACACCCCAGGGCCAAAGATGTTCGTTGAAGCAGTGATAGCAAAGGGGAAAGCACGACCAGGTGGTAGCACGTTTGGTTAAGGGCCTGATGCATCACAGGAGTTGAGTTCAAAATCTCCACCGCTTGTGTCATGATCGGGACTATTGAGCGCAACCAGTCTCTCTCTCTCAAAAAAAAGCGATTAAACACGTTCAAGTGTTGCTGAGATAGGCGAACAACGAGAGATCATCGAGAAGGCGTGCCCTACCAGCAGTGTACAATAGAAAGGCCATAAGATATACAAAAATCTCTCAATCAAACTTCCCTTAATTTCTTGTCCATCAGTCCTTTCCCCTTTATATCCTTTCCCTACCGCTCAGTACTTCGGCTTAAACGGCAACGTAGCCATGACCGTCCCCACCTCCGCCTTCACCCCAAACAACCTATACAACCACTTGATAATAACAAAAAAGCTCTCTGGCTCGCCCATATGCTTGAACCCCTGCACAAATCGCGCCTCCTTCGGCGCCCCATGCATCAACGCAAGATAATAATCATCAATCGGGAAGATCTCATCCTCCGTCCCATTTACCAGCAGCAACCTCGCACATTCCTGCCTATCCAGCGTACCATCGTTGAGCAACGAGAACTTGCTCATGGCTTCCTTTTTAAAGGCCTCGACGTCGTTGCCGTAACCCCATTTGTAGGCTAAGGTGTTGGCGAGGTCGAAGGGGTACTCGAGGTGGTTTACATGGGACAGCCATTCGGGGGAGAACATGTGGTGGCAGCCTCCGCCGAGGGCGACGACGCCCGCGAGTCGGGAGGCGTGTGTGTGCGCGACGCGTATGGCGTAGTAGCCGCCTGTGCTGAAGGCCCAAATGGCGATTTTGTTTGCGTCGAGACGCGGTTGCGTGGCGACCCAGTCGAAGAGCGAGCTGTAGAGGCGGTCTGGAGATGTTGGGTCGGACGCCGTGGCCGGACAGTCGCCTGTGCCGGGTATCTCGAGGACGATGGTAGCGACGCCTACGCGCCGCCAGCCTTCCATCCATACAGCTAGTTCGGTGCGGTATCCGTCTAGCCCGGTGAAGATGATGAGGGTGGGTACGGGGGTGTCTTTCGATGCGCTGTCTGGGACGAGGTGGTACACGGGTATGTGTTCGCCTTCGTCCTGGTTGCGGTGTTTGTGTGGGATCATGACTTCGTGGACGGGGTGTTCTCGCATTCCTAGGCCTTTGATGCATACTTCTTTGCCTAATTTCCAGGCTTCACGTTGGACTTCGCTGCGTGGCGCGGGAAAGCGGCTGATGCGGTATACAGCGCTGGAGCGTAGGTAGTACTCCGATGCCTTCTCTTTCTCGCCATTCTCCTCGGCTTCTTCGGCTATCGACTTGAGCTTTTCGGCTTGTGGGAAGTAGATTTTGGCGTATTCGTCCCAGTTGTAGGGCTCTTTCATGTCTTTGGATACCATCTCTTTTACTATCGGCTCGAAGTCGGAGGCGGTGGCGAACATGAAGGGGTAGACGCCCATTTCTGCCTACCAAGAATCAGTGAGTTTGAACTAATATGATTGCGGTCTTCGTATGTGTAGTTTGAATGACTGGTGATCAACATACAGGCTTCTTCCACTTCGTCTCCCAAAGCTGCTCATAAGACTCATGGTGCTTCGCCGGCGTCTTCAGCTTCTCTTGAATGAAGAACTTGCCTCCTGGTGCTGCCATATTTCGTACAGTATTCCCTCAGTATAGTGTAAATATATATCTTCTTAGTATTACGCAATCTGTATACGGAGAAGTAGCAACGCGTTGGCGAAAGATGGACAGTTGAAGTGAAGATGCACCAGTATTCGATTTTAAACATCATATATAAGCTGCCAATCTATTCATAGGCCTCCCGCTCGGCACAAGTTCACGCACGCCGATAATGTTGCGGCATTGGTGTCGCGGTTCGCTGTTCGGGCATTAAACGTTGCGGCAGGGCCCGCGGGCGGGGAGCCGAAAACTGAAACCCATTGTCCATATACAGCACGCGATCACACTGTCCTGTTCTACTCAGACATCGGCCCCGGTCTCTCGTTACGAATAAAACATGCGACTATGTCTGCACTCGTCGAAGAGAGTGCGTATTATGTACGAATAGGCTCTTTTCCCTCCCAGAGTTGTCCTTCAAGCCGCAAATCACCCAAAAGTATTCCCCATGATTCAAACAAGGCTTTAGCAGAAAGTGTCTTGGTATATGTCTCTGGGGTGCATCACGAGAACATTGGCAATTACTCAGAATTTGAGTTCCTTAGTCCGTCCCAAAGTCGTTCATGTTTTCGTGTTCAGTTGTCTAGGTCTGATACATTCGTGAAACATGGCTCATGATCCGTATCCCTATGATTGCCAAACCACCCCATACGCCAGTAATGCTACGTTGAAACTATTTGTGTGCTGAATCGCATTAGCAAACTTCAATTGCACCAGATCTATCAGATCAACATGGACTTACGAATGCCTTCAGTGGGCTTGGGGGTTACATCGACGACCTCCGCTGCGGGCGTCTTGACCTCGATAATGTCCTTCATGAAGGGGAAGGTGAGTACCTCCTTGATGGAGTAGTGGTCGGTCAAGAACATGACCAGACGGTCGATGCCCATACCCCAACCACCAGTGGGTGGCAGACCGTACTCGAGCGACTGACAGAAGGTCTCGTCAATGAGCTGTGCTTCGTCGTCACCAGCTGCCTTCTGGTTTGCTTGCTCCTCCTGTACATGTGTTAATATGCATCTCATCAACGCATTTCTTTTGTACTTACGAATCGCAGACGCTGGTCGAAGGGGTCGTTAAGCTCAGTGTAAGCATTGCAGATCTCCTTCTTGCATACAAAGGCCTCGAAGCGCTCGCAAAGACCAGGGATATCGCGGTGGTATTTGGCAAGTGGCGACATGACCTCGGGGTGACCGATGATGAATGTAGGATTGATAGCAGTCTCTTCGATGAACTCACCAACCAATTTGTCGATCATTCTTGAGTTGGTGCGAGGTTCTGAGCAGTCAACCTTGACCTTCTTGAGTACGTTCTTGAGGAACTCGTTGGTCTCGGCAGTGTGTAACTGATCCGCCGGTGGGAACTTCTCGCCGGTGGCCTCCTCCAATGCCGGGATCATCTCGACTCGCCTCCATGGCCTTGCCCAGTTCACGTTGTATACCTCGCCGCTCTGCGTGTGGTAGACAGTCTCGTAACCGCCTGTGACCTCCTTGACCAGTTCACTGACGAGCTCCTCGGTCATGTTCAGGACGTCGTTGTAGTCGGCGTACGCCATATAGAATTCGCAGGTGGTGAACTCGGGGTTGTGGGTAAGGTCGATACCCTCGTTACGGAATTGACGACCGATTTCGTATACCCTCTCTAGACCTCCCACTACGAGCTCCTTGAGGTACAGCTCGGGTGCGATACGCATGTAAAGCTCCATGTCGAGTTCGTTGTGGTATGTCTTGAATGGTCGCGCGGTCGCACCACCGGCAATCTTGTTCATCATCGGCGTCTGCACTTCCAGGAAGTCCCGTTCGTCGAGGTACTTGCGGACAGCCTTGATAATCCTGCTCCGAGTAATGAAGGTGTTGCGTGTTGAGTCGTTCATGATGAGATCGAGGAATCGGTTGCGGTGACGTTGCTCCTGGTCCTTGTAGCCACTGTACAGTATTAGTATCACCATCGCTGAAGTTCTGAGGTGAACTCACAAGTGCTCCGTCGGCAACATCCTCAAGCAGGGCGTGAGAAGGATCACCTCGCGTGCGAAGATGCTCAACTCACCCTCACCACCCTTCTTGGGGCTGGTGCGACCTGGGTATCCAATGACACCGATGATGTCTCCACGCTGGATGTTCTCATGCTGCTTCTCAAAGGGCACGTCGGCCTTGGCTTCCTGCAATTGACACATGACCTGGATGTTGACACCCTCAGCCTTGCCTAGACGTCATCAGCTATGAAAGTATTGTTGTATCCAGTATACATACAAACGTAGAAGTGCAGCGCGTTGGAGGCAGAGCGCTGTGTCATGACACGGAGACCGATGCGAATCTCCTTGTCGGGCTCGGTCTCTCCCTTCTTGAGGTGCGAGTAGTCGCGAACATAGTCGGCGAGCTTGTAGTTGGTGTGGAACTTGTGCGGGTACGGGTTGGGTTGCTTGGAGGCGCGGAGTGCGTTGATCTTGTTAGATCTGATCTCGAAGTATTGCTGCAGTCGGTGAGTAATCAGATCACTTGAAAGAGGCAAGTTCGGTGCGCACGTTTGGGTTCAATTCCTCGACATCGTCCTTCTTCTCCTTCTTGGGTCGCGCAGGTAGCGACGCCTCCTTCTCTTTCTTCTTCTCGTCCTTCTCGCGCTGCTTCTGACGACGCTTGAGCTCACTCTTGGAGATTTTCTCACCGGTGACTGGGTCGGTGTGCAAGTCCTTGGTCTCGGCAGCCGGTGGCTGTGCTGCAGGTTGTTCGTCCGCCATTGTTGCGATGTTCGGTGTTGCTCGTGTGGGCTGCGCGACGAGATATATGCCCCGCCAACTTTTTGATTTGACTCACCCCGCCATTGACTGGCAACCCACGGGAATAAAGTTTTTCCATCCGGCCATGGGGACTCACACCTCACATTACCACTGCACTCTTCTGTGGTGATAAACGCGTTGAAAGTATATGCTACTGTAGACACAGTGCCTTCAGCGTTGCATGCATCGAACGTCTATCAATTCATCTTTTGACCCCGCATGCGACAAATGATAGACATGGTTTCGTCATTTCGATTTGGAACATGAGACAGCCATAGCACTTGTCAGTCATTACGGATTTTCAACAAAGTTCGTTGTAGTATCTGTATTGAAGTCTTGGATCAAACTGTGTTACAAATTACAAGACACGGTGTTAGGCTTGATCAACATCATAGTACCTCTTATCCGACTTCCTTGAAGAAGTCCGAGCAGAGCTTCGTTGTCATCCTGACTCTACCCGAAGAGTCCACGATGAGGGGACAATCCACACGGTCCATGCCCGAATATAGCTCCCAAGGATCTTCTAGTGGCCGCAATATGCGCAATACGAAGAAGACGCGCAGCATTGGGCATCTACGGCAGCACATCTTGCGTCACCTTAGCGACGGGATGAACAGTGGGGATAGATCATATCCAGACCCTGTGAATCCCAAGGTGCTGCCACAGGAGGACCCTGTGTTCGCCACTCTTGACAGCTGTCGATGTTGGGCGTCTAATATTCGGCCCAAGTCCGACCGATAGTCTCTTCTCCGCTTCTTGACGCGCAAGCCAGATGAGTTTTCTTTAGCAAACTACTGGGTGAAACCTTGATTGCAGAAGTTTTTGTCGCAAATTCTTACCTTGTGGCCATCCATCCACGGTCGTGATGCTGGCCCCAAGAACCTCCTATTGAAAAGCCAACTCATCTCCCCACAATAACATCAAGTCTAGTGAGACGACGAGAAATAGTTACCATGGGAATCATAGACAGAGCGACAGCCCAGCAGATGTTACCACAGTGACTGACCAGGGCGACAAGCCTCATGGCCTTGACAATAATCAGAGCCACGAAGTAGCGAATCTGAAACACGCGTCGAAACATCGAACTTGGGGTATCATAAGGCTGATGCCCGCTGCAGGTGCGGCTAAGGCTGGCTACAAGACATGTCGCTGTATGCCCATAGCGCGTTTCTCCTTTGAAAACCGAGCCAGACTCTGTCGATGCAATATCGTGTTTTGTCGGAACTGGTCGGGACGCAGGCTGCAGCACATATCATGTTCGGGCGAGTTCAGGTTCATTCCACAGGCCACTCTGTGAACTTCCTATTAAATTGAGGGCATGGGGTCTTCCCGATGTCAGAAGGTAGTAATGATAGATGACTTTGTGAACGTAGAAGGGGGTGACGTGCGGGAGGCTAAGGCAGGTACGGCGACGATGAAACAGGAATACATGGCATCCAGAGCGCGTTCCTGCAGTACCGTATGTTGAACGGTAGGCTAGCGGGGATATCGCTAGTGGAATAACAATGAGGTCGCAGATGCGGCCACATGAGGCAGATTTGCGAATTCGCGGGATCATGAAGTTGTTTTTCATCGTGACGCGGTGATCTTGACGCGTGACGGACACTTGGGTGCCCACGTGCTTTTACGCCTGATCGATGAAGCAGGTACGATCCGTAGCCGCACCTTCCCGGGGATTAGTGGTGAAGTAGTTGCAACCATCACGAAGCGTGGCCTCAAAGAAGGCCTCATGAGCACACTTCTTTCGAAAAGACTATCGAGCGGCACACGGTCCGCCTCCTAAAACCACTTACCAACAGCCTTGTGAGGTTTTAGTGCGTATCATATCGATAGCTCATCCGCTCAGCGTTCACGGGATGGCTCTCACATCGAAAGCTAGGGGGAGATCACAAGACTACGTCATGTGTAACCAAACTTCTCGATCCCGACGCCATGGGGTGGACGGATGGCTAGGTACAGACCAAACATCATGAGCAAAACCCTCGATCGGTGCAAGCTGTGCGATCGGACAAAGTCGAGCCAGGGAGGGGAGCCCGGTTGTACGGCGCTGTTGACGCAAACAACGCGAAGACGCGTCTTTGGCAATAATCAGAATCAGCTGGAAGGATCCTGATGACGACACCCATAAACTTTGCTCAGGCAGTCAGCTGAAACTGCAGGCAAAGCAATATGGACAAGAAGATGTTTCCTACGACTCGCAAAGCCTATCGATAGCTGAATAGGCGAAGAGGCGTGCAATCGATAGGGAGGCTGCAGGCGAGCTGCAGAGACAATCATAATGGGGAGGGCTAAGATTGTGACGCGGGCCGCCGAACTGGTGGCAGGCGGGCGCAAAGCTGGAGCCCCTATTCCGCGCGACTCGGCCACCCCATGGCATGAAGACGATAAGATTTGCTAATTTGGGCATAGAAGGGGGATGGGTCGACGCGTGGTTCGAGCGCCCTGGTGCCGATACTGTGGTTGGGGAAGATGTGGTGGTGGCGAGGATTTGGTGTTGTTTTGATTCTGCTTGTTGATCAACAAACACAGCATGTAAACACGCACACCTGAACGTGGCAAGAGCTCCGCAGCAGC